CAGCCATGTGGACATTAACTGACAAGGAGGACTAACTGCTGGAGGCGCTAGCTCTGCTAACATTAGCCACACTTAGCAATCCAATTTAAAATGGTTTACCTGCTGACTTTCGTCCCATGTTTAGCTCTTTAGCTTACACATTGTGTTCAATTATTAGTGTTTTCTAAAAATTGCCTTGGAAGGTCTGAGTACCTTCAGCTTTTCACTCTCTGCTGTCTCATTGGATACAAACAATATCAGAGCAGTACCGTTATAAATTGTAAAATTTTCTGCTTAGATACGATTTAAAACATGGTACTCAGGAATAAAACATCCTTTGATAACAGCATTTGAGCTCCCAAGCATGAATAAGAATGATGTCAGTGGAAAAAAGCTGCCGTGTAAATTTGGTCTGTTACTGTATTCTGTCTCTCATGACACTGACACATAATACCAAACAAACTGTTTTCCTCTAGTTGACACCAGAGTACACAAATGCCAACGCTTTGGTGCAGAGCAGAAACAGCATGATATGGTTTTCATCATCCACGCTTAACAACAAAATCCACATTTATGAAAGCAGGGTAGTCAGGGGCATGTACATAGGAGTAACAGTTGTCACTTTGTTGTTCTCATTTTAAAAGTAAAAATATACAATATGTTCATAATTTGTCATTGTCAGTAAACACAGTAAATGTGATTAGTAGGGGCAAGGAGGGTAAATTAGCACGATTTAATTATGTATATGTTTGCATACTTCACACCACCCCTGCATAAATCAGTGCCTGGGTTGGGCCACCCCAGTCAAGAGAGTCTGAGCACGCCCCTGAGGGCAGCATCCAAATTCACAGCTCAGTGGAGGCTCTCTCAGCATCTCCTCTCCCTGTGCTTATTTCAACCAGACAGCAGTAGGATGGTGTCGCTGCTCATCCCTGATGGGGGCAATGGAGGTGGAAATCTGGGTTGCATGAGCACCAGGTTTCCATCAAATGCTTTTTCCACTGTGTGTGTGTGTGCATGGGTAGATGGGATGCAAAGGCCTATCTCTATTAATGCAGCACGGAGCCACTCCAGCAAAAGGCCTGCTGGGCAATGGTGTGCACAAATGCGCAATGAAACACCGCCCACCCAATGGCGCACAAGTCGGTCAGCGTGGAAAAGGCTGTCATGATGGGGATGGGGTTGGCCTCCAATCAGTGCAATGCAAAGCGTGCAATATGCAAGGGAGACTTGACTGCATGGGGTGTGGATGAGAAAAAGGGAGGAGGAGGAGGAGGAGGAGGAGGGCCATCTTTTGGACCAAAATAGGTGTAGCTCCTAGAAGGACGTTTGCATCGCTCAAATAAAGGATAATGAATGGATGTGAGGCGATGAGAGGCCAAAACGGTATCAGAGATAATCCAGTCCAGACCGCACCAGTCCCAAGTGAAGCAGCAGGGGAGGGGACATGTTATCATAACCGTGTTCCTGAGACCGTGAGAGGGGAAGAAATACATAAATGCATGTTTGTGCTTCAGTTTCCGCCCGTTTGTTCTCTCGGATGAAGCTTTGAAACACACACATTCACACATACACACACACAAACGGAGGCGTAAACCAACCTTGTAGACTTGTCCATAGGTGCCATTTCCGACTACTTCCACCAACTCGAAAATCCCTGCTGGATCCTGTATTTGAGAAGCATAAATAAACAAACACATGAATTAAATCAGGATAAACTGATTCCTTATAGTATTTTCAAACGGGTTCGCTCGATGTAAGAGCCGGCTGCGCCCGTTTTACTGGCCTCACCATGCCAGCGGATATATTAGACAAAGAAAAGCCACCGCAGGGCTGTGTCAACAAGACAGCAGCTTACCATAATATTCTGCGTTAATTTCTCATACACAGAAAATCAAATGCATTCAAAATTTGTCTGTTTTACGCGCCCTTACCCTCAGGGATGCGAGGTCTATATCCACCAGACTTTTGGCCGGTGAGTCGTTCGCCATTTTCGTTAAAAACGGTGATAAATGAGAGGAAAAACGGCTGTTTTTTTGGTCTCCTTCAGCGGGACGGTATGTTTCTCATCCTCGGGTGGTTTTATGTTTAATCCCGTTGTGTTATTTGCTCTCCACGGCGCGTTTCTCCCTCTTAGTACTCCCAGGCAGAAGCTCCGCTGCTGCTACATACCGACCTACTGCCGAGGACGACCCCGCTCTCTCTCTCTCTCTCTCTCTCTCTCCCTCTCTCTCTCTCTCTCCTCTCTGTCTGTGTGTATGTCTCTCTACCTCATTTCCCCGCCCTCTCTCCCTCACAGTCCGTCCGTATGTCTCTCTTTCCCTCGCAGTCTTCGGTCTCCGCCCCCTCCATGGCTCCTAGACTTGGGATTTAAATTTGGGGACCTCTCTGAACGGATTTTCTTTCCATCAAACACCCAAAAGTTTCACTTTTAACTACAATTAGAGGTCATAGTTTTAGCAATGCCATCCTAACCTACCTGTATCTTCCTTAAAATGTCCTTATGACAAAAGTGGACCCCTAAACAACAGGTGGGTTTGGCCTAAAGCCCTATATATACACTTATGATGCACCGATCTGCTTTTTTCACCTCCCATACCGATACAGATATCTACAGTTTAATATCAGCCGTTACCGATCCGATTCCGATACAGAAAAGCAGCGCTGAATTACCTTTTGTTGTAACTTGAAGTTTTACCACTGCCAGTCGGAGCGTTTACTGCGCAGGTATTGCACGTGGCCATCGAGCTTGTAGGCTGAGGTATTGTGATAACGTCCAAGATATCAGACCCCCTTTGCTCGCTGCATTTTGAAAACAGTGTGGGCATCCGCTCAGTGTGTTTACTTGTGGATGACACTCACGGCTCATAGCATAGAGTTAGACCAGCCCCTATGCATCTAGAATTTTCTTCAGTATCGGGACAGATACCGATATCAAATATCAGATCGGTGCATCCCTAATACTATCCACAGTAAGTGTAAAAAACTCTCAGCCCTTATAGCCTGAGTATTACTAAAGCAGTATAACGGATTTAATGTGATATTGAGCAGATTTAAAAAAGAGACTGTATTATTTAAAACTGTATTTAATTTGACCTGTTATTTTGATTAATCCAAATTTTATGTGTATTTAATAACCGTCTTGCCATCCTCCTCCCCTTCCTCTTTCTCTATATCCTCCTCTGTGACTGTCAGATAGAAACAGAACAATTAGAGCATGTGAAATGGAAACAGGGATAAATATTTCAGCACAGCTGTCACTGCTCTGCTGTTCTGCTGGAGAGGGTGATATCCAGACAGGCTAAATTATTGTGTCCTGCTGCCATCGCTCCTACCTGTCAGCTGAACTTACTGACTGTGGCAACAAAGGAATGTAAGTAGTCAACTTAGTCAAACACTGTGTTAAAGTACACCCACGAAGTACTTTTACTTATCTTGAGTGTCTTAAGTTACAGATTGGTCTTGTGGTTCTATGACTTTTGTTTTAAATTGGACATATACATATTTACTCCTTTGATTCTCCCCTTCTGACCCTTTCCTGCATGGCGGTCCCCACTCTCTCTTCCAGTTTCCTTTTCTAAAATAAAAGCATCAAAATCCTCCTTATTTTATAAGTTGATGTATAAAAAGGCTCTTTTCTAACACTAGTTTACCATTTCTTCCTATTGATGTCAGTAACCCAATTGATAAAGGGACATTCCGGCGTTAAATTAATTTATGGTCAAACACACCATAACACCTAGTTAGACACCCCCTCGAGAGATGAATGTTGCTGACCGCTTGCTTCTCTAGTTATACCAACTTTAGTAACGACAGGATAGCAATACACAGCAGTCTGAGGAGCCATAAACAAACCTCAACCAAAAAGCCACTCTATAGCCACAAATCATGCTCAGAATAGCATCGAACTTCATCAACAGTACATATAGGGTCCCAGCCACGGCACAAACCACCAAACATCTTTTTAACTTTGCCTCATTTCTTTAGCAAAGAGACTAAACACAACTCACCTACTCTCTTCCAGCAGCTGCTTGTTTGTAACGAGACCTCAGGCCAGTCCATTGTGGACTTCAGCGGGGTGACACAGCTCAAGGAAGAACATTTACAATCATTTCTTTATGGAAATGTAATCAGGCAGACACACTAAGGCAGAAGAACTACCGCATCTGCAGTGCAAAATGATTAATATGATCATTAATACTTCAAGGAAATGATCAAAAATAACTCGGTGTTATAGTATGTTTGACCCTAACTTAATTTTACACCGGATTATCCCTTTAAAGCCTATTCCTCTGCTTGATTCACTGTAATTTTGCTCTCCACACATGCAAAAAAATGAACAGATGTTGGCACATATGGAACACACACCGCAGATTCATTTAATGGCGACAGAGCAGAACATACTACTTATTATCCTGAGTGTATTACATGCAAGTTAAGACAAGACTCTTTGAATGTAATGATTATGTATCTGCTGTGTTTTTGCATCGAGATGTCTTATCTTATCTCATTAAACACCTTTTAATTACTTTTATTTTAAAATTATTCCAACATGGATAACAGATTTTGCAAAAGCGATAGGGACAAACATAAAAAGCAGAACTATTAAAGAAGTGAAATATGAAGACATCAGCTGACAAGAATTTCTTCACTAAACTGAAAATCTAAAGCATGGATTTTTCTTTTTAATCTGGTCTTGAACGTTAAATCTCCTGATCCCCAAACTTCTGTTTTGTGTAACAGAAAAGTCATCGCAGCTCTCAGACTTGATGCTCTTTGTTCGGTGCTCTGGGGTTAGTCCCTCCTTTGAAGGTGATGGAGGGGGACGACCCGCAGACTTCAAAGTATCGCCCAGTGGGTGTGCCCCGCTTTCATGTGTTATCTAAAGTAAGGATATTTGAGGGTTTCATGCTGTTTGGATATGTAAATTACTGAGTTTATACTACAGCCAAAAGAGTGCACCACAAGTTTAGGTTTGATTGTGAGTCATACACTTTCATGTATTTTTATATTGTACATGCCGGTTTGGGTCAACGATGCTCAATCGGGGCTCAAAGACTTCTAAAAATGCCAGTATTGGAGAGGACATCAGTACTATCTGAGGAGAGGAGGAGACCCAAAACAAAGCTTAAAGTAAAATCAGTCATCAGTGTAAGGTTTCCAAAAACAGCCTCCAAATGAAAGCTGATGTTTCTCCATGTTTGAGGATTTGGAAATAGGAAACTGTTTGCCAAAATGTGATGTTATAATGTTGTGTTTGCAGTTGAGTTCCTCTTAATGTTACCAAAGTTTAAAACTCTTACCAAGCCTCTTTTAGTGTGAGGTCTGCCTTATTACAGTCTTGATGACGTGGCATTGACATAATAAATATTGACTTCTTACAGTATCATACGATTCATGGATTGAGGACACTGGCTGAAACTTAAGGGTGGTGGACATATTTAGAACAACAAGAACAACCTGACTGAACCTGTGAGTGACAACAATGCTGCTAAATCTCTGCTGCAAACACACCCTGATCAACACATCCACGCCTACAAGCCGGACAGTGTTTGAGGGTTTGGTAAGTGTTCAAGATGATGTGTGCGGACCAAACAAACATGGATAAGACGCCATAAGATGTGTGGCTGCTTCACTTGTTGCATACTGAGCAGCCTTTCCCATAAAACCAGTTCTCCACTCAGTTAATTTGCTAAGTGAACAGTGGCTGTGGCTCAGTGGTGGAGTCTGACATCTTTAAATCAGAAGGTCAAGGGTTTGATCTAAGACCCTGCTGTTGACATGCTAAGGTGTCTGTGGGCAATATTCTTGACCCCAGCCAATCACTCTAACTAATCAATCTTTATGTACAGTATATAGCATGAGTTTGTAAAAGTGTTATCTCAAGACCCTTGGCAAAAAGAGCCCGTCCAGACCATACTGTGAATGATTTATGTGGGAAGACCCAACATCTTGAAAGATCAGACCCACTTCCATCTTCATCGACTTAAGTGTAACATTTGGCAAGTGACAGTGGAGAGGAAAAACTTCCTTTAGCAGAAACTTTGAGCAGATAGCATATCAGTCATAGCACTGGCATTGATGACGTCGAGGTAAGAAATGGGGTTTGGCACGCAGGTCCGTAGCAGTAAGATATTTGCAACAACGATCCAGAAAAACCTACAGGGTGAGGGAGCTCAGGGATTCTCAGAAAAGACTGGTCAGTGCAATATATTGATAACACAATCATTTCAAGGTATAAAGGTTACAAATAAGAGCTGACTTCACTGGCAGGTGGGCTCATTGTAGATGTTTGTAAGGAGTTAGGTTGAGTAAGTATTTCTAATATGTCGATTGCTACCCATAGGCTTCAAAACTCTGCTTTCCAAACAGAAGGCATCACTGTGTCTATGTCTATACTTTAATCTACTTAGAGTAATGTACGCAGTAACAATGAATTGTCTATCTCCACTTACAAAAACCTGCCTTGTTTGGTCTCATTCTTTGGGTTTCTGCTCTTTATTTCCCCTCAAAGTTCCCAGTTTCTCCCTTTAGCACATTGTAAACTGAGGTTCAGGACCATTAAATATCACACATATTCTTTCTTACATTACCTGAAGTTATTAGTTTAAAGATTAGTGCTGCAAACCCAAAGCAAATCATCTCTGAAGCTACTTGATTCCCAAATAAAAACACAACTTTTCTCTAACTCTGGGTTTAAACACTTTCCCTTCTCTCATGATTACCTCTTTTAAAAAGAATCTATTAAATCCTTTTTTTCCTCTTTCCCTTCCTTGTCTGTGTCCGCGAGTGTGTGGTTCAGACTCTGAGCAAACACTGTCTGTTTGTGTTTGATCTGTAACGGCTTCCTCTTTTCTTCTTCCCTCTGCAGCCATCAGAGGAAGCTGTGAGTTGATCCTGAACAAAAAAGAGAAGCTGAGTAAGAGCCGCATCATCTGGAAGTTCAGGTCTGTCTCTGAATGAAAATGTGACGTTAAATCCATCAGGCACCGCTGAACCAGTTTTACTTTAACAACGCTGATCATAATACCCTTGAGCTAAACCACGCTATTGTTTTGGATGAGTTACAAGGTATAAAGGTGTGCTAGTTTATGAATGAGCAAAGGCGGGGCTCCAAAACTGCAAACACAAACAGAGACATACATATGGACAATAGTGGCACAGTTTAACGTCCCTCCTCTCACCTGCTGTGCTTGTGTGTGTGTGTGACACTTGAAGCTCTCCGTGTCTATTTAGCTGTGTTTGTGTGTTTACAAAAATATAAAGGGAAGACTTCTGAGTGGATATACTATTAAAAATTGATGAAGATCCTGCATTCATGAGGAAAATTAAGAAGTCCAGAGAGTTTATGTTTACGTCCAGAAATATGTGTATGCTCAACAGTTTTCTTTAGAGGCCACACAGCACTGTTTGTCTCCAGGTGATGTTTTTCTACTGGCTGCAAGTGACGTCTACACTCCAGCCACAGCTCAGGTGCAATCTGTATGTGCAGTTCAGTGAGGGAGGCAGAAGAAATCTCAGATGCTTCATGTCGTCATGTTGCATCTTTGGATGTTCATTTCGAGGTCCATCAGTCCCAGAGTGTTTGTTTGTTTGCTTTGTGGTTGTGTTTCTGGATGTTGATCAGAGCTGAGCTTATATAAGGAGTTTTATATAACTTCACAGTAGTGTTAAAGCATGTGTGATGTTATACATGAGTTTGTTGATGTTGTTACTTCCGAACATTTTTTCTCTCAGGAGCTTTAAAATAGGCCCTTGGAAGAAAAACGCTTTAAAGCTGAATTCTCAGTCTGGGATGTCTGCCTCTGTGTTTATGTCTGTCTCTTCTCTCCTCTCCATAAAAAAACCTTGTATGAACTCAATGCCCTTAAAATTCAAGTCACCTGCTGTTTGATTAACAAATGCTGCCCCCTTGTGGTGTGCTAGCTCTGTCGTATCCCACAACAGGATGATGAGCTATTTCATAAACAGAAACATCCAAAAATGGCTGTTACCAAGCAACAGTCACACTGAGCAGACGTTATAAAACATCTTCAGCCTGAGAGGGGAGGTTTGTACAGACAGGAGTCAACGCTGCAGCTTCATTTACATGTATCAAAGTGAAAACCTCATCTGTCTCCAGCTCTCTGACACGATTCAGGTCAGTTCTGACATGTCGAGCATCATTCAGTTTGTCAAACCTGAAATCTCAGGTTGGGTGCTTCAGGCTTCCTTTCCTACAAAAGGTGTGACCTACTTTCTCATGCGGTTTGACCTACTATGTGGTTTGTATTTTTCTGTGGAATCACGTGACATTTTGTTGCATCACATTTCTAAATCTGCAACCAAATCACCCACTGAATAAAGAATTTGGCCTGTAAAAGTTTATTTTCCTCATTAAAACAAGTTTATTGATGGATTTTTTACCAAGATGCATCATATATTTTCTTCATGTTTTCACCGTTCAGACCTGATCAAGTTGTATTATAAGTATAGATATAATTTTTTTCAAAGCTGACGTTTCTCTAATGATTGCTAACCAGGGGAAAACATCAACACAAATCCCCTCTTTGCAATTATGAAATTAGAACATCAGCGAGAAACTCCTGGCCTGTGTTGGCGCCTCCTTGTGGTATATTTCACCTCTTTTCTGCTTTTATCTCCAGTGTGAAAGAAATGTAGTTAAACATAAATCTTATCCTGTCTCTTTACACAGTTGAATAAATCAGCTATGTTAACTGCTCTTTCTTTCCTCATCCACAACCTCCATATTAATCATTCCCATTCATAAACTTATTATAATCTTCAACTATATTTTTGTCTGCAACCCCCTAGCTGCTGTGTAGTTACTGCACTGACTGCTGTATATTTATTTTCACACTATTATCTGTTTATATTGTCTTCATAAACCAGTGGCTTTTCATCATCCCTCAGGGACAGAACAAGTTTTTTTAATTTTCTCAAATGTTATTATGTGCATCTATGACATCAGCTGATAGTTAAATATCATCCATCGGTCCATCTCATGTGAACATCTCTGTAGAGTTGATTTCATTTCATATAGTTCTTATACACTTTTTTTTTTGAGTCTATATGTACATCTTTACATGTTGATTTAAAAAACATATGCTTAAAGTTATAACTGGCTTCTTAAATAGACCTGTTTGATAATTCACAAACTCACACACAATAATACATATGCATAAGTAAATAAGAAAATGAGAGGCAAGTCTGAATGTGTTTTTCTTTATTTGCAATAAAAAATAGGTATAAGATCTCCCTTTACAAATATACCAGGGAAATGCAGCATGTTGTGAACCCCATCCCACGCCCCATGGAGAGCGACAGACTGCAGTGGAGTCACAAACATCTGGAAGGACAGAATTATACAGAGAAACAGTGCATCTGCATGCACATCAAGACTGCAATTACAACCAGAAATCTCCTGTGAAGACATTTGTGATTTCAACTGTTTTTCACTGAAATTATGAGACTGTTAAATATTTGATTTTTTTACTTTTATAAGTAGCAGAGATAGCTGAATTTAAGCACTTAAATGAGGCGTATCATTCATCCATCTTTTTGAGGTACACCATTAATTAATCAGACTCTGGCAGGTTTACGTTCAGTGTTTCTCATCAAAACGTGTTTAACCTGATTAAAAACTTTGCAAATACACATTTGGAATATTCTGAAACATTTATCATTTACATCAGTTAACATAACACAGAATAAGGGCTTCATTAAGACATCAAAGAAATTTCAGATTTTGAGGGAAAAAACGTAAATATTTACAGGAACAAATGAGTAATGTTACAATTACTTTTTTTTTTTAAGAGACGATGTCAATTTATTAAACAAAAAATCATAAATGTATGAGAATGTAAATTTATGAGTTTTATTTTGTAAATTTGTCTTAAATCACTTCAAAGTGAAATTAACTAATCTCACTTGTTGCTTGTAACATCATAACGGATTATTTTTGTCATTATACAACTTTTTTTTTGAGAAACTTTGGAGTTTGTGGTAAATTTATCTTAAAATCAAAGTGGTAGTATATTTTGTGGGGGCCTTCATGCTTTGGGTAGGAAATTTTTGTCACAATGCTGGTATAACGGTGTGGTTAACATGTTTTCTCAAAAATCTAGAAATTTATAAAAACAGAACAAAGTTTAAAAAACAGGGAACATGGTAACAATCAAACTTGTTGCTCTGGGGCCGCCAATTGGGCTATAGTGCCCCCCAGTGGTCAAAAAAATCTATTAAACCTTTAATCAGAGGTTTATACAAAATTGCATTTTTTATCCAAGATTTTAGACAATTAGCTGCATAAAAAATGGTCTCGACTTTTTCAGCTGATCAGCAATTGGTGATATTTTGCACAACTAGACTCACGATTAGGCTGTCAAAAGGCTTGAAGGAAACAATGAAAGTTCACTTGACTACATACGCATTATAAATGTAATTGAAAAATTTGCACAAGGAAAGGTAAAATCTGTGAGGCGTCCAAGAATAGACCAAATGTGTGTTGAGAAACACTGACTATAAACACCGTAGAGCACATAAGCCCAGCTTTAAGCACTGTAATTGCCCTGCACTGTGCATGTAAATGTACTGTAGAGAAAGAGAGATGGATAGAAGGTGAAACGCTTCTTAAATAAAACATTACAAAGGCCTCCGAGTTACATTGATATACATATAAAATCACCCAAATTAAGATTTCACCGTACACTTACATTTAAGGGCATAGCAGAGAGAAAAAACAGAAAAAAAAATACACAATCAACCCCTAAAACTAAGTCTTTATCTGAAGTCCCAGAGATATGCTACAATAGGACAAAGTTCCAGATCCAGTGAATCTGGAAGGATGCATTAGTATCTGCAATTTCCTAACTGCGACTAGAGCTTGCGTGATAGCCCGTCTTCTGTCTGAATCTCACGCACTTCATCCTTTTGAAACCAGAAGAGAGATGAAGTCGTGGAGTTTATCATACACATCATAGTCCGTTTTCTAGGAGACAGTCTGAGGTACGAGCCCACCACGGTGTGAGGCAGTGGATTTGGAGCTCCACGTTTGTGCACATGGATTTCGGCTCAACCAGGAAGATTTTCGAGTGAAGCAGCTGCAGCACGTTAGCATACAGAAATCTGACCTCATGTGCAACTTGCTCAACAGAAACTGTAAATGTTTGAGAAAAAGAAAAACGTCCTCTTAATGCAACCAGACTGGTACATTCACTTTATGTGTTTGCCGTCATGCCAAGTGTCTTTATTTTTGCTTCATATTTCAGCTTTGTGAGTTTCTGATTGGACTGGACCTGTTCATACTGTCAGTGATGGGGTTTGGGACACCACTCGGCTCTGTGGTAGGCCACCTTCTGTTTCAGCTTATGAGAATACTGGTTTATTTAAAAAAAAATTTACTCCTCTTGAACCTCGTTGCTCGAGCACACCGGCTTTTGTTCCTTCATACAAAAGAGTCGGGTGGATTTTCTGTGAAGTGACATCTTGGTCAGACCAAACAGGACATGAGAGGGGAAGGCGTTCACTGGTTCAGATGTTACTTGATTCATCCAGGAGGAGAAAGCAGGCAGGCAGGCAGGCAGGGTGTTGGATTTACAGGGACCTGGCCCACCTGCTGCTCTGAACACAAGTGACTCTTTCCTCAAAATCATGTGGGTCTGAGAAGATCGATTTTAGTGAATGGATGAGTTAACCCGAGTAGAAAAGTGAGAACTGATCAGTCAAATTAAACAAAATGAATGGAGCTGATGATGATGAGAGCAAATGGATGAACCGCTGAAAAGAGCTCGAGCCGATCACCGCGGCCTCTTGCGCGTGACGAAGATGAGCACCCTGCGGATAGCCATGAGGCGGTCTTTCAGGGAGGTCATGGCGAGGATAGTGAGCTGGGCTCTGTTCTCCAGAGGAAGGACAGCAAGGAGCCACCAGCACCAGGCTGGACCGCTGGGACTTGCCTGCAGGAGAGAAAAGATACACCCAGTTAATCTCCTTGTATTGACAAAATTCACCCAACACGCGGCTCTAGGAGGCGTTCATGTCCCTCAGAGATCCTCTGTCTGATATCAGCGGCTTTAGAGGATTAATGACCACATGTTTCTTTCAAACACTCAGCTCTTTTATGTGTTTTTAATGCTTCCTTCTGGCAGAGTGCAAATTTGGCTGCATGATATGGTTTTTTAAATCATTTGCTGAATATGTCCTTTTGCTACGAATATGGAGGTTGGAAATTTCTGCCTGACAGCAATGCTTTGCTATAAAAGACCGGACAAGTAGACCCCTTAAAGCATTTTTCACAAATATAAAAACAAAAGAAAATCTCTTCAATTCATACGTAACCATGCCAATGTGGAAGTGCAACCAAGCAGGTTATCTATTCTGTGAAGCCGCTGTTTATATGTCAAGTATAGTTGTGTTATTACAAAGGTTATTTCTTACTTTGAATAAATAATTCACCAAACCCCTGTCATGGACAACTACACCAGTTAAAACTGCAGGATGAATAACACTGTGTGACTAAATGTGTGCTTTTACATTTGCTGCCTGTTAACTTTGTATCATGTAAAGCATTTGTCTTGGAAGAACTTTGGTCTAGTTCTTTCTTTGTGAAAGAAAAAGCGATTCCACAGATAAATAAGAAATCTTATTTGTAACTCATGTCTGCTTACCTGCGGGTCGGCGTCTTTGTTAGGGAGGTGTCCGAAATGGCTGAGGATCTGGCTCTTCATGTTGTCTTTCAGAGACGTGAACCAGCTGTTGGCCTGCTCGTACACGGCATCATGAAGCTTCAGAAGCTCCACCAGCTCTTCCCCTTCCATCTGATTAAACACACACAGATTTGAATTTTTACTTTATGGGTATTTTTTCATCATGAAGTCATATATTTTGGTATATCCAAGTGTCTATTAGAAAAAAGAGAAGAAACAGCACATTTCTGGAAATCTAAATTTCCCAGGGCCATAGAAAAGGGAACTCTGACTTTTGCTTTCCAGCTGTCACACGTTTTGCTGCAGGTTATAATTAGATCTGTTTCGACAGTTTGTGATATTTCTTTGATGGCAGCGTGGTGGGAAGTGTCTGCAATGTCAAGCTCTAATTAAAAGTACCCACAGCTATCCACATGTGCTTTTCTCTGTACCCACCTTTTTGTCCTCCAGGTACTCAATCTTGGCGATGTTGTAGCCATCTCGCTGGCCATGGCTGAGGACCTTGAACCGCGACACGCCAATGGTGTCGACGACTGAACGACCATCAGGAAAGAACTTCACATCCCGCACCTGGAACACAAGTTATCATGCATTAAAACTCGTCTGGGTTTCTGTATTTTTTACAAGCATGTGTTTGAGGGTGAGATTGTTCTCAGTAAATGTGATCGTCAGATTCTGATCTAGCGCTCATGACACCTACACACACAAATACACACTCACCTGCAGCATGCAGCCGTGGTCAGCAAAGCCTTTGATCTCATCAGCTATACACATGCCAAACTGCTTGGTCCCTGTCTCCATGGAACGGCGGATCATGAGGCGGTAGCGGGGCTCGAACACGTGCAGTGGGCAGGGGATGGTGGGGAAGGCCATGGTGCACACAAAGATGGGCACTTCTTGGTTCAGACTACAAGTAAAAAATGGAGAAATGTGTTAAAACTTTTGTGCCTGTGGAAGTTTAAGAGGGGGGGAGAAGTTTGACCGCTTCACAAGATAATTTGCACCTGCTCTCTGAACTAGCAAATTCAGTCTGTAGTGGTTATTTGGGGTGAGAGCTCAAGGAGACGATGATAACTGTAATTTCATAAGAGTGATTGGATGAATTCAATGTAAAACTCACTTGGACAGCTCTTTCATCTCCTCCTCATGGATTTTCTTCCTCTCTGTTAGCTCGTCTCCTAGGTAACGCTGCAGCACTTCCTCCATGAGCACTGTCTTGTTGTAGCCCCTGGTGGCCAGATACTGCAATGACAATGAACAAACAGACAGGTGAGATAAAATTTTAATTTTTTAATAATTTTCTGATGTTTCTTGATGCTTTTCTTCTCCCTGAATATACTGTTAACATATTACTTCCATCTGAAAGCCTTTTACATCAAGATCTTAATTCACCAATGAACCACTGGCCTCATTGGCACACTTTCAGAATAGGTTGATTTATTTAGTAAAGACTCATCAACCGGCAAAATCTGTAATTTCAGTTTCATCCATAAGAATGACATCCCTGGCTCCATGCTTTAAGGGTCAATGAGTCTTATTATTTACAACTGACCAAATGAATGTAAAAAGCTACTTATTGCATTTGCAAAAACAGAAGTAATGATCTTGTAAATTTAGAGACGTCGCATGTTTGACTACATGAAATGCATGTGTACCTCTGACAGATTTTCTTTGCACAGAGGGCAATTGGGGTTGTGGTCCAGGCAGCGCTCCAGACATTTGAGACAGAAGGTGTGTCCACAGGGGGTGGCCACAGGCTCATAGAACAACCTGCAGGGGAAAAATAACAGAGAACATGTATATGTTTAATAACTGCAGCTAATACCCTCTGCTTTTGACCTTTGCTTATATCATAGCAAGCTACATTTCAAGGCTGTGTGGTATCCGACTTAAAAAAGCAATATTGGCTCATATACTTGGCAACTGTGGATGTCACAAAAAAATGCGTGACTGTGTGTTTTTTGTGTGTGTGTTGGACTGAGCTACTCACCTCATGCAGAGTGAACACTCCATGTCTCCACTGTCTAGCAGCTCGGCGGGAACTGTCCGCCCTCCACAAACTGCTGGGGTCTTAGAGCTGCTTACCTCATCTGCACGAAACGTCACAACATCAGGACACATTGCTCTGCATGTGCGCTCACTTTATATTTGATCATTTATTCAGGAGAGATGGCACGCTGCGGTTTTCAAGCTGAGCATCTCATGACCCCGCTTATTTTCCTCCCATGGCTCATAACATGCTCACAGCAAAACGTTTTCAGTTAGTTCTCATGGCAATGGATTAGCGCCTCTTTTTTCTCTCTTTAAGTTTGTCAGAGTTGTTATTAACAGTACTATGTTTTTAGCTTGTCAATCTTTCATCTTGGACGTAAAAGAAAAAGCTATTGAGGAACATTTTGCATCATTGCACCACTGTGTGAGCAACAAATAAAAGAGAACTTGCATCCAATAAGAAGTCATTATTTAGGATTTGTCCAAAACAACAACAAAACAAAAGGGTTTCAAAATGATGAAGTAAAATGTACCTGATCTGAGCAGTTTAGAGGGAGTGTTGAATATCGCTGAGGGACCGTCTCCGCTGTGTTTCCTCTTCAGGCCACCAGGGGGAGCCGGCAGCGTGGCCAGAACTCCAGCCAGGCTCTTGGTGCTTTCCTCCACTGCAGCAGCATCTGATTTAGCGGGAGGCGCAGCAGACAATCGGGAGGAAGAGTCGTCTGCTGGAGCACTTTTAGTCACACTGAACTCTGAATCCTGGAGACAGAATAATGACACGGATTTGTGAGTCTTCAAATATGAAAATATGATCTTTCTCTTTGATTTAGATGTCTCTCTTCCACAGAAAAGTTTGGATCCCCGATGGAAAAAAAACTTAAAAAGCATTTTAATGATTCTAAACTGACACGTCCTCAGACTGATTTATCTGGAAAATTAAAAATTATTGGATGGAGGTCATGTTTGGTCTGTTACCTGTGAGGACGAGGAAGAGGAAGAGCAGGGTCTCTGTGTAAGCGGTCTCAGGGATCTTAGCAAGGCAGGAGGTTTGATGAGGCGGGTGGTCAGCCCCCCCTGGAGTGGGTGCAGAGGGGTGGGCATGTCCTCATTCTCAAACACTGAGGAGAAAAGCTCGCTGAGCACCTGCAGGAGGGAGAACAGAATACTTAGAAATGTTCAACATAATAACAAAAAAGAGGAGATTATTTCAACTCTGTAAAGAAGCTTATGAATGTCTTGAAACTTAAACAATATTGGGATACTTGGATCTATTTTCAATCAAAGTGATAAAAAAAGCCAACAAAAGTGCTTCCTTACCTTCTGAGCCTCCAGCTTGACTTTGGTCCAGTCAGGCTTTAAAGCCACACACATGAAATATTCCTGCAAGGCCTCATCGTTCCGTCCCGCTTTACTCAGAGCCATTGCTTTCAGACAGTGAGCCTAAAAGACACAAAGATAAATCAATCCAAGCTCTACATGTCTTACTATACAGAGTTCCTATTTAATAAAACACGCCTGTCCATTGTTCAAAATGATGCCTCACCTTTGTCCAGAGAGGTTTTATCCGACAGAGCTTGCCCGCGTCCTGCACTGCCTGACTGAAGTTCCTCATCTCAATGTGCAATTCCGCTCGCTGGCACAGCAGTCGACCAGAAGAGGGCACTGTTCACCATAGAAAGAAAACACATACACGCACATCATCAGGTCAGTGAATGAACCTCCAGGGGATGGACGAGCTTTTTCTAGGTCCAACAGAAGTAGGGCAACAATGCGACATGAGACCTATTTTGTGTATCAGAATGCTATGTAACTTATGTGGTGGTAACGACTGTGATGTCGGTCAGGTCAGAGGACAATTACCAGACGGTCTCCGTTACACAAGCAGTGACTGCATGGCCACAAACAGGGTCAAAGCCACATTAACGACCCAAACGCCTCTCTGATTGTTACATAAGCACCTTATATACCTAATTTGGATTTTTGGCATGGCTTTGTATCTGCCTTACTTTTCTTTCCTATTTTAAGAAACTCAAGTTCCAGTCTGATGAGAGAGTTTTATGAAAGAGGAACATTTGGGACATGGAAGTACTAGAGAGCTAAATTTGGCTCAATTTAGCTCTTCCTCTTTTCAGTCTCCCTTCATTTTGATACTGAATACTCTGGTTTCATCTTGGTGAATTTACTTCATGTGTCACACTAAGAATTACATTCAGAACCCAACTGAAAGGTGACTTAGTAATCTTAGATTCTGAGTTTTTGGTACTAAGATTAGATTTTGATACTAAACTAAAACTGACATATATCGCAAAGAACCCTGAGTCTCTCCTTTACAAGAAATGACCCGTCACTCTTCTTGTAAGAATTTTTTGCTCTTTGACTTTACTCCTCCAGAAACTCTGGATGCCGTTTAAATTAAAAGGTTCTTATGCTGCAGTTAAAATTAAAAGGTAGTAATTAAGGCTGATTGTTTTGCTCTTACACACATCACCTGTAATTAACAAACATTTTGATTATCTCTTTTATGTTTACATACAGCTGGAATGTTTCGCCTCATTGTTGTGGTGAATTAATGCCTCACCCTCATTTCTGCGCATTATTAGCAGGAGTTTCCAACACTGGCATTACAGATGAAGAATTTCTGAAGCCTTTGTTGGCAAATGAAGATATTGTGTGGAGCATTGTGCATCCTTATTAGACAATACTTGACACGTGTGAACACCCATGAATGTTTGTTCTTTGAGTTATTAGCAGAGCTCCTAGGTTGGCCTTCAAAGTGGATCCCTTTTTCAACATGGCGATGTTAGAATTTGAGGCTCTGCTATTAATATCTTCACAAAGTGGTAATGCATCTAAATCTATCATGAAGTATAACTTACGTAACAAAGTTCCAAAATATCATACAAAAAAGTGGATTTTGCAACATTTGGAAAGGCATCACTACAAAGTCCCTGCTGCTTATTTTCCCCCTAAAATGTTATGTGCTTTTGAATTTGGCACCTCATGTCTGGAACTTTGGATTTTGAAACCCTCTGGAAAGTTCTTAGAGGACTAATTTTCCAAAAGCTACACCACTCATCTTTCCTGAAAACCGTACAGAAGGTGGAGGGGTCGACTGAGCTGAGTCAGCTGAGCCTCCAGCGGTTACAGCAACAGACAATATTTATTTTGTCACGTCGAAGTCGGGATAGAATCAAACTGGTCAGCAGTTTTTTAAGTAAAAAGTGACTCATTATTCCTTCACCTCTATCACTAATGTCTACCTCCCCCTCTCCTTTTTTGACTGAGAAACTTTTACAGTTTACTCAGAGCCACAGTCACCGCTCAGACATGATCAAAGTCTCTGGCTTTCCTTAACCAGCAGGGACTTTTGCCTCACACTAAGAATCCCTCAGGTATCACGCTTTTGGGAACGGGATGGGCTGCAGTTAAGAGTGAACTTTGAGCACTGAAATGAAAACAGTTCAGCCTAGACTCCGAGTGGTTTTAGTGTCAAATACAAAGAACTCCGCGGGCTTGTATTAATGAGGATTGGACAGGCAACCCAAAACCACAGTTTTGGCTGCGGCTAAGTGGTTAAGCACAATAAAACCATGTTCATAACGGGTTTCAAATGTCACTCCAGATGTGGGTATTATAATAGTATTCAAAGTATACCAAACGTGGACAAGAGTAAGGATATCCTGACTCTGATCTTAACTAACTAAGACTAATCTGGACATTTTTAACTGATCAGAAATCAGCAATCAATTATGCCAGTTGTCATCTTAACATTAGCAACTCTGTAGTTTAAAAGTTGGTAGGATGGAAATATTCCAAATTTGGAAGTGGAAACAGCAACTACTTGAAAATTTGCAATATATGCATTACGAGTTTTAGGAAGTCGCAGTAGAGGCGCTTTCAGTGACATGACGTTAAGTTTGATTCAGCATATAAAACTTTAACAACCAATAAGGCAAATTCAGAAACAAACTCTGGACTGATCTATTTCCTGGAGAGGGCGAAAAAGGCGAAAAGGTGTTGGATAACATTCGGCTTTCTTCATTGTACAAATTGCAGGTTTTATTTTCATTCTGCCTCCTCAACATTTCATTTCTGACACCAACTTGCCATTAATTTTGTGATTGGTTTTTAAATTTGACCACACAGTAAAACCAGTTTGAGTAGATTTGGGATTTCATGTGTGAGTTTGACAACAATCTTAGCTGTACTTAGTCAACTGGACTAACCTGAAGACATCTTTAAGTTGATTCAGTAATTTAAGTTCTATTATCTAACAAAAGATGGTGTGATGCTCTGTTATCCGTGCAGGTAACAGATATTAAATTCTTTTAAAAAATCAACCAAAATTAAACTGAAATTGCTAAAGAGATAAATAATTCTTATATATTGGCAGGAATACTGGATGTTATCTAATCTATAAAAATGTAGGTGCATGTAAAGCAGACTAGTCCGAATCACTTAAAAACAGTTCTCTTCAACACAGGCAAATTACCTTCATCAAGGTGATTCTGTGACTGTAACAGTAAAAAACAACCGGGGGGCACAAAGCTCAGAGTCGGACCGAATGCTAAACAGACTCCTCTCATAATGAACATGATCTGTTTTCTGAGTCACTAGTTAGACATTACATGGGCAACAGCACAGAGCTGGCAGCTATTGTTCACCACTGTCCCTGGAGTCTCTTTACAGTATGCTGGGATCACTGGTTTGTTAAACTGAAAACATCTCTGACTCTCTGAAACAGGAACAAACATGGCAGCAGCTCGTAAATCACTGAAACCGACTCAGCTGCAGTTCCTCAAGACGGATGTGCTTTAACGGAGAAGGCCGATCTCCTCAAAGATCCAGAAAGAGAGAACTCACTCGCACAAATCGAGGTGTTAGTCAAATCCATTTTTTATGCCTTTGCTCTTTGGTTTCTACCTCCAGTGTATTCGCATTGTTTCTTCTAGGGCTGGGATGATATGCTTTTCTCCCGATTAGATTTTTCGACGATTTTTTGGATGCAGATTCGATTTAAATTGCGATCCTACGATTTTGTCGATTTTCTCAATTTTTAGTCTGAATTTCTAACACCAATGAAACAGTTGAATGATTATGATTGTCTATTGACTATTCCAGGAACGTTCCCTAAAAAATAAACATCATGTGTGAGTCAGTTCTTATGATTTATTCTTACATTTCGAAAAAAAAAAAAAAAAAATTGAACTAAATAATTGATTTAAAAATTGTAAAAAAAATAAATAAATTGTGATACTTGTGTGAATTGATTTTTTCTCCCACCCGTAGTTTCTACCTTGTTTTCCTGTACTTTATTTACATTTTCAATCAACAGAATGAGTGGATTTTTTTTTAGTGTATTATGAGTTGATGGATTATTTTTTATAACTTGTTAAAGTAAATCTCCTTTCTAATATTTGCTACATACATGGACTTACATATTTGTACTAATAATCTTGTTTTATTCAGTTAATCAAAAATTTTACTCTGTTAACACTTACTTTGAAAACAGTCAATCTTTTAATTCTTTTTAAAATTGATGAAAGTTAAGTTAAGCACTGATGTAAAAATCTGCTCAAGTATTACCTTTAAAGAATAAATTGTTCTGAGAACATGCTAATAACACAAACTTTGTTATTCAATTCTTCATGGGTGAACTCTCTCGCTTTATTCTTTTGATGGATTTTGAGAAATACTGATGACATTTCTTCTTGAATCCATACAAAAAAAATACCAAAAATCGCCCCCAAATTTAAGATCTTCTCTAAAATGTTCACTCTCTGCTTTGTTTCTTTTACTGATTTTAGTAAAGTACTAAAAATCGTTTTGCTTCAGTGTGTGATTGACACAAGTTGGTTACGGTAGGGGTCACCTTGCATAAACATAGATATCTCTCCATAAATTCCTGAACACAACACACAGTTGGAACATTTCCATGTCTATTTGAAAAACATTCACAGCTGAGAGGAAAAGATTTGCCTAACAGCACAGGTTGGGTAACAGCTGTAGTTCTGCTGACATCATGAGCCCATTACGCTCATCCTGCAGCACAGATACCAGAAGGCCTCCTTCTGGGTTTGTTGGGAAAACACTGGAAAAAACTGTGAAAGCACTCTGGCCCCGAGTCACCCAGAGTCCTTCACAGGACAGAAGGCATGAATCAATATTGATCTGGGGAGGGAAATATTTGTAAAGTTACCACACGAATGTTCTGAAAATGACTGAAAATTTGCGTCAACCCCTCGTTGAATCTTTTACAATCAGCTGATGAATTTTTTTTTAAAACCGGCATGTCTTTGAACAGATGATAACAACAGCTGTGCCAGCACCTTCCTTCACCCCTTAAGCCACTTCATGACCACAGACAGGAAACAGATTTATTAATGTGTGTCTGTTATATAGGCCAATGAAACAAGGCCTGCTCAACCGTCAACCGGCCTGGGTACGTGGTTAATAAAACACTGGTACTATTTATGTAAGAGGACAGGACATTCTGCATTTTAGCGCAGCAGGTTCCCAAAAGACGGCAATCTCCAAGATGATGAGTCACGGGTAAATTATAGGGCTTATAGTGCTGAATTAACCAATCATTTAACTGACCAAGTCCATAGTGACAATTAAATGTGTCTCTCTTTGTACCCCAAATTTCCAAGTGTTATCCAACACCTCACAAACTGACTGCTTATGAAACACCATCAGTGAGGGGAGGGGTTAGTTGGGGCTGAAGTCCAACAAAGTGTGTCACTGCTGAGGAATGTATTCGTGTAGCATCTAAACATGTTGGATGTGTAGATAATTTATATAAGAGATGTATAGAATAACCTGATTTAAAATGGGTTACATCTCTCAATCAGGGATGCACTTGCAGGACAGTGCATCCCTGCCTGGACCCACATAACAAACTGAAAATGTGTCATTGGGGGGCAGATGATCAGTATGTGTGCTGCTTAGGTAATGATGAGGTTTGGTATGTCACATAACGCCTGACCTCAGTCAATCTAGATACAGTAGCTCAGAGATGCGCCCCCTGTCGGTGACACCAAGAAGCAGAAGACTAATAGAAAGTAGGTCACCTATACAAACGCTGCAGTTTGAATGCGAAACGTGACACGTTTCGGTGGCAGAATTGTCAAATAAAACATGTATAAAGGTGTAAAAGAGGGTCTTACCTAAATCTACGGCGGCATTGTACTTCTCCAAGGCATCCGAAAGGTTCTGTTTCTTCAATAAAAGCTCCCCTTCGATCCAGAGTTTCCTAGCTTTGCTCTCAGTTGCAAATAGTTTATCCAGCAGACCGCTGAGAACAACATTCAACCTTCGTCCTTTTGGTAGTCCATCATTTCTCAACTTTTGCTTACATTGTCCACACTCTTTGACAGAGTCGTCCTCCAGGCAGCGTTTGCAGAAAGTGTGTCCGCACTCCACGGTGGAGGGTTCGTGGAGGAGACATTTGCAGATGCGACATGAAAACAAATCCAACGCTTCATCCTCCCCGTTGTCCCCATCACTTTCAACCCCATCATCCCCACTACTGCTGCTGTGTTTCACCTGTCCGTTTAACGTCCCGATGCCCAGCTCTTTCTCACGCAGAGTTCGAGCGATAGTTTCTACCAGGAGAGGCAGCTCCTCCGGGCGCAGTTTGCCCAGACCAGCCGCTGTGCAATAAGAGTCCAGCGCCTCAGATATCCTCCCCGCACGGGCTAAAGAGTCCGCTTTCCTCAGACACAAGCCTCTGTCCGGTTGCTGGAGGTCCGCTAGCTGAGAACTGTAGATTTCAGCGGCCAGGCTGTAGTCACCGGCCCGGTTCGCTTCCTCCGCCACCTCCAGCATCTCCGGGCAGATCCCCGCAGCTCCAGGGTGGGAGAGCGGGTGGGTGAAGTGCTCACTCAGGTGAGCTCTCATACCTGTCTCCATCTTCTTGTCGCAAAGAGATTAACAGATACGTTGATGACTGAAAGATTCACTGACAGTCTTGCAAAAAGCAGACTTGACTCCCAGATACGTTACGAAATCATTCAGGATGACTATCAATACCATGTATCACACCGACCCTCCGGTCGAGCCTGATTTCAGTGAAGGCCATTAGAACTAGGTTAGGACTCATTAGGAGTCCAATAAAATAGGCCGTCTATGTAACATTGTAAATCTGAGCCAACGCTTCACAAACACTCAACTGTGGCCTCTCTGCTGATAAAAACAACAAGCGACGTGCTTCCTCCTGCTCCTTCCAAACAAACCACCGACTCTCGGAGGTAGAAGGTCGGTGTTGTTTCCGCCCTCTTTACAGCGAGTAGGCGGTCTGAAAACAACTCAATGCTACAGCTGGAAACTTTCCAGGTAACGTCACTTTTTATGGAGAACACGGATAATATTATTCTATTGTTATTCTAAATGAGTGACGAGCCGGTGGGTAAAGTCCTCCGCGTCCAGTGAGTAAGAAGCTTAATTCACGTTTGGCCTGTCGCCGCTAACTCTTCGCTGAGATAAGAGAGATAAACTACAAAAAATGATCAAATTCCGAGTTTGCGGTAATGTAGAGAAGGAGAAAGTCGAAGACGAAAGAAAATATCCGTGCTTCAGATCTGGGAGTCAGTGTCTACTCCAGTGAACCGCAGCTGATCGGCTGTTGTTTTTATGTAAGAGACCCTGGGAGCACCAAAGCCGAAAGCTAGCTAACGTTACACTCAGCTAACACGCTAATACCGACTGCCCTGTTTCGAACTCCAAAAGCGAACTTTTCCCAACCTAACGTCCCAAAACTTGTAAATTTCAACGAATCCATGTGTCATGTCTTCCTCTCAAAAAGTGTAAAAGAAACCCGCAGAAAATGAAGCAGTCGCTGGGGCAGTTCATCTTGGTCGCTAGCCAGCTAGCTCCTCTGGCTAAAGGTTGTTGCTTCTTCGGATTTCACGTATCACTCACTGAAGCGAACGCAGAGCATCACGTGACGCACGAGAAGGGCTCTTATTGGTCGGCAATGTGGCTCACTTATATAACGCAATTATATTGTATAACCTCTCAGACTCAGACAGAGGTATATGCATGTCTGCGAGTTCCACCAAAACAAGCCCTAATTTCAAAACTTTAACCTGCTTTAATGCTGTAAAATGTCATAAAGAGACCTTCAACTGGTAATAGTGAAATAGTGCTTTAGTTTGACCTGAACCATGTAATTGTCCCAGGTTAACCCTTACTTCCGGCAGTGGGATTGATTCATTGTTTATGTAATGCTTTATATAAGCAGTGTTACACATCTTATTTGGAGTTGTTAAATACTCATTCATGACATATATAGGGTCAGATTTATAATCTTGAGCCAAAAATACTTCTGAAGAAGAAGTCTCCAGCCATCTGGATTAGACCCAATCTCAAATTTAGTGGTGTTATTCAGCTGTGACCCAATTCAGGGACCGAGATTCTCCACATGACCCGGCCCACAAAGTTGGATCCCTTCAGAGGAGCTGGAGGCTGAGCTGATCCTACCCCCAGGAGCAGACTTTCCACTGACAGACCAAATGGGGCCTCATACAGGCTCAGACAACATACTTAAATGTTATGTAGCTTACAGAAACATGTGTGCTCTAATAAAATACTAAAGTGACCTGGTTTAATGAAGAGATACACCCAGTCTGCTTCATCTCCCTTTTAGATTCCACAAAACTGTACAGATTTAACTATTCCAGTGCATTTTAAGGTGCAATTAGGTCAACTTTTGGTTATATAATTTAAAAAAAAATCAGAATAGAAATTTTATTTTCGGGTCAAATGTAGAGTATTCATATCTAAGTTTGTGGAGGCCCCAATTGACACAAATCCAAACATTTTTTCTTATTTTACATTTTCATGTATTACTTTCAGTTACAAAACCAACACAGAAATGACAATAACTTATAACACAATAATAAAAAAAAAAGAAAAATTCAACATTTAGATTTTTTTCCCCATTTTTTTTATTTTGTTCTCTCTACAGAACAAAAGTGTAAGAAAATCATACTGTAATATTTTATGTAAAAGATATATTATGACAAAAAAATGACGTTATAGCATAGTCAAAATATTTTGACTATGGCATGATATGTTGTGAACAGAACTATCAAAGTCAGCAGGCTATTGTTTTTTTCCCCCCTTTTTTTTCCAGATCACCAAAAAAAATTTTTGTTGATGCAGGAAAATCAGTTTTGTAACCTCAAAATAAATAATATGAGATCTATGAGGTAGAGAAAGCAAACAGAAATCAGTTATCAGTGTGAAACAGAGCAAATGACATGTATGGACACTCAGGTCTCCTGCATATATTTCATATGAAATTATATCGGGTGCCGTAATTGCTAATTGGCTATGAAGCCAAAAGATTTACAGCTCCCCCTGCTGACTGGCTCCAGCATAGATCCTAAACCCCACCTCCCTCATGTAAACAGATAAAACAGAAGTTACTTATTAAACTGTTAAACTAAAATACACATCAAATGCATTTTTTCTCAAGTGAGTGGGTATTATGCTGCTCAAGGTTCAAGTGCTCATTTATCTTTAAGGTTTATTTTTAGTTAGTTGTTCAATTTTAAAAAGATGGGATGTGACATCATGTTTGACAGCTCTGTTGACAAAAGTTGAGGAGGAATGACTTGAAATAAAACACACAACACAAGTGTCACAGAACTTTCCAGTACCATAAGTAACTGCTTCACACCAACACAAGAATCAGTTTTGTTGTAGACTTTACCAATCTATAGGATCCTCAATGTTTTAGCAGTAACTTAAATTAGTAATTTGGTTCAAGTTGCTCATGTAATGTCAGTCCCAGAGTCTCAAAGTGTACTGCAGTTATCACAAGTTATATCAGGGGTCAAACATAACAGGAAGGCCTAAATCTAAAGTCAAATCTAAATGAACCTCATGAGAAAGATTTCATTTGCAACCCATTTCTTAAAATGAAGATTCAAGAAAGTAAGATCTTTTAGTGGAATCTTAAGGCAGAAAAGTAAAATAACTTGGATTTCTTTGATCATTTTTTCTCAAGAAACACAAAGTCTACCTGTAGTAAAAGCTGTGACTAAAAGGTTACCCAAGGATCATCCTGCCTGAGTTCCTCAATCAAAGCTGAGAGTTTTCTAGAGAAAACCTTTGACCTCCAGCCTATACAGACCTTCAAGTTAAACAGTTAAATAAGATTAGATGGAGTAAAAACTCTTTTCAGGTCAGCATCTGGCTTCTATAACAGTCTGTCAGCTCTGTTGTTTAACACACCCATTTGGGCAACAATCAGTGCCTTATTAACGGTGAGCGCTACGACTCTCTTTGTTTTTTCACACTTAGATACAGGACTTTGACTTCCTCAGTTCTGTGTTATGAAACGTTATGAAACAGGTAAAACTGACACACATTCATAGCTGTTGTCATGATATTATATCGAGTTCAAATTAGGTACTAAACTCATTCGCAGAACTGAAATGGGCACACATAAACAATGATTGAAGATGCTTAAGAAAGATTAATGTCAAAAGAAATATAAAGTTAAAATTATACAACATTTTTCCGCTTGAGTATCTCTTTAGTCCCTTGTTATGTATGCAACAGTAAGGACTGAGTCATCCAGAAGTTCAGCTGACATACTTAATGCTAATTTGACAATATACCCTTGTTCAAAACAACATTTAGGGTAATACTGCAAAGAGTCTTTCAACTCTATTCAACCATTTATAAAACTACATATTGTATCAGAACAAGCCTACTTTACAGCTGCTGTAAGGAACTCTACATTAATGTTGATATTGGCAAGCCCTGGAAAAAAGTAGTTTTAACTTACTTTCTCCTGCTTTTTTTATTAACAAGTTTATTACTCATCAAAATCTTTGCCATGGATCAGATTTTGTGAGAGGTGTTTCTCAGCACACCAATATCCCCTATCGAATAACACTTTGCATTGTCAGAGGTGTTCAGAATGTTTGCTGATCCTTTATTACACAATGCATTATTAAGACTTCAAGAAAAGCTTCCCTAGATGGAGAGCGATGTCTCCTTTAAAGTAATACTCCCACACTTGACGCACTCACATTAGTTGCTCATCTGCAGAAACATCAACACTGATGCCAGGTTGTTTCAGAGCCCACTAAATTCTCCTCACAGGACCTTTAACAAAATATTCTGAAGCCAATCAATGGTTGAATATCAGAATTCTGATTGCACAATTAAAGAAGATATTTTGAGACCAGTCATTGTACAATATATATCAGGACAAAACTATCAAAGAGAGACAGTTTTTCACAGGATCTTACAGCAAAATGTCATTTGAATGATGGATGTTGTATGCTTTTTTAACTGTTTGTTATGAAACTGGTGATAAACTTCTTTTGAAAACATACACAAGGAACAGTGGTGCTCTTTTTTTGGACCCAAGTTAATTTTTGTCTAAGGGCCCCAAGGAGGTTAGTCACAATGCACCCAGTCTGGTTAGGCAAGCCCAACCTTAAAGACTGTCCGAGGTGTAAAGAGATAAAGATTTGCTTCAAAAAAACTACTAAAAATAAATGTGTACCCCTTCTCATTGCCTTCACCACCATACGAAGCAAATGAACATGTTACGAGTCATTTTAAACACTCCACAGTCAAAAATCTATGCAGAATACCATTCCTGTTACTTTGGATTCTCCATGAACACCACAGTTTGCACTGAAGCTCTTTTTTAGGAAATTTAAGTGATAATAACTCCGTCCATTAAGAAGCATATGCTGCAACTTGAGCCAAATCTCACTCTTAAGAAGTGTATTTGAAGAAGGACAGCTGTTTGAAGTGTAAAAAAATGAATTAAAGGATTAATTCATCTACTAAAAAATCATATAAAGGGTTTCATAACTGTTCATAATATGTAATCACAGCCAGATAAACCTTAAAGTTTAATCAGGACATTTTATTAGCGTAAAGCATCTGCAGCAGAACACTTTAAACATTGAGGTTTTCATATTTGGTCAGTTGTATAAGCATGACACACTCCTTCTTAGAGTGCTATAACACCAGTGCTGCTCCCTCTATTCAGCACGCCCTGCAGGAAATGCGTGTGCGTGCGTGCGTGTGTGTGTTTGTTTGTGTGTTGTAACAAAAAGGAGAGGCAGCTCAAACAAGATGAGTATCTTGATAAAGTATCATAGAGAAATATAACCTGTGCACGCAAGCAGGTACAGACATGTGCTGATGCATGTAGGCCACCCGTGGACACACTCACACTTGCTTATGCAAATACTGCACACACACACTCACACACACCTCATGGAGCCTCAGTGTGTGTCTGATAGCGAGCCTTATGACACGTCCTATTTTTCACGCTTCCATACATCACTGTGCTTTCTTTAGTAGTTCATTACCTTATGAAACAGGCCCGAGCGACCCATATTTTGAACTTTTATTCTCCTTCTGTGTTTTATAATTTCTTGACACAGATCTCACATTTAGAAGAGAAATGCTGGGATGCTTCGTAACACAGCCTGTCAGGAAAGTGTGTCAGCACATGAGGTGACGATGATGAATCATTTTCATTTTACTGCAGAGCCCAGCTTGGGATGAGATGACACCCACAGATTTTTACTTTAATTAGACATTAGCATCTCAGTAAGGATTCTGAGGGATGTGACAGCAGATGCTTTCTCAGTGTATGTAGCATTAAAATGTCAAGTCTGTGGAAGTTACACCCACCAGAGAACAGAAAGCAGGGAACAAACAGCTCACTGCAGTCATGCATGCGTATAAGTTCTTAGAACTGTTCTGCGTCAACAGTGGCGCATTCAAGGGGGGGCAAGGGGAGTGGTTGTCCCCGGTGCCCTAATCAGTACGATTACATGATGTCCAAAGTATAGATTTATTGTGTCAGTTCAACTAAAACTGGGCTTCTAAGATAGACTTCTCATTGTCGGATTTATGTACCTTGATAATGTAGTTAAGGATTGGTTTCCTTTTCCATGTATACAGCTAAGACAAACTGAAACTGGAGCATTCTGTGCATGCTCCGGGCTTTGAGCTGGAAGTTGAATAGCATAAATACATTGCTAGGAAGCCGGTTAGTAAATCTTTCACAGAAATCCAGTTAGCCAATGGCTAATGTGTTTTGTTGATTGTTTTGGTACACAGTAGGTCAACCGGTAGACTATCCTGAAGTAATTAGCTAAAAGAGGGCAAAACATTATCCCACTTGACAGTCACAATGAACACAGCATTTGAACTCAGAGCAAAGTCATAACTTTAACACTGCCATTTCTTTGTCATTTACTGTGTTAGGATTTGAACTTGCTTCATTTGTTTTCTTTAATTTGGTTGAAGTTGCAGCTCATTGTGTTTGTTTCACCATTTCTTGCTGATGATGTTTTACCAAGTTACATCACTATGTACTCCAACTACACTGAGTCATACTGAAACATCCTCCATGTTGTTCACAGAGGCTTTTGGACACTAATGATTTTTTATCAGATTGTTTGATTTGATTTGATTTATTTGGATTTCACAGTAAGAAGTAATAATACACATAATAGACTGCTGCTTTCTGCAGATTGATTCGATAAGTGTGACATGACACGTGTGAGATCAGGTTGTCCCTTATGTTGTTATAAAAAAAATACAACCATAGTCAGAATCCTATATTTTATACAGGCAACTAATAAAAAAGGGAATACTGTGCAACCTGCTTGTTTATCCCTTGTTTTTTTTTTCTTGAAATTTAAGTAAAAAGATATTTACTTTTTGCTCTCTATTCTCATTTCTATTCTCTACACTGATCAGCAGAAAGCTAGTTAAACACAATACAAACAAATAAAGATAATGTGCTAATTGTTTAAAATAATGCTAATTTTAGAAATTTCAAAGGGGAAGCCAAGTGCACGTTTTAATTTAACATTTATTTAACCGAAGAAAAAAAAACAGTTGAGCACAGTTCACAAATTTTCTGACAGATAAAGAGCAGCCATATGTACAAACATGATATACACAAGAGTAAATGTTGATGATAGATGGTTATAATACAACAAATATGACATAACAGGATAAAATGGCAAATCCTTGTCCCAATCAACCAAGGTTGTATGTATATCAAGCATTTATAAGTATAATTAAACCCACACATTTCTGTATCATGGGTTGGTGTTCCTGTTTTTATAAGGAGCAGCATTATCCAGGTTTCTACTGCTTATGCAGTTGCTCAGAATACTCCATGCCAAGATGATGATGTACCTTCTCAATCCTGAAAATTTTAAGTTTAACAAGGTCCTGTTTGATAGAATTTGATTCAGGATCCTCCATCTCATCTGAACTACGTTTTTGTTACCTTTGTGGTGAAACTGCACGAAACAAATGTTTAAACTCAGTTGAAAAGAAAGTCAAACAAAGCACAGTATTCAAACCTGCACAGTTATCAGCAGTCTTGCAAAACATGCTGGGAGTGGTATATCACATTTAAAAGAGTGTTACTTCATTCCTACTTTTTCTGTCATAGTTATACTGTGACTGATTTACAGCTTTAACAGTGAAAACTTAGCTTCAGTCAAAAATAAATGAGCAAAACTATGACTGCAACTCCTGCAGAAACATGCTTCAGGTCACATTTCTTCCACTAGATGGAGACACTGGGTGATGTGTGCATGTTGGCATGATACAAACATTTAGAGTAGCAGAAAACAGGTTTATTCTGGGAACAATTACATCACATCTACCTTAGTGTTCACCTGACATCAGAGCACATGAATCCCAGCAGACAATCATTTCTTTCTGGAAGTGAAGCATGTGGAATAATCGATAGTTAACACCCCTGTTTGTGCTCAGTCAGTGTCAGCCGGCATGACTCATCCTTAGCTGTGTCATAAAAGTGGTTTATGGAAGAAGTGTGTCTGAGTACAAAGCAATCCGCGACTGTCTCTCTGAATATTCAGCTGAGCAAGTTGCTGGTATGTTTGAGCAAACTTCCTGGTATGTTGTGTAAAGGTGTGTGAGGAATACTCTGTTGTTTATGACCACACATTGTGTTCTCAGAGAGTGTTTGGCTTGTAAAAAAACAAACATTTGTGATTACGATAATCACTGTTTCATGATCAAACTTCAATCAGATTTAATCCTGTTCCTCCTCTGTTGGGAATAAGGATCCAGTGAGCTTCCTGAGGTTCATTCTTTTAAGTTCCTATGTCAAACTTTTACACCATGTGGTTTTGGGCCTCTCAGGTTTCTTTTGGTGCTATAGATCCTTAAGGCAACCCTTGTGATCCTGTCCTTTTCCTGTCATGTGTAACCCATGACCTGTAGCTATCTTGAAAACTAGTTGTTGTTGTTTTTAATTCTGTTTCCAGGCGTTTGTGTCTTTATTAGAGAGGACAAGACTGAGGCTAGAGCAGGAAATGAGAAGAGAAACAGGGAGTGACATACAGGAAAGTAGCTAAAAGTTTAATCAAACCCACGCCGTCCACGTGAGGCATTACCTCTGTGTAACTGGCCTTTCAGCATGGTGGAAGATGTCAGCTTCTGCAGGCCAATTATACACTAAGAGCCTCACTATGCTGCACCTAGCTTTGCTGAATGAACTTCAAAGAATCTTCAGCCATATTAAAGAGGTAATTATAAATCAAATCTGACAAAACACCAATTTCAAGCAGCCTTTTAAGCAGCAGATGTTTTATGAGTAAAATAAATCATCCTCAGTTGTACCTCCCTGACAAAAACTGGCAGTCTAAGTAATGTGAAAAATGTTTAAAGCCAGACATTAAGTTTTTATTTACAGATTATTGTCTAAATATAAGTAAGGAGTATTTAAAATTTAACTATATAGAAGAAAACTGGCATTATGTTGTATACAGTTCCTGGTCCTGTATATCTTTCCCTGCTCTTCTGTTTGCTGTAAAACAACAACAACATGTGATTGCAATTTAAATTTATGTGTCACATGACTTCAGGTGGAGTGGACGTTTCTGTTTTTGCTCATGAAGTATCACACAGCTTCAAATCTATATTTAGTTCGCCATAAAACAATAACAGAGTCAACAAATCTGAAGGACCTTTTCCCTCTTTTATTGTTTCCTGCTTCCGTATAGCACTTACACTGTTGTTATGGTAGAAGGAGTAAAATTATGAGAAAATATTAGACAACTAAAACAGGTAGATATTAGTGCACCAGAATCCAGTGAGTCAGTTTAAAAAATGTACTTTTTGAAAGTTGTTTTTAATTGTTTAAGTTAGCTTAATGTCAAGCTTGTTGCTAATGTTGGGTGTTGAGGCCTAAATGAACTTAAAGCATCTGTAGGTAAGTTTGGTGTATGTTTCGTTGGCGAACCCCAAGGCTCAGTTCTTGGTCCCGTTCTGTTTGCACTTTACCCTCGTTCTCTTTGTTTGATTTAAAAAATACCAATTTAAAAAAAGGAAAGAAAAGACGTCTCTTTGCTATTCTATGCAGACGACACACAAATCTACCTGCCCCTGAAAAGAAACAGCAAACGCTCCCTGAAACCCTTTTTGAATTGCAATGAAAACAAGACAGAGAGTGTTGTGTTTGGACCCAGTACTGTGACATCTGTTTAATGGATCTGGGCTCCCTGTCAAAAACTTTCAACCCAGCATGACAGTTGTGTGGTCTCTGTGGTTTTATACAGACTTTGTTTTATTCCTTTTACTGGCTTTTTATGTGTTTTACAGGCTCTCATTATTTTATGTACTTTTTAGTGTTTTATTTGGGACATATTTTTCATCATTTCAGCATTTTACTTACTGTGCAGCACTTTGATAAACATAATTGTTTGTACAAATAAAGTGGATTGGACTGAATTGGATGTGTTAATATCCCCGGTGTGACTATACCAGGTCATTTCTGTGCGTGCACCTGTGGAGGAGGTCTTTTGGAATTTTCAAACACATGCTGACTAATGATGAGCCTCACATGTGAGCATGACACAGCGTGAAAACAGTAAACATCATTATACGCACCATCATAACCATCAAGCTGTTTTCATTTCCTCATTTTGATAAGGCTAAGGAACAAAACATAATTTATTGTGTTAAAGTGGTTGGCACAGTGTTTACACGGTCCCCGCTTTGATTATTTATATAATCACACGACCTGGTTTCTTAAAATGGGAGTCAAAGGCCAGATGGAATGAGGAGTAAACAAATCACACCCAGGATGTGACCTAAATCCAAAATACTACAACCACAGACACATTCCTAGTGGTAATCAGGCCCCAACTTAGAGCACTTAGAAAGGCTTTTTACTGGGCTTTTGTCCCTGATGTGTTCATTTGGTGTGTCTACTTTTCACAGGTCTCACATGCAAAATGAAGCCATAGCTGAATGCAGCTGTTCTTTGACCCAGTTTGCTAAATTTAAGATCAAGTTGAAAAGATAAATTACCTGCTCTGTACAAAGACTTGGCCTATATAAAATGTACAAGGACTCAGGTGTTAGGAGAAAAGCCTCAACGGTTTGTAAAAAGGGTTATTTTTATCAAGAAGAATCTTCAAATGGAGTTCAAAGTGAAGCCCTAGTTTGTATTCAAGTGAAAGCTGGAGGGTTTTTATCATTTTTTCATAACTAATTTGTAAAAGTGCTGTTCAGAAAGTGTTCCAAGAATTACTGTCAGAGAAAAACATAACAGGAAGCAGATAAAGAGTGACTGCGAAGTGTTAAGTGTGTTATTTTAGTGGTTGAAAAAAGAAGAAAACACTGTCATCTTTGTTTAAAGATAGAAATACTGGAGGAAAAAATAACTTCTTTTTCTGGAAGGTTTTCTGGCTCTGAGCTGCAGAGTGACTGAGAAAAAGAACTGGAACTAATCCACATGGAAAGTTAAGAGGGACTTGAAAACACGAGACAACTGATCCTAGCAAACAAGCAGAGCGTTTCAGACTGAATGTTTTTCTGATCTGTGGGAGAACAAACACAGAAGGACATGCAGTAAACATGGTATTATGATATGAATGAAGAGGGGAAGGAGGAGGGCTGTCTGTTATAAAGTCGGTTCTGTATTCTTTACAGCAACACGTGTGGTGTACCCAGCAGGCTTGGCTGGTGATCAGATGGCCTGCAGTGACTCTTCAGACTCCAAGAGGAGGGTGAGTTTCAATAGTTTGCTAAGGACACTGTATGCCTGTTTTCTCAGCGCTTGTTCTGGGTGATTCCCAAATTACACAATACTAGCAATAAAAAACATGTAAAAAGATAGAGCACACTTTTTAAAATCTAATAAGTTATGTCTTGATGGATAACAGTAGTCATATTTTCAGTTTCCTGGTGCTTTCCAGTATATTCAGGAGTATCAGTGGTATCATGTGCAACACTTGGACAGTTCCAAAGCAACTAATTTCTAAGACACGTGAGAGGAAATTTAAATTCTGACTGACTAACTGGGATAAAGAAACTCTCAGATAAAAGTCTGAATAAAGCATGTCAACACATGGTCACATAGTCTGTTTGCAAGTATGGCTAACTAGCGTGCATCAACAGCCTGAAGTCCTCCTTGCAGACTACAATGTTACAATGTTGTTTACCAGGTGCCATCATCTAAAGCGATTCACATTTGAGAGTAGTAAAGAGCTTGTTTTTCCAAGGAAAGGGCACCAGTGCAGGCATTTTCTCATCTTTAATGTAAGTCAGGGGCACCCCATTAGGCTGACATGAGGGCTCCATGAGGGGGCAAGTGTCAGACATCATCAGATACTGTTTTTTAATTCATGGGTTAAAAGAGGGACTTTCCTCATAAGAATGGTTGCAAAACAAGGCCCTGTTGTAATTAATATTATTTTGTCCTGTCATAGCTCAGACACCTTTTCTTTGTGGCCCTCTGGACTGGCTGGATAGGTAAGTGATGACCTGCACCCCCAAAAAGCCCCAAGCCAAAGTGTTTATGTTAAGCCTGAATTTTTGTGTCTTTTTATTGAAAAGACTTCTGAATAATTTTGAAGCTCCCTTTACGTCTTCTCTCTGTGTTCTGTTGTGTTTCATCTTCTATTCCCACAGTTAATATCAAATAACAGAGAATGTTGTATAACTGAAACTCCCTGCCTCCTACCATCTAGTGCACAGTGTCCCCCATCAGCAGCACGTGGCTCCAACAATACCATTCAGTAAAAACACACGCGTTCAGGCTGCTGACTACATCTACAACACATACACGCTAAAACACACGTATATATACACACACACACAGACACACCTCCAGCAACACCTGCCATCCAGCTCCTGTGTGTGTGTGTGTGTTTGTGTGTATGTGTGAGTGTGCAGTCAGTGGGAGTGAATAATGAGAGCGGTCAGCAGCAACACGTGAACACTTCCCCTGCTGGACATCACACATGAAGTAGGGACGGGGGTGGGTGGGACAGGGGATGCCGTGGTTGCCATGGTGCCCATTCCGGTTGCATTCAACCCCTACGACTTGTACAGAATCCCACACAAATATACGCTCACATCTCTGGCACATAGAAAGTGAAGAAGATCTTTTTCTTTCATTCAGTTTTCTCCTAAAAAAATATAACAATGAAAAATCAAACACTATGTTCCTATTTCCTTTGTGACATAGACATCTTGTTAAAGAAACTGAGATAATATACCTCAAGAGAAGAGGTGTACGGGGCTTTATCACCCCTCCTGGTGTTTTTCAAATCTTGGGAAAGCTTCCTCAAAGATGCATCTGTAGTATATAAAACATTATAAAAGTCTCATTCTGGTCCCTTCTCAGTCAAAAATGCTACAAATAGTTTTAGAAGCAGCTCTTCTGAAGTACGAAACATGAAAAAGTGTTTTCTTGCTGCTCTGCCAGTGTAAAAAAAATGTAAAAGGTGCTCTCATAACGCCCTTTAGTATAAGCCTTAAAAAGTGCCCTTTAGATGCTCCTTTAGCCCAGGATTTAGATTCCCTTCTAGTAAAAAAAATAAGCCTAAAAAAAAGCCTCAAAGATGCCCCCTGTCATATAAAGACACAATTTTTAGTTGCCCTTTTGGCAAAAAAGTAGTCACAAGGGCTCTTTATATCCCCTCCCAGTATTCAAAGCCTCAAGAAGTGCCCAAAGATGCCCCCTTAGTATGTAATAAGCAAAAAAAGTGTTCTCCAGATGCTGCCAGTAGCTATACAAAGCCTCACAAGTGCCCTTTAGATACCTTAAACTCAAAAAGTGCTTCACAGATGCCCTTCCAGTTTATAAAGCCACCCAAAAGTGCTTTTTAAGATGCCTTTAGAGAATATAATACTCAAGAAGTGAGTGCATGTGTGCTGACCATGCATGCAGCCCGTTAGAGGTGCTCTTGTTTACTGACTTCCTCCCCGGGATAAATTAAATATTCTGATTCAGGTTCTGAAAGTGCTCCATAGATGTCTTGCCAGTGTACAAAGGCTAAAAAAAGAGCCTTTAAATATGTGTTTTTTACATTATATCCAAAAAAGTGCCTTTTAGATGACTCTCCTGTAAAAATTCGCAAACAAAGGCCTCATAGATGCAAAATGTCAAAATAATGCCCTCTGGATGTGCTTACAGTAAATAGATACCAGCGAAGGTGCCCTTTAGATGCCCTTCCATCAAATGTATGTAATGTAAAAAAAGTGCCCTCTGGATTCTCTTATTTTGGGTAAAACTGAAAAAAGTCCCCCCCAGATGTCCGTCTAGTTGCCTGTATGAAATATAAAAAATGCCCCTTAGCTGCTCTTACTGTGGATAATAATGTGCCTTCTGGTTTCCCTTTGAGCAAAATCAGTGATAAATATCTTTTTATTCTCCCTCAGACGAAAAAAGGGGATAATGAACCATTTACCTGGTCGTATATATGGCTGATATCCCAGGTTTGAGAGTTAAGTTTAATACACCAGAAAGTCTTTCATTATCATGAATAAAATAGGATGGAATATACAGTATGTTTACGGCTATTTGCTTGGGTACAAGATTGTACAGGTACATTGGGAATTTTGTGTCATATCTCCAGAGTCTCTATAAAAACAAAATAGCATGGTATAGAAATATATTTTAGTTTTAAGAAAAAAGAACAGGATAAATAAAACTGAACAGAGTGCAAAAAACAATAGAAATATACACTTTATTAAATATATAACAATAAATTGAATATTGCACATTGTTGTTACTGTAGTTGGAGATTTCACTGTTTGACATTAAACTTGTATATTTGATAAAGAATCATTTGTACAATCATAAATCTGCTACATGGGAAATAGAAACAGTTCAGGTTTTTTTAAGTGTATACCTTCACTGTTTGCATTAATGATCACAATAGACTGACAGATGTGACCTTTACCGCAACATGCAGGCAGCTGAGTGAACCACAAGATGGCAGTCTAATATCTGGAGAGGTGAGTTTATACGCCACAGAGCTGCAAGAAGTCTGGTCTGATCAGGTTCATGGGATTTGTGGATTTAACTTTATAGAAAAGAATTGAACAGAACGGACAATGAGGACTAGATGTTGTATATAGTAAAGTGCATGTTATGAGGCTTTAAAAACTAATCAACTCACTACACTATCAATGACTGATTGGAAAATGTTGCCTTAAATTTTTAAAGTTAGATTTAAGTTACTAATGCCAACATGGTGAACCATAAAGAATCAAGCAAATGATCTACTTGCACTGTAAAATATGACAAATTCCTCATTCTTCATTTCCACTGATCATAAACATCAACTTTTCTTACTCATTTTAATAAAAAGAATAAAAAATCATCCTTACTAAGAAAAATTGAACATACAAAAAACTTCAATGTAGCGTTTGCCCCATGCTTCATGGTGAGTTATAGCATTTTCAAGCAGCTGCCATAATTCCCTTCTAATTTTACCAGACTAACAACGTCAGCCCTTCTGGATCTGGTTACTATGAGACTGTAAAGACAGATTTAGTCCTGCTTTGCTGTAAGTCACTGCTGACTGTGTGCACTAATAAAACACATTCAGTAATTTGACATATATGAGGTGGTCTGACACTTTCAGCTGAGACTGTGTGGGCAGTAAAACGAAAAAGGCATGAACAGGAACTTAATGAATTCATATCAGCCACTGAAGAGTTTTTTAGGTCATCGCTGTACAAATCCTGAAATCAATTAGGATGAATCAGTTTTGATGCCTAAAACTTGTAATGACAGATTATTTACTAATTTTTGTGTTGAGATGGAATTAGAAAATGAGTAGGGTCAGGATTTTAGGGGTCGATATGGAAATGTTTTCTTCTGAGTTCAGCTTTTACAAGTGAAGTGCTGTCGGTTTACATGTTTCTATACGTTTAATACACATGTCTGGTTCATCTACAACTTAATGGTGTTTTTCCTGTATTTTTCATTCAATAATTGCCACTTTAACACCTTCTACTGTGTCTGGACCCTTCTACTACAGAGCCATACTGTTTTAACATACGCTAAATGTGGTGTTGTCTTGCTGAAATATGCAGCGTTTTTCCTGAAAAAGGTATTACATGAATTGAAGTATATTGTCCTCCAAAATCTGTGTCTATTAATAAACATAGAAGTTGCCATTCCAGATGTGTAAGATAACTATGCAATGTGCAAATATACCGTACATTTCCACGAGAATCAAATTCAACCTGTATGTCATGAATGATTAGATTTTTTTTAGACTTCTCACAAAAAAAGGCCCCTTGGATTCTCCCATGGTGGATAAAGTCTGATTAATTGCCTTGTACGGTGGACTGACAGCGTTGGGTGGTGACACATCACAGCTAATGCCTCTGTATCTGTCACTAATCAACACTGCCTGTGGATGGCTGTCAGAGGTCACACTGCCCTTCATTTCTGCTGCAGGCCACAATGGCAACACCTCTGAGTCATCCGGGTTAGAGTACCTAATAAGCTCAGATGTGAGACCTGGTGTTGATGTGAACTTTACAATCGGTTGACCTCTTGTGGTTGAACAAAAACTAGAGAAAAAATAGAAGTTCCTTTTCAAAGACGGGTGGGTGTTTTAGAGTTTTAACCTTTGAATAGATGGGATTTAAAGAGAATGGTGAAACTGAGGCAGAGATAAGAAATCTGAAAGTCTGAAAATGTTCTGTTTGTAGGGTCTGAGTGGACTTCCTGAACCAAAGAAGCTTGACTCATCATCAGCCCATGACTGAAACTTCTCAGAAGTAGACATTGGCTCATAAAATGATTGTTTGTCATGCTTTCATTTGGATTTGAAGTTATGTATTAGGGCAGCTTCGCCTTTGATAAACAAGATGGACAGAGAGATGGGAATATGGAGAGTTTACTAATTTGTGGCCTGGAATCAAACCAGTGACTGCTGCTGCAAACACGATGGCCTCTCTATGTGTGGGGCACCTATGAACACCAGGCCATCGGCACACCATTCGATATTGTTCCTGTCTTGCATTTACGTTGTTTTATTTCTTTCACCTTTCACCTTTCTTTCAGGTTTGTGTGTTTAAGCTGAATGCTAGACCAGTGTGTCACTACACTCCCACTACACTCATCAATAGAGCAGACTTCCCAGCACTGCTCCTGATAACACCAGACAATAATAACTGTGGTGTACAACTCAAAGAGGCGTCTTGATGATGGTCCAATGACCAGAAGAAAACCTCTCAACAGTGACACACCAGAGTAATAGTTTAGATAACTGCAGATGCCTCGGACCTGCAGTACTTCACATGGAGTTACAGAACTGCTCCGTCAAGCTGTTGAGATCATTTCAAGTATCAGACATCTTTTAGTCTATTTTTTACTCCATCTTCAAGCTTCAAACATAGAATTACAGTACCAGTACATTTGCCGTCTTATCGAAATGTTCCACAGTTTTAGTTGTATAACCTCTTTCCTGCTAATTTCCTGTTCAGTAAGCTTGGGGACAAGGATCTAGTCACAGTACAAAGAGGTCAAGTTAAGAATAAAAGAATAATCCTTAAAGTGATCGCTCAGTCTTTTTAAGGGGAGTAACATGAGTTACATGCGACCTGTAAGTGTATTATCCGTAACTGCTGCCAGTCAGCTCTTCCCCTCTTATTAAATACTGCTGAGATGACAGGCTTGATAACTGGGCTACTATTTATTGATCGTTGGTTAAGGCTTATTTCTGCTTCAAAGTGCACACAATATTAGCACATGTCTAAATCCAACATGTTTATCTTGCTTAAATAAAACTGGGATCAATAACAATGATTTCAAACACGCCATCTGGATTTAAGTGTTACTTTTAAATTCATGATGCAAATAATGATCTGACGATGACTCCAAATAAGATCAGTTATGTGTCAAATTGGGGAACATTTGACATTAAAAGACTGTTTAAATCTAATGTATCACCCTTTTTTTATCATTGGTTAAAAAAGAACCAATGTATGAATGTTTTTTGCTGTACTCACTTTACCTGGCCTCGGCAAATAAATGTTTCCCTGACTCATACAATTCAAACAAACATGACAAGATGAGACCAGACTAAGAGTTGTATGTTCAAACTATGGAGCTGTTATTGAATTGTGAAAGTGCTTTTTATTGAAGCAGTAAGTTAAGAGCTACATCAGGCTGAGTCAATACAGGGTTTGTCTTTTACTACTCCTCCGAACAGGCCTTGAAGATTTGTTATTAAAGGTGCAAATCATGATGCAGGTGGTAAGAGTGGAGAATTGGTGATCGATCACATCCAAGAGTCAAACTTAATCCAACACCGCTGTTACGGGATATGAGGGTACTGCCACAAGTAAAAAAAAAAAAAGACAAACATAAGTGTTTCATCAAACCAGGTTCTTCCTATCCTTCCTCTATTTTTGGTATGAGAACAGTTTCTATGGTTCACAAAATCCTTTCAAATTTCCACAGCATCCTCCGTGTGCCACACCTTTACCAGTCGGTCCAGGATTTGGAGGCTTTTTCAAAAGTTAGGATGTAAGATGTGCTGTTGTGGGCCTTTTTATTTTGTAAAACACTACACAGCCAATGCCATACATGTGGTTCAAAATGCTGCAGCAAAGCTCCTGACAAAATCATCCAGACAGTCTCATGTCACACTCATCCTCAGGTCTTTGCACTGGCTTCCCATTCTCCCCCATTCGATTCAGAATCCAATTTTAATTACTTGTGGATGTGTACTGAGTGTTGCATGGTAAAGCTCCAGCTTATATTTGAGACTTTCTGAAGCCATATAACCTCAGGAGGACTCCGAGGTCCTCTGATCAGGGTTTGCTGGCTGTTCCTCAGACCAGAATCCCAACTAAAGGAGACTGTACGTTCCAGGTGGTTGCTTCTCTTGAACTGAGAACTGTGGACACTGTGGATCTCTTGAAATTGAATAAAACTGAAGTTCCTGTACACAGTATGATGTAACTGATAAGTCTCATGCTCCATACACAGAACAATGACCGTATATTAAACAGACGTAGCCTTGGTAATGTAACCCATTTGTTTCTCAGGGAGAGTCCAGTATCTGGAGCAGCTGCCATATTGCTGACTCAGCCTCGGTCACTTTGAAAACATGGATCAGTATTCACAAGACCACATCATATTGATTTTGCAATCAGGAATTTACAGTATAGAGCTCAAAAAAGAAATGACTGCATGGGAGCTTTTGTGAGATCAACAGCTAGTAAACCTTACTTCCTCATATTTTACAACATTAGTTGACCATTGCAGACTGAAGGGGATAAATATTTTGATATTAAACAAGTGAGATTGGTGACAGACAAGGGAAAAGAAAGGAAGATAAATGGGTTGTTTGGTTGAATTTGGAGAAGAAGAAAAGTTCATTGGACACAATGTTTAGGGGTTTGCTGCTGAAAAGGTAAGCTCTCTGCATAAACCTGGTTGCACTAAAAATACACATACAGATCATGAAAAGCAACTTCAAAAAGTCATCCAGAAGTTCTTTAAGGGTTATTATTGTGCAACTTTAGTGTGGTTGGAAAAATAAGGAAGCCATGACTGCAAAACGGAGGGAACTTATGATGTTGGTCCATAACTGTTAACCACTGGTTCTCAAAGGGGCTGTTATAGAAATGAAAACATGGCATTTGTACCAACTGCATTATTGATGCATTTTTGTCCTGCACAACGTACAAATCTATGAGACAAAATGTGTCTCAACACACAGCTTAAACTATCCACTAACCCATTCTTCAAACCTACCAATATTTCCCAACGGACTGTTAACAAGTTCACTTCACGTAGACTGTCATTTTGTGACCACACTGTACATGATGATATGATATGGGTACATGGGAAATGTTCATGTCTCATCATTTTATTTACTGCTTTTTGATTGTTCACCCAGCTCCTGCTCGGTTAGAAGTGGTCTCTCCTCTCTCTTTTCCGCCGCCATCTTAACAGCAGAGGTTGTTCCTGTACTCTGACTCACGCTGACCGCTCACACTACTTTGCTCATTGCGTCTAATGAGAGAGCATCTGTCACCTGTAGTGGTGCAACGGATCATCATTGATCCGTGATCCGTTCGGATCGACATATTCGGTTCGGCACACATGTGATCCGCGGATCGATTTCTGAAAGCGGAGAAAGGAGGAGCTCGAACGCCCCGCGACACTTAAATCCCCTGTATGGGAGCATTTTGGCTTCCCTGTCAATTATGATGAAGAAGGAAAGAGGTCAGTGTACAAAACTGCGACGGAGTGTAGGCACTGTGGCATAAGAAAGCCATATGACAGTGGAAACACATCGAGCATGTTCACGCATTTGAAGCGACATCACCCGGGTGTTTTACTGACAGGTGTTGTGCCGTAGATTGCACCCCTGCCGTAGAACGCACCCCCTGCATCCCCTCCACCCGTTAGCTTCTTAAAGTGGAGATAATGATCTCATATTTGATATGAATAGCCTGAATGAAATTATTAAAGGCAAACGCTGTTGAATACATCCAACGTAAGGAAAACTTGTATTATTTCGCCTTGTTATGTACTTTCAACCGCGCTCCCGTTAGGGGGTGCACTATACGGCAGGGGTGCATTCTTTGGCATAACACCTGAGATAAAACGGAAGCTGCCCAACAACCGCTCATCACCGCAGCATTTAAGCAGCCTCTTCCTGCGCAATCCGACCAGGCTAAAGCTTTCACAAACTCTATCGGTGTGTTTATAGCTGCAGACATGAGGCCGTATTCAGTTGTGCAAAACGAGGGCTTTAAAAACATGCTGAAAGTGCTTGAGCCACGTTACGACATCCCATCGCGCACACCCTTCATTTTTGGTTCATTGTTACATTTTAAAGGAAGGAGATATGCCTGTATATTGTACTTGTTTAAGTTGTTTTTCATTAATAATTATGTTAAAAAGAAGATATTATGCCCTGTGCACTACTTTTATATATTTTATTTGTCTTGTTTTTTTTTCTTTTTGCTGATCCGAAAAAATGATCCGATCCGTGACTCTTGATCCGAGGAACGATCCGATCCGTGAGTTTTGTGATCCGTTGCACCACTAGTCACCTGCCACGTTTCCAACCTGCTGCTGTACAAGCTGCCGCGCTGCTAAAGACTCATCACTGCTGATGATGATGTTCACACAGAGACACAGCAGTTTATAGTCATTTAATCAAACACACATTCACATGTGCCGTCAGGGTCTCTTGGTAAAAGAAGTTAATTAGTTTGGGTTCTAATGAGATACTCACATAAAAACATCTGTTGCTTTGCTTCACAGAGCACGCGTTTAAAGCTTTAGTGAAAGAGATGTTTGGTGTTTGTAATGGCCCATTTTCACAATTTGATCTATAGCAGAATTAAAAATGAAAAAAAAAGGGATAGAAAATTAAAATACACATGCAATAACTATGAAGGAGTCATTTGGACTTAAAGTTTGGGGTTTCACAAAATAAAGACAAACTTCTCTAATTTTACCCGAGTTGGTGAAGCCTTAGCCAAGTGACAAATCAGCAAAACAAACAATGCTGGCAATGAGGACATCTTACTTCTAGAGCAACAAAGCAGCTGACCTATCTTCACTCATTACTACTGCCCTAAAAGATGGCCTTGACAGACTGATACCAGTCAGAGTTCAAGACATGTTTTTTATTCGCTCTCTTTTCTTGTTGCTGGAAAATGTTGGAATTCAATTATAATTTTTCTCAGAAATCAAAACTGCCACGGTTTGTGTAATATAAAATCACAGGTTTTAGCAAACATAGGATTCAGTGATCAGAAACCTGAATACAAGAGTCGATATTATTAATAAACAGATATGATGTAAACGCCATATCTCAAAAATCACAAAACCATGCTCGAGCTCATTACTGGAATACTCAAACCTTTGTAAATGAAGCTTAAGTGCAGGGCCTCAGTATTTTTGCATTTGCACATTAGCTTTAATTTTCATCATCGGAAATTGCCTCTTTCTCCTGCCTGTGGACTTGACAGCTCTGCACTTTCTCTGGAAAACGAAAAAACCTTGAGGCCTTATTTGATCACAAATCACGGTCATGGAAAAGTGTTGAGTAACGCCCTCTGAAATGTGTGTTATAACGTTCCCTGAGCAGCACTTGAGCCACATCGACCCTTTTAAAGGTGAGCTGAGTTATGGGGTTAATAAGGGACAGAGCATTGATGTGGCACAACAACAACAAAGTGATGTGGACTCGCTCATTAATGCCAAGCCGTGACAAACATCCTGACCGACAAAAATAATGAAAAATTCCTGTTTTCTGTGAAAAGTCAATGCTGGAGAAGAGCACCTTGTTATTCTAGTACCTTTCCCAGACGAATGCATGGTTACTTTTGTTGTCATCTATTGCTTTCTACAAAAACTTCTTACAAAGAACAAAGAAAAGTGACCAAGGATTTTAGCCTACAGGACAAGGCTGCTTGTGTGGACCTATCCTATGAAAAGTCCATCTCCGAATACTTAAAAAGCTCTCCTTGATCAAAGCAACAAGCTAAAAATTGGTTACAGAGCAATTTGTAACCAGCTACAGCTCTTTTTGTTTTGAACATGTTCTCTGCTGTTCACTTACTCTCTTCTTCTATTTCCTCACCAACAACTTCAGACTTTTGAGATCTGAACTAATTTTTAAAACATGAGAGACCCATGAGAGAAACACGATCATTTCTTTATCATTTCCTTGAAGTAATAATCACCATATTAATCATTTTGCACTGCAGACGCGGTGGTTCTTCTGCCTTAGCATATCGGTCTGATTGCATTTCCATGAAGAAATGATCATAAATGTTCTTCCTTGAGCTGCGTCACCCCACTTTAGTCCGTAATGGACTGACTCGAGGTCTCGCTACAAACAAGTGGCTGCTGGAAGAGAGTAGGTGAGTTGTGTTTAGTCTCTTTGCTAAAGAAATTAGGCAAAGCTGAAAAGATGTTTGGTGGCTAGTGCTGTGGCTGGGACTCTATATGTACTGTTGATGAAGTTAGGTGCTGTTCTGAGCATTATTTGTGGCTATAGACCTGTGGCTTTTGGTTGAGGTTTGTTTACGGCTCCTCAAACCGCTGTGTATTGCTATCGTGTTGTTACTAAAGTTGGTATAACTAGAGAAGCAAGCGGTCAGCAACATTCATCTCTCCAGGGGGTGTCTAACTCGGTTTTATGGTGTGTTTAACCCTAAGTTAATTTTACACCGGAATATCCCTTTAACCACAAATCTGTGTCCTACCTATAAGCCCAGATACATTTAATGTAATAGCAAAATATTGTTCATACCGTTTATGGTTTTACAAAGGTAAACATTTTTGCCACAATGTCAGAAATGTTCTAGAGCCTTTCCAGGAGTTAATTTGCTGTAGTTGACCCCAACAATACTCTGCCATCAAAAACTAACACACCATTTTTATGAGGTATTGACCAGTCAAGTATTTTACCACAACCTGATTGAAACATGGATTGAGATAAATCTCACACTGTATTTCTGGGTCTTATAATGAAGATGAGAAAAGAACAGTTTCTCCAGATTCTTTAAGCAGCTAAACAACAAGAGTTGGAGGGCCATCAGTGCATCTGTGTCCTGTTTTTCTTTTCATGTCTGCGATCCACTGGAGGAGAACATTGTGTTTATTTGCACAATCATATGCAATCAGACAGCCACACTTTGGGAGGATGCTGTATTAAATCAAACACACTCACACTAACAGAGGCCCTAATCAGGGACTATCCAACATCGTAACGTCTGAAAAATGGCAAAACTTTCACACTGATGAAGCAGCTGTGTCAAAACCAATCAGTGTAAAAGGCTGTTCTGGAAATCCCCACACTGCAAGACACTTTCCCATCATGCTCTATTGCTCCTGAGTGTTTCCCTCAGGTAGAGACTGTTCAGATGCAATATGTGTGTGTATGACCATGGTGTGATTCATCGGGGGGGCAGGAAGATAGTAGTTCGCTAGGAATGCATAATATACCATGATGTGTTGAGACACTAATGCGTAGTTTGTAAGCTATAAGTAGTGGGTGGGTACAAATAGAGGAGTTGTTCAGCATCATAAGCGTGTGTGTGTCTGTGTTAAAATGTAACACTTATCTTGGGAAATTGCAGTTCCCTTAGTGGCCTCTAGAGGCTGGCTCCAAGAGTGAGTAACCATCACTGACCTCAGTCATAAATGCTCAACTTTACAGCAGATATTTACATGTATACAGCCTAGTATTGCTGCTAATTACTATAGATACATGACAACTATGTAGAGCTTAACTTTGATAAGACATCAGTTTTTATAATAAAACTTCGAGTAAAGCACAATTAATTGTGTGACAGCTAGTCATTTAGTAACCATAGCTACTCAACTTAAATATTTGCAGCTCTTTAGCCAATGGGTGACTGAGTTTAACCACTTTTTTAAAGACTAATGTAGCTGAAATGGCAGGGACAGTGGTAAAATAACACACCATTGATAAAATAATGAACAAAATTCATATATTTATTATTTATTTACGTACTTAACATTATGCAGCCACATTGATCTGTTTTGTTTCATGTGTTTAAAAGTCTAAAACACCAAAAATGTGGGATTTTTCTTTATTTGAGGTTGTTTTGTCAAACTGCAGACTTCTTCTGGTAAACTGCAGCTCAGAAGCATTTTCACTCTGATTTTCTGTGACTCACATTGGGCTTAGTGGATGGTGCTAATTACTAAATTGGGTTAACTAAGACAGGTGTAGTTAACCTGAGGTGGGAGACTAATGTTCTTCATTAACCCCCCCTGCTCTGGACGATGTGTTATCCACCACAAAACAACACCAGGTGGTTTCACATGGCACTGCTGATGAAGTTAAATTGACAAAGACAGCCTACAATGTGAATTTAAAGCTAAAGTAAAGCATACATCATGAGAGGATAACATTCCCAGCCTCTCTTCACTCTAATAGTGTAGTGTCACTTTGTTTTGCATCAATAGCTCCTATCAATTACAATTTAGAGTTATTAAATATTCATTCTATAGAAGCCCCAAATATTTTTTGGCTCAGGCATTATCAATATGTGTACAGATATTTGTGAGTAGGATATGATACTCATAATATTCCTGACCTAGTGTGAGTGTTATCAGATGTTTGACTGTAAAAAACTGAATTTAAACCTCAAACATTTTCTGCAGTATCTGTTTAGCAAGACTTTATTTCCTGTCAAGAAAGAACTCTTTGGAGTCCATCGTACTGATTGTTTCAAAGGCTTTACAAGGATTGACACCTCCTTATATCACACTGCAGCCAGACGTCTGAGACCAACTAGCTAGCTGCTGATAGAAATGAAGACTTTGAAACTCCCTTTCGATATTCTATATTACATGTTTCTTATTTCCTAGCAAGTCTTTACCATAACAACCCTGGTTTTACTTTAGCTCTTAGTGTCTTCTTTTCATAACCAGTCACATCCAGTTATTTTGTACCAAAGTGGTTCACTTATGAACTTTTATTACAAGCTACAGCCCATTACTAGGGGCCAATGTATAGCACTTACAGTTGCTCTGTGTGTATTTTTAGAAACATTTAACATCTTGGATAAAAAATGTTCCGTTTACCACATATAGAAAAACTTAACGGGGTATGATTCATCTACTTTAGGAATACAGAAATGTAAAACTGTGATAATATAGAATGAAACGGAAGAAAAAAACATAAATGCAGGCCAGTTATGAAGCTCTTAAGTTGTGTCACAAGTATTTGAAATCGTCTATATAGTGACTTCTCTGATCAAGCTTGTTTATATCCCTTGTTGAGCACTTGAAAGCGGGGTGTCCATCTTTTAAAATGAGAAAGAGAACGAGAAGCTCTTAAGCTCTGTCTCCGTTGCTCAATTACTTCTATTTCCTTTGCTGTTTTGCAGGCCAGTCACAGAAGATAGCCTGCGATTATGAGATGCTCAAATGTGCTGAACGCTGAGGGGCTTCAAGAGTCAACAGTGATTGTGCTTATGGCTTTTTTTAGTCTCCATGAAGAAGCTCAATCTATCTGCTGAGTACTTATTCCGGTTTGGAAGTACAGCAGATCTGAATATTATTTGTGTTTCTTGTGTGTTTGGTCATGCTGAGTGAATTTGCGACGTAGACAGTTGAGTTAAAATGATAGTTTTGAAAAAGCCCAAATGTTTGTATTAAAAGAGTTGATATTATGTCTGAAAATGAAACGTGGAGAGCACTGTGCGATCAGACAAATGGCTACTAGAGATGCTGTATCTTTTCAGGTTTTGATGACTGCATTACAGTGTCCAGTTTGATACGTTACAGCTCCTGTGAAGAATTTTCAAAAGTGCATCACCTTAATATAATAAAGGATCTCATAGTTTACGTGCCTGCTTGTTTTTCAATCATCTCCCACACTGCAGGTTAAAGTAAAGCAGTGAGCTGCCTGGCATGAAGACAAAGTGTCTGACAATAGGAGTCAGTTTCACACTATCCATTAAAGGTCAGACTTTAATTTGAAATATGTGTCAATGTCCGGGGAAATGAGATTCCCAATCTGTCACCAACCCATCTGATCCAAGCAGTTAATCCCTGAGAGGTCAACATACAGTAAGTTCCAAAAAACACAGTACCTGACAACAGGTGTGTTTCCTGATCAGATAAATAAAACAATATCAGCACCAGGCTGTGGATGAACCTGTCTGATTCACTTACAGATAGATATCTTTATTCAATACTTATTTATGTATCAGGGAAAACGCACATGAATTTACAAAAGCTTGATGTAAATGTGCCAGATTTAGAAAAATGTTTTATTTGAATCAGTCTGTGGGTCAGGCTGAAAACACATCTACTGTATAATGTCTTCAGTTTATCTCTCGAATGTAACGTCATGAAGCCTAAACCAAACACAGAAAGTATAAACCATTTCTCTGTAGGTCTAACACCCGGAATACATTCATTAATGTTTATATTTCACATGTAATAACTTTCATATGCCAATGATTTCAGATGTCACAGCTAAAAAGGATCAAATTACTCAAATGAAAGAATAATTAAGTAAAAGATTGTAATAGAAATGCGAAAGGGCTGTTTCATGATAAATATTTAAAATTGCAATAACTAAAGAATTGTAATAGTTAAAAAGGCTTAATTGCATTTTGAATTCGTTGTTCAAAACTACATTATTTACATTGTAAAATAAGTTTTTAAGTTCATATTAACAACTGATAAGAAATATGCAGAAGTTCCTCTATTCTGAGATCATTTTGACTTGTAATCATGTTAATGTAACAACAATTACACTTTTCAGATTTTCCAGATGAGTTGCTTTCTCTGTTTCATACAGGTACTGTTTGTGTGAGATTATTTTTTCCCATAATCAGGCATATCACTGAAACATCACCCCAACCTGAAGATATCCCTCAGATCTGTGTTCTCCTCACTGTTATGACGCAGTTTCTCACCTATATGCTTACTTTGTAGGTAAGCTGAAGCTATTTGGTGATCATTTAAACCTTTCAACATTAAGTAAACATCACTTTTGACTCTTTGACTGAACTATCTTTGATTTTTTTAAATAAGAATCTGCCATTTAAATATATAGGAGTGTTATTATGTTCAATCATAGCAGTCGCTAGTGAGGGGAGACGCAGCTGTAGCCGCAGTGTGCCAATTGGGGAATTTGTAAGCGCAGAAAAGAAATATTTATATTATGCTTTCATTTTGGAACTGTATCATGTGTAACTGCTGACAGCCCAAACATATGCATTAAGCAGGTTTTTGAGCAAAGTAAATGCAAACAAAAAATGTCCTCTCCAAATCAAAAGCACAACAAAATGGATCTGTGGATTTACTAAATAAAATGACTGTGGCTGTCTTATGATAAAATACTTAATGCTAAAGCACACTCAGCTTTGGGACCATGGAAACAGCCTCATCTAACTCCTATTAGCTGATGGCTGCCTGCCTCAAGTTAATCATTATGTGCACAGTAGCTTCAGTTCACAATACATTCAATGAAATTGTTCCCACAAGGTAATACTATGCCAACAGGTTATTAAATTGTGAGAGATAGTTATGATCTTGGGCATACAAGTTACTTTATAACCTACCGCACAGTTTTGCATATTTGTATTTTCATCCATTATCAGCAGCAATATCTGCTTTTTTCCAGATTTTATTGCCATTTCACCAAAGCCTCAGAGTCGAAGTTTTGAGGTTCAAATAAACAGACCAAAGTAGTTTGTTTTAAAAGATTAGATCGATTAGGACTTGACAATGAAGTCTTTCTACCACAGCTGCTGTGAGTTGAATTATTAATGTATTTTATTGGCTCCTTTCCAATATGATTATTGTTACTTTTCTACTCATGCATGAGGAGGTTAGGCATATTATCCTATCTGTATCATCGACATGACATCAGCACATAGGTCTCATCACTTGTATTAAAAATCCAGCCCAGTATTCCCAGTGCAGTTTGATTCCTGGAAACAGAAACGTTTGAGTGGGTGTGGGTGTGTATCTATGTATGTGTGTGAAACAGAGGGATGGTCTGAGTGTGGAGAAGGGGGCGTTGGATTTGCGCAATCGTGCGCGCTGTGATGCGCACGGAGGTTGATTGGTCACCTCTGCGTACGAGAGGTTATGAGCTTTTAAACACTGCGGCCAGAGGGCAAAGCATTCAAACCTGAGGCAGACACTGGCGAGGAGAGCCGAACCGAGCCGAACCGAGCCGAAAACGAGCCCAGGAACTAAGAGAAGAGAGGAAAGGAAAAGTCATGACTCTGCCAACTGTACGACAACTTTTTCTTTTGTGTTTATTCTGGTTTCTTGGATCTTTATGCACAGCAGGTGAGTGAATGTTTTCATCGTTATGAGCAGGTCTCTGAAACTGAACAATTAACGTTAATTGCTGCCTTTTTGGTCTTTTCTTTTGGCGGGAAATTATCATGATTTATTTAGGCGATACAAGAGGGCAAAGCCCACTAGTTTGCTATTATTTTGTCCTAATGTTTTTAAGAACAATTCAGACAACTTTCCCAAAAATACATCTTTGCTCTACCAGTAGCATGTACCATGTAGGTAACTAAGATCAAATTCATAATGTTTTCAAAGAAAACGACCTTAATGCCTTCAAAAAAAACTTTGAATAATCTGTGAAATTATAAATTATTTCTAAAGTTTGTCAGCAAAGAATTCAACCTTTTTTTAATTTATTTTATTCAGATGACAAGATTATGTATTTGTAGTGGATAAGCCCCTATCTCAAAGTTATTAACAGATGCTTTAGTCTTGAAAAAAATATATTTTTTGTAGCTTGAATAATGAACTTCCAACTACATTTCAGTCTAACATTAAAGTAAAAGGGATTTTCAATAGTTACAAAGCATTAAAATCTGCAGTTTTGTACTTGTAATACCCTAAATGCCTTATGCCACTGTAATTGAATCACTTTTTACTGGTGTAAAATCTCTAGTTAGCCAATAATAAGTGAGGTTGAGGTTGTGAAAAATGTTTGGTGCATTTGCTGTTAAACACAGCTGTAAATCAACCTTTTACAGTTTATCTGGATCCAAGTAAATGGGTTTTGTATACCCATCAGGAAATATTGAAATATGCAACTGTAGTTATGATGAATTATCATATAAAGGACCTTCATTAAAGCATTGACATTGCTAAGTGGTGTGATTTGACTTGCCTCTTTGTTTTAAATGTAAGGATGCCCAATATCAAATTTTTGCAGACTTCTGATTTGCTGATATTTTCAAACTCATTTTGGTCGATATAGACATGAATTCACCTATTTTTAGATTGTAGAGAACACCTTTCCTTGTACTAGAATTTCCCTGTAGCTGTGATTTCATTTAGAAGCATACATAAATCAAGACAATCATTTGATTCTACCATACATGAAAAATGTATTAGTCAGACACTTCCAGATGATAGTTCTCAAGATGCCTCTCATCCCCTTTGTTTCACAGGCATTGAAAATACTTACAGCTCTCTTGCTGTCTGATAACAACTCTTTGAAATACTGTCACTCTGCTGGCATGCTAAAGCTTGTTGTTTGTCGACATAAGCTGTCATCAGACGCATATTATGAGTGCATACTGGCAGACATTTCACATCTGCCAGTACCAGTGCTGATCTCTAAGCCTTTTTGTGCTGATATTTGGCTCATAATGTTGTACATCTCTATTTAAGGGTTCCTCTAAAATGTCACACATACAAAACTGAACAACTATAACAGGCATATAAACTAGAGATTAAATTAAGTTTTTCTGTGATGTAGGTCAGAGAAGTTTTCAGATGTAAACTACAAGTAATAAAATGATTTGTGTCTAAATCATCGTCACCGGAAGACAATAAAAGGCTAAAACTGTGTTTCTCTTGTAATTAAAAATAACTAAATAAGTAATATCAGAATAATTTGTATGAAGAATTTTGAAATTAAAGCTCCTGTAAAGAACTTGCAGTTGTTGATAACTTTGGCACCCCCCTCTGGACAAAACAGCACTTCATCTGATCTCATCTTAAACATGGGAGAAATGTTTTTCAACTAAAAATCTTATTTGTGCATCTTTAATCAAAAATGCAGAAATGTTGTGGGTCGCTGCGAGTCAGTTTAAACCTTTATTTATTCACAAAAGGACATTGAGGTTCCAATGCCATCGAGATTACAGCAGTCAAAACATGCAAACAGACCGCAGCTTTTCAGTCATTAAAAATAACCTTATAGAAATAAGTATTGTTGCTGATATTAATATTTGCACTTGTAGCTCTTTAAGGGGAGTCAGTTTTATTTTTAGTCTGTTTTAACCATCTAAAAACTCCTCATTAGAACTTAAAAAAAAACTCAAATTACAACTAAATGCTGTAAAGATTCAGTAAATAGTTGACCCAACTGTTTAAAATGACTTAACTCTATTTGTTTTCCTCAAAATTTTACAGAAGTTTCTTGTTTTGTTGTACTTGACTGATGATTCTTGGAGTTGTGTAGGGTCTAACCAGTAATTTTTTTATGTCAGTCTAAAGTTTGTGAATAAATGTTGCCATGTGATTAAATGTGCAGTGACTAAAATATTTCATCAATCATGTCTGATTTTCCCTTAGATTACAGTCCATATGACCAGTGGGAAGATGGTGTAGCATTAAGAAAGGTAGGAAATGAACTCTCTTACAATTATACAGTGTATCAGTAAGACTCTCATTAATGTTTTATTCTGCTGATTGAAAATGTGATTGTTTTCAAAACATGAGCAAAGACAAGACTGTTATGTTGTAAATAAAATCAAGGGTGGTCAAATAAGTGTTTGCTTTTCTCTCAGTCTTGCAGTAATAAAAATACTGAATGCCTGAATATTTTAAAGCTCCTCTGTGGACAAAGTGACACATCTTTTGTCTTTGCTTATGTTTTCTGACTGTTGATATTGAGCAGTTTCATGTGTGTTAGCGCTGAAGTATGCCATATTTTTACAGATGCGGGGTATCCAAAGTGGTGATTATAGTGATGTTTTATTGGGGAACCAGAATGATGTAAGTACAAAAAACAGGACTTTAATTCTGAAGTACGTCACCCTTTTAAATTACCTTGTAATTTTAAGATATTTCTAAGATACTGTGCATAAATCCACCTTCAAAAAGGAGAAAGGTGATTTTGTATCTAACAAAATGTGGAAAGGGAAAACTTGGGGTGGACTCTTTAACCACTGTGCATTAAGAGATTAAAGTATATGTGTTTGTGCACGAGCATGTTTAGCCAGATTGTAATCCCTGTTTAAATATGTGTATGTAAATCACGGTACAGTTGATGGTGATAATCCAGTGAAATGTAAATGATTTATTATGTTATTTTGTTCTTTTATTGACCCACAGGAGCAGGTCCAGAATGTATTTAAGAGGGTGAGTTTTCTACCTCAGTTCCTGAAATTTGTTTTATTTGTCATGTTTTCCCAGCAGCATCTCGCTGACCTGATTATTTCTCTCTATTTAGTTCCTGTTTCATTACTCTAAAGCACGCAACTCTGTGGGACCTGTGCAGCAGGTGGAGGTGAGCAGAGAAACAAACTAACCACACATGGTTTTGTAATCAAAAGATGGACAAGATTATAGCTCCTTCACGGTGAAGCCACAAGATGTAGAGCTGACTGCCTGTAATATTGAATTTCCCTTTGGGGATCGATGGAGTTCTTCTTATTCTGCAGGTCATAAAGCCTTCTCAATATGAACAGATGGGTTAAATCAATATCAATAAATCAATATACATATACTACATACAGTATATGTATTACAACACTTTAAACAGTGTCTCTTCTTTTAAGGAATTTGGGTTGAATTAAATGTCAAGTAATTAATAAAGGTTTTTTTTTCTATCACAAAATGAAACACTTGATCTGTTATATCATTTGAAGTTGATTCTTGTTAAAACTAATTCTTGTTCCTGCTCTTCTCTCTTCCAGTCTCACTCAGTTCATCCTTTGATGCGACTTTCCCCCAAGCTGGCCAAAAGGAAAAATAAGAAAGTTCTGCTTTTGGTGAGAAAATTGAGATAAATACTCATTCTTAGTTCTCAGCCTTAAAATTTTAGCTCTCAGCTTTCAGTTTTTGGGACATCAAAAGATACTAAGTGTTGACAGGGGCTGGAAAGTGGCACTGAACAGACAGAGAAACAAAAAAAACATAGTTAAGAGGGACAAATTTATACCAGAAAGCTTTAGAGCTGCTTCGTTTCCAAAATCGCTCTGCAATTGCATCTAATTTTTCTTGACTTTGTGTGGAGTTATATAGAGTACTATACAACCTGGCAGCGGCACATGTAGATTCCACCAATGGCTGTAAAAGTTTGCCAATCTTCTTTGAGTGGATTCTGCAAAAGTAAAAAGTTGTTCACCAGTTTTAAGCAACTAAGAAGACCAAGGAGAAGTCACACAAATCTCACTGAGCAGTTGGCTGTTATAACATTTTTATCACCTTTTGACATAAGTGAGGAAAAACACAAACAAAATGTAAAGAGAATTAGCTACCAGTGTTTTTATGTATGAAAAAGTCAAACTGTTTTTGAAGGGATTCAACAGTGAAGAGGTGATGAAGAAAGCCAGTGTTAATCCTGTTTAATTCCATCAATGTTTAAAGTTAAGTTGACTGCTGTCACTGACATCTTTCTCCCTAATGAAACAGAAGATTCGTGGTCTGCCAGAGGGGATGTTGTAGAATGAAAAGGCTACAAAAACAAGAGGATACAACAGAGTTAACAGAAGAGCAGGCAGCACCCTGAACCTAACAACGAAATCAACTGGTGGAGCAACACGTCTCTGGAGAAATTCAACTTCTGTACAGATGGAATAATAGACCTGCACTGCCGCTGCAGCCATGTGTCTTCCTGCTTCCAAAGTCAATGTGAACCGCTCCCAAGCACAAATTTGGCATGTTGGCACCGTAGCACAAGACACAGGTGTCAAAAAATCCTTAAGGTGTTCAAAGTCATCTCTCTAAGAGATCCTTTATATTCACAAATACTGACAACATGCAAACTTAGGAAAAACACAGGCACTTATAAATGTGGCAAAGAGATGAACTCACATTTAATTCAACAGATTTAAATGTACATGTACATTTGTGACATAATTATCATGAAATATAATAAAAATCTTAAAACTCGTCTTCGCTGCTTTTGGTGATGGGGACGGACATTTTGTTGAATTTACAAAAGAGTGACTGGCTGTTTTCCCATTTGTCCACAGAAGGTACAGAGGGCTTTGTGGTTCAGCAACAGGGTGTGATTCTTTCCAGTAGGAAGTCCCAGCCAAGATCCCTTGAGCAGGACTGAACCCTGTTTCAGATTCAGATCTTAATATCTAAAGCTCCGCTGGTTGTGTCCCATGAAGAGACCATTGGGAATTTCTATTTTGGAGTATCAGGGGTTTCTTTTCTAATAGTCCTCGTCCTCAGAGTCACTGTCCTTTCGTGTAGGCATCGAACATCTGATTGATGTCATGAGCTTGTCTTCAATTTGCTTTTTCGGGTTTTCCTCCAGGTCTGTTTTTACAGCTCCGGACTCTGATAACCTCCACTCCAGCTCTGGGAAGGACAGAAAGGACAAATTAGACAAAAAAATCATCATATTTATAAAATATGATGAGGAGAACAGAGTTTGTTAGAATTTTGAATTTCCATATGATACAAAAATCAACTGAGGTTTTAAGCTTGTTTAAATACCACAGCAACAATCTACATTACTTCAGATATATCATGGTGGCCTTAAAGTTTATTTGCTGACATTTTTTTGCCAGGAACTAAAAGCCTACCTTCAATTTTTAGGTTCATGCCCCCAAACACCAGTGGTCCGATGAACTGGGCCTTCATCTCCCCCTCGAAGTAGACGAAGATGGTGGGCAGGTTGCGGTCTGGGTAGTTGGGGATGCAGGTGGTGGAGATGGACTTGAGGAACTTGGTCTGAGGAAATTTGCGGGCTAATGTATTCAGGTGCTGGTTGATGAGCGTACACAGAGGGATGCTGGGAAAAACATGAAGGATTACAATGAAACGACACAAACTCAGCTCAGATCTTAGATCTTATATATGAAATATTCCCCAAAGCCTTCCAGTTTTTTATGTTTTTGTTGTTTCATTCTCACTGGGTGCAAGATGTAAGATTACACTGCATGCCCTACCCCTGTTTGTAGAGGTGCAGAATCACCCAGATGCCGTCTCCAGCCTTGTTGACCTCCTTGACATAATCCTGTCCAGAGATTTCCATCATCTCACCGAAGACGTTCTTCATCTGAGTTGCCTTCCACTCTGCAATACGCTGTTGTCTGCAAGGAGACACAACTCATTATAAAGTGATGTCCATCATAAGTCTAAATGTCCTGGTCAGATGCAATTACTGCGGTTTCTTTGTGGACGAGACCCCCTCCACTCACCTGTACATCTCAATAGCAGCTTCGTCCTCTTCACCAAACTCATCTTCATTCTCCTCCAGTTCTTCCAGTGTCATATCCTCATATGTTTTTACTTTTCAGAAAAAAAAAACAATCACAAAAGGCTTCAGTGATCACTTGAAACTACTTCATATTTTTATATATTTTTTATTTTTACTTCTGCGGTTACAACAAAAAAATGTGAATTAAGTTAATCAGGGTTTTATTTAAAAGTAGAGAAGTGAACTTTTTCTATCAAGCAACACAGAAAGTGACATGCAGGTATATTTCCAAATATCTCCCGTACCGACAGACTGCTGTTGGAGTGCCAGCTCCTCCTCTTCATCATCTTTGGGTACCTCTTTGGGAGGCAGGATACCCTTTTTCCTCAGGATATCATTCCACTCTGTGTCTTCATTTGGGTCCTGGGAAATAAAACCGAATACAAAACCAGTTACTTAAAGTGTCTCTAAACACAAGTATGTGAAAACATAATTTTAGCCTTAATAAACTAGGAAAGAGCTGACAATAAAGTCTGATTTGTTTGTTAGGAAGAGGATTAAGGAAACCCGGTCCTAATCCAAAACCACTGCATCTTGACTTGTCAGACATAGACTAGACGAGATAATCCCAGAATTTAAGATCTGTGAATCCTTTATTTTATGTGTGATAGTACAGAAAAGGGGAACTTTCTCTTTTGCTTTTGTAACCTGATCCACGGTCGTCCAGAAGTGATAAAAATCTACCTCTTCTACTTTTTCACATAAGGAGTACACTCCTCAAAGTATAAAAATGGTTTTAAAGAGTTGTTAGTTGATCTGGGATAATACAGTCCAGCTCTGATAAGTCTAGGTGGGACTAGTCTGAGGCTGTGTTAAAAATGTCTGTAATATCCCAAAGAGTCCCAAAGTTTCTCTGGGATAGTATAGTTTCACGTACAGAAAAAAAAAACTACAGGTACAGTGCTTCCAGATTAGCTCCTCAGACTCTTCTTAATACCTTACATACATGTAAAACATACTAATACTACTACCAAAAGTGCTCCACAATAAACAGACCCTGCCCATTTCCGTTATAAAAATATGCCTAAGGTATTAGGGCGAAGGGTGAGTGAGGTTTGATCAGGTTTTACTCTTATTCTGAGTAACTTTAAGATGTCAAGTGAGGTCAGACCTCAGTTAGCCAGAGTGAAGCTAACATTTTAACGCCCTACCGCACTCCGTACTCGTAATTAAACCTCTATTCTTAAAACCATCACAATATTATCACCGGCATCAGTCGACAGTAAATAACTGTAGCCAAATACATCAGAATTAGGCGCTGAAGAGTTTAAAAAACCGTTACAAACCTGCATTTTGTCCGATAAAATCCTCCTCTGAAATCACACCACTGCTCTCCTCCCAGACACGGAAACAGAAGGAGCGTCGACGGACCGACTCCGGCAGAAAACAAAAACCGACGGCGAATTTAAATAATTATCAAATACATTAAGGGTTGAGATAGCCCCTCATTCATCAACAATGTATAAAATAAACACAGGCTGTAATTTTGATTTGTTTAACAAGATGATATTGCTTATTGATATAGGCTTAAGAGTACAAGGAACCAACACTCTACGAGGGGGACAATAATAAAAGACTCACTAACTTCCGTCTGACGCTGATTGTGACCATATAAGGAGTTGAAGCGCAGCATTCCATTTGTGGAAACCCAACAGGTGGTGTTGGTCATACACACGCACGTGCTCACCCGTTTAATCAAACTTATCCCCATTCTTCTTCTTTCTGAAAATTTTGTTGCTAATTAGCCGCTATTTTTGTTGTTATTTTTGATTCACTCTCCAAATGAAAATAAATAAAATTATGAGAAAATAAAAAATAATAATTTTGGCCAGGATGAAATGTACACACTGACAATTCACCTGAGAGGACAGTTTATTTTTTTGAAATTTATTTTTGTTAAATGATAACACAGCAAAACAATGTGTATCTGATGATGTCAATGTAGAGAACAAACTCAATATTTACCACTTAAATCTAAAACGCAAATGCCAAAGTAAGGAAACAACGTTATTCTACTATGTAAATGAACTACTTATCAAAAACTGGTTTAAGCTAAAAGTAAGTAACATCAAATTCACACAGAAAAGATTTAAAGTAATTTTTTTATCTGTACTTGAAGGCTATATCCTGAGTCCTAACTTGTCTAACTACAAACAAAAGCGATCAGATCTGTTTTCATCTAAATTCATCAGCCCCCCACATTGAGATATATCAACCTCGTTTAAGCCCCCACCAGTTCTACTTTCCTGACTTCTTTTTCTTCTTCTGCTTTTGAGATTCACCACTCAGTACGAGTCATGTTGTAGTCACATGACTATTGGTAATGTGTGATGATGACCAGACGCCCCAGATTCAGTGTGTTGTGTTGTTTTGGTAGCTTCACTAAGTGACATTACAGAAAGATCTGAATCTTTAGTTGTCAGAGGTGAGATTTATGTCAAAAACCACTTGGTTGCTCCTGGCTAGTTTAAGCTGTCTTTGCATTCTGTAGATTGCAATTTTTAAAGCTCCAGTAAAGAACTGTAAGAAGTGTCGTTCAGCAAAAACAAAAAAAAATCTCATCCTGCTGACTTTTGACAGGCAAATCTTTTATTTATTGTAAATATTTTGTGTGAGAATTGTAAAAATAGAACTGTTTCTCCAGCTGCTTGGCTGACACTTACCTCCTGACACTGCTTTCAGACGTAAACATGATGATATACATTTTTCTGTCTTGTCCCTGATGATCTTGTTTGCTTTTGGATATCCTGAAAAGACATGAATATAAATTTTAGTCTATTTCATAAAAATAAAAAAAAATCCCCACCACACCTTTCAGCAGCTTATTCAAAACAAAACTTATGAGTGAATATTTCCTTTTTTGATCATTACAGTTGCCACTCTGTTGCATAACATGTCTAAGTTCAAAAATTATCTCTGTATACAAAAATATTGCATCCAAGTAGATTTGATTGTTGTAGATGTATTGTAAAAGGTAAAATGCTGCCATCTATCAGTGTTTGTGTGTATATGTGTGCACAAACAGTAGTTGGTGCCATCCCTGCATAAAATAGTACCTCAATTGGGCCACCCAGGTTAAAAAAGTCTGAGCATGCCCCTGGTAGTTTAACAGAATTGAAGAGAATTAAATAAATCTTTGTTGATATTGTTCTGAAACAGCAAAAGGCAGTGTAGAAGCTCTCTAGCAATGACAGCACAGCAAACAACATTGAAAACACAACATGAAAGGCACTGTGGTCCAAAAACATACAGTTAAATCACTCTGGATGATCCACAACACCACCTAAGGCTTCAGTAGTAAAATGTCCAATGTGGGTAGGAACACTTTTATGAAGCTAAATCTCTGTGAATTTCTGTGACACAGCAGAAAATAACAAAGAGTTCGCTCTCGTAGCTTTTAATGTGGTCTTTCATCGATGGTGAAAGATTAAAAGAGTAAACCTTTGTAAGAAAATGAACCTGCGGCTTACCTGAACGCTGAGTCAGCCAAACAGCCAATCACAGGAGAGCTGGTGGATCTCAGCCGGAACTGGCGGAAGGGAAAGTTGGTGAAATGCGGAAGAAATAAAATATAAAAGAAAGAGCTCTCACTCCGTCACTAATTTTCAAGAACCACTCTCATTATACAAAACGGTGTGAGTTCGTTGTTTCTTTCTGTAGACTGGAGCCATTGCAGATCACCAGCAGTATTTTTTTCTGTTTTCTGTTATTTCACCATCTATTTTACAACAAAATCAGTAAATACACTACGACAGTTTTGACACAAAGTATTTTGGGGTTTCACTGCAGTCCTCAGCTGGGGGTTATTTTATGTGAAAGCATTTGAAATAATTTCTTTGTCTTTTATTGAAAACGTCAGATCAGGCATATACTTTGGATGTGTGGTTGTTAAATAACTGTAAGATTCTGGAACTTGGACTTCAAGTTTTTTCTCTTTAGTGAATAAAATCATTGATTTAACTCAAACAGTGTTTGAATAGGACAAAATAATCAGTAATTTATTCAGGGACCAATCCAGAATGTGAGGTAAAATGTGTTTACAAATTAAGGTTGCAAATCTAAAATTTGGGTTTACAATTTCTAATTTTTTTAGGACCTGCTTTATTTATTGAATGTTGGCATAACAGTGTGACTTTAAATTTGACCACATTTGGATAGGCTACTTGTTTTTCATAGTTTTTTGTTTTGATCATCAAAACGGTCTGATAAAACTCTAATTAGTAGCTTTTCAATGTTGTTTTTGTAAGATTTGAAAAGATCCACTTAAAACTAAGGCTCAAAAATTGCTAGTTGTTTACAGTGCTTTTTTTTGCAACAAGACATCTCAACTCAACTCAACTCAACTATATTTGTAAAGCACTTTAAAACAACCACAGCTGAACAAACAACAACACAGACATACAAAACAATAAAAAAAAAACAATTAAACAATGGATAAAATAAAAGCAGATATTAAAAAGTTAAATATTGTTTCAATGTTTTTAAAAACTAATTTAAGAACAATAAAAACAAATGACTAAAAACAAACCATAAAACGCTAAAACAGGAGCTAATGCAGGGTTGAAAGCCAATGAATAAAAATGGGTCATGGGACATAAACAAAAGTCTCAAATTAAATGTATTTTGATTGGGGAAAACGTTTTTTTCCTCCTGTGATTTAACCATCAAGTAGGTTGAAAGACTCAAAGCCTGGCATTAAAGAAAAAGACGTACTCTTTAAAAGTTGCAATTTCATTTTTTTAGATAAGTCGATTATTGATCAAATCTGAGAACATTTTGGCTTTTTATTACAAAGCATTGACACTCATTAAAACCTCAGGTATCCATTTTTTTTTTTACAACGGAGTGCGTCATCTGTTTATATAGACGATCTTTGGCTGGTGTGTACAGCTGCTGTAAATCGGGCGTGAGGGAGCAGACGTGAGGCAAGGAAGTGTGGAACCTGCAGCTGACCGGAGCGCAGGAGAAAACATGGAGAAACCCGAAAACCCTCCACTTTAGGGATTACCCAACCGCTTCGGAACTGGAGGACGAGCGGGGAAAACTTTCTACACCGCCGCTACAAGGACCGAGACGGCGGAGGGTTTCCCCCGGTCCCTCCCTGCTCCCTACAATATGTGGCTGAACCCGGAGGAAGTTCTGCTGAAAAACGCTCTGAAGCTGTGGGTGACCGAGAGGAGCAACGACTTCTTCCTCCTGCAGAGGAGGAGAGGCCATGGGGAGCCGACAGGCAGGTTCACAGGTAAGAAAAACGGACATTATCGAGTAAAAAAGAGAAGTTAAGGGAAGGCCAGGGGGTCAGTCCAGGCTGGACTACAGGTAAACAATAAAAATACAGGATAAACGAAGAGACAGTAGCTGTCAGAATGAAAAGAGAACAACAAAATATCAAAAACAAGAACAAGAAAGACCACAAAGAGCCCGCACATATGTACACAGGTAAACACGGGGGTGTGTCCAAGGGAGTTTCCCAGAAAAGAAAGAGTTAACTGCAGATTTTCTCAAACTAATCTGGGATTTTACTATCATGGGGTTGACGGGAACCCCCTACAATCTTTGTGTTACCATGACAACTGAAATGACTCTCATATCCTTAAAGTGGGCCGAAACTCTAAAGTGAACTATCTTCAACGTGGAAAAACTTTCTTACCAGAACAGAAATGACTGAAAATATCGAAAAAATCTGAAAAAATACTCAATGCAACCGCAAAAATGTCACCTTTCATGGAGGAGAATGTTTTACATAGGGGTCTCATTGTGAACAAGTATGAGAATAAATGATATGATGAAAAAAAGTTTACATACGTGATTTATAAATTACATCAATTTGAATCCAGATCATGCAAAAGTAATGTGATGCTTTGTTTAATATTTAATTTCAGCATCTTCGATGTAAGAATTTTCCACCATTTCAATCTTTATTTTGCATTATGGAGGTAAACTACATTATGACATCTTTTGTGGGACCTCCTTTTGTTAGAAAGATGTGCTGTGAAATGGGTCTGAGTCTTTTTTTGTATTCTTGTTTATATATCAAATTAGTTTTTGTAATTTCCATCCAAGAAAAACTCACATCTATGCTTTTTTTAAAATGAAAATACGACTCTGTTCTCTCCCTCAAACTCACACTTAGACTTTACCGAGCATAAAATAAGCATAAAACTATGCCTGCAAGTAATGCCTTGTTTGCATCGTCATTACTTTTTTATTGTTTTTGGTTTTCTTTTTATGGTTTCAGGCGGTTGTCCTCAAAGCCAAGGACGGTCTCCTCGAGTGTCTTAAAATATTCAGATAACTGCCCTGGAGCTGTAACAAAAACAAGAGAAAAACTCCCATTCAAGAAGCTGAATTCTGACATTTTTATTCATAGAAAAGTTTCTTAGTAGTCAAAATAATACAAAAATAGTTGGTTGTTTTATAAACAGTTGAAAGCACATGGATTTATTGATACATCTTTGCAGAAAAACTTTGCAATATTTTCTTGGTTGAAACCGTTCCAGTGGTATTGTCATGTCTCTACAGGACACAACTGTGCCATAAATATCATCAGGCCATTGTTTAGAAAGTGGACACACTGAGTCCTCTCTCTTTTTTTGGACTTTTGCCTCACGAATCCTCAAAACAATCGCAGTTTATGCTTTGCCCAAATCTGGAAAACTGTTATTTCTTGTCAAAGGATCACAGCTTTTGTCAGTAAAAATTCTGCTGTTTTTTCCCTATCTATGAAGTAAATGTTGGACCTTGCAGGACTTGCTTTCTGTGCATTCAGTGAGTATTATGGAAATCATTGACCCTGTGTTTGTAGCAGCTGTAGGTTGTCTGACTCTTCCCACCGCTCTGAGCTCCAGCTGTCTTCTGACGGTGTTGCTGTTTCCTTTGTCTCTTCCTCCCTGTGTTTTGTATCCGAACAATCTGACAGTGATCTGCACACTTAGTGATGAGTGATGTCTCTTATTATTAAAGCAGACACACACAGCTCATAAAGTGTCTTCTTTATGTTTTCTGGAGAAACTCTGCTGTATCTCCTCTCATAAAACTGAATAGTAGGAACTTCCTGACCGGGGTTTGCTTTGTGTTTGTGTTTGCTCCCTCTGTTCCCATGACGAGAGGGGTGAAAGGTCAAGTCCTGTTGTCAGATCGTTCAACATTAACTGAGTCCTTTACTTTGCATTCCTTCCACACAAGCAATGGAAACAACAAAGAGAAGTTTTCTTTTATTTATGTATTTTTTGCCTTTAGTTACACTACAACAGAAGTTTACATGGTCATCAGTGGTCAGTTATTTCACCAGTTTTGATGATAAGTATACAACCTTGAACTGGAACATGTAATACTTTCATTTTAGAAAAAGAAAATGCTTGTAGATACATTACATGAGTGTATGTTTGAAGGAAATATTTGAATGAAAGTTGACCATTACGGTGGAATTGACCTTTCACCCTCTGAGATTTAATCAAATTCAGTTTTATGAAGAAAGTAATCTATTCGGTTACAAATATTTAATGTTTCATTGCACCAAAGTAGCGTTTTGTGCAATATTCTTGTAATTATTTGCAGATGATAAATGATGTGACACAGAAATATACAATAGGGTTTGATAGGATTCAGAGCCGGTCCAAGCCTCAATGGGGCCCTAAGCAAAATTTGATTTTGGGGCCCTCTATTTCTGCCAATAATATTGATTGTTGATCATTCACACACCTTCACAAATCTCTTTGATTAACATTCCATGACATGCAAACATACCTTTATCTTGGCGTTTTTTTTTTCTTCTTCCTCTTTCTCTTCTCTGCTCCTGAAGGATATGTCCTTTTTTGCGACATTGTTTTGCCCCAAAACTACCTACGGTTTGGATGCTCAGTGCACATTGCACAGCAGGAGGGACATTTGTGTTTTTAATTTATTTTATTTTTATACTAATATATATTTGATTATACAGAAAGCATCACTCAGACATGCAAAAATAAAAAATATTTCAAAAAAAAATTTTTTTGATTGCTCTTGGGGGCCCCCTATTGGCCGCGGGGCCCTAAGCAGGCGCTTAATTCGCTTATCCCTTGGGCCGTCTCTGATACGATGCAATATATAATTGATATGATATGTTACAGTGGTATATTACATATGATATACTTATAATATGTAACATACATACACTACTTAAAGTTACATATACTATATGAGATGGCATCATACTATGAGAAGATTTAATAGAGTACAATTCAAAATACCTTATGATATGATATGGAGCGTTTTTATACAATAAGGCTTGAAATGATACAGTAACAAAACAACTACAATTCAATATGATTTGATGGTATAATCATTATGGTATGATATGATACACTACCATATGGTTTTAAATGATTTTTGACCATTTTCTCATAAGACATGACATAAATTAGAAGTTCAGTTTTTTTTCCTGGGTCAGACTCCTTGTGTTTGCTTGAGAAAAAACTGCATTTTAAGAAGTTTGTTTCCAATTGTGTGGGAAAAAACATTAGTGTTTAAGAGTAATCATAAGATCTGCACCCAAAATTTCAGGTATCAATATTAGGTATATTTCTATAAAAAGTAATAGAAGTAGAGACTGGTGTTTAATATTCTGTCAAAGCTGTGAAAATAAACTTTCAGCAGCTCTTTCACTCGGTGATGACATAGTTTCAGCAGATTTCTGAGAAGGGCTGGGCAACTTAACATCTGCAGCCCATCAGCTCCTTCATACCACTACCTTTGTTTTTACTACTTACAAAATCATTTGAATGGGAGCCCTGCTGTCTGTATTAGCCAGCTTGAATTTAATGCACTCTCAGAAATCTGTTCAGCTTCACTTTATTTATGAGGCAACTTTTACACAAACAAGCAGCCTGGAGTTCCTCGAGCAGCTATGGTTACAGACTGAAACACAGAAAATGGACCCAAATGGATGAAAAAGACACAATTTAGCATAGATAAAAAGATATCAGAGTAAAATGAAAGAAATTATAGTAAAGAAACGAGCAGGCATGTGCAGAAACATCATGATTAGTGATGAAAATTAAAAAAGATAACACTCAGATTAGTAAGCAAGTATGTGGAAAAATGAGGAAAAGTCAGGTTCAGGTTTTAAAAATGCTCAAAACCTTCAACTAAAGTAAAGCATAACCGAAAACAGACATACAGCTATTAAGTTCTGATGTAAAAAGACATTATAGTCCCTCAGAAACCTTTATACTCAAGACCTTTAGAAAGGTTGACATGAGCCGTTATGTCTCCACAGAAATATCACCCTAACAATGTGACCATGAACAAAGAAAGATGTTTATTCATATTGAGTCTCTCTTTTTTGGAAGCCTCACAGTGTAAACCCCTTTAGGGCTTTGTGGTGACAGATGGATGGCTTTGTGTTGCCTGGCTGCCGGGTTCACAGCTCCAGGCAGGTCGACTCTGACTGTAAGATGTGGTTTACACTTGGCTAAGAGCCAGAAGCTGTCTGCTGCAGGAGACTTTATCTTCTCATTTCAACGTCATGTGCTCTCTGTGGGCTATAGTGCTCCTGGAATGAGGCTCACAACAGATACAAAAGATTATAAAACTCATAAGAATACTCTTAAATATGCAGGAAAGCCTCTTAAAAGTCTTTTTACTCTCACTGGGCTGTAAAAGCCTCCAAAGACTGCCTCTCAGATGACATACTTTCAGGGTTGGTTGAGCAGTTTCACTGTTTGTTTTACAAGCTCTCAGTCCTGAAGCTGTTGAGTGAAATCATGAAATTGTAGTCCTGTTTGTAGGAGAACCGAGAGTCACTCCTCTTCCTCTTCTCTCCTTGTGTTAGTTGTTGAAGTTGGATGTACATTTTGTCCTTCCTTGTGCAGCAGACCAGGCAAGTTAACCACAGAGATAGAAATCTGGCGGTCCTCTTTGACGTACAGGTTGTACTTTGCTGTTGTCGTGTGGCTTTGGCTGATAATTCCGCCTCAAAAGACCACAAATTTAAAAGTACAGCTATGTGAAAAATATTTATGACAAAGCGCGAAAACTTTCTAGAGGAAAGTTTGACATGGGAATGTAACTTTAGTAGAGGTCTGACTTTAGTCCTGAAGTGCTGACTAAAAACGATAATTATCCGACCCACATTCCCGTCATAAAGCTCTGAACCAGCCAATAACAGACCTCTACAGCAGAGGTATCATGATGCATCAGCTCCATACACATTTATGTACCAAAGTTTGGATGACACAACAGCCCATCTGAAGTAAAGTAAAAACTTTTTGGGCTCATCTGACTGATGCATCGCAGTATAAAGCCTGCCTCCTCCATGTTATCAGATGGGACATGGCTAAGACTTGAAAATTAAAATACGCCATAAATGTGATTTTCTTCTGTTGTATCATTTACTTCTTCTTGCCATGCTGATTTATGTGCAAGTATTTTTCTTCAGCTCAGTTTAATCTTAGTTGTAATGCTAAAAGGAGAGGATGTGATGTCATGATTGACAGCTATGTTGACAAATGCAAGTGCATGCAGTTTTCTTTACTGAATTAGCAGTATAGAAAAAACACAGTGAAAGAAAACCTAAAGAACCTTCCATAACTGTGGGTGTTTGCTTTAGACTGATGTAAGAATCTCTTCTTCTGTGGACTGTACCCACCTGATGGTTTTGGCATGAGTCAATATAATCAAATACAGCTCCTACAGCATTTTATCCTTGGATGTAATATATAGGATGCAAATCTTAAAAAGGCAGTTACTTACCAACTGGAGTGTGAAGGTCCTTTGAATTTTTAATGGTTTGAATCCACATTTAAAAGTATTTTATGCATTTTGTAGAAACATGTTATAAATTATTTACTGTTCTAAACTCACCAAATATATCATATTTTAAAGAAGGTAATATACTGCACTGAAGTTTTGATAGGTAACCAAAAACCAAGACACTTATATGTATAAAAGCTTTAAACTTATGAGTGGAAAATGATTTCTTTTCATGGGTGACTCCAATCCTAACTGAATCCCTTCATGATGAAATTTGGACATCGATGCTTGTTTTTTTGTTTGTTTTTTATTTAAGCTGTCTCCATACTCCAGGGCAGGATATTTTTTGCCCTGACACACAGGAAGTGTAGAATTAAAGCATTCCCATGAGTGCTGTTATTGGAAGAGCATGACGCAGGTTAACCTTAGTTTGGACAGATAAGGAAATGATGACATGAGCTTCTCTCGACTCAAACTCTTTTTAGACGGATGAAAATGTAGATCTGTGTGCTTCCCATGTGTTAGCTTTACCCCGTTTAACATGTCAGATTTCTCTCCTGATCTTAAGCACAAAATCTGTTTGAATCTAGTGGTTCATTAAGACAAGTAAACACTTTTCTACCTGTGCGAGGTCACATACTGAAGTTTTATTTGTTTAGAGTCTCATCTGGAGTGGGATCTTGATATCCTCTTTTGCTTTCTGTGTGTTTTAAGAACCTGTTTTTGGAGCTCTCTGTGGCTCTTCTCTGTCCTCATACTATAAGGTCAAGTAAATATGCGTTTAGATAAAACAGTTCTGATTTCAGAGAAGGTTTCAGTTATGCTTCGTCAGTTTTCATATATTTTATTATGTAGTAGATTACAGCGCTGTTACTGAATGAACTATGGTCTAAAAACTAACTTGGTAATGAAGAACTGGTGTCTGTATATGCACTGATAATAACTTTGATGACTGTAATACATGAGAAAATGTTTAAACCGGCAGCTGAGTATAAAGGAACAGAAACTTTCAGTCTCTTCATATATTTGAATCTTCTCTGGTTCTTGCAGAGCAGCTCTCTCAGCGAGTCTGCCTGTTGATGCACGCTGGTGTCGTGTAGCTGTGAAATATAACTGTCATTGTTTGAACTCTTCACCTCTTTGTGAAGCTACAAAATGAAACTGAAATATGACATGACTCACATGACTTAGTGAGAGAATCATTCACTGAACACCTCGTTCATGTGACATGGTTGTTGTTCTTATTTAGGTGGTTTTTTTTTTTTAACATTCCTTATTATTCTTCTTGGCTAACCTGTGACCAAGATTCGTGTGTTTTTCTCAGAGAGTGTAAGAACTTGTTTTGATTTTCAGATTACAGGTTTTGGTTATGTCTGGAGTGGCTTTTGATATAAAGAAGTTAGACAATAAAATTTCATCGACAGTCAATCAGTTTTTATTCGAAAGGGGGAAAATTCCAAACAAAAGTTGTATCACGTCACTTCAGGTCTAGATTATGATACTGGAAAATGCCAGCTAACAAAAAGTTACCTGTTTTTTTTCTCTAATATATGGTTTTATTATTAATTTATCCCCAGTTACATTCTCTGTGTTATCTCTTAAGGTCTCCTGGTGGGGGCGCTGGATACAGTGCTGGACTCCAATGCCAGGGTCACACCCTTCCGCATCCTCCTCCAGGTCCCTGGCTCCCAAATCAGCTGGGTGATTGCCAGCGGTGAGCTCAACTATCCTCCTATCTGTCTTTACTTTCGACTCCTCAGCTGTCTTCTTTTATCAGGACGCAGCAGAGACTCAAGTGTTTTTTTCTGCCCAGAAGAGTCTTGTTTTTCTCTCTTAAAGATTTCTGTATTTTCCTGTATCTTTGATCAGTACATTTCACCCTCAGATATTAATTTTTATTGTTTTTGTCTTTCAGGTGCTGCCATAGAGGAGGTGACCAAGCACTGGGACTGGCTGGTCCACAACCTGCTTCACTCTCTGTCCGTGTTTGAGAACAAGGAGGATGTGGCCAGCTTTGTCCGGGGAAAAGTCAGGGTATGAGAGCTGCTCTTCCTGTTTAAAAAAGGCTGAATACATTTGTTTAATGAAAGTGACTGATTCAACCTAGACTCTTAGAGCAGAGATGAAGCGCTCTCCTTTCTGTAGGGTCTTATCGCAGAGGAGGTTCGAGGTCGCCAGGCAGCCCAGGAGGAGGACCCGCAGAAGTTCAGGGAGGCTCTGATGAAGTTTGAGCTGCACTTCGGCCTCCCCTCCTCGGAGAAACTGGTGACGTACTACTCCTGCTGCTGCTGGAAGGGCCGGGTGCCTCGGCAGGGCTTCCTCTACCTCAGCATCAACCACATGGCCTTCTACTCCTTCCTGCTGGGGAAGGAAGGTCTGTACACAGAAGTGAGAGCTCTGATTCTTAAACCGAGGGAATACAATCATTTAGAAATAAATTCCCGTTAAAGAATTAACAATTATGATACCATGGCCACAAAAGAGGACACACAGCAGGCCTACAGGGGCGTGACTTCAGCTGAATCAAACCAATCCAGCACCTTCCTGCATGTTTGTTCGGAGATGTAGATGCTTTTAGAAGTTCTGAAGAGCTTCACTGATGTCAAACAGTCTGAAAATAACTTTTCATTTTTCAGTTTTACCACTTTCTATCGGTACTCTTGCTCTTAATATTATCTTTATTGATTAACCACCACAGCTCTCTTACTTTTATCACTCACAGCAGCTTTTGGTTGAAAATCTCAGTGTGGATCTTTTTGTAAAAGGCTTTGTTGTTTTTTGATACCATCAAATGTGAAAAATAATGGATATTCAATCAATTTCAAGTATCATAATTTTAGACAACCGTATTTCCAAGTCATTCAAACAGTTTAATTTTATATACCGTCATTGTTAGCAACCTTATGCTTATGTTTGCATGCTCTGTACATTTCCTTTAGGTCAGAACAGATGGGGAACTACTTTTGATGAATAATAGTCATGTACTTGCTTCGAAATTTGCAAAGCAAGTTGAGATAGAAATAGGAGACTGTTGCAGTTTTTACAAGTGTTTCCATAGGTTTGAATAGGAATCTTGAAAAATACGCTTTACACACCTTTTCTTTGACTTTTAAGGAAAATGGACAAGTGGTTGTTGTGAAATCTTGTGGACAAACAGTAAAGAGCGTGAGCTTCATGGTCTTGATATGAATGAGCAGATATTCGTAGATGTTTCCAAAACATTTCTGCATAATTTTCTGAGGTCTTTTGGTTGCTGTAATATGCCGTCAGTCTAAAGATATACTTCATCTTTTCCCTCTCTTTATTCTCCAGTCAAGTTTGTGATTCCCTGGGCGGAGGTCACACGGTTGGAGCGGGTCTCCACCGGTCTGATGACTGATGCGATCCGAGTCAACACTCGGCAGCGACAGAGGGAGTTCTCCATGTTCCTGAACCTGGAGGAGACATTCGGGGTCATAGGTCAGCTGGCTGACATCGCTCTGAGGCGGCTGCTGGACAGCGAAGGCCTGGAGCTGGACCGAGTCCTGCAGCAACCTGCACGCATCACAAAGAGGTCAGTGCTGATCCTGGTACTGGTACCATTATGAAGACAGCTTATTTGAACTTTTAAATTTGTTTTGGACACCTGTAGAGGGACTTGGGAGGGCAATGTTTACAGCATCCAAAAACCAAAGACTGAAAATAATTAACAGAAAGGATTTATAACAAAAAACAAAATGCAACAACTGGAACTAAAACAAATATAACTCAGGGTGAACAAAAGCCATCAGAATAAAAAAGAAGCAGTCTTTTGTTCTATAACTTGCCTTAAATATCGACTGAGATCGACTTGAAGGGGCTTTAAGCTGCCGATGACAGAAAGACAAAACAGGAAAAGGAGAGCGAGAGAGGAGCTCTTTTCTCACCTCTGCACAGCTGCACAATCACAGCTTGAAGAGGGTGTGAATGTTGAGTTATTTTTACAAAGAAGTTCCCCCGAATCTGTTGATGGTAAAAAGTGGGTGGACAGAGTTCCTAATGTTATCCAACCATCTGGAAAGTAGTTCAGAAGAGATACACAGGCAGATCAAGAATAGCCCATCCTATTAGTTTGAACTGATGTTGATATCTCAGACTACTCAGACAATTTTAGTGTAGTTCGAATATGCTCAATCTGGTTCCATTTTTCTTCAGTTTTATGCACACATTTTCATTTTGCAGTGGAAGACATTACTCTTTTCTTGCTTCTGCACCACTTGTAGCATGTTTTGAACATTTTCCATGCACTAAAGTATGTTTGCTTTCTCTATCCAAGAACAAATCAGTCAAAATTACTCTTTAATCTTGATTTTGTTATTTTGTTCTATGGTCAAAAGTGACACACTCACAGTCACACCTTTGTTGTTCTGCTGTTGACTCATTTTATCAATGTTTCTGTCATCAGATGTTACTACATGTGCCATAAGAACCACATTTCAGTAAGAGACACACTTGATCTTTGTCGCTCTTTTACTAAGAGTGTTTCACCTAAAATACCCCGGTGATACTCAGGTCATCTTATTTCTGTCTGTGTGAGAACCTTAAAACCAAAACAAGAAGCTGTGTGAAAAGTGAACCGAGCTGAAGGACAGATGTGCGAGTGGGTGACTAACCACATATGTAAATGTGTGTGTAGAAGTCAAAGTAAATCTATTTTTGCGTTTTCAGTTGATAGGGCTGAAAAGTCGAGGTATGCAAAGTTAAAAGGGGAAGATGAGAATGAAATCCAGCCAACATACGGTACTAACCACAGAGAGTTCAGAGTAAAACTGTGCAGAGTAGGAAGTCAAACGGGTTTCTGAATGAGAAAGTTATAAACAAAGAGAAGAGAATGTTGTTTTCTGTTTTAGATTTAGTCGTTCTGTAGTGAGCTCCTCTCTTTATCCTCCTAACTACCAACTTGGCCCTGATAACAGACATTATTGGCATTGTAAAAATGTCATAACACAAGTCTACTCCCTTATGTAAAGGAGTTATGTTGATTGAACTAATACACACATTAAAAAGAGATCAGGTTTAGCATCCACCAGGAAATCAGAATCCATTTTACTAATTAGAAAAAGGCCCATGGACGATCTGGACTATCCCGATCGTTGCACATTTTTCTCTTTCTGCAGATTTACCGTTTCTTTCAGAAAGTGTGCGCACACATTTGTTGAACACAGTGTCTTATTTGTGCTGGGCGATGAAGCAAAATAAGCTCATTTGTGTCTCAGTGAACAAAAGGACAAAATTAAAAAATCAACTCCCCGGGGTCCAAACAAACTTTGGCTGTTTGTCAAGTAGAACAGTACACTTCCTCTCTCATGATCGCCTGAGGAGCAGCCTCCAGTCCATACCTGACCCATATCTGTACATAACATGTGTGTGTTCTGCATTTTGGTCTCACAGAAGTGACAAATTTTACGAGGACTTACAGTCGTCCTTTGTTTTGCTAGACTCTGTCTCAGATGGAGACATTAAGTAAACCCCTCAACCAGAGATGGTTGTTTCGTAGACTAGTGCTGCATCACATGCAGATTTTTTTAAGGTCACAAGTCTGCCGAATTGCACCACAGTACAAAATGCCATCTGTCACCTGTGTGTTTACATCCAGGTAGTAGAGCATTGGCTATGCTACCAGGATCAGGCCTGCAGTGACAAAAACAAAGATTAATAATTTGCTGAAGTGATTATGGTGCAGTTTAGTGAAGGTGAAAAAATGGAATAGTAAAGCCTGTTAAGTCTGTCCTCATGTTGCCATGGTCACAGGATTTCAACCAGTGATCATGAGTTTTTCTTTTTCTCATTTGAGATGAAAATTACGGAGGGAAATGCCAAACTGGGCTCTTCAATTCTTCTCTGTTTTCTTTCTCATGATATTACAGCAGCCTGTCATACTAAATTCTGTGTCAAATAAAAAAATGTTCCTTCCTCATTCATAATTCTCCAGCAGCGGCCTGTTCATACCCACAGAATAAGTCACGCCAAATGAAAATAAAAGTTATTTTTGATCATGACCAACCAGCTGATTCACAGCCCTCTGCACCGTCATCGTTTTTTTCCTTTGCCCAAGATTTACTCATTATCTGTCTGGCAGTAAAGAACCAAAAACAAGCATTAAAATAGTATTTTATTTTTATCTCTGGTTGGATTGTGCTATAAACAAAATTTACAAAAGTGAAAAGACTCCACAAAATGAGATTAATTCTTCCAGAAGAATCCTTGTCGGAGTTCAAAATGTATGAAAGCTTCATCAAATTTCTGCCTGACATAAGAAGCCTCAGACTTAAGTTGTTTTGGTGGCCATCCCTGTGATTTAAAGCTAAGGATATTCTTTCAAGCATTTTCTTTGATCTGTTATCCTCCCATGCTTCACCTCTTTAACTCCCCGATCATCTCCTTCCCAGAATCCTAGAGGAACAGGCTCTGAGGGAGTATGTCCTGGCTCTGTTTCGGCTCCCTCGTAGTGAAAGACTCCATGAAGTGGCCTCCTGTTCGGTTTGGACTCCCCACGCACGCTGCCACACAACCGGGACGCTCTACACCACGGACAGCTACCTGTGTTTCTCCAGCCGAGAGGAGGGCAACTGCATCTTGCTAATACCACTCTCAGAGGTGAAACACCGACAGCAGAGCTTCACTGAATGTAACACAGTTTTTAAACAAAATTTCAACCTTTTCAGCCTGTTGACACTGAAAAAAAACTAAATTTTAAGTCACACATGAATGCTACATACTAAAGGCTGGTGAAAAACTGGTGATAATTTTTCCAGTTTTGTCAAGTGAAAACATCTGAGATAACCCTCAGGGTGATTCCTCCCAACAGCTCACAGGATAGTTAAGACTGAACTAGGACAGGTTCTATGAGTTATGAGATTTCACATGCTGCACTCTGAAACACGTAACTGTCTGAACAGCCATATAATTGATTTTTCAGGTCGTAAGTCATCAACGGCTTACTGTTAAGAGTCTAACGAGGAAGTGGGTAAAAGATTCAAAGCTCGCAGGTTCATTCTGCTCTAGTTAATGTGAAGGAAGAGACGATTACCAACATGAAAACCTGGTAGAGGTGTAGGCATGTTTTCCTGTCATTCAAGATAGTAACAAACGCCATTAAATAAGAGTGAAATACTCTAATTTAAATGCCCCAAAATCAGAATCTAGACAAGAGAAACTTTCCAGTCTTGCCTATTTTCCAGCATCTGTAAAAATGAAACCAGAGATTTTACAGTTTCACACACCTGCTGTTCGCCCACAGATACCTGATTTAAAACTCTTTATCTCTGAGTTCTTGAAGGATCAGTCGGTTTCCTGTAACTTTCATGTATGACAGCTGCTGGTAAAAGAGTAACTCATAAACAGGTTTAATGTGGGTCTGATGATCTTCACTCACTGATTCCTGGTTTTAATGGTGTTTATTTCCAGTAAGCCTTTACTTTGGATCATCACAACTTGGTTACAAGTTATCCCGAAACTTTTCAGCCTGCCATCCCCAGAATAACAGGACCAGAAGACGTGTACCCCCCGACTGTCCCTTTAGGTGGTCAAATTGTTGCTCACAGTAGTAATAGGCAGATCAAATAATGAACATAAGGACAACAATATTAATATACAAGGATAATTTGAAAGAATACTAGAAGAAAAATACAAGAAATCTTCATGTACAGACTGTAGTAGTGATGAGGGTTTTATACCGGCTTAGAGTTTAAGATACTTAATTTAAGTGGTTTGCAGAAGACCTGTTTCAGCTGATGCTTTCTTTAATCTGTCATAATCATCTCTGGGGTCATGTGGCAACAACAAAAAAACAGAAAGCCAGTGAAACGTTTCATGTGCATGATTTTATTTGAGATGTAACAACGATTTTACAATCATAGATCAATTTTATCTAATTTTTCTCTTCTTTGGGGGGCATATTGTGGGGCCTTTTATTGATGTATCTAGATGTGGAAATAAAACTATACTCCATCAGATCATCAAAAATTTATCCCAGAATAATTGTTGGCCTGTTTGAGTTCAGCTTCAATTATTTATGAGGAGCCATATTAGCAGCCAGATGGCCGGCTCTACATGAACAATGTGAGGAGTCATGCATACTGTCTTTCCTCCTCTCGGCGGTCAGATCCTTTATTTCCTCTTTTTTCTGTGGGAGCATTGTCTCTATAACAATCCCTGCCTCCCACCTGTTCCCGTGGAAAAGAGTAAATTCCCCTTTTGGTCTTTAACATCTGTAGTCTCTCATTCCTGCACTGTTGTGAAACCAAGGCTATAATTCAGCTTTCTGCTCTTAAAATGAGTTTGTGTTGCACTCATATTCATTTGATCCACCTCTCTTCTGTTTGTAATTATATTAGTATAAGGATGGTGATTGTGCTGTGTAAGGAAGTAGGGACTAATTTATTGCCTTCATTGAAAATCAGTTTCATTCCCAGTAGCTTCTCCTCTGCTGTTGATATTAATTGTTTGTATTTTTATTCTCCATTTTCTCATCAGGTGTTGTCCATAGAGAAAGCAGAGAGCACCAGCCCGCTTCCAAACCCGGTCATCGTGAGCCTTCGGACCAAAAAGGCCTTCCAGCTAATTGAGCTGCAGGACAGAGACGAGCTGGTGGAGAGCCTGAACTCCAGACTCAGAGCTCTGCAGTGGAAACAGTCCATGTTCCGCGGCAAGAAAGACGGCAAGAGGAAGATGGTACGCAAGATTTTCCTGCTCTGTTTGGATGTTCATTTTCAATGTTTCATTTCGAATGTCTCTAAATCACATAAGCTTTCCAGATAAGAAAACAGTTTTCCTGACAGTTGCACAATAGTTTTTCTTTGGTTTTGGAGCCAGACCCAAGTGGACACTAGAGGAACTGCAGTTTTTCCACTTGAGCATTTGCTTCATTTTTTTTTTTACCTCTGAGAAACCCCATTTAACAAGTCCAGATATAACATCTCATTTTTGTATTATGACTGGATTTTAATTCTACAATGTATGAAAGGAAATCTGAACCTGATCAGGGAAAATGTGTGTGATCTATTGATACTTAAAACACTGTTCAGATTGAATTTTTCCACATATTTTCCCTCAGAGCTCTCCAACACCTTACTACACGTTTTACTACGACACTGGGTACTCTGATGAAGAGGAAATAGAGGAGCAGGTTCTTCGTAACACCGTCAACAGCGAGGCTCTGATGACCGCCTTCCACCTAAACCAACCAGGAAACAACGGGGGCAAGGTAAAGGAGATCCTCATACCTGAGTAAAGATTTTCAGTGAGAACGTAGTCCAACAAGGAAGCATGTCTTTGAGAAAAACTGTAAAAAAAACCCACAGACTGGTAGAGGGTGCTCGAGGATGTTATTACAAAAGAGGATAAAGGCCACATAAAGAGAAAAAAATAATTACAGGAAGGAGGTTAAAGTCGAAATTTCGAGTTTAAAGTCAAAATTTTGAGATAACAAAATAGAAATTATGTCAATAAAGTCAAAATTTCAAGATTAAAGTTGAAATTTGGAGGTAAAAATTGAAATTTCGAGATTAAAGTCGAAATTTCAAGATTACAAAATGTTAAAATTTTGTGAATAATGTCAAAATTTTGAGAAAAAAAAATTAAAAATGTGAAATTAAAGTCAGAATTTCGAGATTAAAGTCAACATAAATAAAGTCGAAATTTCGTCTTTTTAAAATTTTGACTTTAATCTTGAAATTTCAACTTTAATCTTGAAATGGAAATCAAAAAATTCTCCTCCTGTAATCATTTTTTCCTCTTTTTGTTGCCATAATCCTCTTTCGTGTGTTATATTCCTGAACACGCTCAGGTAGTCACAATAAATGTGAATTTGTGTTTGTGTGTATACATCAGAACATGGAGCAGGCGAAGGAGCGGCTGTGGGAGGATCATTTCTCAGAGTTCGGTCGAGGCGTCCACATGTTTCGCACTGAGAAGATCCAGAAACTCGTTGCCATGGGGATACCAGAGTCTCTGCGGGGGGAGCTGTGGATGACACTGTCCGGTAAAGTTAAGATAGTGGATTTTTTTACCTGTCTTCACAAATTTATTAAAGGACTGAATTAAATCTTTGTATCACAGTCGAAATAGTAACTATCTTACAATCATAAAATAAATGAAAACACATTAAAGTGATTACAATGTTATAAAGGAGAGCAATAATCATCTCACCACGGGGGCTTTCATGTTCTTTTATTGAAACTCTTTGGATAGTGGATTTATCTTTAGACAAACTTCAGAGAGACTTTCCCTAAATGCTGGTTCAAGTACATGTGCTGTGGGCTTCACATCCTCTTCTCTGCATCTGCTGTCTCAAATGAAACCCCTTCAGTCAAAACCAGACTGCAGCTTTTATTTTGGTTTGCTATCATTTCCTTTGCTGTGTCCTATAGAGGAAGGACAGGGTTTGAAACTGTAACTGAGGAAGCGAAACTGGAACCAAACCTCTCAGTACTGAGACAAAAATTTGTGATTCGTTACCACAGCCTCATGCGGTCCAGTATTTAGGTGTTGATTTTGAACAGTCAGCTGTAGTCTGTTAACTATCTGTCTCATTTGATTATCACATACAGGACTGTTTCCACTGCGTTTCTCAATCTAAATTTTATTTATCAACGCTTTATGGGCTTTCATAGGTAACACATGTAAAGTGAGAACCACTCAGATTCAGTAAAAATGCTGATACCCTCAAGTTACAGAAAATCTACTTAAAGAGGAGCAAAAGCTTCAAATGTGTAAGACCAGAAGCATTCCTCTCCCCTCTGATTACCCTGATTGAAAAGACACTCCCTCTTTTTTTAATATCTTCATCTCTGGTTTGTACAGATGCATCCTCAGAGCTCGAGTCCCATCAGGGTTACTACACCAGCCTGGTGCAGAAGTCGATGGGCCAAAGCAGTCTGGCCACAGAGGAGATAGAGAGGGACCTTCATCGATCTCTACCAGACCACCCGGCCTTTCAAAACCCCACAGGCATCGCTGCACTTCGACGAGTCCTCACTGCCTACGCTCACCGCAACCCAAAGATCGGATACTGTCAGGTAGAGACCGCATGATCTGAGCAGTTTGACATCTACAACATAAGATAAGATATACTATCATAAATACAAATACAGAGAAATTAAAGGATAAAGAAACTTAGAGTAAAAAAAAAAGGATATATTATTATCATTAGGATATATAAAACTAAGTGTTATAGTCCGCCTGGTTATTATTATTCTCTTTTTTTAGCTGTAAATGTGTCAGAAAGTGTCTTGTGTGTGAAATCTTTTGCCCCTTTTCTCAGGATAAATTCAACTTTCAAAATCTCTCAAGAATTTAACATTTTTAACATGTTATATATATTTAAACTCTGTGAAATAACAATAAAAGTGAAAAACGGATTTGAATTTTTAGAAAGTTTTGTATTGTTGAACACTTAAGATGTACAGGTCCAAAGATTTTGAGATGACAAAAACATTATTTGAACTATAACACAACAACTCAAGCAGTTTGGTTTTCCTGGAACCTTCCTTTCACCTGTTATTGCTTGAAAAAGTCTATTCATAACCCGGCGTAGGTATGAAACTCTCTGAAGCAATTCCTATCTAACTGAAGGCAGAGTCCAAGTCCACACTCTTCACACTTCCAGGGGGTGCTCCTTTTGCACACAGTGCATTGTTTTCTCCCCAGGCTGGCTCTCTGCCTTTTCTCCATTGACTGCCCTCTGCTGGTTGGGACAGGAAAGTGGCCTTGAGTGGGGTGCTTGGGTGGTGGAGTGAGTGGCACACCAAGCAGCTCGGCACACAGCTTCTCCTGGAAAGCCTGGCGTGTCATGGGCTTCGTCTTCTTTGTCACGCTGATATCTTTGTGTAGGATATAGCTGTTTGTTGCAGCTATATCCACAAGGTGCTGAAATACAGTCATGGGCCATCTTCTGGTCTTCCTGTGGACAGAGTTGGTGCCCAACATCTGGTCAGAGGTGTCCACCCCTCCCATGTACTTGTTGTACTCACCCACGGCTGTGGGTCTGGGGATAGGGACCCTCTGACTGAGCCCATCGCTTGTCTTCTGCCACCGCAGGACAGTCTCCCCCGTGTACACTGGATGGACTGTTGTACACATGGTGACCTCTCTGGCGTCCATCCACTTCACAAACAGGAGGTCTCCGTCCCTCATCCACCTGATGGAGCCTCTCTGCGATTTTTTGTCCAGGGCGTTGTCACTGGTTTGTGGTGTCCCAAAAACCAGTGACTTACCGCCCTGCCTGTAGGTCCCACAGGCACCAAAGCCCTGCTGGGTCAGGTGACGGAAGAGGAGAGGGCTGGTGTAGAAATTGTCACAGTAAACAATGTAGCCGCTCCCCAGGTAGTCTTTATTCACAAGCTCTGACACCACATCAAAAGAAAGCCCCTTCCCTGAAGCTCCTTCATTTCTCCCCGTGTAGAGCCTGTAATCCACGGTATAACCATTTGTGTCAGCCAAAACAAAAAACTTCAGACCCCACCTCGTAGGCTTTGCACGCATATACTGCTTCAGCTTTACCCTTGCCTTTGTGGCCACCATCCTCTCATCCACAGAGATGTGCTGCCTTGGATGGTAGGTGGCTTTGCATCTTGTGCGCATCATCTCTAGGAGACACCTGACCTTTTGGAGGGGGTCATACTCCTCTGTGCCCTTTCGCTGTTCATTGGCAGCATCCTCCTCTGGGTCGCTCATGTGCAGGTTGGAGGTGATGGCCAAAAACCTGTTCCTGGACATCACTGTGGCAGGTAAAGGAATATGAAAAATTGTTTTCACCCGCCAGAAGTCAGTCATTTTGGGAAAGTTGCACACAGACATGAAGAGCAACATGCCCAGGTACTTTTTGAGCTCCTGAGGTGTGAGCTCAGAGATCCATTGCAGCTTTTTCCCTGCCTTCTTTTTGTGCTGTGTGTATTTATTTGTGTTTACACACAACACTTTGAGCACCTCTGAGTCAAAAAACACCCCAAAAATATCCCCAGGTGCTGGAGTCTCCATGTCGAGAGGGGGTTGGACACCAGGGGTGCGTTTTGGGAGAAACCTTGGTGGGCTACAGGGATGAGGGTCAGGGTCTGCCTCTGTCTTCCAGGCCTGCTGCGGTTTTGGTGAATGAGATGCAGGAGCATCACTAGCAGCATCAGAACCGCTGCTGCTGCTGCTGCTGTGCCGCCTGCCTTGGCCACGGACCAGACTCCGCCATTCATCTGAAGAATCTCTAAAAATGTATTGAGGAGATAATAATGATAATGTAAACAATAAAAGAATTCAAAAAATAAATACAAGTATTTATGTATAAAATTATGACTTCAAATAATGATATCATTTTATTAGAAGTAGATTTGGGAGTAAATATGTAGAGTATGCATACTATTTACTTACTCTGTTTGGGATGGTGACACACCCCCTGCCTCCTCCTGCACCTCCATCTCCTCTTCCTCCTCCACATATTGAGTTGGAGGTCTCCCCTTTCTTGGAGATCTCCTCAACATATCTGCCTCCACTACCTACACTACAGTGGAGCTCAGCTTCCCTTAAAATGTCACCCCCCAAAAAAAGAAAAAGTGGTGAAATACGTACTACTGTGTGTACATTTCATTAACTAAATACGCACTAGAAAGCCTTTATCTTTTGTTCAGAATCAGCTTCTTATCACAGTGTGATAAGAAGCTGATAATCACAGGTAACCGGCACAACCTGGTTCTCATTCATCCTCGCAGCGCCTCAGCGCCTCACACGTCTGCTGACTTCAGTGTGGAAGCTCAAAGTGGGTTGTTCCAGCAGCGAAACTAGACGCTCATTGGATAAATGCTGGGCTTTGTCCTGCCCATCAGCGTCTCTGGAGTTCTATGACGAGAGGGTGGTCCCAACCTTCTCGCGGACGCGTAGCTTCTGCATCCATGATTGGATGAGCTGTCTGAGGCGAAACCTTTTTTTTTGATTGACAGCTAAACAAGCGAATCAGCGATCTTGAAGAATAAAACATCTACCACAGTATTTTCCAAGTAATTCATTCCGTTGTTCTTAACTGCTCCGGTGACCTTACCGCCCCTCAGCGACTTCTGGCTTTGTTAAAAACGACTGCCATTGTGTTTGGCGACTCAATTATGATACAGGCCAGAAAAATGAGCTTCCCCTCCTTGAAAGACCAGCAGCTGCCACTGCTACACTATTACAATCTAAAGGAACTAGCTAAAAACGCACGAGCCAAGGCAAGAACACGGCAAAATAACACTCAAAACTTATAAAATGAACTCTAACACTATGATAAACAACAATGAATGATATATACAACGATTGATATAATATATACAAAGATAAACAGCTAAATAACCTCTAAAACCCTGCTAAATCTCCGATGAATCTCCCAGATCTGCACTCTCTCTGCTCCAAAGTCTCCCTTGCTGCCGTTACCGTAATGTATCATATATCAGCGCAAAGCTTAGAGTCTCACCTTTCAGAATCCGTAGGAATTCTGTTGATAGCGCAATGGTTCAAGAGTTACGGTACTAAAGGTGCAGCATGTCATTTTCTGTCGCCGACGATGACGCTGTTATACCTAAGGTGAAACTTGTTGAATATTCTCTGTCTTCTGATCCTCATGTTTGTTTGTTTGTTTCTGGTTTTCAGTCCATGAACATCCTGGCGTCGGTGCTGCTGCTCTATGCTAAAGAAGAGGAAGCTTTCTGGCTGCTGGTGGCTGTTTGTGAGAGGATGCTGCCAGACTACTTCAACCGGAGGGTCATAGGTGAGAAAAGAAGAGACGCATTTTTTACTTTATTTTTTTCTCATTTGTTAATTTTTTGTTCAAAGGCACAGAGGTAGTGAAAAGTGGTGATTGTCGTTTGTTCTCAAAGTCTTCACTCTGCTGTTTCATGTTGTGGTTGTTTTGTCTGAGTTTCTCGGACACCAAACAACCTGAGTGACTATTTTTGGCCCCTGAAATGCAGGGGCTTATTTCCTGTGTTTGTGAGGCTGTTTATCTGTCATATACAAGGTGCATTTGAAACAATTTCCTCTTCCTTTAAATGCTCAGATGTTTGTGAACCGTTTTTATCTTTGAACAGCTTTTTTATTTTATTTTTTTGGCAGATTGTTGTTGAAACTGCAGTTATTTTTATCCTTTTTTTAAAGTGTACACATTTATTTCAACCCAGAAGAGTAAAAACAGAACAGGATGGACAACATTATAGTTTCATCCTGATAATAATGTTTGTCTGTGTCGACACATTTTTCCTGAGAGGTAAAATTGACGGCCCGGAAGTATTCAGCTGGCAAACAACACAGCCAGCACTCTTTTTTTATAGGATAAGATAACTTACTTGATTTTTTTTTTAAACTGTATTTAAGTGACAAAATCTTTGACTTTTAGGCAGCAGATGTTAATAGTTCAGCAAGAAAATTTGATTAAAGCAACAATTGGACTGAAAGTAATGTCCAGCTGTTGCTGCCATCTGGTGGTCGAACTGTGATGAAGACAACAAATCTTAAAGTAATGTTGATGTTTAACTACACCGTTCACGAGTAATGGTGTACTTTTTCTTACTATTACTTTAACTTTTTCATTTTTCACTTATCGTTTTACTACCATTAGTCACTTTAATACTGTAGTAAGTATAAACAGAATTATAATTCATTTTGAAAAACTTCTCATGACACATGTTTTTCTGCTGTCACCAGTCACCTCCTCTTTGCTAAATCGGTCACAGTTCTTTATCTGTATTCTCTTAAATAGTTTGGCAGACGTCATTTATCAACAGAGTAAATCATGATTTTGTGGAGTGAGGAGAAACCACGAATTAGAAGTTGAAAACATTTTTTCTTTTCCCAATTGTAGTTTAAATTTTCATTTTTTTTCTTGAATTCAGGAGGAGAAAAGAAGAACACACCTGTGCTCAGAGTTCTATAAGACATGTTTGTTGTCGTCTTAACATAACCCTCTTTTTTAGTTTGTAATCCATGATCTGTGATGTTTTATCTGTAACAAAAAGGATGATACTTTTTTACTAATTTCAAATTTTGGCCTCCCACCATTGTATCAGCTCTCCCATGCCTTACTCTCTGACTCCATCGTCTCTCCTCCCCCTCTGCAGGAGCTCAGGTGGATCAGTCCGTGTTCGAGGAGCTGATCCGGGAGCGTTTGCCGGAGCTGGCTGAAAACGTCCCCGACCTCTCCACCCTCTCCTCCGTCTCCCTCTCCTGGTTCCTCACGCTCTTCCTCAGCGTGCTGCCCTTTCACAGCGCCATCTGCGTGGTCGACTGTTTCTTCTTCCACGGGATCAAAGCCATCTTCCAGCTGGGTTTGGCGGTGCTGGAGGCCAACGCCGCACAGCTCGCTGCCTGCACTGACGACGGACAGGCTCTCATGATTCTCACGAGGTAGATCTGTTTGTAGATGGACTGTATTAGAAAGGTACTTTGATTCAGTTTGCTTGTGATGAGGTGGGGAAGCTTGACTAAAAGAAAAAATCCACATTCCTGAGTGGAGTGAATGTTTGAAAGATACGAAAGTTCAGTATGTGACTTTTCTGTTCTTGTTTTTCTTCAGTTTTCTGGACCAGGTCGGCAGTGAAGAGTCGTCTCGTCCTCCATCCACTCAGCTTGTTGCTGCGGAAACGAGCAGCAGCGACTCGGACATTCCTGCTGTGCGTCACTCAAACATCACTGAGCTCATAAATGACTCATATGAGGTGAGGAATTCACTGTCGTCCCTGCAAGTTCCCTTTATTTCTTTCATCCTCCTTTTTGCCTTTGCACATTTAATCGACCAAACATAACAGTTTGATCCCTTTAAGATAGAAATCAATGCATCGGTAAAAGTTTTAAGGGTTACTTTAAAGAGCTGTGCTTATCCTCTGCTGTTTGCTTCCATTTATCAGAAATTCGGAGACCTGTCAGTGAGGCAGATCGAGAGACTTCGCTGTCGACACAGAATCCGAGTCCTGCAGGCTCATGAAGACACCATCAAAGAAAACACGGTGAGCAAACGCAGGAGATGATAAACTTGACTGTAAAACTACTTGAAGAGGATGAATGTTTACTGTACAGTTTCATCCTGAACTTTTTGCCGCTTTTTCATCCTGTCATTTCACCGCCACATCTCTTCTCTCGCTCTTCGCAGTTGAGACTTGTCAATCCAGACGTTTCTATCTCTCCAGAGAACTTGTCTGATGTCTACGACCTCTTTAAGGTAACAATCATGTGGTTTTTTTTGTCTCAGAAGACACCATATTCATATTTTAACCATCTCTCCTCCTTCTCCACCCTGCAGACGGAGCACTTCATCACTCTGTACTGGGGCGACAGCAGCTCCGCGGCGGCGGCCGAGGCAGCAGCGTGGCGCCACAGTGAAACTAGTCGTTCCTTCATCGAGCGGCAGTATCGTCTGGACCGGCCTCAGTTTAAGAGCCTGTACGGGCTGCTGTCTCCATGGCCCGGAGTTCAGAACCAGCACGCCGACACTCTGGCCAACCGCACCTTCACCCTGCTGGACCAGGACCAGGACAACCTGGTCACATTCAGGGAGTTTGCAGGCTGGCTGGGTATGTGAAGGGAGAGAGGAGAAAATAAAATCAAAACTCCTTTAAGCTTGGTTTTGGTTGATAAAGTTGTAGTTTTTTGGGACGGCAGAGTCTCTGGTGTGATTTTGATCTGATGTAAATGATTTTAAAGTTTCCAGAAACTGAAAACTGCAAATATTATGCTTAAATAGATATTTGACGTGCTTGTTCTGCTCTCTTTCTCTCTCTCTCTCTCTCTCTCTCTCTGCAGACACTTTATACTGTGAAGAGCTGAACGTGAAGATAAGGTTACTGTATCGTCTGCACATCCCTCCAGGTTAGTCATCGTGTTAACTCAGTGAAAATCAGGAGAAACAATCCGAGCTGTTCTTAATGAAGTAACTTGTGTGTCTGCAGCTCTGACAGACAGTGAGGATGACCCCTCTCTGATGAAGAGCCCTCTGCTGTCCACAAACAGACCCCTCTATGTGAATCTGCCCTCCGGTCAGTCAGACTCAAACAGATCTTCATTTATAAAGTCAGAAGAAATAGAAAGAACACGGTTAATATTTATGTGTTTTTGGGTTGATATAAAGATGTAAACAAAGATGGTTTTCTCACGTGTTTTGATTTCAGATGTTGAAGGAGAAGTGAAGGACTATCAGGAGCAGCTGAAGCAGATGCTGCAGGATTTGGTTAAAGAGAAGGAGAAGGATGTGGAGAAACCTCTGCCTCTCATGAACCAGGTATACAGGAAATCAACAGTATGATCTGTCAAATAAACAAACCACAAGATGATTGTATCAGAATGAACTGATCTGAGAGTTAGCAGACACTCATGAGTGAATATATTTTAAAGGGATATTCCGGCATAAAATTAAGTTTGGGTCAAACACACCATAACACCGAGTTAGACACGCCCTCGAGAGATGAATGAAACATTCATCTCTCGGGGGGGTGTCTAACTGAGTGTTATGGTGTGTTTGACCCTAAATATCCCTTTAAACTACATTAAAATAATTCTCTAAACTTTTCTCTGCAGCGGGAGTTCATCCAGTTCTGTAAAACGCTCTACAGCATGTTCCACGGCGACCTCGAGGAGAACGACCTCTTCCAGGCCATCGCAACCGTCACCAGTCTGGTGCTGCAGATCGGCGAGGCGGGACACCGTGCACCCTGCTCGGGGTCAGAGGTCACAGAAGCTCCCGCTGAGGACACTGGGGTCGAAGGGTCGGAAGAGAACGAGTGGACGATCAGCTTCGCTCAGATCCTGGCGTCTCTGCTGACCGAACAGGCGCTGGTGAACTTCTTTGAGAAGCCGGCGGATCTGACTGTGAAAATCTCCGAGGCTAAAGAGAAGCAGTATCACCAGAGGGCCTCTCTGCTCTCACTGCAGAGGAACAGATGACCACATGTGAACTCTGAGACAGGGCGTAGGCCAAAGCATGAAGAGAACCACAGATATCACTGTCAGTTCACACAGTGTGACAGGATGCAGCAGCTCCAAATCCAGACGGTTAAGAGGAGATCACTGTATCAACGGTATGACTGAGTCTTCAAATCCTGAACGACTTTGTTAGGGCCCGAGCGTAGCTGCTAAGCAGCTGCGAGAGCCCTATTATTCCCCAAGTGGTTTTTCTTTGTTTCTTTCTTTCTTTCTTTCTTTCTTTCTTTAGGGCCCGAGCCAGCTGCAGAGCAGCCGGGCGTAGGCCCTATTATTCCCCAAGTGGTTTTTCTTTGTTAGGGCCCGAGCCAGCTGCAGAGCAGCCGGGCGTAGAGCCCTATTATTCCTGTATGGGTTCTTCTTTCTTCTTTCTTTCTTTCTTTCTTCTTATTTTTCCTCCCCTTTGAAGGGGAAAATGGCCCACTTCCCACTGGCGAAAACTCATGAAATTTGGCAGGACGACCGGGCCTGGTGAAAAATTCGATATTCTGAAGTCGCCGAAAAAATAATATGCAAAATGGCTCCATAGCGCCCCCTAAGGTGAAAATTCACACTATCGCGTGTCACGCCTGTACGCTTTGTCATATTGACACAAAAATTGACACACACATGTATCTCAATAAGATCTACAAAAAAGTCAGTGCGGGCGTATCTGTCAAATGTACGGTTAAAGGGCTATTTCGCATTTTTTGCCGATCCGCACACATTGGAATTTCACTAACTCCTCCGAAGGCTTTCGTTCCACCGGCACCACATTTGCTCAGGCCAATCTACACCCCATGGCCATTAAAAGTTGTACAAATCATGACGCTGCACCCCACGGTTTAGGTTCTAGGGGGCGCCAAAAATAACGCAAAAATCCACATTCTTAAAAGTCTTATAACTTTTTATTTTTGTCCTCACTGGCCTCCAAGTTTTCTAGGATGATGCAATGTCCAGCCATCAACACATTTGTGAAGGAATTTTTACTCCCCAAAAGAGCGCCCCCCCATGGCAGGAGAAAAAAGTCCATTTTTTCTTGTCCCCTAAGGTGAAAATTCACACTATTGAGTGTCACGCCTGTACGCTTCGTCATATTGACACATAATTTGACAATCACGTGTATCTCAATAAGATCTACGAAAAAGTCAGTGCGGGCATATCTGTCAAATGTACGGTTAAAGGGTTATTTCGCATTTTTTGCCGATCCGCACACATTGGAATTACGCTAACTCCTCCTAAGGCTTTCGTTCCACCGGCACCAAATTTGCTCAGGCCAATCTACACCCCATGGCCATTAAAAGTTGTACAAATCATGACGCTGCACCCCACGGTTTAGGTTCTAGGGGGCGCCAAAGATTACCCAAATATCCATATTCTTAAAAGTCTTATAACTTTTTATTTTTGTCCTCACTGGCCTCCAAGTTTTCTAGGATGATGCAATGTCCAGCCATCAACACATTTGTGAAGGAATTTTTTCTCCCCAAAAGAGCGCCCCCCCATGGCAGGCGAAAAAGTCAAGTTTTTCCTGCCCATTGCTCAATGGCTCAAACATCGCTCTCTCGGCAAAACCGAAAGGTGGAGCAACTTGCCATTTGGATATATACTAGCTGTGTTTCTGCCCTCACTCATGGTCCAGACTTTTTTCGAATAGGACATGGAGTTTTTCTGCAGCGAGCATTTTGGTAGAAACTGCGCCTCCCATTCATTATAACGGTAAATGACCACAGACAAGTGCACACACCATCTTTCGACCTTGAGTGTGACGCGATCAGGAGGGGGAGGCGGTCGCGCTGGGGGCGGTGCGACATGGCTCGGGCCCGCCAGTGCCCCAACGGGGCCCTAGTTTCTTTCTTTCTTAGGGCCCGAGCGTAGCTGCTAAGCAGCTGCGAGAGCCCTCTTGTTCCTGCATGTTTCCTTCTTTTGTTATTATTATTATTATTATTATTTTTCCTCCCCTTTGAACTGGAAAATGGCCCACTTCCCACTGGCGAAAACTCATGAAATTTGGCAGGACGACCGGGCCTGGTGAAAAATTTGATATTCCGAAGTCGCCCAAACAAGAAAATGCAAAATGGCTCCATAGCGCCCCCTAAGGTGAAAATTCACACTATTGACTGTCACGCCGGTACGCTTTGTCAAAATGACACAAAAATTGACACACACATGTATCTCAATAAGATCTACAAAAAAGTCAGTGCGGGCGTATCTGTCAAATGTACGGTTAAAGGGTTATTTCGCATTTTTTGCCGATCCGCACACATTGGAATTTCGCTAACTCCTCCGAAGGCTTTCGTTCCACCGGCACCACATTTGCTCAGGCCAATCTACACCCCATGGCCATTAAAAGTTATTCAAATCATGACGCTGCATCCCACGGTTTAGGTTCTAGGGGGCGCCAAAGATAACCCTAAGATCCACATATTTAAAAGTCTTATAACTTTTTATTTTTGCCCTCACTGGCCTCCAAGTTTTCTAGGATGATGCAATGTCCAGCCATCAACACATTTGTGAAGGAATTTTTACTCCCCAAAAGAGCGCCCCCCATGGCAGGAGAAAAAAGTCCATTTTTTCTTGTCCCCTAAGGTGAAAATACACATTGTTGAGTGTAACACCTGTACGCTTTGGCAAAATGACACAAAAATTGACACACACATGTATCTCAATAAGATCTACGAAAAAGTCAATGCGCGCGTATCTGTCAAATGTACGGTTAAAGGGTTATTCCGCATTTTTTGGCGATCCGCACACATTGGAATTTCGCTAACTCCTCCGAAGGCTTTCGTTCCACCGGCACCACATTTGCTCAGGCCAATCTACACCCCATGGCCATTAAAAGTTATTCAAATCATGACGCTGCACCCCACGGTTTAGGTTCTAGGGGGGAGCCAAAGATAACCGTAAAATCCACATATTTAAAAGTCTTATAACTTTTTATTTTTGTCCCCACTGGCCTCCAAGTTTTCTAGGATGATGCAATGTCCAGCCATCAACACATTTGTGAAGGAATTTTTACTCGCCAAAAGAGCGCCCCCCCATGGCAGGAGAAAAAAGTCCATTTTTTCTTGTCCACTAAGGTGAAAATACACATTGTTGAGTGCTACGCCTGTATGTTTTGTCGTATTGACACAAAATTTTACATACACGTGTATTTACATAAGATCTTCGAAAAAGTCAATGGCCACGTATCTGTAACATGTACGGTTAAAGGGTTATTTCGCATTTTTTGCAGATTCGCACACATTGGAATTTCGCTAATTCCTCCGAAGGCTTTCGTTCCACCGGCACCACATTTGCTCAGGCCAATCTACACCCCATGGCCATTAAAAGTTATTCAAATCATGACGCTGCACCCCATGGTTTAGGTTCTAGGGGGCGCCAAATATAACCCTAAAATCCACATATTTAAAAGTCTTATAACTTTTTATTTTTGTCCTCACTGGCCTCCATGTTTTCTAGGATGATGCAATGTCCAGCCATCAACACATTTGTGAAGGAGTTTTTTCTCTTTAAAAGAGCACCCCCCCATGGCAGGAGAATAAAGTCAAGTTTTTCCTGTTCATCATTCAATGGCTCAAACGCACTGCTCTCTCGGCAAAAGCGAAAGGAGGAGCAACTTGCCATTTGGATATATCTTAGCTGTGTTTGTGCCCTCACTCATGGTCCAGACTTTTTTCAAATAGGACATGGAGTTTTTCTGCAGCGAGCGTTTTGGTAGAAACTGCGCCTCCCGTTCATTATAATGGTAAATGACCACAAACAAGTGCGCACACCATCTTTGGACCTTGAGTGTGACGCGATCGGGTGGGGGAGGCGGTCGCGCTGGGGGCGGCGTGACACGGCTCGGGCCCGCCAGTGCCCCAACGGGGCCCTAGTTTTTTCTTTTTCCTCCCCTTTGAACTGGAAAATGGCCCACTTCCCACTGGCGAAAACTCATGAAATTTGGCAGGATGACCGGGCCTGGTGAAAAATTCGATATTCTGAAGTCGCCCAAACAATAAAATGCAAAATGGCTCCATAGCGCCCCCTAAGGTGGAAATTCACACTATTGACTGTCACGCCTGTACGCTTTGTCATATTGACACAAAAATTGACACACATATGTATCTCAATAAGATCTACAAAAAAGTCAGTGCGGCCGTATCTGTCAAAATTACGGTTAAAGGGTTATTTCGCATTTTTTGCCGATCCGCACACATTGGAATTTCGCTAACTCCTCCGAAGGCTTTCGTTCCACCGGCACCACATTTGCTCAGGCCAATCTACACCCCGTGGCCATTAAAAGTTATCAAAATCATGACGCTGCACCCCAAGGTTTAGGTTCTAGGGGGCGCCAAAGATAACACTAAAATCCACATATTTAAAAGTCTTATAACTTTTTATTTTTGTCCTCACTGGCCTCCAAGTTTTCTAGGATGATGCAATGTCCAGCCATCAACACATTTGTGAAGGAATTTTTACTCCCCAAAAGAGCGCCCCCCCATGGCAGGAGAAAAAAGTCCATTTTTTCTTGTCCCCTAAGGTGAAAATACACATTGTTGAGTGTCACGCCTATACGCTTTGTCAAAATGACACAAAAATTGACACACACATGTAACTCAATAAGATCTACGAAAAAGTCAATGCGCGCGTATCTGTCAAATGTACGGTTAAAGGGTTATTTTGCATTTTTTGCCGATCCACACACATTGGAATTTCGCTAACTCCTCCAAAGGCTTTCGTTCCACCGGCACCACATTTGCTCAGGCCAATCTACACCCCGTGGCCATTAAAAGTTATCAAAATCATGACGCTGCACCCCACGGTTTAGGTTCTAGGGGGCGCCAAAGATAACCCTAAAATCCACATATTTAAAAGTCTTATAACTTTTTATTTTTGTCCTCACTGGCCTCCAAGTTTTCTAGGATGATGCAATGTCCAGCCATCAACACATTTGTGAAGGAATTTTTACTCCCCAAAAGAGCGCCCCCCATGGCAGGAGAAAAAAGTCCATTTTTTCTTGTCCCCTAAGGTGAAAATACATATTGTTGAGATTCACGCCTATACGCTTTGTCATATTGACACAAAATTTGACAATCACATGTATCTCAATCAGATCTACGAAAAAGTCTATGCGCGCGTATCTGTAAAATGTACGGTTAAAGGGCTATTTTGCATTTTTTGCCGATTCGCACACATTGGAATGTGGCTAACTCCTCCTAAGGCTTTCGTCCCACTGACACCAAATTTGCTCAGGCCAATCTACACCCCATGGCCATTCAAAGTTGTAAAAATCATGACGCTGCACCCCACGGTTTACGTTCTAGGGGGCGCCAAAGATGACCCAAATATCCACATTCTTAAAAGAATCCACATCCCCCCCATCCCCCATCCCCCATGGCAGGAGAAACAGTCAAGTTTTTCCTGCCCATCACTCAATGGCTCATTCGCATCACTCTCCCGGCAACACCGTAACGAGGAGCAACTTGCCGTTTGGATATATCCTAGCTGTGTTTGTGCCCTCACTCATGGTCCAGACTTTTTTCAAATAGGACATGTAGTTTGTCTGCAGCGAGTGTTTTGGTAGAAACTGCGCCTCCCATTCATTATAATGGGAAATGACCACAGACAAGTGCGCACACCATCTTTGGACCTTGAGTGTGACGCGATCGGGAGGGGTAGGCGGTCGCGCTGGGGGCGGCGCAACGCGGCTCGGGCCCGACAGTGCCCCACCGGGGTCCTAGTTAGGGCCCGAGCGTAGCTGCTAAGCAGCTGCGAGAGCCCTATTATTCCTGATGGATTCTTCTTTCTTCTTCTTCTTCTTCTTATTATTTTTCTGCCCCTTTGAACTGGAAAATGGCCCACTTCCCACTGGTGAAAAGTCATGAAATTTGGCAGGACGACCGGGCCTGGTGAAAAATTCGATATTCTGAAGTCGCCCAAAAAATCAAATGCAAAATGGCTCCATAGCGCCCCCTAAGGTGAAAAATTAACATGATTGAGTGTCACGCCTGTACGCTTTGTCAAAATGACACAAAATTTGACACACACGTGTATCTCAATAAGATCTACAAAAAAGTCAGTGCGGGCGTATCTGTCAAATGTACGGTTAAAGGTTTATTTCGCATTTTTTGCCGATCCGCACACATTGGAATTTCGCTAACTCCTCCAAAGGTTTTCGTTCCACCGGCACCACATTTGCTCAGGCCAATCTACACCCCATGGCCAATAAAAGTTGTACAAATCATGACGCTGCACCCCACGGTTTACGTTCTAGGGGGCGCCAAAGATAACCCAAAAATCCACAGTCTTAAAAGTCTTATAACTTTTTATTTTTGTCCTCACTGGCCTCCAAGTTCTCTAGGATGATGCAATGTCCAGCCATCAACACATTTGTGAAGGAATTTTTACTCGCCAAAAGAGCGCCCCCCCATGGCAGGAGAAAAATGTCCATTTTTTCTTGTCTCCTAAGGCGAAAATACACATTGTTGACTGTCACGCCTTTACGCTTTGTCAAAATGACACAAAATTTGACACACACATGTATCTCAATAAGATCTACGAAAAAGTCAATGCGAGCGTATCTGTTCAATGTACGGTTAAAGGGCTATTTCGCATTTTTTGCCGATTCGCACACATTGGAATGTGGCTAACTCCTCCTAAAGCTTTTGTCCCATCGGCTCCAAATTTGCTCAGGTCAATCTACACCCCATGGCCATTCAAAGTTGTACAAATCATGACGCTGCACCCCACAGTTTACGTTCTAGGGGGTGCCAAAGAGGACCCAAATATCCACATTTTTAAAAGTCTTATAACTTTTTATTTTTGTCCTCACTGGCCCCCAAGTTTTCTAGGATGATGCAATGTCCAGCCATCAACACATTTGTGAAGGAATTTTTCTCCCCAAAAGAGCGCCCCCCCATGGCAGGAGAAAAAGTCAAGTTTTTCCTGCCCATCGCTCAATGGCTCAAAAGCATCGCTCTCTCGGCAAAACCGAAAGGAGGAGCAACTTGCCATTTGGATATATACTAGCTGTGTTTGTGCCCTCACTCATGGTCCAGACTTTTTTCAAAAAGGACATGGAGTTTGTCTGCAGCGAGCGTTTTGGTAGAAACTGCACCTCCCATTCATTATAATGGTAAATGACCACAGACAAGTGCGCACACCATCTTTGGACCTTGAGTGTGACGCGATCAAGAGGGGTAGGCGGTCGCGCTGGGGGCGGCGCGACACGGCTCGGGCCCGCCAGTGCCCCAACGGGGCCCTAGTTCTTCTTTTTCCTCCCCTTTGAACTGGAAAATGGCCCACTTCCCACTGGCGAAAACTCATGAAATTTGGCAGGACGACCGGGCCTGGTGAAAAATTCGATATTCTGAAGTCGCCCAAACAATAAAATGCAAAATGGCTCCATAGCGCCCCCTAAGGTGGAAATTCACACTATTGACTGTCACGCCTGTACGCTTTGTCATATTGACACAAAAATTGACACACATATGTATCTCAATAAGATCTACAAAAAAGTCAGTGCGGACGTATCTGTCAAATGTACGGTTAAAGGGTTATTTCGCATTTTTTTCCGATCCGCACACATTGGAATTTCGCTAACTCCTCCGAAGGCTTTCATTCCACCAGCACCACATTTGCTCAGGCCAATCTACACCCCGTGGCCATTAAAAGTTATCAAAATCATGACGCTTCACCCCAAGGTTTAGGTTCTAGGGGGCGCCAAAGATAACACTAAAATCCACATATTTAAAAGTCTTATAACTTTTTATTTTTGTCCTCACTGGCCTCCAAGTTTTCTAGGATGATGCAATGTCCAGCCATCAACACATTTGTGAAGGAATTTTTACTCCCCAAAAGAGCGCCCCCCCATGGCAGGAGAAAAAAGTCCATTTTTTCTTGTCCCCTAAGGTGAAAATACACATTGTTGAGTGTCACGCCTATACGCTTTGTCAAAATGACACAAAAATTGACACACACATGTAACTCAATAAGATCTACGAAAAAGTCAATGCGCGCGTATCTGTCAAATGTACGGTTAAAGGGTTATTCCGCATTTTTTGCCGATCCGCACACATTGGAATGTGGCTAACTCCTCCTAAGGCTTTCGTTCCACTAGCACCACATTTGCTCAGGCCAATCTACACCCCATGGCCATTAAAAGTTATTCAAATCATGACGCTGCACCCCACGGTTTAGGTTCTAGGGGGCGCCAAAGATAACCCTAAAATCCACATATTTATAAAGTCTTATAACTTTTTATTTTTGTCCTCACTGGCCTCCAAGTTTTCTAGGATGATGCAATGTCCAGCCATCAACACATTTGTGAAGGAATTTTTACTCCCCAAAAGAGCGCCCCCCCATGGCAGGAGAAAAAAGTCCATTTTTTCTTGTCCCATAAGGTGAAAATACACATTGTTGACTGTCATACCTGTACGCTTTGTCATATTGACACAAAATTTGACACACACATGTATCTCAATAAGATCTACGAAAAAGTCAATGCGCGCGTATCTGTAAAATGTACGGTTAAAGGGCTATTTTGCATTTTTTGCCGATTAGCACACATTGGAATGTGGCTAACTCCTCCTAAGGCTTTCGTCCCACTGACACCAAATTTGCTCAGGCCAATCTACACCCCATGGCCATTCAAAGTTGTAAAAATCATGACGCTGCACCCCACGGTTTACGTTCTAGGGGGCGCCAAAGATGACCCAAATATCCACATTCTTAAAAGAATCCACATCCCCCCCCCCCCCCATCCCCCATCCCCCATGGCAGGAGAAACAGTCAAGTTTTTCCTGCCCATCGCTCAATCGCATCGCTCTCCCGGCAACACCGTAACGAGGAGCAACTTGCCGTTTGGATATATCCTATCTGTGTTTGTGCCCTCACTCATGGTCCAGACTTTTTTCAAATAGGACATGTAGTTTGTCTGCAGCGAGTGTTTTGGTAGAAACTGCGCCTCCCATTCATTTTAATGGGAAATGACCACAGACAAGTGCGCACACCATCTTTGGACCTTGAGTGTGACGCGATCGGGAGGGGGAGGCGGTCGCGCTGGGGGTGGCGCAACGCGGCTCGGGCCCGACAGTGCCCCACCGGGGCCCTAGTTTTTTTTTTTTCTGTAACTGACAACAGAAGGAGCTTTCTCCAAACAATTGAGCCAAAAAAACTTTGAGGTAGCAGCAGTTTATTGGTGTCAGCCTGTAACAGCAGGAACGTCATCATTTGAGATTTAGTCTGAAAGACCAGGAGGGATGTTGCAAAAGATGAAACCATTTTTTTCCTCTTATCTTGCAATTTAACCGGCAGCACTTTCTAACACAACGTCCATCCTTTATTAAATCATTTATCTTTTACTAACACGTCATGAATCAGCTAAAAACCGTAATCTGATCCACGTCCAGGTTTCCAGGTTGTGAAACATCTTCAATAGGTCACTCAAAACCAACTAGCACTCACCAATGAGTCAATAGGAATGTGATTAATCAAGCTAAATGTACATTTTTCTTATAAATTTGTCATTTAATTGTTATTATTGATATGAATGTTAATCATACACACATTTCTCATTTGTGTAATAACTGAAAAACCAAAGTAATTAATCTGAAATTTAAGATGTAAGAGACGAAAGTTTGTACAACTAAGTGTAAATGCCAGTAAGCTTGTAGATAAATGGATTCTGATCCAGATTTTTAATTTCTCAGACCATAAAAACCTGAAGTAAAGAGTTTCAGTGCCTCTTTGAAATGAGAATACTGCAGCACAGAGATGTTCGCAACCTGGCTACCCTTTATTTGTTCTTGTTTTAGGTTGATCTACTTGTGTAACGTAGTAATAATGGAGTAGAGTAAAGCCAGAAACTTTGACAGATGACTTTTGTTTCTATGATATGTGAAAATTTCCACGTGTGCACCTCAGAATCAACTTTTTTTTTTATCGTTTTATAAATTTACAGATCATGATCTACAGGTATTTGAAACAGATGCACAAATCTGCAAAAATAGGACAACACTGCAGGAGAAACTTTCTGAATAAAAACACTGCTTTAAGACAGTAATCTCTCTTTATTATTAAAACAAAAACACGCTTTAAGTAAATCTGGACTTCCATTTTTGCTGTTGAATTGTTTGCAAAAGAAAGTCTCTTACAGGAGCTTTAATGTAATGTTAAGTTGGACATAATTCATCATTTCTTTAACTGAAAATCTTCAAAAATGGGTAAAAAAATTAAAGCTCCTGTAAGGAACTTTTGGTTTGTGGCTCATATTATCTGACTTTTATCCCTTTGGTATTCATCAAAAACCCTGAAAATAACTACACAAAAATCATGTATTTTGTTAATGAAGGTTTTGTTTGCCTTTTTTGAGATCATTAGTCGTTTCAGTCTGTTTCATTAACAGCTAAAAACTCCTTACTGGAGCTTTAAACACACCCAGTTTCTATATGATTTCAGAGCTTCTCACAATGTTATTATTTGTACATCATACAGTGTAAGATGTTCTGGTGTTACACTTAGAAAAGAGGGAATAAACTGAAGAGAGAGGAAGACACTGAAGTCAAAGCTGAGAAAGAAAATCAGGAGGCAGAGAGCTGCAGGAGCTTGGTGTGCTTTATTAGCTACTGATTAAAGGTAGAGGATGTGTTTTATTCCAGGACCTACATAATCGGAAGACACAAAAAACACACTTAATATTATATTAGTCACAAGCCTTCGGTATCAAGGAGGGAAGACTGAGGCTTGTGTGGTTCAACTCTTCAGGAGCGGCTTCATCGTGGAGGAGGTAGGTGGTGACTAACTCCTTTTACGTTTCATCATCTTTCTGTCTCCCTGTAGATTCCATTTAAGGCGAAATTTAAGCTAGAACTATTTGAGTTGATTATTCTTTTCCAGACTTCAGACAACCAATGTTTATATTTATATTATATATATGGAAGAACGTTTTAATTTACACAAGAATGGGCCAGGACGTACACAAGTGAGTCTTGCTTATCCTCAAGTAGCGTCTTCAAACCATATAAATAGTCTGTCTTTAGTAGTATGCAGAGTCAGAAGTATTTATATGTGTCACGTCATGATGCATATGTCACATCCACAGGCAACATGAGCAGCAGCATATGAATGAGAACAGACCAAACAAGAAAAACAACACAATCAAATACACGTACAGAGCTACACATTGCACTAAGCCACATTAGTGATCACAGGAGATCCGTTGGTTTGCCCTGTGGATGCGTCTCGCCCACTCTGGAGGGACGATGGGCGGGTTTTTCTCTTTAAACTGCTTCAACGTAGTTGGCTGGCAGCATGCCGGTCTTGCCGGTGCGCTGCACAGTGCCGTACATCCAGCCCTCGTCGATGGACTGCACGTTAACAATGACGTCACCATCTTTGAAGGAAACCTCGTCGTTGTCGGCCGCCATGTAGTCGTACATGGCACGCACAGTTTTCTGCACAGAGAGAGAGAAATAGGTCGGTTAGAGGCGCTAAGCTCGCTGTGTTCATGTTCAACCAGCATGTGGGTTACTTACTCCAGTGGTAGAGGGGTGTGAGGGGATGGAGGAGACGGTGGTCTGCTGGGTGGCCACTGATGAGGACCTCTGCTGCAGCTCCACAGTCTTAGCTTGCTGGTAACCTGCAGGAGATAAAAACACACACATGAAAGAACAGAAAGAAATGAACAGTCCTACTTCTGTGTAAAAAGTCACTGAAGGGGGTTGTGATCTGTTACCCATAGAGGAGGCCATGAAGCCGTTGCTGTAGAGGGACAGGTGGTGGTCGGCATCCTGAGACACCTCAGACTTCTCATCAGCAAGACCGCTCAGGGCGCTGGTGGAGCGGGAGTGCTCCTTGCTGCGGCGCTGAGCTTGAACTGTGAAAACATGAAACAGATACAGTCATTCAGGATTTTACAGAAACATCATTTTAACATCAAACTTGGCACGGCTTGTAGGAAACTGTTTAATTTCATAGTCAGACTTGAGAAAACATCTCAATGATGACCTCAGTGAATATTTTCCCTTATCTATTATGGTCTTAACAGCTGGTTTCAAGTCTCATAAAATACAGCAAGATACTGTAAATGTTTGTCTGATTATCTGCCCGGTTAAAGTAAAATAAAAGTGGCAAAAGCTTCCACAGCGACCCGTCCCTGAACGACTGACCTTTGAGTTTCCTTACCTGACATCATGTGCAGACTCCTGGACTGGATGTTGTCCTCAGCAGGATCATAGTCAAACACGGAACCGGGGTTTGTGCGCCACACACGCAGATCTGAGGACAGAGTGTCAAATACAGAGTGAGCCAAGCGTCTGATACCGGAGAATAATCTATGTACTTATGCCTAACTTTGAGGTTTGATTATTAAGTTTATAAAATAACAGGATCTGAATTATCATCTGAGTGTACCAGTGATGGTCTCCTGGTCATGCTCGATGGCACGTCTCCTCTCCATCTCCACCACGCGTCTCTGGATGCCGCGGTAGCTGATGTCGCTGAAGTCCTGAGTGTTCCTCTTGACACGTTCTGTCACGGGGTCAGAGGTGGTGGGGGTGAAGCTGCCCTTGGTCTTCTCAAAGTCCTCGTGGTATCTCACCTGGGGGGTCACAGACCACGAATGAATACAGCTGTTTCGTTTCAGGATTGAAGCCACTATAGAGGTGTTACTCCTGAATTCATCAATGTACGTCTTTGTTGGTGAGTAGTTTCCTCTCTCCTTACTCTCCTCTCTTGTTTTGGTGCTACCTCACCTGTATACGCTTACAATGTTGTTTTACCTTTTTCATGATTAAATTGGGTAGATAAAAGGAAGGTAGAAGACAGATTCTTCCATCTGTTTTCTCTCCTCCCTTCTTTCACATAAAGGAGGATATATGGGGAGGTAGAGCTGGAACAGGCGCCCCTCCATGGCTTTGTTTTCATACACCCGCCTTTTTCTTATCTTATAAAATATATATTTTCTTGTTATGTAATGTCCTCTTCAGTGTTTGAGTAGAGTTGGATTATATGTACAGAAATTAAGCATTATATGTATGTGGAATATTAAGTGTGTGACTATGTATAAATATGTAAAGTTAAAATATCACTATAGGAACTGCTGATAAAAGGAGTAGGATTAAATGTGTATGTGTTTGTGTATGGTTACTACCTATACTCTGTTTTCTTTATTGCATATTCGAAATAAGGCATTCATTCATTCATTCATTCAATCATTAATCTGGTAATACTTTACAATAACCATAACTTATAAGTGGTAAATAGACCATTTATACATGGTAAGCAGATAGTTTATCAATTTACAATCATCATTTATAAATAGCATATAGACTATTAATAAATTGTAAATTTTACAATTTAAGAAACCTAACCCTAACTCTAACTTTACTATAATCATCTAAGTAATGTTTATAGATGGTTATAAACTATTTAATCATCATTTACAAAGTATTACAAACATCAGTTTAATGTTTATAGATGGTTTAAAAACCCAATATTAACCATTTACAAAGTGCTACTGACACACATTTTAATCTAGATGTTTTACAACCAATATGTAAACCCTATATAAACCTTTAATAAATAGTCCATTAATAATTAATGATAATTATTAATCATAATTTCATTGCTTGTAATGGTAAAGTAACTATTAACTTACATTAATAAACTATCTATTTGCCATTTAAAATTGGTCTATATGCTGTTTTTCAATGATGATTAAACATTTATAAACGATCTGTTTACCGTTTATAAATCATGGTTATTGTAAAGAGTTACCGTTCATCTTTTCATCGGGTGTAAAATAACAGATTAAATTGAGTTAATACACTGTGGCATGATAACCATAACATCTTACTCCAGAGATGATGCGCTGGGTTTCCCTGACGCGCCTCATCTCGGGTGTGTCCAGGACGAAGGCGGCCTTGCCCTGGACCTGCTTACGGAAGCTGTCAGAGTACAGCACCTGGTGAAGAGTTGAGTTTAAAGAAGAGCAGTGAGTTTCTGATGCGTGTCAAACTCTAAAGCCATCATACAGTAGCCGTTAGCATCCACAGCACAAAGGGTGTGGCGTAATGGTAAGAGGGCACACACAGCTGCCGACAGAAGAAGCTGGGATATTATTGGGATTTCAGACAAATGAATTAGCAGGGAAGGGATTTCTATTTAGAGGAACTTAAAACAAACAAGATTACGTCCACATCTTCAGTCAGGTGGGAGGTGGAGCGGTTTCGACAACAGGAGAGGTTAGCATGATGATACCACAGCTGGTGGTGTTAAGAACATTTAAAAAAGAGAGTGCAGAGGGGTGAATTAATACAATTAACTCCAGCCAGGGGAGAACTCAGTTAGGAAAGGGTTAACCAGGGTAGAGGTAGAACATTTCTCGTGGTTCTGGAGGTACCGAGCTAATGTTCTCTTGGTTCCTTTTGACTCGCTCCATCTCAGGAGTAAACACCACAGGAGTTCCTTTGGCTGAACTGTCTTTATACAACACCTACAGGACAGAAGCACAGCACCCAAAGGGGCCAGTAAGACACACTGATCAGTTCACAGACCACACACCTATAGGACTGGTTTCGTAGACTCCAAAATCTTAAGAGGATACAGACAGAAAGAATATTTTAGGGAATTTCCAAGATTGGATAATCTCAGAGAAGGAAATTTCTCTCAGTCAAAGTAGGATTGGTTTGCTTTTGAGATAAACGTCTGAGAAATTGGTCCTATAGAGTGACTCATCCTGGTGGCTCCCATAAAAAACCGCCAGGATCTCTGTTGTAGAAACACACAAGAAGAAAAATAAAACACAAAAAAACAAAACACACCCATCACGCTTCAGCAGAAGATTTAGCTTGTCATTTGCTGTGAAGTAAAGCAGGTTAAACAGTACTGTGTAAAGAAATTGGGGAATCAATCACACACTAAAGAGGGGGAGTTTAATTCAGCTTTAGGGGTTGATGGTTGAAGATTAAAGATGACTTAAAAAAGTAAGAGGAGAAAACAAAAAAAGAGAGAGCAGCGTGGATGGAATTAAGGCGGCATTAGGGTTGAAGCGGTGATGATGGAGCTCAGGGAATCATCAAGGGTTGATGAAGGAGGGAGGGGATGAAGCAGTATGAGAAGCTTAAAGTGGGTACTACTGTCCACGCTCAACAGTTAAGACCACACATGGTTCGGTTTTGTTCCACTACCGAGCTGATGTGCCTCTGGGTTTGTTTGACCCTCTGCACCTCGGGAAGGTCCGGAATAGCTGTGCTTCGAGCCGGAAGGTCCTTGTATTTTATCTACTCACCAGATGGTTTGAGATTGTGCAAAGAAGAGTAGAAGGGAATAAGGAGAATCAAGTTAATCAGAGGCAGTTTATAAAAAGGCGGCAGAGACACGGCACAGCACCAAAACTCACGGCAGAAATGAAACCAAGAATTAAAACACACACTTTTCTCCTGAGGAATGAAAAAGCTGGTTAATTCGACCCTCGAGAGTCTTGTTTGTGTTAAATCTGCGTGATGGGTTTGATGTGATAAGCACAGATATATTCGGACATCTCAGCAGGTGGTGGAACCTCAGGATAGTTATTATGACAGGCTTTTTTTTGGTGAGATGAAGAGTGAGGAAAAGGAGCGGATGGTTGTGTGAATCACTCTGTGGAGTACCGTGCTAATATTGAGCTGATTGCGTTTAACTCGCTCCATCTCGGGGGTCTCTGATACTGACGTGCCTTGTCCCACTCCTGCCTTGTACTGAAGCTTTAAACAGGACAGCATAAAAAGTCAAATATGAAGAAAACACACTCAAAGGGAAGTTAGATTTATTACAGAGAAGGTGGAAAATGGGAATTATAATAAGATAGCCATGAAAAATGAAGTCTGATTTAGGGAAAAAATCAGGTTAGTTTTTGGTTCAGAAAAAAAGGAATTAAAAATTGAAGAAAAAAAACAGTGAAGGAGGTAGAAATGGAAAAATTATGCTGCTGTGATAATCTGGTTTCAATCATAAGTTATGAACCAAAGCTTGTAAAGAAAGCTTAGTTAGGGTGGAGGAGGGAAAACCAGAGCTTAAAGATGATTATTATCTTCAGAGGGTGGTTTTTGGGTATTAAAGGGGTATAAAATCAAAAACCACAGCAGTCTTTTTTCTCTACCGAGCTGATATGCTTCTGGGTATCTTTGACCCGCTTCACCTCAGGCAGGTCTGGTATGGCAGTGCCTTGACCCACAGAGTCCTTGTATTGTATCTGCCCATTACATAAGTCACATAGACACAGAGACAAACAAAAGTGCAACAAGTACTGTAGACACTGACAGTTCCATCCACTCACAACAACAACAACAACAATATCATATGTTTTGTACAGCTGAGAATAACAGGATGTTACCTTGATGATTTTCCATATTTTAGTGGTGGTTCAGTCAATTTAACATAAGTTAGATTTGGAAATGTTGACTTGAATAAATAAAAATGGATTTCATTTTATTGAATTGATGAAATCAGAGATTAGATGCAGATTATTATAATGAGATAGAAAAATGAAACAGGTGTTTTACATGATGTAGACATTAAATCTTCAGTCAAAACTACTGAATGTTTGCAACTAAGGATATATGGGGGTAAAAGTATAACGTTAAATAATATAATAGGGAATCTTATTGTTATTTCATGTATTGTATTGTCATACTGCATTTTAACCTTGAGGTCATATAAATTAAACAGCAGGTGGTTTGGGAGTCCATGTGTTTCTAAGGATGAAGCTGTTAATGAAGCCCATAGAAGAAACGTCAAATTACGGCAACTGAAAACTTTAAGATTGATTCACATTTATGAAATGATCTGGAAAATACCAACACTTAAGTGCTTTGAAACAAAGCTTAGATGTACACCTTAAAAAAAAAAAAACCTGAAGGCCATTAAGGCATCTGCAAAATCTTCTTAAAACGAATCAAAAAATGTGTCTAAGTGACAAAATAATCCTGGAAGAATGATTGTTACATGAGCTCAGAGATCTGGTTATTGTCTCAGACAGAAGGGGGGAATATGGAGGGGAAACTGGTTGAAAATGGAAATGAAGGAGGGCAGGGTCACTCTGTGGAGTACCGTGCTGATATTTTGCTGGTTGCGTTTAATTCTCTCCATCTCAGGGGTCTCTGATATGGATGTGCCTTGTCCCACTCCTTCCTTGTATAGATTCTTTAAATTGAGACAGGAGAAAGTAAAAAATATTGTGACACATACTTAACCGGGGTTAGCTTCCAACTGAAGAGGGGAAAAAGGCCAAAGTTAGGGAATAAAATCCAGTACATGTGGGATAATCTGGTGGTGGGAAATGAGGGGAATTATGATTTTGTACAAAACTGAACAAGAAAATTTAAACCATCAGCCATGGTTTGTTAGGATGGAGGAGGTAAAACCACAACTGTAAACGGTCAGGGACTGAGAAGTCAAGTAGGGAAAGGTCATGGGCATTTTGGGAGATGATATGACAGGGTATAAAATCAGAACCACTGCAATCTGTTTTTTCTCTACCGAGCTGATATGCTTCTGGGTTTCTTTGACCCGCTTCATCTCGGGCAGGTCTGGTATGGCAGTGCCTTGACCCACAGAGTCCTTGTATTGTATCTGCCCATTACATAAGTCACACAGATACAGAGTGAGACAGAGACAAACAAAAGCACAACAAATACTGTAGACACTGACAGATCCATCCACTCACAACAACAACAACAACAACAATAACATCAAATACTTTGTACAGCTGACAATAACAGTTATTTTGAAGGTTTTTTTATGTTTTAGTGGCGGTTTGAATCAATTCAACATAAGTTAGATTTGAAAATGTGTTCTTGTATTTTTTTATAAATGGAATTTACTTCATTAATTTGATTGAATCAGATGTTAGAGGCAGAAGGTTACAATAAGACAGAAAAATTAAAAATTAGAACAAATTAAAACCACTGCAGTCTGTTTTGTCTCTACCGAGCTGATATGCTTCTGGGTATCTTTGACTCGCTTCATCTCAGGCAGATCTGGTATGGCAGTGCCCTGACCAACAGAGTCCTTGTACTGTATCTGCCCATTACATAAGTCACACAGATACAGAGTGAGACAGAGACAAACAAAAGCACAACAAGTATTGTAGACACTGACAGCTCCATCCACTCACAACAACAACAACAACAACAACAACAATAACATCATATACTTTGTACAGGTGACAATAACAGGGTGTTACTCTGATGATTTTCTTATATTTTAGTGGTGGCTCAGTCAATTCAGCATAAGTTAGGTTTTGAAATGTGTTCTTGTATTTTTTTTAAATGGATTTTACTTCATTTATTTGATTAAATCAGAGATTAAATGCACCAGATTATAATGAGAAAGAAAATGAAAAATCAGAATTAAAATTAAAACCACTGCAGTCTTTCTCTACCGAGCTGATATGCTTCTGGGTATCTTTGACCCGCTTCATCTCAGGCAGGTCTGGTATGGCAGTGCCTTGACCCACAGAGTCCTTGTATTGTATCTGCCCATTACATAAGTCACACAGATACAGAGTGAGACAGAGACAAACAAAAGCACAAATACTGTAGACACTGACAGATCCATCCACTCATAAAAACAACAACAAACAACAACAACAACAACAACATAATTTTCTTTGTACAGCTGACAATAACAGAGTTTTTATGAAGGTTTTCTTAGATTTTAGCGGTGGTCCAGTCAACGCATCATATGTTAGGTTTCGAAATGTCTTCTTGTACTTTTTAAAATGGATTTTACTTCATCAAATTAATTAAATCAAAGATTAAATGCGGCAGATTATAATGAGAAAGAAAATGAAAAATCTGAAATTAAAATCAAAATCACTGCAGTCTTTCTCTACCGAGCTGATATGCTTCTGGGTATCTTTGACCCGCTTCATCTCGGGCAGGTCTGGTATGGCAGTGCCTTGACCCACAGAGTCCTTGTATTGTATCTGCCCATTACATAAGTCACATAGATACAGAGTGAGACAGAGACAAACAAAAGCACAAATACTGTAGACACTGACAGCTCCATCCACTCACAACAACAAGAACATACACTATGAGACAACAGATTATCAAGTATCTCAGAGGTAGTTTGGTGTGTTATTTTTTATCTTAGGTATCGATGATACCCCATTAAGTTTCCTCTTTGAATTCATGTAAAATGAGTTATGATAAAAGAGACAAAAATCCTACAGAGCCCCCAAAGTCTCAGTTTATGATACAGATTGTTAAATAATGTAAACAAGACCTACCAGGCCTCTGTCAATTTAAGATAAGGATCTTACTTTCAAAGTGAGTCATTACAGTTTTTTTTAAATCGTACAATTATTATGGCAGAAATTTAATAGTTGAAGCTTGTGACAACAACAAAAATCGTAACCCAAAAAATCGTAACCCTACAGGGAATCACTGACTAACCTCTTTTGAATCCACTCTATTTTCCAAATATTGTCTTTTTACTAGCTAAAAAATAAAGATAGTGTCAACAAAAGTACTAAATTCTAGTCTTCAAAACAGCAGCATGAAGGAGGATACACCCCTTCCTCAAATAGAGCCCATGCATGGTGTGCACTCTGTTTGGATGTCTCCCTGCATCATCTCCATTAAAGCCACTTTTCTACATTATTATAGTTGAACAAAAACAGAATCTTTGAGGGCTCCGTTCAGTCTTGTAATAAGTAAATCAATTAGCTGAACTTATCATTGAAATAAAACTGGAGAACAGAAATAAAAACAACCGTTTTAAGAGATTATGCCATGTGACGTAAAGCACCATTGGAGTTATGGTAGGGGACATGATTAGGTAAGGAGGGATCAGGTTGGAGAGAGGCAGGTTGAGGAGGAGATGAAGGAGGGCAGGGTCACTCTGTGGAGTACCGTGCTAATGTTCTGCTGGTTGCGTCTAACTCTCTCCATCTCGGGAGTTTCCGGCAAAGCTGTTCCTCCACCCAAATCCTCTTTGTACTGAATCTTAACATGAACCAGGAATGAAAGCAGCAACCAGAGGTTAACCTGCTTTTAACTTTTCAATAGCGAGGACGAGATTCATTTCATTTCCTTGATTAAACTTTGATGCAAACTCAAAACACACATAAACACACACATTTAAAACAAACATAAACAACAACATTTAAAGGGACACACTTTTCTGGACACTTGCACATTTTTTTTACCACAAAATACACAACAACAACAACAACAACAACAACACACAAGCTCTGCACTATCAAATCCACATGTTACTCTACAGAACAACAGTTAGTTGCATGAATTAAAATGCTGCAAAGGATAAAATATTATCTATTTGGTCCAAAGAAATAAAGGCTGCATGTCAGGATTTGTTATAGATGAGGGAAGAAAGTTAAAAAAGTAAACCAAAATGTCAAAGAAAATAGAAAACAAGGTGTGTTATTTAAGAATGTTAAAGAAAAAAGGTCGGTAGGAGTAGGTACCGAGCTGATATTCTTTGTATTCTCTTTAACACGTAGAATTTCAGGAGTGTCCTGTACGGCAGACACTTTGCCCTTTATGTTTTTAAGGTCAATCTGGTATTGATGCTACAGAGAGAAAAACAAAAGGTGCAGTTAAAATGTTTCACATGAACAAATAACTAAATAGAAGGATATGAAAAGGTGGAAAACAGAAAAGAGAAAAGGCATTTGAGCAAAAAGAGGTGCCTTTCTTGCATGTCAAGATTTGTGTGAAGCTTTTTTTTCACATATTTAAATGCTTCATTTACAACAGTGGCAGCTACATTAGAGAAGAGCAGGCATTACACTTACAATCCAGAGAACAAAGTATTCAGGATAATACTTTACAAAAGACGTAGAGACATACACAGGGCAGTTTTAAGTCAAAGATGCAGGTCTACATCTGAAAATCTACCACCGTGTAGACATGCTGTCCTAATCCAAACACATTACTTACAGTGCTGAAGTTCTTCTGGTTCTCACGGACTCTCTGCATCTCTGGAGTGTCGAGCACCGGCACATAGTGAGACATGGTCTTCTCGGCCTCTTCTTTGTACTTTTTCTGTTGAAGAAAACCAGGATTTTTAATCATGAAAAGATCTCTCCTCAGAGACAAAAGAAGAGGGTTTTTCGGAGACACCGTTCTGGAGTTTACCTGGCTGACAATGTTCTTCATCTGCTGAGCATGGATGATATCAGGGGTGTCGATGACGGTCGTGTAGCTGGCCCTGTCCATCTCAGCGGTCTGCTTGTACTTAGTCTAAAGGACAGAAAATCCCCTCAGCACAGAAACAGACTGAAATCATAACTACAACAATGTCTCACACACTCAAAACCAATTTCCAGACCTGACTGAGGATGTCAGTAGCGTTCCTGGCCCTCATGAAGTCTGGGGTGTCTGTAGCCAAAGCCAACATTCCCTTGCCCTTAATCTCCTGCTCCAGCGACTTCTTGTACTCTCTCTGAAAACATTACAGACCATAAAGTGTTATGTAGAAGTTATGGCTTTATAGAAACAGCAGAAATGATGAGCAGATAGGACAGAATTTTTGATCATTCATGTCAGGGGCAGCTGGGGCTGCAAACCAATGAAGCCTCATGGGAGTGGTAATATTTTTAAGAGAAGAAATTAGGAGTTTTAAAGGAACACAGGGAACTGGACACTAAAATGAAGGTGAATGTCATTCAAAACTCCCAAAACAACAGTGGTTAAGGACCTTTTGTTAAAGGTGTTAAACTATACACTATTTCAGTTGGTTACTGTTCAGTAGTAACCCTCTCCTGCACTCCAAAAATCAACTTCAACAGTACCTGGAGCACAAACTTGACAAAACAAAACAAAAATCTCAGCTTAATAACACCAAGTTTTCTTACGGTTTTTATGAGTTTATGTCCAAAATGAAGTAGGTCCAAGATTTGTGTAAAATAATCAAACCTAGACATGAACATCTCTCAGGGGGTTGGATCCAAAATGATGAAGCATACTAAAAAACGGAACTCCTGGGAGCTCTCATTGACGGTTTAATTATTTAAAAAGTGACTTTTCGAGTCAGCATGGTCTTTGCTGCTACTCTCCCTGCCTTCTCAGTGCACAGAAAACAGAGTTAAAATTGTTTTAACAAAACAATTTTAACATAAACAAATGCTAAATAAATTCCTGAAAACACCAAACGTCCATTTTACTAGAAAAAAAATTATATAAAAAATATAAATATATAAATAAATAAATAAAAACCAAAAATTAAAATAAAATAAAAATAAAATAAAATAAATAAATAAAAAAATTGTCACCAAATGAACAATTGAGGTTGATTTTTTTGAGCAATTTTCAGATTTTTAAAAGAACAAAAGTAGAAGGTAAAATTAAGTGAAAATTCAACTGGGTGGAGGTAAGGATAAAGTCATGACACAACATTGGAAAAAGGAGAGAGCCAGAAAATTAGTGTTGTCATCAAGCGGGGACAAGTCAAACACAGCTGCTGCCCTTTTAGTGTGATCATGAAGCTTAGTAAAGGGGACAGGTTTCAGCAGATGGTGCACCAAGAGCAGGATGGTGGGATTGTGGGAAGGCACACGGTCGAGGCTGTGATGCTGCCTCCATCACCTCCCAGTCTGCCGTACCTCACACAGGATCTGAGTGGCATTCCTTGCTCTCAAAAGCTCCGGAGTTTCCTCCAGTACAGTGAGCCCTTTACCCTTCACCCCCTCTTCTAGATCCCTCCTGTACTCTCTCTACAGGATGGAAGAAGAACAGAGAGACTGCAGACAAGGAAGGGCACACAGGCAGGCCACACAAAGCATAAAGACAGACAGTACAGCGGGCAAGCTCTGATACTGGCCCCTTAGAGCTCAAAGTCACCAAGTCTCCAGAAAGAGAGGCCAATTTAGATTATAAGATTGTAGTTGAAACAAAAAGACTGTAAGTGTCAGTCAAAACTTTACAGAGAGAGTGGAGGCATTGGTGACTTTGGCAAGAATCCTGATAAAAGACAAGAAAACGTCATTTTATCACAAAGAACAAACAACAACACCATTTAACATTTTACCACAAAATCATGACAGCAACATGCAGACAGAAGACAGAATTTTAACAGATAAAATTTTTCTTCTGGTTGTGGAATGAGGAGATCAAAATGTCACAGGATGGATAAAGAATATTAACAACTCTGCCACAAGTCAGAGGTTCGGAGAAAAGGGAGATGGATGAATGTTGGTGAATTAATAGTTTATGGCTCTGTAGTGTTGAGAAACATGCAAAGGGACTATAATTTATTGGCATGAGTTTACCTACAAGAGGAAAAAACCCAGAGAGTTAAAGGAGGAGAGGTCAAAAGAAAGTGGGTATGATGTAATCTTAGTGATAGAGCCCAACCAATACATGGATAATACTCATACTGCCTACAACTGTTATAGAGCTGTTGTTGTATAGGTGCTGACTGTTATACAAAATCTTTATAATGCCCAGTATGACGTTACATATTCTGTTATCAAAATTCACTGTATAAAAATGCAGCTTTCTGAAAAACTTTAAGTGCTAACAAAACCAGTAAAAAGGCAAAAAAAGGTAAACTATCCTAAGTGCCAAATAAGTAATCTCTCATTTTTCCTCGCCCCTACCGGTCAGGCTCTACTTAGTATGATATTAAATCAAGGGTGAGGTAAAAGGGTGGGATGTCAGGTAAAAACTATCCTTTACCTCACTGGCTATTTTGGTGGCGTGTCTGACATGAATCATGGCGGGGGTGACCTCCAAGCCTGAGAGGTTCTTGCCCCTCATGTTCTCCTCAAAGTCCTTCTTATAGTCTTTCTATCAGCCGTGAAGATAAGACAGGGGACAGACAGAGCACATATAATAACATGCAAGCAGAGCTGATTCATAATGCAGTTACCTCCTCCTGGCTGGCACCGTAGTCCGGTCTGAACCGGCAGTCTTAACAGTGTTTAATTTTTGTGTAAAAGCATGAATGTGTTTGTAAAATATGGTGTTTTTTTGTGATAAAGTTATTCTAGTGTTTGAAATCTGTAGCTCTGATCAAGTGTTAAAAATACTGTATATTTCAATCAGTTTAACTAAATGCTTTGAGAGCCTATGATATAGGCTGCATGCAACTATTACAAAAAATGCATTTTTTATTAAATGTGATAGATATGTCTATGTGCTTAAATAAATACTATACCTTTCCCACATCTGCAGCGTGAGAGGGAGGAGTCTGAACTTAATATATACACAGAATAATAGAGCGAAAATACTAAATGTGCCATTTTTTTCAACACATTTTACAGTGCCTTCTGCCATACACTTTTCTGGACACAGCTAGCTATGAGTAAAAAATGTAAAGCCGCAAGAGAGACTGTGTAATCTAACAGAGATCCTCAAAAAATGAACCTAAAAAACTAGTTTTTGTTAAAAACACAGGCCTGATTGAATAAACTGGCATTGAAGACATTGTAAAAGGTCATTTCAAAACTTCTGATACGTCCTGTATGCAACAGCAGAACATGTAACAGGCTTAAGCATATCAGTGGAAAGCAAGAAGTATGACAATACAAGTTAGCAGACACTGAAGAGTCTTCCAGCTGAGAGAGGAGCCATGAAAAGAGATTTACATTTTTAGCAGTTTCAACACAGAGGAGACAGACAGACTCAGCGCCTACCTGGCTCTGCATGTGCTGGGCCTCCTTAGCAGTCACATACGTGGGTGTCTCAAAGTCCAGCATGGGTTTACCCTTCTCCCTCTCATACTTCTCCTTGTATTTCACCTGGAATAGTCCATTTGAAAGTCATGTCAGCTGTTTTCAACTGAGAGTTTATAAAGAAATCAAAGTGATACAGCTTATTTCTAAACTCTATACACTAATTATCACAGCATATTGGTTTACGTTACATGTGTATTCATTTTTTGTGGCAGATGTGTTAAAGTGCATTTCCATGTCTTTAGGGAATCTAAGTTTTGTTTTGGAAATGCTATATTGCATTATCATTTTCAGAATTAAGTTATTTCACATTTCATACAAGTTTCCACACATTTAAGTATGCAAATAGAAAAGTATAATAAATTATGTTAAAATAAACAAATAAATACTTGAAATCATTTAAATTGTGGGCCCTGAATCCATAATCTATGAAAGTTTAATGTTTTGAAAGGAAATATGGAAACAGATAAACTTTTCCATGATATTATAAATTTTTTGGAAAGGGTCTGTAAATGCAGATAGATGAGAAAGTCCGCACTGCCTTGTTTTGGAATAATGCATAACATATAGAAAACACGCTTTACAAATGACAGCAACTCAACAAACATAATTTCAAGATGAATTTTGTCTCACTGTAAAATATTTTTACTTTCATACTGAGAAATGATCTCTTCTTACTGCAAATGCAGACTAAAGTTTGCATTACCAGATTTCGTACATCTGAAACATCCAACACAAACTGAAGCTATCTGTTGCAAAATCTGTGTTGTACTCATTAAAAGACAGAATAAGAATAAGAATTTCTGCAGATTTTTCACAAACATTTGTTGAACAAGAAAGTCGTGGTGAACTTGTGAAACCCACAGAGGTGTTTTGGGGTGTATTTTGACCCCCCCTGGTGTCTGTACCACTTACGTTACTCTGGAGTTCAGAGGCCTCCTTAAGATGGATCTGTTCTGGTGTGTCAGGAATCATATGGTAGTGACCCTTACTCTCCTCAAATTTCTTCTTGTAGACGTACTATGAGGGAATTTCCAGTCAAGTAAGACAGCTCAGAGCAACACACCAGAAAAAAAAAGTGTATGCCCTTAAAGTACACAGTATTAAAAAAAGAGATTAATCCAGATAGAAATAAGAATACTGTCATAACTGTGTGAAACAGCACTCAGCAATTCTAAAACTATGAGATGCTGACAAAACAAAAAAAGGTATGAGTGAAAAATGGCGGGGAAAAAATGGATGATCCAGAATCAATGGAAAAAAGGAGAATTTGGTTAAGAGGTTATCGATAAAAATTATCTCTGCGGGAGTGATTAAATGAAACTAAACCAGCCTGGGAGTGGAGGTTACAGAAGGTCAAAGGTTGAAGGGTGATGGGTAAGAAGGGTAAGGGTCACTACCAGATGAGGTCACAGATTAATGAATGTTGGGATGATGATTTTAGTGCATAAACCTGTGAGACAACCATTAAACTCTACTGTGTGGATTGTTACCATGGAAACACATGACACCAGCGACATTAAATGAAACTCAGATGGACGGGTCACTAAGGCAGAGGCCTCCTGGGTAAGAATATGAGAGGGTTAATGATGATGATGACGATGATGATGATGTCTTACTTGGCTGGACAGTTTGCTGGTGCTCAGGTTGTGCTGCATGGACAGAGACTCGGCCATGTCAGTCACAGGCTTGTGGATCTTCTTCAGGTCACCCTTGTACTTCACCTGCAGATAGTATTGATTATATTGTAATATATCCTTCTAATTGAATAGTGTCCTCTTGTCAATAAAAAGCATGGATTAATGTGAGCACATACCTCACTAGCGAGTTCGTTGGCATCCTTATAAGTCTTGTAAATCTTACTTTCCTTCAGGTCATATTGTGGTCTCTTTCCTTTCACCTCCTTGTCAAACTTCTCCTTGTACTTCACCTGTTTGCATGGTGTAAATGTCAAAGTTAGCATGTGCTTTAGCTTTTCAAGAAGGCAGGCTCCATCTCACACTGGAAACACGTGAAGAACAGCACAGTGCTTTTTTAAAACGATGTATAAAAAGGGATGAGTGACATTGGCTCTCGAGAGATACATTGCATCAGAGAATTAGCTCTACAAGTTTAGTTTACATCCCTTTTTATACAAGACATTGAATATTTCACCCTCATAATGTGGTTATTTTTCATGCATCAATTTACCATTTACTTTGCACTGAAACTAAAATCCCTCAAAGCTGTCCATGGGTCCAAACACCAATTTTTCATTTAAGTCAGGTTTAAGTTTTAAGGAGGAATTCTTCAACTTTAAACTATATTCCTAAAAGTATTTAAACTATTTTAATAAACCACATTTAAAAATAAACATCAGAGGATCTACTTGGATCTATCTCCTTGCATACAAGAGTATCAGATTCAATTACGATGAATTCTTATCAAACAATAAAATGCATCTAAAAGAGTCTTAAGTGACATTTAAAAGCTCCTTTCTCATTCTAACTAAAGGCGAGCGCTCATTTCTGTTTTTCATTCCAAATTTTTCCTCCTTTCACTTTGAAGATGCAACTGCAACTTAGAGCTGTTGCATTTAAATTTGACTCCATCAGCTCTCAATGCACATTTAGCTTATAACGATGTGGTGACTTTTCGTGCTGACTCGTCCTCAAGATGCATTTTAAGTGACGTGAGACAGCAGATTCTCGATGTACAAGAGCATTCTGTGATCAACATGGACAAACATGAACTTCATATATATAACAGGATATATATGGTAGAGGTATGACGGTATGATCGTGGTCAGGTTTCAGAGGGAGAGAAGAGAATGTTTAGCTTTTAAAGTGGGCGACACAGAGAAATCACATTTTCTTACCAAACCAGACACATGTAAATCCAGCAGCAAAAATAAGTAGCATGTATAAACTTAACATTTAAATTCCCCGAAAGGAAAAGAAAAAAACCCACACCACATTACCTGCTGGATTTAGATGTGTTTAAACATTCAGATGCATGTTTCTTCATATTCAAATAATAGAAATCTCATATCACATGTTCAAATATTAACACACTGATTGACAGAAAAAGAAAAACAAAACAGTATTTACATTTTTGTATTAATGCAGCATATGCCCACCTATGTCAAGCAAGGAGCAAAAGCTTGGGAAGCAAGCAAATGAGCAGAGGGTGCACACAATGCCTTGCTAGATCATGATTGCAGTGTAGTAGGATTTAAAACTGAATCGAATCTTGTGTGTAAATGTTTCAGCTCTTCGTAAAGTCAGGTATAAACTGTTCAGTCAACAGATCAACAAATTAGACAGACATAGAATTACAGCCCGTCACTTTCAGGGCGTGAACCTCCTTACATCACTAGTCACGGCACTCATTTTCTTAATGTGGCGCATCTGGGGGGTATCAAAGGTAGCTGCTCCATGGAAGGAGGGCTTGGCCTCCACCTACAAAGCGCAGTGAGATGGATGGATCAGAACACACAGACTTTGAGATTATGGAGGATGAGGAGAGGAGAGAGGTGAGGAGTAAGGAGAGTGAAGGAAAGAAGGACAGATATAGAGGGCAGGATTAAGAATGGGGTGAGACAAATGCAATGACATGAGCAGTTAAACATGGATATATTCTTTCAGAGATTAAGGCATGGATTATAATGCAGAATGGCAGAGGAAGCGCTGGTATGAATGAGCTGGTAGTTGTAAAGTTAGATCTACAGAACTACTGCTAAGCATCTACTGCAGCAAAACAAGTCTAAAGATATTAGATCATGGAAGCTTCTCTGGTGTTGATGCTCTGGTATACCACTCCCTGATTTTAGCCACATCATGTAGTATGTGGAAATAAAAGGGAAACATTTCCTGAGGATAGTAACAGTTGAAAAACAGCATTATTATGTCCCAGCATCTTGGTTTTTATCACAAAAAAGGAGAGAGGAGGATTGGGCTCAGTGTACCTGGCTGGTTAGCTTGGACACTTCAGTGGCCAGAGCGATATCTGGGCGGTGGCGCAGAGAACCTCCACGGGCGGCCTCCTCACGGGCCTTGTCACGGTAGCCGATCTGTGGAGACAAGAGAAACAAGAACCTCTGGACTGTGTGGAAACTATCTTGTTGGTCTTCACTGTTTTTTAAATTTATTTCCTATTGTGTTTGTTTTCCCTTGTCAAGCTGTGTTGTTAGCACAACAAATTTGAACAATTTTCTTTCCAACAAATTGTAAAATTGTTTGCGAAATGATTCTTTCATAGGGTCCATGCTTAAAGGACATGTTCGTGGTTCTTCTTAGCTCGTATATGAAGGTACAATGTCTAGTATTTATGGGTATTTAGCACAACAGACTTGGTAGAAATGTATTGTAATTTTCATAGGTTCAGTATGTTGCACTGCCATATTTCTATAGTACAGAACAGACAAGTACGTAACAAAGCGTGTTGAGCTTCGCCAACAGAAGGAGTGAGCGAGAAACGTTTCAATCTTAACACTGACCCTTAGATATCACTTCATAGTCTCATTTCTAAACACCCCAGCTTTTACAGATGAGTTACAGGACATACAGTACTTTAATATGTAAAAATCTTCATGTAAGGCTTACAGAGTGATCAGAAATGAGGCGAGTAAACACTTCCTGAATTTTCCGGAGTTTAGTAGAAACAGTAGGTTTTGAGCGTGTATTTGCAGATTACCCCACTAATCAGTTTGGCAGCCTGGGTAGCCTTCCTTATGTCAGGACGGTCAACCACAGAAGTGTAGGACAGGTTGGCTTTGGCATCCTTCTTGTAGGAAAGCTGTGGGATTGAACAAAAAACAAGAGAGAAATCAGCTTTAGCAAAACCAAAAAATAATGGTGAGGCTGTGGAGGTATGACAGTGTAGAGATTATAACATTATTAACAGTATTAACAGAGACACATTTGTGAAGATGACTCACGCTGCTCTGAGTCTTGGCCACGTCCATGGCATGCTGCACATCAGGTGGAACAGTCATCTGGTTATAAATTGACTTGCCCTTCTCCTTCTCAAACTTGGATTTGTACACTTTCTGTAAAGTGAGACAGGAATGTCAAGAGAGGCCGGCTGCAGAAAAGCTTTAAATGATTTATGAGATGGTTGAATTCATAATGTGAAAAAAAGAGGGTCGTACCCCGCTGACGAGCTTGTTGATCTGCCTGCTGTGGGCGGTGTCACGAGTCTCCGGCATGACGGTGAATAAGCTGACATGCATGTCCTTCTTACTGGCCTCCTTGTATTTGCTCTGAGCAAGAAAATGAAGAACTTATTACTTGTTCATGTACTTGTTCATATCATATTTATTCACTTCTTAACATGTGGAGGAACCTTTAATAATATTAAAAAACTGTTGCTCACCTCTGATGCCAGAGTGCGCACAGCCTGAGCGTGGAGGATCTGAGGAGTGTCCTTAACTGGAATATAGTGGCCCTTTGCCTTTTCATACTTCTCCTTGTACTTGACCTGCAGGGCACAGATGCAATATTAAGAGACAAAGTTTTAAACGTTATCATTTTTGATAGTATTAAAGGCAAAGGAAAACTTACAATGCTGGCCATCTCTGCGTTCTTCAAAGCCAGGAGCGTGAACTTGTCATCAACAACAGGAATCACACAGCCCTTCAACATCTCTTTGTCATACTTGTACTCAACCTGCGGGTCAAACAAATGGAGCCAAGTTAGAGCAGCGTGTTTACATGACGTGGGGACACAAATAAAAAACACTTATTTAAAGAAGCTTCAACTCACATCACTCTGTTGCAGGGTGTTCTTGGCGGCATTGAGGAAGTCAGGTCTGTCTGTGGTCCACATCCACTTAAACTTAGTGGCTTCATACTTCTTCTTGTAGTCGAGCTGAAAGACAAAAACAGTTGTTTAACTTTGATCCATCAGTGAAGAGAAAGCGATCGGTGATTCTCAAAAGACACTTACGTTGGTGATGTTCTTGTAGGCCTCCTTGGCAGCACGGATCTCATGAGCCTCAGGGTCAATGTTAATCTGAGCCTTGCACTTCTCATAAACTTCTCTGTACTTCAGCTGCAGGATGAGTGAAAAATACACAATCAATCAGAACAATTCTGGTAGTATTTTGGCCTTCTATGTTTCTGTGGACAACAGCCTCAAACAGGTACTTACATTGCTGGTGATCTCCTTGACCCTCTTCATGTGATTCTGGTGTGGAGTATCAAATGGCAAGGTGTAGGCCTTAGCCTTGGTCTTGTTGTACTCCATCTTGTAGATGATCTAAGGAATGATTATCAACATAGTCAGCTCTAAGGACATCTGTATATAAGGTAAATGTCAAGAAATGCTTTGACCGCTCAAAACAAAAAGTGTAAACAAAACTCACATCGCCGATTTTCTTGCTGCGTCTGTGAGCATCATACCAGGGGGTCTCCAGAACAGAGGTGAACTTGTCCTTGGCGCGTTCATACTGCTCCCTGTACCTCCACTGATGAGGGAGGATGACGCACAAACAAGGAAGTCAGAAGCACTCACAACATATTTTCAGCTATTTGTGTGAATTTGGACTAACATTACTTTAATGAATGTAATCTAACTAAAAACAAAACTATCCAAGACAATATAAAGAATAAATTACCAGTATGGAGTAAGATAAGAGAAATAAATTATAACTAAATCCTCAATTACTGACATCTAAAAATCTGTGTAACGTTCAAAGTTGATTCTATAAAAATCTCTCATTGACTTTTTTCTTGGACAGTTTTCTATCACAATAAGTCCAACAGTTGTTTAATATATAATTTAATTTTCTACTTTCTTAAAAAATCACAGTGAATCTTATGAATAAAATGTTGGTTGGTGTTAATGAAATCATGCCTGATCCAACATGCACAAATGTAATGAGGGTTAGTTTTCAGTGCAAATGAAGACAAGTGTTACCGAGGTTAAGTCATGACAGTCTGCAGTGCCCACGTGGTTCATGGCGACCAGCAGTCCATGTAAGTGCTCACTGTATCTGACACTAAGTGATTTTAGGTAACATTAGGTATACTCAAGAGAAGAAAACAACAAAACTTTGACTTTATCACAAAAAAAAAACAATAACAAGAAAACTAGAATCCACTCATTAAAACCATTTAATGATATCAACCCAAATAAAGGTGACAAAAGTCTTCAATGGTACAGTTCCCTCGCCTTGCTAGCTCATGTCTGCTGGCCATCGGGCGGCTTTGCACTGCATGAAATTAAAGATGGGTGATGGGTGACTGATGAGAAGTGATGAAGGGATTAAACATGAATAAGGATGGAGGAATGATGGAAGTTAAAACTCCATTAGAAGTTAAAAAATTAGCAGGATGAAGAGGAGGAGTTTAGACATGAAGAACATTTCATGGGATTAGACCTTTTATAGAAACAGCAGAGAGGAACCAAGTAACCTTTAAGAGTTTAACATTGCATTTATGTCCAACGCTGATGATGTGATCTGAGTTAGGAAGTTGCTCTTTAGAAAAGTGAATTTTTTCTTTAGAGCACACTGATGTTGGGGACATAAATGTAGGGTAAGTGGTTAACTAAAACTCTCTGCTTGTTTATGGACAAGGATGAGAGTTACCATGGTTCAGCACTCTTTGTCTATGTTTACCTTACTGCCCATAGTGGTGGAGTAAAGCGCTGTGAGGATTTCAGGACGGCGGAGCTCATTGCAGCCAATCCTTAGGAGATTCTTTGCTGTGGATGTATACCTTTTCTGCTCACACAAAACGACAAATACACACACACACACAAACACACACAGCATGCCAAGGATATGTGAGAAAGAGTGGTGACACTAGGAGGACTGGAGGAGAACTCCAGAGGTCCGAGGGTGACCGCGAAAGTGTTTGTCCTCATCTGTGCTTTCAGATTGACAGAAATGATCAACTGTAATGTTGTCATGTTTGAACAATTAGCTAACTCAGTAAATGAGTGTTTTCACTGCCCTCTAGCTGCACAGATAAAGGTGAGCCTCACTCACTCAACATAGAGTTTCTGCGGCTACTTGAGCGACTGTTTCAACAGCCTGTGCTGGACGAAAAAGAAGGAAAGGGGACGAACAGATTTAAAGAGCGTTTTCTCGCTGGTTGAGCTGTCACAGACATGCAACGACGACTATCCATCAGCGACCTCATGCACTTAGAGTCAGAGGTCTAGCGGCCTGACGTGGAGGTTGCAGCGGATGATGCAGACCGGCCGTACAGCACGACCAGGACGTTTACCTGGCTCATCTTTCTGTTCTCTCTGGCCAGTTGGTACCTAGGATCCTCTGTGGTAATGGTGAACTTATCCTTGGTCTTCTCATAATTAGCTCTGTACATCCTCTGCTCAGAATGTCAAAAAGTAGTTAAAGACAAATGTCCGGACAACAATTTGCACTAAAATGTGATGGGACTCATAGAGGAGGGGAAAAAGGAAGGATTTTAACAAGTTGATGAAAAAAACAAAACAAATCTGGTATTTCTGGTGTCATGGAAAAAAAACAGATCAGAAATATTCACAGGGAAAATCAAATGTACACTCTTTTACCTTCAAACTGTGATAAAAATCCACAAAGACAGAAATTTAATTGACAATTTAACAGCCTATTTTGCAAATATGTAGGAAAAAAATGTGCTTTTACTAAAAATCAAATGAATTATCACTGTTTTGGTAAAAGAATGGAGGGACTCACATCATTGATGAGATTGGACGCATGCTTGGCAGCCTCGAAGAACGGTGAGTCGCAGGTATACTTGAAGTTGCCTCTGTTCTTCTCAAAGGAAGCTTTGTACAGTCTCTGTTAACAAGAAATTGAGCTTGTATTAAAACATGTTAGAAAAAATTAAACTAGATTAAAGAAGATTTGACTGCTAGAAGTCATAATTTAGATTTAATGATAGGAGCAGATTAAAGTTTAAACTTGTAATGAGACAGTGAATACATGAAGCACTATTTACTACATGAGGAGTCAAACTTATAAAGTAAAAGGTAAAAACAAAATGGTGTATAAGCTTCGCAGATCCTGTACCTCACTGTAGAGCTTCTTGTTCCTCTCAGCTGTCACCAGCTCAGGTGTGTCCCAAACAAAGCAGCCAAGACCCCTCAGCCACTCCAGGTCCTCCTTGTACTTGACCTAAAGAGACATGAAAGCGATTCAGTCAAATTTATCAATGGTTTGTCGGTGATACTTCTCCTCCTTTAGTCTATATTTGAAGAAAGGGATTCTTGAATGCAATGAAGAGCACTCACGTTGCTGACGTTATCATTGACAATTCTGTTGAAGAACAACTCAGGACGGTCAGGGATGGACTTCCATGTGCCAAGAGTGCTGATGTACTTCTCCCTGTATTTGACCTGTGATAGAGATATGGAGGAAAACAAGTGTGAGTGATAGTATTGCAACATGAAAAATGGCTTTATGTGTAAATATGAATTAAATAAACACAAAAATAAGTTAATTGTAAACAATCCAGCAGCTCCTTTCTCACCTCGCTGATGTCGTCAGTGACTCTGCGATGGTAGACGATGTTCAGAGCATCCTTGACGGTGTGGTAGTGTCCCTTGGAGAGCTCAAAGGTCTCTTTGTAACGCAGCTAAATGAACAGAGAACAAAATGTGTCACACAATTATATAGAGTCCATCCCACCTCTATTTGTTATCATTACACAAACACATACCCCTTATCTCTGCACTGAGCAGAATTTAGCAATATGATTGATAAAACATCAAATATAGAGACTTTACCCAGTGTCCAAGGATCATAGATTTTTTAGTTCATGATAACTGTTAATTGACAATATCTGTTAATAAAACTGTTAATAAAAAGACTTATGAGACCTTGTAAAATGCCTGTAAACATGAATAAGTGTTAATAACTGTTGACGAAGTGTAATAACACAACTATTATCACTTGTAATATTCTTAAAAGGTTCTCCTTACATTTTTGTTTACAGCTCATCTACTTGTCAAACACATCAATAAGATACTTATTCATATTAATTAGACTTTATAAGGCTCAATTAAAGATAAACAACATATCTATCAATTTGTTTGAACACATTTGCAGGGAACTTAGATTACAATATTTATAGTCTTAACATGTAATATGATGTTTATAGACAATAGTTTAACTATGAGGGTTTATTTCAACTATAACTAACATTTAGAATTTTATATAAGCTCCAGTATATGCAATGACTGTAATCTATTTAACAATTCGTTAATTTTGCTGCTACTAAATTCAAAGTGGGAACAAGCAAATAATAAATATATTAACCAATCTGAAATGAACCCTAATAAAGTCTATTTAATGTCCACAAACATTGTATTGAGTTTTGTGGCAGGTATATTCAAGTAACAAGAGAGCCTATAAGTGTAATATAAGCAAAATTAAATGTGTTTATTACACTTTTATAGCCATGTATTAACACCTATAAATGTCAAAAGCATTATTTAAGGTCATTTAAGTGGTTTATTAATTATTAAATGCTTAAGGACCTGAAAACCGAGTGTTATCAAAAGCTTTTCATGTTTTTTAACACAGATTGTATTTGAAGTAACAGCCTGGAAATTATCTGAGAAACACTGTCTAAGATATCAACAAAAATATCCTTAACATTAAACACAGATTTATTACTCAATGGAATGTGGAAACTACAAATAAATTAACCTGCGCTTCTTTTTGTGTCACAGCTCTGGTATGAACGACATTTTTAGACAGTGCAATTACTCACATCACTGGACTGGAGGTAGGATTTCTTGGCACGGATCAGGAGTGGTGTATCAGCAATAGCGGTGTATCTGTGCTTCATCCTGTCATACTGCTCCCTGTATTTGTTCTGGGGAAAGAAGAAGAGGGTAAGACGACTAATGTCACATATTCTGAGTATTTAAGTGTAATTTGTTTCGCCAGTAACCACCCTCAGATCATCACTGAGCAATGAGGAAGTGCAAAACTTACACCACTCTGGATCACTTTCATTTTCCTGGTATGACCCATGATGGGAGTTTCAGGTTCTTGAGTGAAATGAGCCCTCTCCTTTGAAGCCAGGTCTTTGTACTGGAACTGCAGAAAGAAAGAAAAAACAACAACAATTAGATCAACATGAAAAACTTTAAAAATCTTGTGAAAATTATTCAATCTGTGATGAACTTGCAATGTTGGTCAGCTGTTGAGCCCATTTGGCCCTCATGATGTCCACGGAGTCCACGGTCGTGGAGACTTTAGACATCTCCTCCTTGCTTTGAGATTTGTAGAGCATCTGGAAGTGCAGAGGGAAAACAGTCAGAATAGCATCAAGAGTCATTGATTAAACACTACGGAACTGACGCCACCGTTGATATCTAACAATGCGATAATGTGAAATGTGATAATGTTTTTTTGAGGAGGCTCACCATGCTCATGTGGGACTTCAGCTCAGTCACACGCTTGTACTCGGGTGTGTCCAGGACCACAGAGAAGTTGGCATAGTTCTTCTTTGCCTCAACTGGATAGTCGACCTAGAGATGTGAAAAAAAATAAAACATTAGAATTATTGAAATGCAACTGCTGGAAAATGATTGAAATATTTACTGTGATAGAGGATTGAATATCAAGTGAAACACATACCCTCTGCTTGGTGATGTTGCGGATGCGGATCATCTCAGGGGTGTCATACAAGAAGCAGCCGATACCTCTCAGCCATGTCAGATCCTCTTTGTATTTCAGCTACAGACACATAATAGTTAAACTCTACTTTTTTATATTTGTTACGAGTCAAATGGTGTTAACAGACCAGCATGAGTGAACAAAACAAATACTTCTAATAACTGTCACTGTTTTACACGTACCTCACTGGTTATCTCATTGACATGGTAGCAGTGCATCAGCTGGGGTGTGATGGGCAATGAAATCAACTGGCCTCTGTTGTTGTAGTATTTCTCTTTGTAGCACAGCTGGAAAAGAAGAAGACAAAAGTTGGGATAAAAAAGCGTACTTTTCAAACTTGGCGTATAAAATCCGATGAAATGATGTCTCGAGTCGTGTGAAATGGTTTTGTACATCGCTGAGGTTCTCCTGGTTCTTCTTGACTTGTTTGATCTCAGGGGTGTCGTAGGTTGTGTGGATCTTGTCCTTCTGCTTGTGGTAAGTCTCCCGATACAGACGCTGAAGGAAAGGAAAATACAGATTTGTTTATAGTTTCAGAAGGTAAAAATATACATCATGTCTGCACAATCAGCTGTGTCTCATCTTACCTCATTGGTGATCTTGTTAGCCTTTCTGGCAATGACGAAGTTGACACCCTCAGGATGAAGAGTGTAGGTCTTAGCCTTTGTCATCTCGTAGAGCTCCTTATACTTCACCTATTGAAGTCAGATAATAAGTCAAGATTGTTATCTATGGCTAAATGAATAGTTTAATCTGATGACGAAAAAATGGTAAAAATACTGACATTGCTGGTGATGACGCTGTTCTTCTTGGCCTGCTTGATGAGCGGGGTATCGTGGGGCAGGGAGTAACCGGTGGGCATGAAGTTCTTGTTGGCTTCCGTGTACCAGCTCTGAAGGGAGAGCAGAGACAATATGGGTGAATCAGGAGGCATTTAGCAGGGACATGAGTTAAAAATACTGAAAGAGAAAAATTCTGACTGAGGAGAACAAGGTCAAACATGTAAAGGCAACAAAATGATCCAAAAATTAGAATTTTATCCATTTTGCAGATGTTTAACCTGCTTTTTTATCAGATTTGGGATACCAGTTTATGAGTCCTTAATACTGATGATATTGTTGCGCTTTAAACCCTGAAAGACCACTTTAGATTTTAATACTTAGAGCTAAACATGTCAATGTTTTTCATATATTTGTGGGATGTGTGTAATAATCTTCCCAAAAAAGTTCTTTGACAAATAAAACTGGGGTGTATCTGACAACCTAATAAACCACAGTCATGGCACACTTTTGGTATCTTTAAAAATATAATATGCTCATTCTATTCCTCTAGAGTTTGTTAAACTACAATCAAAGTGAATATACTGTGAAACATGAAAATCCTTTTCCTTACATTACTCTGGATGTAGCTGGCCAGACGAGCCCTCTCTGTCTCGATGGTAACAGCAGGAGCAGTGTTGGTGCCCTTGATGTTAGCGTTGTAGTCATAGCGATAGTGCAGCTGAAGAAAAGGAGAAAAATAATTTATTGTAAAGGTCAGGATGTTTCTGTAACATAATGGAATAAAAACAGAGATAAAGCAATAAATGAAGGTGTATGACTTACGTCACTCAGGTTCTCGGCGTTCTTCTTGGCTGTCTCGTACACTGGGGTGTCCGTCACCACTGAATAGTCCTTGAAACTTTCAATACCTTTGGCTCTGTACTTGTGCTGGAGTGAGACAATTGAACAAAGAAATCAGCATTTGTTATAAATGGATTACGATTAAAGATACAACATAGAGTTATATATATTGAAATTAAACAATAGCATGATGAATAGGAGAAGCTGGAATGGAGGGTAAAAAGTGGACTAACCTCACTCTGCAGATTACCAGCATTCTTGACACGGAGGATCTCTGGTGTGTCCCAGGCGTAGCAGCCAATGCCCTTCAGCCAGTTCAGGTCATCCTTGTAGAAGATCTGAAAGGAACCAACATTAAAAGACACAAGTTGAGTGATTTTTGCAGATGTATTTGAACAGAACTTGGTTTACAGTTGCATCTTTTTCACACCAAATTTAAACTCTAAAAAACAAACTCTGAACGCTCTAAAACAAGTAAATGTGTACTTTTTCAAGGGCTCAATATGTTTTTCGTTTTTTTTCCCTTGTACTTTTTAAAAGTAATATAAACTCTGAATCTGATGCTGTGATTTTTAAGGTGCAGTGTGTAGTAAATGGCTGCATCTTGCAGAGCAGACTTGATATAAATGGAAATACAGTTTCTGTAAGTATGTTGAAATCAGTGCATGATCACCTGAACATGAAAACTGATTTATTTTTGTTAACTTTACATAAACCTGCTATTGTATTGTATTGTATTAATGAATTTTCTCCGTTTAAACTTGAAAGATATCATTCATAATGGGAGCTTTTTGTCCTCCAAGGCCACTGTTTTTTTCACTGGTAAGAGGGGTGAGCAAGGAAGCATTTAGTGAAATCTAAACTCTGGCTGTTAGATTTCACTAAATGATTTCATTTTTTCACATTTTACCTTTATGTCTAGTTATGATACAGGACAATGTGAAAGGAGGATGTTACCAGAGTGAAGTAACTGTAATTGTTGGCTATCCTGAACAGCTGACTTAATACACACATGGATAAATACACAATGACAAGCAGAAAGTGTTAAACTTTGCAGATACTCACATCGCTGAGCTGCTCGTTCACTTTGCGGGCCTGAACGTACACCTGCATGTCAGGGAGGCAGATCCACTGGTGCAGATACTTGCGGTAGTTGATACCGCTGACAGTGGACTGGGTTTTGCTTGCAGACAGGATCTCCAGCATGTCAGGTGGGATGTGGTTCTTGGCCTTGGTCTTCTCATAGTTCTCCTTGTACAGACGCTGTAATGATGGACAACAGATTCTAACTCTCTTGTTTGCTCTCAGTTCTTGCAGTTTGTGCTAAACAAGTCGACAAAGTTGGATAATCTTTTGTGTTTTTTGTTCAAACTTGTAGCTTAAACTCACGTCTAGGACCAGTTTTCCGACTTTGACACAGCGAGCGGTGGCAGGATCATCTTCAAGAGACTTGGGCAGACTGTAGAGGGATTTGAACTTCTCATAATCCTCCTTGTACTTGACCTAAAGGGAAAAATCATCCAGATACTCAGTTTCCTGAACATAGCAATCAAAGTTATGCACAAAAAAATCAAATGAGTTTATAAAAGCCGGCACTTACATTGCTCAAAACGATCTTCTGATGCTTGGCGTGTACCAGGGGGTGGGAGTCATGTGGTATCTGGTAGCTCTTGGCTTTGATTTTGTCCCAGGCAGCAGTGTAGTTTTTCTGCAATTAAAAAAATCACATTATCATCACAAACTTACCCATGAATGTGAAATTTACAACATTTCTAATCTCAGTTTAAGTTGATCTTCACTTACGTTGCTGAAGAAGTGCTTGAAGTTGTGGCATCTGGCATAGTCATAGGTATCCAGAACAGTGGTGTACATGTGCTTCTCTTTATGGTAAGCTTCTCTGTAGGTGAGCTGATCATAAGAAGATCAAAATTAAAGACCTTAATCATATGTCCATTTTAAAATCAAACAGAAGTCATGGTTTTGAAGAGGTTCACTTACATCACTGGCCCATGTGCTACCAAGGATAGCAGTCACATACACAGGGGTGTCTGTCACGATGGAGTAATTGTTGAACTCCTTCTTGGCTTCATCTCTGTATTTCAGCTGTGAGGGGAGATAAAAAAGGGTCATTTATTACAGTTGAAGGTTGCATCATGTGTGTCAGCTCTGTGATCTTTCTTGTTGTTACTCACATCACTCTGCAGCTCGTAGGCCTTCTTGGCACGCAAAATCTCTGGTGTGTCCCAGACGTAGCAACCGATACCCTTCATCCAGTTCAGGTCATCCTTGTAGTACACCTGTTACATGACAGGAACAGAAAAAATTACTGTATATGTCTGCTAACCAGGAGAACATCTGGGTTTTTGTACAACCACTTGCTTTATACAGAAGATAGTATTGATTTTTATGTTCTTGACTTGCTTTCTAGTCTCTTTACAATTAAGATTTGTCATTTTGTAATTCTTTTTGGGCCTTTGCGTTTATTTGCAAACTGTTTTCTTCATACGAACTTCCCATAGAGGCCAAACTGCCATTATTACAAGACTTTTAATACTCAAACCTTTTTTTAATTCTTTATAATAACTCACTGTTTTTCATTAAAAACCTGTATTGAGTTCACTGCCTGTACATATAGCTCAGAAAAACTTGATATCAGGACTTACATCGCTAAGGATCTCATTGGTCTTGCGGGCACGAATGGCGTCCTCCTGCTCAGGATGGCAGGTCCACTGGTGCAGGTAGGTACGATAGATGACATCACTCAGCATGTCCTGGCAACGCTTGGCCACCTTGTTGGCGATGATGTCAGGTGGGATGTGGGTTTTGGTCTTGGTATGATGGTAGTCCTTATGGTACAGTCTCTGTCAAGAAATGCATGCAGGGGGGTAAAAGTTAGTGGCATGGTTACTCACACTGTTATTGAGAAAAACAAGGAAAAACTGGAAGAATTTTACTTTCAGCTCTTTCAAATGTAACCCTCTCTTTTATAAACTCAACACTGTATGCCTGTACCAACCAGAACCTGTTCATCGGATGTTTTTATGTATTGTATAAGCACTAAAAAAAAGACATGCAAAGGATAGATGATTGTGTTTTTTGGTCTAATCACTTATATCAGTTGAGCCAGCCTGAATTTGGCTCCTACATTTGACCTCTAGAGCTGTCTTGTAACAACAGCTTATCATCTTCTTACTCACTATTTCCACAAGATAAAAACTTTTCTTTCTAGGGGAATTTTAATGCAAATATTTACAAAAATAACATTACATATTGAACTGCGTGCAGCGCTTGTTTTAGTTTTTACTAGTTCTGGTTTTGCTTTCATTTGGTCTTGCAAAATTTCTAGAGACTTCCAGTTTTTTATGGACAGAATGGACAATACTGTAACTGATTACTCACCAGTCCCTTGTTCTTCTCTTGGTCTCCTAAGCGCATCACCTCTGGGAAGTCCACCAGAGTTCCAGCCATGTAGTGACCCTTGGCCTTCTCATGCATATCCTTGTACTTGACCTAGAAGAAACAATTAAAAAAGACTCTCAGATTTGTCTATATGTTAGAAGACACAATGATTAAATGACCTCTAGCCTTATCAGAGTGGATTTCTTTCAAGAACTTCGACACACTCACATCACTAGCAATGTCCCTGCTCTTCTTGCAGCTGACAAGTGGGATGTATTCATGGTTCAGCTGGTAGCTTGTGGCCTTTGAGTCGTCCCAGCCTTGTTTGTAAAGTTTCTGCAATCACACAAAGCAGACAAAAAAGTTCAAGAAAATATAATTCCATTACTTCAATAAAAGAAAATCATAAACAAGGAGAAAAACTGATGAATCAGACGGATATTCTTTGTTACCTCGCTGACTATCTTGGAAACCTCCCTGCTGTGGGCCAGCTGAGGAGTGTCCTCTGAACCGATGTAAATACCCTTCTCTGCGTTGAATGTCTCTTTGTACTTCAGCTACAGAAGGAGGACAGCAGAATTTGGATTAGTTTATTGATTGGAATGATTTATTTTCAGATTTGGCTTAAGAGTTAAATTTTTACATACATCACTGAGGTTGGCAGCGTTAATTCTGGCCAAGATAAGCTCAGGGCGGTCCACGACCAGGGTGAATTTTCCGAAACATTCTTGGGCATCCTTCTTGTACATTCTCTGCAAGTAATATTAAAGCACCTCAGTGAGACAAAAAAACAGACACAAAAAGGTGGAGAAATGTGCTAAAAAGACCAAATGTGGCAAAGCTGACATACTTCGTTGAGAATTTTCTGGGCCTTCTTGACCTTGACGTGGTCAACGGAGTCAGCTGCTACCCAGCCGCAGCCACGGAGCCATTCAAGATCTGCCTTGTACACAACCTTGGGAAAAAAAACAGGGTACATGTTAAAGAATTTGGACAATTTTTGGATGATATGTAAGAATAAATGAGGAAGGTTTACGGTGGGTATGATGGACACTCACGTCACTCTGCAGATCATAGGCCTTGCGAGCCTGGATGACGTCATTGGAGTCTGGCATGCAGGTCCACTGGTGCAGGCGGGTTCTGTAGTTGTCGTCATTGACCTGAATCTGGCATTTCTTAGCCAGTTCAAACTGCAGCATGTCAACAGGCAGGTTGAACTTGGTCTTGGACTTGTTGAAGTCCTTCTTGTACAGAGCATCACTAGCAATCTTGGCGGAGTTCACAGCCAGCATCATCAGAGGATCGTCCTCCACGCAGCGGGCACCGATGTGGTGGCCGACCTGCTTGCGGTATGACGCCAGGTACTTGTACTGCATGGCACACAAAAAGAATGGTCACCGTTTTGTAAAGTGTATGGATGAATTCAAAATTTAACCCTTTAATGCCTTTTGTATCTTATTTGATACATACTTTTATGATACTTCTATCAAATAAATATGAGCAACAAATTACTAAAAAAAACACCTGAATACAGTCTGATAAATGATAAAAATGTTCTCTTGTGGTTTATCAGTTTCCAAAAACATCTAATGTATCAAACAAGATAAATACATATATTTGTTAAATTTTAAGGACATTTATTTTTTTTTTTTTTCAGTAGTAAGTGAAATAAACATTTCAGCTCCAAAAAAAATTGAATTTACTGGCCATAATTTGTGGTTTCAGGCATTAAAGGGCTCAATAAATGTTTGTATTGTGTAAAATAGAGGCAGCACAATTTCCTTACTCACCATACTCTGCACTTTAGAGTTACTGATGCACTGCTTGATTGGAACAGCATCTCCAGGCATGAAGTATCCAGTTGCTTTGGCCTTGTCCCAGGCTTTGGTGTACAGTTGCTACAAGGAATAGAAGTAGATATGGTTGATGATTAGCTGAAACAAAAAAACAATAAAACAACCTTCCTTTTAGATTTCTTCTTACCGGGTGAACGTTCTTGGCCACCTCTCTGGCTGTAGCAAGAACTGGAGTGTCCACCAATGTGTACTTGGTCTTGTCCTGGTGCCAGGCCTGACGGTATTTGGCCTGAGGACAGAAAGAAATTTAAACTCAGTTACCAACAAACCTGAAATCTACCTTTGCCACTTTTTTGTTGTTATGTTGATAGTCACCCTGAGCTGTACTCACCTCATTGAGGACGTCAGCAGCATTCTTAGCACAGATCAGGTCGACTCTGTCAGTAGGAACAATATACTTCTGCTCATCCAACTTCACACGGTAGCCTCTCTGTGAAACAAAACAAGGGTTACGTGGGCAAACGCAAAACATTACTTACAAAGATGTTACATATTTATCTTTGTGATAGTGTAAATAGATGTCAAATTGGAGAAACACTTACTTCAGCCAGAGCCTTCTGTGCATTTCTGACCTTCATTACATCAACACACTCATGTGGCATCCATCCACATCCACGGAGCCACTCGAGATCAGCTTTGTACACAGCCTGAGGAGATGAAATGGGCAAAATTTGTTAACTTCTTCCGCTGACATTACAAATCAGAGTCAATAGGCACAACAGGAGAGTGATCATACACTTGAAATATACTATATTTTGGATCAACCCAAAGAAAAACCTACATCACTCTGGAGATCATAGGCCTTTCTAGCCTGGACTACATCGTTGGAGTCTGGCAGGCAAGTCCACTGGTGCAGGTGAGTCCTGTAGTTGAAGTCATTGACTTGGATCTGGCATTTCTTGGCCAACTCAAGGTTCAGCATGTCCACTGGCAGGTGGAACTTGGTCTTGGACTTGTTGAAGTCCTTCTTGTACAGAGCATCACTAGCAATCTTTGCGGAGTTCATAGCCAACATGATCAGAGGGTCGTCCTGGACACAGCGGGCTCCAATATGGTGGCCAACCTGCTTGCGGTATCCAGTCTTGTACTTGTACTAAAGTGAAAATAGTTGAGCAAATGTTTATAAAGTCAGATTGTGTCTTCTTAGGTAAGCTGTTGTATTCAAAGCATTAGCATGATTGTCTTACATCGCTGACGATATCTCTGGAAGCTCTAGCCTTCAGCACAGAGATAGCATCCTCCTTGACGTGGTAGCCTTTAGCCTTCTGATCGTCCCATGCTTTCGTGTACAGTTTCTGCAAACAAGATTGTGAGATGTTACACAAGTGACTAAAACATTGCAACATGTACGTCAATATTTTATCATTTATGCTAGACAGAACTTGTAGTAAGACAGACTTACATTGCTGATGTTGATAGCATTAGCCTTGGACAGTTCAAAGGTTGGGGTGTTATTTGGCAGGTGAATGATGAGCTTGTCTTTATCCCAAGCTTCTCTATATTTTCTCTGTTAGATAAAAACACAACATAATTTATAAATAAGCCTTATCGTCAAATAATTGTGAAAATATGCAGAAATTCCTTAAGATGCTGATACCTACATCACTAATATTATCAGCATTCTGCTTGGACAAGACAATAGCCGGGAGGTCAACAACACTGGTGAACTTCACGGTGCTCGGAGGCTGGCGGTACAGCCTCTCATTGAGAACATTCTGGGCATTTCTGACTTTGACGACTTCCACAGAGTCATGAGGTGACCAGCCGCATCCTCTCAGCCACTCCAGATCAGCTTTGTATACAGCCTGAAAAACAAACATAATTTTATATTTAATCTAACTAAATATACTTACATTTAAGTGTTTGGAACCTGATGAACGATCACTTACATCACTCTGTAAGTCGTACACCTTTCTGGCCTGTACCACATCACTGGAGTCTGGCAGACACGTCCACTGGTGCAAATGTGTTCTGTAGTTAAAGTCGTTCACTTGCTGCTGGCACTTCTTAGCAAGTTCAATAGCCACCATGTCCCCGGGCAGGTTGTACTTGGTCTTTGTCTTGTGGAACTCCTTCTTATAGATGTTGTCACTGGAGATCTTGGCTACATGAGCGGCCAACAAAATCAGTGGGTCGTCATTCACACTGAGGGCTCCGATGTGATGGCCACACTGCTTGCGGAAACCAGCCTTGTACTTGTACTGAAAGTTTGTGATGGACATATTTTGATTATTATTATTATTGTTTGAATCATTGCATCATATTTAAACAGCTGTGATATTAGGCACTATAAAATGAGAGACTAAAATAAGTTCATAGAGCTGCACAGACTTACATCACTGACGATGTCCCTTGAGGCCTTTGCTGCCAGAACAGAGACGGCATCTTTTGGAAGGAAGTAGCCTTTGTTGATGGTGTCCATATAGCCTTCACGGTAATATTTCTAGAGAAAAAGGATAATGTTAGAGTGACTTTAAAGTAAATATGAATAACGTACTATCATGCTAAATCCAAAATCCAATTAACAAGAATTTTCCTTTACATTGGAACCAAAAATTACAGGACATTATTTATTCCTTGACATTAGCAAAATCAAACGATTAAGGAGGTTACTGAAGTTTTTAATCTGTGTTATTCCACTACATGAGAAGATGGCGAATTACCAGACTGGTGTTGAGCTTATTCTGCTTGGCCAGGATGATCTCAGGTGTGTCAGGCATGACATGAATGTTGACCTTATCCTTCTCCCAGGCAGCAATATATGCTTTCTGTAAATAAGAGATAAACAGGTGTTACTCACATGTGGGTGAAAGAATCTAATTCAAAAGCAAATGCAGCTATGTCTTGAACAATCTTTCCTCTTTAAAATTAAGTAAACTGGACAGAAAAAACAATTTGCTAATTTGTGTTATGACACTTTAAAAAAAGCCTCCCCCACTAAGGATAACAATGATGATATCAAACTAAAATATACAATGAAAAGTGAAACTAGATCAGCTTCCCTTACCTTGTCCATGACTTGAGCGTTGGCCTGAGCCAGGGCATATGGCATGTCAACAGTTTGGGCGGTGAATTTGAAAAGGTTGGGAGGCTGGCGGTACTTCCTTTCACTCAGGATCTCTGCTGCTTTCTTGGCTTTCTCCACATCAACGGAACCAATCGGCACCCAGCCACATCCACGGATCCATTCCATGTCAGCCTTGTAAACAGCCTGCAAATAAAAGGTTGAAAGGGAATTGAATTAAAGGTCAGATATTAAAGGATTCAGGAAATGCATAGTAAGAAGATGTCATTACTTACATCACTCTGGAGATCATAGGCCTTTCTAGCCTGGACCACATCATTGGAGTCTGGCAGGCAAGTCCACTGGTGCAGGTGAGTCCTGTAGTTAAAGTCATTGACCTGGATCTGGCATTTCTTGGCCAACTCAAGGTTCAGCATGTCCACAGGCAGGTGGAACTTGGTCTTGGACTTGTTGAAGTCCTTCTTGTACAGAACGTCACTGGCGATCTTGCCCGAGTTGAGAGCCAACATGATCAGAGGATCTTCCTCAATGCAGCGAGCACCGATGTGGTGGCCAACCTGCTTGCGGTATCCAGTCTTGTACTTGTACTGTCATAAGGAACAGGACAAAATAACAATTAACATAATGCTGTATAAAAAAAGGATAGTCATGCTTTATTAAAAAAAAAAAAACTGTTGTTACGTACATCACTGATGATTTCCCGTCCTTTTTTGGCAGCAACAACAGCGACAGCATCAGCCTTCATGTCGTATCCCTTTCTGAACATCTCCTCCACACCTTCTCTGTACAGTTTCTGGAAATGTTTCAAAGAATTTAAATCATGAAATACAAATTCATATTTCTTAAGATCCAAAATGAGTATTGAAATCATATGTTTAGGTAATATGTATATTGACAATCCTAGACTGAACTTGATACCTTCATGATTCTTTGTTTCTTAGGCTTGTTTAACAATAGTTATTTGTTCTTGCTCTTCCTGTCTTACTGATCACTATACACCAGATCAGAAATGTCTATTGGCTGAGGAAACATCACAAAACTGCTAGCAGATGAAGGTTTAACAATTAGAAAACCAAATCCTGGTCCCATGAACCCTTAATTAGAATTGCTTTAAAAACAATCCCAGTATCAATATTAACTTATGCCGCAGTTGAATACTAGCTAAGAGAAAAAAAAAACAAACGTACCCTGCTGATGTTGTAAGCATTGGCTTTAGAAAGCAAAATCTCAGGCAGGTCAGGGGTCACATGAGTCTTAATCTTATCTGCCTCCCAGGCAGCGATGTAGTTTCTCTGTATGGAAGGAAAAAAACGTGATCACAAATTATAATCATCGGGGAAAAGGATAAACACATGGGAAAAATGTAAAAAAGGGATAAGACAGACATTACCTTGTTTATGGTCTCAGCGTTTGCCTTTGCCAACACCATGGGCATGGCGTTCATATCAGTTGTGTATTTGAATTTGTCCACTTTCTGCCTGTAGAGATGGTCGCTGAGGATGTTTGAGGCGTTTTTGGCTTTCATCACATCAATAGAGCCAATAGGGATCCATCCTACACCAATGACCTCATCCATGTCTTGTTTATACACAGCCTGAAGAGAAAAAGTACAGTTGTTATATGAAAACAGACAAACACAGTTGGCATGGCACAGTATGTTCTGAATAAATTAGTTAGGTCATTTGAGGACTCACATCACTCTGGAGATCATAGGCCTTTCTAGCCTGGACTACATCGTTGGAGTCTGGCAGGCAAGTCCACTGGTGCAGGTGAGTCCTGTAGTTGAAGTCATTGACTTGGATCTGGCATTTCTTGGCCAACTCAAGATTCAGCATGTCCACAGGCAGGTTGAACTTGGTCTTGGACTTGTTGAAGTCCTTCTTGTACAGAGCATCACTAGCAATCTTTGCGGAGTTCATAGCCAACATGATCAGAGGATCGTCCTGGACACAGCGGGCTCCAATATGGTGGCCGACCTGCTTGCGGTATCCAGTCTTGTACTTGTACTAAAGTGAAAATAGTTGAATAAAAATATAAGATTAATTTTTTAATACAACTAACAAATTTCACATTTTTCTGTCACCACTTCTTTTTACAAAAACAAACTTTAAACTAATGTAGTTTGTTTACTTACATCACTGACGATGTCCCTGGAGGCCTTTGCTGCCAGAACAGAGACGGCATCTTTTGGAAGGAAGTAGCCTTTCCTGATGTCGGCTTCATAACCTTGTCTGTACAGTTTCTGCAAAGTGAAGCATGTGTGTTAACTTCTAGAGCATTTCTTAGAGATTGAGTCATGATACATTTTACAGATTGACCTGAATAGAGGAGAAATATCACTTACCTTGCTCATGTTGATAGCGTTCTGCTGGGACAGGAGGATTTCAGGAGTGTCAGGCTGGATGTGTATTGTGGTCTTGTCTTTCTCCCATTGTTCAGTGTAGAGACGCTGAAAATACCACATATAACACCAGTGTTAGATTTTTATTGATGAAATAGATTCAATGAGTTCTCAAGTGCAATTGAAGAAAAACATGAGGATGAAAAAACACTATTACCCCAAACTATTTATATTTCACTAAAAAACAAGTATACCTTGTTCATGGTCAAGGCGTTGTTCTTTGCCAGTACAAGATTCATTGCGTCTGTCTTGCTGGTGAAGGGAACAGTGCTAGGATGCTGGCGGTACTTAATGTCACTCAGGATCTCTGCCGCCTTTTTGACTTTTTCCACCTCAATCGAGCCGATAGGAACCCAGCCCAAGCCCTGGAGCCACTTTAGGTCAGCTTTGTAGACAGCCTATGAAAAGCAGAGACAGAATTTGACTCTGTAGAATTCTAGTCACATTACCATGTTACAAGAAATGGGCTAAAAAAATGAAGCAGAAGGGCTGGACTCACGTCACTCTGAAGGTCATAGGCATGTCTGGCCTGGACCACATCACTGGAGTCTGGCAGGCAGGTCCAGTTGTGCAGATGAGTCCTGTAGTTGAAGTCATTGACTTGGATCTGGCATTTCTTGGCCAACTCAAGGTTCAGCATGTCCACAGGCAGGTTGAACTTGGTCTTGGACTTGTTGAAGTCCTTCTTGTACAGAGCATCACTAGCAATCTTTGCGGAGTTCATAGCCAACATGATCAGAGGATCGTCCTGGACACAGCGGGCTCCAATATGGTGACCGACCTGCTTACGGTATCCAGTCTTGTACTTGTACTGAAAGAAAACATGGCAGGATATAACTGTTGAGAGTTTCCTTCACTTTTTGGGTAAAAAAAAAATAGCATTACCTTACACTTTTGCTGAACTGAATTCAGTTGAAAAAGGAAAGATCTTTGTTACATTTACACCATAAGGTTAACGAGAATAAAGTCTACGTTCAAACGATTATCGATCTTAATCATTCATTAAAGAGGATCAAAAAATATGTAAAATTTTAACTTCCAAAATACAAAATACGTCAATTTATCATGTTTACACTTTTTCATTTTACACAATAAAATTATTGACCATAAGAAAGGGAATAGGCTGAAGCTCAAGACTTGTTTCTGCCTGTCCTGTACATTTTATAATGTAGCCCAAAAGTTGAGCAGCACAAAAAAGAAAACATGGAAAACAGAAAGTCTCTAATTAAATAATAAATAATGATAATAAAATAAATAATAAAATAACTCCAGTTTAAAATTGGGAATATTTCATTCAATAAACTGAAACACTTACATCACTGGCAATGTCTCTGGAAGCCCTGGCTGCTTTGATGGGAATGGCATCATTACGCATATCATAGCCCTTCTTCTTGGCATCTTCATGGGCCTGCTTGTACAATTTCTGTGGACACAAACACATAATCATATCAAAAACGTCAAATAAAATAGCTCTACATACTGATGGCCCATTAACCAGAAAGTCAGTAGAATTATATCTTTTTTAATCTCACTTACGTAGCTGTAGTTGATATTATTAGCTTTAGCCAGAAGAACATCCATAGCGTCAGGCATGATGTGAATCTTTGTCTTCTCATTGTCCCAGGCTTCCACATAAGATTTCTGCAGTGACAAAACAGCAATATAGAGTTACTCCAATAGGTATGAAGTTTTCCTTGAGAGACAAAACAGCAAAAAAAGTTCCATTCTGCACAGTCCCTGCAGAGCAGAATATCAAACAAAATCCTTCTTTGAATTGTTTCATACCTTGTTCATGACCTGAGCGTTGGCCTTGGCCAGCACCATGGGCATGTCTTCAGTGGACATCTTGTATTTGAAACCGCTGGGGTGTTGACGGTACAGTCTCTCACTCAGGGCTTCACCAGCTTTCTTCGCCTTCTCAACATCCAGTGAGCCTATAGGCACCCAACCGATACCCTGCATTAACCGCTGGTCCTCCTTGTAGACAGCCTGGGGAAAAAAGAAGGATTTGAGAGGAAAAGATGTTAAGAATTCATTTATTATGATTTTAATCATTAGAAACCTCAAACTGTTTACTTCAAGTTCACAGTCTTACATCACTCTGGAGGTCATAAGCATGTCTGGCCTGGACCACATCGTTGGAGTCTGGCAGGCAAGTCCACTGGTGCAGGTGAGTCCTGTAGTTGAAATCGTTGACCTGGATCTGGCATTTCTTGGCCAACTCAAGATTCAGCATGTCCACAGGCAGGTGGAACCTGGTCTTGGACTTGTTGAAGTCCTTCTTGTACAGAGCATCACTAGCAATCTTGGCGGAGTTCAAGGCCAGCATCATCAGAGGATCGTCCTCCACGCAGCGGGCACCGATATGGTGGCCGACCTGCTTACGGTATCCAGTCTTGTACTTATACTGAAAAACAAAAGAAAAGTTTTTGTCATTCAGTGCATCACTTTAATTGTGTAGTGTGATTATTACTATTAGAAATTTTCACAGCTTACATCACTGGCAATGTCTCTGGAAGCCCTGGCTGCGATGATGGGAATGGCATCATGGCGCATATCATAGCCCTTCTTCTTGGAATCTTCATGAGCCTGTTTGTACTTTTTCTGTAAACAAACACAAATTTAATGTTTCCTTTTCTTGTTAAATCAGAACTGAGAGGTTTTTAGATGACATGAGCAGATAATATACATACTCTGTAGAGAAACAGTCAAAAGTAAAATACAAAATACACTGCTAAGAAACACTAGCTGATTTAGCTAAAAGAGTTAATGAGCTGCCTTAAAACCTAAATTGTCTAAATTTGAGATTATAATTTGACATTTTTGGCAAAACACCTACAAGTAAACCAACTTAAGATGATTTAAAGTTACCTCTACGTGACATTTTTACAGTGTAAAAAAGAAAAAAAAATCAGTTCTTCAAGCCTTTAAATTACACTATCCATCCATCAAAGTTACTTAGCTCGTATGCATTCAGTTTTTACTTACGTAGCTGTAGTTGACATTGTTTGCTTTTGCCAGAAGAACATCCATAGCGTCAGGCATGATGTGGATGTTTGTCTTCTGATTGTCCCAGGCTTCCACATAGGCTTTCTGCAGTCACAGAAAATTACCATTAAAGATTTGATTGATACAATGGAGCCTTCAAACAGGATCATGCAAGAGGACTTCTTGACAATGTGAGGACATGCAGTGAGACTAAGTTATTCCACAATAACTCAAAAACAGTATTTTTAAAGGGGTTTGCCATTTTTAGGGGGACTGGTGAATAACCAGGCCCAATAAATCTTAAAAACTAACTCCAGTGGAGTGGTTGGACCAATTCCAATACTTTTCATCAGGCCAAAAGTTCCCACCAGCACATTGCTTTGAAAATAAAATAATTCATACCTTGTTCATAACCTGAGCATTGGCCTTAGCCAGCACCATGGGCATGTCTTCAGTGGACATCTTGTATTTGAAACCGCTGGGGTGTTGACGGTACAGTCTCTCACTCAGGGCTTCACCAGCTTTCTTCGCCTTCTCAACATCCAGTGAACCTATAGGCACCCATCCAACACCCTGCAACATCCTCTGGTCCTCCTTGTACACGGCCTGGACAGATAAAAAGGGTTTAGTTGTCAATAAAGATACATTTGGGAAAGGCCAAAATATGTATCTAAAGTTTTCATACTCACATCACTCTGGAGGTCATAAGCATGTCTGGCCTGGACCACATCGTTGGAGTCTGGCAGACAAGTCCACTGGTGAAGGCGAGTCCTGTAGTTGAAGTCATTGACTTGAATCTGGCATTTCTTGGCCAGCTCAAGATTCAGCATATCCACAGGCAGGTGGAACCTGGTCTTGGACTTGTTAAAGTCCTTCTTGTACAGAGCATCACTAGCAATCTTGGCGGAGTTCAAGGCCAGCATCATCAGAGGATCGTCCTGGACGCTGCGTGCACCAATATGGTGGCCAACCTGCTTACGGTATCCTGTTTTGTACTTGTACTGCAAATGAGAAGTTTCTCTTTGTTAAAGCATAATTGTTTCTGTTAAACCAAACCAACAGTTCCAACTTGTAGTCAGAATTAATTGCTCTGAACTGTCTTCACGTTCAAACTATTTACATTATAGATTCATCCTTTTGATTTTAGAGTAAATTATATTACTCCCTTCAAATGTATCTCCTAGTTTACATAGAAATGTAAGCATGGCACACTGACTAAATAATTATGTGAAATAAAACTTTCATGAAATCTTTATGACAAGTTTAAATTCAAAAAAAGATATTTTAAAGAGTTGAAAAATGAGTTTTCTTACATCACTGGCAATATCCCTTGTGGCTCTAGCAGCAATGATGGAAATGGCATCATTACGCAGGTCATATCCCTTCTTTTTGGCCTCTTCATTTGCTTGTTTGTACAGTTTCTGGATAAGGGAAAACAACATAAATTTTTTTTAGTGTTTTACACAATGTTTACTCACAAAAATGTGATTTAAAAAAGCTTTTACAACAGTAATCCAGAGGACTCACCAAACTGTAGTTGGCTTTGTTTGCTTTGGCCAGTACGATATCCATGGCATCAGGCATGACATGAATGGTAGTCTTGTCCTTCTCCCAGGCTTGAGTGTAAGCATGCTGTGAAGTCAATTTAATTGTGTTAAGTATCCATATATTAAAAAACCCACAGACTGCATTTAGCATGTAAACAAAAATCTTGAACAACATTGTGGTAAAGCAGTTATTCTGCTCAAATAGTGGACCACTTGTGAACATAAATCATTATTTCAAATCTAATTATTCAATGTTGACATGACAATTCTTCAGAAGAAAAATACACTTTTAAGGTTTTAAACATCGGAGATAACAAATGAGTACTGCAGTGTTACGCAGACGTTGTGATTAAGTTCTTTTTCTTAAAAGATTAAAACTCTTTCTTACAGCCAGTCCAAAGTGCTTAGATATGCCATGCAAAATTACTTGTTTCTGTTATATGATCATGTAAATTTTTGTTTTCAGTAAAATACCATGATGAATATCTAGATTGAGTCATACCTTGTTCATGACCTGAGCGTTGGCCTTAGCCAGCACCAGGGGCATGTCGTCAGTGGACACCTTGTATTTAAAGTTGCTTGGGTGTTGACGATAGAGTTTCTCACTCAGGGCTTCACCAGCTTTCTTCGCCTTCTCAACATCCAGTGAACCTATTGGTACCCAACCGATACCCTGCAATGTCTTCAGCTCCTCCTTGTACACGGCCTGGACAAACAGAAAAGATTTGAAGTTGTGAAAGAGGTTAAGAAATTGATACTTGACCTAAAGAAACAAAAATAAATTATACTCACATCACTCTGGAGGTCATAAGCATGTCTGGCCTGGACTACATCATTGGAGTCGGGCAGGCAAGTCCAGTTGTGCAGATGAGTCCTGTAGTTGAAGTCATTGACCTGAATCTGGTTCTTCTTGGCCAGCTCAAAGGCCATCATATCCACAGGCAGGTTGAACTTGGTCTTAGACTTGTTGAAGTCTTTCTTGTACAGAGCATCACTGGCAATCTTGGCGGAGTTCAGGGCCAGCATGAGCAGAGGATCATCCTGAATGCAGCGAGCACCAACATGGTGGCCGACCTGCTTGCGGTATCCAGTCTTGTACTTATACTATGAAAGCAAATGTGAGAATTTATAAGTTCAATCTGTTTTACTTTTCTGGGAGGGAGAGGAACAAAGAAGATAGTTCAGCATACTAATAGTTGCACACATACTTACATCACTAGCAATGGTAGTTGAAAGTTTGGCAGCCTGGACTGCAATGGCATCACCTCGATAATTATGGCCCTTCTTCTTGGAAAGTTCATTGTCCAGTTTGTATAATTTCTGGAGAAAAGGGAAACAGACACATTTATTTTTCATCTTAAATAAATAAAACTATAAATCCATATCCTTTCTGTTAGTCCATACTGGCCGATCGAATTTCCCCTTGTGGATAAACTAAGTTCTTCATACTGCAAGGGCTGTGGTTATGCCTTTTTTATTTATTACATGTTAAAATAGATCTGAAAAAATATAGAAAATCTGTGGAAGTGAATTAAACACCATACCTCACTGACGATCTTGTTATTTCCTCTGGCAAGAACAATGTCCATCGCATCAGGCATGATATGGATCTTGGTTTTGTCTTTCTCCCAGGCTTTGGTGTAGGATTGCTAAAATGAAAAAAGTGTTACTGGGTAAAATCTTTGAGTATAAAGGGAAAAGGAATATTCATGTTTTTCTTATTAGGTTCTTCATCGTACCTGATCCATAATCTGGTTGTTGGCTGATGCCAGAACAATATCCATGGAGTGCATGTCTTTAGTGAATTTGTAATTGCTAGGATGTTGACGGTAGAGAGGCTCACTGAAGATCCGACCAGCTATTTTTGCCTTTTCAACATCCAGAGACCCAATAGGTACCCATCCAACTCCTCTGAAGAAGTTCTGATACTCACTCTTGTACTGGTTCTGTTTAAGACATTCACAGAGACAGTTGTCATGACAGTGAAGCATGGCTTTATGACACTGACAAATATTTGGAATTAAGTTAAAGTGTCATACATCACTGGCAATGAACTGCATGTTACGGGCAAGTTCAAAGTTCATGGAATCAGGCAGCAGAGTGTAGCGGGGAATATGCTGTCTGTAACCAGCATAGGTCTGGACAGCAGATGCCTGCTTGGCATGCAGCACACTCATCATGTCCACTGGTGTGTGATACTTCAGCTTGGACTTGTGGTAGTCCTTCTTGTAGTTCTTGTCACTCTGCAACTTGGCCACCTCCATGTAGTGAACCAGCAGAGGATCATCCTGGATGCTGCGGAAGCCAACATGGTGGCCTCTGGCTTTTTCATATGCCAACTTGTACTTGTACTGTGAGAGCACAAACACACTTATTGTGACTAATTGTCCTTTGTGAAGTCTAAAAAGACATTATGATACCTGTTTAGTTTTGAATTGAGAAAAATAAATTATATCAGGTGGTTTAAAACAACATACGTTGCTGGCAATGGTAGTACCAGTCTTGGCAGCAACAATTGGGATAGCGTCAGCTTTGAGGTTGTGACCCTTGTTGGCCATTGCTACAACACCAGCTTTGTAGAGTTTCTGCAAGGACAAATAAAGTAACATTAGTGTACAGAATTGTTTATGTTTAATTAGTGCTTGATATGTTTTCATACATTGCTCATGGTGATCGCATTAGCCTTAGCCAGGACAATATCGGGAGAGTCTGGCATGATATGGACTGTCAGTTTGTCCTTTTCCCAAGCTGCAGTGTATGCTTTCTGCAAATAAAGAAAAATACAACAATTACATAAATAATACTAGTACAAGACCAGACTTAGCAGCATTTTATGCCCCATGTCTTTAAGCATGCTGCACCTTGTTCATGATCTGGTTGTTGGCAGTTGCCAAGGTCAAGTCCATGGAGTCCATCAGCTTGCTGAATTTATGGTTTGATGGATGAGTGCGGTACTTGTGCTCACTCAGAATCTGACCGCCAACTTTAGCCGTCTCAACTCCAAGTGAGCCAATAGGTACCCATCCTAATCCTCTGAAGAAGTTATGATACTCACTCTTGTACTGGTTCTGTTTGAGGAGATGGACAGAAACAGTTATCATGACAGCTAAACATGGCTTTATGATACTGACAAATCTTTTGCGATTAAGTTAAAGTCTCATACATCACTGGCAATGAACTGCATGTTGCGAGCAAGTTCAAAGTTCATGGCATCAGGCAGCAGAGTGTAGCGGGGAATATGCTGTCTGTAACCAGCATAGGTCTGAACAGCAGAGGCCTGTTTAGCATGCAGCACACTCATCATGTCCACTGGTGTGTGGTACTTCAGCTTGGCCTTGTGGTAGTCCTTCTTGTAGTTCTTGTCACTCTGCAACTTGGCCACCTCCATGTAGTGAACCAGCAGAGGATCATCCTGGAGGCTGCGGAAGCCAACATGGTGGCCTCTGGCTTTTTCATATGCCAGTTTGTACTTGTACTGTGAGAGTAAAGGCATGAGTGTTAGCATTAATCTCAAGCTGTAGTTGGTAAACATCATTATTTGTAAAGGGAATTTGTGTTAAACTCACATTACTGGCAATGGTGGTACCAGTCTTGGCAGCGATAATTGGGATAGCATCAGCTTTGAGGTTGTGGCCCTTGTTGGCCATTTCCACAACACCAGCTTTGTAGAGTTTCTGCACGAATAGAACAGATAATTTCATACAAGGAAAATTGAGAAGAGGAGAAATACCTGGTTTGTCATGTGTATTAAACTAATGTCTTACATTGCTCATGGTGATAGCATTGGCTTTGGCCAGGAGAATCTCAGGAGAATCTGGCATGACATGGATTGTCAGCTTGTCTTTCTCCCAGGCTGAAGTGTATGCTTGCTGTAATAGAGACACAACAAATAAATAACAAAGCTCATACACATAATCGCGACTGCTTTAAGATCCCATACTGAAAATTTGAACATACTGCACCTTGTTCATGATCTGGTTGTTGGCTGTAGCCAAGGCCAAGTCCATGGAGTCCATCAGCTTGCTGAATTTAAAAGTGGATGGGTGAGTGCGGTACTTGTTGTCGCTCTGGATGTCACCACCAACTTTAGCCGTCTCAACTGCAAGTGAACCAATGGGTACCCATCCAGTTCCTCTAACAAAGTTGTTCCAATCGGACTTGTATTCACACTAAAAAGAAAAGTCAATGTGGCAAATGAGTTCAATGGCTGAAAGTTAAACATGATGTGAAGCACAAGCTGGTGACTCAATTAGATTTCATTTAGGAACCAAGGAAGTAACTCTGCAACTCAGTCAATGCAACTCACATCGCTTGACTGCGCATTCATGTTGCGACACCGCTGTAGTTCCATATTGTCAGGCAGAAGGAAGTAGTTGTGTGGGATCTTCCGGTAACCAGCAAAGGTCTGAACAGCAGATGCCTGCTTGGCATGCAGCACACTCATCATGTCCACTGGTGTGTGGTACTTCAGCTTGGCCTTGTGGTAGTCCTTCTTGTAGTTCTTCTCACTCTGCATCTTGGCCACCTCCATGTAGTGAACCAACAGAGGATCATCCTGGAGGCTGCGGAAGCCAACATGGTGGCCTTTGGCTTTCTCAAATTCTTTTTTGTACTGAACCTATTGAAAAAAGATGGTTGCATATTTATATGAGGTTTTGCTGTTATTTAAAACTGCTAGATACATTATGCGTGTATATTTAAAGTTTACATACATTGCTGGCAATATGCCTGCCTTGTTTGGCATGGAGGATAGGAATGGCATCAGGCTTCATGTCATATCCCTTTGCAATAGTTTCCAGCCACTTGTGCTTGTAGTGACTCTGCAGGTAAAAAAGCAAAAAGTTACAGTAAACTTTGAGCACAAGTTATGCTTTTATATTTTGTAGGATCGTATAGTTCATAGATAAAAATTAATGAAAAGTTTTAATTTTGAACAAATACACAAAGTTCCAACCTCACTAAGAGACTGAGCATTGAATTTAGCCTGGAGGAACTCAGGGCTGTCAGCTGGCAGATTATAGGTGTGCATGAACTTTTCACCTGAAGCTTTGTATGCAGCCTGAAGGGAAGGAAAAAAAGATAAGGCACTTAGTCATTTTTGCAAGAACTTCTTTATGGTTTTATCTGACATGAATCAATATTTGAACAAATCCTGAGAAATTTAAAGGAAACACATCCCCTGTAAAGAGGATCCCAGTCTTACCTTGTCCATCAGCTTTGAGTTAGTCATGGCCAAAGCCATGTTCATGTCATCAGTCTTGCTTGTGAACTTAAGAGAACTTGGATGCTGGCGGTAGCTTTTTTCATCCAGTGCAGATTTTGCAGCTCTGGCCTTCTCAACATCCAAAGACCCAATTGGGACCCATCCTAATCCTCTGAAGAAGCTGTTGTACTCTGATTTGTACACATTCTGTGGGGTTCAAAATGTTGATTGGTTAACATACATCACAGTGCATAATGCTTTGCTGCTGCATATAACTTTGACTACAAGCTAAGCTACCCTTTAAAAAGAAAAGGAAGGACATACATCGCTCTGAATGTCCATCATGTTGCGACACCGCTGCAGGTGCATGTTGTCAGGCAGAAGCATGAAGCTGTGGGGGATCTTCCTGTAACCAGCATAGGTCTGAACAGCAGATGCCTGTTTGGCATGCAGCACACTCATCATGTCCACTGGTGTGTGGTACTTCAGCTTAGCCTTGTGGTAGTCCTTCTTGTAGTTCTTGTCACTCTGCAACTTGGCCACCTCCATGTAGTGAACCAGCAGAGGATCATCCTGGAGGCTGCGGAAGCCAACGTGTTTGCCTTTGGCTTTCTCATATGCCAGTTTGTACTTGTACTATAAAAAGGAAAACAATCAGGTATTAACAGCTGAATTTAGAACACCTGGAAAGCTCTGTAATAATGAATGTACTCATGACTTACATTACTGGCGATGTCTCTGGAGGATTTCGCTGCCACAACAGGAATGGCATCTTCCTTCACATGATGCCCTTTGAGGAGATCTTGACGATGGGCATAGGTGTAGTAATTCTAAATAAAATAATGATGAGTGATGTTAGCAATGTGAAAATAATTTAATTCTTCTCACATATCGATGTGAGAAGGGCTGAAAATACTACAGCAGAACACGCAACTCACCTGGCTGATGTTTACAGCGTTGTACCTGGCCTGCAGCAGTTCGGGAGCATCAGCAGGGAGATGATAAGTGTGCTTGAACTTCTCTCCAGTGGACCTGTACTCTTTCTGCACAGTCACGACAAAGACAGCTCATTATGTTTGTTCTATTGAGGATTTCTATGGCTTAATTTAAAAAAATGAGAACAGAAAACTCTTGTGTTTCTTTCAACTCACCTCATCCATGATCTTGGCATTGGTCTTTGCCAGCTCCATGCTCATAGAGTCCATAGCACTAGTGAATTTAAAAGTGCTGGGGTGCTGTCGGTACTTTATCTCATCCAGGGCTGCTGCGGCGGTTTTGGCTTTTTCCACCTCCAGGGAGCCAATGGGGACCCAGCCAGTTCCCTTCACTGATGCCTCATAATCTGATTTATAGTTGACCTGGAGACAAAAGAGCAAAGTGAAAACTCAACCTGTAAAAACTCCAGATATCATCATGATTGGTTGGGTATCTCTGTCAGGTTTGTTGGTCAAATCACAGCAGAAAAATATGGCTCTAAAATCGCCTGATGTTACAAAGTGGCAATCATAACACATGAAAAAGATTGGGTATTCAGACTTGGGCAGTATAGAAAATAATACGTACATCGCTGGCATTGAAGTTCATTGTGCGAGCAAGGTCCAGACTCATGGCATCAGGCAGCAGAGTGTAGCGGGGGATATGCTGCTTGTAACCAGCAAAGGTCTGAACAGCAGAGGCCTGCTTGGCGTGCAGCACGCTCATCATGTCCACTGGTGTGTGGTACTTCAGCTTGGCCTTGTGGTAGTCCTTCTTGTAGTTCTTGTCACTCTGCAACTTGGCCACCTCCATGTAGTGAACCAGCAGAGGATCATCCTGAAGGCTGCGAAAGCCAACATGTTTGCCTCTGTCCTTCATGTAAGCCTTCTTATATTGGACCTACACAGAAAAAAAGAAGAAGAGTCATCAGGTTTGAAAGAAAAACTGCATTTGCAACCTAAGGGCACAGAGAAACAAACTCATGCTTGACTTGATAACAGAGAAATGAGGTTGAAAATCTTTGATAAGGGGTTTTAAACGATTGTTGGAAGAGTCTCCTGAGAAACTTACATCACTTGCAGCGTGTCTGGCAGCCTTGGCAGCAACAACTGAGATTGCGTCAGGCTTCAAGTCATAACCTTTAGCAATCAAATCCTGCCAGGCCAACTTGTAGTATTTCTGGAATGACAAACGAAACAACAAAATCAAATTCAATCCAGAGTATTAACACGTTACATTAAATATAATCTGTGAATTATGAAAAAAAAGTTTATATAAGTGTGTCTTTTCCTTACATCGCTGATGTTGTAGGCATTGCACCTAGCCTGGAGGAGGTCAGGTACATCAGGGGGCAGAGAGTACTTCTGATGAATTTCCTCCAGACCTCTCTTATAGAACCGCTGCAATGGCAAAGAGAGAAATTGGAGGTGAAATCAAATGTACTGCTGTAAAAGAAACTTTCTGAATCTACTTTCAGATATAAAGTTTAAATTGTCAACAGAAATAAAGTTAGAGTGACAGCAGACTCACATCGCTCCTTTGAAGCTGGTTGACTTTGGCTTGAAGTTGGATGGGGTGGTCGTCGATAGATGTGAAGGGGACCGTGTCAGGGTGTTGTCTGTATTTTCTCTGTAGAAAACAAGAATTATTAACACCTGAAGTGAGAAATTCTGGCATTTATCAGCAGCTGTATATCCTTGCAGAGGAATGATGCTGTTGCGTAGATACCTCACTGAGGATCTCGGCAGCTTTCTTGTTCTTTTCCACATCCAGGGAGCCAAGGGGGATCCATGGGGAACCCTTGGTGTAGTTGTTGTAGTCAGATTTGTACTCATTCTGAGAAGCAAGACAGCAAAACAATATACAGAGTTAATAAATAAAATATTGTGCAGGGACATGTTGCAAAATGTTATATAATGCTGTACTGTACGTCTATACTCACATTACTCTGGATGATATTGGCTTTCTTGGCCAAGTCCAACAGCACGCTGTCGTAGGGGAGGAAGAAGTTGGTGCTGATGCTCCTGTACCCAGCCATGCTGGAAATGGCCTGAGATTTCTTGGCCAAAGTGACTGACATCATATCCAAGGGTGTATGGTACTTGGTCTTGATCTTTTCATAGTCCTTCTTGTATTCACGCTGTGGAGATATTATTAAGAGATTGTTCAAGAGTTAGCCCAGATGAATAAATATCAGCAGAAATGTCAATTATGAAGCACAGGATTACACCGCATACTTACGTCACTCTGAATTTTGGCCACATGAACAGAGTGCAAGATCTTGGGATCGTCATTAATGCTGAGAGCACCAACCATCTGTCCCTTGTTCTTCTCATACTCCTTCTTGTATTTAACCTGGAAAGAAAAGTAGCAAGGGCATAACATATAAAAAATAATAATCATGTAAAATGAACAATTTGTAAAGGCTGGTATTGTTTCATACTTACATCACTTGCAATGTTGGTGTGAGCACGAGCAGCAAGGATCGAAATAGCGTCTCCCTTCACCTCAAACTTTTTCGCTTTGGTTTTCTCCCAGTCATACTTATAACAGTTCTGCAAGATCAAACATGACAGCATTCAGGAAATGATCAAACGTAAACCAAAGTAAAGCAAACAGCTGTGTTTTGCACAGTGTTTGGTGTGTTTGGCAAAAGAGAAAGAAAAAACAGCTACTTACATCACTGAGGTTAAAGGCGTTAACTCTGGACTGGATGAAGAAGGGGTAGTCTGGGGGCAGGCTATTCTTGGTCTTGATTTCTTCATAATTGGCTTTGTAGTTCAACTGTGGAAAAAGCGCAAGATCATTTTATCAGAGGAAAAATATCCTCATCTTCTCATCTGCAATACAGTACTACTCATTTTACAGCTACAGTTATTTTAACACCAGACACAAGTTTAGGAGAGTTGTTACCTATGCTCCATTCACTAGAGGGCAGCAGCACATTATCTGAAACCTATCTGTAATACATCGACTGTCCCTTTCTCTGCCTCCTAAGCCCCTCTCCGATCACAGGGTTTATTCTGGGCCAACTGAATGCTTGTTGCTATTTTTACTACAGAGAGATGGCTCTCCAGTTTCCATGGAGCCCACAGAAAGACAGCTGGGCTACGTGGATGATTGGGCACATTTCAACATGATCTGCACATTCAGAAGAATTTGATCTAGAGGATTGGATGGTAATTGTAGCATTTTCAGCCAATAAATAGACAATTTGAAATAGAGTTATGTCAGACTTTTAAGAAAAACCAATATGATTTACAGTAAGATAACATTACCTATCAGTGCTGATACAATATGCGTACATAAGATGTACTGCATAAATTTCAATTTTGATGTGGTGGATCTGTACTAAGCAGGGTGTAGTTATACGTACATCACTTAGCTGTTTGGCGTTGATGGCGGCTTGAACCAAAACTGGTGAATCAACCACTTGTGTAAATTTCACTGTGTCAGGATGTTGGCGGTATTTTTTCTGCAATACAATAAAGAGGAAAACATGTCATGATAAACATAAATTTTAAAAAAATGAAAACCGGGAAACATTTGATGTATAAGAGAGCTGTCTACTGTCCAGGTGCACTCACATCGCTACAGCCCTGCAACTTCTTTGTGGCTTCATATTCAGGCGTAATTGTTTGAGGGAAGAAGCATCTTGTTTTGATGTCTTCATATTCAGCTTTGTAAGTTTGCTGTAAGATAAGAAAATCAGAGACTGTTTAACTGAACTTTCTAATTTACAAAATTTGATAGATAAATCAAAAAAAGACTTACCTCGCTCTTCATTTCCTCTTGTTTCTGGCAGTGAAGCATGTAAAGATCTTCATAGCTGCCAAGGTAGTGGCCCTTCACCTCACTATCATACTTATCTTTGTAATGTGCCTAAAAAGAAGTCAAAATGTACAAGTTTTAATGAAAGGACGACAATGAGTGATACAGTTTGTTGATATTACAGTTTTTAACTATTGTAATCTGTAGATCATGCTTACATCAGAGAACTGCTTAAGTACTGAGTCCATCTGAAACTTGGGCGTGTCACAGTAGTTGATGCTGAAACCTCGGGACTTCTCATAGTTCGCCTTGTATACTTTCTGTAAAGAGGGAATAAAACAAACAGTTAACAGGGAAAAAGGTCATTTAGATCATGATCAAACACTAAAAGAAGAAATAAATTCAAATAAAATAGTCGAACAAATCATCCACCAAACTAAGGCTCCCACAATATCACCTTTTCATCTCAAGATTACTCTGGACATAAATAAATCACAATAAAACTGCATGTTGATATCATTAAAAATTTATGGAAAAAGCCAAGAAAAGGGTGGAGCAACATTTTGAAATGATGTACATTTCATTGAACTATGTAGGGCTGAATGAAAACAGAAGAATGGCCAGAAAGTACAAATGTTTAATTATTAGCCTCTCCAAAGTGGTACAGGCTCTTACGCCGTTTTAAGTATCACGATAAACTGAAGTATCTGACCATCTTCTGGAGGGCTGCTACAGCTAGCTTGCTAGCAGCTGACACTGCTTCTCTGTTTTACATCAGGTGGCAACTCGCATAAAAGACCACAACTGCCGCCTGCTGAATGAACTATTTGGTTATATAGTATCATACGGTGGCATATGCATATCGTTTTAGCAAAAGTCACTTTTCATTATTAAATAGATGGTTATCGTCTTACATATTGTGAAAGTCTGAAAACTACACAGCAGAAGATGACAAACTCATTATATATCTTGAGAGAGTTGCAAGTGGCTTAATTTTAGCTAAATTAGCATCAGTCAGATGAAATTCCCTCTAATTAGAGTAAAGTAAGCCACTAACACCCACAGCTGCCGCAACCATTAAGCATTTTTAGTTAATGGTGTGACAGGAGGAACAGTCAATTTAATACAAGTAACATCTCTGCCTACACAGAAAACACAGAAACTAATATTGCTCGACTGTTTTAATTCTGTACTGCTTTAGAGATTTCAAAATTTATGAATGCTCCATCAATTTTAGTCAACAGCTCTGATGAAAAAGGACCCTAATCCAGACACCTACATCACTGAGAATGGTGCCGGCGTATCTGAGTTGTCTGAGGAGAGGGTTATCTGTGGCGGGGAGCGTGTTGTAGTCAGACTGCGCTTTTGTCTTCTCGTATTCCTTCTTGTAATGGACCTGACAGCAGAGACACGGAGAACAGGGTGAGTAAGTGGAAAACAAAGTGCTGTAATGAGGTTTACTCATGTAGTTTATGCACGAGTTACACAACATTGCAAAATGTTTGTCATTCATCATAGGAGGACACATTTCTTTATCATTTCCTTCACTGACGCATGTTTGATTTATGTGTGAATGTGTGGGCAGCTATGAGGAGTACAGTGACTGAAAAGCCTCCTCACATAGTCTGATATGTTGTCGCTTCATTCTAGAGAAACTACATACTTTCACAGCAAGAGGGAACCAAATGTAGATCTCTCAGTCACGCAGTGCATGTGTGTGGGCACAATGCATTCAGTCCCTGCGTCAGAGTGGCCTCGGCATGTTGACTCACTCTCTGCTCTGAGACATGGGTCAACTCTCTGTCGTGTCTTCCACATGAGATAGGTCCTACAATAATAATCTATTACCTTTGTGTGTGCGTGTGTGTGTGTATGGTGTCAGTGTTTACTCACCTCACTAGCAGCGATACGAGCCTTCTTGTTTGTGTCGTAAACAGGCGTGTCTGTTTGCATGAAATAAATTTGGTCTTTTTCGTTTTCAAATGCTTGCGTGTATTTTCTCTGAAAAAGGTGAAAGAACAGACAGACGTTGAAAGAAAATCAAACCGATAACTTTCCAATAAATTTCTGCACCCGTTATGTTGTTGAGAGGTCTTACACTGCTGAGGTTGTCCATTGCTACTCTTGCAGTGGCGACGTCAAAATAGGGTGTCTCGCACCACTGGCCCTTCACGTTTTTATTGTAATCTTCCTTGTATTTAAGCTGTGAAGCACAAAAGAACAATCAGTATTAGAAGGTTTATGTGATATATTACGATCTTATTGCAGTTATAAGGGGAAAATATAAAGGACTTTATTAGGTCTGTTTATATTCTGCATGATAAAACACACCAGGAATGACAGGAACCTGTGTAATTCAAACCTATTGTTAGCCTCTCCCTTCTAGCTTAGTACAGCCATTTATATCAGAGAGCAGGTGGCTGGATATACCCGGCAGTGGTTTGGGGCTAGTTAGTCTCTAAGGGGCCAGGTTTTATGACAGTTCATGGCTCAAAATGAACACTTCAGCCTGTTAATCTGGTCCTAGTCCTAATAAAGTCCTTACAAACGCACAATGGATCATACATGACCATAGATATTTGCAATTTAACAGTATGTTTAGGTGGGAAATAATGGTCAACTGTGCAAAAATAGCAGATCAGTGTTGCAACACGCACTACACACATAATTTATAGTGATCTGTACTGTAAGTTGTATTCTCATCAAGTGATCTGGTTTGGTATGATACAAATTTCATTAGCGTTTCCACTGTCAACGGTTGGGAAAGGAACCAAAATAACCGGTCTGTTCTAATAATGACTGCCCTACTTTTTTTTTAGCACTCTGCTATTGAGGTACTAATCATACCTATCTGACAATAAAGGTTGGACCTAAACACGCTGAAATCTGTTGATTTGGTCAAAAAAGGAGTCACTTCCTTTTAGAAGTTGAAATGGACAAACACAAAATAGTTACAGCTTTAAGCCTGATTTAAAAGAAGACACCGATCATGCTTAACAAGAAAGAATACAAAATGCTCGATGTCTCTCATTATTGCTTTTTGTTGACTGTGTCATGTTTGTCCTCTTTGTTGATTTTATAGCAATCTATTCTGCTGACATCCACTACCCTTTCAAGTAAGGGCAAATTGGTAGTACGGATCATACCAAACAATGCAAACCAAACCAGACTGCCTGGTGGAGATACATTATCAGTTAGAGTTCTTCTCCTGTGTCTTTGTTAACCTCCACCCATTTTATACATGTAAAACGTGTTTGAAATCCGGTTTAAACTTGTTCTGCTTACATCACTGCGCTGATGGGCCACTTGCTTGGCCAGCTGCACCTCAGGAGGATCAGCCAGGGAGGTGTACTTGGCCTTGCGCTCATCATGACCCTTCTTGTAGTGAATCTGCAGGAGGGAAATCACAGGAAGGGTTCAAATTAAAAGGGTTAATTCTTTATCACCAGTAGCTGACCTTAGAGCACAGTCTGCCTCATCCAGATTATCTCTACATTGATTGGTGACTTTTTCTACATCAGCAGAAAAGGCCAAAGGCAATTGTGCTCCACAGAGAAGAGGATAAGAAACGGTCATTGCAAACTGAGATGACACTGGAAACTGTCACACTTTGTATGTTACACCTGACTCAGCACAAATAAATGGATCTCGAAAGAAGATAAATACATTCCCTACAAGTGAGGCACAAACGGCTGTTTTAATTGCCCACAATGTGAGAGGAAATAGCTACTAATTCTATGTTACATCTTACTCAGCACAAACCACTCAGCCTGAGGCGACAGAAGAATAAAAGATGTGCATGTCTGTGTGACGGATAGCGGAAGACAAGCAATTAAATAATTTGTGAGATATTCTTTATTGTTTCCTAAAGAATGGATGGCTATGAGATATCCTGCCAAAAACATTCATTAAGTAATTGGATCAAATAGATAAAACCCTGATATGACTTTTCTTTTCTTTTTTTTTTTTCTTTTTTTACCTTTTTCCAGCTAAATCGTTCCTGGGCTCAAATTTGGTTTTTCATGTTTTTATTTATTTATTTATTTTTTATTTTTTATTTTTTTTATGTTTTGCTGTTGAAATAATGTGTAGACTAGAGCTGTAATCAACCAAAGAAACTCTTGGTCGACTACAATCCTGAATTTCCCGACCAAAAATTTGACTAATGGAGGTGGGGGGTGGGGGGATTTTCCGACTCTGACCCGGGCAAACACTTCTGCGGCGGGGTCAAAATATACTGATATAAGCACAAGAAGGCAATTATACACAAATCTTCTATTCAGCAAACCACTGAACGTTGATTAACATGGATGCTCTACAATCGTCCTGTCTCCAGCTGGTACCCATTGGGTTGGGCGAATCCAAAATGGTGAAAACAAGAGGGGTGTTATGAGACAGGCTGTTAAGTGTGAAACGGGGGTGCTCTAAAAACATCCCCATTAACACTTGGTACATTCCTCCTTATGAAATTAATCATGGACTGTAAATTGACGCGGAAAAGAATCGAATCGACCAATTAAAATTTTGGTTGATTTAGCATGTATCGACCAATAAGTCAACCAGTCGACTAGGACTTAACAGTGCTAGTGTAGACATTGAACTGAACTCACATCACTGAGGACCTCCTGAGCCTTGGCCACCCTGCGCAGCTCAGGGCTGTCGCTGTACGGGTAGTACATGGTCTTCTCCACATCCCAGTCCTCAGTGTAAAGTTTCTGAGAACAAAAAGGTTACAAAATTAACATTAAAAAAATTGATAATAAACTATGTTTGGCCAATTTCAGAAAAAGTCTCCCTTTCTTCTCTAAAAAAAAGTGCCTAAAGCTGAATGGCGCTTACTTTGCTGTAGTTAGCAGCGTTCTTCACAGCCTGGACCAACTCAGGAGCATCAGGAGGCAGCAGGTACCTATCCTTAGTCTCATCCCACTTCTGCCTGTAGAGAACCTATACAAGACAAATGCAGCAGCAGCATAATTGTGAAGCCTCCATTTGTTTAAAAGGATTTGTCTTTTGTTTTCAAATAAGTCCACTCACCTTGCTGATCAGGTCAGACACACGCTTGACATGGACGACATCCTTGGCCTCACCATCATACAAGCTCTGGTTGCGAGCCTTGTTTCCTTCCATGCGGTACTTAACCTGATGGTGATACACGCAACATGTGAATATCAATGACAAGAGCAACAGCAAACAATTTTAAAACCTTATCCTCATATTTGTGATATCTTCATTTATCCAAAGCAGAAATCATACCAGCTCCAAATTCCAAACTGGTCATCATAAACCTAACTCAACATGATTAAAATCCAGATGCACATACTAGTACAAAATCATATTTATATTTACAGCAATATCTGTATGGCACTTATTGCTGTATATCCTACTGTTCTTCTTTGTCACCCAAGATCACAGCAGTACCTCGCTTAGCTGCTCCTGGGCCTTCCTGATGCGAATCATTTCAGGGGTGTCAGAGATGAACGCAGGAGGCTGCCCTCTGGACAAGTCATAAGCTTGTCGGTACTTGTTCTGTCAAGATGAGGGAAAACCACATTGAGAAGAATAATAATACTGCACTCTGAAACTTATTAAAGTTTTAATAACAGGTTGGTGTTAAAGAAATATTCAAATGACTGAGAATTAACTGGTTTTTAACAAAAAAAAAAACAGAGTTCATGCAGTCTTGAGTTTGGGTCTAAGCCCAAACTTGGTGCCTACATGGCTGAACTGGTCCAGCATCTTCTGGCTGTGAGCCAGGTAAGGAGTCATGAACTTGGAAGTATCCACTTTGGCCCTCTTCCTGACTCTCCTGGTAGGCAAGCCAGACTGGAGGAGAACAGAGTAAAACACAATTAACCACCTGACAAGCAGAATGACCCACGTCTCTCTGAATACAGGAAACACACTAACCAGGATGTCAAACTACATCCACTTATAACAACAACAAGGTTCTGATCACAGACAGGGAGAAGGATTGAATGACACATTACAAACCAATTATCTAAAGGTGATCTGCAAATGTGAAACAAATTTGCAGATTAGATATTGATTTGATTTTGTCGAGATGAAAAGGAAACTTCCAGCCAAATTGATATTGATTGTAAATCGTTTACTTTAAAGACTCACCTTTAGTGATTAAAACAGTACATGCCAAGAATTAAAGACAAATGGATGAAACAAAAACACAAATCCTACATGGATGGAGTTGTTAGGATAATGACATGGAGATTATAGTGGATGAAGGGTGACTTAAGGACAAACTACTCCCAAAAAAGAATAAGGAAGAGTGTTGAACATAGAGTATGTCCTTTAGTATCTAAAAGCATCTGTCTTCACATGCACTATACATACACAGATATCCAAGTTATAGTATTGCATCTGTTGGGATATGAAGCAACAGGAATCTAACTGCACAAAGGACAAAACTGCACTGCAAAACTCAAATCTTAGTGAATGTGTCTTATTTCTAATCACGATATCTCATGACACTTAAAATAAGTCATATAGACCTGGTAAGTCCAGATATAACACCTTATTTTAAGATACTGTATGCTAGAAATACAGTCTGAATTGCTTTTAATGGGTAAAAATAGCTGCAAGTGCGGCAAGTAAAGCTTACGTAAGTGTCTATAAATACAAGGTAATATTGTATTTCAAGAAACTTCAGTAAGCTAACAAGAGACTTAAGACAAGAAATGAGACAATCACACATAGAAAGATTTGAGTTTGTTTTAAAGTGCACTAAAAAAGACAAATTTGACAATGACTTATTGTGGCTGCAAAGGACTTGAGTGCTCGTGCAGACTTTAAGCAGTTACTAACTTGAGAGGCTTACTCATACAAATCTGACCCAGAGGAAAGACAGACATAAATGCCTTTAATGAAATAACCAGACAGCCGGACATCCATTCAGCCATGCAGACAAGAAAGGGGATGCAGTCAAGACAAAAGGGAAGGATTTCCTCCTCTGTCTGCACTGTTGTTCCTTGGGAGGGGGGTGCTTTACCTGCAGTAACTCAGTCTTTTCCCCAGTGACAGTTGATGATGTTGTTGTTGTTACCACCTCCTCATAATACTACAAATACAAGACATACTCTGCAGTTTCAAAACTGCCAGCAGAGGTGACGGGAGAAACAGCACAGTACTTTTCACAGGATTGAGGGTGATTTTTCTTCAGCTCTGGCACCAATCTATCTCTGTCACTTCCACGAATATAATCCACTTTACACCATGTGAACAGCTGTTCTGCTCTAAAATAACCACTCAACTGTATAAAAGCAAAGTTTTATCAGATATCTGTCCCAATCTGTATTAAACTGATTCCTCTTTCACTTAAAGACCTCGCCCTCAGCAGTGAATGTGATTGTGACTGCGGTCTAATGGAGCCTGTATTCTACAGGGGAAACACAGACATAAATATGATCTGAGTTATGTGAACCAGACCACTTTAAACTCTGAGTCCACGTCTATAAAAACCAGACACTCACATGACTATAATCCTATTCTTATTTTGTCATTACATAGACTATTGTCCCAGTTATCAGTTGCTACAGCGCACCGCAGCACACAAACTGTTTAGACAGCTTTATAATCCGCACGTCTGTTCACACAACCCTCATCTCCTTTTAGGACTAGTTAACTCCATCTAGCATAGTGCAAAATTTTGGTTTTATTTGTGAGAACTTGGTCATAAGGGTGTGCAATGGATGGTAGTATATAGGATAGGATAGGTATACTTTATTGATCCCAAACTGGGAAATTCTCAATCAGTAGGGATCCAGGATCAGCAGATGTCAAAGTATTAGCACATTCTATCTGTTGCAAATCTATGCTCAGAAACAGACGGATTCTTTACACAGATACAAACTGCTCTGATGCAGACCACAAGCTTAACCACACTAAAAGGATTTACTGCATTATAACGATAAGAATGCTCAGGATGATAACACTACATTTTAGTTTTCCTGAATGTTTGTTGAAGCCCGTCTCACTCAGTGATGGTAACCCACTCAGGAGGGTAAAGACAGATGAATTCTTACTTGGTTTAAACAATAGAATGAACTTCCCGTCTCTTACATGTATATCATCGTAAATTTGGAGGGATTGGTGTTTACGTGCTTACTCTTGTCTCAACAGATTTGCCTGTTTGGGTACTATATTACATGTTCATGCCAAAGTTTAAGTTCTAGCTTGATAAGTTGTTTTTTTTAAATCTCTTTTCAGTTAGTTTCACTGCTTTTATCCTTTTCTGGTGTTACCATAAGATAATGATGTTGGTGATGTTTAAATCTTTCTAAATAGTGAAATCCATCCAGAAAGTAGCATATACCTATGATTAAAATAAACAGTTCTGGAAGGACTGAGTGCTGTCTCAGAAACAAAGTGTAGTGAATTGACTGAAATGCTGATTAGCCAGCTGCATTTTAGCAGGAGTGCTTTATCCTGAGTGTTGTTGTTATTTACCATTATAAACCATTGTTAGTTTTATAATCATTTATAAAAAAAAAAAGAGGTACTTTGGCCCAAGTGGTCTGTAATTCTCTGTTATTTTAGTACTCTAGATTTTAAACAGGGTAATTAGTTTAAAAAGATTTTAATTTTTTTTTTTTGCTATATCGTCCACCCCTCTCTGTCACTTAGATTCCAGTTTATTCAACTGTGTTTTAATCAGAGGAAGAAGGGTCAAATTTTTAACAGCATCTCGATTTTTAAGGGAAAAAGTTGTGCATATTTTAAAAAGTTAACTTTTTTACTCCTGGAGATTCTGTGAAATAACAATTATGCCATTTTTAGGGATAGATGTAATACTGTTAGCACTATTTTCTTCCCCTGAAATCCTTTCTCTGTTGTATTCAAGGGAAAACAGACAGATTGGCTGGATCATGAGAAGTTTCAGCATCATTAAATACCACCTGAAATAAGAGAGAGAGCTTTATCCATTTAGAGGGACAGTTTTATTTTAAAATTAAGCACCTCTGACTTCAGCCCACTGTGCCGTGAATAGCCTGTCTTGCTCACATCGCGTCTGGATTTTTATTTCCCTCTGCTGAGAAACTGTCTCGGTGGAACATTTATGTCCACTTGGTTGAACAGGAAACTACTGAGTGTTCCTTTAAATCTACCTAAAATCTAGTACCAACCAGAGCTGAGAGAAAGAACATCTCAATCATTTTATCAACATTTGTAAGAGGCTTCGATATTCAAATCTATCAGACAGGAGAGAACCATAAGTGTAGACTGATCAACTCGACAAATATATCTCTCATCCCTCCAAAGCAATGTATAAACAACTGCTGTATCACCCTTCATACAGTTTTTCCATGCATCCTCCTCTCCTAAGCAAATATCTCCCACTGTGGCGTCAAAACTCTCCAGGCTATCAGTCTGATTTACTGCACAGTAGCTCGTCTCATTTGCCCACCCCCCCCACTCCCTCGCCCTCGCTCACTTTCTCTACCTTAACTTCTCCCTTCACCCCATCTCTCTGCCAATGTGCCGTAGATGTCCACTTCTAAATTTGTCTGAATGCCAGACAGAGAACTCTACACCCCTCCCCTCGATGACCTGAGGAGTTCTGTCACTTTTTGAGTTGATCGAAAGGAAATATTCCTGCTTGTAATTATTTATGACTCTCAAATCAAAACTCCAAATACTTACAGTTGTAATCAAACTCTGTCTAAAACTTAGATTGTGTAGTTATATTAGTATTATTCGACCTGAAGAGCACTATGTTTCTCCCCATTCTGTAGAATAAATAAGAAGCCGTCTTACTATTCAGTCAAAGTAAATTCAGCTTTTCTCCACAGTGCAGATGAAAGTACTAGTGAAATCAGAGTGTATATGGTTTGTGAGTATTTTCTGCCTCCCAAATGATTTACATCTTTGCAGTAAAGATGGTAAATCTATTTGAAACAGTTGATATGTTATACAGGAGATGAATGACAACCAAATGTTGGTATACGATAAAGTAAAGAGGTGACAGCAACAATGACCATTCATGCTCCCCTATAAGATATCAGCGATATTAATTAAGGGCAAATACAAGGCAAACTTTAATCCTATTTCACCAGGAAATATGGGATTAAGCTGTTAGCCTTCTGCTTTCACTCTTCCATTGGACACTGGCACGGAGACCTTGAGCAGCACAAGATTTCATAGAAAATATATATACACAAAAACATCCTGAAAAAGAAACTAACACCATATTATATGAATGAAGTGAAACGTGAGGGAGAGGTTATCTAAAAATGACATACAGCTACTTCTTGAAGCAGGCACACCCCTAAACTGTATGTAACTGAATCTTTGACTAGGTATGCTGCACAGGAAGGATGCTTCCATAAGTTGGGTAACACTACAGCTTTGTATAATGTGTTCATCCTTATGTAAGATTGGATAAAAACTTATCACCTCTTTCAAAACTTCGAATTGAATGAATGTGGCTGTTTTCTGCAGGAATAACTGCTTTATTTTACAATTTTAAAGTTGTTTAACAAGTATGTCACTACTTTATAAAGCCGTGATACTTTTAGATACTAAGCAAGGCCTCTGGTTAAAGGATCTGTGCTTCTGTGGGACTACAGTAAATGCCCCATTAAAATACTAACATTCATAATCCTCTTCATTTTGAAATATTCTTGATTTTTACTCAGCTGTAGAGGGAAATCCAGGACTTAAAACCCATCAGAAGGGGTCCCTCTGAAACAGGATCCACCAGCATGGCATGGGCGCCTGGTTCCCTGAACTGCTGACTGGAGGGGGTCATTAACTCAACTATTCATAGGGCCCTGCTAGTAGGCTGCAGTTTGGATATGTAACCTTAATATACCAAATTTGATAAATCACATCATTTTTTTTTACAAATATTGAGACTTAAATTACATAGATTAGCTTAATTTGATTGTAAAAAAAAAGAGGAAAAACTGTCAAAAAAAAAATATGAGAACGCTCCACTTACCTCGTCCACCACCTCTTCCTCCTCCTCCTCATATTCCTCAAATTCCTCACCACTTTCCGCCATTTTGGGACGGTTTTAGAGGCTCTACACAAAACACAGATGTCATTTTTAGAGCATGTATGAAACACTGATAACATGGGAGCTTATATCATAATGGCATAGTTTATTGAAATGCTCCAATGGTCGTACCAAAATCTGAATCATGATTTTAAACCGCTCTAACTAAGGTTCAAATCAGAAACTGCAAGAATAAACTGCATAAGTGACATTTGAGGATACAGTCAGCCATTCCTCATTGAACAAAATCACCCCATACAAGAAAAGGAACATTAATCAACACACGGCTGAGTAACAGAGCACTGTCATATCGATTTAAATAAATTTGCATGCCATACCAGTGAAAGATTGACGCAGTATTTCCTGACAGTAAGGGAGCTTCACTTTGCCATCCACTAGGGTCTCAGACTGACATCCAACTTTCTGTCTATCTTCAAATCTAAACAAAGTGATAACAATGTGTGACACGCCTCACAAGCTGCTCAACAAGTGTAAATCAATAATGACACAAAGAAAATTACACATTAGGGGTGTTGAGACACTAAACTGCTCTCTGACAGGCCTCTGCTGCTGCCCCTCCTCCCTCACTTGCCACAACACAGTTCAAAGAGCTATGCCTCCTAGCTGAAGGTTGGCGACAGCTGCCCAACAGTGCTTCAGCTATTTGACATGTAAGCTAATGCCACAGCCTGATTGGTGGACTGTGTTTAGCAAACGGAGATGCAATGCCTTCTGAGGCTGCAGGTTAAATATAGGATGGCATACTAACTCCCTTTTTTTAGCACTTGATTGCTCTCTCTTTGAATTAAAACACACGTTTTCTGTCTAAAACAAGAGAAACAGGTGAGGCAGTAAGGATGGAAGGACCCAAAAGGCCAAAAAGGTGCTGAGATTCTGGAAAGAAGACAAAGAGGCCAGACTGCAGCTGTTATTTCAGATACATCCAAAGGCAGGCCGGGTCTGACATTGCTTGATTCTTGCACTTCTGGACAGTTTTTATAACTCCGTCAAGGTGCAGCCCAGTCTTCTCACTCCTTATTCCTGAAGCTGTTGTCCTTCTGGGTCCATATGGCAGCAGAGGATGGAAAAAAATTGAAGTCCAAGCAGATGCAAAGCCATGCAGGGAGTAAAAAATATAAATAATGGTGCTTTTTCTCCCTTTCTTTGCTTACCAGTTAAAATTTCAAGTTAAAGGGTCTCCCAAGCCGCCAAAGCCTCCCCAGCTTCCCTCCAGAGAAACGCTGGGCGACAGCACACAGCTGCGGTTTCTACCCAGGTTATCATGTGGGCGGCACAGCCAATCACAGGCCGGTCCTCTCGAGTTTCAAAATCTAAATATACCTAAATGATCCTCACAGAAAAGAGCACCTGTTGAGACTAATGCATCAGCGGTACAGTTATGAGGAAGGCAGTGGGGCACTGGTGGAGCGGGGGAGCGGGGGAGTCTCGAGAAAACAAGAGTTAACCCCAACTGTCACAGTCACCCATCCAACATGGAGGCGTGTACGGTTGTTGTTGTGATATTGATAAGAGCAACAGTTGTTTGTAAAGGTTTTGAAAAGGTCACACATGGGTAAGGATATGAGTATGAGTCTGTGATGAGAAGTGAAGCCGAAGGCCTGGTGGGACTGTGAATGCCAGATCTGTTGAGGTCATCTGTTAGCTGACCCTGAGCTTGCTAGGTCCTGTCAAGAATCAGGTCAACATCAAACTGAAGAGCTGTGAGTCAGAGAAGAAGAGGCAAACAAACAAATGCTTCAATAAATATGAGCCACAAAGTCAAAGTATCAGTCAAAGTAATAAGTATGTCAAATGTGATGGCATCTCTTTTATCATCGGTGACCCCTGGATTAAGACAAAGTCTGTAAACACATTATGAGTCACTCTGCATTAGCCCCGACATTTGCTTTGGGATTAAGGTTGAGGCCATCTGACATGATACATTTTTAATGGCTGTGGGCAGAGGTACTCATAGAAATGTGCACTTAACTTTAAAGGTTGTAGCTTTACAGTAGCAATGACAAACATATTTAGCCTTGTTACATTGCATATTAAAAAACTACGTCTTTAAAACATGGTCTATAGGCCAGCTTTACATTTTAGGTACAATATATTCAACACTAACTACAGATAAACTTGAGAACTGATACTTAAAGCAAGAGAAGCAAAATTTCAAATGTTAGAAATGCTTACTTCAAGTGGAGTTTCAGAGTTCTTAAGAAAAACTGTTGCATCTTCCAGGTACAGTGGAACAAATAAAATGATACAAATATTATAATTGTAGATATTTTGAAACACCACTTGAAATATGCATCATTATTTACTTTGAGCTATCTAAATGATGTGCTTCTATCTCACTGGTATGTCATTTCTTTGCTCTCACTCTCTTTGCCAGGAGCAGGGTGCTACCAAGAGCCCCAGATGGACAGGAACAGCTGTCTCTGTCACACTGTTGCTCCCTCTCTCTTTCTCTCCCTCTCTCAGGAGAGTGGTAATGGCTCTCTATTCTGTGATGCACTGGGTGACTCGCTGCTCAGGCCTCATTAGCAGCATCACTGCAGTTTTCATCTCATCTGCAAAAACTGAAGTAAAACAAAATACGATTTTAAAAGGTGCTGCTGTAACCAAGGTCTCCTACCTGAATACACACAGATAAACACATTTATTGTTTGGAGGAGTGTACGCTTATTTAGTTTCACTAGTTTCTGGAGTTCCTACAGTGAAATATTGTCCCATTTATTCAGATTTATAGCTACTTAACAGTTCAGGGTTGGATTTATCGTAGTTTTGGTTTGTGATGTTGTTACTTTTTTCAACAGGCAACAAATAAGGCCAATTTAGCACAGAGCATGATGTTGTTATCAGCAGAGTATGGTTTGGTATGATCTTACTGAAATGTGCCGGGTTCTCCCTGATAAAGTTATTCCCTGGATGTCACCACATGTTGCTCCAAAACCTGCGTATTTTGTTCAGTCCCACAACAATCGTTTTCTTTTACTACTTAAAATGTTATCAGTCGTCTTAAAGGTGTAATTTATAAGTTTTTAGCCAAAATCGCGTTACCTGTGTCATTTTCAAGGACTTTTCCTCTGCAGAGCTCCTGTTAGCAAATTGCCTCTGAGTCGTGGGCGGAGACAGCGCTGCTCTGCATACTCATCTTAACACTAGCTTGCAGCCTAACATTGCTTGTGCAACAGAAGTGGCAATTAAAATAGGACCTATTCAGCTCTCAGACACCAATGTCTATAGGGACAGTTATGTCGATTAAAGTTAATATAATCAGCTTTCTTAGGAGCATTGTAATCTGCTACCGCACACGCATGTTCCGTGATCGTCCTCGCTATTTCTCTGAGTGTGACCTGCATTGCGGGGCTCCAGGGGCGGAGCTTGGATTTGCTATGTCATAAATCTCACTGTTTCTGAACCTGCCATTTGGGTCTGCCAGAGATTCACAGCAATTTAAATGCAGAGATACTCAGAAATGCAATTTTGGACCTATTTTTCTCATGATATGTCCTGTAGCATCAGAAAAATGTCATCTGAACATATAAAAAACAAGAAAAACATGATTTTCATCGGAATGGGTCTCTAAACAGTGTCTAAGCTTTTCTGAAGTAGAGTTGTACCTTTTTCCGTTTCAGAAGATTTAAGCCCAAGAATTAATACCTAGAACTTGAAATATCTTCAAACATTTCTGCGAGTGTTTGATTGATAAGAAAATATTTCTTCATACCTTTTTCACATATAAACACAGTATGGAGTATCATAGTCTTTAATGAGTCTTGCAGGCAAAAGAATGATTTCCCAAAGCCAAGGACACCCAGAGTGGTGGGAGGGGGCGACATGATGCTTAGTCACTGGAAAAAATGACCGGTGACCAGTGAAACCAGAACACAACAGCTGCACGGCAGACAACCAAAACACAAACACTGCCAACAGTCAATCCTCTCAGATCAACACTTAGGGATAAAAACAATGAAGTCTAGTGAGGTAAGAGGCCTAAAATGATACCAATTAGAAACTTACAGGATGACTTTGCACCATCTGGATCACTTCATGTCTAAAACCAGGCAGACTTCCAGACAAACATCAGCTCTGACCTTTGAAGCTCTATATGAGGAAAGGGATGTTTTGGGTTAGTTAATCTTTTCTACGTAGCCACTTTTAAATTTTCAGAAACATGCTTAACATGCTTCAGGTAGATCTGAGCAACAGTACACCGGTCAACAACCTAGGCAACCTTTTGGGTTATTATAGAATCTGATACAGCTACTGACACATTACTTAAAATATACTGATGACACCAAGTGTTCCTGACCTGCACCAAGAGATCCAAAATGTTCTTCAATAAATCATTGCAAACCTGAATTATTGTAGGATCTTGTTTAGTTGACTGTTTTTTTCTTTTAAATTTAGATTTTACGTACCTTCAAAAGGTATCGAAATTCTCTCGTAAAAAGTCCTTTTCCAGCTCATTTTGAATTTAATTTATTTAAATTCTTTTACTTGTGTTTTGTTTCCTCTGTGTGCTTGCTGAAAAGCACTTTGGATCAATTGCGTTGTGGGTAAAGTGATATAAATAAAACTGACTCGATCTCACTTGTTTTGCACTTCTCCATATATTTCTGAATGAAAGCTTTGTTCAAAAATCACAGAAGTAGTATTCATCACGATTTGAGGTTCAATTAGATATTTAAAGTTAGAAAGTTTCCTGTCATGAAAGCTTCAGCAATTTCTAACCATGCATACTTTAGTAAATGCAGAGCCAACTTCAGGAGTGGGAAACCAACAAAGCAATGTGAAAGATCAGACTAAATTTCTTGCATTAATCCAAATTTCAAGGGAAAATCTCAAACATTTTGTGCTGCTGGCACGGATGTTCTGGCAAGAATGTAGTCTTCACATACAAAATTTAACAACAACAGTGAATATTGGTTTGTAGAGATCTCTGTTCCTTACTTTTCCAGTCACTTTTAGGTCCCTTACATATGGGCTTCAGAGCTGGCAGTGGGCTCTGAGTCTTGTCATTCTATACAAGTCATAACTGATTTAAATTGAGCTTGCTGCTCAAAACTAAGATGCATCTTACAAACCATGTACTTCAAATATAAAAGGCTTATATTCAACCTTAACAAACAATACATTTTAGAAAATGCTTCAAGTAAGAGTCCTATTAAATGTGTTCACGGATCAGCAGTTAAACAGGGCATAACCTTAAAATGTGATAGAGGAAACAGGAGTGGCTGCGGGAGAAACACCACACACTCTATCATATTATGAGTGTTTATATTGAGCAAGATTTTCTGCTGCTGTTTTGGGAAGATTCACTCATTTAGTGACAATACCATGAGGACAGTATCATCAGATGACTGAAGAGTTGTGCACATTAGGAAACACCACAAATACTCTGGTAAGATCTCAAAAGTTTACCTTTCATATTCTGAAAGAATGGCAGTCTGATTGTACATAGCCCTAACTTTTCTTCTCTTTTCACCATGCAGCTCACATTTAGGACCCGGTCTCTCTTCTCTCCCTGCTGTCTTTCTCCCTGGCTCTCTCCTCTCTACTCCTGTGGCTGCTCATCATGCTCCCTGAAAAGCATCAGTGACCATGAGCTCATATGACACAGTCTGCCTCCTAAAGGACTAAAAAAAGAATAAGTGAAGGTAAACTCAGTCGAGTTGAATCTTGTCCTTAGAGGAAAGGGAATCACACAGAAGAAACACTCTTTTATCACACGCTGAGATTCACCTGAAACAGATAAAAACACTTTATTTTACCGATTATTCATAGAGACTGAAAGGAGGAGGGCAAGTTATGATTCAACCCTCCTTTCTGCAGGTTTCAGTCACCATCAACCATCATTCACTGCTTGAATATTCTGCTGCAGGCACCACGTTAAAAGAGAATACTGGACTGTACACACAGGAGGGGGCAATAAAAACTGCCACAGCCAGTCCGGCAATACTGCAAGGCCACGGTGGGCAAGACTCACACACAACTGAAAAAGAAGAGGTCCATGTACAGTTCCAAGTCAGACACTTTGCTGACGTCTGTGTTTTGCTGTAACAAATACCGTGCAAGAGATTTCTGTTTAAATAAATTTAAGTCTCTTTTGTTGTCCAATGTCCCTTTGTTAAGGTCACGTTTTTTTTGTTCTCAGACGTCTTTTGTAAAATAAATTATCACAGGAGAATATAACGTCCTGGCAGCGATCTGCCCATGTCAGCATCACAGGAAAGAGGAGAGCGGCCATCCATCAACTGACCCGACCCCCTCGCACTTGTTTCAAGCTTGTGTCTGGAGGCAGAGAAAACAAGGAGCAAGGGCGCACTCTGGATAGATGTTAAAGGTCATCATCTCACACGCAGCCGTGACATCATCCACTCGAGACCCTGGCACAACCTGAAGGTAAAAGAGACAATGCAGAGGAACGGGATGTGGAGCAGAGGGGACAATTAGTGGGACAGGTGTTAAGATGATACAAGTGGACACAGAAGCTTCATTTGTACCCAGTGTATATTTCATGTAGTACTCACCCCTCCCCAGTGAGGGCGCAGCAGGCCTGAATGTGCCACTGGTGGTCTTTCACAGAGGTAAGCTGAAGGCTCTGGGAGATCTCAGCCACAGACATGCACCCTTTCACATCCTGCTTGTTGGCAAAGATCAACAAACCTGCCTTTCTTAAATCCTGGCAGGCAGATAAGAGACACAAAAAGAGGAGAAAAAAAGGTAGAAATGGAGACCGCATCAGTTCGGATCACAGTGAGGGATATAGAGTCTCCTCTTGACACTTTTGTTTTCTGAGTGCTATGTCAACACAGCTGAAAGTTGAGCTTTACTCCCATGTTTAAGTACATTGACAAATCAATATCAGAGCACATTAGGATCTCGGATGTACATTACCTATAAATAGTTTATGTTTTGTTTATGTATCTTAATGTCTCTGAATAAACGTAAAGCCCTGAGGGACTTTTTTTTTATTATTGGAAATGAAACAGCCTAATGTTAACAGCAAAGCCTCATTATGACCTACATAAGCAAATGCCCATAAAATGTAATAACTTTGTTTAGTTTTGGTGTTTAATTTATGAGAACTAACCTTGATGGCAGGAAGTGGGTCCCTCTGTGCATGACTACTATTAACACGACTGTGCTCAACTATTTTATGGTACAAGCTAGAGCTACACATCTGCACAGAAACTGCACATTGTTGAATACCAAAACAGAATTCAGGTAGGATCAGTTTAAATCTCCGGGAGCCCCCCCTCCATAAAAACAAGACTGCATCTTTTTGTACCCCATCTTACAGCTTATAGGTGGATTCTTATCATTTTTTATGATACTCACTTCATGTGCTAGCATTCTGTAGAGTTCCTCTTTGGTCACTGAGATCCTTTCTCTGTCTGTGCTGTCTACCACCACAATGACAAACTATGAAAGAAATGAGGAAGACATGTCGAACAGTTAATCAAAAACACTGCATATTTTACTTTGCCGGAGGATGCAATGGTGCTACTGTCACACTTCACTACTAGAGGATGAGAAATTCAATTTTTTTTCTGCTGATATTTTTTAAGTACTCAGAAAGTATGACACTGTTCAAGATGTGGCAAAAAGCTTGTCATGTGTATACTTATCATCTTTTTTTTATTACTATTACTGGTGACAAAGATACAATGAGTGTTATTTTCACTAGGAGAAAACGAGCATGACTTTAGCATTTGAACAGACAGTTAACCTGCTCAAGTCCTCTGCTAATCTGACAGTTATGGTTTCTGAATCCCTCTAATACTCTTTGGTGTTTCTACACTCAAATATCTGTCTGTTTACTGTAGAATAAACCCCTTTACACTCTTTCTGCAATAAGCAAATGTCCTCTGAGGTACCAGGGTGAGTGACTTGTTGATTTAGTTCCACCTGATTTAACTGGATACTCGAGGAAGCGAGTGTTAGCAGCAGTTGTTACCTCTGTATTTGTGTAGTATGTATTCCACGATGACCTCAGAGACTCCTGGCCCCCAATGTCCCACATCAGGAAATGAGTATTGTTGACGACAATCTCCTCCACGTTGCTCCCAATTGTCGGAGAGGTGTGCACCACCTCATTCATTGAACTATAATGTACATAAAGGTAAAAATTATCAGAAAAGAATCATTAAAAAGTACAAGTGAGTCAACTTCAATCATTTCAAATTACTTTCTGATACAATTATAGAACAACTTTTGTAAAAGGGCTTTGTTTGGATACTCACAACTGGTAAAGAATGGTGGTCTTGCCGGCGTTGTCCAACCCCACAATAATAACTTTGTGCTCTGAAAGGCAATAAAAGACACTTACAAAGGATTCACAGAGCAAACAGTGACATCAATATGTGGGCTAAGTGCTGGTGGCCGACTGATGTACGGTTCTTGTGTAAACTCGGCCACGAAATCTGTTAAAAAGATGTCTTTTGATGTGGAACTGCATTGAGCGATTCAAACAACAGCCTTTTTGTTCCAGCATTATCCCTCAGCTCCAAATAGTGTAGCTGCTTCACGCACCGGGTATAAGTGAGACATTGTGGTGCTGTGAACAGTGTACTTTCACAGCTACGGATGACTTTGTGGGTGGTCTCAAGGAAGCGTGTACGATCAGTCTGAACCGAGCAGCAGCTGTGGAGATGGCATACATCTTTTTCTACACATACAAAAAGCTGTATATCAAAGAAAAGATGAATGAGACAGCTGTATCTGCAAAATAAATGAGCACATATCAACCAAAATCAGTAGAACAGACTCGCTAGATGGTTTGGGTAGATCTGCTTGTATGAAGCGATGAAAGTAACACACATTTTCCTCACTTCTTTGGGTAGGAACATAAAAATGTACATATTTTTTACAGTAATGGGACGTTTTGCGTAGGCCATGGGAGGGGGCTTGAAGGAAAAAAGGTCAAGCAGCAAGAGAAAGCAGTCTGAAGTGGTTTAAATAGAACACCCAATCTGACATTTACAAATTAGATGTGAGGTAGGTGATCAGCTGTCGGCAGGATCAGCTGATGCACTGCGGACAAAGCTCGACTTTCTTGTCTTGTCTGAAATAATACCACGCTCGAGTTCTGGTTAGCAGAAAGACTGTGAAGTCAGTCCCGAGGCTCATCCAGCCAGAATATTCCAGTGCATGTCTCAAATCCAATGACACAGTATTTCAGCACTGGATCAGGGTGGTTTGATCACTTCACATGTTACAATAGTAGAATCATAGAGACATTGAGTTTAAAGTCAATAAACATCACTGTATTTACACAATATCACCATTTAGATCGATGTCAAGACAGGATCTGCCAATGAATCAAAGTTTTCCTTTTCTTTTATTTTGTAACTTAACATTTTTCAGATTTTATGCATGCAAACTTTTTATCTTGGTGTTATAAGGCCATAGAGTCCTCACCAATTATTGTTAAGGCTAAAGGAAGGTGCACATTCCTCTAGCACCCAAGCAATATTGATTTGAAGCATATATTAAATGCATATGATGTTTACATTTCACTTTAAATATGGGGTGTGTGTAGTTCTTTTTCCCTTTGGGGGATTCTGTTTTCCCTTTTGTTACTACTGCAGCTTCTCTCACTTGGATTGTCTGCAGGTGAGGCCAGTTTTGTTGGACTTATGTTGGACTAATGTCTCATTTTTCTTCTTCTGCAGGGGATATTTTTGCAAAGCATTTAAATAATTGACATTTTTTTGTCTTATTTTGATGTGGCCTAACAAATGTTTTCCTCATTTTTGAGAATTCACATCATGTTTGAGATTTTTTCCTTCCACTCACATTACCTACCATCCGAGAGCATAACACTTAGCTTTTTTTTGGCTATTTGTCAAAACTGTTTCTTTTTCACTTGCATTGTTTACATATTCTTTTTGAATTCTTATTTTCTTTTTATGTTTATCACCCTTAAATGTTTGCATCCAAAAGTTTGTTGGTGTGCTAAATGTATAAATGCAGAGAGCCCAGGAGGTTTCAAACTTTCATGTGACACTTACATTTTAGGACAGGGAGTGAGTATGCTGACTGACTTTTTAAAACACGAGCTTAGCAGAAAAGAGATCAAGCCCATATTTTTCTTGCCGTTCCTATACTGGTTTTAAAGTACAGCTTATCTGATGTAACCACAGGTCAATGGAGAGCAAAGCAACACACGGTGAGTACATAAAGGTATGCACACCAGGTATGTATTTGGTCTAACACTGCTGCTGCTGCTGCTGATAAGAGCTTACAGGGTTATGGCGTGTCTTAAAACTCTTTTGAAGTCTTTTAATTAGTTTGTAAGCTCGGAGTTAAAAGTTCTACAGCTCATCAAAATCAGCAGAAACAGAGATTCAAACTCGTTCTTGTTAATGATATATATACTACAAAGTTAGAAACTTACTTTTTTAACAGGGATTAAGGACTATTTCACTTTGTGAGAACTGCCTAAAGACACACTCACAGATGTCACCTTGAATCTAAATGATGAGACACTCTTTAACAGATCAAACCAACAGCTTCTTTAAGGAGACTGACTGGTTTTATACACATTTGAGTGTCTCAAAACAGAACGTGTGTATCGTTTTTAGCATTCTGTGCGAAAACACATATTTTCTACATAAATGTGCAACTGTTAGGTGAAAGAAAGGGTGGGGGTTTACTATAGCTTAAACACGTACATTTTAACAGTCATAAGACTCATGTCCTTTGACGCTCTGTGTGGTTTACAGTCAACTTCACTGGGGGTTTAGCACTTAGAGTCAGTCTGAGGTTCTTACAATAACCAAAACATTACTTAAGATGAGGAAGTGAAAGTAGCTGCAGACACAAGTGTGGGTCTTATCTCTGTAACTCTGCCTTGCTTAGCCTCAACAAAACTTGACAGCTGTCGGGACAAGGACGATGTGAAACTATAGCTTTAACAGAAAAAACTGTCTGCATGCAACAACATAACATACAGCTCACACGCGCGGGCTGCAGTGCAGGCTGAAAAAAAAACTTGTGTGAAATAAAAAAGGTCACACAGGTGTGAGCTGAGTTGTTTGTGTACATTCTGGCTAAACTTTCTGGTAACCTCTTTAAATGTGGATGACACACAACCCAAAGCAGGCCTGCCACAACGATGAGTTCCTTTTATGCTTAATTTGACAGTTTCACTCTCCTCATAGCTGTTTGAAGGCTCTCTGATGAAAACTGTGATTACTCTCATATTTGATTGTTAAACTTTGAATATTGTTGATGTTTTTTGATGATGTTTACTAAGTTATTATAACCAAAAATGTTTAAACTGTTTATGAATATTCTTTTTAATAAAAAGAAAGTTTAAACTAAGTTGAGTTTCTTCTGAAAATGTACACATGTTTGTGAATTTGAATATCAGCTGAGTTTTTCCCTCCCAGTATCAATGAAGTGTTATTTCCCTTCAAAATTTGGAAATATTCCCCAGGGTCGCACATCACCCTAAACAGAAAATGAATAGAAATCAAAGTTATTTCAATCAAATGTGATTTCATGTGGAAGTCAGCAACAAGCCGGTGGCAACAATGTTGAATGAGGCTTTTCAGCACATTGCCTTGAGGCTTATTCAGACTAAACTACTTGTAATATGAGTAAACTAAACATGTAATCACATGTGCTCCTCGCTGTGAATGAGCTACAGTTGTTTTCAGATGGACTGAATTGATGAGCTGGGACACAGCCGCAGTACGACTTCCTGGGACTTGGAAGTGAAGCTGGGGTTAAATCTCTGGGGTTACAATGAAAGCCTCACACACTCACACACCACATTGATTGGAAGTAAAATCGAGCAGTGATGTTCCCAGGGAGCTGCTGCTTGTTGACAAGCAGGACAAAAATTGTTATAGAGAGTTTTTTGCAGGCAAGGTTGAGGATTGTTAGGGTTACACTCCTGTGAGACTTCTGGTACCAACACTGTTTTGTTTTATTTTTTTATTCACTAAACATTAGTATCATTATGACCTGAAATCTCAAGATTCAACCACAATTTGATTATGCATAGGTTAAGAAACCTGCCTTTAAAAACACCTTAAAGAATAAGTAACATTATTTTATGGCATATTAGCCAATTCCAGTAAAGACCACAAGCTCGGAGCTGAGGGTACTGGCAAATTTTGTCGACTGTTTGTATAGTGTATTCTGCTGAAGAACACTGTGTCATAAAACATAACCTGAGCATTGTTTTCTGTATAATATATTCTGTAATAAAAGTTTTTGCATCAATTAACAACAGAGAAAAGAAGCATGATCTATCAGTTCTGTAACAGTCCAATATCTGCCTGAAACTGCAGCTTATTCTTTTGAGATTTGAGATTTGAGAAAAAGTTATAAAACATGATAACTACATTTTGTCACAGTTCAATGTCTTTGAATGCCTTGCTTTGTGAACCTTATTCCAGCAACCCATCAGCACTCTAAATAGGTCACAACAAAGATGACTATTACACATCTTAGCTCTCGTGCCGGGCATATGAGCAGTTTATAGACTTGTCTATCAGGTACTACAGCTCAAAATGCAAAGGTGTCACCGCTCCTGTCCAATTATAAGACCAATTAGACAGCCTACAGTATACATAACCTGTATACAGTAGCGGACAGTCACAAAGTAAATGTATTTTAACACTGCCCTTAAGTCAGTGGTTCTCAATCCAGTCCTCGAGCCCCCCACTGTCCTGCATGTTTTGGATGTTTCCCTGCTCCAACACACCTGATTCAAATGATAAGCTCGTTATCGAGCTCTGTAATGGCTTAATAACGAGCTGATCATTTGAATCAGGTGGGTTGGAGCAGGGAAACATCAAAAACATGCAGGACAGTGGGCCTCGAGGACTAGATTGAGAACCACTGACTTAGGTATATTTTTTGAGTATTTTACTAAACTTGTGCATCATATTTGGGATATTATTTACTTTTACTCAACAACATTTTAAAGATATTGTACTTTTGACTTCACTATATTTCTATTAACCTTATTGTTGCTTATTCCTTTTGCTCTGAAGCCAACTGGTGAATTTTCTTGTCTGATCTTGAAGACAAGAAACTGTATTTCTATAGTTTTGTATATGGTTTGTCTATGCGGTGCTGCCATACCAGCATGACGCAAGTCTCTGTGGTTGAACTGAGAGCAAAAGCAGTGCAATGTCACTCAGACTAGCCAGTTTATTTAGTAGGGACAATGTTTGCTGCAGCAGAGAGGGATGACAATTTTCCACCTGAGCAACCACGGCCATATCTCAGCATGTGTGAGGTTTATGAAATTAAAAATGATTCATAGTCTACTCAAATGTTCTCTCTGTTTCACAAAAAAACTTAGAAAACTTGATATCCAGCCTGAGAGCATGTTGTAATACGGAGTTGCAACTGTGGCATTAAAAATTTTAAAAATGAAATATCTTCACAGCAAACATAAAGCAGTAGAATGTAAACGCATGTATCTTGACTGCACTTGTGCACTGTGTAAATCACGCTATATATTTTTTTTCAGGTATCTGAATACTTAAAGGGATATTCCTGCGTAAAATTAAGTTAGGATCAAACACAGTGACACACTGAGTTAGACACCCCGTTGAGAGATGAATGTCGCTGATCGTTTGCTTCTCTAGTTTTACCAACTTTAGTAATGGCCGCATGATAGCAATACAGAGAGCCACGCGCTCAACCAAAACACCACTCTATAGCCACAAATAATTCTCAGAACAGCACCTAACTTCATCATCAGTAGATATAGGGTCCTAGCCATAGCCTTTGCCTGATTTCTTCAGCAAAGAGACTAAATACAACTCACCCACTTTCTTCCAGCAGCTGCTTGAGACCTCTGGGTGAGTCTATCGAGTGTAGCGGGGTGACACAGCTCAAGGAAGAACATTTATGAACATTACTTTACCATTTCCTTTAAGCAATAATCATCATATTAATCATTTTGCACTGCAAACGCGGTAGTTCTTCTTGCTTCGCGTCTCAGTCTGATTGCATTTCATTGAAGAAATGGTCATAATGTTCTTCCTTGAGCTGCGTCACCCCGCTGCAGTAGACGGACTCGCCCGGAGGTCTCTGTATGAACAAACAGCTGCTGGAAGAGAGTGGGTGAGTTGTGTTTAGTGTCTTTGCTAAAGAAATCAGGCAAAGCTAAAACGATGTTTGGTGGCTAGTGCTATGGCTGGGACCCTATTTGTACTGTTGATGAAGTTAGGTGCTGTTATGAGCATTATTTGTGGCTATAGAGTGGCGTTTTGGTTGAGCGCATGGCTCTCTGTATTGCTATCATGCGGTCGTTACTAAAGTTGGTATAACTAGAGAAGCAAGCTGTCAGCAACATTCATCTCTCGACGGGGTGTCTAAGGCTGTGTCCGAAATGGATCCCTAACCCCTACATGGGGGTTAGTGCCATTTTGAGGGGCGTCCATAATCTCAGTGATCAATTCCAGTGCCCTATATAGGCGACTCAAAATTTCCCATAAAGCATTGCAAAATGTAGTGACAATCCGATGGTCACTCAATGGTGTCGAGGCATCCCGTCTTGCCATGTGGTGTCCGAAACCTCCAGTAATTGAGTTCACAACATAGTCAACTATATAGTAAAATCCTATATGGGGGTTAGGGGTTAGGGATTGAGTGATTCATTTCAGACACAGCCTAACTCGGTGTTACAGTGTGTTTGAATCTGAAGTCATTTTATGTCGGAATATCCCTTTAAGTATTTTAAACTCACAAAATAAGATGACAACTTTGACTTGTGTTGGATTAATATCTGACTAAGAGTATGTATTCTTTCACTCATGAAATTAAGGTGTGTACTTTGTCCACCCCTGCCCAGCTGGTTTAGAGTTCCGTTAATATAAAAGGTAAAACTTGAGGATATGACATGTAGGTATCCCTGTACTCATCAAGTCAAACCAGATGTGACTGGATGTTAGATCACCTAAACTCCTGACACTACACTGACGAAGTGATAGGATTATGAAGGCAGTACAAAGTCCGTGTGATTCACTGTGAAGTCATTCATTGATCCTTATTGGCCCGCTCATTCCTGCTGATGTGGCTGCTCTCAGCGTGCTCTGTTTGTGTAGCTTTCTCAGCCATAATACCGGCGAACAGGGCTGGACACCTCAACCATACGTCTGGACTCATGTTACAGAGGTTTCACAATCTGTTTACAGATACAGGATCAGTATCATGGGAATCGACTTGGTGTCACCTAACCTTCGCTCCGAGCCCAAAGAGCATAAATAATCGAAGAGGACGAAAAAGCCGCTCTCTCCCTCTGTACAAAACATTAAACATCACTTTCTATGTGGAAAATGGAAGGTTATCTGTGTACACATAAAGCGGAAGACATTGAAATGAGTAGTCCTCGAGTGTTTTGACCTGTTTCCCTCGGTTCCTCTCAATGTGCCAGTCCTGTCTCACACAGGGGGCCTTTCTGACCACTTAGCCCACTTAGCACCCATTTCTTCGACATTTCTTCACCAAAGACCCACCACCATTCTTACCTTGATGATTAAAAAGCCTCCATAGCTTCGTGAATAGTATTCCCATGGCTGACGGTGAGATTTTTCGGTGCCAGCTTGTGGGAATCCGCTGTAACTTAGCTAGCTAGCGTTGATGCTATCCAGTGCTATCAACTTTACCTAGCTAGCTAGCTAGCCGACTACACTGACGGAGAGCCGTTTAAGCTTTGTAGAATAACCGCCATACTTGTACGAACAAGCCTTAGTTACGTCCCTCACATGGAGTGTACATTTTAAGTCACGACGGTAGATGTAGTGGTGAAAGCAAAACCAAAACGTCGGCCACCGTGGCTGGGCTGGATGGTTGTTATCAGCTGGCTGTTGTGGTGAAAGTGCGCTGCTGCGCTAGTTAGCTGTCAGTGACGCGCATGCGCACATACACTGTACTGCTGGCACAAATCATACACAAGGAGGTGAGAGCACAGTGACAGGAGGAGTAACAACCATAGTACAACCATAATGACAAGATTAAACATATCTGCTTAAAATATCAGAGAAATGAAAACATTTAGAGAGCGAAAGTAAGAATGGTGAGGAATTTCTTCTCTAAAACCATGATTGTTGATAGAATACAGTGGTTAATACTCATACTGTAAACCCGTTTTAGAAGTTTCTCAATGTCGGAGTCATAAGACATCAAATTAAGTTGCTTAGTTTAAAAGACATATAGAATTTGTATATATAATTACACAAAAATAACTTTTTCTTGACCTACAAGTAATTGAACTAGTTACTGGTAAAATTTTAAAAGCAAAATGCCAAATAATTGATATATCAAAGGATTGATGTGTTTGTATTGAATAATAATATTGAAGTTTGAGTCACTTTCTAACGACTTATAACCCTTTATCAAATTTGATACATACTTTTATATACTTCTATCAAATCAATATGATCAACAACTAACTAAAAAAACACCCAAATACAATCCCAAAGGATAAAAATTTCCTCTTTTAGTTTATTAGTTTAATGTCTATCTAATGTATCAAACAAGATCAATAATTACATTTATTAAATTTTAAGGATATTTTGATTTTTGGGGGTTTCAGTAGTACGTGAAACAGACATTTCAGCTCCCAAAAAAATGGAATTTCTCGGCCATAATTTGTGGTGTCAGGCATTAAAGAGATAATAAGTCATGGTAGAATTATCAATAGTGTTTGTTTATGTTTGACAAATATCCTGTTCAAATAAAAGTGACAGGTACATTTTAGGGCAGGGAGAATTAGTATTATTTTTAATGAAATTATAGGTGTCTACATTGGCCAAAACTACATTGAAAATATAGCAAATTGGATATCATGACACTCCGATGTCTTGTATTCCTCACTGGAGTTTTATTTACATTTGTGTGGTAATAAAGATGCAGAAGTGTGCTAATTGGATCCTCTCACAGTGCTGTGTGCTTGGGCCCTAATAATAATGATAATAAAAACATACCAAATGAGAAAGGTAGGGGTCAAAAAGGGAAAATCGTGTGTGGTTTCTGTCTGTGATGAAAATATACATGAGGACGAAGAATGGGTCTTTGTGTTTTAAGACAACAACAAAAAAAAAAACAGTACAATCCATACAACAGCAGAAGGGCAGTTTATTTCATTACAATTGTAAAATGACAGTGCACACAAACTTCTAATCAATGCATCATTCTCTCACAGGCAGTATTTAACTCTTCTTTTAAAATGTTGCTCCAGAGCTTTGAAACAACAACAATAGAAGCTACTATGAATGGCAGATAAGAACACAAGTCTCTGTGTTGATCCACATTTTCCAGAGTCACTGAAGCACAAGACACCCCTGGCCTATGACCCAAAAGGAAATAAAACCAACCACTTAAACCATGAGATTCCAGGATATGCTGTTTAAAAGTGTAGAGATATCAACTATGTATTTTCTGGCAGCATTCAAGTAAGTGAATCTGATTAAAAGATCTGGGAACTGCTTTTTATTTCCAGAAAAAAGAACATGGAGAGGACATTTTAAAGAATGCAAAAGTGCTTTCACATTTTTGTTAGGAGTCTTAAGCGAAACTCAGATTTGATTCAATGACAGCTGTGTTTGAGGAGAAGAGAGCCTATTAAAATTGCTGCTCAAAAGAAAATATCTTTTAAATTCATTTCAATAAAATCTATAATCATAAAATTTGACCGAGGAATGTTGTAGTATTTTTTATCTAGATGCTGGGAAGTATCTGCAAATATTTGGAAGAAAAAAATAACTGGAATGTTTTTTCATATATTGAAAATTTAACCTGAAATCAGCTGATGTCTCTTTCCTCAATTATTCTGACTGTATTTACACATGGAAGCCCTCTGACATAATCCCTAACTAAAACCCAATTCTTACATCTCCTACACACAGTTTGTCCTGCTAAGCTCTATACAGACAACAGCAGCTGATAAATGTATGGCATACATATATCATGCTGGTATGACTTTTCTACTGACTCCTCCCCTGGAAGCATTCCTCTACCATATAATATGATAATCATTAAACAACTAGGAATCAAATAATGCCCCTCTGGTGGGTGGGGACTGAAAGGCTACATCTGTCAGGACACCTCCATGTCATCTAAACTACCTCTTATTCCTGAGGTTTGGAGTTTTAAATATATCAGTATCTGCTAGATTTAAATATATATCCATCTACCCTCTGATATGGCTACTGACAAAAATAGTTTTACGAGTTATCAAACCTCATATCTGGTGTGTGGAGCTTTAATGTGTATAGTTATCTGCATGTTTTTTAATATATCTGTCTTGTTTTGATGGAAAAAAAAGTTGCATTAGAATGAACAAAAAGAGGGCACAGAGCGCTACGGTAAAGAGAACAAAACACCATCCATGTTGGAAAACAAATGTTAAAATCTCTGGATTTAGGAACAAGCTTTCACAGGATTTATTACACTCACATTGAGGACAGTGGCAAACAAACTTGAGGAGCATTAAAGATGCATCATATTCTGCTTCTAGCAGCTCCTAGACACGTGCAAACAGGTTCTGTGCTCATCATCACCGCTGGATGCTCTTGCTGTCTGGCTGAGGCAAGTAGTGACCTGTACAGTCCTACCTGCATGCTACAGTAACAGCTGAGATGGCAGGAGGGGGTCCAGAAGAGCCTACACCGAACACCTACTCACAGGCAACATCTGGGGGATAATAAGATCAGGTCCAGCTTCAGTCTTCCTTTTCAAACTTCTCTAATCTTGTGCTACTTTCGGATCCAGTCCGTCCTCTTGTTCACGTCAAAGCCAGAAGCATGTTTTTTATTTGTCAGGTTCTTATGCTCATTTGGCAGGAACCAAGGCCAGAGGGGAAAAAGGTACTACACATCAATACGAGGTTGTTGAAGTCCAGATTAGTGTAGTGGTCTCTTCATGTTACAGAAAACAGCCTTGCCTCTCGTGTCTGTCATGGTTGGTAAGAGAAAGACAGGCCGACATTTAGTTTACAGCTCAAAGCCGTTGCCTGGAGTCGTGGTTGTAGCCTCCCGGGGATCCTCGGTTACGGTGAGGCTTGTAAGAATCCTGGTAGGGGTCCTGGTAGTCCTCCTCCACCAGAGGGGAGTGGTCTCGGCTGTGCTGTGAGCCCGAGGACAGGCGGTTACGATTTTTTCGCGCCCGTTCATTGTGGTAGTTCTCGTCAGCGGGCATCAGGCTGCGGCGTTCAACAGGGGAGTGGTCTGTTGTCGTGTGGTTGCTGTTTCGGTTTCTTTGGGCCTGTTGGAGAAAGACAACACTGATTCAATGTGACTGTCCCTTTTTCCCTGTACATACAGTTATAAAAGTAACATATTGTTTTTAAACAAATATAAACAGCATGTAAACACATCACTGATAAATAATTGAGCAGTCCTGGCTTTGACTACCACAGAAGAAGAATACAAAATGGCCTTTCATTGTTGTCATTTTTTCTGACAGGTTCACCTGAATGGCAGCAGGATATGGAGAGAGCGCAGTGGAGCCCAGATTGCGTCCCAGCAGGGGGTTGAGTGGTGTGCTTAGTGAAGTGTGTGTAGCACGCCAGTATGCCTCCAGGTACTCTGCCAGGTGTTCACACGCATCCTCCAGCTGGTTCTCATCCAGGATTATATCAAACATCTCCTGCGGTAGTAGAGGAAGACAGGAAAATTGCATTTGTATTTTATCTCTCAAGTTTCATGAATCTGAAGCAGAACAACACCAAGCTAGGAAGCTGTTTCTCTGGATCTTTAAGGGTCTCTGACGTTTACTTACAGTAGGGCACTGTGCTAGTTTTTCAGCTGCGACAAGCTGCACATTCAAGTGCTTGCTTTGAGACTTCCCTCTTGATTTGATCAGCCGCTGGAGCACCTGTGAGGAGAACATGTAGAGTAGAAAACAGAGGGAACAATGTCTCCAATTACAGAATGAAAACATTTGAAAGAGCAACAAGGATGAGCAACTAGGGGAAGAAATAGAACAAACTGTTACTGACATGTTTTTCAGCTATTTTGCATTTTACAGGAAGCTCAAAAACTTCCCTGACTGTTCAAGACTACAATTATAAGCAACATTTTAAATAGTAAAAGGTGAATTTATTTGGCAGCTATTTTAGATTTAGTCCTATTCTTCAGACAAAATGTCTGTTAGTTTTAGATTTCAGTCTTTTTTTCTCGTCATTGTTTTAGTTACGTTTTAATTCATGAAAAGTCATTACATTGGAGCCGTTCCTCTTTGTCGACATATTTCCCATTTTTCGGAATCTTTCATTCGCAGATCAAAAACTGGTATCAAGGTTCCTCTAAGTGTTTAAATCTTTCAACAATTTCACTTGAATAATATCTGGATTTCTGATACAGAGGACTGGTTTTTATACTCCAAGTCAAGAAACCAAACACTCTTTCCTCAATCATTACAGCTGTATTTAAAGTCTTTGACTTCGATGAAAAACGTTGGTATTTCAAAAGGGTGCCTGACTCTGTCTATATTGATAGGTGCACCGGAAAGACATTGAGTATGCACTCTGAACTGTTTTCATTTTAGCCTTCATTGTAGTTATCATCATGTAGCCAAAGCCTCCTGTACCATGTAATACACAATTACGGTAAACAACTTTTCCCCTTTAAAGATTTAACAGCAGCTTTAAAACTTGCTTCAGTATCCTTTGAGGATGCACCAAATGCTAAATCAGCCCTGTTTTACTGGATGGCTTTGTACGATCAAAGCCGTCTATCTTACCTTGGGTGAGGACACTTTAACGTGGACGATAATTGGTGCTAATGAGGTCTTGATGAGCTGTGCAGGATGGTTAATGGTGTCTGCATCTAACACAACCAGCTGCAGGGACCTGGCCAACTCAAAGATCCTCTCTATTTCACTCTGGACCTCGGCTGTGAGAGCAGAACAACAACATAAAGCACAAAAAGTGATGAAAAGAAGGAATTTGAAGGTAGTTCAACAACATTCACAGAGTCAACACCCACAAGACATGCACATCATTGAGTGAGACAGTTCCTGTAGCTTTACCAAGGCTGGAGCGGGTGTTGGATCTCTCAATGATGGCCCTCTTACTGGGGTTGTTAAGTACTGACCTCTTGGCCAACGATATGTCAGCTGTTACCCTTGTGATGGATATCCTGTAAGAAAACATAACACACATTTCATACAGCGCTAACTGACAGCAGGATGACATGCTGGGTGACAGATGCTGCTTTGTTTGGCTGCTCACCTCCCGTCAAACCTGTGCTTCAAGAAGTCAAAGAGCGCCTTCTGCATCATATCTGTCACCTGAAACGATAAATCAGGGAGAGAGAGCGGGAAAAGGAGAAGGAGGAAGAGACAAAGAAATTAGATACAAATGAGGAAGAGAAGACAAGAAGGTGCCAGGCATGTTTGAGGTGAATAGCAGACTCTGTGAACATCGAAACTATAACACATACTCAGAATGCACAACAGGAGAGCAAACAAGTCAAAGTGAGCTCTCATGAACGTGTTGAAAATGAAGCCGATGTGCAAAAAAACTGCAGTTCAATAAGTCTCCACTGGAGGCTGGCTCCAAAATCCAAGAAAACCCAGTTCAAGCCATTATCAAATGTAGTTCAGACGTACATCTTCCTCCACAGTACAGTACGTCACTCTTTTTTTTTTTTCTACTTTCAAGCCATGCTCTACTTTTTCAAACCGATGCCTTTTACCCAGAAGGTTGTTACCACGGCAACACCAGAATCGGAGGCTGAGACTGTGATTCCATGACAACTGACTCCAGCTCTCTCCTTTATTGTTTGCCCTGTGGTTTTGATGGTAACTGATAATCAATGAGCACTTCCAGCTTTAAGACTGTACATTTGGGAAGCTTAACTTCAGGGGAAACAAGCAGATGTCGAAATGGGAGGACTTCAGGCATGATGCTACATGGAGCTGGTCAGCTTGGGCTCACCATGTCTCCCCACTGCTTGTGGGACAACCATTAAAAGCTACTCAGTGGCATTTTGAAGTTAATTCCAATAAACATCACACAACTGTTTTATGATTTTACCTGATAAAATGCAGTAAGACAGAAAATTCTTTATGACTACTTGGTTGTACATTTATCATTGTAGTGATCTGTTGGTTTAGTGATATTAGGCTGGAGGTATATAACGGCTGTGCAAAGGAGGCTGAGTCACATGTCTCTAAAAGTGACAATGTGTCTTACCTCATAACCTTTGAGAGACGGTCCCACCAGGACAACCGGCCTCATGGAGGGAACCACGTCATATGGAGGGATGTGTTCAGCCTGATGGGTGGACACACACAGCAACAGACAAGGTTTAGCATGAGACATTCAAAAAGAAGACAAAGTCTCCAAGGTTTCATTTCCATTTAAATTGAAAATTTTCATAGTTTCAACGACAGTCACGCAGTTTTGATTTAATTTACGGGCACGTAATCAAGGGATGAGCCAGGGTGAGTGGTTTGTCACTTTTGAGAAGAGTCACTTCTGAGAATTGGTTGAAGCATCTGACTCTGACTCAGATGCGGCAACGAATTAATTTATTCTGACCCGCTGACTTTGGCGTGACTGAAATCAAAATGGACACTCTGTTCATCCATGTTTATTGGTCTGTTAAATGTCTAAAAAATACGGAAATAATCAGTCTGAGTTCAAAGTGAGATCAAAGTGCCAGATGATGCCCTTCAATTTTCAAACCAAAACGTTATGTTTACTGTTGTTTCAGCAAATATAGAAAAGAGACATTCTGTTTGAGCAACCTGGAATCAGACAATAGTTGTTAAACTTGATTTCTAAATAACTGATGGATTTATAGTAACTGGTGTAGCTTAAGTGTTTAAAACTGCAGTTCCTTGAGTGTCCACTTGAGGCTGGCTCCAAAAGCCCAGGAGACCCCATTAACACCCATGTAAGAAATGCTAATGTTTGTGGAAATGATCATGTCACAGCCTAAAACAAAATTTTTTTTGGTCTGAACAGATCATTTTTCTCTTTTTTTGTACTGAACAAGGGATGAATGTTTATGACTCATCTATTCTGAAGATAGTGAGGCTACAAGTTTTGCATAATTAGGTAAAAAAAAAAAGACAACAAACAATGGAAGGATCTAAGTATTTTCTCTTTCATTTTATCGTACAACTGCACGGTCATGTTTAACAAACAACAATCCCACCCTTAAGGTCATTATATTAACAGGCATTAAAATTTATCATTTATAAAAACTCGTATTTACCAATAGAAATGTGAGTTACAATTTCTTTAGGAGATTTTAGGAGGCAAAAATTATCTTTTCCACTTAACTTTTCCATGTAAAAATGCAATTAAGTGAGGAGAATGGCCAAACTCACCACTTTCTGTTTCTGCTTTCCTGTTAATGAAAAAAAAAAGAAAGAAAGATCAGATGCTTTTGTCATGCATACTTGACCAGCACGTTAAAGTACATCATATGGCCGCAGATGCGAAGACACACATGTCTGTCTATGAATCAGAAAGAGTATCTGTGGGACCGACCTGCAGAGTTTGGGTTTTGTTTGAACGTTCCTGACACCATATCTCCCAGACTGGAGGAGGAATTCCCACTGGACTTGCTGCTACAACGAAAACAAGAGACAGAAAAAGAAATGTGTTAATGTGAAATCCACAAAAATGTACAAACATCTGTGACCCACTGACGGATTTAAAAAGGAAAAACAAGTTTTGCTGTTTGTCTCTTAGTAATCCTAAAAATGGATGATCACTGAACAGTGTGATTCTAAATTGACTTTATTATGAACCCTTAGAAAGTGTAATAGATGTCCTGAGCTGAAAGATAAAAAACAACACGTCAAATGAAAGCATGACAGTTTGAGCTTAAATTAATGTGTTTCTAAGCATCAAATGAAACTAAACTCACTAAACTGATCTTCCGGGAACATACAGTAACATAAATGAGCGCAACAATATCTGACTATGATGACATGAAAAGTGACTAAAGGAAACAGTGAGAGAGATGCAAAATGGCTCTTTCTGTCCCTAATATTTTAACTGAGCTTGGTTGGAGGCACTAAGCATCACTAATCGCCTCTTTGGCTGAAATCCAATCGGCCCATCTGATGGAAAATTCAGATCTGGCCTTGATCCAGGCACACCTCAGAGAGTTTGGACCACACTTCACAGCTTGGCTTTAATCCATCTGATTTCCTCTCTATCTGCTGGTTCTTCCTACTGCCAGGTTTACTCATCCCTGAAGTGGCTCTCTCCATAACATGTCCCCAAATACCCAGACTGTCTTTATCCACTCTGAGCCATGTCTTCAGTGCAACTTCAGCTCACTTCTCACCCAGTCCTCCTCCTCTGCTACTCACCCGTGGAAGCGTCCTCTCTTCTGCTCCTGCTGGAGTCGGATGTTTTCCAGCTTTAGAGGGCTGGGGATGAAGCCAATATCACAGCCTTCTTTCACCAGACGGCCGATCCACCAGTCATTGTTGTACTTCTGTAGATCAGAGGGATTAAGGATGATGAAATATCTTTAGGATTTCGCATTGATCTTACAAGTGGACAGATATTAATGAAAATGGAGAAGACAGAGCTCAATTATGAAAATATGTTTGGAATAACAACATTTGCAATTAAGCTCTATCTTTCTAGAAAACAGCTGTAGAATTTTAAATAATAATAAAAGAGAGGTCTTGAACAACAAGGTTGCAGATTTGTTTGAAATTGTGGCGACAAGGTGAGGCTGTAAAAAACATGACCTGATAGCAGAGGGCCATCTGTCCCGCTGACAAAATTAGTATTACAGCGCAGCAGCAGCTGTGTAATAAAGGACAGATCGGGGGGATCAGCTGCTCCTGAACAGCTGCTAAACACACCTTATGGTGAGAGTGATTTCTAGGCTGCAGGTTATCAGGTCAAGAATAAACTCTGATTTAACGAGTTCAAAAACAATATTTATTAAACCTGCATTTTCATCACAGTGCTGCAAACTTTGCCTTAATTTATAGATCCAGAAGAGCCCAAATGGGGATGTTTTTTTCAGATAGACTATTTTTACATCAGCTTCTGGAGCTTTGTATCATCACTGAGTACATACTGTATGTAGATAAAATGCTTTGGTAACCTGCAGTTATACACCTTAAACTTTGATAAAGAAATGGCAAAAGCAGCGACAGGGACAACAAGATCAAGCACACCAAACCACAGAAAAGGGTCCTCGTTACGTTTATGGGGTTCATGATTTCACCTCTTTCTGTGACAATTTCCAGAACCGCTGATATTTTATTTGGACGTTACTTTCAACAATACCCTTAATTCATTTGGAGAACCAAACTTATGATTTGTGGTTTTATGGCAAGAAAGGAAGACGAGAGGAGAAAACAGTCTTTCAGATAGAAACAGCAAAGTATAGTATAGTACAATCTCTCATTAAAAAAAAGACTGCTAAGATCATTTACAAACCAAATGGACTAAAAATTAAAAACACTTGTATTCAGAGCATCAGGTCTAACACTGCTGCACAGTGGCTGTTTTGTACCTCTTTGATGTGGAGGAAATCCTTGGCATCAAAGTTGACGGCAGTGCCAGCTACAGGTACATCCTCATCCAGGGCGCCGCAGTAGCTGACATTTGTCCTCACAGCAAACGCCACTGTTTTAGTCTGTAAGACAGCAGAGACACCATCCATGGTCTCCTCAGTTTTTGATCAATGAAAAAGAAGTGAATTCAGATTGCACCTTGTACACCTGGATGTGGTAAATGTGTACGATGAGAATAGTGCGAGCAGCGAATCTCCCAGTGTGTCTTTGGTTCATGACCTGAGACTGCAGGTGTTTTATATGATGTACAGAACAGAAGCTGCTCTATTGTCTTGAAATAGTCCCCAGTCAAACTGACCTTTGCCCTCTCGAGCTGAACAGTGGCCTGCTGCTCCCTCTCCTGCCGGCCGCCCTCCTTCTCCTCCTCCAGGGACACATCCGAGTCAGACGGTCGGCTTGTGTAGGAATCAGCTGAGCCCTGAAGAACAAAAAGATGGAGATGTAATGTTACAAGGAGTAACAAAACTTTCATGTAGCGGTGGAAAAACCTGCAGGGTTTGAACAACTTTTGTATGACGCAGACTGAATTTGACATCCTGCTGGGCAAGATTCAAGAATAAAACAATGTCATATGCAACTAAATATGCCTACATCAAAACTCAACATGTTTGAATGTAAATCAGGACAAGGGTGTAGTCAAGACCATTTACTTTAAATAACAGACAGTGATTTGATGGAGCATTGCAGTAACCCAGGTGTGTGTTTGAGTGTGTGTAGCTGTGTCACACCATCAGTTGTAGTCCTCTTTAAACAGGATCAAAGGCTGACAGATTAAAGATGACAACCGCTGAGAGTAAAGCTTCAGAGGGATGGTATTTTTAGTCAACAGGAAACCCTGCTCATTAGTTTTGCAGCCATGGAAACTGGAGTAAATATGAATATTGATGACACAGAGGGGGGACACCCTCCTTTGTCTACAATTTTTGCGAGAGAAACTAACCTTGAGTAAAGGAAAATTACATCTGCACTCACCTCGATGCGGCATGAGTCACATTTGTAAACAACGATTACACGAAATTGCTTAATTTACAAGTTTGGAGTCACATTTTCGTTGTAATTATCTAATGTTGTTTATATTATCCAGGCCTGCCTTTAAATCAGCTCAAATGTGGGAGTTTCAGTGGCTGAGGAACACTTTATTAAGGAAACAAGACAGAAATTGCTCTTGCTCCTTTAAATAAGGTGATGTTTTATGTGGGTATGTGCACGATGTGTACACCAAAGTGTCTAAAATTCATCAATAGTGAAACTTCTACTCCAAATTTGACTGTGAAGGAACATGTAGACATCCGACATGTTAGGATTTCCCTCAAAACAGGGTTACAAATATATTTACAGGTTATATGTAAAGGCCACTAAACATACACGTATTAAATTTGAGCATGAGTGAATAGCTTGACCCTTGGCAAGTCTGCCTCAGGGCGGAGATCAGTCTCATACCATCACTATCAGTGGAGTCATCTTCCTCCTAACTCACCCACTCCCTCAGCCCTCGTCCTTATTAGTTACAAGTCAGCGGCTGGGTTAGAGAGACAGTAAAAACGCCCACACAATCATTCAAGACGGAGAGAGAGAGAGGGAAAGACAGAGTGTGAGAAAGACAGCAAGATTATGACCCGAGGAGCCAAGAAAAACATAAACAGAGGCTCCAGAGGATGCACAGAGACACAGCTGTAAAGCGAGCTTTCCCCTCAGCAGAGAGAATTATTACAGCACCAATGTGCTCATCAAGCTCCAGCATCATATCACAGTGAGGCTGCAGTGAGGGGCGGCGCTGCTCAGGAGAGGCTGTTTCAGGCCTCAGCAGTGATGATCACATCACATCACATCCACTGCACACAGCAGGTGCAGATTTCAAACCAAGGAATTATGCTCAGGAGATTTACTTCTTTGCATAAAGTATATCCTTATATAGTCTATCGGAAACCTTACTCTTCTTACCTTGCATTTGTGTCATGTACTTATAGCAGGATAGGAGAGAATTATACTTGTAATATGCTGTTTAAGCTTTAAACAAGCTGTACAGCATAAAGACTTTATTTTATGGAAAATGAGACACCCAACTGTTACCATCATCTAATACAGTGGTTAACAAGTCCAGCCCTCGAGGCCCACTGTCCTGCATGTTTTGGATGTTTCCCTGCTCCAACACACCTGATTCAAATGATCAGCTCGTTATCAAGCTCTGTAATGGCTTAATAAATAACGAGCTGATCATTTGAATCAGGTGTGTTGGAGCAGGGAAACATCCAAAACATGCAGGAAGTGGACCTCGAGGACTGAGCTTGAGAACCACTGCTCTAATACTTAACCTTATGGCAAGATATGATACAATTGATTTGATACAATACGATATGATATGATATAACTGATACAATATTGATTGATTCAATATAATAATAATAATAATAATAATAATAATAATGCATCAGATTTCATATAGCGCTTTATCAGAGACCCTCAAAGCGCTTTACATTGGATACATCATTCATTCACTCACACAGTCACACTTTGGTGGTGGTAAACTACCTTAGTAGTATATGATGTGGCATGATATGACACAGTACAAATAGATAATATAACCAATACAATATGATTTCATGGATACAGTAATACGATCCGATCCGATACAATACAATAAAAATTGATACAATACAATACAATATAATATAATATGATAGGATATGATACATTTATAGTTTTGGGAACACTGGCAGTGCATTCTCATTTGCATAATCCATGACTTCTGCCACCAATTTGTACACCTACAACTTCAGATACAAGATATGTAAATTATGTAAAAGGCAGATAATAGCTCTGCTGTTCAAAAAAGGGCATTGCCACAAATTTGTTTCTGCTTCACCAATTTAAATCAACCTTAATCAACCCTTACAAGCTCACATTTCAGCTGTTTGGAAAGATACAGTTACATTCCTACTACACATATGCCACACATAAACTTCATGCAGCATATATGCTAATGAGAGCTGTTTGAGGGCACAAGCTGAAATGCCGTCTCTGTCAGAAGATACATTTTCACATTGAGGTATTCTGGCATAAATGTATTAATTTGTGCTGACATCCAAACACTTGAGCAAGACAAATGTTTGGACATAACGTATCCTGCTCCTGAGCGTGAAATCAAATCAAACATTTACTACACCTGAGTGGTGCCTTGGTTAGTGAAGTTTAAATACATCAATCTTTAACAATGGCTAAAGCTACAGCACATGATTTAACACAGCATTTTAAACAGCAATGACCTATTTGTTGCATTACAGAGGATGTATATGTAACTACATCATGTTGGCCTGGGGACTTCACCTTTGGCTGACCGCTACTGTGGCTCTTTGTTTACCATATGGAAGATCTGGCCTCTGGTCAAATGTTTTACAACTGCATGGTGTAAAAACAGCTCTGTGCATTGTATATCTGACTACGAACAAAGCCCTATGTTTGTTATTTTAATTCACTGGGTATTCTGTGCTCAGAAACACAAATCATTGTCCTGTCATTTATGTTCACCCTGGTTTATTAAGTATTCATGCAAACAGTGTTTCCAAAATCATTACATTTAGTCTTGTAAACTTCCTATCAAGAAAGCAAAAGTTGCCTGCAGCCTGTAATTGACCACTATAAAACTGAAAATTTGGTCTTTTAACATGTCATATCATAAAGACACACATTTCTTCTCAAAGAGTATAAAACAAAATCAAACATACTGGTGTGCTGCATACTCTTTGATGATAGGATCAAAAAGTAGCCCAACAGGAACTCAAAAGATGGTTCCCCAGACCTCTGAAGGTCCCCTGTTCAACATTTAAGCGGTTCAGAAACCAATGGCTGACGTCACTGAGACTACCGCTACGTTTCATACAGTTACAGTCGTTCCTCTTTTGTTCCCTTGAGCTGAGAAAAAACATTTCTAACTCTGATATTATATAACTCATGTAATAAATTCATATCACAGCTCTCTTTCTAGCCCGGTTAGCTGTTATTCTCTCATCTAATTCTGTGATGGAGTAAGATGTTTCTGCCATCTAACACCGGATCTGCACGCTCCACTACGGCTGAGTAATCACAACATTAGCATAAACACTGGACGCCTGCCCCAAAGGCAACAAACAACAAGCTCAGTGTTCAGACTCTCTGGGGTCTGTGTGCTAATTACTGCTCATCACTGCTTTCTAGTACAGGTATGGGGGAGCACTATGTACTGTCCCCTGCAGGCTGCTGTATACAGCATCTTCTGCAGGGTCAGGGGCCAGCTACTACTCTTGTCAACGGCCATTTAATAAAAGGAAGGAATAAAAAAAATGAGAGAACAAAAGTGGCTGCTGCTACTACAGTAAACGCATCAATGTGTTTATGACTCACTGGCTCTGAGGTCTGCTTAACCCATCTGTCCACACTCATTTTCTACCTCCTCTGTCAGTCTTTATCTGATATTTAGTCCAAACATTTTTTGTGTTACAGTATTGCTTTCTCTCCTTTTTCACGACTCAAACAAGTGTCCAAAGCCCACACACACATTAGAATACAGTTAAAATGTCAAACCATGTCCATGTATCAAACCTGTATTTACTGGTTTTGAAAGCAAACTTAAACATGCAACAATCAGTGTCTGTTATGCAGCATGTAAAACCTACCATGATATTGAACCATACATGATGTAATGCACTTCACAGCCACTGCACGCACCATGACATAGTACATGAATCAGCTCATGAATTTTAATGCCTTCTTTACTTTCATGTCGTAAAATCAAAGCGGTTCATCTCTCACCGAGTGGCATGCGGTAACAGCAGAGCCCCACACTCGGTATTCACCTTCAGGAGATGGGGAACGAATGAATTAACAAATCATAGTATGAGCTCTAAAGAAAAGTAAGTACCCTTTTCTGTGTGGATCCCCATAGCTAGATTAAAAAACAGGAAGTAATTTGCTATGAGGTGTCCTGCCCATATTTCCATTTTTTTTACAGTCAAAAACCTGCATCTTGGTCATGTTTTCTGAGCTGTTTGATTTTTTTTGCCAACAGCTTTATAAAAAAAAACATTGATGGAGGTTGTGGGTCGAGGAGGAACACTGTGGGTCCAAATTGTGACATTGGTGCCAAGACAAAGACAGCAGCCTTTTGTTTAACTTTCAACATCAGGAACTGTGTTCATTTATGGGGATGCAAGTTTTCATGAAATGCATTTACAGAGGAGTCAGAGTGCAGATTTTACTTTTTCTCATCATATTCAAAGATCAATGAAAATACAAAATCTTTAACAGATATGTTGATCCCGTCTGTCAAATGATTATAAACACACCACACAATCCTTTTTCTTCGTCCATATCTACAAAACAGCCCATCGCTTTAACAAAGTTCCTGAACCACAACATAATTATGTCAAACAATGTGCTGTTGACTGTGGAGCAGGTGATGCTGCATGTTGTGTGCGTAATGCTGCGTGAGTAGTGCAGTATCGAGTTTCTGTGTGTTCCACAGATACGTTTCTGAGTAAACATACAGAAAGCCTGTGGTCCAACTGCTAGCTGCCAGCCCTCATTTCCATAAAAAAGGCTGTTTGACAACATGCAATGAAAAAAGTGGGTCACACAACAGCTGACAACTCAAACAAAGCTGAAATGCACCGGAAAAAAATGACTTCTAGGCAACGTGAGGCTACATGAATTACTTAGGGCAGTCCACACAAACGTGTTTATCCCAATGTGATTATTAAAATTTCGAATCAATGAGTTATTATTTTATCTGCTTGCCATTTATCCTCTTTGGCACACCATAGTGAGGCCATGGCTGCACAGTCCTGTTTCCTGCTGCTGCTAGAATACAAATGAGCAAAGTAACACCGCCGCTGCGCTTTTCAACGGCACATATCACTTCCATAAACTCCAAAAATAATATGCACTTTATGTCAAAACTGAATTTGAGTTTAAGCTACCACCTCTGAGCTAAGCATACAGGTGCAGGTTATTACTAACACTTGTAAAGCTGTGTCCTGTTCCTACATCATTGTTTCAGACCATGCTGATGCAGCAGTGCAGCATTTATTTGATTAATCAATCCAAAAATTAAGACTGAAGAAGAATATTTTATTGCATTCATTTGATTCCGAAACTAAGACACTTATAAGGGCTTTACATTGATGATATGGACTTTTTAACTGTTATGAAGTGCAAAAAATAGAGAAAAAAACTGTGATTCTGACTGACTTACTCTAAAAATTAAGCAGTTAATCCCAATTAAAAACAAAATCCTTTGATCACCTGCATAAAAAGATACACAAATGCATTATGGGAGAATCTGAGGAAGGGTTAAAACCATATCAGAATTGGGGTTGTTATCTCAGAGAAGCTATAACTCTCAAAAGTGATGCATAAAATCCCTAAACAACCTAAAACATGATGCAATTTAGTTACCCAAAACTGATTCCCAAGGGCACCATGGTTTTAAATTGATAATTGGCTTGAGTGCCCTAATATTACCCTTAACAAATATTATATTACAGAGTAAAACCAGCGGTTACTTTTAATTACAAATAAAGACTACATCAACAGCTGACTAAAATAAATTAAATTGTAGATATTGTAAGGCACCTACACACACACAGACACACACACACACACACATCTAAATTGCTCACCAATCAGTAATCACACTAATTGTCACTCAGACTTTAATAGACTCATAATCATATTTAATGAGATCAAATCTCTGTCTCTCTCACTGTCCATGGATGCATCACGTCAGCATTCGGCTGCTTAAGCATAAAGATCATGGACACTTTCCATCTCTGACCACGCTCATGACTTCATTTGTGGACCTGGAGGCTAGTGAAAATGATCTAAGTTGATAATCTTCTCAAGTTCTTTGTCCCAGCTTTGAGAAAACCAGTTTAGTATTAATACAGAAAAGGAAAGAAACTCTTTTTTTAAATTGCAGAGTATGTGCTTGTTGTATTTCATCAGGGTTTGCAGCCAGAGTTAAATACTTTTAATGCCTAAAAGTTGTCAATGTGAGCCAATGGATGAAATTTAAGATTTTTTAAATGATAAGGCAACAAGAGAACATACAGCTTTAAACTTCTCCTTAAAACACTGACTGGCTGTATGTACAGTATATACCAAAATCTGTCAAGAACAAAACGCCAGCCACAAATATTAGTAGGACACATATTTCCCTGTTTATGTTTTAGGAAAACCAATCTTGCAAAAAGCTCTCATTAAAACATGAGCCCTGCTATTTAGTCTATGTATATATCTAATGAACAACAAGTTAACCTGGTATGAAGCAAAAAGCATTAGCTAACATATGGAAGCAGCTTTAAAGACTACATGTGTGCACAAGTACATTATAGTGTAAGGCTCCCAGGAGGAGGAAACATGCTTACAAAGGGTTGTTTGACATCAGGACTATGGGATGATGTATGGCTTCAAATTCTGCTCTGTTCATCAATTCCTTCTCCTGCGATAGCGCCTTTTTCCTACAGCCTTCTGGTCCAATTACCTTCAGATCCTCCACCACTTCACAACACAACACATGTTTGCATGATTGCTTTCTGTGTAGTGATCAGCTGTTTACATGCAGCAGTGTAGAGACAGAGGAACACTTTGTTCAGTGCAGACCCTGTAGTGTCACTACAACGATGTCTCGCTGTAGAAATGTTTCCTCTAGGCCTGGAAACAGTTATTTACATAATTCAGTTATAGCAGTAATGTACAGTGAGTTCCTGAGTGGTTCTGCATTGCATGTTTGATAACTCAAACAATAAAATTATCAAAAGGAAAATTATTCAGTTCGTGATTTAAAAAATTAAATATCTGTACAGTTTGTTTCATACAGAAAATTTATTTAGGATCTCTAAAATCCATCCATCCATCTAAAGCCCATCATCTATTCATCCATCCATCCATATATATGTACATAGCCCATTATATACCATTCATGAGCCCATCCATCCATCCATCCATCCATCCATCCATCTAAAGCCCATCATCTATTCATCCACCTATCCATACATACATAGCCCATTATATACCATTCATGAGCCCATCCATCTATCCATCCATCCATCCCTACCTCAATCCCTAAATCCATCTATCATTCTTTCCATCCAACCAACCAACCATCTTTCCATCTCTAATTCATCCATCTATGCATAGCCCATCACCTCCTAATTCATAAATCCATCCATCCATCCATCCATCCATCCATCCATCCATCCATCCAAAGCCCATCATCTATTCATTCATACATCCATAGCCCATTATATACCATTTATAAGCCCATCCAGCGCCCATCCATCTATCTATCATCTATTCATCCCTCCATCCATCCACCCATCCATCCATCACTACCTCAATCCCTAAATCCATCCATCATTCTTTCCATCCAACCAATCATCTGTCCATCCCTAATCCATTCATCTATGCATAGCCCATCACCTCCTCATTCATAAACCAATCCATCCATCCATCCATCCATCCAAAGCCCATCATCTATTCATCCACCTATCCATACATCCATAGCCCATTATATACCATTTATAAGCCCATCCATCATCCATCCATCTATCCATCATCTATACATCCCTCCATCCATCCATCCATCCATCCATCCATCCATCCCTCCCTCAATCCCTAAAACCATTCATCATTCTTTCCATCCAACCATCTGTCCTTCCCTTATCCATCTATCTAGCCATAGCCCATCACCTCCCCATTCATAAACCCATCCATCCATCCATCCATCCATCTCTCAATTCATTCATCCATCCCTACCTACTTTCATCACTAAATCCATCTCTTTATCCCCTATCAATGCAACCATCTTCTTTCCATAAAATGTAGTACTTTTTTTTTAAATACATTTAAAAAAACAAGATTGTTTGAGGAAGTAATCTTTATCAGCTTGAGAAGATCTGTTCTCGTCTTGAATGCTGATACATTTAAAATACTACAACTGCATAATAACAATTTAATGATAATAAATGACCGAATGTGCATCAGAGGGTTTGTCCAGCAGTAAGTCTTTGAAATCAACCTGCCAGGCTGGACAGACAGGATTAATGCTTTTGTTCAAGGCTCCCAGGCGCCTCTGCTAATGATCCATTCAGAGCCATGGGAGTCTTTCCCTGATACAAATAACTGTTATTTACTGCCTCATTACAAATGAAATCTATAACTGCAGGGCTGGAGAAAAGGAAAATAAAAACCTCACACCACCGGCCACTAAACATAAGCACCTGCTGTATGTTTCACCGTACAAATAATGAGACAACCCTCAAGAAACTGAGAAGACGTTTTACTTTCAATAAGAATACCAACTCCAATCCTGGATTTCTGCTTGCACTCTCTCCTCTTGGAGATCATTTGGGTTGTTGCAGATGGTTTGCCCTTGTTGACCACTGTATCTTTTGGCTTGTGTTGATTGTGGACAAACTAAGTCATGGCTTTGCTAGGTTTTTTTGTGTGTCCATAAGAAGTAATATTTCCTGATAAATATCTTTTCCTGCATCATCTATCGGGAATCTTTATTGTAGAAAAATGTAAAAGAAGCACTTTTTTTCCAACTAGACCTCAGTTGACATTATAAGACCATGAAGGAGTCAAAACACAGACCACTGAACAAATTTGGTTGTTTATTTGGTGATTGCTATAACTGTAACTTTGGATTTTTCAAAGCCAAGATTGAATAAGATGATTTTGTTTGGCTCATTTTACAATACGGACAAAAATCATTCAGAGCACGATGTCCTGTAAAGCATTCCCAAATATTACTATCATGTGAACAGACACAGGCAGCAACCCTGCCAACAAAGCTCTCCTCCACATCTCTGTCTGTCTCCTGTGTCTACCCACACACACAAACACACACATACAATTGCGCACATACACACAGACAATGGCTTGTTTGTGTGGTTGTTATCTACGAGTGTCAAGTGGCCAGTTTTTGAGTCCATCGTGCCACACTCAAGCTTTATCTGTTCAGACGCCAGAGCTCACCCTGTCCTCCCGTCTCCATCCTTCCTCCTCCCCTGACCTCCTCAACTATCAGACCCATTCTACGAGACTAAAAGCTTGCTATCTTCGTTTTATCCATCACCTACAAGAATAAAGAAGTGGAGCCATGTCTCCAGGGTCCTAAATACGCAACTGGGGCTCATAACCCATTGATAAAATTGTAGAGCTTTACTCCTGTAAAGAACATGACGATTCCCCTGTAAGATCCCTTCAATAGTACAATCACTAATCAGGTTTAATAGGATTCGTAATGTGCTTTCACCGGAGTGAGTCATACATCAAACAACATGCATACGTACAAGAACTGATGTAGATTTGTTACATCAGACAAGCAAGGGAGGGGGATACCTCCATTGCTATAAGCAGAGATTTTTTTTACCTGGTTTCTATGTTAATTTTCCTTTATTACAACTGAAGTAGACAAAAATGTCAACAAATAATTCCCACAGCTCAAGTAGATGTCTCTGATGGAACAGTTTGATTACTCTGAACAGGTCTTTAAAAAGATACTCGTCAATGGTTAAGAAACAAGCAGTTGGATGTCTTTTTGTTTTTTATTGTTGTCCCTCTTTTTGTTAACTTTTAGACTTTTTTTTTCACTTTTTTAAAACCATACACCAAAAGAGCTGATCAGGGCACTGCAGGCAGAAGAACACCTTTTTGTTGCGTCAAAATAATCCTAAAAGTGAATTTGTGACGCTAGAGAAAAGAGAGTTTTCCCTGTATACTGTACACTTAGACTGATATTAGAGTTTAGATTGAGCTTTTTTAAAGAAGTGCCCATACAGGTTCTCTTGCTGGGGCTGTGAGAATCACATACAGTTAATTGGTTGAAAATTGAAAGGTCCCTTTAAACTATCCCTTTAAAGTCCCTTATCTTATCCAAGACCTACTGTCAATCATTTTACTCTCATTTTACTGAACACAGAAACCACTAAAAAACCTACTGTTTAGAGGCCGGGATCAGAGAAAGTTTTTCAATATACTTTAATTTAACAAAAGTACCAATAAATTTATTACAAGTATCACAAGTTCAGTTCAAAGTGTGCTATAGCAAATGCATTTACACATCTAATTCTGTAACTTTGTCTTTCTTGAACCATTCTTCATAAACACTTTGAGGACATGATTTGTTCAGACCAAATCTCTGGTGCAATTCTGAGCAGCTTTTAAAGTATGAAGCTCTACATTAAGAAAATAAAGTTACAAAATTCATGACAAAAAATCCTCTGCCACAAGCTGAAGGGAGTTGGTATAGTCATACAATCTACGTCTGCCTCCGAAGAGAAAAATTGTGCGAAAAACAATTTCCTCGATTCCAGTAGATTAGAACACACTTAACTGGAAATGAGTCAGAGAAATCTGCAGGTCATGGTGGGTCGAGGATGCAACAGATGCATTATTACCCTTCTCTGCTGCTGCAGATGTCCATTGACAGTCTAATTTCTGAAAAATCCAGACACCAGGTAACTTCAAATGCTGATTGCAAACCACACTGACAGTAAGAGCCGCAGACATGTCTTTTGTTGAGATGCTAGTATTGTCATAATGCAGTACAACATAACTGACAGTGAATAAACAAGCCTTAACTTATGGTCACATAATTTGCCCGAGCTGGACGAAAGCATAAAACCATAAAATGTCAATATAATTAATATAATTAAACCATATGGGTTATAAAGAATACAACTTAATCAAACAGTTGTTAAAACCAAATAGAGTTATTAAGTTGAAACTGTTTTTGTACTTAATTGTAAATGTGTTTATTTTGGTGTAGAAATGGCTGTTTTAGAAAGAGCTCTGATAGGTTTTGCTCGTCTTTTTTAGTCAGCTCCAACTGAACTGAAGTCTTTTTCATTTCTGTTTGCTGCGAATGATAAAATGTGACGCAATAAAAATTAATCACTGGGTTTTGTTGGACTTTTGTAAAAAAACAAACAAGTCTAATCTTAATAACCAGATCAGCTATGATGATATGAGACTGAAAAGTGTTTTAAAAATTGATTACAGTAATGAACATTTAAACCTTACACCTGCAGCCCATTGGCTTTCAGCTTATTGTTTGGTTGTATAACTCTCAGCACTGCTGCCATTGTTCATTCTTGCAGCCCTTACGGCGTAATTTCTAGCAAGAGTATCCCAAATAACGTCTGCACAATGAGAAAAATATGCACTGTGCAATCATATTGTTCTGTATTGCATAAACAATGTGATGTGGGCTAACATGTTTTTAAAAATGCATATGAATTTTAACCAATAGTTTCTTTGTCTGCTGATCGTGATGGCCTACACCATCTCCTGAATTCAGTGCTTAGCATCACTAACTTGGCACCAGTTAAACAAAAGATAGCTACCAAGTGTGAACTTTGTCTTTCAGCATATAAATGGTGTTAAGCAGTGAGGTCGTAGCTCCTTGTAAAAGGTTAAATGTGCCCCAAATGCGTGAGAAAGCATTGCCTGTTTGCATACAATATGTTTTATAAAATGAAAAATACCAACTTTTTGCGATATGATTATCGCAAGTGCCTGTATTGAGAATATTATTATTTAGGAGTTCGGTGTGCAGCCCCATATCACACCATTGGGAGGAACTTGCAAGGCCTAATTCCTAAACATCCGAGCCCAAGCTCTAACTCATAGTCTTGTAGCTGAACAACATAAAACTCCTGATGAAAAACAGCCTGTTAACCCCACAATTTGTTTTACAATCATCATTGAGGGCCACATTCTTTAAATCTTTCTACAAACTCCTAGCCGTGGGGTGTCAATTTTAGTTCCTGAGATAAGATAATCCCCTTGAAACAGAGAGAAAGTGCACACCTAAGAGAACTGGACAAAGGAGCTGAAAATAGGCTAATTCTTCAAGACAGGACAATCAAAACCTTGCCCTTGCTAACACTACCAATGGGACAGAAGGTGTGAAAAAATCCTCCAAGCTTTAATGTTGAAGAGGCAGCCAGGATGTCAGATGGAGTTACAGAAAGGTCTTGACAGATTCTGGCTCAGTGGGATTCCCTCCGCCCCTCCACCCGGCAGCAGCAGCTCCTACAGTTATTGCCTTTGTAAGCATTTTTCCGCTACTCCAACACATTTTTATTCCACGGATGCCTGATCTGCACGTCAATAATAATGTTTGCCTCCCTGTATGAGAGACAGAGAGGAAGTCCATCTGTGTGTCACATCACCTGCATGCTACAAATATGACGATTTGTACTCAACAACGAGGGAATGTGATGTTTCTTTACCATGCATAAATGTGATAGTCATCAGCATAGAGTGTGATCTAATGATTCGAGCTGTTAGGCTTTTTCGGTAAACCCTGATGATGTTTAGGTGGGATGTGATGAAGATAGAGACTGAGGAAAATACAAATGAAGCCACAGTGTTGCAGAGAATGTAATGCACACATGAAAATATCCATAATGCCTGTAAACAGAGCTCTACTGTATGCAATAACAGCCGACCGTCCATATGGAGAGATGGTAAAGACATACTGCTCAGCTCTGCAGCTGCTTAGCCAGTGACTGGCAGCATCAGTGAGGAAGCTGTACAGTTGGCTGATTGAAGATCCCCTTCACACACACTCTCTCAAATACAGACATGCCGACACACACTACCCTGCACACCCTTCCCCCAACTCCCCCGAGAAGAGTCCACACGCTCTGCCCACTCAAGTCTGAGACATTCTGTGGGTGTTTGTGAAGGGATCAACCAGCCGCGGCACAACAAAAAAAGCATGGTTTACAAGTGTCAGACACCTCATTCCACTCACCGCCTCCGAGTCTTCAAATCCATGTAGGTACAAGTTATCGTACATGGAGGAGTGAGAATCCAAAAAGCAGCTCTTTGGTGCAAAATGGGAAGAAGCGGCGAGTGATCAACCTGTTCCAGAGAGGGTGAATGATGGTGATGAGGGCAGGGGAACAACAGAGCCCACCAGCAGCCTCTTTCTCCACATGAAGGTAGACCTCAAAGCAGCCAGATCTCAGCAGACCAGCAGATAGAAGAGAAAAAAATGAAAGGTGTGGCCCTTTGTTTTCCTGATGCTGAATTGGATATTATTGCCCCCGAGCCGATTGAGTGTTGGTTCCCATTATAAGGCAGCCTGGTTGTCCCCAGAGGCAGAGCAGACCTGGCATTTCATCTGCCTTCCAAGCTCAGATCACACGAGCCAATCCCTTCCTCCAGCACTGGCTGATGACAGAGGTGGGATGCTGCCTGCCGATTGGCTGGTCCACGCTCCAGTCAATAATACTCAATAAGGAAGAGGCAGAGAGGGAGAGAGAGAGGTCTGCAGCCTGTGAGTGGGGTTAACCAGCAGACTGTGTGTTGTCTCTGTGTGGATGTGTGTTTGAGCTGAACCTGAACAGCTATTAGCAAAGGGTGGCAGATAATTTACAATCCCCGCAAAGGTGAAGAGCTGAGTGATGATACAGGAGACAGACCTGATGCTGAAGAGTCACAGCTCTACAACAACAAAGGATACTCACTTCAATGATTTGCAAATGACGTAGGAGCAAAAAAAATCAATGCAGAAATGTCTTTTACAGGATAGAGATTGTTGGTGATCAAATTAAGGAGAGAAATCTGTAAGAATTCCCCATTGGAAGAAAAGTGTTTTGGGTTTTCCAACCCGATAGAAAAGAAAATCTTAGTTTTTAGATCCTGAAAGAGGTATTTAGTAGCTTTTCCCTTGACATGACAAAACATTTAGCAAAACTATACCAATAATGTATCGTCTGCTTTGTCCCTGCTGCAAAACCAAAGCTTTGATTACTGCAAAATTTGCATCATGTAGAAAAAAACAATCTTCAACAAGCTTCTTTTGTTGTACTATCTCGATCTTTTCCTGCGGGTCTCCACTTATCTCTTCAGAGATTGAGGGGTTAAGGTGAACAAAGAAGTCTTTCTACTTCCTCTCTTTTATGTGGCTCTGATTTTATTGCAAATTATTAGCGATGATTGAGCAAATGTGAGGCATGGTCACGTAGCTGTCACATGTGGCCCCTTGGGGGACCGTGAAATGGACACTTCCTTAAGCAGCGCTTGACGCTTTGATGCTGCCATTTTGATCCTATGATGAACAAACAACTCCCAAAAATAGTTTTAACTCTGTCTCACCAGTTTAATTAAAAGCCTCATATATATTTGGTTTCCAGAAATGCTTAGTTTCAGTTGTATAAATCAACATCTCCCTTTAAAAGTTATTTTTTGACTTTGAGAGTACTGAGGCAAACATAAACCTAATGCTCTTAGCTGCAACAAATGTTTGCTCTTGATCAGTGAAAACTATTTGACCTGCCTCATTTCTAAAGGTTACAGTTTGTTTTTCTTTATGCGGAGGGAGGAAGTAGCTAACCCTAGAAATCTTCACTTGTTGCTGATTTAGTTTTTGGGTTTAATCTAATTCAAGAGACTATAAAGTTAAGAAGAAAGCTCAGAGCTGAAAGATTAAAACCAATAAAACATTTTAAAGAAATTGTATAAAATAATGTACTGCTTGGATTATGTTGGATATCCATTTTTTATCTATTTGTATTTGCTTAAGCGTATTTTATTGCATTAGGACTATATTTACCCCTTTTCCTTATCTTAATGAGGAAGTTAAGGATTATGTGTAAAATGCCAAGAACTGCTGTTTCAAGGAAAGTTTAAAAATGGGGATTAAAATGTGGATTTATTAGCATTTTAAAAAGTAATACTCAACATAATCACATAATTGAAAGCTAAATATGTAGATCATATTTCAGAATATGTATCATTCCAATTTAATTTTGCAAATACTCTAAAGACAGAATGCAGGTGCAAAAACTGTCTTTTTTTGTTCATAAACAAACCAAAAATCCATAAACTATCAGCACATCCTCAACATTTATTCTCTTTCATTAACCAGTTCAACTCAATCTGCACTAGAAATGCTTTGAATGTCTTTCCCTGAGCGGTTGCTTTTCACACAATAGAGCAGTGGCGCCCTCTCCTGACGAACAGTGTACCAACAGGTGCACTTGCTCCATCAAAACCTGACCGTTTCTGTTTATCTTCCTCTCAACAAGCACCTCTCTAAACGCCAGGGTGGCTTCGTCATCTTCTTTCAGATATTGTAATAGGGGGTGAAATACCAAAGAGCCGAGTGTCACCGTGTTTATGAGCCTCTCATTACACACCGACCTGAGTCTGCAGCAGCCCTCAGACAGCTCCCGACTATTAAAGTAAGTCGAAGAAGACAGAGGAGAAGCTTTTCAGACGAAGTGCATCGATTCTCAAGTGTGATGAGGGTGTTCCTATGGTTGTAAATACATGTTCTGTGTATAGATTTTAAGGCAACAGATAAATGTTCAAATGTTTGAACAAGGGAGTTAAGTGGATTAGATTTAGGGTTATAGCTGTAATAAATACTGAGTTTATTGAAGCCATTAAACCATTAAGAGGATGGCTAATTCTCTTGTAAACTTCTATGCAATCAGAAGCAACTATAGAACACGCCACTATAGATATTTATCATCTTAGGAGAAGGCCTCTGTGAGTTGATGCTGTTTACAAAAGTGGGAAAATGTATGACAAAATGCTTCTGCTGTGTATGTTTTGTGGTTCAATTCTTTCATACAATCATTGTGGCTGCTCAGTTTGTATGAGTAAGCAGGTTGTAGTTTATCTGCTTTGTCATGGTTTTAACTTTCAGGAGTTTCCGTTGTTGAATCCTGCTTTTTAGACAGACTAATACATCGAGCAAACACGGATGGAAAAGAAATGGGAAAGCAGTGATGTGTTGTTTCCTCTAAAGTGTCCTGTTTATCTTCACAGAGTGTCTCCAGGGGGTGCACACTTATTAAAAGTTGCTGGCAGACGAGCGCATCGTGCCAGTGTGGCGAAGAGAGTCGTGACCGGGCCATGTAAAGTCATTCACAAATTAAAGTCTGCTGAGTTGAGCCATGTGACCTATATAGGAGGGATTAGCAGCATGAAGAAGCCTCTTCTTATCACTTTACAGGCTGCAAGCTGAAAAATTGGGTTAAAAGGGACGTCTCCATGTAATGCATTATGATTCAGACGTGAAATTTAATTTCTTGGAGAAAGCTGTAAAATCATAAGCTCTGCCATCTCCAATATAAAAATATATTAAAATCTGCAGGCCTTAACATTCATACTTTGCATTTCAGACAGCGGGGAATTAAGTGTGGTGACCCAGGATATGAAAATGAATTTATTCCAGACATTTGAAAAAAGGTGGAGATGAGGTCTTTGTTCAGGGCAGCAATTCTGCAAAAAGCTCGAGTCATTTTCTGGTCAGCCTCTGCTGGGAAGACTATTAAAACGTTAAACAGTCCTTGCAGAACTCATTACTCTACAACATTTGCATTGCAAATAAAGATGGTTTCTCGCCAGAATAAGCTGTGTGTCAAGTATTTGTAGAAACAACTGAAGTTGGGCGCACTTCAGATATTTCAACCTTTTTTCTAACATGAAAATGATGCATCTTTCCTCTGGTTGGGGATATAAAAGGCCAAAAAGGTGTTTGCAATGTCTAAAAATCAACGCTCTCAGTTATGACAATGATGTAAACAGATCGAGTTTTGAACAAGATCTTCTCTGGCGCTCCCATCTGACTCGTCCTCTGCTTTGGAACTCAGTGATTACTTTCCATTTCATTTCCATTCCATTTGACTGAATTGGGTTGAGTCCACATTGTTTATATGCACATGCTATCTCCCTCTCTCTCTCCTTTTAGTGGCTAATTGCCCATTACCTCTACCAACTGTTATCACCGACTGCAGTCACTGTGAAATATATGCAAAATGAGGACATGCTTTCAAAGCTTCACTCAGCTAAAAAAAAATCCACAAAATGTCGGCTCGATCTATTTTTTAACAACTCACAGGCATAGAAAAACTGATGAAAGGTACGTTATACACACACTTGTCCCTGTGTGTGTGAGGAGGATTAAAAGGCATATCCACCAGGGCTTAATCATTGCAAGCAAACACTGGGATTTCAACCTTGAAAACATGAAAACCCTTTCACTACAGCTGCATTTATCATGGTCTGCTGCTGACCTTGTTTCTTTTCTGTGCCTCAAACTGCACGCAGGATACTGTATGTTGCATCCTGCAGATGTGGGATTATTTTCAGTCAACACGGGTTGAAAGGGACATCCAACATATGCATGTAAACATTTACAACACTTTAAAGTGACATATAAAAGCTTTATAGGTCAACACAAATTACATTAGAAAACTTGACATCAGTGAAAAGGTCCACTGCGCCACTTTCATGCAGCCGCCCTGGATTATTCCTGAGAGCAAACATCTGTCTGTTTTTTTTCCTGATACCATGACCTCAGAGGTTGGCTGGGAAAGTGTTCAAACATCCACCAAACAACCACGCATTATAAACATCTGTCCATGCAAACAGTGCATTGAATATTCCTCTCACCATCTGGGAGAATCAGCTCTCTACCAGCACCTTTCTGTGACAGATCTGTGGGTATCAGCATGTCATATGGTGACTCATCCTGATCAGCAGAATCTCCTCAAATACTTTCAGCATTTTTTGCTTTACAACCAGCTCAATCTGAATCTACAGAAACACATCTATATTTTTCAACTTCTATTTTAAAGACAGGTTTTCTATAAACATTTCCGCTTTTTTAACCTCCTTTTCACCTAAATAGTCCGATCAGGGGGAGGTCATAGCACACACTCTAGCGGGGCAGTTTGCTGCACTCATCCTCACTTAACCCTAATACTTAAAGTCAATCTGCAGCAGTATATCCTCAACCCACCACACAGTGGATAAATACACTTAACGGCCCTTGAAACATGCATCTTTTGGAATTGGGTACGTTGTCTGAGTAACAGAAAGAACACAGTGAATACGGCAGAAGTAAACAAAGATTTTAAGCTTTTGCAAGCTGCAACCCTGGAGGCCTGAAAGAAAAACACTCAAATGAAGAAGTGCAAGAACCGTCTGGTTCAAGGATAACAGCTCGAGGTTGTCACCCCTAAAGACTAAATTTAAAAAAGGGTTGTTGCATGTTGGTTTCAAAAGGAAGTATGTGCATGGTGCTTTTTTCAAAATGGCCAACAGGGGGGCCGGTTCTAACAGCAGCAAAAAGAAGGAATCAGCCAGAAAATAACCCAAATACAAACTCCAACTCATGACTACATCTCCATTTACTGAATCAAAATACTACTAAACCACCACACTCTATGAAATACTATCCATCACATGCTTGTTTACATCAGGGTAATGGTACATAATAGCATTATGGAAGTTGCCTCTGATAAGGGCTACAGCACCCGCCAGTGGTGGGTGACCACACAACAACTTAGACACAACATACCATGACCAGTATTTTGAGCCTCCAGTGATTAAATTATATCAATAACTTGTTTATCTGACTTGTGATTATGGTTTAATTGTACTAAAACAAACACACACATCTCTATCTGAGTCGGTGGGAATGCAAATAGGTGATGTGTGCTTATAGACAATGCCTGTTAGTCAAAGTCAAAGTCAAATATAACTTTATAAATATACAAGCAGTAGATAAAATACAAAGCATACATAATCAATAGAGATGCAAAAGTTCATAAATAGATAATTAGGGTAGATAGACAATATATACAATTTATGCTAATGCTAAAAACGCAGAGATATACTCAAAAGTCACAGTAGTGCAATACATCTACGTCCAAGTTATAGAGACGAAATTCTTCCAATGCTTTAATGCTGTTTAAATATAACTTCGAGTGAATATCCCTGCTGATAAATCAGCCTTGGGGTCAGTTGGAGTGCTGTATGAGTGATAACTTGGTGTTTGCTAAACCATAACTCCTCACAAGCTCTTTCCTCTACAGTGGTCCAAATATGGTAACTTCTGGTGTAGGAGAAAGACGCATCTATAACACCTCTTGGACACCTCTAAACAGGACTCTGCAAACCTAAAGGTTACAGCATGGTTGCCACTTGTAATTCCTCTAGTCAGTCAGTGATTTCTGTGTGCTCTTTTGACAGATTTTTGGTGGGTGAATTCAGTTTGCAAAATTTGAATCATAATCTGACGACAGTTGCGGGGTTGTGTGACTCTTGCTGCCTGCGCGGTCAATCAAATATCAAACCACACCCACGCAGACCTGGTGAAGCTCATTATTTGAGCTGTGAAGAATTAGACTGTCTGAGAAACTTATTTCAGCCATTCTTCCAATCTGTAACATCGAATATTGTCTATTTAGACACGACAATTAAATATTCTAGAGAAATATTTGAGGTCAGAATCCCACATTTAGAGTTTAATAGACGTCTGATCAGAATTACTCGTGTCCAGGCTTTAACCATAAGGCAAAATTTGAAGGCACAGAGCTGAGAGTGAAGATGAGGACTTGAGATCCTGTCATCTTGCTGACAGGACTTCTTACTCACACTTTTTCGTTCAAAAGCAAATGAGTGAGATATCGAAACGCTCTGGTGCTGAGAAACTGCTGAAAGAATCTGATATAACTTCATTTCTTGAAAGATTACATCCATCTGCTATTAAGAGTTTCCTGCAGAAAAAAAAGGAGATACTTTATTGAAAAGAAGTAGGAGGAGGAGGTTTCCTGCTAATCAACCTTCAGCGCTTGACCTCTGTTGTTGATGGGCGGCTGTTACTATGGCTACACTAGTGAATCGAAAGGAGCCCACTGCTCCTTTTCTCACCTGATGACGATCACACCGGTGATGACACAAATCGCAGCGGGGGTGTCAAAGAAATCTGTGAGCATGTAACAAATAAAGAAGTGAGTGAGAGATTTTATGTATATACATTTCTTTGTCCTTGTGTCCTACTTATTCATCTTCCTCTCCTTTTCATCCACGCAGGCTTTTGTCTTTTTAATTTTCTGTCCATTTCACCTTGTTGCTCTTAGCAGGCGTTCACACAAATTAAAAAGGACTTGCTGTTTAATACACAAATTGTCACCAGGAGATAATAAAGATATCCTTGAAATCAACAAGTAATGTGTAGACCATTCAGCAGGTATTCAAAAATACTCTAATCTTTCCTCATCGTCTGGTGCTCTGTAGTCATACCATCAATAGAAATAGATAACATTACTCCTCCCCAAAAGAAATAAAAACCAATATCTATGTATTTGAATACATCATAATAAAGGGGATATCAGTAGACTGTGTGGTATGGCATGTTATGGCATAGTATCTTGTAGTATATCATAACGTATCACATTGTATCCTACTGTATTGTATTGTACTGCACTGTATCCTATTTGTTTTACAGTGGCAGGTATAAAGGAGGCGCGGGAACAGTTCTCAAAGAGCTCGTGCCTCTTCCTGCGATTATGAATAAAACATGGTTGTTAGATGCTTCATGGGCAGCTGGACAGACTGAATTCCCAGGCGGACACAAATCAAGGTCATCGGTTTTCTCTCCTAAATACAGCAAAGGCCAAGAGCTTGTTGGATGTCAGAGTTGATAGTGCATATTTTCCTTCAGATGTCAAGCTTTGTTGGTAAAAATGAAAGTGTAAGATGAACAGTTTGATGGTCTGATGGTGCCACACCGCCAACTAACTCAAGTCTTAAAATGAGAGATTTTTTGTCCTAAAAGTCAGGTGACATCCACCTCATCAAACTATTAAACAACTACAGGAACGGATGCTTCTATATATGGTGCAATATCATTGTGTGAACAATTTCAGCTCACATAGTAGGTGACAGACTGGGTGATTAGCATCGAGCTGCGGGTGAAACTGCCTATTTCACATTTTCCAGGGCAAGACTTCTTGACAAGTGATACATTCAACTGTTCAAGACAGGAGGATGGGTTTTATTTTGTTAAACAAAACTCTCTACACAGGGACAACAATGGCAAAGAGATCAATAGCCACTTTATCCATAGGGAGCAGCAAAATGAACACATGTCAAAAGCTCCTCACACAAGCTTTGGATCATGATCGTGTCTGCACATGCAGTCAGAAGTTATAAATATCAGTGTTCAACCCTTAAGATATTCAGCTGATAATTTTCCAGGAAAAAAAGAACATTTAATAGAGGGGGAAATGAGAGAGTTAACACATTTTTATCTGTTTTATAACTAAACGGTGCTGAAATAATACTTGGATATAGAGGGTATTTCACGTTTTAGTTAGTTGCAGTTATTTCTTTAATATTTTAGCAGTGGACTGCATACTGTGGCATAGAAGCTTGAGTTAATAGTTTGAAAGGTAATGATCCACAGCACTCTGAACTCCTTTTTTTGCCAGCAGATTGAAGTTTAAAGACAATTTTAGATTTTATTGCTGTACTTCAGATTGGTGTCAACTTTTACTTCTTTATTTCTTGAGTGAGTGTTAACTAGTGCTCATTTTTGATAGAGAAAGATCCAGCTACAGACAAAAACCACAGCCTTAAGCAGTGATTACACTTACTTATCAGTAAGCTAGCTAAGTGAACTTTCTCCAGTCTGAGTATGCAGTTTCCAAAGATATCATATGCATCATTTGCTCGGTTTGTGTTAATCCTCATACTAAATCTTCTCGCAAAGGAATGTCTCAAATATAAATAGTGGCCTACATATTTTGGATAATGCTGCTGCTACAGCTTTGCCCTCAACACTATCATTAATCACATCTGGATGTTAGATTTGAAAGGCTGGCATATGTTTATGTTCCTGTATCTGCATGACCTGATTTGTTCTTCTTTTATGCCGCGGTGAGTCCCCAGAGGGACGTTAGCACAGGCCGGCACATGATGGAGGAGGTCAGGTATGGAGTGTGTTTAAGGGAGGAGAGAAAAAGAGGAAGAGAGAGAGAAGGGGGCGGGGTTTGGTACAGAGGTGGCTGATGACAAACTATCCCTGTGTCGCTGAGTGGCCTCAGCTCCCTCGGTAGCTTGTTAGCTGGATGTCAAAGTGTATGGTGATTCCCCTCTGAATTATACCACAAAAGGGACTTCTCACAGGAAACCCATTTGAATTTGTTCGACAGTGGCAGGTATAAAGGAGGCGGCGGTAACAGTTCTCAAAGAGCCCGTGCCTGTTCCTGCGATTATGAATAAAACATGGTTGTTAGATGCTTCATGGGCAGCTGGACAGACTGAATTCCCAGGCGGACACAAATCAAGGTCATCGGTTTTCTCTCCTAAATGCAGCAGAGGCCAAGAGCTTGTCGAGATGTCAAAGCCCGTAGTTCACATTTACCTTTGAGTGAGTGTCAAGCTTTGTTGATAAAAATGAAAAAATGTAAGATGAACAGTTTGATGGTCTGATCGTGCCACACTGCCAACTTACTGGGACACCTTTCAAACCCTGTATTCTATGAAAAAAAGGTCTTATATGATCCAGGTGAGCTGACAATCCCTGACGGTGCAGTGTAGCATCCTACCTGTCTGAGGATAAAGCTGGTGGAGGTGGTGCTGCCGTCAGATCTCTTCAGCCTGCTGCGTCTGGAGTAGGTCCCTCTGTTCGCCTAAAGATGACACGAAAAATCCTTTTAAAATGAAATCCTTTTTTTGTCTGTATTCATCACTATATTTGTTGTTTATCCCTGTTTTTCTTCCACACTAACTCAAGGGCACCTTCCCTCCATGAAACCCCATTATAACCAACATCTGAGCCCCAGGGCTTCACGAGACGCTGACTCTCTCCAGCTGCATCTCGTGCTCTACGATGACCTATTTATAAAAAAAAAGTCTCACATTTCCTGCTTGATTGATAGACAAACCGAAATCAATCACAAAGTTCTTTTCGAGAGCAGCACCGACTCACTTTATGTCACTTGTTTTTATGTGTGCAGCGAACTCGTGTCAGAGCTAACTGAGCTAATGAGGTGACACTTCACCTAGTGCACAAGAGGAAGGACAAAACATGATAAATGACTTCTCTGTTTTTCTGACACTTCATGTGCTGTTGTGTCCTTCTGTAACATCGCAGAGCATCTTGGGTAAATCTCAACCTCTAACTTCAAGCACAGAAGAAGAAAAAAAACAGACTATTTGCTTTGACTGCTTTTATACAGCGCTTCAATCATGTTTTTCTATTAAATGGAGAAAAACCACGGATAAAACGAGAAACTAGTTTCCAAGCTTCAAAAAAGATCCTTGAATTTCTTGCTTTGACAGAAAAACATGGAACAACATTTGGTAAAAGCACATTTTTAAGGGGTTTTTAACTGTCAAACAGGGCTCCCTTATCGGCTAATTGAATCTCAGCTCAGAAGCAAAAGAAATGAATGTTAAAACTTTTCACTGTCATGAGGTCAGAATTTATGCCTGAATAAATTAACTTAATTATCACAAGAACCAAAAAAATCATCTTCGGTTTAATAAGATAAGATAAGAAATGTTTTGAGACCCTTTAGGGAAATTTGTTGTCGACTGTCCAGCAGGCACACATAGTGTACAATGGGAATCTTAATTACTCCTTAAAACTCCAAAGAAACATAGCAGCAGTTAGAATGAAACAGTATAACATTAAACCATCTCATAGTGGCAGAATACAGACATATAGACGACCCCTTTTACACACCCTATATACTGTTCTTCAGACTCTAAATGGACCTGGTCTGAGAGACTCTCAAATGCTGAAACTCTGGGTAAAAAATGTGGGTTTGATCAGACTCTATTTTCTCAGCCTGTCTAAGGACACACTGCTCCTGGACTGTTTGCAGGAGTGGGTGCTTTTTAACCCCCATTACTTTCCTAGTTGTCTGTACAAGGTATAAGGATGTGGGTTATATGTGATGTGAGATGAACAGACGATTAACCGTATACCAGGCTGCAATGCCATATTTGATAACCCTTTTTTAAAGCAGAAGTGTAAATTTCTGCTCGACACCATCGAGCTTCAGGCGGAATAATTTTCTGCTGAACAAAAAATCAATAGTGCATTTTTACTTTAGTTCAGATGCCTTTTTGAACTTTAGAAACTTTAAAAACTCTACCATCAGTATTTTTACTCTTTAGTATTACCAGTTTTAACACTGAAATCAGTGTTAATTTCATTACTAAAAATTATGATGACTAATTTTCATCAATGACCCTTTTTTCCATGACCAAAATGAGCCGTTAAAGAGCCAACGTACAACACTAAAAAAAACAAAACTCAGACAAATATGTTTTTTTTCTGTTCATTTTTTAAGGTGGGCTGTCAGACATTTAAATCCATTATATTTTCCCCACTGTGGATTTCATTTGTTGACTAAAATACAAGTAATGTATAATTCTGTTGCAGACTTAGATAAGATGACTGGTGCTCCCTAATCCTCTATGCAATTATGCGCCTTATAAATTTCCTCCAGTTGCACGTCAACTGGAAAAAGTTGCATGTCAGTAATGAAAATCAATAATGACATGCAACCAAAACCAATCTAGTTTATCATAGAAGATGAGCGGTTTATTATTTCATGTAACAGTTTGCAGTAGTGAACAGAGGATGTGATTTTAGTCTGTTAACCAAGATAATTGGTTAAAAATTACTCTTTTGGTGCTGTTCAGGATAACTGCTCTTAGAACACATTTAAACTCACTGTGTAAATTGAGTGTTGTTTTGATCGTCCTCTCATCATTTCAGCCTACTTTAATGATTTTTATCAACACTTCAGAATACTCCCATACAGCCGACATGATTGGGCTTGTTGGAGCACGTAAGCTGTCACTGCATGTGCATAATTGATGCGTCACCTTATCAGCCATACATAGCACTTCTGTCGATACCTGTAATTAACTTTTCAAGCTTTAACGTGCCAATAATATGCCAATATTACCATCCATCTCTAATTTCTACCTGTGAGTGCCCCGAGTAAAAGCATTTGTATGTGCCCTTAATTATACTCTTGCTAAAACACATTGATTTATGCTGCAATTACTCTTTGCAACCATTTTTCTACTGTGGATTATGACTGTAAAATACTACTACTTGCACAGTGTTTTCAAAAGTGCAATATAAATAAAATTTTATTAACTTACCTACACAGAACCTTTGTGTGTAAAGCTATAAACATTACTTAAATGTGTCAGACAGTTTCCTTTAGAGGTTTGTCTTTTATTTACTGTTAGTTTCAGACTCTAGAATGAAGGTAAAATAAAGGAGTTTCCAGAACTTATGAGACATACTTTTAACTGTTTGTTGATATCTGATACACTGAATATGACATTAATTGAGAAAGTCATACCTTTCATACTGTACTCAACAAGCCATCAACAATTTACTTGGCTACTGTGGACAACATTGCAAATTTTACACTGGTCTGATATTTTGCAATAACACATTTTCACAGTAATGCAATGATGCGGTAACAGTTGCTGAAAAAAGTGTTGTAATGCACTTCAGGACATTGGCAGTAGAATAACTGATTCATATAAATCAATATCAACCATGTGCAGTAAATTCTGTTTCAGAGCTAAAAATCTATGTCCTCCCTGGTACAAAAAGTGACTTGGATTACCTCATACATCATGAGTGAAGTTCTGTCAGATAATGCTGAATAATTAAGAGCCAATTTTAATTTCTCTCTGAATAAGTCAGATACTCAGCATACTGCAGGACCTGAGCTCTTGCTTGATTAATGACACCTCAGGGGCTCATTAGCTGTGATGAAAAATGAAGCTCCTGTTTAACTGGGAGCAGCGTGAGGAGTTTGGTGACTGTGGGAATCAGTGACGATTTTTTTTTTTCAACCAGTTTTTTCGTGTTTCTGTAACATAAAAAACTGTGCAGTTTTTCCTATTAATGCAATCATTGTTAGTCCTATTTTGGATGTATATATTTTTCTTAAAACGAGAGTAGAAGGAGGAAAGAGCGCATTTGTGGTTCATTTCCCTACCTGAAACACGGGCTTCTGCATCCCTTCTCCTATCCCGTGTCGAGTGTAGATGTGCCGGGACATCTCAGCCAGTTCATCGGTCCAGGGCGGAGGCTGCCGCTCGGTGCCGCTCCACTGGAACTGTTGCGGGTCCGGAGGAGGACAGTGCACCGCCGACTCCAGCTTAGCTCCGGTTCTGCTCCGACCCAACAGAGAAGGTAGAAATAACGGAGGGACGCGCACGAGCTTCGGTTGTGGGGATGCGTCCTGAACTCTGCGGTTGCTCTGCTGCACAGATAGCTCTTCAGCATCAACGGGAGCTCGGTTATTAACCCTCCCCCTTCAGTCCCATCATCACTTAGGGGCTTCAATGGTGCTGCGTTCAAAGACAACTCAGAAATGCGAACCGAGATGCACATGACAAAGTAGAAAATATAATAGCCACAGACTAAAAAATCATTGCACTGTCTGAAGCACAGATTTGCAGGTCTATTTTCTCAGCTTTATATCCTCTGAAAACGTTGAATATTTACTCTTATTTAACACATTTAGTAGCATTTAATAGAACAGACTTGGTAGAAATGAACTTTAATGTTTATGAGAACTACACACTGCACTCTTCTTAAACTTGCGGAGCCAAATTCAGTAAAAATATCCAAAGATTGAACTTTTAGGCACAGGACACAAATAGACTGATCTATCAGAGTACTGAGTGAATATATACAAATATAATGGCTTGTATCACGTTTAAGTAAACATTGCATTAAAGGTAGCTTACAAATTCTGTGTACAAATACTGAAAAAATAACAAAGTAGAAAAAAAAATCAAAATACTCCAGGATAACTTTAGACAAACAGCTTCTAATCTTAGTAAAACAGTTTAAATCTTGGAAATCAGATTTTACGGGGAGCTTTTGAAGGCTGCATAAATTGTTCCTGTATGACCTGGTATTTGGCTAGTGTTCATGTAAATCCATTCATGTCACCTGACCATTGTATAAAAACACAATAGCCCACACACACACAAAAAAAAAACATGATTGTCTGTCTGCAAATACTGTTGGCTGAAAAAAAAAAATCCAAAGCAAACAGAAAGTATGAGGAAAATCAGATTCACAAATGTATCCCAAGCATGAGTATTATCCACTTATTGAGTATTTTTGTTATAACATACAGGATAATTGAAGTATTTAATGATCATCTGCAACAAATAATCAGTGCTGTTAAACTGGTGTAGTGCAGTATTTTCTACAAAAAAAATTTAACAGATCATTTTGGTCCCAGCAAAGAGAAACTAGGACAAACAACAGCTGATAAAATCTCCCCTGTCATCCTCACCAGATAGCGCCACCAGCTGCGATGTTTACAGAAACTCCCACCGCAGGTCTGCAGAAAGTCTTCACACTGTGCTCATATCCTGGAGAGCCGCCTGTGGTGTCTAGACTCGGAATATTTCATAAAAAGAAAAACAGATTATACTTGCACTTTTCACCTGAATAGCACTGACATTTTCAGGATCCCCAGTGCAACATTTGGAAAGTGAAGATCAGAGGTTATAGAGGAAAAAAGGAGGCCAAGCTTGATGAATAAATCAACCCCCCCAATCTGGGTGATGTTGGGCTCATTTATCACGTGCAGCTGGTGATGTGTTCAGGGAAAAGGGAGAGGTTAATTAGGTGGATGGTTACTGTTTTAATCACTTTCTTAATCGTATAAATGTAATTACTAAAAGGCACCCATAGGGAAACGTAAGCAGGGGACAATCTCAATCAGGTCAATTTTTTTTTATTTCAAAGAATATCATAAGGTTGCTCTGTTACAAAAGCACTTTTAAAATCCCGGATAAAGGAACTGTTCGTGGAGTATTTTAAATATACAGAATTTTACATAACCAGCTGATTCAGAGGTTGTTACTCGCCAGAAGTCGCGTCTGTGTCATTCTTTGCTTTCTACAGAGAAACAAGGCATCCAGTGGTAAATAAATGTTTACAAAGCTAAGGTGCAATGTCACTGACAAAACCAGGTATTTTACATCTAATATACAATGCCCTTTACCGCAGGCGTGAAAGGAAATATAGACATTTATGGCTAAAATTATGACTACAGAGCTACTGGACTGTGGATTTGATTCTTCAAGCTGCTCATTAATGATCATCCCAGAACAGAAAACAAGCCAACAATTAGTTTAAAAGGTGATCACACACTCCACTCTCTAGGAAATATTCTTCAAGACAGCAGCTAACCATTTCTGACATTTGTGTTTCACTTACATTTCACCTGGTCTGTCAAAGTAAAAGCAGGAGCAAAATAAGAAAAATAATTACACAATCTCCAAACATGTAAATTACACATGTATAATGTCTCAATATATATATAAATCAAAGTACAGGCAACGGCACTGACAAGTTTGAAACAAAGTATAGACATGAGAAATCTCAGAATCGTGCATTTGCATAAAGCATTGAGTCTAAACAAGGTCAGATAAACAGAAGTTCCCCACAAATGGAGAAGAGGAGGCAGGAAGGTACTTTGTCAGATTATTGAACACGCACAGATCAAACCAACTAGTTTTCATTTCAATCTAAAATCTGATAACCCTTGCAGAAAATAAACAATGAACCTTCTCTTTGTAAGCCCTCTAACACACACACACATAAACACACACATATGTAGTACATACATACGTAAAAGAAACAAATATATGCCCATACACACAACTTTTATGTCCTCTTAAATATTTCAAATGCAACCACAGAATGCATTACAAGGCAGTGAGTTAATGTTCTTGAATCGTTCGCATAAAGAAAACTGTTAACAGGTCGAAGAGTTGAAAATATAGTTTGTACTTCAGATCACAGAGCAGCTAAAGTGATGGATGCTGGTGAGGAAGAGAGAAAACAAACATGAGGCGTCTTCCTTTTGAATGTCTGTGTGTTTGCTTCTGTCCTGGAGCGAGCGCCTACGCCTATTCCTAGATTCAACAAGTACTGGCTTCGCAGAAACATGAGCTCTCTTACCAATCCTGTGAATTCACTTAGAAACTTAAAAAAACAAGATGGTCATTAAAAGTCAAACTCGTAGGCCATGCTCACAGTAATGCGGATTACGTCTGAAAATGCCATTAAGGAGTTGAATAAAGTTCAATCCACATAACAGAATCTTGTCTGCGCAGGCTGCCAATCACAAGCACTTAGAGCAGCCCAGCTTCTCTTGGCAAAACTGCATTGTTTTCTTTATTCTGGCAGTTTATGAAAAGTTAATATTAGCTTGAAGGATATGTATACCAATCGTGGTTCAGCAGTGTTTCTCACATGTGCACCTCAAAGGAAAGATATGCTTCAGCCAATTTAACCTGCAGAGCTGCTTCTGCGCCCATGTTATTGCCATGATTATGATTATGAGAATATGAGGGCTGCAAAAACTCCCTCAGTGCAAAACAGACTCTGTGGATAGAGCTGCAGCAGTGCAGATACTTTGCTGTTTCACCTCATGGTAGATGTCGTCAGGTAGTTCGAATGGAAAGCCAAAACTGAGGAAAATAGAGGCATTGTTCCACGTTAATTTGCATGACTGTGGACATGGCCTGACTTTCTGCTCTCACTTCAAAGGAGGATATGTTTTTTTGGATTATCTAAAGGGAATAGATGTGTGGGAGTAGCATTGTGTCGAACTGTGGATTGCAAAATGCTAATTTCCTTGGAGTCAGAACATGACTGCTCATTATGTGGTCCTGTCACGGTGGTGGTGCAAACTCATCTCTTCCTCTGTAACGTGTTTGAAGACCGGTGCTGTGTTCACTGTCAGCCAAGAAGGAGAGGAGAGAATTCGCGACAGATCCTGATGCTCAGCCTCACATACAGCTGAGGACATGCACAAAGAGACAGAGTCTTTCCTCAGATTAACAACAGTCCTGTTACACACACACACAGACACACACACACCTCAGTTATTTCAACACTCATGCGGGGTGCTCGATTCAGGCACAAATAAATGGCTTAAGGAAAGTTCCCAAAGCAACGACTCCGTACACACAAACACTCACGCAAAGTGAGCCAAATGAACACACCACAGAAGTATGAAAGGTCTGATGAGTGTGTGATCACTTCAGGTCTGCTGTCAGGGGGGGGGGGGAGTTTTTACAAAAGAGGCTGCTGATAGTACGCTGCCTGCTGCTGCTGCTGAGGAGCCTGGTGAGGAGGAGCGGAGACGGGATAGGACACAGGAGGCATGGTGGAGTTGTGATAGGCTGACATGTCCATGGCTACGCCCGCTTGGGGAGGGTAGGGAGCTCCAGCTGCTTGGTTCATGTACTGAGTGTTCATGCCAGTGCTGGGGAGAAAAATACAGATGTGACACTTAAATAAAATGAGGAAAAGTGAAAACTGATGTTGAAAAATCTGTTTCTCTCATGCAAAGTACATCTTTGAAGACGTTTCTAGATGTCCTGTGTGATAGATATAGTAAACAAGACGATTAAACTCTCTATTAATGTTTGATCTTTTAGTCTCATGATGATAAATTGTATCTTTTACCACAAAAAAAGTAATTTAAAAGAATCTTAAAGCCCCTAGTCTGTAACACTGGCGTCGAGAGCTTGTTTACGCCAGTTTTCTGAGGTGAAGAGGCGTCACATGATCAGACTCTTGAGGTTTCCACTCCTCAGAGTCTGTGCAGCCTCACAGCTTCTGATTAGAGCGGCAGGGCTGTTGTTTTACCTCATGTAGGGAGGCTGAGCGGGCTGAGTGTTGGGTGGGGCTGAGACATTGGGGGGCAGTGACTGCAGAGGTCCAGGCTGGTCACTGGGCAGATTGTAGGGCTGTGCAGGAGGACCCTGGGGCATCCCTGGAGGCATGTAGGGAGCACCTGCCGGGCCAAGGTAGCCCTGAGAAGAGGAGGGAGAGAAGACGTTTGACTTAGACACCAATAAAATCCATCACAAGGATGAAACGTTGTCATTGTGACCTGGTACATCTCAAAAAGGAAGTAAACAGAGTGTGTTTTAACTATCTGTAAAGTGCTCAAAAAACGGTGAAGCATTGCAGGACGGAAAGATGATTTCAATCCCCTTTGGTGGAATTTCTCTTTTTATAAATTTTAAACATTCACCTCAGTTGTCAGCATTAGATTTCAACTGTTGCCTTTGTGTTGTGAAATCATTCTTATACAGGTGTAGCATTATAAAAACAGCTCTTATTCCTGCACACTCGAACCCTACCTTATTTAAATGGAGTATTTTGAGTGTGAAAACGCATTTGACACAAGAAATATCCTGTGGTGAGGTAAGTAAATATCAGAACCTGAATGTCCCGATATTTCCAATGTTGGTGAAAATCAGATTTGTCCCTCTGTGAGTGGAATACATGGGAAAAAAGGACAAAAGCATCCACTTGAGACTGGCCCTAAAATCCCTGGAAATCACATACATACCCATTCGATAAAGCCCATCTTTACAGCAAAAATAAACATGACACACTATTTGTTGGCGAGTCAGCTGATGGCCAGCCTCCACTGTACTTCTTCGCCTCATGTTAGGACCACCAACATGAGAAACCAATGAGAGACTGCACATTGACTACATACAAGTTTTATACAGCCTATGGCAGGAACAGTTTGTCACTTTTCATCTGATGCTGCTAAATCTAGAAACATTTTATTTTTAATTTCTGCAGAAAGTCAATATCATCTGTTTCTGTCCCCCGTTGAGCTTTGCAACACTGTTAAGAGAGAAGTCTATCACTGAATGGCTGGCCTTTAGAAAATGTCTTGTGAGTGGGAGTAGAGTGAGATACAAAACAGCCAGTCCATGATAGATTGAATAAAGTGCAGACTGTTCCAGTTAGTCAGGTAGTGTTGCTGCATTATAATTCACACTTTTTTTTTCAGATACACGCTGGCTGTTAGGAAAGGTTACATAAAATATGACTGGTAGTTTCAGGATCAGCAGTATCAAGCTCTTACTCTTCTAATTTTAAGTGCTTATTTTGGATCTCATCCATGTTGTTGCAGGTGCAAAAATAACCTGGCAGGGTTTAATAGTCCTCTGCAGAACAAAAAAAAAAAAAGTATTATCAGATAAATGGAGCAGCACTCTAGTGTGGGCCTGCCCAGTAAAGTGGACATTTTTCTGCGTCTCAGGGGAGAGACAGTGACATCAATCATTACAGAGAAAACAGCCTCTGCCAAGAAAAGGATGCAGCCTCCGAATCTCCAGGGAGGCAAAAAAGGCTGACTGAATGTCAAGCTTTCTGGACGAGTACAAAAAGAAGCTAAATCAACTGTTTTTTTCTGGCCAAATATGACACACAAGTTAAGGATCTGAGGGATACAATGTGACACCAGCAGCGAGGTGTTGCAACAGTGTGGCTGCTCCTCTACATAAGCTCGCCACGAAATACAAACAGCACCCCGTGTATCCACTGGATCAATGACATCAATAACAGAGCAGTCATGGATTCCCCTAACCATAGGTGGGCACTGAGGTAGTTAACTCACAGTTTGTCGACACACACCACCTCATTAACACGGAAACTCTCCAGTCTTCAGTATTTATGAACAGTGAACTGAAAATACCTTTAAATTATGGATGACTTGGCGCTGCTTTTATTGACTCTGCCAACATCTCATGTCAGAAAAGAGACTATTATACACCAACAAGAGTCCTTAAGGACTGATCTGATGTTTTTCTTTAAATATGAATTAGACAGATTAATTTAAGAGAGAGATTTGTCATTTCACAACACTTTTCTAAATGTTTGTCCATTTAAAAATATCTGTGGATTTGACCCCCCCGAAGGATCTTTAATGTTCAATAATGGAACCAGTTAGCGCTCGTGTAAATCCTGTGGCCTCACCAGCAAGTTTGCCTCTGTGCATGCCAGCGCCCGGGGAGGCAATCTTTTGGCAACATACCACAAAATGGGCAGATATGAAGTGATATAGGTGAAAAGGTTTCAGAACCATGGCTTCAATCATCTGTTCATTATATTGATTCTTTTGTTTTACTTTATTTTGGGCCTTCAGTCAGAGAGAAGGGAGTAGGAAACTAAGAGAAGAGTGGGGAGTGACAAGTCTGAATCAGACACGAGGCCTGCAATTCAACCGCTCTGGTTAGAATTATTGATTTAATTTAGCCTTACATTACAACACCAATCATTGTCTTTTTTCATTGAGAAACCAACCCCTGAACAAAGTATTAATAGATGAGCTCTCCTCAGGGAATCCTGTCCTAAAATGTCTTGCCTTGTGTTCTTTCACCTGGTCGTGCAAAGCTGCTTTGTGATTAATAAACTGATTGGTGGATTGATTTTAGACAGATGTGTCGTTTTTCTCTCCTACATCAACAAAAAGTTAAAGATAGTAAGTAAGGCTAAACACAAGATTAAATCCTTGCTACGAGGCTGTTCTTTTCTGACCTGCATGGCTGCAGCTGAACCGGCTGGGTTGTACTGCGTCTGTATCTTGGAGTAGGCCGAGTAGAAAGCACCCTCGTTCGTGAGTTTGGTGTAAAGCTCCAGAGCCTCCATAACCTTGAGATTGAGCTCAGACAACTCTGAGTGTTTCCTGAAACAAAGAGTCACAAGAGTACTTTTTATTTTTCCAACAGGACCAGAGAAGCTAACTTCATTCTCAAAATAGACCAAATGGATGTACGATCAATCTCACGTGCTTAAACTAAGCCTCTCAGTGATGAGTAATGATAAGTCTGTGTTGAGTCGACATCTCTGATACAGTACCTGTCAATCTCCTGTAGCTTGTCATCAATCATCGGGTTCATCTGTCCACAGGCACCTGTTCAGATTTTTAGAGAGGGAGGAAACAGAAACAGAGTCAGAAGAGAAGAGTGTTGCTGCTTCTGCAGTTATGACTGTCAGAAAGACCAGACTTAAACCAGCATTAAGGTTTTTACCCTCCAGCTGGACCAGCTCTGGGGAGTCAGGGGCAGGATCTGCGGGATCTGCATTCTGCAGCAGTGTCAACGTTCTGTCCATCTTCCCCTGCAGAAAGAAGGAACATTACAGAAGTTGTTAAGTTTGATTAAAAAGTTATTTAGCTTTTGAATGCATATGCAGTGAGGAAGTGTTATACCTCATCGATGAAGACTGGCTCGGGTTCAACTTTAGTTTCCAGGCTTGACTCTTCAGAACTGCTCGTCTTTTCAACATAAGCCACTGCAGAGAAAAAGAACCAATTAGCACTCATAGAATCACCTTTTCCTAGTTTGAGTTGAAGGTTAGATCCCTCAGGTTGGTATCCTTTCTAAAACTAACAAAATGTATCCCTGAAAAACAACAGCAGACTAACCTGGCTCCGGCTCAGCGTTCAGATTGGTGGTGACAAAGTTGGAGGGGAAAAGGCCCACCCCTCTGTGGTTCTCTCCTTTCCACCAGTTTGGATCGCTGTAAATAGAAATCACAAAAGGAGAATAAACATGAACATTTATACACGAGCTTCAGAGAGTGAGCCATACTGAGAGAGCATCTGACTGTATTTCAGAGCAGTCAGAGCCCTCGCAACATCAAAAGGCTGGATTAAATAAAAATGAATCTCTCCTTATGGTGTCTCTATAAGTCAGCTGCAGAATGAGTCATATGGAGTCTTTTTTTAGGAATTAAAGTCTTCAAATGTTTATCTTACTTTATTTAGAGCTTGGATGTAGATGATTCTCCAGTATTTGAACTAAACTTGGACTGTAAATCCGATGTGTTTCTTACAAACAAACAAAAGCTTAAACTTTGTATGAGGCAGCTGAGTGGATTTTTGAGATTTGGTGATCTAAGAGTGAGAATCAGAATAAAGCATATTTTTGGAAAGTTACATCACCATATTGACACAATATTCTTTGTATTCACTATGCACAAGCTTTGATGAACTGCGTCTCTTAATATGCATGAGCAATCACTGGGATAATCTGAACAAGCACAGAGATGTGTGTGTGTGTGTGTGTGTGTAAACCCTGTATCAAAAAATCTGTTTATGATTATTACAACTCTATTAGATTCTGGACGATGAGTTAACTGTTGATGGAAAGAGAATTTGATTTTTGCTAATTAATCAGACACTATATATAATTGAAAATAGTGCAAATACATCTGAAAAATGTTATTGTTACATGGAAAACACCAAGGAGACCACTATAAATGTGGAATATTGTCCCATTCTTGCATGATTTAGGATTTCAATGGGTGGCAAGTCATGATGGCTTGCAGGCCAGTTTAGCACGGACTCTTCTACTATGCTGTTGTTATATGAGCAAAATATGGTTTGTAATCTTCTTGCAGTTTTATCCAAGGTAGACCCAGAAACAGGGCTGTCTAGATGGCAACATGGTGCTCAAAAATCTCTCCATATACATTAATGATGGTTAATTGGACAGTTTTCCACTTTACCTCATTTTTTTCAGGAAACTGTAACATTTTTCAGTTCTAACAAGTGATTTGTTGTGTTTTCAAACCATTAGATTCTGTTTTAATCAACATTTCACACAGCATCTCAACTTTTGTAAAATAGGGGTTGTATGTTTTCAAACTCCATGTAATTGTGTCATGTATGAGATGCTATGACCTCAGTAGATCTAAAATTAGTGTGTGAGCGCCCAGCTTTCAGAATGAATCATGATTTGAAGTGTTAGGAAAGATCACCTGTCATCCAGCACCAGAATAAGTTCTCCAGTTTTGAAGGTCAGTTCATTATCTTCAGCTGCTTCAAAGTCGTACAGCGCTCGCACCTTCCGGGCTTCCTGTCCCCCGCTACCGTTGGTGTAGTTTGGGGGATCGGAGGTCACGGTTAAGGGCCGTGTCTCTGCCTGCTGCTTCTGCTCCTGCAGTGACAGCTCGATGGCTGTGAGGAGTGGAGGTTCGGATCGAAAGAAGAAAAAAAAATATCTCAGAAACACATTTTTAGAGCACATTCAGCTTCCAGAAGACTGCTTGGTTGTATGATTAAAAAAGTAAAAGATACAGTTAATCATCAATTTCACCTATTATTTCTTTTCTAAGGACTAAAAGTAGTAGAGCATATTCTTCAATTAGTGGTTGAACCTGACGCTTAGGTGAAAAATAAAATATTTGTATTGGAAATCATCCTAAAAATAATGGATTAAATGTGAAAACCGTGTAATTGATGGTGTAAGTGTGTGCAGTTGAGTGATGTCATCTCATTTTACCTTTAGCCAGGTTGTCATCATCTGCTGTTTTGCTCGCAGCTGGTGCGCTGACCTTTGTGGTAGACCCCTGTGGTCAATAAAGAGAGGAAAGGTCACACATGTGTGTGTGTGTGTGTGTGTGTGTGTGTGTGTGTGTGTGTGTGTGTGTGTGTGTGTGTGTGTGTGTGTGTGTGTTCAAACAAAAAGGAGTACTTCACATGACACAAGTGAATAAAACAGATTTTCAGAGACTGTCATGCCATCTGCTGTTCATCTTTAGTACTACATGATGAGAACACGGCTGTTGCCATGCTACTATACCCCTCCACACAGTTGTCTCATTAACTTCTGTCTGAGGTGACCAAAGGCAGCTGTTTTCCAGGTTAATCAGGTCAGAGTGGAATAAATGGGTCAAGTGGAGGTTTGTGCAGGGGCCTAACAACACACTAACTCAACTTAACAGACAAATACTCAATATCAGAGCAGTAGGTGAAACAAAGACTGTTATATCAGCTGCTCCAGTCTATTCTCCACTTAAAGGAAACTGACTCATACTTGATACAAAATATTACAGCATCAGATTTGGAGTAAACCACATCACAGACCATCTCTGTGAAGTTTGAACCAGTTTTGTGTTTTACTGTGAGTTAGATGAGCTGTCAGCATCTCCACTCTCTGCTGTACAGAGCTGTGTACTGCGCTCTAATCCTGACATGGTGAAATTATATCCAGGTATACGATGAGCTGGGTCGACTGAGAGGTCCTTATTAGTTTATTCAGAACAGATGTGACACATTTCACAGTTTATATTCTGCTTACTTTCTGGCAAAAAAACAGCCTGCTTGAAAATATAATAAATACTGCATTGTGCATAATGGAACAGCCTGAACAACTGTTGATCATTGAAAAGTTTGAGCTTATACACACTTCTACAGACTCCAGTGCAGTTGGTATAGATCCCACTCTGTGCTTGGCTGAAAGCACCAGTGTTTGTGTTTGTGGTCTTTTTTCGCAATGAGGCTCATTTGTTTAGAAAGGGGCATATTTTGCTCTATATGAACGTATCATGGCTCATTTAAATGTATGCAAATAACGCTGGTGCTCAGAGGCTCCATCTGCTTGACAATCCAGTTTGCACTCGCTTTATGAACCAGGCAAAGTTTAGTGGGTGAACCAGACTCTCACTTTGTACTAAATAATGAACAATAATACTTTTTTAGGCTCTGATACATGCCTGCGTCACATACACAGGTGGCATCTTCTGCCGTAAAAGCAAATAAAGACCCTGGTTTAAATTTGAGGGTTTATGATATTATTTTATCCGCCAGGGTTGATGTTGCTGATTATATCTTTACATGTAAATAATCAAGTAAACTGTCACTAAAAAGTCACTTTATGACAAAAGCAATAAGTCATCAAGAAATCTAAGCATAAACACATCAAGCCAAAACACAGAGGGTAATAAAAATGCCAGCAATATACCGGCAATGAGAAGTGCACATAATACACTTTCACATGCCTTAAGAATGACAAAGGTTTCTGGAATGAGGGAGGACGTGCACGTGAATCAATATCAGATTTCAACAGTAACTGATAATTGTACTTTGGTACTGTTCTAAATCCTTCAAATTCAAAACATATTTGCTCTATTCAAGATTAAAACAACTACTTCTATGATGCTGCAATTTTGTTTCAATAGACTTAAACAAGAGTGATACACGACTGGGACTGGAGCATTTGTTTGTTTAACACAAGCTGGGGGAAAGGTACCTGCATGCTCCCAACAGAGGACATTTAAGTTCAGCATGAATGATAGCCAGCGATAAATACGAGGAAGGCTCGCCACAGCTTGAGTCGCTCGACCTGCTGCTGCTGTTTGCTCGTCAGCTGATAGAGATTAAATGTCATACCTGCTGCCTCATATGCCACCTGCTCTCCATTAGCATAGCTGAATGCGCAGCACATCACTGAAGCTACATGGAGCGCAGCCAGTGGCAGGAAAGTGAAGAGGAGACAGGAAATTAAAGTCGACTTCAAACTTCAGATCATTCCTACGAAAGCCACAGTGATGTTTGTCTATGGATCCAACTTTAAAACCTTTAAAAGTTTTTATCTGAGCTGAAGAACTATCTGATCTGAACTCTTTGCTGTACAGTATGTTGCGTGTTTGCAAACATTTTGATTAAAAAATGTTAGCTATTGACTTTGCTGCTGGGGCTTGAGTGGGAAGTGTGCTTTCTTATTAGTGTATTACTAAACTTTAGACCTGTGTTGCGTTTGTTTTACAGATATGCCTGGTAGGGCTGCACAATGGAAATGTGAGCATCTACACATTGCTAAAAAACTCGGAATTCATGGTATGGTACGTTACTTGAACGATCTTCAGGGCTTCAGTAGAATGAAATGTTCAAAAACTTGCTGATATTTGAGAGTTCAATTATATTAGAGCTTTTAGACTGCTGTCAAAAATCTAGACGCATAGAATGCTAATTTTTACTGTGAGCTGCACACGGCTTTTTGAAATAATATATATATATATATAAATAATATAAACAGAATTTGGGAAGACAGGTGTCGTTGGCACGGAACATAAAATACGATTACACTGAATAATTTTCAAAGTAAAAGTCTCATCTGATCATCTTAAGAGTGACTGCCCTCTTTTACACATAAGACTTTTATTCTGAAGGTGAATCACGGACAGTAATCACGTAAATAAAGAACCTTTCAAAGCCCTTAACTTACTTAATCTGACCTTCACCATTTCGCCTCTTATGCACTCATATGAGGACAATTCTTGATTGTTGATCATACATAAAACCACACCACATTTATATTGGTCAATTCCTAAATATTCATCTTCATATAAAGTTAAGCAAAAGTGGAGTGAAAAACACAGACTGTTCTACGTGTAAAAAGCTAAACCCTGAATCAACACTGTCAGCTACAGAGACAGTCTGACCTCAGATAGTACAGATGTAGGTCAGCCGCTTTATGACACTCTGAGAGCAAAGTCCTCCTCAACTCTTGACACACATAATGCTCTTATATAACCAACAACACAGACGCTACACAAAGAAGAAATGAGAAACAGTCCCATCCAACAATGATTAAAAAAAAACACAGTCTGGACCCTCGCACACATGCATACATAGCCAGAGCATTATGGGAAATATGTGAAGAGGAAATTCCACTGTAAGCTCGAGCCATATAAACACACAGGCAGACAACACCGCCCAGCCTGAACTTTCACAAAGGCTACATCGTGGTCGGCAGGAAAACCAAAGCTGTTAAAACGGCCACAGGCTAGACCAAAAGTATCCACACATGGACTTTTTTTGTTCCTGTGGTTTAAAACTATATCTAAGAGAGAGAAAGGCAGCAAAACAAACTGGAGAGGAACAACACCTATCATCTGTGAAATAAAGTCAAAACATGAAGTTGAAATTATGCTTTTAAATTTGGCTATAATGGCCCTTAAGCAGGGACCAAATTTCCTTTTCTGAAAACAGAAAGTGTCTGGCAAGTATAAACTTTGGAGGAGATTGCTGTCCATAGACATCAGTGTGAAATTGTAGCTTTTTTAAGTGATTTTACACCTTTTTACTCTTTCAGTTGGGGCCTGAAGCCTCGTTTGTTTTTGTTTTTTAAGTGTTTTAAGTTGGTTTCTGGTTTTGGCTTAGTAATGGGGAGGTGTTTGGTGTGAAAGCCTTGCATGGCTGGTCCGATATTTTCCCATCTTTTGTTGTTAATCATTTATTCTTTCTGACTTTGACCTTTCTCTGGTATAGCTAGTGGGTTACATTTTTAACACTCTGTTTGGTATATTTCCACTTTGAAGCCTTACTTTTTGTGAGGAAGGCTGTGATGTTTTGAATGTCCTTGATTGAATATAAAAAGACGAGGAAAACACATCAGTAATGGTTGTAAAGATTGAGTGACAGCAGACCAGTCTTTTGACTCTCACTTTATCGTATCCATGTTCTGTGTTCTGTTATCATACCTGTGAGGATGGGGCAGGGAAGTTGATACCCTCCTCCTTCAGAGACTTTATGGTGGCACCAATCAGGCTGAGCTGTGGATCTTTCTGGAACTCTTCTGCCCACTCCACCATCAGAGCTTTTAGCTTTTCACACACCCTTGAGTGGGCCTTCAAAGAAACATGCGAACAAACATCAGTGACGCCAGTAAGTGGACTCTAATGGCTGCCTGATAACAGGGTCAGTAACACAGTGGAGAGGATGAGTTGACAGGTGTGTGTAAATGTGGTGAGAAATACGAAGTCAGGAGTGAACCAAGAGGTGACAGACATTTTATGGTTATTCAAAGCAAACAAACGGGCAAGTTCACAAACTAAACAAAGAGAAGTTTACATACCCTGCTCAGCACACTCCGCACTTCACTTGAAAACTCCCTTGAGCAGATTTCTAGGTGGAATATCTTCCCGCAGTTTGACACACAAGCACCCAGCAGCTGTAAGAGAAGATGTGGGGAAGGTAAAATTGACTTTAAAAAGCAGGAGGTTAAAAAACAGATGGTTAAACTTTTGGAGACACAGTTATAAAGAAAATGAGCTTCTATTAATTTTCTGTATGCTTCCGCTGAGATCTAAATATAGAGCAGGCCATGTGACAGTATTTGTTCAGGATGACTCAGACTGAGACAGAATCAGCTCTCACATTACACAACCGAGTTAAATCCTCCTGGTGAGAGGTCTTTCATTTGACTTTATGGCTCCGACAATGGGAGTATTAGGTGGTTTACAGTGCAACTGCAACCGTCAGTGAATTAGATCACATTTGTTTCTCACGCCTATGTTGGTCATAAGTGTTTACCACACCTCAAATGTAGTCAGTTAGCTTTCTTTTCTTTTTCCCATCTTTGAATTAGCCTCTTACACAGCAGACAGTGTCAGAGTTGTCACTTCCTTCGGCATGCTGAATATGGCAATGTTGTATGGCTTGTGTAATGTAAAGCAGATCTGCTCATGAATATGATGGGCAGAGGTAGCTGGCATAGAGGAGGGTGGTTCAAGGACACAAGAGCTAACTGTTACAACTCTCTGGGGTGTCGTTGGCCTCATTTAACAAAACCTAAATGAGAGAAAGAGCAGCCTTAATAATCCCAGACATATGCAGGTTCTTGCTGCCCATATGTCCAATCTATTTCAGGCTGTAGGGGACATGAGTAGTCATGTGATTGGAGATGAAACTTGTAAGGAGAGGGCGTGATAGGATGGTTATTTAAGTTTAAACAACCTAATATCATTTTGGCCCCTCTTGGCATCTCTCCCCTTTATGTCAACTGATTTTGATGTCAAATTGGAGGGACAGAAAACAAACATTGTCTTTGCTGATGCAGGCTCTAACACTGGTATGAGTGTGTTATACTGTAGGTGAAGTATCAGACTCACATTGAGGGCCTGCATGGCAACATGAGGCACTTTGTGGTTCACTCTCTTCATAATTGATCTCAAGCCATCCTTTGGTCTGAAACAAAAGTGAACAGATCATTTCTTGCACAATGAATCATTCAAGAAAAAACACTTTACAACAGAGGTGCTGACTATTTTAACCTTGAAGTCTCATACCAATGTACTTCACACTTATGAGCATCCATTTCCAGTGAAATGTGATTTTTTTTTAGCTTACCCGTTGGGTGTCGTTCCAATCTTATCACAGATATCCATAATGAGTCCCCAGTCATCTGTTGTATTGTTTTCATTGGTTGCTTTTTCTGGAAATATAACAAACGGGGATACAGGGAGTGCATCAGGCCCAGTGAGAATTACCTTCATTGGCATCACAGCTGCTCTTCTCAAACATGGTGTGATTGCTTCCATATTTAATATGTTTGATTCAGTATTTTTCACTTGTGATCACATTAGTTGGAGACAGCCTGAACAATAGCCACGCTCAATCAAGACACGAGAGCTGCTGTTTAACAAAGCAAGTCTACACCTCTTCTTTAAAAGTGCGAGCTTTGTTGAGTCATAAAATGTAGTGTGTATTAATCTTTTACAGAAGAGTGAAAATGTTCTTTGTCAGGGGTTTTGACCCACTGTTGCATTGTGATGTGAGCGGCACATTTTCATATAATTACACATTTTCTACAAATACCAAAACCAGTCATGACCATCATCCTGACTATTTTCAGTTTCAGCTCAACACTGCACTATTGTCTGCTTCCCTGTGTTGCGGGGAAAGATAAGTACACTGACCTGGAAATTTGCAGGAATTTTGAATAATTCAACTATGGGGGAATTTTTTAACACAAATTAAGAAGCTTGGCTGTTATGAATAAACATCTAAAAGCAGCCAAAATCCTTAATTAGTCCTGAAGAATGAACTTGACCCTGTGAATTTGCTTGTTTTTCATTTATCTGCTGATACATTTCCCAATTAAATTTTGAAGTGGCATTTAAATCGGCAATTATTATTTGAGCAGCAGTTTAAAACCTTAGAATATTCATTGAGTTTTAAAAGAACTGGAAGAAGAACAAAAAAACGTTGTTTAGGTGGAATGAACAACATCAAAAGTCCTCTTTTTCACAGTTTATGGAACACTCCTTAATTTCCCATTTTATAGAATATAGTTATTACAATGTTTTCAGAGTTTAACATCAATTAAACAGAGTCGTTTCACACCAAAATCCCTGTTATTGTCAGACTCTAAATGCTTGAATATAGGTGTGGGACTTCAGAGACTAAACTTTTAGCTTTCTTAAAGTCAGAAGAGCTTTTGCACTCTGTTGGAAGAGAAAGGATGTTCCATCTTTCAGGAACTTTCAGGCTGTAATGATCTATCATGACAAACCTTCGTTGCTTGAGGCATGTGAACAGACTTTTTTCATCTGGAAGTCAAATATAAACATCAACATCGCAGAAGCCGAGAATGCAGGCTTTACCTGAGAGGAACTTGTCTGAATGTAGAGTGACATTCAGTTTTGTCTCTGCTTATTTTGACACATAAGCCTTATATGTGTGTAGCTTTGGGTATGAATGAATGATGTGTGATTTTGGTTTCAAAATGGAGCATTTTAATTTGACACTGATCAGCCTTTGTATTCTGACCACCTGTCTAATATTGTGCCATCTCTTATCTTATCAGGTCAGGGCCAAAACAGCCCAGACATGCCATGGCACTAACTCCACTAGATTTCTGAAGGTGTGCCCTGTATAAGGGAGCAAGACGTTTGCAGTAGATCCTTGAAGTCCAGGGTCCCAGTTGTGAGGATCAAACTTGGTTGTCCAGCACCTCCCACAGATGCTTGTTTGATCTGGTGAATTTGGAGACCAAGTCAACCCTTTCCTTGGTCAAGTTCTGGTGTTCACATGCTGTAGGGTGCTTTAAAAGTGGTCAGAATGGGCACCCTGAGTATTCTGCTGTTTTGCAGTCACATACAAAACATACTGTGACGTGCAATGAATTCTGACACCTTTAACCCAAACCAGCATCAACCTTTTCAGTAGCTTCACCTACAATAGCTCTTCAACTGGATTGGACCATATGAGCCAGCCTTCAATCTCTATACTCATCAGTGGGCCGTGACCATGGGTCACACACATGTTTTTTGCAATATTTACAATATCAAAGATTTCAACAAAAGACATTCTTTAAAAACAGAAACTGTCAGCATCATATCCACGAAATTCTTGAGGGTTTTTTGTTGTGATGTGGCACAGGTACTACCAAAGGTACCACAGGTAGAAAAGGCTTGAGTTTTACTTATGAGACATTGTTGTGATCGGATTTTAAAACAGGCCCAGACAAACATGAAGTGGTGCCCTCTTTAGTAAATCAATTTTATCAGCAATCAGTAAAATAAAACACCAGTTCAATTGATCAGTCTAAAGGCAGGTGCCATTATAACAAGAAACTCAGGTTGGTCATGGTTGATCAGTGTGTACTTGTGATTATATGTGTAATATATGTTTTTTTTTATGTGAATCTTAAAATAGTTATTCCTTTTATAAATTATAACCACCATTTAAAACGGTTAAACCGAGCAGCTGTAACCATGGTGACCTGATTTAGAATCATGTGATCCCGTAACTGACGGTCACGGTTTGGATGAATCAGATAAAAGTTAGTTTATCCAACAGTCGCTTTTCAAATAAACCAAAATATTAACTGAAGTGAAGTTGAAAAAAACCGTATAACATGTTAGAGACGCTCTTCAAAAGTGACAGAAACTTAAATATGTTGTTCTCCAAACTGGCAACAGAGACTTAACTGTAGAAGTCATGCTAAGCTAACGTTAGCTTCAACGTTAGCTCGTTGACACACTAAAAACACCAATAAAAAACAATTTCACTCACCGACATCTTGGTCAAACGGATTTTGGGCAAACAAAGGCATGCTATCGGGTTTTAAAAAAGAGCCAGATACTTTGAAGAAACAAAAGAATGAATGTTTTCGTGACTAAACCTAAACAAATATCTCTTCCTTGTCCATTAAACTCGCACCAGTTGCTCTTCCGGAAACTTAGCTGCCCTCAATGATGCCTGAGCACAATTTTGTTTGTGCGCCGCAATGCAGTGGCCAAAACGGGATTTTTAATGGTTAGGGGATTTTAATAAATCTCCTTTTTATAACTGAAAGTGCAACAAGTTGAAACAAATTGCAAAATCATTCCACATACATCATATTTGTGTACTTAAATCTATTGGAGAAATAAAAGAAAAAACTACGGATGAGATCATCCCTTTAATTGTTAAAGGGCAAATTGGTGCAGCAACAATGATGCATTTAACTAACTTCAAATCAAATTCTTTTTATAACTTGTGTCAACATGTTATTTGTTTTATTTTTATTTTTTAAGAAGTAGGTTCTGAGGTCTAACTCCAGAAGGTGCCTCCCTGTGAAAAACTAGAAAGTCATGAGTCCTAACACTGGAGAACGGTAACCATTTAAATCCCTATAATCTTCCATAAAACAGATAATCTTTTACAAGTGTAACATTCACATTAAAGTGACATTCGGCACAAATGTCTGGCAATTAGTAAATCCCTGGTCAAAATCCCTCATGCTGCCAATTAGTGTGGTGCTAGAATGCCCTCTATCATACCACTGGAGTCTGGATCATAAATAGTGTGTTGGAAATGAGATAAAGCTGAAAGAGTGAGCCACAAAAAGCAGTGTCTTAGTTCTTAAATTAGCACTGATAATTCACAGCAAGCATGTGCAGGCTTCAAACCCCTGTGGGGCCCAGAAATAGATTAGGAAAGGGCAATCAATGCATGGCAGGCATGTGGTGAGTTGGTTATTAACCCTGTCTTTGAGTGTAATAATAATAATAATAATAATAATAATAATAATAATAATAATAATAATAATAATAATAACAACTAATCAAGGAGAGGAAAAATAAGTTTACTTATTTAACACCTTTTATAATACAACTAGATATTTAGAGTGACAAAAATCTTAAGATTTTTATGACAGAGGAATATAAACAAAACTGATGCCTGAGGTCCTATGCTGTGGCTTTTGGTAACACTATAGTCATGATGATTGCTTTACTATTTTGTGTTGTATATAGTGTACATATTTGTACATATCTCTTCATTTTTACTTATTTTATCAACTAGGTATCTCCTCTTTCTACCTTATTTGCAATGGAGTTACTGTTACGAATAGCAATTTCCCCCTTGGGATTGTTAAAGTATTTCTGATTCTGATTCTGATTATACAGTCTATAGGTAAAACCACCGAGCCAAATCTTGAACGAAATCTATCCAACAAACGAATATTTAAGATTAAGGTTTAACTTTGAAGCATATAATTGTGTGTTTTGATGTGGATGTTGAAAAACTGAACCATGTTTTTTTTCACTGTGGTGCGGTACATCACTTCTGGAGTAACAAGGGTAGCTGGTTGCACCAAAAAACATTGACTTCCCTTTGTCAGCAGAAACTATTTTGTTTGGTATTTTAATGAGGATAGGAACTTGGATTTTTTTTTCTAAATGCGTCTTGCTTTTGGGGAAGTTCTTCATTCACAAGTGTCTATATTTTAAAACAAGACCATGCCTACCGCACTAAAAAAAGGAGCTGATACTTTTTTGTAAATCCTTAAAACTTGTTACAGACAACAAAGCCCTACATCTATTTTTGAATTGATATAGAATAGCCTCTAACGTTGATTTTTAAATGTTATTCATGCTCAATCTAAGGCAAATATTCTGTAATTTTCTTTTATGATAAATAAGTGCCTTGTTTGTTTGTTTATAATTCAATTTTAAAAATAAAAAACACCGAGTCAGACAGTAGAGGGCGCTGTCAGTGAGCGTCCCAATTAAAAGTGTTGACAAAGAGTGTAATCTCAGATCAAGAGAATTTACTTTCTATGAATATAATCTAAATCTACGAAATTATTTTAACGTATGAACCGTATTAACACATCGTTATATGCTAAAAAGAAATACTTTAAGCTGGTAAATCAAGTCAATCACCACATTAAAGTTGCCCTGATTTTAATGGTGAAATTTTAGTGGGACAAAACCGGAAAAAGGAGGGAGATAATCCTCTCGGTTTCGTCGATACTTCCGGGTCTGGCCCCTGATCGTTTCCTGACTCGGTGAACCTGCTGTCAGCCACCGTCGTTCAGACGAGGACCAAAGACCGTTGAGGGTTGCAGTCATGTCGGCAGCTGCTCCGGGGACCAGCAAGGCGGCCCACAGCGATGCGGGCCAGAAGAAGAAGAAGGGACCCGGTGCCCTGGCCACGGCCTATCTGGTCATCTATAACGTTGTTATGACAGCGGGGTATGTAGCGTGTTTCCTCGTGCTAATGCTGCTCTGCCGGAGCGCGTGTCTGTTGAGTGCGCTTTGTGAGGACAGAATAACTGGAGCAAGATTTCCTAATTACGGTTTTATTTTTAGACCATTAACCTATAATTTGCATGAAGATGTTAGTGGAGATAGTGTTAGCGTGATGAAAAGTTGCATAAGTTTGATTCGGCGTCCATCAGTCTGCACAGATTAACGTCAGATGAGCAGACCTGCACCCAACATGAACTGTGCTGACGGGTCACCACCACCGCAGACACTACACAGAATTAATAAGACAGATGGTTGACTGTCTGTCTGCAGCTCATGTACCTCCACACTGGAAGAGGGTGTCTTTTCTTAATCCATTCTTAGTCTATATTGACTAAATTGTCCCTATAGAACAAGTAGCATAGCAATGCATAATCAATTACTCTGGTTAAATGTTACATGTAAATTGCATTACCTATTGGTATCTTTCCTAAAAAGTATTATAAACAGAGTCCCAGAAGTACTCTTTAATAAACCAACATTTTTTGCTGAGGGACTTCAGTGTAGTACTAGGCAGGCATCAGAGGGTAGGCTCCAGCTACCTCTGTGCAGAACAGAGGTGATAAAGAGGACTGTCCACTCCAGAGCAATGATGGCATGGGATTTATTATCTAACTTTTTAATGTCAGACATTAACAGAAGTTGCTTTAACAAACATTTAAAGGTGTATTTGTTTACATATGGAGTATGAAATTGAGTTCATCTCTTCTCTCTGATGGATTAAGTTTTCTTGTTATCCCTAAAATAAGTTCTGTTTTTCTTTTTTGTGCTTTCACTTTACTTTCTTCGTCTTATTTATGTTTTGGTTTATTCCAATACATGTTTGGTAGTGTAATGAGTAGCCTATTTTCTGTCTATCTTTAACTAATCGTACAGTTAGGGCTGGGGGATACAGGAAAAAGTTTATCACAATATATTTTTTTCATATCAGTCCATACCAATATATATCACGATATAAAAAAAAAAAATAACAGTGCTTATTGGTAGCATGTCTTTTGCAAAACAATAAGCTACTGCATCTGTAAGGTCTTTTGTCGTAAGACGTTGCGCTAGAGAAAGCGGACTGAATGGTTGGCTGTTGTCGGGGTTACAGTGCTATGGTTGCGTGTAGCTGCAGCCTGCTACTACGCAGTTTTTTGCTACTTGGTTCTTATTCAGCACATGATTGGTTCAGCATGAAGCAGACCCGCTATTTTAGTCTATTGGCTATTTTAGTCTACCAAAACACTGCAGAATGCCGACAATTGAAAAGCATATTGACCATGTTTTATATTGATATTGAGGGAAAATAATTTTTGATATAAATCTTATCCTTTTATCGCCCAGCCCTACGTACAGTCCAAGTACAATGCTTTCAATACTCTTCAGCTGAGCGCAGATGTTTTGAAACTGTGTATTTCACTCAAATAATACAAGGTATCATATGCTCATCTCCAGTTGTTTTTATTTTGATGTTTTCTTGCCTGGAACTGCTGCAGATAAATTAAGTGTCTCTGCAAAAATAGGCTTCATACACTTAAGCAAACATTCTCAATGAGAGGAGGAACACATGCACAGCAGGATGAAATTTTGTATTAGAAAACACAACATACACATGCACAGGCCTAATCAGGGAGGTGATAAGAGGCACCAGATTGTCTTCTGGGAATGACAAAATTAATGTGAATCAAAAGTTTCTCGCACAGAATTACATCTTGTATCTTAAATTGAAACATACATGTTAAGCATTATTGTAAAATAGTGATCATGACAGTGTTGAAGTTAAGATTTATGAAATGGATAAATATGTAGATAGCATGCAGAAAGCAAGAGTCGTAGTTCCCAACATGCTTTTACAGAGCCTCTGCATTACTCATGATTGCATGCTCCCTCTGATCTTTATTCTACAGTATGAGTGACTGCATTGTGTTCAGTAACTAACTGTAAATTATTTGCATTCTGTTGGATTTTGTATCAGTCTTGATGAAACAGTAGACGTGTTATCTCTTTTGACTTGCCCAGAGAGTGAGAAATCTGAGTGTGTTGTATCGCACTGGTTTTTAGACTGTTGCGCAATTGAATGGTTGGTGTTGTTTGCTCTCTGTTCCAACCAGTTGGGTCACATTGTGTGTGTGTGTCTCAGTCGTCATTGGACAGTGCTTGCTTTGTATTGAGCACACGTCAGGGTGTCGTTCATCCAGTTTGCTAGTTCAAATGCAGCTTCTGCCATCAGGGCGGCTAAGTGGGCAGTTTCTGCTCGACAGGCCTTGATATTGACATTCATGACCCAGATTGAGATTGATTTAAGTAGTAGGTGCAAGTAACACACCTCATTCTGTAAAGGCAAGTGAAATGAAACATGTGCTTTTACTGGCAGCTAAGTGATAAAAAGCATTAGAATTCACTGTCAAAGGGAGCTTGTTTCAGTATCAACTTCATTCATAGTTTCAATTAATTTCGCTTGAGTGAAGTAATGTTTTTTGTACTCAAATGTAACCAGTTGATCCATGATTTGCAATAGCAAGTCAGTCCATACAGTTTATTTTTGTAGCCCTACACAGACATAAATCACAACACTTTGTGTAAACATAAGTGAAAAGTTAAAGCACAAGCAATAAGGTCACTTAGCTACATGATAAAAAGGGCTAAGTTTTGTAAGCGTTTATCATAAATGTCAAATACTTGGTTTATATAATGTGAAAATGTGTGTCTGTGAAAATAGAGACTGTTATTACTAACTCTAATTTATGATTTGACATAAGATCTTCCAGTAGATCATATTTTCAAGTGTTTTTTTTTATGTCTTTCAGGTGGCTGGTGATAGCTGTGGGTCTGGTCAGAGCTTACCTGGCCAGAGGAAGCTACCATGGGCTGTACTACTCCATAGAGAAGCCCCTGAAGTTCTTTCAGACTGGAGCAGTGCTGGAGGTGAGATCAGGACAAAAAAATTAAAACTGCCACACTGCATTACTGAATGTAAATACAGACTGTATATGCAGTATATATAACACTGGCAGGGATGTCAGGGTTGGCACGAAATGGCTAAATACTTAAGAGTTGTGACTTTAATTGCCGGTGCCACAATGTCTCTACTACGGGACTTCTCGCAGTGGCTCAATAACATTAAACCTGCACTTGATCTTTTTGGATGTTTTGCAGCAAGAGGCAAGTCTGGCATCTTGAATAACTTCCTATTATCTCTTCCTTCCACAGATACTACACTGTGCTGTAGGTGAGTTTTCTTCAGTTTCTACACTCAAGGGTTCAAGGGTCATTTAGATATCACTTTTCACACTTTAATATTTTTTAAGAAACAGATGTGGGAATTTAAGTTTAAGTCAAACCTGTCAACAGTGATAAAAACAAGCACATGTAGGAGATCCTGTCTATTGATGTCACCAGCAGGGTCCCCATTATGTAAGTTTATGATGCTTATAGCTCTGAGGGTCAAGAGCACAAAATGACTGAACTGCGTGCATGCAGAAAAAAAAAAAAAAAACGTTTCCACTGCGGCTGATGGCGCTCCCAGTCACCATAATTAAATCATCAAAAGAGCAATTTGGTGTTCAGGGTCTTTCTTAAAGAGCACCGATGCTGTTCTAGATACTTTGTATGAAACAGCGCCTCGCTGAGACACTGAGGCTTTTAGTTATTTCCACTCATCAGTATGTAAAGTGTGTGTTTGTGATTCAAATCAACCTCATCATGCACAATCAAACTGTTTATTTAGAAATATGATTGAAGTGGATTTGATTTCAACCTAGACAAAATCCTAGATCTCCAGTTGTGATGTGACGAGCTTAAAGTATCAGAAACATCACTGTGTCTGCTTCCAAAGACTCAACAGGTGGTTTCTGTAGATTTCTATGTAATACTACAGACATCCACAGGCTTCTTCTGTGAACTGTTCATGAAAGATAGACAGAAATTCGCAGCTCTGATGGTTTCAAATTGCAAGAAGACAGCAGCGCTCGTCCCTGCAGCTGAGACACAGGTCATAATCTTTTCCTTTCATTATCTGGGATTGATGGGGGATAATCTGGAACCCCTTGCAGCTGCCATCCACTCGGAGAACACACATAAACACACACTTTATATTGCTCTCTGCTGGTCAGTTGAAGGTACTACATCAGCTATTTTTTTTTTTATATGGACAAAACTGGATGTTTTGGATGTTTCCCTGCTCCAACACACCTGATTCAAATGATTAGCTCGTTATCAAGCTCTGTAATGGCTTAATAACAAGCTGATAATTTGAATCAGGTGTGTTGAAGCAGGGAAACATTCAAAACATGCAGGACAGGGGGGGCTCGAGGACTGGACTTGAGAACCACTGCCCTAAAATGAATGACCAAATTAAGTCAGCATATAGCATGTTTTCCTGCTCTATAGCTATGACTGTACAATCTCTTCACCCACGGTCTTGGTTGCTCATATGAAGCATCAGTATTCCAGTTTCAGACATCCATGTCTGCAGCTATCATCAGTATTCTTGCATCCTTGTTTAAAAAATATCGTCTTTTGTCTCATGTCCTTCAGGAATCGTACCCTCCTCTGTGGTCCTGACCGGATTCCAGGTCATGTCTAGAGTATTTCTCACCTGGGCCGTCACACACAGTGTCAGAGAGGTAACAACTCATTTAAACTTTTTACATCACATAAAAAAACATCAGTCTCACATTCGGTAATCTTTATAACAGACTTCTATACATTACTCAGTTAAGTATCTTGAATAATAATGTGTTTTATGTCCTACAATGACCAGTTCATGTGATGTTTGCTCTGTTAATAGACGGGAGAGCAGTCAATGTGTAAGTAGCATCAGATGGTCTTGCTGTAGGGTTGCAGGATTGCATTTGTGAATAACTCAAAATGCTTCTGAATACTTTGCCTTCTTTCTGTGTCGTTTGTGTAATAATATACTGACATTTTTTTCTCTATGTGACCTTTGTTGATGATGTACATTAGTATGGCTGTGTGATAAGAAGTGTGCTTTTCTCGTGACATGATATTTGCATCTGTTTAAACCTAACATTTAGATGCCAGGGACCGTCTGCCTGCAGTGTGATCTCATCGCTGAGCATCTGAAACAAACAGCATGTTTCTGGGATGAAAAGTGTAGAGTAGTCTACAGCAGCTTGTTGAGAAGCCGCCTGTTTCTGTCTCACCATCCTTATTGTGTTTGGGTGTTTCTGCAGGTACAGAGTGAGGATAGCGTGCTGCTGTTTGTCACAGCGTGGACCATCACAGAGATCATCCGCTACTCATTCTACACCTTCAGTCTGCTCAACCACCTGCCGTACCTCATCAAATGGGCGAGGTAAGAACATTTGACCTCGGTGTTGTGTCGAAGCAGGAGATTTCTGTACGTTTGTGGACCAGATCTCAATGCTGATTGAATGCTTAACGAACATATGAATCAAAAGCAAAGTTAAAATGGCCAGCGTGACACGCACCTATATCTGTATATTGTTTTTATGTTTTTAAACAGCTGCCTTTACATTGATTCTTTTGCTGACATGTCAACTTATGTGCACTGTCCTAATCAAATAAATAAAATAATAATAATCTCCATCTTTGAGTCTTCCTAATGGGATTCATCTACATCTTCAACTGAAGCAGCTGTTGTAAAGTGCCCCCCCCCTCCCCGCGGCCTTTGTTGCTAGGTAGCAAATGAGCCCCTTGCTATATCTACGTTCGACTTTCATGTCAGTTGCTAAGAGGCGGATAAATCGGTTGTGTATCTGTGGAAAATTCAGTGAAGGATCAGAGAAGATTGAAGGCTGGCTTTAAGTGCTGGAACAGGAAGAGGGCGGACATGCTGCTATTCTCTTTGATGTTCATTCTCTCTGTAGAAGAACAGAGCTTCACTAATTGTCTCCTATGAACTAGCAAGCTGTTTTATCAAAGGGCTAAAGCTCTGACAACTCTGACATAAAGAATTTAAATGCACAGAGAGGCAGTTAAGTTTTATTGAGGAACCTGGATATGACTCTATATTTATGTCAGATTCTAACATCCATCCTGGTTTATACCTATTATCAGACATCTGTGAAACTTTGGTATCATTTTTTAAGCCTACAAATTATCCTCTTGTACAAATGAGCTTTTATGAGGTACAAATGAGCTTTTATGAGGTAATAATCATGTTTTTGTACCACTTATCCTGATAACTGACAACTGTAAAATAACAATTTGACACATGTAAGCTAAAACTGTACCAGGTATAAACACAGTTTAAAAATGCCTGTAAGTTCTTACCTAACTTTTCTGAAACATGCCGCTGGCACCAAATTTAAACTGAGCTTCATAATCATCAAGATTATTGTTTTTCTTCATCCACATTCTCTTTGCAGTGTATTATATTTGTAAAGTAGACAGCAGAAGTGTTTCGTCACTGCTTTACATGCATATATTACACTGGTAATTTTGGTGTAAACAGTAAAAAGGCAAATCATGCATACATCCTGCAGCACTTCTGTTGTTTAGATCAGTTACAGCTTCCCCCCCGTGTTTCAGAAACAGTTAAAAGTGAAGCTTTGTTCAGTTTTTTATTTACTTTTCCTCTTTTCTCTTTTACAAACTCCTCTCCTACAGGTACACCTTCTTCATCGTGCTGTATCCCATGGGAGTAACCGGGGAACTGCTGACCATCTATGCAGCGCTGCCGTACGTGCAGAAGACAGGCCTGTACTCTGTTACTCTGCCCAACAAGTACAACTTCTCCTTCGACTACTACACCTTCCTCATCCTCACAATGATCTCCTACATTCCCTGTAAGTCATCACAAAGATTTAACTCTATTGTAGGGACAATAAATAGACAGTAACAATATGCTATTTCAGGGCAGTGAGACAGGTGAATAAATTATAGGTTAAAAAAAGAAAAAAAGTTAGTTGTTGTAATACCATTTTTTGACCACAGGAGGCTCAAGTGCACCAACTTTTTACCAGTTGTGTCAGCAAGTCCTTGTTTGAATCTACTCTTCAAACCTTTTGCCAAAGTAAATAAGACTAAAAATATGGTAGCCTGCATCAAAAATAGAAAAATATATTTATTGACTTTAAAGTTAAAGGTGCATTTGTAATGAATACACCTTTACTGTCCCAAAGTCCAGTTAAACACAATCACCTGCTGTAACCTCATTGCGTAAGCTGATTTAACATCTCTCTGAAAATATCAGAAAATATTAACAAATTGAAATGTACAGTAATCTAATGGCTGATCAAGCGTTCATAATAACAATAGTATATAAAATTTAACTTGATAGAGCTGTCAGTCAGCGTGAGAAAAGTAAAACTGTCTGATCCCTCTCTGCCTCCTCCTCAGTGTTCCCCCAGCTTTACTTCCACATGATACGGCAGAGGAAGAAGGTGCTGGGCCACGTAGAGGACTACAGCAAAGTGGAGTGATCAGAACAGCCTTCAGACGGATCAAGGGAAAAGAAAACCAAAACAACCAACAGAAGAGGAACAAATTCATGTCTGCTTTAATTCCAGCCAGTTTTTAAACTGCCCGAACTGAACCTGGCAGAAGATCCAATTATCAAGCAACGTTTTTTTTTTGTTTTTTTTTTTCCAGCTGTTGTCCGGCTTATTTAGGTGCTCACAAACCATTAAGGAACTGTTGTTATTTTGTTATTGTTGTTGTTTTGTTTTCTTTTTATTTATAAAGAAACTTCAGGTTTCTTAGTTTAGTCGAAGAGCTTAAACCTGTAAAGAAACTTGAGCTGCTGTCTAAGCAGAACTGAAAGATGCACTGATAGAGTCGATAACCTCTGTTTCAGATGAGATGATAAAAACAATCCCTTCACCTACCCATAGCTTTTTTGGTCATTTTTAAACAGCAGCTTTAGTTTGTATAACGTAGAAAGAAAAATGTGAACACTAGTTCTGAAGCTAAGTTGTCTGTTTTATTTGTGCATACTGTTGTCCAGATTCATAGTTTTGTTGTGTCACACAGAACAGTCCAGTTTGATAACATTCCCACTTTAGTTCAATAAACATTTTTCATTTTCCGCTTGCATGGTTTTTTATGTTCTCTTTTTTGTGTTTGGTGTGTTTGTGAATGGTTCAGTTGCATTTTTATCAGCTTTAATTAAGTTGATTCCCTCAGTTTACCAATGATGGCTGTGAGCTTGTGTCCATTGAGCTCCTCATTTTTTTTATGTTTTGGTGGTTTTTAAATTGTGCGTCTTTTCATATCATGTCATTATTTTGTGAAGGACTTTCAGTGATTAAATGTGATAGCCTGGTGTTGTCAGATCTGGCCTAGAAACACTCAGGTTTTCTGGGAATCGTACAAATGTGTCTCTGCAAGAGACGATTACACAGATTGAGGCAAAAAATGAATGCTTCTTTGGGCTTGTTTTAATGACCAAAAAAAAACAGCATCCAGCTTGTTTAAAACAGACAAAATAGCAGATTTAAAGGACCTTATGGCGGCATTGCCACCATGTTGGTTGTTTATCAATAAGCTGAAGCGGCACTCCTGTGTGGGTTCAATATAGCAACAGCAGGATCCACCTCCTAGCTAAAATTAATATGACCTGGTTGATTAATCTGGCAACGCTAGGCTATAAAGTTAACTTTTTCTAGCTGTCTCAACCATAGACTATATATACATATATGTATATATATATTTATATTTATATACAGTCTATTGTCTCATCTACAAGATGCACAACATATTTCATGCCTAACAAGCTCCTATTTGACTCTCTAATGCGAATACATCAAAAAGGGCAATGTGACATGAGACTTTAGTGTTATATAGGTTATGTGACACTCTGGCAAAAAAGAGCAGATAGCACAACATACAGTAGCAACAGTCTTTTCTGATGAAATAAGCTTTGATACGTTACACAAAACAGAACTGCATTGTAGCCCGAATTCATGTTGGATGTTAAACTTAATTTTGTAATAGTGATGATGACACTTAACTTGAGGAATTAACAGTTGAGTAATTTATTTATTTAGAGGCCATGTGTGCATAAATAAGTGACCTGTCTTTTTAGTACAGTGAACATAAAAAGTTATAAGGAAAGGAAACGAATCAGATACATTTTTTATTGACTGTTTAAAGCTAATTAATGCTTATTACATCATGCGAGCTTGTGTTTTTACATGTATATAATGGAGCTTTAATTCAGAAATCTTGTTTTTACATTTAGCAGAAACAAGGCTTGCAGTTTAAGTTCTTCTTTTGTTTTTTCTATTTACCCAAATTTCAAAGAATAGGTTTTCAGATATCTCGTCAGCTGGCTTTGGACAGTTTAAGTCTGAATTTGTATGTGACGTTCACATTATCCAAAAATGACATATTAAAAAAATGAATAGTCCTTTGCCAGGTCAGTCTGTGAAGGGGGTTAAATTCTGAATTTAAACACAGTTAAAGATGATAAAATGTTCTCTACACATGCAATGAACTAGAGTTTTTAATTCCATCAAAAATGTGGAAGCATATCCGCAAATTTGGCTTTTCTAAATTTATGTCACAAAAGTATGAACTGGCTGGCAGGTGGTGTCTTGGTGTTTTGCAGTCTGCCCTTCAAAGAATTTTGCAAGTATGCAGAATCATACTATGCAAGGCCAACTGTGATATGGCGCAAACTCTCCTTCACATTTACTGAATTGGGAAATCTGGAGAAGTAAAATCTCGAGACGTTGCATGTTTAGATAAAGTTTGAGGTACATTATTTTGCAGATTGGGTGACTCTTTAATAGTTCACACAAAGCTGCCCTTAACACGTGTTCTTAAAATGTCCTCTCAAAAGCAAAAACATCCATCAGCATGCCTCTTTTTAATCATTAAAAACATGACTGAGCATTTTCCTTCTTAACCATTTTTGTTTTATTTGCTTCTGTTATGTTTTACACTCTTTTATTCTGTAGCAAAGTGAGCAGCTAGCAGCTGTACTGTCAAATCTAACCTTCGTGCTCTCTCTGTAATCTCCCACATACATGGTTGAGCATGATTTGGGATAGGTGTTGGAAATGTCTTGCAAGAGCAGAAGTGCAACTTGTTGTAAAACTGCATGAAAAGGGAGAAATCTGGATGCCTGGAATGATGATTTGTGTTACAACCTAACTTATCCAAAAAGAAAAAAAACTACAAAAGCATGGCAAATGATATCCCAGAACTGGTTCTACTGAATAAAGTTTTGATACAAATGTTTTGCATGGGGCCAGATGACTTTGTACAGGTATAATAAGTATATATTTACAATAAACCTATGACATGGGAAGCATATTCACTACTTTTTGTTATAACCAAATGACTTCAGCTGCATTTCCTCCAACAGTAGGACTTATACCTCCAAATATTTCTTTTCTAGGAGTTGAAAGTCTTTTTGTGTATCCACTGGAAGACTGTTTCACTTTGCGCCTCCTACCACTCCCACCTTTGAGGTGCAATTGTTGTTCTCTAGACCCCTCAGGCTCCTGCAAGAAGAAAATAGCAGATTATCACATGAAGATACACACAGACAGTCACCTGTGTTATCTTGTGAGAAGCATATACAACCCAAACTCTAAATGAATTGGGAGACAGTGGGAATTATTTTTATACAAACAGGTTTTAACGGTTTGTATATTATTTAAAGCCGATATTTAATTGTAAATAGTGCTATGCTAACACATCAATGAGGATATACAATCATTTTATATTTGGTGCCTGCAACATGTTTCACTAAAGTTAGGACAGAGGCATCCTTATCAGTATTCTCTTTTAACAACACTCTGCAAATGCTTGGAAAGCAAAGAGACCAGTTTCTGGAGTTTTAAAAGAGAAACATCCTATTTCTGCTTCAGCTCACAGTTCAAGGTCTCCTTCATCATATTTTTTATTAATAGTAGGCTACCCATGCTGTGGGCACTTAGATACTGGCTTTTGAACTGTGCATAGATGAGCTGGGTAGTTCCTCACCTCTTAAGAGCAGAGCGAGCTGCATCTGTAATTGACAGATGACTGTGTTTGTTTCTGTGTGTGAGAGTGCGTATGAATATGAGGGTACGCGTGTGTTGCAGGGTTCCCAGAGAGACTATAAAGGTCGTTTTCTACCAAGATGAGTCACATCGCTGCAGTGCTGCTCGTCATTTCCTCCTGCTTATCAAAGAGAGAAAAAACGTCACTGATGGGGACTGAATCCTCTGGAATTATCTGAAACACCATTTAAGACATCACACAATGGTTTTTATGACTCTTGTAAGACACTGTCAACATATGTGTCAAGTTAAACAAGACAAGTGAACAAAGGATGATACGCTGCTGTAACCTTTTCATAGGAATCATCAGTCTTTTCATTTCAACCCTTTTTCTATACTCTTTTTGAACCATTGTGTTTAAGGTCAGAGACCAGGCTCAGCTTTATCATTTGTGAAATCTGTATTCTGTTGACTTCAAATGACATTAGTTCTCCATGAGGATATTTGTGTCAGTGGAAGCATTAATGCAAACACAACAAATAACTAGAAAGAGTACTAATAAAAATACATGTACAAGTGCAGTTTAAAAAGACCACTTAAATGTCTCAATATGTAGAGGAGAGTCTGACTTTAAATACCTGTGAATAGAAAAATGAAGCAAGAAAACATAAAAGAAATCTGAAAAAGTATGACAGACAGAGAGAGAGAGAGAGAGAACATGCCGTGGTTGTTGGATGTTTTTCTCTATGGTTAACTCTTCTAAACTTTGCACATATGGCAGCATGGTCTGCCACAGGAGCAGAGATGAAGCACCGTCCAGCTCATCCAAACAGCTTCTCCTGTGGATAGAAAACCTGAAAAGGACTTTTGTTTGATGGAAATCTTGACTGTTGAAGTTCTGGCTGCATGCTCTGCCTTTAACAGAAGAAGTGAGGTTTAAAAACAGCGACAGAGGTTTTGTCTGAGGTCACTTCTTGCTCTATTCTGTCCACAGAGAATTTATTGTGACGCACTGTAGCTGGCCTTGAGGTCAGACCATGTTTCTATGAAGTTATAGAGCCTGTCCTTCAGTGTGAAAGGAGTGTAAATACTGTAGCTGAAATAAATGTAGCCAGTGTAGTGCATCTTTTATTTCCTTTACTGTAAAATAAGTCAAAAATAAGTGACTCCTCTCTCTTACCAGAGTGTTTTTCTTAATGTGTGCATGTTGTGTGAGATGATTAACTGCTGAGCATGTTCATCCAGCACTCAGATGATGGCAGCAGAGCTCCATTTAAAACCACAGGGGGGAGTTGTTGCTTTACAAGAACATTTGTGGGGTTAGATTTATTATTGTTAAAAATTCAAAGGTCTGAAAATCTGTTTAATGCTAGTTTGATCAAATTAATGCAGGAGGATAATTCATGATGTGTGATGAGCCTTTGCACTAATATGTTTCCCCAAACTTCAAGTAACCACCACCTCTGGGTCGCAATCATACAATGTTATCCAAACTTGTCTCCAGGATAACTCTTAGTTGCAAATAGGACAATAATGATATCAGATGATATAATGAAACAACATAATCAGTCACATTAGAAACAGCAACACATTACTTCATTAATCATCTCTGAGAGTCTAATGAGAGAGGCTTTAAGCTCACTCACTCACTGCTACTTCATCTCTCTCCTTACACAAGTTGTGTGGCAACTAGTGTTATACTTCTTTTAGCACAACATTAATATCTCATGTTCTCCAATACACTTTTTTTCAACAATACTGTTGGTATACAGTTGCAAATATACAATTAACATGATAAACTTTATGGTATATAAAAGTTGCTTTTCATTCAGTTGGACATTGTCAAGTCTGGAAAAAGTACAGCCAATCAGATTCACAGAAAGCAAAGATAAAGACAAAATAGTTTATCTAAATTTATCAGTAATTTACATAAAATCGTACACATACTGAAGGAACTGCACAACTGCTTTGTACACATGAGACTACGTAAAGCTCCTGTCAGGAGTTTTTTCACATTCATGAAATCAGCTGAAAGTCATACTGATGCTTTTTCATGTTATTCACAAGCAAATGAGCGACAACATCGACAATTCTTATAGTGTAATTTTTAAGGGCTGAAGTGAGTGTGAAGTGGTAGGTGCCAGCTGCTTCTTGTCGACAAAGCAATCTTTGCTTTTCTTGTCCTTGGCATGATAAAGTACTGTTGTCTGACAGAAAAACTCATCCTGTTAACTTTTGAGAGTCAAGCACATCATTTATTGTAATTTATGAGGGCATTGTAAAAATGGCGCTTTTTCAGCTGCTTGACTGACTCCTATCCCCCCTACAGACAGGTTTCAGGCATTACAAATTACTGTGTCAAAGTAGCCAATTATGTCATGTATGATTTTGTTTGCTTTTGAACCTCATTAAAAAACATTCAACATGAATTTCAGTCTATTTCAGAGATGTAAAAAAAGAAAAAAAAACACAGGAGCTTTAAGAAAAATAGTACAAATACAAAATTTGGATGATTTTTTGGTGTGATAACTTTTAGATCTAGGCCCAGTATCCCAAAAAACAATTACTCATATCGGGATGTCTTGACATGTGTAACATTTTGGCAATACTCTTGACTAATATTTTGTGAAAACAAAGTATTTTTATGTTTGTGTTCATGACACTCGAAGCCTCTCCCAACCACTGAAAAGCGTTCTTTGGCGATGAACAAGTCAGATTAAGTGAATAATTCAGATTCTTCTTATTATCTGGCCTTTTTTTGTGTACGTTTAACAACATTGGACACAGCGCCTCTAGTTCATTGTATAAGTCATTGTTAAAGTATTTTAGGTTCGTGTGAGATACTAAAGATAAAAGGGAAGCAGCAAGCAGTCATAAGACAAGCAGAGAAAATAAGTTCCACGGCTTGATTTTAGAGAGATACTTATCAGATTTATATCAAAGTTCCCCTTTTTATTCATAGAGGACTGAGCTGAAAGGACGCTCCTGTTCTCCCTCTCTAACACACTCTCACCCATGATGTTCTCTGAAAACTGAATTCAGCTGGAGGTGTGCCGGTCACGGCAAACACACGAGGCTGCTCGTCACATGCCTTCAAATACATTCATTAGCACTCAATGTCAACTTCGGGGAGCCCACTGCTCTTTTTCACAGTATGTAAATGATCACTGACTGACACTCAGGACAGCTGGGTAACGTAAAGATTCAGGAAACTGGTGTTTTCTTTCCTTTTTTTCTTTTAATATGAATCTCAGTCTCAGTCAGAGTTGTCAAAAAATCCTCACAGGAGTTTCAGGGAAGTCCCTGTGTCTCTTGTAATGACAGAAAGTAAAATGCAGAATTAAGTCATTTTTGGTGTGCTGACAATCAGGTGTAGGCTCTTTTTGTCCAATAAAAAATAGTGTAAAAAGAACCGAAGTCATTTACATAAGAACAGAATGAATTCACATTGAATAACACCTTACAATGTCAGGAGGACAATATCTCACCTTCTCGTTAAGGAAACTATCAGATATTTAAACTCTGTTGTTCCTGCTGCTATCAGGCTGATAAACACTGATAGCAATAAATAATCAAAGGACTGTTCCTTATAAAGGACTTGTATTTGATCAAGTGTCATCTACTATATCTTTTGATTTGGACATTACTTTATAGTGAAGCTCTCCTACAACACAGTAACATCTCCAAATGTTGCTGTTGATTGTGTCACCTGTTTGTTTTGTTGTTTTTATGGGTCGGCAACTCCGTCACATCATTGTAACTTAATTTAGGGGGTGAATACAGTTTTTGGAGTTGAATTACAGTGTTTGGTGAAGTGCTAAGTGGCTTGTAAATATTCATACAGCCTAATACATTCTTATCATAGACATAGGTCTTTTGTTATGATATTTTGTAGAATTGTTGAACATAAGGAAGTTGACCGATAAAGTCCATGTCACCAAAAATAAAGACTATCATAGAGTATTTGAGCCACTTGTTTAACCCTCCTCTTGTGTTAGAGTCTGCACCAACCCATTTTTAATTTTAAAGTGTTCAAAGAGCCACTTAAATTTGCTTTTGTGCATCAAGACTTTTTGACTTTGTCAGGAACCTCTATTTCAACAAAGTAAAAGTGAAAAATTGAATTGACTAAATTACAAATTGCTCTTGTTAAAATTATGGCACTTGTGGTGTTAGGGTCGCTGTTGACCTGGTTAGATAAATATCTAATAATTAGAGCAAAAACTAAAATCATAAGTGCACTGTCAGGCACCACACTGACCATCAGGTCCTCTTCCAATCATGTAGGATTTAGGAAATTCTCATTTTGCCATGTTTTTCCCTGCACAAAGAACAACTTTGTGCATGTCTCAGTTCAGTATGGATGTCTGTGTGAGGGGTATACTGACAAAGAAAGACCCAGAGGCCCACAACAAAAACTATTATAAGCAATATTTTCATGGATAATAAAGAGAACTAAATTGGATGATAGAGAAATGTTTTTACTGTCAGTTACAGCTGATTTAAGACACGGGTCAAAACCGACCCTTAACATGGTGGGTGCGTAGTAAAAGCTAACACAGGAGGAAGGTTAAAAGGATTTTTTTAAAGATTAGAAAATGGTTTTAAGTAATTTCCTTATGAAAATAAAGTTATAGTCGAGTCATTATGTTAGATTAATTCATAATTACTGACAATGATATTTTTGTTATAAAAATGATCGATTGGAGGAAAATATTTCTCGATCAGTAAAACCTTTGGTATAAGGGCAAGCCCCCCTGAAGGTGTAAACCTGAATCCGCTCCTGCAGCAGTTTTTTTAAGATTTATTTGTTTAGATGTTATGGTTACAGGCTGTCATCTTAGCAAAGTGATAACAGCTCATGAAATTATCTGTACATTTTTCCAAAAGGTGAGAAAATTCATGCCAAAGACTTCTAGGATTCCCATTTTAAGATGGGACGAACAGGGTTCAGTGAAGGTGTGTGTGTGGGTGTGTTTCTGTGGGGGTGTGTGAGGTACCTTCCAGCTGTGAGCGAAGACCCGCCCATTCATCGAAAGTGCCCGGGGGGTCGCACAGCCCCTGAGACGTGGATGGACCGCCCTCTCGTCCAATGAAAGCGCGTCAAAGCGTGACTCACCCCTTCTCCTCCTCCAATAGCAGCTGTGCGGAGAGGCGGCCTGCAGGAAGCACACTTGGTTGAATGACTCCAGAAGCAGCAATTCAGCGGTAAATATGTTGTGATGCCACGCTCCAAACAGACACCGAGCGTAATATTCGAGCCTGCGGGAGCGCACCGTGGCACCTGAGGGGGACACTTCATGACACGCCGCCGCTGTGTTTTCCTCTGCGGATTGTCTGCGCGTGGACTGTGGCTGCAAATCAAATCAGGAGCCGCTCTCTGGGGGATTGAGCAGTGATGGACAGCTGTTGGACATCGATTCCTTGCAGAGGTTGGCGATAAATTGACCTTTACTGCTCCGATATGGACCAAGAAGCCGCTGTTCGTTGCTGCCGCGGGAGAGGAGGATGAGGAGGAGGAGAAGGAGCGGCTGAGTTGTCTTCCTCCGCTTCCATCAGCCAGCGCAAGCGTGCATGTGCGAGGGTCGTGATGATGCTTTTCGGCCAGCCGTGCAGGCTCCAACACAGGTGCACAGGGATAAATCAGCTCCATCAACATGATTCACCTCTTCTCCTTCCCTCTACCTCGGTCTTTTCAGCAGGAAACGCGTCTGCAGATGTAACGGGGACCGCAGCGTAATTGATGATGTTGTGCTGTGATCTGCGGGGACTATCTGCGTTGTGTAATGGTTTTATTTCATCTGGAGCGCGCGCTGCCGTGCAACCTCTCCACGGATGGTTGTTAATTGGGCCCAATGATGTAGAGCCAAGTCCACCTGGATCTAATGTTCCCTCCTCTAGCGGTGAAACGGGCTCCCCTGTGACTTTTGCGCAATTGTTTTTATTCCCACAGCTATTCACTCCTCCTGGTTATTGCCTCGGGTTATCCCGTTTCTGTTTTTTCAATGATCCTAAATTGATTCCGCCTCTTACAGCGTGAAATCAAACCGCAAAAGTTTGTGGCTTCTGGCTCAGGATCTCAGCTGACTCTTAATGGCCTCCAGATAGCTTCCGGACATTATTTTTCGCTGGATTAAACTTTCCCTGCAGTGTTTTTGTTCTTTTACTGCCTCCTTTTATCCACTATGTCCAGATCAAACAGTGTCAGCCCACCCGGAATCGGTGCGCCCGGGCTGAGGGGAGGGACCGAGCACAGATCAGCTTGGGGAGAGTCTGAGTCTGTGGCCAACGGGTGCCCATACTCAGCCAGATCGCCGCGCAAGAAGCTCACCCGGACCAACAGTCGGTGGAGGGACGAGGATGATCTGGACCACCGGCAGCCCGGCAGAGCCTCCACCACTGTCAGCAGGGTCAGCTTCAGGTCCAGGTCGGCTTGGCAGGACCATGGCGAGGAGAGTAAAGACAACAAACGCGCGTCCCCGAAGCGCCCAGACGACGAGGTGAGACCCAAGTCCGTGGAGCTGGGTCTGGACGAGCGCAGAGCCAAACCGAGGAGCGACGAGGAGGAGGTCATGCCAGAAGTTAACTTTTCTTTGGTGGCGTGCTGCACCAGCATCATGCACGTCTTCAAATCCAAGAAATTCCAGTCGGAAAAGTTGGAGCGGCTCTACCAGCGCTACTTTTTCCGCCTCAACCAGAGCAGTCTGACCATGCTCATGGCCGTGCTGGTGCTGGTCTTCACGGTCATGCTGGGCTTCCACTGCTCCGGTGGCTCGGGGATGCCGAGCATAACGTACATGGTGGTCTTTTCCGTGGCCATCTTCCTCACACTTGTTCTCATGGTGGTCTGCAACAGGAACGCGTTTCACCAGGACCATATGTGGATTGTGTGCTATGTGGTCATCCTGGTGGTGCTCGTGATCCAGGTGATTGGAGTGCTGTTCGTGCAGCCTAGAAGTGCCTCAGAGGGGATTTGGTGGACCGTGTTCTTCATCCATGTCATCTACACTCTGCTGCCCGTCAGGATGCGCGCGGCAGTCATCACTGGAGTTATTCTTTCTGCTATCCACGTGGCTGTTTCTTGGATGTTAAACGGGATGGACAGCTTCGTCTGGAAACAGGTACGTAGAGAAATGATGGCAAAGTTTTTAGTGATCCGCGCAGAGAGCCTGAACTCCACGCTCTGCTGTGCGCAATAACGCACAGCAGAACTTGGGCACTTCGTTTGAGCTTTTCCGATGTTGCTTCTTGTTTTCATGTGTAACAGACAAGATCATAAGCTGTTTCTTTAATGGATTTGGTTTTAAGTAGCTGGTGCTTTTACCAGATCAACTGAGCAGAGCTGTATTATAGCCTTCAGAAAAGTTTAGAGGGACAGGGACAGAAAGGGAAAGGGCACAATCTCCACCATGCAATGCATAGTAAATTACTCTTTCGAGCCCAGTCTGCCTGTGTGTAATTCATCATGTCAAAAGTAAAAAGAATCACTAAGTTTCAGGGAGAATGGTTTTAGAGGCAGTTGAATGCAGCCACAAAGAGAAATAATGATGAAAGGCCTTTTTGCAACTTGTTTCAAGTTGAAACTCCTCAGATGTGGTCCAAGCTACATTGTTTGAAGCATGGGACCTTTTTGAACTGGCTTTTTTTTAAAAGGCAGAATGACATTGTTCTTGGCCATCAAAAGTAGTGAGTACTGTAGAGGTCGGCTGATGAGAGGTAAGCAAAGAAGAAGCCGGGTAAAGCAGGAGACATTTAGAAGATATTCTGAGACGACCGGGAATGTTTCTGATGATCAGTTCTGTAATTTTGCCATTAGTTCTTCTGTAGTACATAATGTCTTTTTTTATTTAATATTTAAAGCTCCAATTAGATGTTTTTGATACTGATAATATGGACTGAATTTAAATAGATGCATTTTGATTTTATTCAAAAACAAATGAGTACAAACTGAAGTAAGATTGACATAACTTTAGCTGCCTTAAAACTGGTCTGAGAGGGTAGGTGTTTCAAAGAAGACTAGCTTTTAGTGGTTCAAGCAGAACTGTAAATCGCAACTGTCCGACTACCTTAGGTGTCAGAAAAAAACTCAGAAAACAGTCGACATTTAGCAAAATTTATCTAATACAGCCTAACATAGGTTAAACAATGTCAAACTGATTTGCTGAGTATGCCTAACACTAGCAGAACTAGCACCATCAGCCTTTAATCCTTCTTGTAGGTTAATGTCCACATAGGCTACTTGTGCGTGCTATTATTTTCTGACTCATTGATGTCTGTCAACACAGTTGAGATTAGCTGGTACTGAGGATCAGCTGATACATTGATGCATTTTGATTGGATATAAGGGTAATAAATACATGGAAAAACTTCAGTGGGTGTTCACAACTTCTTAGGAAGCTGGAGCATTCAATCATGAAGACACTTCTCTGTTATGGCATAAAACCTTAATGAATCAAAATAATGTGGAAATATAAAAGCATCCATGCAAAATATCTTTGTACGTGTAATTTTGAAACTTAGTGTAGAGAGGAACTTGAGGCTTTGGGATTCTATGTAGCTGCTGGTTACCATGGAAACTGTATCAGCTGGCTGGTTTCTCCTTAGGCATGCAGACAAGATGACCACATGTGATGCTCAAGTGTATCTTTACAGGCTGCTGTCAGATTTAACCTGATGTAGGAGTTTCTCTCTCTCTTTTTTATTGTCAAATGTGTGCTCAAGTTTGTTAATGCTGACCAAAAGTATGTGGAGAGCTTCTCCTTTATTGTTGTGTCCCTGTCAGAGACTTTGAACCGGCATGAACAATATGAATCTGAAATTTTTTTACTCCATTTTTGACTTTTTAATTCATAATTCTTAAGAAAGGGTTTAATATACCGCCAACATGAAGCCTGTATTCTGCCTCTTAAAGATGACTTTAAACACGACTTCTAACCATATAAATCTTCCATTTTTAGGACTGATTATTTCATTAGAAACTACTATAAAATGCATGAAATCCAAGCCATTGAAGGGAAGAGAAAGGTGTTTGCTCTTGGCTTTGGAAAGTCTCTTTTCTGGTAGTTTGTTTTACTTCATCAGAGCATAAAATGAGCTTACAGTCAAACATTTCAGGGGATACTGTTTTCAATGTGCAGCTGAGCTACATTTTCCTCATAAAACCCAAATGCCTCTGGTAGTATTTTTACAACATCAATATTACTTTGAAAACGTTTCTCCAGGGGCTGCAGGAGTTAGTTTGTAATAAAAGGTGCTCACACAAATGGGTTTAATTTTCCACTATTAGTTAAAGATACACTTAATTGCTCCGTCTGCTGGGAGCTACAACTCAGGATTGTAAAACCCAGGCTCTATGTTGTGCGTTTGTGTGCGTTCTTTTGTCTGGTGACTTGGTTTCTCCTTTTCAGCTTCATTGTTTTGGCCGTTTACTGCATTAGCTGTTCTTAAAGGCCTTGTGCTGCTCATAAAGCTTAGCCTCCCTAGACTCGGTGCATTTATAAAGACTTCAGAATGAATGTAAAGCTATGGTAGTTTCTCATTGCTAATGGCCGTGTGTTAACATCTCAAGAGATGGTAAAGCTCAGAAGAGATATTGTTGGAATTGTGAATCATTCTGTAGTGCACAAACGCTGCACACTTGCTTAATCAAGAACTTTTTGTTCTTTTAGACTGGTACTGTTTTTTGTGAGCTGGATTTGGTCATATTGAGGACATCTTTAACTCAGTGGCACACATCAATACTCAGGACAAGCAGTACAGTGCAAAAGAATTAATTCTTACATAAGTTTTTTGGTAAAGAAAACTTGACAAAAGGAGCTTCTTGTCCTCAAGTAGAACCTGACTGCGAGCCATTGCTAACTATTCCTAATATTACCTACTGTAGCTCCATCAAGTGTTTCTGTTTTCACTCTCAATAGGGGGCGATACATTAAAGTTAGCATAACTTGCATGGTGCGCAAACTTAGCTTCTGAGTGACATGTTATCAGCAAATTGCTTGATTATATTAAAATGTATCATTAACAGCCAGTGGTGCAGCAGGGACAGTTGGACATTTCAGTGCAGAGTTAGCAAATGCAGCACATCAGCAAAATGACGTGGAAGAGAAAATAGTCCTCTTGAGAGCTTTGACCATCCTATGAATGCACGATAGTGGTGATAATCGTGAAACAGCAGTTATCACTCAGACTGTATTTGTACCATCAAAGTCTCTAACTGTAGCACTTCCAATCTGAACAGTGTATTTTAGATTTGCAATAACTTGGGAAAACCCCTCTCTGAGTCAACTGTATGGTGGGACAATGCTTTCAGGATTTGCAAAAAGGCTGGCTCAAAATGGCTCCTTGATAGAATAAAGTTATGTATAGAACAATATACAGTGAGCAGGTGGTTATGCAAATTATAATCCTGACATGGCGAGCAGGATCCTGACATATTATTTCTGGACACTTTGGTAAGAGATACTCTTGCTATGCAAACTAGTTGCATCGTAAGTGTACTGTAAACTACCCGTCTTCCTAGAGGATACCTCTAGAGGGCACATCAGAGTGTTCAGGCCATATGCAACAAGTGGCAGATAACAAGAGATGTAAACAAGATGGATGACAGGACTCACAGATGTTGCTGTTGAGTCAGTTCAGGGTTTTGACGACCCAGTGAAGAAACATTTGATCCAGCTTGGATGACTGGTGGACGGACTACACCATCAGCACTGCTGCCCCTCTAGTTTTTTCAACATTTCCTCTGAACAGAAAAGTCCTGGACCTGTTTCCATTTGGCTCTGCAGGTTTCCATGTACGGCTTCTGTAATATACAGGTATTGATGATGTTCATTGGAGCTTGTGCCTAATCGGGTGACTAATCAGTTGAATGTTTATACTTTCTAACCGTTCTTGTAACTTACAATCTACCAGAAGTAGCAAACTTCAAAATAAAAGGATAGATTTATAGTGCAGGGAATAAAGCAACCAAAGCTAGGGTTAAAAATCAATCACTGTTACAGAGTTCGGATGAATCAGAGTCCAACTTTAAACACAGACTGGAAATGACAAGAATTAACGCACAGGAAGAAAACTGTTTGTTTTGAAGTGAAATGTTAAATAATTATACATTTTCTTTTCTGTATGTGCTTTTTGCTGTTTCTTGATAAAAGTACTGAGTGTGTTCTGAAGTCTTGGAGAGGCTTTCAAGTGAGCTATACAACAGAAGGCAGTAAGCTCCAGAAATAAGGGAAAGAAAATGTCCCTGCTCTATCTGGGCCATCAGTACTGGATCCAACTTTAGACTGAACATTAAGTTACAAACCTCTTAAAGCCCATTAAAGTGCTGAACATGAAGACTCTTAATCTTTCTGACTTATAACTACCTCTTCAGTCATCATCCCAGTGCAAAGAATGTGTTCAGCACCGGAAAAGGAAGTCCATTTAATATTTTTTTTCTAGTCTTTTGTTTCTTTTGGGATTCTGATGTTTGGTTATCTAAGCAGAAAGCACCCTGATAGTTTAGTTTTTCTCCGTGAATGGCATGTGACCCTGCATCTATTTGTGCTGAAGCTGCGTTGTCATTCGATGTGTTGATGTGAGTGTGTGGGAACGAGCTGCTGTATTTGTTGTTCTTTGCTCACCATGCTGTTGTTTTTAGCATATCTGTTCCCCCTGTTTACAGAGGACCCTGCTCGGCTCTCTGCGCGACCACCGCTGTTTATGTGAGATCCCAAGATAATGCTCTTTCTTATGCTTCAACTCAACTCTTAGCAAAATGTAGAGGTTTGCAAGGCCTTTGACTTTGGTGACCTTTGCTTATATTAGCCTGAACAACTTAGCGGAAATTATTTCCATGCAATTCAAGGATCAGCTTTCTAACTTTTAATATTCGTTTTTGTCATTTTCCGTTTGTGTTTGCATAATAAAACAGATAAGACTCATGATGAGGACTGGACTTGGACACAGTTAATAAGGATTGGACTCAGACTCAGACAGAAGTAATGAGGACTGGACTCAGACTTGGACGCAGGTAGTGGGGATTTACTTGGACCTGGATACAAGTACTGAGGCACTACTTGGACTGGAACTCGGGTATTAATGACTCAGCTTGGACTCTGCCACAGGTTATTAGACTTGACTTGCACTTAGAAACAGGTAACAAGGACTAAACAAAAGTAATGAAAACTAGACTCAGACTTGGACAAAGGTGATAAGGGCTAGACTCGACCACAGGTAACAGGGGCTCAACAGAGACCTGGAGAATGGTTATTAGACTAGGGTGACCATATGTCCTCTTTTACCTGGATGTGTCCTCTTTTTGGGGGGCTGTTCGGCCTGTCCAGGGGAGTTTACAAAATCCTTCAACATTGTCCAGGATTTTTCATGGACGCTTTGAATTTGTGTAGTGTGGACTAACTGATTTAGAAGCAGGTAGAAAAAAAGGACTCAACCTGAAAGACCCTCAAAATTGTGTGCATGACTTCGCCCTGTTTCCTCTTTCTGGGGAATCTGGAATATGGAATATTTAGAATATGGTCACCCTAAATTAGGCTCAACTTGGACTTGGACATAGGTAGTTAGGAGGAATGGACTCAGCTACAGGTAACAGGAGCTCAACTTAGACCCAGACTCAGGTAACAAGGACTGGACTTGAATTGGACAAAGGCAATGAGGACAGTCCTTGGATATGGGTCATCGGGGTTCACCTTAGACACATGGAATGAGACTTTACCTGTACTCAAACACAGGTAATAAGGACTGGACTTGGACATGGATAATGGGGCCATGGCTCAGACTTGACTTAAATTTCTCTCTTGTTATGGACTAGACTTAGACTTGAACACTGAGGACTTGGTGCAACAGTGTGGAGCTTACGGTATTAAAGTACTGATTATCATATGTCATAGACTGTATGCAGAATAGACAACGTCTGCCTTCTTGTTGGGCGGAGCCACTCTGAGAACATCCCCTTCTGGTGACAGGCTGCAGTATAGGTCATAAATCCCACCTCCGCCAGCAAAGCTTTTGGAGAATGCTGCTGCGCAATGTTGGTTTTAGGAAATGAAGAAAAATGCAGAATTACAGAGAGCTTTTTGGCTTCAAATCTGTACACTGGCAGAAGGTGGAACCAAGTTGTCCATACAGTCTATGGTATATGTCCATTGACTTTTAGACCCATTTTGGACTGCTGAAAATCTTGCTCAACATTACTAACACCTTAACTCCACAACAATCATAATGTCCCCATGTTGTTCTTTTCAGTCAAAGGAGCATACACACTGAAGTTAGTATGATGATGATCAGTCTATGTGCTGCAGTTTGTTTGAAACGACCAGCATCAGATTCCTGCACGGAGCTGATATCTGCGTAATGTTTGCTAAACTTGGCTGCAGTTTGTTACATCTGAGGCTCAGAGCTTGCATCATTGCGGGCAGGTTTTATGAGGATAAGGACTCAGGACATGATGCAGGAAAAGGATTCTTCTTGTCCTCCGGCTATTTTTGACCTTTCCCAGTAACCCAGAAAGGTTTTGAAGGGTCAGGACTCAGTGAGGATAGATTCATTGATTGAAAGGTCAGTCTAGAGATGACGTGGGTAAAACAGGGTTATGAATATGCTTTAGACCTCTGGGCTACATTAAACTACAGTTTCAACCGCATTAGATTATGTTTAAAAATCATGCTATGAAAACATCTTGGGTAAGGTTAGGTAAGTTAGAAAACTCACTGTTTTTTATAACCCTATAAACATGGTCCCCCAGTAGATGTGGGAGATCACTGACAGCGGGGCATTCACACTCTGGTATTAACTTTAAATCCTGTTTATTGCCATTTTGCTCTTTGACCTAACAAAACCCTTTAACCTTTGTGTGTCTGAAACAATACTCATAAATCTTGTTGCATACCCTGCTCTGGTTTCAAAACAAATATGTAAAAAGAAAAGAATGTAAAGAGAAAAAAACATCTCCAGCATGCTAACATAGTTCTCACTGGCAGACTTCATCAGCAAAGTGTTTTTGTTTTGATAATGATTATGATGAAATGGGCAATTACAACCCGAATACAAACAAAAAACACAGCGTCAGAAATAATAAAAAGTACCCATGTAAGCACTGTACTCATGCTTAGTTTCAAGGGTTAGAAATGCTGGATGTGTCCACAGCTTTCAGACAACAACAACTCATCAACCCACTTTGATATGGGTCTTCAATTCTGTTTTAACTTCAGGTTTGTACTTTAAATGAAGCATCAGACATCTTAGTTACTCCTCTGATGAGTTGCTTGTGTCTGCAGACCTTGACAGTGCAGATTCAGGGCTGCATTTTTGGGACTGCAATTCTAACGCGTTGTTTGCATAGATATGAACATACTCACTGACGTCGCCTATAGTTTTCTTCCTATTGGGAAACGCTGAGTCAACCTAACTTTTCATCGACCTACTGTGAGGTAGAGTGATTGCCACCTGACATCGAGACAGAGTGTTTTATTCTGAGTAGTAACCAGATGTGTAAGTGCTGTTTTAGTGTCTGACTTCCTGACTTGCTCTTGGCTGGATTGATGCGTGGTGCTCCATCAAAATAAAAGTGCATTTCTGCTGCTGCGGAGGGCTCCGTCTTGCTGAAGCTGTGATGGAACGGAAACTGACTAAATATAGATCTGGTAGAAGTTTCCAGTAACTCTAACTGTTGCAACCACTCAAGGGTCCCGGAGATGTGGTCCACAAACTGCAGCCTCTTGCTCTGCAGACACACGATACTGCCTCTGATGGAGCATTAAGGTGGAGTTTGTGTTGGTCTTGGAAATTCTTATCAGGAAAAGCACAATCTGTTTCATTCTCAGAGATCTGGATCCATCAATCCGTCCCTACTTTAATTCGCATGATTCCCACAACAGAGGTCAAAATCTAAATGTGCTGAAGGAACTTTGAACTTCTGAGTGACTCCCTGAGTATTTTTCCTGGGATTTTCCTGCATCCCCTCTCTTCTGCCTCCTCTCCATTTTCACGGAGGAGTGCATATAAGCAGAGCAGTAGCAGTTGGCAGGATTCCAGAGGTAACAGGGTTTTCTGCTTGTCTAATTGAATTGCCTGTTGCTCTAAATGTGTGGAAACTCAAAACAGATGTCCATATGATCTCCCCTCCCTCTTACCTGCCTCCTTAAACCTCTTCCCTCTGTGATCCTGACCTGCTTCTAGTCATGCATTTAATTTCCCTGTTAGACCCGACCCCTGTGGACGGACTTTTAACCACTTCCCTCCCCCCTTCAGGATGAGCTTCATGGACTCCAGTGTGATGAGCTGGATATTATCCTGGGGGAAACTGTCCACATCAGAACGAAACATCAGATGTGTTTCGTCCCTCCCCTTTGGCGATGTTCAGATTTATAGTTTCAGCTGCTGTTGACTCCATTTAATCATCTCTTAGAATCTGAACACCCAGCGGCCAAACAGTGTGACAGAGGATGCTGCTGTTTTGGAGATCATATTTGAACCGAACATGGATGCAGGGCAAAGCATGAGTACCTTTCAGAAACCACTGGTGACGCATTCCCCTGTGAGTCCACAAAACTGCTCAGTATTCCTGTAACTTAGCAACAGAATCTATTTTATAAACACCATCCAACTCCTCTCCTGGCCTCCCTGGGAGCACCTGCGTGTTTTTTTTATTATCTCCAGCTCTGGACCACCTGCTCATCACTTTGTATATTCACTTCCATTGAAACTAATATTTTTAGGAGAATGCTTTTTTGATTGTCCCTTTTTGTCGTGTTGCTCATCTCTGAACATAGTATGCACAATGTGGACAGGTTTTTAGAAACCTGGGAAATATATTAATATACAACAGTTTATGAGAGTTGGACTGACAATTTGGTCACAGTTTTTAGGCCACTTTTAGACAGAAACGGTCTCCATAGAAAACAGAAAAATTAAGTTTCGTTTAGGGGGGTCTGTTTAGACGGCAACTGCGTTTACAGGGGATGAAAACGTAACAAAGTGAAAACCCCCTTCAGAGTGGAAATGTTGTAAATGCTCTGCTAGTCCCGCTGTCGTCTAAAGTACGAAAACGCTGAAAATGGTCAAACCTGTGACGCCATGGCTCACCTCGGCTCATGTTTATGACATCATAGCCATGCGTAGCTTCCTTGAAAATAACAACAACAACCATGCTAGACATTTGAGTCACGCTGTCGTTATTATTGAACGGGAAGGAGCTCAATTTCGACCGGTACAGAATCCTCACAGATCATACTGCTCAGCAGAGGAGGCGTCTGAAATATTTGCATCAAATAATTAATGTAGAACGGAAGTTGTTCTATGTATGCGTTGTTGGTCTATATGGGAGCGCGGTCACACCGACATGCGCCACCTAGCGACCTGGCATGCACATTACAGCGTTTTCAACCACATTGCATTTTTGTGTAAACACAGCATAAAAACTGAAAACGAAACTGCACTTTTCCGTTTTCTATGAAGAACGTTTCCGTCTAAAAGTGGCCTTAAATGAGTTTCTCTTTGCAGGGGAAGTGGGCAATGTAATCAGGAAAGGTTGAAGTTTGTTAACTGGCCTCCTTTTTAACTTTTACTTTCTTTATTTTTCCTGTTATGGCACATTTAAACCCCATAACATAAAAACGAAAACTATGCTCTCATTTTTGAAAACATGGAAGATTGTGAGTTATAAATCTAAAAGAAAAATGTTTAAAAGAATTAGAAAGTATATATGTTTGATTAAGTAGTAGCACAAAGAGGGACAAGGACAAACTGCATGTAGCTTTACAATAAATCCTGGAGGTTTAATTATAAAAGTCTCTAATTATTTCTTAAAGAGCTGCTTTCAGGCCAGTTCATAGTCTGCTGCTTCTTCCTTCTTCTTCCTTTGTCCTCCATTTAATGGCATGTGACGACCTTCATGAAGGACCTCTTTCTTTCAACCTAACAATCAATTTACATGATTTTTTGCACACAGCATATTGGCTTTTCCACTCAGAGCCCCTTTGCACTTTCCCCTTACCTTAAACCTATCGTACAGCATGGTGCAAAGCATGCAGTGCATTGTTGCTTTGCACCTCAGATACTCATCAATTTAATGCCCAGCATAGGGAGAATAGCAAAAGAATCTATACTCATGTTAGCACCCATGATGTTTTGATGTCTGTGTATTTCTGTAATCATGCTCAGATTGTTTGTTGAAATTTAAAGCTGATGGATAGTTTACTGTCTCACATCGATGCCTTTCTCTTGGAGTCTGCACAGCAACACACCGCTGCTGGCTCTCATTTCTTCATCATGCTCACCCGACCCTCATCAACTTTAATTAGTTTGTGTGCTACGTAGGAATTCAGACTTGTGGTGACGTTATTTTTGCAGGGGGAATTATAAATGATTGTGATACACATCTTTAATATGTGATTATTCTTCCACTGTGGTGACTCCTCAGAGAGCGCGGAGTGTAATAATGTGATAGTGCTTGTTGCTGGACTGAGCCGTCAGTGATGATTATCATTGTTATTGCTGTAGTGGGCTTTGCTTTGGAACTAAATATTCCTGTGAATCTTGTGCTTTCTGAGTAAAGCAGGGCGCACACTACAAAATAATTGTGCTGATTGTGTGTCTGATCTCCTCTTCTAACAAAAATCAGCAAAAGCCTGATTATCAGATGGTTCTGAAGATTATCACTCAGATTATCCTGTGGTGTGAGATGTGCGGAGAGAGATTTTTCTTTCCTCTGATTGGCGCAAAAGACAATCGGACTTGGAATCATAAATATGAAAAATGTTCAATATTTATTAGGGATGTTGGATTATATCGGCCTGCATCTAAAATCTCTGATATCAGCACTCTGATACAAGGAGTCCATTCCAGACTCCACTCCAGCACCTCTATCTAGCAGCACCCGGATCCAGCATGTAGAGCCCACGTAATCACAACAACAGTGTATACTGTATTAAGGTACTAACAAAGTAGCAAGGAGTAGGAGTGTTGTTGGCCGTGTGGCAGTAAATTTCATCTAAGCCCAAAAAAGACATTGTAGCTGAGTGCAAAACTTGTCATGCACAATATTGTGCCAATATCGGATCAATATTGGTATTGGCTAATATAGAAAGCAACAATGTCGGTATCATATCAGAAGTAAAAAAGTTGTATCCAGACACCCCTAATATTTATGACCAGAAATCTTTTTGAGCGGGGGGATCTCTGCAGACAGCCGATCACGCGCTCTGTCCATTGTGACCTGGAACAATTCAATAGCCAACCAGGAGGTGAGCTGACCAAAGCAGGAAATACAACCATGGCATTTACAGATCAGTTAGCATTACTTTTATTTCATGTGTTTTAATACGGAAGGAAGAAATGCACAGCTTTTTACAAAGGTCTTGGACACGATATTTTTTTTTGTAGGATGGTAAGGCAAGGTCCCGCCTCCTTCGCCTCTGATTAGCTAGAAAAGCTGGGCTCCCATTGGTTATTCCTTATGGCTGTGAAAGTCATCACACCCTCAAGCCGAGCGCGGGCTATCCTCTGTACATCGAACAGAACATTATCGTAATTCTGAATCTTCTAACCCTAACCAGTTAGACAATGACGTTTCACAGCCGAAAGTAATAATCTGAGCCCAGCACTTCTAGCCAAAAACATTGCGTCCAGGACAGGTGTACACCATGATCAGAGTTAGCAGGGTTTAAACTTTTTATAGCAGGCTGGGTTCAGGTTGACTTTAGCCTTGAAGAAAAATAACACCCCACTCATTCTTCCTACTTAAGCCTATTTAGCATTGCAGTGAGCGTACCAATGATCCGAGCCTGCTTTTGATCTGATGCCCACAAAGAGAATAAACATGACCGAAACAAACACTGGTTGCTTTTTGATGCACAGGTCAACACAAAATCTGTGTAAACAAGAGTTGTAACAATATCAGAGCTTTACCTCAAGGTTGTCATGGCCAGGTCGATATCACATAATGACATTATTGTGATATTTGTAAAAGACTTCTCTGTACATACTCTGTTTTTTTGTCCAGATTGGAAAATTAATCTATAATTCTGAGTCAACAGCTTGTGTGAAAATCCTCTTTTTTGATTCAGTTAGAATAGAATGAGTGTTTTGTGCCTGTAAACAGTTATTTTTGATGTAAATGGTTTCGTTCAAATCGTTTGTCTGGTTTCCACTCAGCAGTAATAGCAGGTTTGTTTTTTCCAGATAACCCATTATCATGTCTGTGATCGTTCTCTCTAAGTGTTTGAAAATCGAAAGCGTTTGCTTCATGGCCGTGTGTTTATGAGCTTTGCTGTGTCATATTTCTGCACTTTTATTATTTCATTTTTTTTTAGCCTCGTGTTTTAAGCAGCACTATTAAACATTTTCCCTTCAGCTTAATCATGAGATATGGTGGTTTCTCCCTCAGGACTGAGCTTAACAACATTGCAGTTAGTTCATTGTGTGATATGATAAACTTTCAGCAGCTAAATCAGGCAGCAGAATCAAATATTAACTATGAGATTACAAAATCATCTCACAATAATCTTCTTACCAAATACTGTGGCTGTTTAGACACTGTAGAGAAGGCAGTTTTGATTTCTTTTGTCCATAGAAAATCATTGCAACACATTTTCAGAGACACGTTTTTTGGCACGTTTGCATTCATCGTTACCCTCCATTAACCATCATTGAGAACTACATATGATTTATAGACTGTGCCCTTTTAGAAGACATGTTCTGTGAGCCTCCACCAGGTAAGGGCAGGGGGTCAGATTTGTTCAAGGCTACTTGCTTCAAAGACCATAGCCTTTGATTTACTGGAGCTAAATCCCTTACTGCTCTGCCCAGACAGCTGAGCATGGCATCTGACCAAAACAGACCAAAAGCTTTCAATTAGCGTTGCCAGCCAACAACACAAATTACAAAACTTTGCTCAATGAATACATAAACCATCACAGATTACCTTCTTTTTGATGGATTGGATCCAGTCCAGACACTCCCTGAAAATATACTCATCTCCTCTGTGGGACAGGAAAGCCCCTGGATGTTGGAGAAACACAGAGTTTATTGCCAGGAAGCTGCAGCTCTCATGAAGCAAGTGAATTTACCGTAAATTGTCATACCGCTCTATTTTTAAAGCTGTTATTGTATGCACAACAATTCTATGCTTCATAAGACAGCGATTGGTCCTCCATCCACCATATCTAACAGGTCAACAGGGTGAATTTGTTGAAACTGGGTCTTATTTGGAACCAGTTTTCGATTCCCATCTCAACTGGTTAATCAGTCTCCTTCTGCTAATACAGCTTCTTCTAGGTTTTACCTTGTTTTATGATGGGTATTAACCAGGCTAAAGAACTACTGCAGCCCTCTACGATTAACCCTCACAAACTGTTCGGGTCAAATTTGACACGTTTTGACTTTTAACAGCAGTAAAAATACCCTAAACATCATTCTTTAAGCCTGAAACTTGATGACTTTTCCTGAAGTAGCCCAAAATACATGAAATTAATTAAAAAATATTCATGTGTATTTTTGTTGCTACAGATTTTTCCCCTCTGAGGCTGTTGCGGGTCAAATTTGACCTGTATCTATTGGGACAAGTGACAAGCAGTGAGAACAGTGTTCAATATAAAATTTATTGTTCAATAAAAAATATTCAAATTATTATGATTTTTATATTCTTTTATTTCTTACATAATATTACATGACATTATCCTGTGGAATAGATATTCTTCTCCAAAATCTATATTTAACTAAAAACAAGTGGTGTTAAACCGTAAAAAAATACACTTTCCCTGCTCTTTGGAACATTTACGAAGGGCTAATCAATAATTTTTTGAAGTAGCATGGGTCATTTAAACATTATGAAAAGGTTTGGGGTTAGAAGTTTGGTGAAAACACTTGCTACATGGGAAATTCTTGTGCTGGGTCAATTTTGACCCGGAACATACTGTGAGGGTACAGGATTTATACAGTATGTGAGGGTTAACAACAGTATGCTTCATTTTAGAACATTTTAGAACAATATTGGTGTGTTAAAAACCCTAATGATTACTAATACTGCAAAAAAAACCAAACAAACAAACAAACAAAAAAAACGTATTTGTTTTGGGCAGTTTTGATTTCTAAATCACACTTTCTGTTAAAAATCCTAAAGATTTCTGTGTTAGAAGAAAACGCTACAGGTGTTATTTTTTTTAATCCACATCAGATGTTTACAGCACAACTGGTGTCTCATTCTGGCATGAACAGAGTTAAAAAGAGATAGCAGGTGGAGTAGTGTGAATAATAACCCAGATTAACAGCAGCTTATCACTTATTAATGATGTTGCTGTTGGTTTAGCGCTGCCTCTCACACTCATGCCTCATCACTTTGGTGTATTATTGGACAGCTTTTTATGGTGATAGCAAGGCCTCAGGTTTTGTTTTCACACCAGGGGTTCACTTGTTAGCAGGGAGGCTGTTGATTCCCCCTGTTTCCCTCAGGAAATGTAAGCTGCCGTCCCTCACATGGTGTGTTATGCGTTTCGGCTTGCCATTAAATTTTGCTTGATAATGTGATACACTTACTTGCTTTGGTAACACACACCTTGAAGCTAAATGTGTTAGCACAGTCTGATAACCCCAGTATTGATTTAGTTTATTTTCTATACTGAGTGATGGTCAGGAACCTTGGGGTCACTCCCTACGGTCAGCCCTCTGCTGCCGTCGTATTGCCTGCTGTTGACATCTCTCTGACATGCGGACATCCCCCTGTGGTTTGGTCGTTCCTTCATGAATAAGTCCTTTGTTTTATTAAAACTGTGTCCTCTAAAAACTGTGCTCCTTAGAGATGTCAAAATCTGAATATGTGCTGCATTTAGATTTCTATTTTTTGGGAAAATGCTCTCGGCAAGGTGAAGGTGAATTTCACTGAAGTGAGGGTACCAGCGTGAAGTCAAATTGTTCTCATTGGAGACTTATTTATTCATTAATTCAGAGCTCAGAGCTGAATTTTTGTACCAACACAAAAGAAAAACTGAGTAGACTTATGCTGGAGAAGGTGAATCAACTGAGATGTTTTTATATAAAGTTATGGTGAGTAAGAAAGCCACAGTTTTAGTAAATCTCAGTGCACCGTGATACACACTAAGTTTTGAAGACTGGGCAGGGACATTCTTATGCAACACATAACCATTATAATCAAGTAAAAGTAAAAAGGAAGATTCCATCAAGAAAACGTTCAGATTTTTAGCAAAAAGACAAGCTATCAACAATGAAAAATGAGGTATTGAAGCGCTGATAGCATAGCGGGCTAAACATGCCTCACATATGCATGAAGCTCGGGTTTGAACACACCCTGTGGCCCCTTCCTTGCATGCCATATCCCACTCTCTCCTGTTTTCTTCTCTATCCACTGTCCCCTATCTGACAATTTAAAGGCCAAAATAAGCCCAAAAGTTAATCTTAAATAGAGAAAAAAAACAAGGCATTTAAATATCTACTAGATTTCTTGGCTGTCTTTTATGACAACTTTCCCTTTGCCAGATTGGAGTACAGAAGAGTGACAAATGCGGGTAGTCTAGAGTCGTGTAGGCATACGTGCAGCAAAAGGTCATGACTGCTGCAACACGGGTTGTAGCCTTTGTACATAGGGGCACATCTAAACCATTCAGCCAACACACCTCTTGTCTCACTTGGAAATTTAAGGACAAAGCGGATCTTGTATTAAATCAAATGCCTACTGAAGACTTGGAAAGCTTGAGCAGACGTGGGCGCAGAGTGATATGTGACAGTGTCATCAACATAGAAGTGAAAAACAGAGTTTGTGACATGCTCTTTAAGACTGTTCATGTAGATAGTAAATGATAGTGGGCCAAGAACTGAGCCTTGTGGTACCCCTTTTTAGATTTGTAGCACCGCTGAGGCAGCATCTTCTTATGGACCAGTCTGGGTTCAACTAATGAGATTGTCTGCAAACCACTCAACTATAGACTCTGAAACACTAGAAGCTTAAAGGTGCTCAGATAAAGTGCCGTTGATAGTATCAAAGGAGTAGCTCTGACTAGCTAGCCCCTGCAAAGTTGATTCAATGGTATATTTATTTCATGAGTTTAAGAATTCCTAGTGTATCTTGTTTTGGTCTTGTTGCTATGACACTACATAGATAAACAATTTGCATTGGCTATTTTTGCTGGAAAAAGCTGTTGTTTCCTACATTCGATTTGCTCTTACTCCAGATAAGGCCTGATTTATTAGTAAGCACATTCTTCTGCAAACTTTGTATGTACATGAAAGTAAAAAGCATGATTGCATTAAACTGCCACCTTGGAAAATGTTTACTTTTGTCGCCTCTTCTTCCCAGTGAGAATGAAATCGTTGACCCTGACCTTACTCCAGAGTAAATCTCTAGACCTGTAACATAAAGCTGGAGAGAAGTTTTTGTTAGTGCAGCAAAACAGTGCTTAAAATAGCCATGACTAAGTAATGTGTTTTAATGTACTTCAGCATAAAATGAGGACATGATGTATGTTTTTCTGCTTGTGCCACATCCATTTTCATTAGGTGAGTCCCCCTCTCCCCTGGCTGCACAGGGGATGTTTTCCTCTCCCATCTCACAGGCTTACCTCATTATCAATGAATCAGAGGCTCTCGGTGAACGGAGACAGTGAGTCTCTGCGTTGGTCGAAGCTGCAGCTGGAACAGGGATCAGATCCTCCGTTTTAACCTCATGAATATAACTCTTATTCCGATGAGTAAGTCTCATGAATAAAACCATGAGAGTCCATGATATTCAGGGAAACAGTTAGTCCATGTTTTCTGGCTGGATTTACTGTGTTGTTCAGCTTCCAGCCGGTCATATGTTTTAAAATATGACAAAGACTTCTGATTGGACGTTGCTGACCTCCGCTGGTAGACCAATTTTCTTGTTTTTAGTGATGGAACTGTAAAAAGAGCTCTTGCAGTTTTGAAATAAATCATTTTTTTCCTAATTTGTGATATTCAAAACTCAAAGCTGTGGTCACTTTGGTCATTATTTATGGAATATGAACGGCATAAAATGACATTTTAATCACTGAAAGTTAATGCTGGCCCATGTGCCACCATTAGGGCTCGTGACCAAAAATTAACCCTATAATGACAAATCAACATCAGTGTCCCTTTGTTATTTTTTAAGTAATTTTTGGTGCTTTTTTGCCTTTATTTGACAGGAAAGCTGAGGGAGAGTAGGGGGTTTGATAAAACATGCAGCAAAAAATCATGGTGGGGACTCGAGAAACAGCAACCACTGCTACACTGCGGCAGTAGCTCAGGAGGTAGAGCGGTCGTCCAATAACTGTAAGGTTGGCGGTTCGATTCCCCCTTATCCCAAGTCTGTCCGTTGTGTCCTTGGGCAAGACACTTAACCCACCTTGCTCCCAGTGTGTGTCCTCCACTGGTGTATGAATGTGAGTGTTGTGTGGTGGTGGTCGGAGAGGCTGTAGGCGCAAAATGGCAGCCACGTTTCCGTCAGTCTGCCCCAGGGCAGCTGTGACTACTGAGGTAGTTTACCACCACGAAAGTGTGACTGTGTGAGCGAATGAATGATGTATGCAATGTAAAGTGCTTTGAAGGTCTCTGATAAAGCGCTATATGAAATCTGATGCATTATTATTATTATTATTATTATACTCGGAGTGGACCACTAGGCCAATAACACTAATAACTTTCTCTTTGTCTGAAAGGAAACAGCAAAAAATTTTCATTTTGTTGTTTATTCTACCAATAACAAGGAAGTACTTTAGAGGTAGCACTTATCCAGCCCCCGGACTAAAAAAAAAACATGTAACAGGGTAACAGCCAGAACTTTTTCCAGTTTTTCCAAAAGCTCCATCCTGCCTTCACAAAACGTCTTTTATGAAAATATTGGGCAACACAAAACAACCATGTGACAGACTGTAGCCGCCACAGATACATTAGCTGGAGAACTCAGATCTGACCATGTATACATACATACAGTGCACAACATGTCATTGCATTGACAGTTACACAGCAAGCCTCACAGGCTGCCTTTGTGAAGGTGTCACGAAGAGTCCTTCGAACCCATTATGTCCCATTATGCTAATTGTGGACAGTAATCCCATTATCATGAGTAATGAATGCAAATCTATTGTCCTGCGCTCAGGTTGTTGTTGAGAGGAGGGCAAATGTGATGTTTTTCTGTTACTCATTTGAGACATTCACTCGCACATTTGCCGATGACTCACACGTTAAATAATAGTGTGAGAAATGTTCCTTGATATGATAATTGTAGAATTGATCATGCAGACTATTTACAGATTTGTGCCGGAAAACTTCTGAGTATTTTTTCCTATAAGGTTTCAGATCTGACTGATGTCCAGAAAATAAATGATTGAGCTTCCCTGGCATACATAGAGGACAGATTTAGTTGACTTGGCATGAAACCTCAGTGGAACTCCCACAATCCCCTTCATAGTTTTATAGAGGCGCCATTGTGACAGAGAGATAAAAGCAGGCTAGAAACTGGAGAGTACATGACAGAGGCAGGATATGGGGCCACAAGCTCATCGCCAATTATCTCTCCTGTAGGTGGAACGGAAGCATTTGAGGCACAATATCTCATATCGAGAGGATTTAATCACTTCTATGACTGATCATTTGTAGTTTTATAACTTGTAGACATTTCCAAGTCCTCTGACTAACAGTACAAAGATGTTCAACTTTCTTTGACAGGCTATCTGCAGCAATATCGAAATCTAAAAATCAAGTTTCAAAGATCATTGAATTCCTTTATTTCTCAATTTATCAGCAGTTTATTGCCAATTTTTAATCTCAAGTCCTGAAAATGTTTAAAAAAGACTTGTTTAGACGAACTGGATAATGGATGTATTCATTCAGAATCATAAACAACCCAACCATTCCTACCTTACATGGGTAAAAAACTAACCTGTGCAGAATACAGCCCCTGATGTGTCGGTCATTTACTCTGTTTTAGCAGTCAGGTTCAGCTTGAGCAGATAACTCTCAGCACTATTGGATGAATTTCCTTTAGTTTGGTAGCAGCTTAAGACTAGCTGCATAACAAGATGGCTAAGGAAGGAGAGGAATATGTAGAGATTTTGTGTTGATAGGAAAGTTCCTCAATTTTGGGGTAATTTTGTTCAATATTGTTTTCGGCTATCTTCGTATATATCAGTTTTCAACACTTCAGTTAATCCTGTGAATTCCCTCTTCATAGCTCAAGCCTAATGCGCATTGTTATTTCACTCTGTTGGGACTCATTGGATTATGTAACTCATTTATGCAGAGTGTATACAGATTAAGTGCTTTGATTCGAACTGAAGCATCCTAAAGTTATACAAAGGGAACGTTTTCCTCCAGAGAAACAAACTGTGGTCTGAGTGTATTTATCCCCTTGAGAGAGAAGAAAGAGTGTCTGCGTGTCTGTTTACTCTTGACATATTTAGAAAGTCCTTCTCAAATTGAGCTAAAAGTGGCTCTGAAATTACAGATGGTTCATATCAGGAGTCTGTCAGCTTTGAGGTTATCATTATTCTGTGGCTGGTTGTCAAGGAAAAAACCTCAGTCCCCTCAGATCCCTCTCCAGCAATGCTCCCCACATGTATTATGACTGTGAGGCGGAGTGCTAGAGTAACATAACAGGGTGTGATAAGGCAGAGAGGCTCCCCACCTGGCCTTATATGGACGGAGTTAGACCGGACCGCACTCTGAGCCAAGCAGGATACAACAGCTCTGGAGCCACAGGTCAGGGATTAGTTAAAGCTGTGAGTGTCATGGAGCTTTCTTCATGTTTGTCTCTGCTTGTAAACTTCATCATATTCAGTGAATTTGCTGTAAATGATCGAAACAGAAGCAGAGCTACAGGATATATGTGAACCTCAGGGGATGATACCACTTCTGAGTTTTGAAGTGGAGTTCTCATATCAGACTTACATAGACAGAGTGGGAGATTCATCCAGCAGAGCAGCCTTGTGAAGCACTTGAAATTCTCTGCTATAAATAGTTAATAAAATAATAAATAAATGAGGATTTTCTTGGTTCTTGGGCAGCCATCTTTTTGTGAGCCAAAAATCTTCAAGAGTCTGAGTCAGCCTAGTTTTCATGAGTGTGTTGGAAACAGAATAAAAAAGACGTTAATTCTTGTAAGAGCTGCTCCTTATCTACCTTTTTTATGCAACGATCAAGTCTATTGATAGTGTTGTCAAATAGTTGTATTATATGAATAACATGAAGGTTAAATATCTAGAAAATCTGGTGTATGAAATGGGCTTGTGATATCTTTTTTGTCGTTAAAGAGTGAGCATACTGTTCACCAGTGCAACCAGTTTACCATTATGAAGCGCAGAGAGGTTTTCCTACCTGTCATGGTTTTTCATACAGAAGGTGGCATTCAAAGTAGCGAACAACTGCTTCAGTGCGTAAAGCATGCCAGTTACATAGCCAGACAGTCCTGTCTAGATGCATCACTTTTCAGCAATTTTCTCTCCCATTGGGTTACAATTTATTTTAAAAAAAAAACAGTGGTTCCTCGACTAACATAGCTACTTGGGTGGTTGAGCTAAACTATCGTATAGGTAGCTGACAAGGTGGGGATTTAAAAGGGTTAATAAAGAGCTCCACACATACAAACTGCACATTGCTGAATGCAATAGGAGTTTTCTCCAGTTTAAACCTTTTCCCCTCTGAAAGCCTCCCCCAAACAGATTGTATTCTCAAGAGTGAATCCACTGGGTGGCCAGGACTCTTTCTGTTTATTTCATTATTGTCAGAAAATTCCTTATAGGAGCTTTAAGCTTAGAGGAGTTTTACATGCCATTCCATTGTTACTTTTTAAAGTTTAAAACTTACACAGGAATGTAACATATAATGCTAAAAAGCCAGTAATTACAGTAGATATGATCAGAGAGAAAGGGTAGATCAATATAACTCAGTTATTTCATATATGTAATTTCATATATGCTGTATACTGTTTATGGTAATAGTGCAATATACAGTTAACTAACAGCCTAAGCTAACCACTTCTAGCCTTGGTTTTTGCATGCCAACAACTTAATTCAGTTAAGCTGCTCAAAGATCAAAACATCTTGCAATATCTTGGTAGTACATGTTTTAGCTGCTCCCTAAGAATGATTATCTAAAGTTAATTTTTGTAGGAGTGTCATTGCATCAACTTAACTGTAAAGGCATTGCAAATGGCCACTTTGCTGTTTCCAGGGCACCAGAGCAGTGATACGTACTGAGTGATATTCTTTCAAATCTTGGCTGCAAAGAGAAAAATGTTTTTGTGCAATGAAAACTTTTTCCTCAGTACTTTTTAAAAGCACAAGTCAAAAGTGTATTTCTCCCTGTGCTGCATGAACCACAGAGAAATTTCCTGCACATGAACTTCGACTTGAAGCTTTTTTCCCCCCAGAATCCAACATTAGCAGATTGTTTCAGGCTCACTAATGGCAACCTTGAACAATGAAGCATAATGTCCTTGCTTACATTTAAACTGAAAGACTAATCGACTCAGCATCAAACTGCTGAACGTGAGAGATGTGTATTAATGTGAGCAAATTAAGCAATAATTGCCTCTGAAAATAGCACACACACACCCTCTTTCTCACTCAGCAGCCACGTCCTCCTCTGGAAGATGCTGAAGCTGTTGCCATGAAAACACTTTGCTGCTCACTCTGTGTGATACTGCATCTCTCTACCTTGGCCTTGTGCTAATGGTATTCTCAGCCCATCATATCAGAAGTAACAAAGCCGAACAGAAACACTGTTAGCAATTTAGGTGATATGTATGAGCGCATGAATAGACCTATATACTTTTCCTTTTTATATTTCTTTATCTTCAGGGTGCACTGGACTGTATGTTTTGTTATCTTTGAACAGCAAAGATATTTTGATGGGTTTAAAAATCTACAGAAATTAACATTTCACGTGTACATCTAGTCTGAAAAAAAAGAAAAAAACTTCTTTTTTAAAAATAAAACTCACAGGAACCAACCAAAAATGTATACAGGTGAATGTTAAATCCTTGACCCAGACTGTGCAGTTATATTTCCAAAAACTATATGAGTCATTTTTACCTTTTCTTGCTTCTCAAACAGCACCAAAAAAAAGTTTTTAAAGCTCTTGTGAGGAACTTTTTGTTTTACGTTTTTGGCGCCCCCCTGTGGACAGAACTTTACCTCTTTCTCTTTTAATTTTCTTGTACTTATCCTGTTGCCTTTTAATCGCCAAATGTAGAGGTTGCTGATATTATTTTTTATGGCCCATACTTATACCAACACCAATTACCAGAATTTCATGAGACGGATAACTAATATTTGGAAATGATGTGCAAACTTTTATCAATACTAAGAATTTGGAATAATACAACACAAGACTTCCTGTAAGAGCCCCCAGCGGATGTTTAACCAAAACTAAAACTTTCATCATCACTTTATAGAGAAGTAAACACTTAACCAGTTAAAATACAGCTACTTAGTCGTTTGGCATCAAGCTGATCATATAGAGTTGTGAGCAGGACAAAAAATGAGGCAAAATAGAGAGAGAAAGTCCAATCGTCAAATGACGGCCCCGATAACCATCCAAGGCCGATTCTTGGTCAAATCTAATACTTTGCTTTGGATGAATTAAAACAAAGTATTGTGGCTTTCCTAGAACCTTTAAAAAAAAATCACTTGAGGCAGAGGATAGGTCCTGTATATTTCCATGACACGCTGCTGCTGTTCCAAAGAAGCACCCACAGTTCATCAAAGTTTTCAAAGCTTTAATGACAGCAAAAAAAAAAATGCTTCGACAGTTGCCAATGATTTACACGCGCACATCAGATCAAATATGTGTACACTTTGCGATGTGTATCATTGCAAACAAAGAACATGAAGCGCGGTCAACAAAAATTGTTGTCTGTGTGTTGTCTTGACAACTACCCCACAGTGATTTCAGGCACTGAAAATACCAATGTAGAAGTTGCAAATCTTCTTAGTGACAGTATTGTTTCCTTTTGTGGGTCATACAAAGGCATCACTGTCAAATCTCCCATCTGTTTCATACCCAGCCAAAAACTCCTCACAGGAGCTTTAAATAGAGCACATGAGACCAGATACCAGTCGAGCACTTGTTAAAGATTATATTCAGATGTATGTGAAGTGTTAAGTGTCCCGGTTTGGCAGATAATAACAAAAGTAAACAGACTCTAAAAGCACCACGAGGTCTCTGAGAAGATGAACTTCTGTACTGGACACTCCACTGAACCACTCTGCAGATATGGTGTTGTAGATATGTGGACATGGGCTGTAAGGGAATGTTGACACTACATAACAACAGTGTGAAGGGTTCTGGCAGGCTCAGCGGTGCGGCTGGCATATTTTGAAAGGTGTTATAGTGTAAACTGTCACTGAGCAGGCCAGTTGTAACCGAGACTCGCTCCAACAGCCTCGGAGGGCCTCCGGTCTGTTTTGGCTGGGAGTTGTTGGAATCACAGCGTGGGCATGTTTGATCACTCAGACAGAACCGTCATGGCCGCTGGCCGCCGGACGGCTCCCAGACACCCAAACACAACAGATGGGCAGACACAGAACATAACCAGGGTGGTGTGGGTAAAACTGTGGAACAAGAGGAGGCAGGGCAGAGGAGCATGAAGCTGACTGACACATGTACGTGTCTGTTAGTTCGAGCTCTGCAGGACTTTGATTAGCAGGGAACCAAAAGGACCAGATCTACATTTAATAGCTCCTCTGCTACGTGCCTTTTGCACAAAATGTCTCATGTCCTCAAAGCAATAAGTTCCTAAATTACCCCTCATTTCAGTGATTTAAGTTATTCCCAAGCTTTTAAGCTGATTTATAGTGGTTCTTGAACTTTCTGTTCCCCAACTTGGAAGCAGAATAATTTCATTGATGAATATGACTCAAGATTTCTTGTCAGTGGAGAGCCAAGCAGCCGGTTATTGACACACATAAATAAGCTAGCCGTGCTCTGCCTGAACTGTTGCTATGCTTTGTTAATGAAATGCAGCTGCTGGAAGGTTGCTCCATATTAGTTATTTATACGCCTGTCTACGAATGAGAGGACCAATCAGGATCAGTTTCTGAAAAAGGTTGACTCGTTTAGGGATGGGGATTGAGAACCAGTTTCAACTAATATGAGCCATCAACATCTTTTGCCTTAATGCTTATTAGTTCTCTTATTGATAACTGTCCATAGGTTAGCATGAACACAACAAGTCAAATCATGATGTAGAGAAGAAAAGAGTGGTACAAACTGTTAACATATACATCATAATATTATGTTTGAAATGCCAGCATTAGAAATACGAACAAATCCACTCCCTTTGTGAGACTGACGATTAACTCTGATTGTTTTTTATGCAATCAGTGTACTTAAAGGGATATTCCGGCGTAAAATTAATTTCGATTCAAATACACCTTAACACCGAGTTAGACACCCCATCGAGAGATAAATGTTGCTGAACTACTTGCCTTTCTAGTTATACCAACTTTAGTAACGACAGCACGATAGCAATAAACAGCGGTATTGCTATTCAACACTAGCCACCACACATCTTTTAAACCTTGCCTAATTTCTTTCACGAAGAGATTAAACACAACTCACCTACTCTCTTCCGGCAGCCGCTTGTTTGTAGGGAGACCTCAGACCAGTCCATTACGGACGGCAGCAGGGGTATGTAACTCAAGGAAGAACATTTATGATCATTTCTTTATCATTTCCTTGAAGTAATAATCACCATATTAATCATTTTGCACTGCAGACACAGTAGTTCTTCTGCTGTAGCATCTTGATCTGATTGCATTTCCATGAAGAAATGATCATAAATGTTCTTCCTTGAGCTGCGTTACCCCGCTGCGGTGATGGACTGGCCTGAGGTCTTGCTACAAACAAGCGGCTGCTGGAAGAGAGTAGGTGATTTGTGTTTAGTCTCGTGCAGTAGCTGGGACCCCATATGTACTGTTGATGAAGTTAGGTGCTGTTCTGAGCATCATTATTTGAGGTCTGTTTATGGCTCCTCAGACCACTGTGTATTGCTATCCTGTGGTCATTACTAAAGTTGGTATAACTAGAGAAGCAAGCGGTCAGCAACATTCATCTCTCGAGGGGGTGTCTAACTCGGTGTTCTGGTGTGTTTGACCTTAAATTAATTTTATGCCGGGATATCCCTTTAAAGAGATTTCTGTTTTGACTCTGGCCACAGCTGCTTGTCTTCTTCTCTGTGTTTATTGTCAGATTGCATACTACTCACAATGTGTAGGAAAGTAAAGGCTTTTTAATTTGTTAATGAAAGCAGCTATTAGCGGCAGATAAAATTATATTACCAGACTATTAAACGATGGCAAAGTATTCTCATCGTGAGCTGTTATTTTATTAGACTGATGTATACTGTGCATCCCCACTCACAAAGTCTACTTTTGGCTGTACTTAGCTTTGTTTATCTCAATGGTGTCAAGCAAACACACAGAACTGGATTGAGTTACACATCCACTGAGACTGAGCATTAATGTTTATCCCCTTGTAGGTCAGAGAAGGTATGCTTGGTATGTTGGAGCCAGTGTTCTTTCTCTGACTAAGCTTTCTCTCTCAAACACACACACAATCATTTACTTTCTTTCTACACACACACACACACACACACACACACACACACACACACACACACACACACACACACACACACACACACACACACACACATCCATCATTTATTTTCCCCAAAAGGAATTATTGGTTCATTTAGTGGTTACTACTCCTGAGACAGCTGTGAATCCACTCACGTAATGTTACACCTGAGCATCCTTTGAGTGTGTGGGATGTACAGATTTTATTAGAACAGGCTGTTATTAGGGCTGTTTTATGTGTCCAGCACTTCCAAATGCAGAGGTATCTTTCCTGATAATAGAAGAACACAACTTGTTTTTCTTATCCATTTAAAGCTCTGCGATTCGTTTCGCCCTCTCAGTTTAAAGTAAATCTTTAATGAATACGCAGCGTTAAATTTGAAGTGTGTTGTGCTTGTTCAGTTGCGTTGGGAGTTTTCACTTTTGTTTGGCTCTTATTGCAGAGAAGATGTTGCAGGATAGACAGCCAACTGGCACACAGACAGGTTTTGTTATCATAATGGGAATACTACAAATAGGCTTCCACACTAGATAAAAACGGATGTACAGCCAACTTCACCTCATTTCATCGGTACACTTGTACGAAACCTGTGCTGTTGTTTTAAGGTTGCCTTCCTCAATTTAACCACAGTTACGCGAGAAAGAAATTCACACCTAACAGTTGATGTGGGAAATGCCAGGCGAGTTGTGATATGATACCAAAAGTTACAAAACAATACAAGAGGATACAATACAATTTGTTAAGGTACAGTATGTTGCATTGTGATACAAATTATGGTATAGTACTATGTGATACAATATACTATAATATGATATGGTGTGATACAGTCATAGTATACTATTAAGACAAAGGGCTTTGACATTTACATGCACAGTATATGATAACAGGATACTTAAAAACCTGATCATAACTGGAATACTCAAATCCATGTAAATGCACTCAGTGAGCAAGAAATTCTTTTTGGAGCAACTTATTTATTCAGTGAAAATATAAGTATAAGTCCTGCCTATTGATTATTGTCACACAATTCAGGACAATTATTTATTTGTATTTCTATTTTTATGTTGTGTCCTACATCTGCGAAAAATTCATCTGTTTACATGGAGCCCATTTTCTGGTAACATACTCAGTGTTGCTTCAGTGCTCTGTCGGATATGTTGCTGTGTTCTTGGTTTTTTGGTATGTGGCGTCATACAAATCATCAAAGACAATTAATCCTGGAAATGTTTTGATAAAATCTTTGTATGGATTAATTTAGCTTTTAGCTACTTCAAGAGAACAGAAAAGTTAGTTTGTGGGCAGTGGCTGTTTTCGATACTGGTTAGTAGTACCACCAGACAACAGCATAGTGGTTGTTTTTTTTTTAACTGAAATATACAATAGTCCTTTATACTTCTAGGTTTTTGATAACCATTTTATCTGCATTTGCTTAACAATCAAAAATCACTGGCTCATGATATTTTTTCAGGTTTTCCATGTTTAGCAGATATACTTTCGCCTTTAGCCTTACAGTTCTTCACCTCTGAATTGAGAGGGATGACTGAGGAAAATAACTGCTGTGTATGTGGTAAAGAGAGGCTTAGAACCCCTTTCTCTGTTTTATCTAGGATGACAGTAAAGCTCTTGTGGCTAAAAGGGTGTTTAAATGTCCATATTAGCTTCTTAATCTAATCCTGCTGTACAATCCCCTTTTCTTCTCTGTCCATTCGGTGTGTTTAAATGTTCTTATTTTAGCCCAAGTATGGATTCATCCTCATGCTGTCTAATGCGCTCCTATTAGTCAGAACGGTTCTTTCTCTGTTTACTTCTAGACATATTTGCTGGTCTAAATTCCTTCTAAAATTGACTAATTTGTTCCCATGCAGGTCAGTCAAAGATCTTGTTTCTATGTCAACAAACCAGCGGACACAAGGCAGCCATGTGAAACCGCATGATGATTTAATTTTCAGTTTCTTGTCCATACTTTCACTGAATGCATGACTCAGTTGTGCTCTGTGCTTTTTGAAAGAAAGAACAGTGTCAGTACATGTGGTGAGGCTTGAACAAATTCAATATACTGTCCAGATAGATGCTGCTAATGGATTGAATACTTTTTACAAGAACATGGAAACTTCCTTACTTGCCTTAAAATTATCATACCCTTTGCTGTTCAGCACTTATGACAAGGCAGCCTGGGGGACTTGGCTGCGATAACAAGAGCATCATTATGTTTACTTCTCCCTCTTTACTTTCTCTCAGTTATATCAGAGGAGACATGAATTTCTTTACCAAATTGATTGCTATGCATCCGACAGCTTTTACATTACTTATAACTGATTATATGGAACTCAGTAAAGAGTGAGATGGGATCACCAGAAGTCAAGTGCCTGGGAATATAATTGTCAGCGCATATTAAAGTGAACAGTTCTTGACAAAGTTGACCCCACTGGTTGTTGTATAAAGATGGACAACATGTTTCCGCCTCCATCCACTGTACTGAAAAGAAATCAAAATACCACAGACATATTCCTCTAGTGATGTAAAGGAGCTAGAGTCTGTGCGGTGGATCGGCTGGTGGAGCCACTGTATTGAAGTCTCACCCCCTCAACTCAACTCAATAACAACACCAAAGAGCTGTCAAGACGGTGCAGTCTACAGCAAAACAGATTCTTGTATTGGTTTGAAGCTGAGATTCAAAGTTATGAAAAGTTACATGACTCGTCTGATTGGGTTTGTTATGACTTTTGCTTTTCACTTAGTGGTTTCTAAATCTAGGTTTTGATGGTGGTAGCCATATTGAAAATGCTGACTCAACTGCTAATGATCCAGTAGGGGCTAAAGGCTAAAACATACAGGATCCATATTCAGCCTATTTATGAAATAGGTTGCCATTCTAATCAATGCAGCAAATCATACAGGACGCGTATCAGCTCCATCGCAGCATCGTCTCGAGAGCAGCACGGCTATAGATATGCGACGAGTCTATTTTTGCTGCTCTACGCCTCCAATCCACACAGAGAAGATCATCTTAGACAGGAAGTCAAGCATGAAAACCATGCATGTCATCCAGTATTTCAAAATAAAACACCATATGCGAACTCCTGACTGTGTATCAGTTTGTGTAGATGAGAAATACCTCCTGGTTCTGGATTTATCAGTAACAAGAACAATCCGATGGTCAATCCCTGATCCATGTGAACCCCAACAGGACTTTTAACTGCTACCTCAGTCTGAAGCACAGCATAAAGGAACATAGTTTTCTTTTTTAAGCACCAGTAAACCTGCAAAAACCGAAACTGTAAAATCACGTTGCTTTTTCACACATAGTAGAGGCTCAACTGTCACTAAATTATATCCAAATTGGCAGGAGGTAGACCACAGATAGGCAAAACATCCTGTTGTGAGCATGTTGTTACCTATATACTGAGCCCAGGTGACCGGGGCTGCACTACACCGCTGCCACGCTCCAAATACACATCCTGTATGCGAAACCAAATGCTGCTCTACGGAGCAAATACAGAACACCCTCAATTTGGATCCTGTATGTTTTCGGCTTGAGAGGCAGAGTTTGGGTTGGCCTGTAGCCTTCTACCTAACAGCTACAACATGCCTACCTGTCAGATGAGCCAGCCATGCACCCTTTGTGCTGAACTTATAACATTAATATCTTGAAAACCGACAAGTTATAGAAACATTTATACCCCGTGTAGTGTGTGTGGTTACAGAAATGAGCGGTTCTGTTTATTTTAGCTGTAAAAATGGGCTTTTTAGAATGAGTGTCTATGCGACCCGAAGGACTTTTGGGGCCAACCTCAAGTGGATACCGGAGGAACTGCAGTTGTTTAGCTTTTTGTTGCTTGTGTCATTTCTACCAGAGGAAGCGCCATTTGCCATCTGAGCTGTTAGGCATTGCATTCGCTATTCATTACTGCCTCACGTTCCCAGATAACACACACACACACACACTCAAAAATGACATTGTCTGATGTTTGAGGAAAAATCATTTGACATGTGTTTTGATTTTAAAGTCTGATTTGTTGACATGAAGGAGGTGGGATTTGTGACCTTAACAAAAAAAAAAACAGTCAAGGGGGCCTAAGATGATTTGGCTTCACTTTTGGGGGCTGTCAAACCATCCATGTTGCTGTACAATATAATTTACCTGAAATACTTTGACCTGTTGGTAACAAGAAGGTGCCAATTCCAAACTTTATTGCAACCCATTATTGTTTTATGGTCATGCCACTGGCTCTCCAGTATCTGTAGGACTCATCCTCTTGTGACTATGAATGTCTAAATCAAACGTTATTATTGCCTCAGAGTTGCTGAGATGTTTCCATGTGGACTTTACTAACAATCAGTGTTTTTTCCATCACATGCTAGGCATGCATTTTCAGTTTGTGCATGACCAATCGTAACCCAGCATGGACATTAGTTTGCTCAGTAATGATAATCTTGTCTAATCATGTGCTGTTTTTCATACACAGCCAACCTCTCACCAACGGGACAAGGCATGATCTCGCACAGCCATTTGTCATGTTTGACTAGCGTGATCATGCAGAATTTGATTTCATAAGCCAAATCATTTTCCCCTCCAAGACTTCAGCTTTTGTCCCCGTTAGTTCATGACAAAGCAGTGCATGTTTTTTTCAATTATCCCTGCTAGTTTGTCCATAACAAGGGCCATTAACATAACAAAAAATGGCAGCAGGCTCCTAACACTGCTGCAGAATAACTGAACACAAGCCTGAGTGTTTGGTTATATCACAACATCTTCTTCAGTTTGACTGATAGACTGTTATTGCAGGGGAAAAGGCTTTTCTTTGGCCTCTGTCTTTCAATTTATATCTCCAGTGCCCGTGTGTCTCAGTGTTTATGGAGTGGTTTGAACTTTTGCCATTTCTTATTACAAGCAGACTCTAGTAGTAGAAGAAAGTATACAATAATAGGTTTTTCTAAATATGTATACACCTGATACAAACAGCTTTGTATTTCTTGCAATTTACGTGGACTTGAATTTAAGAAAGATTCATCTGTATAATTTGACATTGTCATTTAAGGAATTTTCTGATGTTTTAAAGTAGCTTTGTGTGTCAGATTTAAGTTTTTCTGACATTTTATCTGGGCTGTTATTGTACTCTTTCATATTTGATCCATAGTAGTGGTCAAACTGTTACAGTTTTTCAGTTGCAGCGACCGATTGAAAGAGCAGGTTGGCTGACGCTGTGACGCTGAAATCATATTGTTGTTTCTTTTAATGTAATAGTGCTAACAAATGAAAAACAATACTGCTGAATTTGTCGGTTTAATAAATACATACAGACAGAGAAGTATTGGGACTTGAGACTTGTGGATTTCTGAGTTTTTAGGATTAGGTAAGAGTCACCCCCCACCTGTTTTGTCTGTTATCAGTTAGGATAACTGCTGTCTGTCTTTGCCATAGATTGTCTGTAAAATAAACAATATGACAGCTCTAAAAGAGCAGGGCAAGGACCATCTTGAGGAGAGTTGCCATTATCAGAGTAGAGGAGGAAGGTGAGGGATATTGTTGTATACAACGGCACAGGAAATGTTAACCTTGTCCATATTGATATGCAGTCAGCAATAATAAGGATCAGGATTAGCTCTGCAACATAACATTTAAGATTTAAACCAAGGGTTGCCCATGAACTAGCTGCTTAAACATCCCACCTCAAAATGCTTCAAATATATATAAATTACTTCAGACTTTAATATGAAAAACATGTGTTATAGTCTGTTTTGCACAGATCTCACATCATCATAAACTAATGTTGTTAATACACTTTAAGTAATATTTATAGTTATGATGCAAAGGTTTAGTGTGCAGAACTCTGAAATGTAGAGATAAACATTTTTATTTGAATACGATGCAAGCAGCAACAGCAAGAGAATGTGTTACTACAGGACACTTTTTAAGTTGTTTATCATGATTCAAGTTGAGGACGCCTCCTCAGCCCACTGCTTTTCTCTCGAGGCTCCGGCTTTCTCCTGTAACATGATGAGTGTATTAGAGGATATTTGTAGCATTGTTTCAAGTGTTTTCATTAGATTATACCTGTTTGGCAGCCTTGAGCTGGGAGAATCCTTTAAACTCTCAGCTTTAAATAAAATCGGTGCATGTAGGGAGAATTTTTTTACATTGTCACGTTTTTCATATTGTCGAGGTGGTCTGTGGTGCTGATTTGACTTTAAAAAGATGGATTTCTCTCCTTTTAGAGTTTTCCAAAGAGATATGGATTTGAGTGTAGAGTGTTGATATCAAACAGTGAAAAGCAGCTCCGTGTCCGGTGTGGCTGGTGTTGAACAGCTCCGTCTATATTTGGAAGAATCTGGGGTTAGGCAGTGTCCCCTCTCTGTCTCTCCTCTTTTTGAAGCATGAGATGAAAAATTAAACATTCCTCTTCTTTTGTTTGTTGCCGGGGCTTGTCTTTCTTCTTCAAAGGCATGACTCATCAAGTGACCTTTTAGTTCCCAGGAGTTCAGCAGCTCCTGCGAGGCATCAGGGCTGCTTAAAAGCATGCGGTGTCCCTGGTTTGAAGTGGGACTCCAGAACAGTTTTCTATAAGACAAACTCTTGAATTAGGAATTATGTTGGTGCTTGATGCTCTTTATACATCTGTAAATCATGTCAGTGGTGTTACTGCCAAGGTTTGTGCCTTTTTAGAAGCAAAACTGAACTGAAACTGTTGATGTGGATGAGGGCTGCACAATAAATCACAACTTTAGACACATTATCATCAAACATATTGCAAAAATCTTGAATTAGGTAGTAAAAATATATATATGATCATTTTTTCTCACTCAGCATGTGTATTTAACAAGTCCCATTAACGTTTGGATATTATGACCATGCTTTTAAACCTCTAATGATGGCACTTTAACCAGCTGTCAGCTAACCTCAGATCAGCTGGTGATAAATTACTCATAAATTAGTGCTTTCTGGATGTATCTTAAATCAATCCAATTATATCTGCTTTATTTATATAGCACATTTTAAAAAACATTCAAGTTTATCAAAGTGCTGCACAGTAAAATTAAATTAACAGACACTGTAGAAAACATCAAGAGAAAATAAATATAAGCAGGTAAAAAACATTTAAGATGAGAAAAAAATAATGAAATAAAAACACAAAAGCATAAAAGGATAAAAGTGATAAAAGGACCATAAAAGACATAGATCAGACAGAGATCACACAGCTCTCATGCTGAGCTAAAAGCCAAGGAATAAAAATGAGTGTTAAGACATGTTAAAAGTAGAAAGAGAGGGGGATGTTTTGATCTTGAGTGGCAATTTGTTCCACAATTTGGGAGCCAGACCGAGAAAGCTCAGTTGCCACGGGTTTTATAACGAGTTTTTGGGACGATGAGTTGGAGCTGATCAAGGAAATCAAGGATGTTTTTTACCTACATGCCAATCATTGATTTCTGTCACTGCAAAGAATATATTTAATCCTCTATAAAAGTTAATCTGGCCAAATGAAACTCACTGTCTTCTTCAGGATATGATACTCTTACCACTATGATGTACGGTCACTGCAGGTAAAAGCTAACCCTCGTTGGTCCTGTTCGTTTAGACTGACAAAAAAAAACTCATCTTCGCAACAGCTTATGATGCATGTGTATATTTACATCCTGCAGTCGATCAGTTTTACATGAGGGGCTACATCAAATTCATTTCATATACACGTCTTTCATATATGAATTGTGAAAGTTGTGACCGCATGATGTCTTCCAGGCCATATGGCTGACCTTGCACATCCTGCATCCTCCTATATTAGCCAGCGTGTCACTTCTTATGTTCTGGACTGTATTTTAAGATGGCTATCAGGACAGCTTCCTGTCAGTAAAACTAAAACATCAGGAGCTCCAATTTCCAAGTGTGTGCACATCATACATACAACAATAATTGTTTATACCTATAGAAACACAGAGGAAAATAAATAATGGAATAACCCAGGGCAAGGAAAAAGTTATTTTTTCTATCTGAGCTCTCTTTCTTTCTTTCTTTTTTAAGTAACAGTATCCATCTGTTGTGAGGATGTGTAAACAAGATACTCCACTGTTCATGTTTGCAGGCCTCCTTTCATTACTAACTATGGTTCAGTCATGTAATATGAAGGTCGTCTCCATGTGATTATTTTGCAATGAAAATGGAGAGCTCTTCATCGTTTAGGTTAAATTAAATATACAGTAGAGTGCCCTTTGCCTCCACAAAGCTGAAATAACACAGCAGTCCAATAATAGAGGTTTTATCGGATAACCATTCTGATATAGAATATATGAAATAAACCAAACTAAACCTGTCCTGGGTTCATACAGTGTGATGCTCGGATTTGTTCCTGCTTTAATTCAGCAGCTGACAGCTTTTGAGGTAAAACCCACCAACAAATAATTGCAGGCCCTCACGTGAGAGACTTTCAGCCTCTTGTACACATTGCTCTGCAGAATGAAGCTGGCTTTGGGCTGCTCACAGTAATCAGCATGAAGCACATGACCTGCATTTGTCCTTAACACACAAAGAGCCCCAGTGTGCTAAGCAAGGAGGCTGTGCAGTTGTAATCAATGTAACAATCTAATTAGAAGAAAAAAAAATAAAAATGGGACTCACCAAAGGGCAGAGCGCACAGAGCCCTGTTTATTTCTGTCACTGACTTAGGCTGAAAATAAAGTTTATGCTTTCCCTGAGGCGGTTCCTCCAGAGATTAGTTGTCATGTGATAGCAGTAATTAATATTTCAGAGAGCAGGCTGATTTAAATATGAGGAGATTCCACCTATTGAGATAAAATTCATTTAGAAATCAGTCAATGAATGTTTGCACTAGTTCTCCATTGTTCAAACACAGTCATAACTCTTAACCAACTCAGTAAGTTCAGATTTCTACAAACCAAATCTAATCTTACAGCATTTCTCAACACCTGATAGATGCAGCTCTTTACTTTGGAGCAGCACTTTCGCAAAGAATAAATATAACTTAAATTCTAGAGGAGTTGGGACGCTGAACCAACTAGAACCTAGAACCAACCTAGAACCTAGAACTTGGACCTATAGTATGCACCATGATACAGTGAATCAGGGCAAAAGCCAATCTTCAGGATCCTTAAAACAATTGCTGTCAAGCAGATAGAAGAATTTTATCTGAATGATTATTGGCTTTGTGATTGATTTATCACTTTTAATTGCCTACATCTATAATGTAAGGAGAAGAAGTGTGTTACAAATAGATAAACTGCATAAACATACCCACTGAGCATTTTTTGATCTAACAGAGGTCTAATAGACGTCTAAATGTAGCCTAGATGACTGGTCTAAAATCAGGCTACCACAGGTCTGAAAATTAAAGTTTTTTAGACGTCGAAATTTAGACCAAGTTTGGATTAGCTGGCTAACAGAGGTCTAACTGTATATTGCTCAACGGATATCATAATTATTTTGGTTAAGTACTTGGAGATCAGTTATGCGACTCACAGTTGCTTTTTGAAATAAATAGTTATCGAATAATGGGTTAAAGTGCAACGTCTAAATTACGTCTAAAAATACACAGAATCTAGACGGTTGAAATTAGGTCTAAAAAAAAAAAGACTTGACATCTAATAGCCGTCTATTGCTCAGTTTGTATTCAGAGTCATATCTGTTTTTATTGCAGGACCAAGGCCACCCAAATATGACTTCTAGTCATGTTCCTTTTCACAATGAATTCTCCAGATTCCCTAAATTTTTTCATGATATTATGAGTCCCCAAATCCTTTAAAATTTTACGCTGAGGATTATTGATGAAAAATATTTTTTAACTATTTGCAACCACAGTCTCTAACTGAGTCGTGAAGCTCCTTACCTCTCTCCTTCTGAGGGATTCAGCCTCAGATGACTGCCAAGTGCTTTAAATATGACCGCCAATACAGAGGTCGCTTTATATTCACTCACATTTAAATCAAAATACATGCAATCCTTGAGCTTCTATTGGTTGATTTTACTTAAGGAGTAACACTATGAACTTGCTGTTTTACCATGCCTCTGTTTGTTTGTTCCTTTCAGATTAAAAGCATATGTCTTTGTAATAATCACATCAGTCTCAGAAGATACTCTTACAAATAAATATGCACCAACAGCAAATCATTCGCATCAGTTGTACCCTGACAATGTGTTTTAGGTGTATTGTACTTTTAATATTTTATGGAGCGTACTTTGATTGTTTGGATTGAGCACAGCCGTCTTATTTTACAAAGCGCTTTATTTTTTTAAGATACCATCTTTCCTATAGAAGTCGACAGTTTTTGCGCAAAAGTCTCTTATGATTTATTTGGAAATAAAGCAGCAGTTTGATCACAGCGTTGGATCCAAGACACAAAACAAGTAAAGTAGAAGAGACATTGTGAATAATCATCCGTCTAATATCAGCTGTGGTGATGTAGTGATTTGCTGAATAGATTCTTTGAAAATGAGACCACATGACTGTTTTTTTCTGCAACTGTGACAGATGTGTTCATGATGTTGGGAACTGTCCTCCAGCTCATGTTTATTCAGTCCCTGTAGCTGCAGCGGCCTCCATTAATCAGATGATAACAGAGAGAAGGAAACACAGAGGAGGAGAAGTACCTGTGGGAGTAACATTACAGCCTCACAGCTTTTATTTACCTCCAGTGTTACATCACATTTTCTCTCTGTGGCAATTCAACATTATCTTTATCATAATCTGCTGTTTTTTTTTTTTTTTTTTTCATAGATGTCCGGTCATGTGGGGACTGTGTGTTGGAGTTTTTTCGAACTGTTTTCGATGTAAATAACTTGCTTGAGTGCACTTCATGGTTTTATAGCTCAGCTGAGTTTGAATGGTATGAAAATGAGTCAGTCTGAGCAAAACAATCCGTATGAATCACCGGGGGGAAACAACTGGAAATAATTTCTTTGATATAAACTCTAGATGACATGATTAGAGCTCTGAAAGCTCAAATCAGCAGTGTTTTCTTGTATCATCCTCTGCTGGTATTTACTGATAGATGTCTGTCTCCTTACTCCGGGGATGATCTCTGCGTTATTTCTGCTCACTTTTCTTGCTGCTGTGAGGAAAAGCCCATAGCTCTCCAAATAAGGCTTTAGTGAGCTCCGACAGTATTAATAGAATACGCCTGCTGCTGGGGAATATTTGTATTGACTTGTTGAAAGACTTTATCTGATGCATGCCGTTTCCATGGCAGCGTGGGGGCGAGATGCTGCGTGGCTGCTGCGGTTGAAGCTCCATGGGCAGCTGAAGCTGGCTGGCTAATGGCACTGAAGGAAGCAGGAGCTCACCTTTTTTAATTGTCTCGTTTAGAGAATTTCCAGCTGGTTCACAGTACTCTAGTCTCATGAGTTGTAATGGAGAACACACAGATCTTGAAAAGACCCCTCTTTATGGGGGTGTGCATCACATAGGAATCTTCCCTTTGAGTGTAAAAGTACTTTTCATCTGAAAACAAAACCAAATTTTGCCTGAGTTTATGTTGTTATTTTAGCTTGTCATCGTCTCGTTTCTATCGTGGAAAAAAAGGTCATCAATCGAATATTAATCGGCATTATTTTGATGATGAAATTAACACTGATACACATCCCTATCTAGTTTATGATTGGTAGGCGTGGGCAGCAGTACAAGTACCTGGTTGAAAGGTAAGCATGGGAACTCACGGCTGGATCAGCAAATAATCGCACAAAAAATGGTGTGTTTTTTCATATTTAGAGTTTTCCATGTGTGTCTTTCTACTGTTCTGACTTTGTTACACCATGTCCCTGTTTGCAACATTTCCTGAAGAAACAATATGAATCCAACAAGTAGGGCTGGGCGATATGGGAAAAAGTTTATCACAATATATTTTTGATATATCAGTTGATATCGATATATATCACGGTATAAAAAGATAAATTTAACAGTGCTTTATGGTACCGTGTCTTTTTTAGTACAATAAGCTACTGCATCTGTGAGGTCTTTGTGTCTCATAAGGCATTGTGCTAGAGAAAGCGGACTGAATGGACTGCTGTTTTTGGGGTTACAGTGCTATGGTTGCGTGTAGCTGCAGCCTGCTACTGCACAGTTGTTTGGTACTTGGTTCTAATTCAGTATATGATTGGCTCAGTGCGGAACGGACCTGGAGCAACTCCTCTTTTCATTGGCTGTTCGTATAACCTACCAAAACATGGCCGAAGGTGGACGATCGAAAAGCATATTGACCGTGTTTTATATTGATATTGAGGGAAATTAATTTTCAAAATATATCGTTATTGTTTTATTTCCCAGCCCTACCAAAAAAACAATTTTTTTCACCATGAAATTGGCACCAGTTACTCTGGAGGTTGCTGATAGATTCATCTAAATTTGTGAAAACACGGTGCCTTCAAATTGAGTCCTGTTAACCGTATTCATGAGAAGAGACCATATGACAGTTTTAAGAAATGGCAACGACTGTGAAATCTGGTTTTACATAAATCTAGTTTCTCTGTTGTTTCAGCTAATAATAATGATAATTTCAGTATTTTCACATGGATCAAAATCGAAAAAGTTTTTCGCACATCTGGTGGTCTTCTTGTACTTTTACCTCTTGAATGCTGAGCGTCTCATTTCAGGCAGCACTAAACCAGCTCCAGACATCTATCCAACAGAAACATCCACATGCTGAGTGATAAAGCGTTACTAGTTTGCATGAAGTATTTTTCCCTTTCCTTTGATTCAGTCAGACTTTTTTGATGTTTTAATCGCATCTTCACATATTGCATTACGATGATATTGCAATTCATCATGCAGCCTTAAAAACTGTCAAGCGCCGAGGTGTGAAATAAAATGATTTGATACCGAGATTGACACCCTGTAACAGTTTGATCTGCGCTCAAATGCTACATCATGCAGAGAAATCCCTTCGCCTTTAAAATGTTCTCGGTGAGCTGAGAGGATTGGCCTTGCTGGACTCTGACAGATCATTTCTTTTCAAGGCCTTGTGCTATCTCTCTCTGACTGAGCGCTCATTATACAAACAGTAGATTCAGCTGTTTAACCTCAGGTGGCTGCGTTCAGGAAGATGATAAATCTCACTAAACCTGTTAGATGAATAAGATATCAGTGAAAAATGCTCTGCAATGACTCAAATGTTTTTGTCGCCACATAGAATAGATCTGTCAAGCACCTCTACTGAATTAAAAGAGTAAAGTTTGTTTTTGAACGTGAAAACTTTTGGTGCCTGTAAATGAGCAAATATTGATACTCTGAGAGTTTTCAGTGAAATCTAATCTTTTCAGCGAACACTTCATTTGATGTTGCTCTTCATTCTATGAGAGCCTTTTCAACCTATTCACAGTAAATAGTCCTTTGAATAAAAGCAAATTACTGAAATGATGTTTGGTAAGAACAGTACTGTCAAAGTAAATACTGAACCAACCAAATAAAAGAGGACCTGGGTAGTTTGATAAAACGTCTAAAAAGCAGAAAGATAGAATAATATTTACCCAGTATTACCTCCTTAATGTGCTTTACCTTTTGTTTTTCTTCAGAGTTTTCCACAAGAAAGTCCCTAATGCTCTGACAGATGTTAATTGCCCACTAAGCAATAGACGGCTATTAAACATCTAGTTTTTTTAGACCTAATTTCAACTGTCTAGATTCTGTATATTTTTAGACGGAATTTAGATGTTGCACTTTAACCCATTATTTGATAACTACGGTATTTATTTCAAAAAGCATCTGTGAGTTGCATAACTGATCTCAAAATACTTAACCAAAATAATTATGATAGCCGTTGAGCAATATACAGTGTAGTATAGAAATAGCCCAGATTTAGACTTGGTCTAAATTTAGACGTCTAAAAATTTTTAGACCTGTGGTAGCCTGATTTTAGACCAGTCGTCTAGGCTACATTTAGACGTCTGTTAGATGTCTTCTAGACCATAAAATGCTCAGAGGGTGTATTTAACAAAGTTCATTTGTTTAATTGATGTTGCTTAGAGAAGAGTCTTTAAACTAGTCACAATAAATGGACATTTCCTAATAAAAGTACATATGCTGTTAGGTAAAAATAGAGCTGTCTGAGTAAATATCAAACCAGCCAGAATGAAGAGGACCATGGGAAATAAACTGACGGTATTTATTTAAAGAGTCATCAGTCTTCAGCAGTTCAGCTGGGGTCACTTAAACAGTTAGATAAGATGTCTAAATAGCAGATGGAGAGTGTAAGCTTAACTAAATAACCTCCTTCTCTTTGTCTCACACCTCATTTCTTTGTTTTCCCCGGTCATGCATCACTTTCAGTCCATCTTCCGGCAGATACTCCTCCCTCTGAGCGTGCTCGGTTTCTGCATGGAGACCCGCTGAGGGGTTTTTGACTCCATAAAGACGTGCTGTGTTTGTTCAGTTTGTTCCGGCAACAGAGAGGCCCGTGGTGTGAATGTGATTCAGCTGGCTGATTCAGCCCATTAAGTGGCTCTGTGAAAAGAAGGAGCTGCTGGCTGCCAGTCCCAGGACTCACTGTATGCCTGGCACTGAATGGAAACAATGCTTTTTAGCTCTGGTGCCTTGGACACATGACAGCGTGCAAGCTGTTTGATAGGTGGAAACTTGGACCGGGGCCATGAAACCCGGAGGTTCTAATGTGCTACAAATTAGAAATTCAAGTTTTAGTTTGGCACACACATGCAAGTGTGTACAAAAAGCCAACCCCCACTTGTTTGCCAATTATTCCTCCAGCTTCTGTAGCTTAGTTGGTACCGGACAAGAATCAGGGAAACTGAGAGAAATCAGGGTTTTTGGGAATAATTCAGTTTGCTAAATGACACCTGACCTCATCTTTGCACACATTTTTCTTAAGCTCATAAACAGTTTGTTGCTTTCTGACCTTTTTGATGTATGTATCTGTATGCGCTAAGGTTATACATGTTAAATCGACTTCAACATTTGTCTTGAGTTGGTTTAACAAATTAGATAGATTTTTTGATTATTGTTGGCTTCAATGCCTGTCGTATGATGTGTTTGAGCTGTAGTGCAGCCGCCTACTGTTAGCCAGAGTTGTACAACCTGGATGTAAACACGTACAGGTCACAGATGTTATCTTGCAGTGCAGTATGGTTTTTTTTTTTTTTTTTGAACCGAAGGCTTGTGGTGTAAACTCTGCTCATATTAGCTAGACATGATAAATAAGTTTAACATTATTTACTTACAGTTAAACCAATAAACACTGTAGGTTAAAATTTAAGGCCCAAATCCTCTGTTTTGATTGTGTTTCCTTTGAAAGTTTTGTGCCTCCTTTAAGACACACTCCCAAGAATATCCTGTGTGCTTTAATTCATCTTAACTTGTTTACATTTTCTCTCTTGAAGTCCACATATCAACATGGCTTTGGTTAGTACTCTAGCCTGGAGAGGCATTGAATGAGTTTAGGAAGGTCACAGTGACATGCGGTGTGAAGTACCTCTATCAGTCAGAAGACCACAGAACATATTCAGTGCAGTCCACTTGGCATTTGGGAGGAATGGGACTGACTGTACATTCATTTCACAACATTAAGACATTAAATGGTAGAAGAAGCTAGTTGATCTCGATTTCTAGAGACATTTGGTAGGCAAAAAAACTGTGAAACTTTAGTAGAAGTTCAAGGACATCCATGCATAAGTAACGTTTTTATCATCTGTTTACTTTTACCATCAGTTTATCTTTATTAAATGTAGAAAAATGTCATTGTTCATGTTGATGAGAACATCCAGGCCAAAGATAACATCAAAACCTTGAAATTTCCTGATTTATTACCGATCCACAAAACAAAAGAACATCACACCTCATTGTCAACCTATGAAACTAGCAAGTGAGATCTTAAACATATCAGGAAAATGATTACTCAGGTGTTTAGTCAGCTAAGATTTTCACATCTGCTTTTTATACCCTCTTCCGGACGTTGCAGGGGTCACCTCTGCATTGTCTATAGCTTAAAAGCAGGAAACTCTCATCAACTTTTTGTCTACCATTCTTGAACAGGATGCAGAAAAAAAAACGAACAGACATGCATTCTCTGTCTTTTTCCCCCTACAGATTGTGTCCAATGTGCTGATCTTCTCTTGCACAAACATCGTGGGAGTGTGCACACATTACCCCGCTGAGGGCTCCCAGAGGCAGGCCTTCCAGGAGACCAGAGAATGCATCCAGGCTCGCCTCCACTCCCAGAGAGAAAACCAGCAGCAGGTGAGAGCCGGGACATGTTCAAGGTGAAGAGGGCAGAAGTAGGATCCAGAAAGCAAGAGATAGATTACCGATCCAATCCCATGGTGTTGTTTTTCACTCATTTCCTGGAGGTTTGCATGATAGCTTTGAAAATGGTGTACAGTTTGTTCCTTTGAGAGGGTTATCAACTGTGAAACGTGCTGCTCTTATCAGATTTGTGAGACAAAGAAAAAAGTAAATCAGGGTTTGACCCAGGGCAGAACAGGAGTGTGATTTTTATCACTATTTGTTGCGAGTTGTTGCACGGAGAAGAGGATGTGATTCACTTGAATGTTTTGTTTTTGACCACAGAGAACAAGCCCATGATTTTAACTAGCACTTTTCATGTATTTAAAAAAAACACAAGGCCACACCGTGGGATGATTATCAAAACCTCAATTTCAACATTAATGAGCCACTTGCTTAAATGTTGACTTTTGGCTACTTTTCCACTTGTATTAGGTTAGTTACAGCTTGTAGGTGTTACTTTGTACACAGTTTTGAGGTCAGAGTATGCCTTTACAGAACACTTTTTTCTGAAAGTGCCTTTGAGAATTTTCTCATGTTTATTTAATTGACTGAAATGCATTTTTTAATTTTTTTCATGATATCCAAAAGCAAGAAGAGTGACAATTTGGGTGTTATAGTTTTTAGTGCCTGAACAAAAAGGGGTAGGTGTCAGCCGAGCAGCTACAGAATTTAACATAAAATATTCACAGTAAATGATATATTTGACTGTTAGAGTCAGCAGGATGAGATTTTTGTCAAAAGATACTACTCAGGTATATAGAGGACATGATAATTGAAGACTGTTTTGTCCACAGGGGGCGCCAAAATTCACACAAAACCTCAAGTTCCTGACTGGAACTTTAAATCTGGAATTAATACGTGACGTTTGACTGTATTTACTTCAACTTTAAAAGTGCGTTACACTCTAAAGATTCATCTCTTTCATATTTTATCTTCTATGTCTAACTCTAACCTTAGCTCTGATTCACCTCTCTCAATAAATAATTTTACTTGAAGAAACAGATTCTCTCTTTTTATTCTAAAGGTATTATTTTGTATTTTTAAACTGATTGTGCGACTCTATTGAAAACATAGTGCTCCACTCATTTACATGGGCCTTTATTCATGACTAAATATTGCTTGTTAGTTATACTTCCCCTCCATCTCTTAAAGTACTCAAACTCGACCATTCAACTTACTTTCCCATCATGCTCTCCTCTTTCAGGAGCGTCTCCTGCTCTCAGTGCTTCCCCGCCACGTCGCCATGGAGATGAAAGCTGACATAAATGCAAAGCAGGAGGACATGATGTTTCACAAGATCTACATCCAGAAGCACGACAACGTCAGGTAACACCGCCCCCACTGTTTGTCCCACCCCACCCCCACCCTTCCCCACCTCACATCACAACAGCCAGCAGGTGGGATGAAGAGGAGAAACAGATTGAAGCTGCCATAAATAAAGCTCTGTAAATCATTTCAAGCTCTGTGGGCTTTCAGACAAAGTTCAAGCACATGCATTGAGATACAAAACACTGCACTGCCTTCCTTTTAAGAGATAACTTATACACAGAAAATTAAAATTTAATGTCCTTCTGTGTTGGGAGGCCTTGGGTGAGTTTTGACCGTGAGAGGAGAGAGATTGAAATTTTCTGGAGGAGATGTTGTACCATGCCTTATTTGATTCGTACAATGTTAAGTTTTTATTGCCCGACTGAAATCAGATTCACAAAAGCCAGAGCTCATTTTTGTTGCTATCAATATTTAAAGCAGGAGATATAAGCATCACAAAAAGAAAGGTACAGAGACATTTTCTTGGAGGCATAGAGGATCTAAACTTCCTGCCTGGGTTGCAATAGATGGATTGTTTGTGAAACGCAAGCACAGATCAGCCATAGCAGTATAACCACCTGTCTGAACTAGACATCTCAAGATGAGCTGTAGTTTCTGACACCAAGACACTATGCTCTGTTGTCCTGATGCTCACACGCCCATACAAGGTACATTAGGTGGTGAACAGAGGGCATATCAATCAAATTTTGATGCACTATCTGTTCTGACGCCTCTCTATCAGAACCAGAAGTAACTTTTCCAGTATTGTGAGCTCCAGTAGCTCTCCTGTTGAATCAGACCTCGCTGGCAAGCCTTGGCATTCCCACACGCATCAATGAGCCATGGCCGCCCATGACCCTGTAGTGGGTTCGCTGGCTTTTCTTAGGCCACTATTGCAGACCGGAACACCCTACATGAGCGCAGTTTTGGAGCTCTGACCTAATCATCCATCCATCACAGTTTGGCCCTTTCGTGGTCATTTCACTTGCACTTGTGTCTCTTTTTCCTTCATATTGGGGATTATTTAAAACAGAAAAATTAACTCGGGTTAGTAAGTGGCTTTAGCAAACATTAGCTGTGTCATAAAGTCAGGTAATTGGCTGTCATGTATGTTTTTTTGTACTTGATCAATCAGAAAAGGGTGAAATGACCACATTTGGTCAGATTATTGAGGTTAAAGGACTTGTAAAGTCTCTTTGTGTGTCAGATGGTGCTATGTGTTGGGTTTGGCTCCAGTTGTGGTCTTTTTTCTCTCTTGTGTGTACTGCGGCTATCACAGGGTCAGACTAGACCACCATTTTTAGACTGGAAGTAATGTTTGGAAAATTGAGCTCTAGTAAGAGAATACAATGGGGTGATGTCCGAACAAGGTGAGAGGTTACATCCGTCACAGGTGGAGTCTACACACCTTGGGAGAGAATTTTTTTGCTGCGTTCGAGTTTCCTCGGAAGTCAGATGTTGGAGCTTAAAAATGACGTCACACCCGAGTTATCAGCGTTTCAGTTACCAAGTTGAATAAAAGCTAAATCGGAGGCGGAAACAAGATGGCTACATCTACTGACGTTTTTTTAGTGCTTGCCTTGTCTTTGCTATATTCCGAAAAGGCGAGCGCTAAAATAACTTTCGTAGATGTAGCCATCTTTTACTCAACTTGGTAACTGAAATGCTGATAACTCGGGTGTGACGTCATTTTTAAGCTCCAACATCTGACTTCCAGGGAAACTCGAACGCAGCATTTTCATCTTGAAATGATGCAATCATAGTCGATCAATAACAGCTTTTTTAACATACTCGTAATTAACGAGTCATCTAAAATCGTACACCTACAAGACTGTCATACAGAGAATAATTTCATGTGTGCTGGTGTTAGATTTTGCACACTAAAGTTAATCTGAAATAACCTCTTTTTGAAATATTACTACAGTCATATTGAGGTCAAAGCAGCTTTTATTGTTTGTTTTCAACAGAGTTTTTGAATAAACAATTAATACACATTGATACTTCCCACACCCACACCCACAGGGAGAAGTGCAGGTGTTGCCATGACGATTGGCTGCATGCTGTTTTCCACCTATGCCTGATTAGTGTCAAATTAGCTGACATGTGAGTAAAATATTGTAAATTAGAAATACGAATAAACTTGTTTACTGTGCATAAAAGAGCGTAGAAAATTACCAGTTACATTTATGAAGAAAAGGAAAAGAAATTTTTGCTTCTAAAATATTAAAAAATCAGAGTAAAGGGGAATATTTCTACATTATATCATCGCTCTGTGGCTTTTGAATGGCCACCTAAAACAAATGATGGTTTTAACGGGATTGAATGGAGTTATTGAATCAGTGGGTTCTTGTTTGTTAGAGCTTTTTCTTTCTCTCTAATCTTATAGTTCACATGTGTTAAAAATAAACTTGGTCAGACAGTTGTGTATTCAAGTTACAATAAAACATATTCATGTTTCAAGTTTGTACAGATCTCCTTTTCATCTACAGGTAGAGGTGGAGGTGAAGAAAATGACACCTGGTGGTGAAGGTGATAGGAGGAGGTGACACCTCTTCTGAAAGCGTGTCAGCTGATTGCTCTGTTTGGGAACTGCTGTTATGAACATGTGCGATTCTGTTTCATATGCACACCGTGTAACATCACAGAAACAGGTTCATGCTCTCATCACTGCAGTCAAGGACAAAGTCTGCCATGAATCTTGCATCAGTGCACAATTTTCAGTTAAATATAGTGATTTGCAAACCATTAAAATTTGTTTTCATTAACATTTTAAGTAGTGTCGCAGCGTCTTTCAGATTGGGGTTATGTGCACATGTTAGGTAAAGGTGCAGGTAACATTTATAGTCATTAAATGATAAGACCAAAATTTATAATAAGATAGGATATCATAAAGTAGGTAAGGATTTAAAAAATATATACGTTATAACAGGGTTAAAAATAGGGAAGAGGAGTTTTTTTTTTTTTTTACGTTGAATAGCTTTTGTGACCCGTCATGCCATCTATTGACCCTTTATTGATCTATAAATGGTGCATGGGTTGTCTTTTCTGACAAAGGTTGTCTCTCATATTTCGGTCAGGGTTCTTGTAGTCAGAGTGATGTAGTGCTGAATAACTGGCTCACATTATTTAGGTGCATATTCTGCAGCTTTGCTTCATCACTATGGACAATTTGCTTATATAGTAGAGAGTCATATTCAGACACACAGATTCAGCTGAGGTGAGGTTTGGCAGCCCCTTGTGGAGTATTTTAACACTACATTGAGGTGACTGAGACCAAGGTTTGTTAAACCTGTGCGTATGATTGTGTGTGCTTATTTGTGCAGAGGGAATTTTAAGCCCTGCAGCTGTTACAGTCAGGTGAGAGCCCAAATCTCACTGTGTAACAGCTGCTATTGAAGCCTTTTTACGGCTTTGATGTGTCCCTTTGAATCCTCAGGGGTTAGAGCATCAGGTCACGTACTCAGAGCTTGCACACACAAAGGTCCTTTGACAAGTATTAATGTGAACGTGGTCAGTAATAATCTTCTTTTTGTTGTTTGAGTTTTAGGCTTTAAAAAAAGAAGTACAGATTGCTTTTTTTGAAGTAGACAGAGATGGGAAACAAGGACATTTCCGGAGCCTGTGATGGAAGTTTATGAAACCAAATGAGAGAACACACATGACTGTTTAGCTAATATAACCATGCCGTATTGAGGAAGAAGGGTCATGTTGGTTCAACATAGATTTGTTCATTACTGCAGCTATCACTGTTTCATAATAAGAAGAGGAACACAAACAGAAACCTGCGTTTTTAGAGACAAAACTGTGAAAATGAGGCTGAATTATTGGCTTGTTACTGTAGAGTGTCCTACCGCCTTTTTTTTGTGACTCACTGGGGAGTAGGAGGCACATTAGCAGCATCCGCTAAGCTTGGCTGAACTCTGTCTGTGGTCATGAGTGTGTGGTTAATGGGTAGCTAACCAGGTGTGACCGGGCCTGTCGGGGAGCGGGCAGTGGCTTGTGGTAATTGGGGCTCTGCTGAGAGGCCGAGTAACAACAGGAAGAGAAGTGACAGCTCCCACAGCTGCAGCTTCGCATTCAGAAGGATAACAGGGGGATGAAGGGAGGTGGAGAGAGAGTTTGGAGAGCCTTACTCCAAACCTAGCATATGTTTTTCACTACTCCTTGATTTTTGGGGCTCTGATGAACAGCTGTGTTGGCCGGGTATCAAAGTCAGTTTGACATTACTGTATAACTCGCATCCAACAAGAATCCTCAACTGTTTGTCTTTCAGTTCAGATGAACACTGTTACAAAACAAGACGCGCTACGGAGGGTAAATTCACCTCACACAAGTAAAAACAAAATAGATGAAAAGTATAGTAATGTATAGGGCCATGGTGATATGAAATGCTCTGTCTGGACAACTTACAGTATCCAAGAACACAACAAATACAGATTTAAAGATCTAGTAAAAGAACATTTATTAGTCCAACAGCTCCTTATTTAGATGAAGCTACTTTGTAGAATCAATCAGTGTTTGTCTGACTTAATTGAAATTAATTCAATTATGTCCAATGTATGTTAATATTTGAACATCTGATTACTTGTGACACTATAACTACACTGTGAAAATGAATAAGGTCCAGTCATATGTGTATGTTGTTTGCATTATTGTAGTTTTGTTGTTTTGTTTTTGTTTTGTAGGCTGTTGTGAGTTGTTGTGGATATTGACGTTGTCTTTGTGTTTGTGGCGTGATGTTTTTTTTGTGTCTTTGCACTGCAATGGAGAGCTAATTGTAAATAAAGACTCCAGGAAGAATAGCAATGGCCTTAGCCAAAGCAACCAAATAAGGAAATGTAAATAGCTTCATTTACTCTTGCTGCAGAAGGGACCAGGCCTTTATAAGAAGCAGGCTCATATAAGAGGCAGGTCTGTATCAGGGGTATACTTCTCTGTCTGAGAAGTGTAATCCCTCATATTTTGGTAAAAATTGGAGTCTGTTATTTTTTCTAATCAACAAACCATGTGCAAGGAGTTAAACGCTTTTCCTGCTTCCTGTAACTTGACTTTGTGTGACTTTGTTCATGGCAGAGGTTTAGTAACATGTTTGATCTACTGTACTCTTTCCTGAAAGTCTGTTGGGCCCTTTTGAGTAAAATGACGCCCCGTGGCTTCAGCAATTAGGACTAATATTTCTGCTGACTCAGGTGTTATGAAAGACGCTCTCTTTGAGCGGATGTTTTGATGCTGCCGGTCACCCTGCGAGGGATTAGAAGACACTGAAAACATCGTGACTCCAGCTGCTGTGTGCGTTATGTAGGCCAGCAGCACCCTGAAGAGACGGACATGGAAAGAACATTGCATAAATTAAAAGAGCTGCCCTTGTCTTTGCTCCACATGTTCTTACTGAAGAAGGGACAGGAACTGACACAACATAGCTGACATTTATGTGATTTTGACTGCGTGATTTTAATTATGAGTTACTCTGTTACGCAAGGCCTGATGTTATGCTGATAGGAAGTAGACTTCCCTGAAAATCTATTTCTTGGAAAGAGGACATTTTGTATTTTCCATCCTCTTTACACGTGACTAAAAAACAAACTTTCATGTCGAACCAAGATGACCAAAACACCCAGTCTGACGTTATAATGTTGAAAAAGAGGTGTGGTAGGATGATCAGCAAGTCATTTGGAGTCCAAGCAGCTCAGCTCCTGCTCAGCTGAGACTCAACCCTCCTACTTGTGAAAATAAATTATACTCCCTCAATCTATACATCTGCCCATCCATTCTCTACTGCTGAAATTATGATATTTGTTTCTGTAAATAATGCAGCTCTGTGTTTTTTTTTTTACAATGATTTGTGGACAGTGAAACTCATTATATGCATCAGATTACCTACAATTTTACAAGTCACCGTTTATCTTTTTTTGACTACTGCACTCAGAATCAACCTAAATTAATATATTCAGGAAATATCATCTACTGTAACCCAATCTGGAAAGTGTATCAGGTACGACCTCTATAAATTTGGCTGTCTAGGTCTTCATTGCGTGGAGTAGCAGGGATGGAGTGGGACTTGTTTTCATGGCTCGGACCAACCCTCTTTCTGGACCCTTTTCAGAAAGAATTAGTGTAGACTTTACTCTTTTCTTACGTCAACATTGATTTAATTCTATCTGCCTGCTCTGGGGTTTGGGGCTCATGGTTGATGCTTGGTGGTGACTCCTCCTCACTTTCTCTTATTACTAGTCTGAGACAAATAATCTGGGTCTGTAACAGATCACTATTCCTGATCCTCTTGGAGCCAGTTGGAGGTATCAATCTATGTGGAGGAACAAAACCAAAAGTTTCTGTTCGTCGGGCACAAACCTCCCCAAACAAATCTACTCTTTGTCTGTTGGAGAACTTAACTGTCCATTGAAGCTCTAGTCATATAATGAGAGAGCCTACACATACCCATTCCAGTCTGTATGATATCTTCACTGTCACTGTAAACCGACTATCTCACCCCCACAGCCAGCAAGGCCCACTGGAAAATGTCCAGCCACTCGTGACCTGGTAGCAGGTGTTTTTACGGTAGACTCGGGTCATCCAGAAGTACAACTCCGCTTCATCAAAGAACATGATGCTCCTGGTTTTGAAGTCGTACAAATTGGTTTTGTGACATAAAGGAAAGTTTAATGAAAGTACTCTTCACTGAGTGCAATTTTCTCTTCAGACTCACTTGAACATACCATTCTCTCCTCCTGCCGCCCTCTCTCCGACATCACTTCTTCCGCCAGGCGAGACAGACCTCTCCCTTAGCTCAGACTCGATGTTCAAGTGTCTAGTTACCTCCTTTACAACAATTCACAGAAAGCAATCAATTATTCTCAGAAACATGTCCCCCAGAGTGAGGACTCTTAATCCTCTGCAGCCTGAGACGCAAATTGAGCAAATTTAGGCCTCTTGAAACTCGTGTTAATTAGAACATGTTAGTGTTCTTGACATGTGGGCAGCTAGGGTGAAAAAAAAAGTCTCTGAACTCTGGAAAAAAAGCTGCTTCAACACTCAGACAGAATGAGTGTCACATAGCCAGCGTACAGACTCCAACTTGCATAAATAAGACCATAAACAATTGCACCTCCTTCCCACACATACTGTACAAACACACTGTGTTCCTGGCTGTGTGGCAGCCACCTACCCTGTGAGATTCATGTGAGCCTGTTGGGTCTGAAATCTAAGTTTATTTATAAATCTCTCGTGTCCTTCCTGGAGCTCTGGCTCACAGAGTTTCTTCCACATACGTCTGACTTTTGCAGCGTGTGGCTTCAGAAAATCACAGTGAGAATTCAGCCTTTTTTTCCCCCCAAGTGCTATGAACAATTTAAAGCAGTAGGATTTGCAAAGCCTCCTCAGGTGAGCTGGGATTTCACGTGTAAGACTTTACTATGACGGCATTATGCGTATAAACAAGCTCTCTAACCCTGACCCTAACTCTAATGCACCTCAAATGGAACAATGGAACATCACTCTTAACTTAACTAGCGATGCGCAGATATATGTATTTTGACAGTTTTTTTTTTGTTTTTTTTTTGGTACAGGACGCAATATTCTTTTTTGTAGGATGGTAGGGGAAAGTCCCGCCTCCTTCTCCTCTGATTGGCTAGAAAAGCTGGAATCATCACACGCTCAAGCCAAACGCAGGCTGTTGGCTCTGTACATCGAACAGAACATTACAGAAAATTATCACACTTATGAATCTCCTAACCCTTACCCTAACCCAGTGGTTCTCAAGTCCAGTCCTCGAGCCCCCCCATTGTCCTGCATGTTTTAGATGTTTCCCTGCTCCAACACACCTGATTCAAATGATCAGCTCGTTATCAAGCTCTGTAATGGCTTAATAACGAGCTGATCATTTGAATCAGGTGTGTGATGATGACGTTTCACAGCTATTATGAATAACCAATCGGAGCCCAGCACTTCTAGCCAATAGGATGAAAGCATTCAGGCGTCTCTTTGTAAACTGAATATTATTGACTGATGATGACTAATGAGGCTTTGGTCTCATACAGGAAGACAATCTGTGCTGAGAGCCTAAAAAAACAGATTTCACACTAGCCAAAATGCAATCCTAAAATCCATCAGATATCATCAAACTATGACTCAGCTTCAATCCCTAAACAGATTTCCGCTCATTAATACTGGCCAGGACAGAGAATAGGAAGTGTTAGCTTGGATAGGATGTGGGGATGGAGATGAATTATGGGAGGCAAGACACGACAAAAAAATAAATAAAATAAATAAATAAAATCACAGTGAGAAATATGCTATCAAAATGTTAACAAACAGATATGCAGATATCTTGGCTAATTGTCTTGAAAATTATTCTGATTTCTCAACCTCAACTGGTCACTCTTTGAGTTTGATCTGCTCACATCTTATAGAAATTCATTAGTGCTGTTGTGATTTACTGGTATCAAAATTAAAGGTCTTATCAGATGAATTAGTGTTGACAATGTGCTAAAAACCAACAAACATGCATACCATGTATCGAACTGGGCCCTAGCAGGGGTCAGTGTATTCACTTCATTTCAAAATAAAAGCATTTTACTGTACTACAAGGAAAGCCAAGACAATGTCACAATAAAAACATCACTGCAGTGTGTTGTTACCAAGGACAAGTGTAGTTGTCAGTTTGGAAGGTTTTTGGAATTATTTGTTATGAATATTGTAAAAATATCAGGAAAATATTGTTAGCATGATTTTTTAGCTCTGAGTATTTCCTGCTCCTCTTGTGATGGTCAACTCTGACCTCTTGCTGATATCTTGTAGTAGAGCTGCTGGGACAAACTTCAGGTTGAGTTCAGGCTGTTTGTGTTCACCAATGCAGGTCACCCTAAAAAGTGTGTGATGTGCGTACAGTATGTGACTATAGCTTGAACCAGCTGCTGCCCCCTGAAACTCAGTTTAGTACAATAAAAAGACTAAAAACCAAAGAGATGTGCCAGAAGCAGCATCAGTATTAGGCTAACAGATTTATTAACACGCGGTGTCAGAGTTTTGTGAAATATCAAAAAATTATCATAAAAAGGGTTTATAAGTGTGGCCCATTCATGTAAAATCTCTGAACATAGTCACTGTGCTGCCGAATCAGCAGTCAGTGGTTGCATGCAGAGTCTTGATTTGGGACTACTGCATGTGGAGTTCATCACATGCTTCTGCCTGAGAGGAAGTCAGAATGAACACACTCATTGAGGAAAGAACATTGAGTGTGAGATAGGACTTGACTTAGTGTGATGAATGGTTATAATGCTGAACAGAACAACTTGAGCCTTTTAGGATCAGCTTTGAGGGTTTAATTTATGATCGAACACGAGGGCGCTAAGGACATTTCTGTCTGTGCCAACTGAACTGCTCGGTCTACTCTTGGTGTTTCCAGAGAGAAAAGACTCTACCCTCTGGCATGATCTAACTCACTGCTTTTTTAGTGTTTGTACCAGTGTTTTATGAACATTTTACTCTTTTGTGAAAGTTTTACTTTGCATGTCTTCCGGGGGATTTGTAGAAGGTCAAATACTGGGGCAGCCCCTTCTGGCTTTGTCTGTATGTTAAAACCGAAATAACGACCCTAATTTCTCTTGTCTTTGTGTTTCTGCAGCATCTTATTTGCGGACATCGAGGGTTTTACCAGTCTGGCCTCCCAGTGCACAGCTCAGGAACTGGTGATGACTCTAAATGAACTCTTTGCCCGCTTTGACAAGCTGGCAGCGGTAAGAATACTGTCAAACACAACTGGACTGTAAAGTGTAACTCATTAACTTTTTCACTCTTGTAGATGATTTTTAACTTTTCAATTCTAATTAAACATTTACTAAAGACATTGAAATATATATATTTTTTTGTCGTTGCATAAGGATGTCAGGTATCAGTATCAGAGTGGTTAGCTGATATAGGCTGGCGTTGGGGTCAGCTGATGTGATGTGGGCTGGGCTTGACTTTGTGGCCTGACTGAACTAGCACTATGCTCAATTTTGTAATTTCAAATGGAGTAACACCGTTTAACTAAATGATGACAGTAGCTTGGCAACAGTGGACGAGGCTAATGGGAGGTGGGTCGAGGGCTCAAAGGGCCATTATCTAAAATGAGGCATTTCAGACAAAGGCAGTAATGAGGGTTTTTGAAGACACCAGCCCGAGATAGATAACAAGTTTTTTAAGCTGTGAATTATGAAACTACTGCAGATGATTCAGAGGGTCAATATGGAGCATGAAAATTAGCAAAATTTTATGTGGTTAAAATTGTGTGCTCTTGAGGTTAATAAAATTACACATATTCATGAAAAAACTACACCATCAGTGAGTCTGTGGGAGTCAGTGTAATAAATATGAATATACAGAATCTGAAATATGTTGTTGTCAGAATATTTGGATAATAACCACCGAATTAAAAATATTGGGTGTAGGAATTTTTGCAGCTTTTTTGTAGAGTCGTCTTTTATCAGTAACTCTGCAACATGTTTTGAGGAAATGTAAATATATATTAGCATTAAGTTCTATCTAAAACTTTTGCTGATTATATTTATCCCTTTAATGCCTGACACCACAACTTATGGCCAGAAAATTCAAAATTTTTTTGGTGCTTAAATGTTTATTTCACTTACAACCAAAATCAAAATGTCAAAATATATTTATTTATCTTGTTTGATACATTAGATGTTTTTGGAAACTGATAAACTACAAGAGGGCATTTTTATCATTTATCGGGCTGTATTCAGGTGTTTTTAGAAGTTTGTTGAACATACTGATTTGATAGAAGTATATAAAAGTATGTATCAAATATGATACAAAAGGAAATAAAGGGTTATATGAATATAAGGGCTAGGAAACGGGGCTGCATACAGAGAACTAGATCGAGACAGACTCTTTTTAAATTCCTCTTGCATGAGGAGAACTAAAAGAGTCCAATCTGTTTTGAATCTCTTTTTACCGGAGGAGCTGTGGCTGCATTTCAAATAAGACCTTGAGGCGTGATATTTATACCAGCACAACTGTCTGAATATTTGATGTGTTGCTGAAACACTAGTGATTTTGTGCTAAATCATCTGTGACACAGCTCCGGTCTGTCTGGACTGTGATCAGCATCGTGTTTAGAAGCATGTTGACAGAGGGGCTAGTGAGACGCTGATCAGACACATCAGAGAGAACACAAAGTTCAATGTTCAGCCGCCACAGGAGGGAAAAGACTGTGGCATTAAAAATGAATAGAGCTTTCAAAGCAAAGTAGGAGATTTTAAAGCAGCCAGTGTGGAGTTAGTCAAAGAGTGAGGATTCTTAATGAATGCCCAGACTTTGCAGCATCTGAGGTTAGAGCTGCAGCTGCATTAATAACAGATAATCATCTTTAAAGACATCACTATCAGTTCCAATGTCTTTAAGTTTCACCAACGACTCTTTGTAAATAAAAATGATGCACCTCCGTCTCTTTACAATGTATGAAATTTAAGCTAAAATGTTGCTGCAGTAGGAGTTGCTGACATACTTAAAAGCAGCTGCATGTGATATCTCGACTAAAACCCAAATTTAAATAATAAAAATATCAAAGATGCTTCACGTTGATCCGTACGACAACAGAACAGAAAACTGTTTACACATTACAAGATAATCTGATGGTTCTGAAGGTTAGTTAATAATCTTTCGGGTGAAGTGGTCACAGCCTACAAAAAAAGGAGGTGTAAAGCAAAGAGCGAGGAGCATATCTAACTCAAGCACTTGACTCTGAAACCATAGAGCTTTATTTTATTTTTTTTTCCTTTGGATATATGTTTATCTAATTTTCCCAGAAACGAAAAAAGAACACATGATAAAAAAAACAAAAATACAAACATACATTGACTCACACACACACACACACACACACACACACACACATTATGCTCAATTTATACAGGCGAGAGATTCAGGAGTCATCTTATACAGATAAAATATGTACGTAAAATAAAAATAGAGTAAATCAAGTGCACATGACCATGCATAATAGGCTCATATGTTCAAAGAAAGGTACAAAGAAGCAAAAACATTAATTAAATCTAATTAAAAATGCCATCTTTTAAAGCTATGATAGCAATCCTCTCGTGAGAATGGTAGAGATATTTAAACCAACATATGACAGAAAGGGTTCCCATGAATTAAAATGAAAACCTTTCTGCATTTTTGAGCTTTTTGAATCATGCTTAACCACTGCCCTACAACGATACGTATTCTGTGTGAGCTAAACACAAACATTTGCCAGTGTTTAGAGAGAGATGCACGAGAATATCTCCTCCTTATCTGCCATTTATATCCTGCAGGCAGACATGTGTAAACAACATCTCCGATATCAGAGCCTCATAAACTACACATTCATGAATATTGATGCTTTTTTTTTCCTTGTCCAGCAGAGTTATTGTTTGTCCAGCTAATGCTCGATGCATGTCATTTGTTTATGAAAGGTGAACTGATGTGCTGATCAATATTTATGAGTCAAACAGGCATAATGGTGTTATAAAGGAAGGAGGAACGTTGCTTCTGACACTTTTATGTCCGTGCCAGATTGTATCTAAGAACACACACACACACACAAACACACACCGGACACAGATATTCTCTAGCTATGCTCTTAACACAGAGAGTCTTTTTGTGTTTTCTTCGAGCCATGTGCTGGAGAGACACTCAGGTGGCAGTCATAAGACACAGTGTTCTCCCAGGCTGTAGAAATACACACACAAACTAACACACACACACAAACACATGTCATATTATGGATGTCCTGTACCCTGCCAGGAGGTCTTTGGGTCCTAAGAATAATGTGCACGCTCGGTACCAAGATGCAACCGATTCTATTACAAGGTTTAGTGCCTGAAGACACAATCTTCTCCGGGAAGCAGTTTAGAGGTGCAAAAACTCTGATCCGAGGCCGAGTCCTCCATAAGGGGTCTGTTTACTTTACAAATAAGAGGTATCTTGCTATTCCATCATTGCCTCACCCTTGCTCGAACCTGCAATCATATTTTTTGGCATAAAGAACCTTTAGACATGCAGAATGTATATATCGTATCACATCTAAAGTTGCTATGTCTTTTTAAAATAATCAGGATATGATTTATAAATGTTATTTACAGATTGAATTTCTTTGCCGTCTGCTTTTATAAAGGATAACTTATATTCATCAGTTAGTGTTTTCTTTTGTAATTAAAAGCCGTGATCAAAGCATTTCCAACACTGAAAAAAAAGGAAAAAAAAAGGGGGATTATACAAACAATCAGATTTTAGATAAAATGACCCCTTAAAACACAAAAATATCAGAGGGCTAAAGCAATTTTCATTTAACCCCTTCAATAGAAACTACAGTTTATCAATCAGTCAATCAAATTTTATTTATGTGGCACCAATTCACAATAGTTGTTACTTAAGACACTTTCCAGGAAAAAGAAAAAGAGCAGGTCGAGACCACGCTCATTGTTTGATGAATTATCAAGATTTATCATGAGCAGGTGAACATTCTTACTATGTTTTTTTCTTCTCTAACAGGAGAACCACTGTCTGCGGATCAAGATCCTGGGAGACTGCTACTACTGTGTGTCCGGGCTACCGGAGGCGAGGGCTGACCACGCTCACTGCTGTGTGGAAATGGGGCTGGACATGATAGAGGCCATCTCGTAAGTTGGAACCAACATTTAATCACTCACTTAAAAAGTCGTAGCTTAACAAGAAGTTTTATTTTTACTTGTGAGAGGTGGTGAATCTGGCAGCATATGTAGTTAAATAATACTAATATTTGATATTAAATGTGGGTTTAATGAGACCGATTACTTCTTTGTTTGGGTCCAAAAGTCTTATATTTGAGTATGAAAAGTGAGTTCGAGCCCTGAATGCAGATGAATATGTAGTTAAATGGAGATCTTCTTTCAAGTCCAGAAGAGCAGGACAGTCAGTGGAAAAAAAGGTTTGATAGACGAGGTGATTACCTCCTCATTAAGTTGTGGCGATATGTGAAAGAAAGAGCCACGGGAGACTCTTAAAGTTAATTCAGTTACTTTTTGTACACAAAAAAAGCTGCAGTTGCACCCACTCGTCTTTATATATCAGTCTGCTCAGGCGTTGAGGTCACTTTGATTAGCTCAAGGCTGACCTGTCCATTTTGTTGGCAATGGTGTCATTTCTTTTTGAATGCATTTTACTTTCAGTAGAAAAATTATTCGTTTGCATGACTTCATTTATTAAACTATACCATGCCAGTTAGGGAAAGTGAGAGTGTAATTGGGATCGTCTTCCAGCAGATAATGGCTATCACTTAACAGAAAAAAATGCTTATTCCTCTTTTTTTGCTCATACTTAAGAGCATTGAAACCACTGCTGGCTAAAAGACTAGGCCAGGTAGGTTATTAGAAAATCCAAATTGTTAAAATTTTCTTCAGAAATGCTGATAATTGAGTTCTTGCTCTTGCAGAAGCTCCACAAACCCTTCAGCCGGTGGAAACATTTAAGTCTCACAGTTCTCACAGAAATTGTTTTCTAAAGCAGAGATGACCTCAGAGGTCGTCCTCAATCAGACCTCAGGGTCACAGCTCACAGATTAGTCCATTTTTCTGTTATCTCTTCAGCAGTTAGGGGTTGTGTTTTTCCCTGCTTTTGTCTGCCGAAGTCGTACAACTGCTTATTAAAGGCTGCTGCAGCAAAGGGAATCAGCACAGCAGCCTCTTTTTCTGTCTTTAACCTCAGTCTTCTACCTTGTCTACAAAACAATTGAAAGGGGAACAACATATTCTTTTGGATTTTGGAATAAATCTGTGAAACTGTTGTCATACCTCCATGTCTGGTCCCTTTAAAAACTTCACCCAGCTTCAATGCGTCTGTTTTTGCAGGCTGGTACGGGAGGTGACGGGGGTGAATGTGAACATGAGAGTGGGCATCCACAGCGGCAGGGTGCACTGTGGGGTGCTGGGACTCAGGAAGTGGCAGTTTGATGTCTGGTCCAATGACGTCACACTGGCCAATCAGATGGAAGCGGGGGGCCAAGCTGGGTATGTTTTGACTAAAACACTCCAAACCAGCACATTGGTTTGCACAATTTTTTAAGATGCCATCGTGTTTTATTCGGTTTCAGGCGTATCCATATCACCAAGGCCACTCTGAATTATCTGAATGGAGACTACGATGTGGAGGCCGGATCAGGAGGAGAAAGAAACGCCTACTTGAAGAAGAACAACATAGAAACCTACCTCATTGTGGGCTGCAGCCAGAAAAGGGTACAGCTTTTATTATTACTTTTACATTGAAGACCAAAACGCACAAGGAAGTGTTGCACCATATATATTTGGGCTTGTTCTCTGTAAACTTTGCATGAGAAATTATGGGTATCATACAGATTGATGGGATCATAAATAAAACTTTTGAGTCAACGCATCAAAAAAGCTCTGACTTTAGTCCTTTTGCATTTTAAGTTTGTACACGAATGCAAAAATCCTGGATACTCCAACAATGTTGCAAGAAAAAACAAACATATTCAGTGATAGAACTTTCCTGTTGAAGATGTCAACGCATTAAAGCGGATTATGCTCAATTTTTGTCCATTAGGGGGCAATATAATAAACAGTTTGATACAGCACTGACATATTATTCTATTAAAAAGTGTTTACTTTTTATGGACTTTTTCAGTTTTCAGCGACTTGTCTACATACGTATTTCATATGTTGTTTTCCTCAACATCTTATATATTTCAAGATCTCCAAAACCCAAATTAAAGCACTTACTTGTTTTTTTTTTAAATTATTATTATTTTTGTTTTAGCTCCAGAATTTGTTATTTAAGCACAGTAATAGAAATATCCAGCGGTAGAAAGGATTTTTAGAGAAAGGGGGTGTTTGTGATGTGTTTCCTTTGTATAATCTGTATAAAATTAATAAAAATATTGTTGAGTAAAAAGCATTTCCTATTCACATCTAGCTTTTAGTGGTTTGTTTGTTAGATATTACAAATGATTTATTGTTTAACAACCTGCAGTAGTTGAGTTCAGGCCGTACAGAATTTAATTTATTAACTAAAGAGGACAGAAAGTCATCTGTAAAGTTGTTAACTGTTAAAAATGTGTTTTTTTTTCTTGCAATAAAGTGTATTCATCCATTTCCATTGTTGTATTTTTACAGAAAGAGGAAAAGGCGATGATTGCCAAAATGAACCGACAGAGGACCAACTCTGTCACCCACAACAGCGGCCACTGGACTGACCGTCCGTTCTACAATCATCTTGGTGGGAACCAGGTCTCCAAGGAGATGAAGAGGATGGTGAGGAAGAATGTCGAAATGTTCTTTTAAAATAAAATGTTACAGGCATCTGCTCTTAAGATCTGCTATTAGCGATGCAGCTGACTCTCCTGCTAGGATCCCATTTGGTGATGAAGCTGACACATTGTTAATACCCATAATCCTTTTGATCTGCAGTCTTGATTGGCTGCAGTAATGGCCCTTCATGGTGCACTTCATCTCTCACAGCTCACTTCTTACTCTCAGGAGCACTCAGGGAGACAACAGCATCATGTAGGAGGAGGGAAATATACCCCTTTACTCTAGACTTCAGCCTCTCCCGGGCTGAATTCAATTCAACTCCTAATGTAGCAGCTGCAGCAGCAGAGTGATGTAACAATATCAGAACACACACACACACACACACACACACACACACACACACACACACACACACACACACACACACACACACACTGCAGCTCTCCCTCCTGTCGGGCAGACTCTGCAAACAGTGACTCACTCAGTGGATGGGTTCACCCACACCTGACACACACACAAACCTTACACACATAAACACACACACAGAGAATTGGTTTTTGTTTATTGTCATATCATCAGTCCACCCACCCCTCTCACTGAATCTATTATAGGGAGGAATGTGAGGACGCCCTGGCTACAGGCAGGATAAGTTTAGTTTTGCTTTGCTGTTTAACTCTGGCTGAGAAAAAGCTGTTGTGTAAAAAGATCCAGGGCATGTGATGGAAAATTAATGTTAGAATTGGGAAATGTGTGCAGAATTTATAAGGTTTGAAACTTAAAACAGACAAGCAAAATGACAGATATAAAAAAAAAACATCTCTCTTTCAAAGAAGGATCAGTTCTTCTTCCACAGGGACTACCCAAGGTTAGAAAAAAGGTTCATCCAAGTCTTTTCAGATTTGGCTTGAAGATCGAACTTAAAGGGATATTCCAGCGTAAAATTAATTTAGGGTCAAACACATTGTAACACCGAGTTAGACACCCCCTCCGCTTGCTTCTCTAGTTATACCAACTGTAGTAACGACCGCAGGATAGCAATACACAGCAGTCTTAGGAGCGATAAACAAACCTCAACCAAAAAGCCACAAGTCTATAGCCACAAATAATGCTCAGAACAGCATTTAACTTCATCAACAGTACATATAGGGTCCTAGCCACAGCCCCATCTATCAAACATCTTTTTAACTTCGTCGGCAACATTAATCTCTCGAGGCGGTGTCTAACTCAGTGTTAAAGTGTGTTTGACCACAAATGAATTTTATGCCGGAATATCCCTTTGGAGTCTGTCTTGAAATTTCGAGCTTTTCTGAAGATGTAGCTATATTTCCATATTTCTCTATACTTTATTCTGACCAGAGGCTGAACATCAGGACCCCTGATTTTGCTTGCAACTGTCCAAGTCTGATTCAGTGATTAGTATTCATACATTCCTTTATTTATTTAATTTCTTTTTAGTAGAATTATTCTATTCATTTTTATTCCCTTTGTAGCTACATATGGTAGCTACAGGGCAGGACATTTACTTTACAGGGGCGCCAGATGGTCAATGCTGAATAATAATGAGACAGAATACCCCAGTCCGTGCATTGAAGTTCTCATATTTCTGGTGCAAAGTATTAATATCTTGGCTTATTGTGACACTGCATATGCCAGACTCCTTGTGATGGCGCTAATGACCTATATCTGACTTTGGATGACCCAAAGGTGGCCCTATAGTAGTCGCACAGGGAAAAAAAGACGCAACTATGAGCCAATACAACTATCAGACACAGGAAAGAGCACTATCTGTTGAAAATCAAACAGTGCTAAAACAAATTCTCGGGAAAACTGACTCCTGACTAAACTCAACCTAAAATTTTTGACTGTAAAGTGAAAAAAAAAACATAGCTGCACGTTCTCTGCATTAAAAACTCACAAATCTGTCTCACCTCCTGCCTCTCTGGATGAGCACATTTCATTTCTGCTCGCCACATCATGCCAGAAGCTTTTGTCTATTTTTTCTTTGTTTGCCTAATATGAATTTAACATGTCACCAAAGTGTCTGCGCTCTTAAACCCTGAGTCTCAGAGAAATAACTTTTTCCTTTAAACGTGACATAAAGATGAAGACCCCTGACATCGACTTTATTTACGACATTTCAGCTTTACTTCATCCTCAGCTTTTATCTCTTTCCTGCCCATCACTCCTTCTGTCTTTCTCTGTCTCTGTGCTGTTCATTAATCACACAGAAAAGCTCTGAAGATAAGGCAAGTTGTGGCGACAGAGGGCAAAAGAGAGACATTAATAAAAATAAGGGTGAAGGGTTGGTGCTCTGGATGGATTTTCTTGCATCATTTTTTGTGAATCCAGGCACAGACGAAGCTGAGCAGTAAATATTTCAAACTTCAACTTTCCTCTACTGCTCTTTGTCTAAATGCTCTCTACTTCTCTAAAAAAAAGACAGAAAAAAGACTGAGTCAAATACTTTTAATTCATTATCATAAATCAGATTTTTTTTAGCTTTTTTTATTGATTCTCAATTGAATAGATGTACAAATTGATGATAAAACAAATAGTTTTCTCTCACTCACTTTAGCCACCTGTGCTCCTTTATTATTGGCATTGATGTGTTTGTCCAAAAGAGGGAGCTAGAGGGACATATTTATCACCATGTGTAACAGAATAACATTAAAGTGCTAAAAGATGATGATAACTTCCACCCACTTATGTAAGAAGCGAAGAGGATAATATGCTGAATAGGATTTCTGGCATTGTGCAGTTGGAGTTTGTTGTATTTCAGACCTGAACTTCGTCACTTTTTACTCTGACTCCAGAGAAAAGAAAGTACCTCCGAGCTGACAGGTGAAACTCATCCTCACTCCGGAGCCCCTGGCTGTGCTGAAGACATTTACTTTCTATTATAATTACTGGTTGCCTGCAGCCTTTGTGTCTCTCTGTGCAGAACAGAGATTGTGTGGGGGAAGAAATGAGAGATGACAATCTTCAGCACAGCGTGGCGCAAATACCTTTTATTTCTCAGAGATGTCTGCGGCCAAAGAAAACCTTGACTTCATATTAAACTGTTTTTCTTTTTTTTCTGTTGGCTCAGACTTGTTATTGTTGCAGGTTTTTATTCGCAATCAACTTCATATTTTCCATCCACTCAGTTTGATGAATACTCTTCACCTGAGATGGTGTGTGAAGACAGAGAGAGGTTCATTAGACTGCATTTAATTTAAAAGTAATTACATATACAGGTAAATTTAATGATTGACTTTAAGCTTCAGTGCTATCCAAACTCATTTAAATATCCAATATTGATTAACCTTCAGACTTTAAACTAATGATTGAACTCCCTTATTGTCTATTATGAGCCAAACTCATATAATTTCTTCTCTCCTAACAGATCTGTTCGCTTTTTTCTCTTTTTTATGATATTAAAACACTTAGATTTATTCAAATACAGAAAAAAATATACATATGTACCAAAATAGAAAAGCAAGAATATCAGCAGTTATCAGTAATCAAGAAAAAATAAACAAGTAAAGGATGAGAATCGATAAGGTTTGCCAACACATCCATTTCTTCCAATCCTTCATTAATTCTCTTGTCAATTTCTGTAAATTTCCTGTATGGAAAAAAGTCCGCCTTTGTGAACGCCATTTTATTCTGAGTTACCTTCACTATTCTGAGACAGGCCAGTCAAGCATCTTATTAGGTCTTCACAGGTGGCCTGGTGGCAGATAAAGCATCTGATTGGTCACCAGACAACGATAAACATGGCAGCCTTTCATTAGCATTGTTAGCTAACAATAAAAGGAAAATAAATATCTAACATTTTAATTTTTACTCTCACTGCACATTTTTAAACCTTTGTCAGTCTATCACGGGAAGACGTGTGGTAAAGTTAAAATGTTTAGTCTGTTTAAAGGTATTCAGATTGAGTTTAAATCCAATTTCCACCAGACTGTTTGAATATTTAAAGTGTTTCTCCTACTGATTGTCCCTGTCTTTCTTTCCTCTGTCCTGCAGGGCTTTGAAGACCCCAAAGACAAGTGAGTACTGACTTTACCTCAACATCCTTTCTTCTTTGTTTGCTTTAATTCTTGTTCTTACTTTTTCCTCTGCTTTTAAAAGAACAAAAAGAAACAAAAGACCATTGAAATCATCACGAACAGACTTGAGCGCTGAAGGGAAATGTAGCTGACACTGTTAATGAGAGGTGGGAAGTTTAAATTAAGCACTTTTGAGTGCCTGTATGAGTCACTAAGGGGGGTTATAAAAGGATGGCTGTGACAGAGGTAAGTTTAATACCAGAGAAATCTCTAATCAGATCACACTGCTGGAGCATTTTAACTTTTGTCCACATGTCTGTTCACGTCTGTTCTCCTGTAACCCAAAGATTTTGTTTTGTGTTTTTATAAATACATTTTTTTTAATTAAGAAAAATGAGTGCGCCTGAAAGACACAAGCTTGAGAGGCTTAAAAATCAAATTCAGTTCATGTTTTACACAATAACCAAAACAATAAGAAACAATAAGAGATATATTACTTACTTAAATCTTGACATACTGTATGTATCAGTTTGTTAAAGTATACTTTAAAGGAATCCAGTAAGACAGTTTGTAAAGCGTTGATGCTGTGTAGTTGACAAAGGGGTAGGATCTCATAAGTCTTGACTTCACCCTACTCCTTTTTGAACATGATCATGATATTGGCCGATTATTGCCTGTTAGGCTTGTCTTTGATTTGATTGGATTTTTTAATTTTTATTTATTATTATTACTAATATTATTTTCTTTTCATAAAGCCTTGTTTTTTTGTTTTTTTTATTACTTCATCATTATTTTTATCATGTCCAAATAAAAATAAAGATTTAAGCCCATCAAAATTGGCAGGTGAGGTTTAAGGTTATTTGTGTGAATTCATGGCACAACAGCGAGACAAATAAATAAAGTTAAGATTTAAAAACATTGAAAGGATCAAAATTATGACTGTACGTCTACATATACAGTCTTGAACAACAATTATAACCATAAATGGTTAGAGTTAAATTTCAACAACAGCTCTTACAGCATGAATCACATTTGCTTTGAAGTCATTTTTTTTTTTAACTCACATGAAATTATAGCACTGAAAACATTTCAGATAAAGTCATAAATAACATTTATGGTCATCAGGTTTTTGCATGAGATGTATTGTACTGCGTGCAGCTGGTGTAAAAACCCAAACAGAGCACAGATGGTAACAGTGATTCATTGTGCACCTGGTTGTTACTGAAGCTCTGAAAGGATGCTGTAAGGACTGTGCTGTACAAACAGTTCCTGCTGTCTGTTCTCCACCATGGACTAAAAAAAAACATCTTATCTTGATAAATGAAGCACAGTTGGTGAAGAAGCCCTTGAACACACTTGATCTGTATGTATGCATCAGATAAAAAATGTCCTCTACCTTATCAAGAAGAGTGAAGGATAGCTGACATTATTATTTCAGCTCTGTTATTAGAAGTAGGAGGAAATTCTGATCCAATATTTCCAAAACACTGTACTGTTCCAAATAGATAAGCTACATGAGTAAATGAGATATACAAACTGGAATTAAGGATACCTTTTAAGGATTTAACTCCAACTGTTTCAAAGAAATTCTTCTCACAGAAAAGCTTTTAGCTTTGCAGACACGACTTGTAACTGGGTCATTTAGTGGGTTAGCAGGGTCTGATCTTGCACATTTGGAGCCTGAGGCGAGCTTTTTCTGCAGTTGAAGTACAGCAAGTTAATTCATGAACGAATAACAAGCTCTGATATAAGAGAGAGCATCATAAATAAACAACCTCTCTGACGAAAATTGCAAGTAACATGCAAAATTAAGTGCAAGAGTGAATTAGACAGCAAATGTACTAAGCGTGTCTCAGTATACTGTTATTGAGAATAGCTGTCTTTTGTTAGATTTATTATTGATATAGTGCTAAATTTGAGCGTACAGTAAAACCGTGAGTTCATGGTGGTGGTTCTTTAAAGGTAGGGACCCACTGCGCAATGCAACGTCGAAATGACGTTTATATAACGTCTATATATTGTAATTTTTTGACGTCTAAATCACGTCTCCTGAAGGTGCAGAATTAAAGTTTTTTTGACATCATTTCGACGTCCAATTCTGACGTCTTGTGGACGTCCAAATCGGACGTTGACATGACGTGCAATTCTGGTTGAAATTGGCCATCAAAATCAGGTCCTCTGGAGGTGCAGAATGAGTTTTTTTTTGATCTGGTCTGGTCTAGACGTCTGAGTGACGTCTTGATGCTGTTGAAATTAGGTGCAGAATGAAAGATTTTTTTTACGTCCATTTATGACGTGGTCGAGACGTCTGAGAGACTTCTTGAGACTTGGTCAAAATGAGGTGCAGAATGAAAAAAAACTTTCATTCTGCACCTCATACTGACGGCGTCAAGACGTCTTTTCGATGTCCGTTGTTTGGTGTGGAGGAAGTTATTGTAGCACGCTAATTTTGTTTGGGCTTGTGAATGTTATTCGAGGAATTGGAGCGTGCCTCACAACGTGATGGAGCGGCATCTGCCTCACAACCAATCAGAATGGGGGAGGCAGAGAACGGCTTTGTTTACAGTCAGAAAGAGCGGGCAGCTCAGAAATGTGAAAATATTGACGACACAGACATAAGAGAACACAGTGATATCGTTATATTCCTAAATGTCATCAATAACTAATAGCTATTGATTGATATTAAAAGCTTTTTTGTATATACACCACAAAAAAAGGTGCGTCTTAAACGAAATCCTTCCTACCCCACCTTTAAGTGAAATTTCCTGCAGGATCAATAAAGTATCTATCAACCAGGTCAACCCGATCAAATCCTTGTGGTCTTTTTGTCACATTTCTTTTCGGCTTGAATCTCAACATGAAAAATCCACAAAGGAGAGCAGTGACACTTTAAAACACTGGAGGAGAGTTTAAAACAGAAGTCTGTCACTGCTCTAAGACCTGCAGTCATTCATAAAGAAGCCGTCCGCTCTTCCTCTTTAACCGCCCTTGACTGTTTGCTCTGACATCACACAGAGCCGGAGCGTCCCAGCTGACAGGCTCCGCTCTGGACTGCAGCACACATCCTGCTCCAGTGTGCAGACAGACAGCTTCTGGAGTTTAGAGCATGAACACGCTGCGTTTTTATCACGCTCCGCTAGAACCCATCACTGCTGCAAAATCACCGCTGAATTTGCAGCTGAGTGTTGTGGTGCAGTCAGACTCTCAGTCGTCACACATTTTACCTCCTTTTTTTATGAACTGGTGAGTCAGAGCCTCTGACCAACATCAGACCTCGAATGTTAACTAAGTTCTCATGGGAGGGAAACACAGAGAGGAATGATTTATTTACTAGTTTGAAAACTTCATGTCTGAGCCCCTTTTTATCTTTCCTTTATCTGCACTCTCCATCATTGCAGCTTTAACCACACAGATACAACTAATACAAATGTCCATATTATTGTCCATATTATCCACAATATTGGAAATGAGTCTCTAAGAAAGTCAAGTTAAGTGTATCTATCTATCTATCGATCTATCGATCTATCTATCTATCTATCTATCTATCTATCTATCTTATTTAGGTTTAGAGTTAAAAATATGCAAAAAGGAAAAAAAAAAAGACAAAAAAACAAACAATTTTTTCCTCCAAAAAAAAAGAGAATCCCTCAACTTTCATCTCAATCACTGCATCATTTTCACAGGCAGATAACACTTCAATCATTGTACACAGAATGGCTACTGCTGCTGCCCTCTGGTGGCGTAAAGGATCAGCATCTGCATTTCTTTGCACAATATTTCTTTTTCATTCTCCTGTTAGTTTTAGCTGCTTATAAATCGACTGAAACTAATAATATGCTTTGCACTGATGCCATCAGCAGATAGTCATCTTCTGTGTCACATCCAGGCTTGTATATCTAACAGCTAATTTCACAAAGGAGGTATTGGTTGGAATAATAGTCACCTGTCTGACAACCTCTGATTTTCTACTCATGGTAAGACATGAAATATATGCAGCATGGAAGTGTGCATCTCTGGGAGACAACAGCAACATGCAGTTTGTAAAACAAGATCTAAAAACTCTTCAAACATCTGAATAATAGACTCTGCAGCAGCTCTGACTTAACTTTCAACATGAAGTTCTTATTTTATTTCATGCATTTCTGTTTTTGCTTCTGCATTCATTCCCATAAGATCAGAACTCACACTCTTAACACAGTAATCACTGCGATCACAGCGGCATGACCGTCTCCATCAGCTGATTAGCACTTTCCAACAAGGCCGCAGAATCTCAATCAGCGAAAGTGACACTTTGCAGATTCTGTGATTAGTCCAAGATGAACCGCCCTATCAGGAGCTTTTAGGATTTAGTTGAGTGACGTTTTTTTAGGTCAATTGGTCCTTTTTTTTTCCCCGTGAGAAATATGACTGCACCTCAGAGCAGTTTGTTCATGTGACTGTGCTGTGACTTCAGCACATCTAAAAAAGGGAATTAGCCGCTGAGTGCAGATTTTTCTTGTAGTCTGAAGAGTCTTTTCTGTCATCTGGAGATACGATTGTGACCTGCTCTCATCTTGTGTTCTTCAGACATTTTATTTTCAGAAACACGCAGGAAAACCTGAACCCAGAGGACGAGGTGGACGAGTTCCTGGGCCGGGCCATCGACGCACGCAGCATCGACCGTCTGCGCTCTGAGCACGTCAAGAAGTTCCTGCTCACCTTCAGAGAGCCTGACCTGGAGAAAAAGGTCTGAACACAATCACACAAACACACACACAGTGACACACACTGCCAATTTAGCAGCAAATAATTGGCCGTGACAAGCAATCTTCCCTTTGCAGAAAGCTCCTCTGCTGCTCGCTCTTTTTGTGTCCCTGGAGGAAGTCAGTCAAAGCAGAGTAAAAGAGAGAAAGAGAGAGACTCGGGCTTTAAAGAGAGGGGAGACGGCTGCTAAAGGGAAGAGGAAGTAAAGTGTTTCAGACAGTGAAGGACAGGCTCAGAGGAGAGGTGAAGGCTCGGGTCGCTGCAGCAGAGTTTTGGGAAAACAGGAAAAGTTTCAACTTTGAATTGCTTTCTTCCTGTCGTGGGGAAAGAGTCAGAAAGTAAAGAGCAGATCAGAGGGACAATTTGTGAGCCTTCAGTTTGCTGTGGAGGAGAAAGTTTATTTTTCTGTATTTCAGGGGATCTTTAAGAGGAAGATGTATCAGGTCTCTGTAAAGTTGATGTTTTAGCTGTCTCTGAATCTCTGGAGTTTTTCTGATGATTCAAAACTTCCACTTATAACTGTACTTGTTTTCAAAATAAGAAGAATGAAGTCCGTAAGTCTGTTTGTTGTGGCTTTTGTCAATTAGCGATAATGAAAAACAAATCTGTGCTGACAATCAAAGGAACAGTCCCAACAGATTTAGGATGAGATGAGTTTATATACAAAGTTAGATAAAAGATTAGAATTATAAAAGCTTCCAGAGTGTTTTTTTATGTTTTATATTCTGTAAGGGTAATGAAGAAGGCACTTTTTTCACATTTAAGCAACTTTAAGTGCATCCAGTGGGCTACATTTTTACCTTTTTCCACTGGAGGGAATCCAGGGGGCATATTTTTATTCCTGTCCTCCAGCAGGTCATTCAGACGGCACTATTTTTTGATTTATTGTTTTGGAAAGCAGTTACTCAAGACATTTTCATGCTTTTTCCATGGAAAGAGTTCCAGATAAGACATTTCAAAGTGCATTGTTTACTACAGGAGCCTCAAAGAGGGCATGTTGGTTGTGTTTAATCAGACATGAAGGCACCAGGTGGGGCGATCTGTCCCCTTGTCACCTCACAGCACAGGTCCTGGGTTTGAATCCGGGTCAGGGCGTTTCTGTTTGGGGTTTGCATGTTCTCCCTGTGTCTGCATGGGTTTACTCCAGGTACTCCGGTTTCCTCCCACATCCCAAAAACATGCCTAAGTGGGGTTAGGTTAATTAGCCACTCTCAAATTTCCCCTAGGTGTGAATGTGAGCGTGGACGGTTGTTCGTCTCTATATGTCAGCGCTGTGATGAACTGGCGACTTGTCCAGGGTGTTCCCTGCCTTCGCCCGAAGATGCTGGGATAAGCCCTGTGACCCTGGGAACGGGAATAAGCGGTAGAAAATGGATGGATTTTTTGGGGGTAATTTTTGCCTTTTATTGATAGGACAGGGTGAAATGTGGAGAGATAGAGAGAGAATGGGGAGGACATGCAGCACACGATCGGGGCCAGACTTGAACCCAGCGACTGCTGCGGGGACTGTGATCCCCACACAGGGGGCGTACTAACCCGCTCTGCCATCTGTGTGCCCTGACTGTTGACTTTTGGTGAAAGTCTTAAGCATAAACATTTGTTACTACATGATGCAGAAACTAAAATAAATATAATCATCACTAATGCTTCATTCTCCTGGTCTTGTTTTGTCTTGCAGTACTCCAAACAGGTGGACTCCAGGTTTGGGGCGTATGTGGCCTGTGCCTCCCTGGTTTTTCTCTTCATCTGCTTCATCCAGATTGTCATCGTGCCTCCGTGAGTTCACTCACTAATTCATACCTCGCCGTTAAAATCTCCCTTTTTGATAATTAAAAAATGAGACGACAGTGATTTGGCTCCACAGAGCCGATTCTGTCATTAGTGTCATTTAAGCAGCAGCAGGCTGACAGGTGCTGAAATCATCCACGCGTCGCCTTTATGCTAACATTACCATCCACTGTCCAAAATGATGCGGAGAGTCTGAAGAGTTGGAAAACAAGAACTTTTGATGCGAGTTAAAACGGATGAATCAGTGACAGAGCCTTGGTGTTTGTCTCAAACTTACATAAGAAATGATACAGGAGAGATCTCACATCTCAAGGACGGTTTTCACACAAACATAAGGGGGATTATAAATCTCTCCAGTGAGTCAGATGTTCAGACAGGCTGTACATGCATTGACAGTGTCAGCAAAAATATACACACCAAAACATCTCATCTGTGAGCTGGATAGATTTTACCTTGGACCATTTCATTAAAGGTATTAGTTTGCTGTCTGTCTGTCTGTCTGTCTGTCTGTCTGTCGGATGAATCCATCTTTTGAATTTTGGATGCAATAACGCTGTAACAATGATAAACTTGTCATACTTTGGGAAACTATTTCACCACCAGACCAAGAAGACTCATACAGACAACAAAGAGCATGGAGACATCAGAAAAACAGAGACTGGCAGCAGATACACAATAAACACAGTAAAGGCAAATGAAACATGATTTAAAAGTGGTACAATAAAAGATAAGGACAGGATTAAATACAACAAAAGCCTGATAAAAATGAATAAATACTAAAATAAATACCTATACAAACTAAGCAGCAGCGCCAAGTAAGACCCTAACAATAGACAGAAGTTGTCTATGCTGAAAATCCACTTATCCGATTCTACATCATCATAAGTCTACGTCCAAAACAAGCAAAATACAATAACTACACAGTTAAACCGTCTTTATCTATAATTTCTTAGATTCAGATGAGACCCCTTTTTTCAGTGTTGCTTTAGCCCTCACAGTATCCATACTAAGTCTTCAATCTTTTGCCTCGCTCCAGAACGAATCGAAGTGAAGAAAGTGGACTTTCATACCACTCTATGCAGAATAGAGCAGTAATAAAAGAAAATATCAAATCAAAATCCATGCAGTTTACAGACAGACTCAAGACGCTGCAGGCAAACCCTCTATCTCTTTATTTTATCCCTCCCGCTCTCTCAGACTTTTCTCTCTCCGTCTGTCTCAGTATTGATCTTCTTTAGTCGTCTCTTTATTAACCTTTCTCCACGCTCCTTTCATCACAACACTCTCCCCTCGTCTTCCTCAGAGCAGCTCCTGTCTTCTTCCTCAACGTCTCCTCTTTCTCTCTTTCTTTCTGTCTGTCTCTCGCTCTCATTCTCTCTTCGATAATTTAATCATTTCCCCTGTTACTGAAATTAAATAGGCTGATGCTGCCACTTCAATAACAGATGTATTTACAGAAGTTCACATAGCGCTTCGACAAACAAGTCGATCACAAAATTTAGAAAGGAAAATATTAAAGACATTGAGAGAGGCTGGGAGATAATGTGCCGTCGATAGGAAGTTACGCTTAGAAGACAAAAGATGTAAGAACGCAAAGTGGAAAAAAGGGTTTGCATTTAAAGGCATGAAATCAAAAGGAAATGGATCAGGGAAAATACAAGTAATTTAAAGAAACAAAAAAAAATGTTTGGAATAGAAAAATTAAATATAGAAATATTCATTAATAGTCAAAGGAATCAAAAAATTCAAATAAATCAAATTGATGTAAGTAATAGAAATAAAAGCAAGATAATTTTATTTGTCGTTACCTCCGCCAAGGAGGTTATGTTTTCAGTAGCTTTGGTTTGTTTGATTGTCTATTAGCAACTTTACGGAGAAAGTTACAGACGAGTTGACCTGAAATTTTCACCAGAGGTGCGTTTCAGCCCCAGGAGGATCCCATTAAATTTCTGCTGAAAGATAACCAATGGGCAGCACAGTGGTGTAGATAGGTGGCACAGTGGTATAGTGGTTAGCACTGTCGCCTTACAACCAGAAGGTCCTGGGTTTGAATCCAGGTCAGGGCATCTCTTGTTTAAGGGGGGACATGAGCTGCTTGGCGGAGGTCTGCGCTCTCCGAGTGCTTTTCTAGTTTGTTTTGGGATGGTGGCGTTTGTTTGTTTCAATGTTTGTTGGTTTAACATATGTATTCATTTAGTTTTGATGTAGGTTTGTTGTGTGTATTCCTGTACTGTTTGTTTTGTTTTTGTTCTGTTTTTGCGACATTTGTGTTGGTGTGTAAATGTTAGTTGTGGTGCAAAATTAATAAAATGCTTAAATGGAAAGTAAAAAAAAAAAGACAAATTTAGCAGACTAACAAGCTGCACAAATTTGAGAAAAATATATAAGTTGCACATTTGTAATGGTGAAGTGTGAAACAGAAATAAACCCTGCCTGTTTCTGTTTGGTCCGCAGCTCCAGTCTGAAGATCGGCTTCTTCATCACCTGTTTCATCATCCTCACAGCCGTCATGTTTGTCTCAACCGTGTACTGCTGTTTCGGGGTGAGTTCACTCTACCTCTGATGATTCAAATCACAGAATAAACCTGTAATTTTGGTCAGATCAAACAGGTTTGGTGTTAGAAGAAGACAGAGAGGTTTTTACAGAGATTTTCCTACACGGACTCAGATTTGTTAAATGATTCTCAGAGATGTCGTGGTGAACAGAGACGGACTAGTTGGTATTTCTTCACTCAGATCTTGGGTTTCAGACATCACAGAGACAGATCTGTTGAATCTTTCATCAGTCTGGGGTTTTGATGTTTTCCAGATGGTGTCAGGAGTTTGAACATAATCTGCTCTTGACCTTGCAGCATGTTTTTTTCTCAGATGAGTGCTGATGCAGAGTGCAGGTGGCCCCTTCAGACTCCACTTTAACAGACCACAATTTTAAAATCACCAGAGACACACTTGAAAAATCTCATCCTTACAGACTGTCAGATGCTTGTCAGTGCTCTACTACAAATCTATCTGTAAATAACAAAAGAAAGTCCGAATTGGTTTGATTTTTAAGGAGGAGAAGGACAGTTCTGGATAATCCATCTCTCCTTTTTTCTTATAATTAATAAAAATACCCTTAATAGATAAATAAACATATCAATAAGCAGGATAGTTGAGATCATAAACGACTGAGCTTACCTCAATTCAATAACTACCCATTTAAGAAGTGATTGTTTTTCCTTTTAAGGACAGATCTGACAAAGTTTGCACTTTTACTTTTTATACATCTATATGAAGGTGTAATGTACTGATTTTCATCTCCCCCATCAGTCAAGAGCTCAACCATTTTTCTCCTGTTTTTGTTGATAGTATAAGCCTGATCTGTATCTTTGATGGACTCTAAGAAAATCAAAGAAAAACAGCAAATATGAGTAAAAGTCAGAGCTAACAAGACAAACTCTGGAGTTGTTTGAACTACATCTGTCTCCCACAATATCTGACATACTTTAAGAGAAAAGTGGAGCTTATTCTACTGATGTGACAAATGTTTTAAGGAAATGTTTCTTTGTGCACATCTACTGAACATAAACACTGAAAACTGAGCTTTGCCTGTCAGTCTAATAATTAACAATACTTAACAAATGTTACTCAGACTCTGATCAACATGAATTATTGAAGGAATAAAGGGGGAAAAATGCTAAATCAGGGCGGATACATAAAATAACATCCCTAACATTAACATCCATCATGTTCTTCTTCTCCAGCTCTTCCCAGCACCCCTACAGACCCTTTCTAAGAGGATTGTCCAGTCCAGACTTCACAGCACACTGGTGGGCGTCTTCACCATCATCCTCGTCTTTCTTTCTGCCTTCGTCAACATCGTAAGCTCTCCTTATACTTCACATCCCTCAGGGTTTTGTCAAATTCTAATTAAAAAAAGACATACTCTGATGGGTTGATTTTTGAATCACTGATTCTTACCTTTGACGTGGTTCAGTTCACCTGCAGCAGCCACGATCTGCGCAGCTGCATCAGGGAGGAGCTTAACATCAGTCTGAGCAGTGTGAACGCCTGTCACGCTCACCATCTCAACTTCAGCCTGGACGCACAAAACTCCACCTGCGGAGGCGCCGCCCTCATCTGCAGCTTTCCTGAGGTACAGACATGCTTTTTTTCTGTATGTGTGTGTTTGTGTGTGTGTGTATTCACTGTGTATGCACTTTAGGGTCTCTGAGTCCTGAGCTGTTAGTTGACAGTGAGGTTATTACAAATTAGACTTGGACAAAGTACAAATTCATTGATTTAGGTTATTTCTAAAGCAATAATCACCATGTCTATTTTTTGACAAGTGTGTTGATCAGATATGTTCTAGATATTCATGCAATAGCTGAAGACTTAAGGGTCCCTTCAGCTCTGCCACAGAATGAATAAAAACCAGCAGCTAAGAATCAAATTGAAACACACCATGTCTTATCTGAGTTTGGATGAAGCTTTTGGCTTTGCTTAGTGTTGAAATAAAACCAGCCATGTCATGACAAAACTTGGTACATAGTCTTCTAATCAGTCGTCTACTTCATGGATGAGATGAGACTGATATAAATATATGTATACATATATGTATGTGCGTGTTCATGCTTGAATTTGAGCTGATTCCAACCGGAAGACTGACGTCAGGGGAAAATTAGTTTAGACAGTTTAGTTTATTAATTTAGTTTATTAGTTTATTCGGACAGGTTAAAAGAAAAACAAAATAAATACAATATACAATGTGCTTTGGCAGAAAAACAATTAAAGAGACAGCTCTGTAGCAACATAGACAATCATATTTTGTTCGAAAGGGTTTAGGATGACGTTGATAAAACAAATCTAGTTCTACCCCTTTATTGTTGTGTTATTGTAATTTAATCGGTCAGAGCATGTGTAGAAATATCAGTTATAAATTCATGTTTCTGTTACATGAATTTATAACACTACATAAAGATAAGTTTGAACCTGCCTAGCGATCTGCAGGTTTTCATTTCTTTGCTGCAACTGTTCCACAGATTAACTCCTTTGATTGATATACGGTGCATTTTTTGTGTTTGTACGTACAGGTTGTTTTTTGAAAATGCATACTCCCCTGAGAAAATAGCCACTTTAGGATCATTCTTCCTTGAATTAAAGCAAACAGAAATATTCAGGGTGACATAACAATGCCCCTGTAATTGATCGTTTGCTTCCTAATTCCTGTGCTTTAATTCTAGCAGTAGCAGAGCAAATGGATACTAAGTGAGGCTAATTGTTGGTTTATATGTCAACATTTGGCTTGCACAGTTACCTTTAAGTGGTCAAATTGTAGTTTTATTGCACTTTATTATACTTCTAGATGTGACTCATTTACTCAGAGCCATTTGAAACAGGAAATAAAGCCTCGATACCAAACATAAAAGCAAATGTACCTTTTCTAACAACCCCTCTTTCTGTCCCTCTTCCTCAGTACTTCTCATCCTGCGTTCTGCTCAGCCTCCTGGCCTGCTCCGTCTTCCTGCAGGTCAGCAGCATCGGTAAACTCTTCCTCATGCTCTTCATCGAGCTGCTCTACCTCCTCGTCATGGAGGTGCCCGAAGTGAGCCTCTTTGACAACCAGGACCTTCTGGTGATGGCTAACGCTGTCAATATAGTGTAAGTCCAGTCATTACAGGTCTACGCCAGTTATGTCCAAATGCATGCTTTCATTCTTTCCACTGATTGGCTCTCCTCTGTTCTTCCCCACAGTGAGCGAATCAACGGAACAAGGTGAGCGTGATGTCTGTGATCTAATTTAGCTAACAGGGTCATTATCACTCTACTAGCGCAAATGTAAATATAATGGCCCGCCGGCAACAGATGCTAACACTAATGAGCTGAGATTTGGAGCTAGCTTGATTTGTGCCCCTGCAAAGTGCATCTTAAAACCCATCCAGTAGATCTTTATGTAACACCTGTATGTTTAAAAGCCTCAGCACTCAGCATTGAAAAAAACCTCATGTGTGTTTTGACCTCCAGCTGTGTGATAGACAACAAGGTTCCTCTGAAGATAATGACCCCGGTCGTCATCACTGTCTTCGTCCTCGCCCTCTACCTCCATGCACAGCAGGTGGAGTCTACAGCCAGACTAGACTTCCTATGGAAGCTACAGGTCAGTGCGTGTTTAAGTGTGTGTGAAGACGCGTTACAAGACAAAAAGCTGGTCCCTGCAATATCAATAATCAACCGCTATCTGCAATAAACTAATAATCGCCACTTACTTGTTGAAGAAGATGTGGGTGCCAGGGGTGGATTCAGATAATAGCCTAGGGGTGCCCAAACCCTGGCCCCCCTTCCTGAAATTTGATGATATATATATGTATTTTTTCTTTCTTTATTTAGAAGGGACAGCGCATATTAATGAACATATAAATGTAAATATGCCGTAAACTGACACACATCAATGCACCAATGACAAAAAATAAAATTAAATTAAATAAATAAATAAAAAATGGACACTGATTTTCTAAAATATTATGTTTGCTTTAGCATAGATCAGACTTCTGTTACAAATAGCTAGTTTGGCCACTAGCTGTTATAAATGTGATGTAAGATAAGATAAGATATTCCTTTATTAGTCCCACAGGACTGATAAAGGGACAGGAAAGTTCCAAGTTTACAGCAACATAAAAACAAAAAGAGAAATTAAAGGTTGAAGAAACTTAGAAGAGTTAAAAAAGATATATTCATGAATGTTATTTACAGCTGTTACGTACAGTTTTGGAAAAAAAGTTGGAAAATTTGAGATACTTATATGTTTGACTAAACACACAAAATATGCACGTCTGTACAGAACATATATATATATATATATATATTATACATACAATAATAAGAATATAAACTGTATATATGTGCTGCTTCCTTTGCAATTCAGTGCAGTGCTTTCACTGTTGGTATTTCAAACTGTATCTTTAAACAAATATCTTCATTTTTTATTAAGATAATGCTCTTATTAGTTGCTGCTTTGTTACTTTTTAACTTATATTCCTATTTTATGGTATTTTTGCAATTAATCTCATACTAATTTAAGAAATAATGTGAAATAAATGAGGCAGTGATTTTTTAACCAACAGAGCCCTCCATTTTATGATGACACGATTTTTATTTTGTTGTCACTAATTGATGCTATGAGAGAGCAGGCTTCGACTTGCAAGAAATGACTAGAACCCATCTCCGTTGTAAACAGGCCACAGAGGAGAAGGAGGAAATGGAGGAGCTTCAGGCCTACAACCGTCGCCTCCTCCACAACATCCTCCCCAAAGACGTGGCCGCTCACTTCCTACAACGAGAGCGGCGTAACGACGAGCTCTACTACCAATCCTGTGAGTGTGTGGCGGTCATGTTCGCCTCCATCAGTAACTTCTCGGAGTTCTACGTGGAGCTGGAGGGAAACAACGAGGGAGTGGAGTGTCTGAGGCTGCTGAACGAGATCATCGCTGATTTTGACGAGGTAAGATGTGACAAACGCAGGAAAAAGTGAAGTTTGTGTGAGAGAATCAGGGGCTTTTTGTTTGTCTAATCAAGCCGAGGGACCCTTTTTCAAAAAGTTCAGGGGAATACTATGAAACCGTTTTTCTAGTGAAGCTAACAAAGTAATAGAATTCTCCCTAGTCTTGATTTGAGAGCAAATTACGAGTTATTTGACTTATTTAAAGAAAGACCATTCATCAACAGACCAATTCAGCAGTCTTATAAAGAATCAGGAGTCATTTTCAAGAAAAGGACGTCAAATAGCTTTTAAAATCTCTACCTTACGGGTTAGAAATTGTTCTCCTTCCACTCTCAGATCATCAGTGAGGACCAGTTCCGTCAGCTGGAGAAGATTAAGACCATCGGCTCCACCTACATGGCGGCCTCAGGGCTCAACGACTCCACGTATGATAAAGCGGGGCGCTCTCACATCCGGGCTCTGGCTGACTACGCAATGAGGCTCATGGACCAGATGAAGTACATCAATGAGCACTCCTTCAACAACTTCAAGATGAAAATAGGTGAGCTGCAGATGCTGGTGGAGTCAAGATTCTTACAGATTCATATAAATGAAAGAAGCTGGTAATCTTTGAGGAGTTAGACTCGTATAAGAGCCATGTTGGTGCTGAAGAGAGTAAGATGCTGCTATCTGCCAACCCTCTGCGTCTAAATCAGTTTGTTTGGCTGTCAAAAGAATTCGCTTTATGTCCTTTCTTAGGTCTTAACATGGGCCCTGTGGTTGCCGGGGTGATCGGGGCCAGAAAGCCTCAGTACGACATCTGGGGGAACACAGTGAACGTGGCGAGTCGAATGGACAGCACAGGTGTACCGGAGAGGATCCAGGTAAACTGAAGAGTGCCAAATTTTTGAGAGAACAGAAAATATCATTTGGCATCGTGGGGTTTTTTATCAATCAGTTTTGATCAAAAACTAGAAATTGTATCTAATGTGAATAAGCTCTGCATAAATTCACACATGGATCCTGGCAAGAATTAGACACCTTCTTGTCAAGTTAATGAAAAATCCGGTTCATCAAAAAATGCCACACTGGGTTCATTCAAAGCTCGGGGGGACTGAAGAAACTCTTTCTTTTCGTCTCATCTGTTGCCAGAAACCATTAACACCAGAGCAAATAGAAACCAAGGCTTGAAGAATGATGAATAGAAAACTGAGCAAGCAACAGCATGACATGAAGCAGCTCAGCTGTGGAAAATAGTAATCACAGTTTACAAAAAAAACAACTAGAGAAAATATTGAAAACAGAAAAAAAAGGCTTGTGTTATTAATGTTCAGTGCTCCTTCAGCATCGGCTGTTTTATGTGACTATGATCGCTGATCTCTGCTGAAATGCCTCAATTGTTTTCATGAATGTGTTAATCAGTGTTGCATTTTTATCACCAACCAATCGAAATCAAGAAGGGGTGGGACTTAGGGTATCAACTTTCTTTATAACAACAGTGAAGGTCCCTAAGAAAGAGACGCTTACCACTTTTGTTTTTAGGAGGTACAGTACCGATTTGACAGGATAGCTGCAGTTTTTACATTTTCTCAAAAGTTTTAGTGGAAATATGAAGCTGAGCATTTCATCTAATAGTCTTAATAGTAGGGGTGGAAGAAAAAAATCGATACAGCATGGTATCGCAATATTTTGTCTGGTTTATCGTATCGTCTCATTTACCAAAAATTGATTTTTCAAATTATTTGTTCATATGAAGTCAAATTTATGATAATGAAAAAATAAAATCAACTGCTTGTCCAGTGAAGTTGGCAGAGGTGACATCGTAGAGCAGGAGGACATTAGTGCAACAAATATAGCAGCACCTGGAGAAAGACATTAGGAATGCAACAGGGCCCAAATGAGATGGACTTGGTACATTAGGTTTGCAAGATGTGCTACATGAATATAAAATAAAGTGTAAATAAGACAAATATAAAGGAAAGACAAATGCTAAATTAGCTTAACAGTTGAAAAAATTGTATAAATCGCAATGGTATCGTATCATGGCCCAAGTATCATCATAATATCGTATTGTGGGGCCACTGGTGATTCCCACCCCTACTTAAAGCATGTAATGGACACTGGCCCTAACTTGCATAAGGTTTTGTATTTTGCGCCAAAAATCAAATCAAATTTTTAAAAAAGTAATAATAATAAAGGGAGACCTCTTCATGATGTTCCTTTCTTCTTCTGTCCTCAGGTAACAGCAGACCTGCACCAGGTACTGAGCTCCTATAACTACACATTGGAGTACAGAGGCGTGGTCACAGTCAAGGGCAAAGGGGAGATGATGACGTATTTCCTCACGGCTGGACCACCCAGCAGTTAACCCCGACTGAAGCCCGTTTTAGAGACAAATCACAACCCAACATGACAAGCAGGCTCAAGGACCTCTGGTAGCTTGCTGCGGACTGAGACTGACTCAAGTGTCGCTTCTTAAAGCGCCAGCACCTACCGAGGCCAGGACAGGGACGGATGATAAAAATCCCCCCCTAAAGCTCAGCCTGTGGAGGAGACTATCAGCGGCACAATCTGCCACTGAGACCAAAGATGTGCAATTAAGGTGTGCAGACAGATTTTGCCGGCTGTGCAAATCGAGATCCTTAAGGACTGTGTTCTTGAATGGATTAAATTTACATTGCTGAAGGTTCAGAGGAGAAACCTGGACATGAACTACATCACCTCCTCTCTTTCTCTTTGCCTTTCTCCTGCTGAAGTTTATATGTACATGTAAAACACAGAGTTTTATGTGTATGGATATGATTTTAAAGTACTGTATGCGAAACACATGTTCTCTATAACGTCTTGATACAGGTACAAAACTCTGAAGAGTGGACACTCAGCCAGCAGCACAGCACTACGCTCTTTTGAAATATCAGATCATATTGACAAACAGATTAAAGGAGGCAGTAAGTTGAAGTGTGTGTCTTTAAGAGAGTTTAGAGGTTGTTTGAGAGGATTGAGTGCCCCACAGTGTTTACAGAAAGTGTCAGATCAGGACAATTCACAAACGTACACTACAGTATCGTCAGCATATACACACACCAAACATAAAGAGGATGTCACTTAAGAGCTTTTTCTATTCTTCGACGTTTTGTATTTTGACTCCAGAACACCAAACCCTATCAGATATTTTAAGAATTTATATTTTCTACATTAATATATTAGAGAGCTATCTATAAACACCAATGTGTATTCAGATGTACCAACTGTATCACTCTCATGTCGGAGCTTCAGAGGTCCTCACAGGTGTCTAATCTGAGGGAGGTCCTATTTAGCCCATCAGAACGCCTGCTTTCCCTGCTCTTTTCACAAAAATGAGCTCTTTTGATCTGCAGGAAGTCAAACGTTTCAACTGATTCCCCTTCACTGGTCTGTTTGAATCTCACGTCGAGAAGGAAATGTCAAAGCGAGTGAGTGCACTCTATGAAAGACAGACTAGAAGGCAGCAGTAGAGAAGTCTCTTTTGCACTCCAGTGCATCCAGCCGTCCACTCCTTCTCGCGTCGCTCCACCCCTGCCTCCCCTCTTGCTTGCTCAATCAGATGGTACGACCCATTGAATGTCTAATGATCTCCGATGAGGCCTTTAATATGAACTCTGTACTGACGATGGTGATGATGCTCATCCTATAGATTGGGACTGCTGAGCACATGTGGAAGTGTGTCCTTTTATCTGCTGTTTTTGGTTTCGTTTGTTCTGATCAGAGCAGTTTTCTTCAGTATTACAGCATCTCTCCACATTATCAAACTATCTGTCTGTCACCTTGCTGACTTTTTAGGTTTCTGTGATGTTCTTACCAAACATTACAGCTGGTTCTGTTTGTCTCATTTGGGTCACAGAGAGCAAAAAACATCTAGACAGAGTTTGTCAAGTTTTTGTGAAGATAATGAAAAAGTCAAAATTCATGGTGTACTTTTCCAGCTTCAAAACTTTATTCTAAAGCTCCTATGAGGGGCTTTTTGTTAGCGTTGATTTTGGCGCCCCTTGTGGTCAAAGTTATACCTCTGTGGATCTTCTGTATCCTTTCAACTTCTTCAGTCAGTTTCATAGCCATCAAAAAACTCCTCAAAGGAGCTTTAAACTCACTTTACTAAAATGTAGCACAGAGGAAAACCTCATAGACAGACTTTAGACATCACAAAATGTTTATATCTAAATTATTAATTTAACCCAGTGAAACAAAAGGGCTGCATGGGACAGAACTGAAAGATGTAGATGAGTTTGCTGGACACTTTATGGATACATTTGGTCCTCTCGAGGGACATATAAAAAAGATCAGCACCGTCAACATTACTGAAGACTTATTTGTTTAGTTTTTGTTCCTGGTTTCATAAGAAGAACTTGACTCTCTGTCCAAATGTTTGCTGTGAGCCTGCGGTAAGAAAACAAGCTTGCACTGGTCTTCTCTGGTGGTTTCTCTGTTAATGTACTGTACTGCTGCAACCATTGCTTTTTACACACCACCACTCCATGTTTTAATTGTCCTCCCGCTTGACTCATTGAAGGCAGTGCCATTGTAAGCTCGAAGTGAGCCCCCTTTTCTACTGATGATTGCAGGAATGTGCCATTGTGGGTTTTACAGATGGCACTGAACAGATCTGGTTAGAGACTGTCAGTTTAAAGAGAAGCTCACTACTTTCTACTTCATGATGAATCTTATAAGGGGAGAAGGTGAAGCAGAACTTGACCAACAGCTCAAGAGACAAAACAGGGGTTGTATTTGTTGTCATGCCAAACACTATGCTCTTTTTTTTTTTTTTTTTTACAGTCAAATAAACTCCTGAGATGTTTCACAGGTATGTTATGATATCATGTAGTTTCTTTTCTAGTATTCTGTTTGGGTTGGCAGCTCAGTTATAAATCCAGATAAGCTTGTGTACTTTAAAAAACAAACAAACTTAGATTTCAGCACACAGTGGCGGTTCTAAATCTAGCATGTAGCTGCCATGAACAGAGCTAGAACCAGGAGAAAGTCTAATTAATCCTTCAGACATATTCTCTACTGATACTGAAGGTATTCTGAAGACTTTGGGCTTTCTTTGTTTTTCATTCTTCCTCTTTCTTTCACTTCTATTGCTGCTACATTTCAACTTTTGATGGATTTTTGTCTGTCATACACTGGGCTTTTATAACTGACTGATCCCACTGAGCAATAGACCGCTATTAGACGTTTATTTTTTCTTTTTTTTGAGACCTAATTTCAATCGTCTAGATTCTGTATATTTTTAGACGGAATTCAGACGTTGCACTTTAACCCATTATTCGATAACTATTTATTTCAAAAAGCAACTGTGAGTTGCATAACTGATCTCCAAGTACTTAACAAAAATAATTGATAGCCATTGAGCAATATACAGTTAGACCTCTGTTAGACAGCTAGTCTAGACGTCTAAAAAACTTTCACTTTTAGACCTGTGATAGCCTGATTTTAGACCTGTCTAGGCTACATTTAGATGTCTATTGGACCTCTTTTAGACCAAAACATGCTCAGTGGGATACTATAAATAACATAACAAATCAGTCATTATTGGAGTGTATTTGCTGCTGCTGAATCGGTTGTTTTATTGATTTTACCTTCATTTAACAAGGAGAAATAATTTATTGAGATTAAAAATCTTTTTTAAAGAGTACTGAAATCAAAATACCCACTCTAATTTTACTTCTTTTGGGTAAAGTTTCCTTAATTTAATTATTCAAAGAAATACAGATGGCAGAGAAATCTCACTTCCCTTCTTCAGTTGTCTAAAGTGCCCCTATTTGGTCTTTTAACCCTTCTCTTAAAGTGTGATTTCACTCCTCAGCCTGATGCTGTGGACACACCGCTGAAACTCTGGATTCTTGTCTCATTTCTTTGGCTCACCAACAGATGGCAGCATCAGCACATCACTCAGTTTCTGCATGGAGTTCTTTGTCTCTTTTTTTTTCGTCATAAGCACAGTTTCTGTATGATGGAAGAGCTGGAAGGAAAAGTGCTAATTTGCTGATTAGCAGCCTGGGTGTTACTTCATCCATTACAGTTTAAATATCTGTATTTATACTGAAGTCAAATCACTGGCTATTACATCTAATGAGAATGAATTAGGGTATCGGTTAATGGTTAATTCAGTAATTAATTTAAGATATGTCTATAAGCTGCACATTTAAGGTCATTTCAGTGAATTTCCTGTTTGAAACTATTTAGACTAAATTTATGGACTTATAATTAAAAAAGAGGGCAAAGCTGAAGAAACAATAGTTTAGTGAGGCTTTTATAGGAAGAATTAAAGCACATGTTGGAGCAAGCAATCCAAAGCACTTAATATGTGATGATTTTGACCTTTTTGGTAGCAAACCTAGGGGATCATGAGTGTAAGCTTTGCCACAGAAGAACGTCTCCTCCACTGCCTTCCTCTCACAGCATGTTGTGCTCAAAACGCTCTTCAAGGAGTCGGTAATTTACACCTGCAGCACCCATTTGTTATGAAAATCTGGGTTGTTCCTGCTCAGGGGAAGAAAAAAACCCACATCCCCGCTCCATTAATCTACATCTGGAGGAAATTACTGTTCCTCGTAATGACACACCTACAAATAACATCGATTATAATCATCATATTCATATTACCTCTTGTGCCATCACTTCTGGAGGAAAAGCTGCAGTGAAAAGTGTCTGAATCACAAGGCAATCTGTTCCTTTTTATTTGATCCACAGGAGGAAAAAAAAAATCGAAGTATGACAAAGTGATTTCAAACCTCATCAAGCAGCTTAACCCCACATTAATTTACCTCGAAGGTCAGGTGAATATTTTTAAGGATTTAGTTGATTTATCCTCGTGGAGTTTTAACCCAATTCTTGTAACATTCTTCAGATCTCATGTAAAGCCTCATTTAGGACAAGCAGTGCCATAAGAACAATGACCATTTTGATTTTTCTTGAATAATGGCGATCATTGTGATGGTTGTGTTTCAGACCTTTTAATGTGCAATGCTCCCCAGACAAGCTCACACATGATGAGTCTGAATACAAAAGCAGATTGCAGAGAAGCAGATGACACCATGAATTAATGTATCCTCATGTGTAACGCTCACCCCCTGCAGATCTCAAATGTGCACTTTTCCTCTTCTGGATTTAACTTTAAACTCTGCATGCAAAAGGTTTTCAGAGGTTTTAATGCTACGATTCTCAGACGTGGAAATGATCACAATCATCCCTCTTCCAGTATGCATAAAAACCCAAGCTGATTTTCTCTCTTTCTTTTGCACAACACACCCACAGGACATGTTTACTGCTCTTGGAAAAGGCGAAATTGAACACACACCATCTGAGCCAGCGAGGCTTAGCTGAGATCCAGTCAAGCCTGAGCCATATTTTGAAGAGAGCGATGAGGTCATGTAGGTGTGGTTCCTGTGTTCAAGAGCACGACGATGAATCATATGAGGCTGAAGTCTTACAGTGATCCCCTGACAGATCTGGAGTGTCGATGCCAGATGGACATTAAGTGGATTTGCGTGGCAGAGCTCCTTTTTATTTGCAGTTTTAACTTCTTCCAGTTAGAGAGAATATTAAAAAAATACAGAAATAAAATCTTGGCACAACTACCGAGCTCGTAGAACAATGGACAATGAAAGAATGACTCAATTCTCCCCTCTTCTCCGTTTATTTTCTATCATTTGTGCAGGAAATTCGGAAATATTCCCATCATTCCCACAACACATCCCACTCTGCCTTATAACAATGAATGTGGCATCTCCTGACTGTAATTACACTGGATGTGAGCAGTATGCAAATGCCTGTTACAAAGGTAGACGGTGGGTTTTTTGTCATCCTTAGTGGCAGACACAATCACGGGGCTCGCTGGGAGGAAAAAAAAAAAAAACACACAGCAGCCAGAAGCAGCTCAGATGACACAGGCTGCCTCTGGCCTCGACAGCACAGCTACACATCTTTACCGCTGCCAACACAGACCTGTTTATTAACATAGTCACTTGACACTGGCATATGCTAGAGGCTGTGTGGGCGATGAAGGCGGGTATGAATGCAAACAGGCTGTTTGTGTCTGCAGGAGCTGCTTTGTGACAGCCAGGCGCCCCTCAGCTTGAAAAAAGTGAAGCAATCACAAAACGACAAATTGAGCTAATAAAATTTGCATAATCTCCACTGACCTCATGTCACGGCGCAATCAGTCAATAAATAAATAGTGAAATTAAATGTCTATAAAGTGACAAGAAATAGCAGAAGTTCAATCGATGGATCCTGAATACAGAATACATCCGGAACTGAGATGACAGACCGCACACACACACACACACACAGTCACACACATACACAGAAGAGGCAGCTTTACATCGTTTTAAACCAAGACCAGAGTCCTCCACCAGTTTGGGTACATTAGAGCACAGCTTCAAAAAAATGTGCACAAAACAGATTAAAAAAAAAAAAACCTTTGGCTGGATGTTAATGGACTGGTAAGAAAAGAAGAGAAGGAAGCTGAAATACAGTCAAAGTCAGGCATTTGAGACTTTAATATCTCCTTTTCCTTCATTTGTTTTTGCAGTCATGGGATTTCTAGATCATGTTGCACATTATTTTTTCAGCTGAGATTTATGAAGTCTAACTCTTGGACCTTTAGTTGAGTTAACTTGCATTGTTGGTAAAGCTTGAGAGAATAAAAGCTTGGCATCTCACCTCATTTTTGTCTTTGTGAATACAGCTAGAGACAGAAGCTGTAAAATATCAGGTAACGGCGACCAGTTTGGTTTTTTAGGCTCAGTACCAATGGTGATTATTAGTTCATGTAACAGATAGTCTATGCTTAAAACTGGTTTTAAAACGGTTGAAATTTATGCATCAACAGCATAAATTAAAACCTTTGTGTCAGAATTTATAATTTGTAATATTACAAACTCCGTTCCAACATTTGGCCTAAAAACCTTTGGCAACTCTTCAATAAAACCAGAATATTCTACATTATAAACAGAAGTTAATACTGAACTAGTTACACTAATGTTTTGTCATGTCTATCCAATCAGATAGTGTTGTGGGCGGGACACTAGGTGAGACACACCAGTGCCAGAGCCAAAGTGGTGCACGTTTTATCTAATTCATTTGATCTGCAATCAGTAAAATAAAAGGCCCATACAGATTATCAGCCAAATGTCAAATATCAGCCTGAATGATTGGCCAAGGCTGATACGTGGTCCACTCCAAATACCAAGACCTGTTATCAAATGCTTTGTCATAACATCGACACCAGGATGAGGTGTAGTTGTCGTAGTTATCTTTCTTGTTATGTTTCTACTCCACATTTCTATGGTAGCACAGAATGGACAAACTAGTAGCATCTAATTTTTTCTATTAATTTGGTGGCTGTTCATTAAACGCAGAAGAAGAAGAGGAAGAAGAGAGTGGTTGTTGTTCTGTGCAAAATAATTGGGATTGAAATAAAGGACCACACTTCATATGCACCACAGGAGCTTCATGTCCATCTATGCTACCATCACTTGAAATGTGGAAATTCATCAGCAAGGAGGGGTGAGCAAGGGAGCTTTTTAAATCAGAGTCTGACAACTAGATATTGCTCTATATTTGACAATCTGTGCCTTTGAGTGAAAATGATTTAATCAGATATTTCCTTGTTTAAAAATGTTTTTTCTCATCAGACAGGATTCTATTACAGTTAATTTTAATGTTTGTAAAGCTGCTTTATATTCATACTAAAATCAAGGCTTAATATCATTAAGAGGTTTTGAATTCTTGAAATTAAAATATTAAAGTCCAAAGCTTACATATTGTGGAACTTTTTGACTGGTTTGGAGGTTCTTACCTTCCAATGCAATCAGTTTGCATTATCAGTGGGTTTTAATCGCATATGTTTTTGGTTAAATGTTGGGTTGCATGTACAGTAACAGGGATTTGTTTACTTTAGAGCTGCATAGTTGATGGATGAAAATGTCGCAGGACTGATGCAGGACTGTGATCTAAGCTGCGGCTGACATGAAAGTTAAAGTAAATATCTGCGAATGGTGGGGATTAGACAACTCCTGAACTCCATCCATTAAATTCCATAAATGATGAGGGCTGGGGCAGAGTTTCTCTCTACGTCCACACTGAGCTCCGTCACTGTCTGCTGGTGCTGCCATGTGTTGCGGTTGCAAGATTTTGGTTTCTCCCTCTGAGCTGAGACGATTGGTTTTTGATTCGTCTTTGTCCCCAGACATCCAGGGCTGTCTCGGCTCCATTTCCAGGGCGTTTGCGAGACATCCGACTTGAAGTCTGTGTGTGTCCTCTGCGATACAAGTTTTTGTCAGACGTTGTAGTCCGGTGCTTTCCCCAGCGGTTGTCTCAGTTTGATTTGCAGAGTCATGAAGGCCCCCACGGCCACATGGAAGAGGATCTGCCACATGTTTCTCAGTTCATACAGATACATGTTTGACAGACAGATGAGTGCAAACGCCAGGAAGGACTTACTGTTCCTCCAGACTGAGAAGTAGGCAAACAGGTAGCACTGTAAGGAGAACAGCAGAGAGGAATTTGAATTCTGCAGAGTCTGTGTGACCGACATTGGCCGGTGACATGTTTTCATTTTGGATGTCCTTCATGGGACAATAAGTCTGCTCAGCAAGTAAGAAATCTGATAACTTTGTTCTCCCCCCACGAGCCGGCCAATTTGTGTTGCTCCATTAGGTATGAGGAGCTGCACAAAAGGAGCTGATGAAAATGTTTCAGAGAAGGTAGTGGGGTGAAAGGCACTGAGCTTTTGCTAATGTTAGTTTGGCTGACAGGCTGCTGAGCTGTAAAGTGCAGGGCTGTTAGTCAGCCAGTCAGCCGGTGACGGGCCGCTCTTACCGCAGACTATCACTTACCTGATACAGACAGGCCGCTGTGCCGAGGAAGAAGGCAATCACGTAATTAAAGTCTTCATCGTCATTCTGCAAAGAGGAAGAAAAGTGTTACTTTCAAGCACAAGTTATCCATGTTTGGACAAAGCATCAAGAAACCCATACGAAGAGAACATTCAGATATTTCTGTAATTTATTTCATAATAAGGTCTCATCTACTTACAAGAATACAAGGTGACATTTACAGAGAGAAGCGTGAATGACAAATGTCAGACTGACACCATTATGCAGCAAAACTGGATAAATTTACCTCAGTTCCAAATAAGTCGGGATGACGAACAAAAGGTTAATAAGAACAGACTCGGAAATCATTTCAAACCTGAATCTACGTGCAAAGACAGATGCTAAGAGGCAAAGCAGTGTTGTTATTTCGGTCTCAGCAGGTTTCTTCATCAGCTAAAGTGTGCGGGAGTTCCTTTTAAACTAAATTTGGTTTACCCTTTGGTGGATGGAACAACAAACTGTGTTCATAGACACTTATATGAGTCCATGCAGGGACTTCTACTACAGAGTCACATCTGTATTTAACGCAATGCTGGTGAGTGAAAGCTAAGCAGTAATATTTTAGTTGATATCATATATTGCAGACAATGTAATCTTCACTTTCTCTTCATTTTTACTTTGGGGAACATCACTCTTAATATTGTTAAAATGTGCTCACGCTGTCTCTCACAAAAGAGGTGAACCTACTTCCAACTTTACTTCTGCAGGTTTCAACAAGTCAAATTTTAGACTTTTTTCAGACCATAATGAATACAGTTTAAGATCCATTTTACATTCATACTGGTAAAAAAGTACAAAAGACATGAGAGGAAATCTGAACATTTTAAATCGACTTCAAATCAATCTTTATTTGTAAGTAACATTAACATATTTTTAAGACCTTTCAAATTTGTATTCAAGACATTTCATGAAGTTTTCAGAGAATTTTAGAAATTTTAAGGCCTTAAATTCAAATTATTGGATTTGAGACATTTTAAGGCTTTTTAAAGACCCAGCAGAAAGCCTGTTCTGAGAAACTCAGCTTCTTTAAGGATGCTCTTTTGTAAACCTGGTCATGTTACCAACCTTTTCTAATGAATGTAACTGGTGGTGAAATTATTATTTTTCTTAACAGTATACATTTTTTATACTTTTTTCAGTGTCTGTTGTCCCTGTTGCAAGTTTTCTGTTAGTGTTGCCAGAACCTAATTTAAAATAAGAATAAACTGTATTTTTAAAAACGTAATCAAGTTAGTCAGTTCTAACATTTACTGTGTTGGCTTGTACTATTTTAAATTAAATGTAAGGTTTAAGTTTATATTGAGCAAAATTCACTGCTTTTTGGTCATTTTTGTTATTAATGTTTATATACAGTATATGTTTATTAATATCTTATCAGATAATTTGGTACGATGCTAATGTAATGCTAATTTATTCAATCTGACTTTACTTTAGAACCTCATGATTCAACTTCCTACCAACACAACTGTAATGAGTCCCGCACTCAGGCGTGACTTTACAGGGCCACTTATTCTATTCTGACATCTGGTATAGTTAAGAGTATTTCTAATGACCTTAAATAACCCTTCTGATTCTGAGTTTTTTGCCCATAAAAAAGAATGACACCCTCCAATGTTGATTAAGTAGTGCACCATCTCCCCTGACTCCACTCACAACTCCACACAGTGCAAGGAAACACTCTGATTACATCCTGTCTGTGAATGCACTCACTGAGAAGTGACTTCTCCTGCTGAATGTGGGCCTAACTCATTCTGGCCGCTGTTTATAAAAGCTTTTAAGTGCACCTGGTTGATGCTAATGACACTCCAAACTACGCTGGTTTTGATAAGCCACATAATTACAATCAAGTCTTCACTCAAAGAGCCTCAATCTGTGTTTTTTTTTTAAAACAAAATTGAGGGGGGAAAAATGAAAAATTACAAGTTAGGTTTTTGAGTTTTTAGAGAACACGCTGCTGAAAAAGAGAGACAAAAAGCGGGTGCTTAACATCGGTGTGAAAGAAGAAAAGAGGAACATGTGGAGGCGAGAGGTGAGAGCAAATGTGCAGGTGTGTTTGGTGCTAGAAAACTGAACTGAAAGAAACCCTGACATCAGGAATAAGTATGTAAAAACAGAATTTCAATGGTTTCCACAGCTTCTCTGTACTTCAGTGGGGAGCGCTGGATTAAAAGGCCAAATCTATGACTTTAAGTCTCATGCTGTGTGACGGAAAAGCTGAGGCTGTTAAAATGTCACCTCAGCTCTACCCTCACCTGTAAGATGCTCTCTATGGCGTGGACTCCTCGCAGCAGGTTTAGGCCTCCACAGAGGACAGTGAGCACGCAGGACACGACGCCTGGAAGAGTCACTGGCTCCAACATCTGTTTTGGAACTGGGGGAGAGAAAATAAAAAAAGAACATTAGCACTGATTCAGCAAAATGATCTACTAATGAGCGACTCAAGTGCTATGAGGAAAAAACATCCTGCTTTAAAAAGAAACTAAAACTTTGTATATGTGACATGATATTAAATCTAAGACAAGAGTATGAATCCTCAAAAGAATTGATAAGCCAGGCGACACCGTCTGGAATTTTCCGTCCTCCGAAACATTCTTGCATAATAAAAGGAGTGATGCGTCACCATTATCAGATGAGCGTACTTTATCCTCCAGAACAAAATGATTTATGCTTCCAGAAACAAAGACTGACAAGGGCAACCAGCAGAGAGTGAACAAAGCGTGGAGGAGCCACTCTGAAGAGGATGTCGAGGGGGGGAACTTAACAACCACAGTGACCTGAGGTGACGTCGCTCACAGCGGGGAAGCTGAGGTGTGACGGCGCAAAAGAGGGAGAGTCTTGGACAAGGACAAGAGAGCAATGGTGGGTCTGTTTGACCGCGCAGAGAGGTATGTACCACATGACTATATAAACAGCATTATCTTGATCAATATACAAAGAGTATTGTGAACTATTGAAATGACACTTGTTACTTAGTCATGTGGCCATAAAGCCATCAAGTCTTAAGAGATGCTCCAAGCGGCGAAATTTTAGGAAAATTCATAGAATCTTCACGTTTTCTAAGAATTTCCCTCCAAGTTAAAACTCAATCTCTGTCCCCCTTAAGACAGCTAAGATGAAAAATTGACAGGGAGAGTGAGGACTTTTTCAGAGGCTTAGGGTTCCTCAGGCTGAGTAGTGAATGGTAGACAGACTGTAAATAGGAGCAATGTACCTCAAAGTGCACTCATTTCTGCAGGCTAACGCAACAACACTAGAACTGTTATCGAGAAAGGACTTTGTTTTCTGTCTGGATGTGCGATACCGAGCAAAGGGGGTCAGCCATGCCTCCAACCTGAGGTCAAATTTTCTGTCCCTTCTTTGCTCAGAGCTGCCCTGAGAAGGTTCTTAAATCACTCCTGCACTCGAGGACTCTTTGGAGTTCATGTAGAAGATGATTACGGATAAAAGCAACTGACATGAGTTTCCTGGGGGCGGCCTTAGAGAAAAGGTTGGGGTGGTTTGGGGTTTTTGTAAAGGATGCCTCGATTTAGAGGTGCTCTTGGCGTGTCTGTGCCAATAGCAGCTCTAATCTATTTCCCTTGAGGTCGACCAGATTGAAATACTCAAGATTTTGTTTGTAGTGACAGCATTGATGATTCAATACTTTCTTTTGTGACTAAAAAAACTAAAAAAAATACTTCTTACAAATTCTTACAAAAGAATAGAGAATCCTTCGTGCATTAATGTTTTGAATTAGCTTAATCAACTCCAATCTCACTTATCAAACAGCATCCTTCACATATTTTGTAAAGGACTCAGTATCCTGAAACTACCTGTAACCTTAAAGTTTCTCTTGTTAATAAAACTGGTGCTTCAAATGCCAAGTAATAAGAGTCTGTAGGATAACACCTTATTGATCTCCAGATTGGAACTAAAGTAGGTGCTCTGTTATGACAGAAAACCTCTTTCACACTTCAATAGAGCTTGGGTTTGTGCATGTCCTATCTATACCTTTGTATTTATTTGGCATGTGCACGGACAGCCCATTGATAGACCTCAGGTCCTCAGGGGAGAGCTGGTAGGGCGGTCGCAGCTTGATCTCTGTCTGCATGTCAGCCAGGTTGATCTTGGTGGACAGCGAGCGCGGGCTGTTGAAGCGCTGTTTGGTTTTCTGGATGAAGGTGTCTGATGGATGATAGGGAGCACAACAAGGTGGTCAGTGGCACAGGGGGTGAAAAGAGCACAGAGATAGACAGCTGTGTGTAAGAGTGGAGCAGTCAGACTGAGATCAGTTTCCTGATTGTTTGGATTAGCCTTTAAATATCACCCCCGATAATCAGACAACACTAATAATCGGTCTGCAAGGAAGATTTGGAGAAACCTTGTTCTGTTAGTCATTTTTTCTGCACAAATACAGTCAGGCAGAATAACAAATTGTCATCATAGAGAGAAATAAGCATGACCAAGACAAAATGTAACAAAAATAGCACATGTAGTTGGAAAAAAATTGCTTTATTATGGGGCCAAATTTGTGGAAAACATGGCACGTCTTATTATTTTGCACTGGAATGTTTTCCCGATAACAAAAAGACACTCTTGTTTTTAGACTCTGAGGGACAGAATCATAAATTCTACCATGTGATGACAGCCACTTACAGTCTGACACATCCTGTAAAACTCAGTGGGGCTCACCAAATTCAATAAAAGAAAACGGCCGCACAGCACTGTTGATTCGTTTGGAGTCGTAGGTGACGATAAACTCCTTCTGTAGCTCCTCCAGGAAGCAGAAGGCCAGCACGTTGGGGTAGTTTGCAGTGCACACCATCATGTATCCAACACCCCGGGCGCTTGCAAAACTGTAACACACACACACACGCAATAACAATAAAGCCTTTCTACCACAGTACTCTATTCTCTTGACAGAAAAAAAAACTGTAATGAGGACACCAAGCCAAACAGATCCCAGAAAATAAACACACACAATGGCATAATTTCTGTTCCAGCTCGTTGCTGCTCTAAACATTGAATAAACACTATTTCAGCACATTTGTGCCTAAAACTCACACACTTTTACAGCTAATTAAACACAAACCCACAATCACATTCATATGCACCTCAGCAGACACTTTATCTTTTGGGCCTGCGGTGTTAATGGATACACAGCGCACAAATTAAATTCCCCAGACACAAAGACTTCTGCAGTATCTGAACAGCTCTGAGCACATTTTAGGGGAAAAAAATTGGTTATCAAAAACAACATCCAAATTGATGTGGAACAAAAATGTCAACAAATAGTACAGACAGACGTGATGATTATCATGTGGCCCGATGAAACACTAATAATCAAACAGCCAAAAGCATCTGAGGAATGAGAGTGAATGTGATACCAGCATGTTAATGTGATAAAGCAAGATAGTGAGATGTTTCCAGCTGAACGGTGGTAAAAAAACTCTCAGTTTGATCTTCACAGTAAATACATACAATCAAATCTGTCCTGATATACCTAACATAAGGGGTGGGAATCACCATGATATCATAACGATACTTGGGCCATGATACGACATTATCATGATACTTGGGCCATGACACGATATTATCACGATACTTGGGCCATGATGCAATATTATCAAGATACTTGGGCCATGATGCAATATTATCACGATACTTGGGCCATGATGCAATATTATCACGATACTTGGGCCACAATATGATATCATCACGATACTTGGGCCACGATACGATACTATCACGATACTTGGGCCATGATACAATATTATCACGATACTTGGGCCACGATTTGATACTATCAGGATACTTGGGCCACGATTTGATACTATCAGGATACTTGGGCCACGATACAATATCACCACAGTGCTTGGGCCACAATACAATATTATCGCAATTTTTAACATTTTGCAAATGTTATTTGCAATATATTGTGATTAATACAATTTTTTCAACTCTTGAGCAAATTTAGCATTTGTCTTTCCTTAATGTTTGTCTTATTTACACTCTATTTTATTTTCATGTACCACATTTTGAAAATCTTATGTATTTGTTGTACTAACTTTCTCCTGCTCTAAGATGTCACCTCTGCCAACCTCACTGGACAAACAGCTGATTTTATTTTTTCAGCATCATAGATTTGTCTTCATATTAGCAATTAATTAGAAAAATCGATACTTGGTGAATGAGACGATATGATATATCACCAGACAAAATATTGCAATACTATGTTGTTACAATTTTTTCTCCCACCCCTTCGTAACATGTCAAAAATATGCCTGCAGTTAGTACACTGTTTCATTTTTTAGTCTTTCTTTAAAATAAAGTGAGAATTCATAGGGTCGACAGGGAGCACATTTCCATGTAAAGATCTGTTTCCAATTTTCTTAACAGTATGCACAGAGCTGCACTGAAGTTGCATATCCTGGACTTGGTCAAACCCCCTTTATCTGCCACTTGCATTGAGCTTAAATGGAAAAGGATCTCTGTAAGTGAGGTGACAGTTGGCTGGAGGAGGTCCTCTTGGAAAATGGAAGTTTCTGGTGAGTTTGTGTTTTGACAGAATGATTATAGCATCCTTCATGGTGTTGGTGACAATGTTTGCAATTTGCAGGTAGGAACATCAAAAATACCACAATATCAAATGATTTCACTTTTTTTTTTTAAAAGAGTACATGTCGGGCAAATTCCTGCATAACTCATATTTCTGCCTGAAAGGCCGTCACTGTGATTTTTTTCAGTCCACAGCGGATAGGTTTGTGTTTTGTTTACATATGCATATCAAGCTGATTAAGTTAGCATCCGTTTCTATTTGACAAAATAGTCAGAGGACCCTAAGGCAACAAATGCAGCATATTAAAAACTCTTTGGTGAATAAGATACAAAAATAAAGCTACAAAAAGCCCTGGAGCAGACTGCTATGAGTGATGTGCATGACTACAAGTTGGTGCATGAATATGTTTAAATATCATCAAAAAGTAATGTAGTATGCATTAATGTTACTGCAATGTCCCTAATCCTTTCATACGCTCGAAATCACAACAAGAATTAGAGTACCATAACGGGCTTCATGTGATTAGAGAAGTTCACTTTGTCAAGTCAAGTCAAGTTTAATTTGTCTTTTACTTTGTCCAAAAACATCCAGAAAAAGTCACGTATGAATCTGTTCACAAAGAAATCACTTACACATCAAGAAATACAAAGACTCTCCTTCTGCTTTTATGCTGGAGAAATCTCTAAGTCCTAAAGGATCCAGAATATCACAGAGTACGTTAACCTGTGACTTCAAACAGAGCCTGCCTCAGACTGACCTTCACTGTCTGCTGACCCTCTCCTCTACAGATTCTCCAAGCTTTTATTGATTAAAGAGACTCTTATCAAACAGAAACTCTGACTGTTGAAAGGTAAGGCTGGCTCATTGATAGCTGATTCTGAAGAATTTTTTTGAAGCTCATGTTCTATGTCTTAATAAGACTAATTAGCTCTTGACAAAAACAGCCTTTGAGAAAGTTTCAAAGCTATTTCCCTGGGCACCAGCAGAGCTTTTAGGAACAGTTTGACACCTCAAACGGTAGCCTAGCTGTTAAATCAGAGAAATTAAGCAGCATTTTCCCATCAAAGTTGTTAAAGAGAGGTCAAGAAGAGAGCGAAATAATGTGAGCAGCAGACTGCTTAATCACTCACAGGTGTCAAGGGATGAGGGTGCAGAAAATTATGCACATTTCTGAAATTAAAACTGTATTTTATACCTAAATTACCAAATTTCTTTGGTAAAAGTATAGTTTACATCCAAAATACACTGATAATGCACCTCAAAAACTTGGGTAACTTTAACAAGCATCTTGTATGACCTACTTGACATTATACGGTCCAGTCTTGAGTGTGCAGCGGTCAGGAAACTGTCCTAGTTTTTTGGAGAGGCTTTTAAGACTCTTCTTGGTTTCCTGCAGCTCTTTGTCTTGCTCATAGTCGGTCGATTCAGAGAGTGGCAGGCCGTCCCCGACCCGTACCACAGAGGCAAATAACACCGTCGACATCTTAAAGCTCTAACAATCTCACTGAAGCCCTGCAGATGGATGAAACAGAGGGAAAGGAGCTTGTTGAAAGAGCAGTAAAGACATGTTAAATATCCAGCTTCTCAAGTTTTAACTCACAAAGAGCCAACCTGCAAACATTTAGTCATCAGGGCTTTCTAGAGTCTGACAGAGTATACTTTGTGGAAAGTCTTGTTAAAACACAGAAAAAAGACAAGGCTCGCACAGAGGTACATTTTTTATTTCGCTGTGTAGGTTGTGTAAATGATTTTGAACTTAGAACAACTGCTTTACTGCTCGGCCAAAAACAAAATATAAAACAGTTTGCGCCACTTTCACCAAGCTACGATATGCAACATTTGATCCTCTTTAATCTAGTCTTACAAACACTTCTGTCTACTGAGAGTGCTTATGGCGTGTTTTTCGTCCCAAAAATGTGCGTACTTAACGACCACAAGATCTCAATCAGCATCGTACTTGAGTCTGAGTGATTTTTTAACTTTTTGACACTAGAGGAATATGCCCAAATCGTTACCCCTAATGTCTTCATTTGACATTAGAGACGCTATGGAATCTCACAACATAATGAGAAAAGTCTCTCAATGCCCATGTGCACCTGTACTAGTATAGAGTGACAGGCCTCCCACTCAAAGAATACTGTTTTGTTAGAGCCACAGCAGAGCAGAGCAAAATTAACAGGAACTATAACCCTAATCCCATGGGCGTCTATCTTCCGATGCACTCTGCTTGCTTCCTCAGATCAGTACAAAGATAATAGCATAAGTGATGAAGGTGGACAGAGATGCTTCTGAAGTTTCAGATGTTCCAGCTGCTTTAAAATCTGATGTGTAGAAATTCAAATTCAAATTCAACTTTATTTTTATGGCACTTTTCATACAAAAATTGAAGTTCAAAGAGCCTCACAGAGGCTAAAAAAAACAATTAACGACAATAAAACCCGACCCTCCCACCCACACACAAAGGTATACACCCACCCTCACTCACTCACCCTTACACATACACACACACACAACCGCACACAGTATGAGAATTTAAGATATACTGTAAGAGAGACATGGCCTGACACTGAGACATTACGTGAGGAAAGAGCTACCTTTGGGAAACACTGGAGATAAAAATAGAAATAAAAATGGTAAAAAGAAAGAGTAAAACCTGATGGACTAAAATAAGAAAATTATATTAAATGAGCAGATAAGTAAAAGCTCTTTACTACATACAAAAGGGGTAAAAGAAGTAAAAACCTGTGAAGGGAATTAAGAAAAAGACTAAGAACAGAGGATATTAATAAAATGACATAAAATAAACAATAGGAACTTCGATTGAAATGAGCATTTGCAATAAGAGAAATATAAAAGGGCAGTTAGTAAAAAGCCTGGTTAAAAAGGGTAGTCTTGAGCCTCTTCTTAAAAACATCCATAGTCTCTGCGGCCCTGAGGCTCTCCGGCAGACTGTTCCAAGCATTTCAGTTTCCCGGTGTCAAGAAATGAGCATAAGAAAAGGCTGCAATAACCTACACATGTGGAAGAGGAGTGACATGAGAAGCTGCTTGACAAATATACGGGGGAACACTTAAGTCAAGCTAAAAGACTTTAAAAGGGAGAGTTTAAAGCCTTCCTTCCTCATATCAGAGCGAGAGCTCAAGAGACCAAAAGACAACGATGAACACAAAACCAAAGACCTAAAGACACTTTCTAGTATCTTTAAGTCTGTTTTTTACTCTACAGATGATTTGCTCTGAAAATTATGTCATACAAGATAAGAAAATATGAATTTGCTTAAGCTCAATAAGCATAAGGGTCATTTGTGACAGGTTCAAACTAACATTTATCGTTTGTTTGCTTCTCTATGGTTGTTGTTGGTCGGTTGTGTTAGCACCACGGACAGCTCCAAACACTGAATGAACGGGCGACGCTTGCCTGTCTTAAAAACCTACAAAGTATTGTTAGACAATCGTTACTATCGAATACCTGCTAACAAAATGTCTGTAAATCACTGCCTCGCAATATAACATAAATCCACAGAAGACATGCGTTTGGACCAGCTAAGGAACATTAGCAGTGTGTCAGGAACTAGCTAAGGAAGTGAGGAGATCCCTGGGATTATTTATAACGTCTCATATTTAACTTAGCCAACCACTGTGCATTCAGTATTTCCAAGAATCAAACTTAAACTGTCCAACCTAAAAATCCTTTAAATAAGCTTCCTAACGCTCTGAATTATAGAAAACTAAACTGCTAACCTCCGTTAGCATCTAAGGTAAACAGCGTTAGCTTCGCCTCAGTATTTCTTCTCGGCTTCCGTCAGCAGAGGCTAAAGAGGCAAAACTGCTTCCTCACAACTCAGGGCAAAGCTAAAACCAATCAAAACACATTCGCCTAAAGAACTGAAACAGTCAATTGAGCGCCTTTACCTGATAAACGGCTGTAGCATCATGTGAACACCTGTGATGTGCAGGTATGAATCTGTCCAGATTGTAGAGGAAGCTAACGAGGGCGGCGCTGCTGTGATTGGAAGCGTTTACGTGGCTGGTTCGCTGTGCATTGTGGGTAAAGAGGAGCGCTCATCGGCGTCACGGCGAAGAAAAAAAAAACATCAACAACAGCGCTCTGCAGCAAATAAAGAGAGAAAACAGCAAAATATTTTGTGATTTACAAATGACATTTAGATAGCATTCAACAGTGACAAAACATTTGTTCTAACATCAGCTGATCGATTTCCTTTCCTTTTTTTCAACAGTCTTATCTGAAAGATAAGGTGGCCGAGAATTGTCACTGCTGCAAATAATAAAAAAAAAAGAGGAAAAATAAAAAAAAACACCATGGAAGATGCAAGAAAAAAAAAAGTAACCGAAGCCCGCTGCAAATAAAAAAAGAAACAGTGCAGATTTAAAAAAAAAGCCACAACAGAAGTTAACCACACAAAAAAGTGACGATGAAAAAAAAAAAGTTACTTCAAGGATGCCAGTGGAAAGGTTATTGTTTAATTTCGCGACATAAACTTTTCAATGTGTCATTTGGTCAGGCAATGTAGCACCTGAGTCGATAAGAAGTTGAACTGGAGGATGCTGCTGTAGTGTTAGCTTCAGTTCAACTTTATATCGACGCAGGCGCAACATGGCCTAACCAATTTACACATTAAAAAGCACACAAAGCGAAATTAAACAATAACCTTTCCACTCGTTAACTTCCGTTGTGCCTTTTTTTTTTTTTTTTTATCTGCACCATTTCTATTTTTATTTGCAGCAGGCTTTGGTTTCTTTTTTTTGCATCACTAACTTCTGTTGTGACTTCTATTTTCTTTTGCATTCTTTTATTATTTGCAGCACTGGCAGTTCTGGACCACAGTAGAAACACAAAAAAATATATTTGTGTTGTTCTCTGTGCAGTTTGTCTTATTTCCGTGGTTGAATATAGACAGAACAATCACTCTTCAGATCTGGCTGTTCATTTTCGCCATGATGATGGAGTACAGCAGAGAAAAAGAGGATTCTTCACCGAGGTGTCATCTGAGCGTCTGAAGAAACAGCCCTGCCTGAACAATTTCATCATAGAAAATAATCACTATAAATGATTCATTTGACCATCAAAAGTCAAGTCTATCACAATTCACCACTAAAGCACATAAAGGACAAGTTAAGGTAAGACTGATTAAGTGTAACTCTGACTTAGCTACTCTCATTTAATTTGAAGTAATATTTGACCAGAAGTATCTATACTTTGACTGAACTTGTAAAGATGTGTACTTTGTTCATCACTGTTGATTATAGCTTTTGTTGCAGCTACTTTCCCCCCCTTTATTTTCTGGTTTTATTGTGAGGACTGGGCAGGAAATTAGCAGAAGAGAGAGGAAAATGTCATGCAACAAAGGGCTGTGAGTTGGATCTGAACCCAGGCCACCTGCATCGAGGGGGCGCACATGGGGCGTGAGATTTACCCAGGGAACCAAACCTGAACTGCAGCATTTCTTTCACAGCTATTAGACGGCAGCTAATAAAGCGTTTTCATACAGTAATACAGGATACATAAAACAAGTCAGAATTAGGGGCAAATGTGTTGAGTGCTAGAAGAAATGTATTGGTCAGGAAAAACTTACTTAAAATTGCTGCAAGATGTATCATAGATCAAAGACAATATTTACTGCTGTATTTATCCACTGACTGTTTTGTAACTGTTGTTGTTAATATTCATATGATTATCATCCATGTAAAAGATACCAAGATACATAATTTAAACTCTACAAAATCTTAGCAATAAATTGATATCATCTTGCTCTACTTTCCACTTTCTCACACAAAATGAGCAGCAAACTAGATCTGCGCTCAAACACAGAGCTGAGATTTTTTCAACGTAAATATTAAAATATCATGAAAAATGGATAAACCACACCAAGACTGCCAAGTTTTAGCGCTCAGCTCCAACTTGAAGTAGGCCATTCACTCGCATCAGCATTTTTCAAAAATTTCCATACATTTCCTGTTAAAATACGAAAGAAAACACAACTGTGGCCAGAGGAAATAAAAACAATACAGAGAGGGTTAGTGGCCTCATCCTTCACACATTCCATGCAATCTCCCCTGAAAGAAACTGTGACAGCCTGGAGGGAGCTTTAAACACATGGCCCGGATGTGTGTGTGTGTGTGTGAGTGTGAAAGAGACAGACAGAGAGTAAAGGCAGATGATGGATGTCTGCTGCTGCTGACGGGTGATGAATAGCCGCAGGTCTCAGTAAGTGTTCAGAGCAGAGAGTGTCAGGTGAGAGAGGCGGTGTCGTCATTCACACAGGCACAAACAGAGGTGCAAACACATCAGTATTCAAATGCTCCTGCACTGACTGTATCTCTCCCTGGGTGTCATCATTACACATTTCAACTTTGAGCTCAGGCATTGCGGAGAAGTTTGACATATCTAAAAATACACCTGTCAAACCATCTCTGGGTTTAACTGCAGGATTTTGACGGTTTTGTTACAGGAAAATATGAAAATGGCATTTTTAAGGACTACTTGTCTTAAATTCTGAAGCCTCCGCACTTGTCCTTGGAGACCTACTTTTCATTAGACTGAATAAAACTATTGGACAGACCAAGCCACACTGTGCAATTACATTAAGCTTGTTCTCAGGCTGGTGCTAAAACAGAGGCCACGGTGTCACAAGCTTTCACAGATTTTATTTTTTTAGGGGGAAAATGAATACTCTGAGCAAAGTCACTCAAAGTTAAGAGGAAATAACCATAATTCTGAAAACGGGTCTTTAGACAGTAGAATAAAAGACTGCTGCTGAGTAAGGTTCAATGGCTGAGAAGCAAGGGCACTGGTTGGGCAAAGTTGTACGGCAAGTGTCTACACAGGCTGTGCAGTAGTCTGTGTAGAAGGGGGTTGTTTTCTTAAATAAAAAGTTCTAATCATTTGATAACTATTCATATGGTCTGTAGTGATTTCAGACTATTTTGATACAATCTGATCTGGTGGTTTGCCAGGGTGATGTACTCTGGTCAGGCTCACTTACATCCCAGTATAATGTGTAGCTATTACAGCCTCTTTAATGACCACAGTCTCAAGTAGTGAGCAGGAGCAGTTCCAAAACTTTTCAAACAACTAGGGCCTGGGTTTAAAAAGTACTTAATACCCCCCTTAGAGTTTATGATTTCCATATATATATGAAGTTTAAACAATAGTCAAAATGGCCTTAATTTACATGGACAAAGCGATTTGAGCGAACATCCACAGAAGGTGCTGCTCGTTTTCCTTAATGGTTTTACCAGCCAATCAAGCGCAAGCATTTGACATTTAAACAGTAAACATCTGATTGATTTCCCAAACTATAACTCACCAAAGTCTATCAACAATGTCATAAAGGAATGTTGTTCATCTCTGTGTTGACTGGCAGCTCTATTGAGCAGCTCACGGAGCGAACATATGGATCTTTCAGGAGGGGATGCAAATCATTTTGATTACTGCACCGTGAGCAGCAGACAAGCAAAGGAAAATCTCTGTTGCTGCAGAGCAGATCCTCAGAGGCCTTTTTTAATTCATCTACTTATAGCATTTGAACCAATTGTCCATATGTTGGCATTTCAAAAAGCACAAAAAAACAAAGACAAAGCTACAATGGTAAAAGCCAACAGTCAGAAGTTGCTCAATAAGGATGCATCTGAAAGACAAAGAGAGAGCTTACGGTTGAGGTGAGGCAGGGGACAGGGACAGAACAGAGGGAGAGTGCAGTTCGACGGCGGGGAGATAAAATCCAGAACAGTCTAAAAACACAATTATCCATAAAGGGAGAATGACTTCCACTAAGGCCACTTTAATCCAAACAGACCTTGACTTTATATTAACAACCCTGCGCCCTCCATTTCTTATGCTCATTTTGCATTGGTTAAAATGATTGTCCCTCCCTTACAAGAAAACCCACAAAGACGCAGTGAAGCGATGCTTGCAGACATGAAAAAGTGCTCCACCTCTTTGAAAATCCTTTAAAGTGAAATTGGGATTGAGAGGGTATTTCTGCCTGTGCTGGCAAGCATTAATCAGACTGATATGGCTCAACACGGCATGCATCCCAACAACGGTACTTTATCTAAGCAGGCTCCTATGACCTGCAGTCTGCAAAATGTGAACACAACAAACTTTGGTTTAAAAGTCACCTGAGAACTGAAGAAGAGCAGTTTCCCGAGACATTATTGTAAAGGTAAAGATTTAAAATTTCAACATGACCTCTAATTCGGTGAATTTATTTATCATTTGCTGAATTTTTAAGGGAAATTCTTGGTACAAAAGTAAAGTTTTTTTGTACAGCAAACAGATCGAGGCTTATAATGCTGAGAGTAAGACATCAAGACATCTGGTGGTTGTGTGGCTCAAGACTAAAAGTCAGCAGATAACAGGATCACTCATTACCCCGTAACATGGTGCATATTCTCTCTGTACATAAACATCCTACTGTTTGTTAGGTGATGTAAAAATAGACCCAAACTTAAAGGTCATTCAAATTAGTCCAAAGTGTTTTTTCTCTTTTGTATCCAGACTCAAAAACAAACTGGAGACTCAATGTGAGTCTCAACTCGGGACTCAAGGTTTGATGACCCAACTATAACACTGCTCCAAAGACACCGCGACAGGAGTAACTTTTCCAGTCATTTCCCATAATAAAGCCTCAAGTGCCAGATCTCCTGAGTGCTGCTCGTGGTTCATTTGTCCTTCTCTACGTTGCACGACTGAGAAAAATATACTGGCATAAAGAGTTCTGCTTTCAACAGGATTGTACGTCAACCAGTGACCCGAACAAGGTCAACTTCTTTTCAATGGTGTCTGCAGAGCACGGCTTGAAACTAACTTGGTCTCACGCTCTGGATGTTCCTCACTGTTTTTCATATGAACACTCTCAAATTCATGTGTATTTTTGTTATGTGGAGTCCAAACTTTCAACAGTCTCATTATTCAAAACTGCACAAACATTATTAAATGAACCACAGATGAGGTAGGTGAAGTTATCACAGACTGATCTTTGTTGTACACTGTAGCTTTGTGGACATTTCTCAGTTGATTGACGTGTTAAGACTTAAAGGGACATTTCAGTGGAAAATTAAGTTAGGGTCAAACACACTGTAACAGAGTAAGACACCCTGTCAAGAGATAAATGTTGCCGACCGCTTGCTTCTCTAGTTATACCAACTTTAGTAACAATTGCATGATAGCAATACAGAGCAGTCCACGCGCTCAACCAAAAAGCCACTCTATAGCCACAAATAATGCTCAGAACAGCACCTAACTTCATCAACAGTACATATAGGGTCCCAGCCACAGGACTAGCCACCAAGCATCTTTTTAACTCGATTTTTAATTTCTTTAGCAAAAGAGACTAAACACAACTCACCTACTCTCTTCCAGCAGCCACTTGTTTGCAGCGAGACCTCGGGCCAGTCCATTACGGACTACAGCGAGGTGAGGCAGCTCAAGGAAGAACATTTATGATCATTACTTTATCATTTCCTTTCAGTAATAATCACCATATTATTCATTTTGCACTGCAGAAGCGGTAGTTCTTCTGCCTTAGCGTCTCGGTCTGATTGCATTTCCATGAAGTAACGATCATAAATGTTCTTCCTTGAGCTGCGTCATCCCGCAGCAGTCGATGGACTCGTCCAGAGGTCTCCGTACAAACAAGCGGCTGCTGGAGGAGAGTAGGTGAGTTGTGTTTAGTCTCTTTGCAAAAAAAATCAGGCAAAGCTAAAAAGACGTTTGGTGGCTAGTCCTGTGGCTGGGACCCTATATGTACTGTTGATGAAGTTAGGTGCTGTTCTGAGCTTTATTTGTGGCTATAGAGTGGCTTTTTGGTTGAGTGTGTGGTTCTCTGTAGTGCTATCCTATGGTCGTTACTAAAGTTGGTATAACTAGAGAAGCAAGCGGTCAGCAACATTCATCTCTTGAGGGGATGTCTAACTCGGTGTTCCGGTGTGTTTGACCCAAACTTAATTTTACGCCGAAATATCCCTTTAACAAGTATTAAGTACTACCATGCCTAAAAGTGCACTTTCATGAAAAAAGACATCACATGTTTTGAAATTTTTTATTTTTATTTTCCTTTTTACCTCCCAAGATCCTTACTCCAAAGGGCAAAACTGTATGTATGGCTGGGCACAAAAAAATCCAACAAAGGCAACGATGACTTCTTGGCATAAGTGTGATATACAGTATTCCAACACAACATGGAAACCTTTGGGATAAGACAGAGGTGGTCTCTCTATTATTGAACAAACATGTGATGTTACTCTGAGGACAAAGGAACTAAAGTAAATAGACTGAGTAAACAGGTTATTGTTCCCCCTCAAAGGGAGGAGAATTAACACCTAATTACAGCGATATGTCAACACTGTGTTCAGCACTCATTTATAGTGCTCGTACATACCATGAATAAAAAAATAATCAGACTGAACACTGAACATTATAAGTGTTCAGAGACACTTTCACTTGGAATGAGTCCATGAGGAATCACAATAAGGATGTTTGACAGGAAGTGGTTCAGTGACACCTACTGACAATATGTCTAATTCAACACGTGTCATGGTATCGTACAGAATAAGGAAGATTCAACTTTCTCTCATTGGGATACAAATGTAAACAATATTTAATTTGGTGACCTAAGGGCTCAAAATTATTCCGCTGGAATGCAAAATTACAAACTAACTAGTTCCCTTTAATTGTGTTTCGCTATCCCTGAGAACCTTATTCATAATGAAAGAAACCAAAGTCTTGAATAATAAAACACAAGATCAGCTACACATCAGCATTTTAAATATTTATAGCGGCCGAAGCATGGGAGCTGAAAACACACGGCATGAAAATCATGGCCACTAATAATGATATGGTGACTGTGAATCAATGGTATCATGCTGCTCGAGAGTTCACTTACTTAAAACTTCATTATTTCTTGGATGTATCATGAAGGAATCCCTGGGTATTTGATGAAACACATGGGAGAGCAGTGCCCAAGCTAAATGAGGCTGATCCGGCAGAGTCAAAACAGTCCAGAGTGCTTTCCTTCTGGCTCACTGGTGTGGTTATGTTCAGCAGAAGGTGGTGAAAACGAAAAAAAAACCCTGAATGCCCAAAATCAAAGAATAAAGTGAAAGTGTAAATTATTTTAACATCAGTGTGTGAATGTAGTGAGAGAGATTTTGTTGAATCTATGACAGCTTTACTGGACGCAAAAAATGTATGTATATACGTCAGAATTTGAGCCTCTCCCATGTTTGGACATGTAAATAAGCCTTAACTTTGTTAAAACATTGATGAAATCTTATTCTGAGGACGTATTCTGAGGTAAAATGTCACCGCAGCTGTGAATGTCGTGAATATTTTGAAATGTGTGAAGCGGGGAAACACAGAGCATTGCGCAGGAGTATTTGGCATTTTATGTTTGTTTTGTTCTTCTGCTTTTCTCAGACTTGCTCTGGTCCTCGACTGGAGGGAACAGCAAGGGCACCAGGCCTCTGATTCCCTATAACCTCTCTTTTTATAGTTCTGCGATTCCAGCATTATTCAGTTCTATAACTTTAAGGCCACAGTTTTGAGCAAAAAACAAACAAACAAAAACAAAACAACAAATTCCTACCTAAAACCAATTCCCACTTTGAAGGGATAGTTCAGTTTTTCTGAAGTGGAGTTGGATGAGGTTCTTGTCAAAGGTAAATGTAATAGCCACAAAGATTCTTGTCAGCTCAGCACCTCAGTTAAAAAACTGGACAGAGATCAGCGAAAAAGCTTGGCTCAACCACTAAGCTTATAACTCACACAACAAAGTTAAAGTATGCTCTCTATTGAAGAATTGGTAGTGGCCTCTTACAGTGTCAGAAAGCTCATGTTTTTTGGCACTGTTTTCGGTTGTTCCTGTTCTTCTGCCTGCAGTGCACTGATAAGCTGATCAGGCTTTATTTACAGGGACACTGATATAGAATCAGTATTGAGAAACGAACGTGGAAAATTATCTGACGTACATAGTAATATCTTCAGTATTCCCTCTTCAGCAGCCAGCATCGTGGATTTTGATTAAGCTAACATCGTGTGCATCATGGGCTGTGTTGTTAAGCAATTTAAAAAACAATGGACACTTTCTTTTAATTGCTGGAAATTGAAGAAAGTTGGGGAAAAAAATCTGCATTCAGTTTGGTAGGAACTCTACTTGGTGACAGCGGGCACATGTGAGCCACTGGTATCCTTTTGTTGTTGCAAACGTAACAGCAGTAGCTCCCTGGGTTCATAGGCAATGGCTCGCAGTTTACATTCCTGCACCACCAGGTAACCTGGCAACCGCCCCGCTCTGCAGTTAGCATAAAAGTACATTTCCCCTCAGTCCATTATGTCCTGTCTTTCCTCTGTAAATTCTAGTTCACAGGTATCCTCTAGAGTCCACGGTAAATGGAATGTCATCTGCACCGTCAGAATCACTCATCACTAAGTGTGGTTGTATTTTCGTCTATCTGAAGCCTGCAGACCCAAACGGATCAGTGTGCTGTACACAGATGAACATGTATGTGCTATGTCCGAGAATAGTACAGAAGCAAATGGGCATTCTTTTTCCGAATTGAGTGCACGGCTACATCGAGAACACAGCTTTAGTTGGAGTTTGTTGACATGAGCTTGAGTAAGCAGTGAGGATGACCTTGTCTGCAGAAGCTACAAGCCTCAGTTCAGGTCTTCGGCTGCTTTTTCAACAAATGTGCTGAGATGACCAACACCTCCTTTGGCAAATCCACTTAACTCTATATAGTACCTCATTCAACCCCACATCAACTATCCTTTTAAGAGCCCAGAACCATACAGAATATCAACCCCATGGCCCTGATTCTCCCACTTCAGCTGCTACAGTACCCAAAGCACCAGTTCACATTTATCAAACCAGCTATAGGCTTTTCTGTTTCAAGTGATCAGTAAAGGTAATAAATCAATACTCTGGATGGTTCTGGTTCTGGTTCTGGTCTTTAGACATGAAACATTTGTACAAAAATATTGGAACGGATAGGTGTATGTCAGAAATTAAAAATGTGTCTTCCACCTGACTGGATTAGGACTCCCTGTGAGCGACAAACAGCGCAGCCTCCACCTTCAACAAATGATGCCCACCACCACCACCCACCACCCTGGGTGTTGATCAGTCACAGACCCCCACAGCTCAAGAAGGGGTATGTATTGCATAGATACAGTATAGGGTGTAGCTTTCACATACGCAGTCACAGTGTTTGGGCAAAAAAAAGAAAAAAGAAAAATGTATTTTATGCCCGTCAAAAATATCCATCAAAGTATCCAGAAAAGAAAAAAAGAAAAAGAAAAAACACGTCTCGAGTGGTCGGTCTGATTCTCTGTTGGTGTTGTTACAAACGTGATCACCACGGTATAAAAAAATAACCTTTCACTGAGGTCATCAAGTCTCCCACGTCAGTGCTGATAGGGCCCCCGTTAGGCTCAAGGGTCACAGTGCAATGACAAACTGTGCAGTGCCACGCCCTTTCCTCCACGCACGCCGACCTCAGAGCTCCTCCTTCTTTTTGACTACTTTTTCCTGATCTCTTCCTCTTAGGCTGCGCATGAAACCGATGAATCCTGCCTCCTGTGAAGAGAGAGACGAGCTTTAGTGATTGATCTCAACATGAGGCAATTCCTCACTCTTGAAACTCTTCTCTCTGATCTAATAGAGATCAGAGACCCACCATTAAACATTATCTCAACAAGCCTGACAGCACGGTGATAAGAGAAATAAACACAGAATCCAAATATAGTGGAGTTCAAGGTTGCTCCGCTTCATTGTTCTCTGCTGCAAACTGTCTAACACTCCACTTAAGTTTGGGCTGAGCTGTGGGGGTGACCTCTGCCCTTTATTATCCATTTTTGTTATAAATAATTCAGCCTGTATAATAGCTCAGTCCCCTTGTGGTAAAAGAGGAGAAACAAAGACGAACAAACATCCAAACTCTTTGCTGAAAATACACAGTAGAGTACTTCTTGAACAAGGGAAGAAATAGCTGAAATCTTGGTTTAAAAATGTGCTAAAATGAGATAATACAGGCGATAAAACTAACAGTGAGAATGTGCACACAAAAATCGAACATGTTAGTCTTGATTTTGGTCCAGAACAAACACATCTAGATCTTCACTTCATGTCTTAACCTCCTTTTGGTCGTGTTTGCTAGTGTTTACTTTGAATTGTTGAAATGTTGTTGCTCATGTGGGCTTGACAATAAATAAGAAACAGTATTTAATAAAAACAGCCCTCTAGACGCTCTATTCTCACTCGAGCTGGGTGAAAAACTGGACTTCAATTTAGATTTTGGCTCTTTTAAATATATGATAATCAAAATGAATGATATTATGTCGCCTACAGTTAAAAAGAAAGTTTGGGAGCTTGATGGCAGCGGTTGACTGCTGTACAAACTATTGGGTTGAGAGAGGAGAGCAGGGAGAGGAGCAGGAGTGTGTGTTTGTGTGTGTCTGAAAAGCCGAGGGACACAATGAGCTCGACAAGAGAGAGAAAGGACGTCAAGGAGTTCATGTGTGAAAGGAGCCTGCATTCACTCACTCTACTAATTCTGAACCGACTGAGTTTTCCCAGCCGTCCCAAGGACTAACACTGCTGTTTATTTATTACTGTTATTTTATTTTATTCAATGAACTTTAATTTATGTAACTTCAAAAACACATGAGCATAGCAGGTTGTCTTCAGGGGTTTGAATCGAGCATTTACATGGTCAGGACTGCTGTTAATATAAAATATATTATGATTCGGGCTATCAAATTACTCATTTTCAAAATCATAATTAGTCTCTGAATTTCACTTGCTAATCCTGATTATTAATTTGGTCATATTTAAAATTCTATTATTTTGCATTTTGTTGTTTTGTTTTGTTACAGTTATTCAGTTATTAGTTCGTATTTACAATGTAAAGCAGGTCTTCACAGTGTTTACCAGTGATTTGGGAATCACATGAATGCAATTAGACGTGCTTGACTTTTAGATTTATTATTCAAATAAATGCATCTCTAGTTCACCAGAGTGATGTGAAAGATGAGAGGAGGAGACTTCGAACTGCTTACTCTGTCAAATCATAATTTTTTTGTTGTTGTTGTATTTTTGAGTCAGTTGCCACCATCCAGCAAGTGCTGTACTTCACTACTTTGATTAAGTTTCATGTGGCACCTGTATGCTTCGCTCATAGCTGGTCGCTTAAACTAAAATTCAAACTCAAACTTTTGGCTTGTGAATGGAGCTATCTGGGCTGTCTTCAGGATGAATGTGCCAAACTTAAGTGCAGCCGTGTTGTTGTTTTCTATCATTGTGCCAGAAGGCAGCAGGAAGACACTGCTGCAGCTTAACTACAGTGTGCTGAAAGGGTCAAAATAAAAAGGAATAGCCATTAAAATTGGAAACTAATACCATTGGGAAAGGTGTATATGCTGTCAAATATCAATACAAAATGAACTCTTTGGTTTTGTAGTTGTTACACCTTAAAAGGTACCAAATCCCACAGGGATAAGTTTCCATTATGAGTAACAAAAGGACCTAAATACTCTGAAAACCCACCCATGACTCAGTTTTAATGACTTTATTCATCATATTCAGTGAATGTAGAATCTACATGTTGTATTAGTGAGTCTTTGGGATGTCAGAATGATATGTGGGCTGTGTTTCTAAAGACGCCTGACCTTTAACAGTAGGTTCTCTAAGCTGATAGCTTTCCTTCTGCAGATATATATTCAGAAATTTAATGACGGCTAAATCCATAGAAAAATTACACATGCATTTCAGAGAGGGCTACACCAAAGACATTACAATTTCAACGGTTGCTGATGAATAATTTGCCGTTACTTCCTGTTCTTTCTCAGAATCTGGCATTGCCTTCTCTGAGTGGATCAGCAGCTAATAATGATCTACATTCATTTGCAATGCAAAGCTGGAAACACATTATGAGCCTTTCAAAATCCCCACTCCAAATACTCTGTCTGACTCTTTAGGTTCAGTCAGGGGGCAAAATCATTTAAATTTGAACCCACGCACACTTCAGGATAACACCCACTGACTCACTGTCGGGACCTGATCCGTTTGTTCAAAAGTTGAAAGACTCTCTATGATTGAGGAATTATTCTTTATGACCTTATTGGTATTTCACTCTTGCTTTAAAGGCTTTGGACAGTCTTTAGCTGTGCAGAGAGGCATTTATACCATTCTCCATCTCTAATTCGCAAAGGTTTGCTTATGATGAAGTGTAATAACGGTTTAAGGACCTAAAACAGACTGAACAGCTGAAAATGAAGACACTTACCCCTCGCTCTCCATTATATCTTTCCACAAACTTGCCGTAGTTGTAGTGGTTAAATGTGGGGTAGCCCTCCACCCCTTCCTGCTTACACAGATCATGGTTCTGCCCTTTTGTACAGTCCACAGCTGCGTACATAATCTGAGGAAACAACAGAGGAATCCCTTTAATATTGATGTGACAGTGAATTTAGTACAATAAATATATTCTACTCTTCTCTGTGCAGGTGTTTCATATGCAACAGCAATCACAAGGTTTGTGACAGATTAATTCATGCAAAATGTACAAGATCTTTTACTTTATTTTGGGTTAAATGAACAAACAAAGAAACACAAAACTGCCAGACAGTTGACACGCTGCAGCTTCTTGTTGGGCCTTCACTGGAACCTGTGCACATTATTTATGTGCATATTTATTGGCTGTATATATTGTCAGAAATTTACATATCTGCTGAAACCAAAATCCCCTTTTTTTAACCTCAGTGACTTAAGACTTTATCAAAGTGCTGATAAACGCCTGAGACTGCTGCCACAGGAAAGATGTTAGTGCAGGAGCGCTCTGCTTCAACTTTCATTTGTAAAAGATTCTTAAAGAGTGGGGGAGGACAGATCACCGGGCTTGATTGATCGAAGCCAATACTTGGCATTTGGCAGCTAATTTTGTTTTGTTTTTACAGATGATGATGACATTAATTGACTAAAAGAGCACTAATTTGGCTTCCCTGCCAGAGTAAATTTCCCCTTGGTTCTGTTTTCACTCTGCTTCACTTAATGTCCCGCCCACAACACTATCTAATTAGCTTGATTTCATACAACTGTGTGATGTGACTGTGCTGTAAGTGTAACTTGGAAACTATCAGCTCTTGATGCTGAATTTTGAAGTTTTTCATTTTTACTGTAAATGTAACTCTGTTTCAAATACCTGTTTTCTGTTATTACCAATAACCCCAGTTGATGACTGATATATATGATGGACAAAAGACAGCAGGATGACATTTGTTTTGGAAAAACTAAACATACGACCAAGTCCTGCTTTCTTCACGCGGGGCACCAGGATTAATACAAACAGGTTTCTTCACAAAGGCTTTCATGTAAAACTGAATGACTTTAAAAACTCTGCAGCATAAAATTTAATACTTATTCAATCAAAGACTCATAAAACATAATAAGCATGTTAACATTCTCAGCAGACTGTTTTAAATGAATCTCAGTTCAAGCTGTCTTTCTCCTTTTGAATACCAAAAGTTTTTGGTTCCTCTGTTGTGTAAAGAAAAGTTGTCTTCGTCCTTACATGACGTCGATGGATAACGTTTCTATGATGAACTTTAGACCTGGTACTCATATGTCTTTGCTATAGACTGCAGAATCTTTTGCATTTCTCTCCCCTCCTATATAGCCTTCTGAAAGCAGGTTTATTAGAGATTTGGCTCATATTCAATCAAAATAATATCCCGTTTTAGTGTTCCATAACAAGAGCTTTAATTACTCCAAGCATTTTTATTATTGCTACAGTGTCTCTTTAGCGCTTCTATTTGTTTTCAGAACAAGTAAACTTTATTATACTCGTAGATCAACAGAAAAAATGAACACCCAAGATAATACAAGAGAATGTTATAGAGAACTCAATATTTATCAGCCGTGTTATGGTCTTTTACAAGTGCTTACATTCAATCAGCTACTCTGGCAGACAGTGGACTCAACACGGCCCCCTTGTCCAAATTTAGAGCACTCTTTTCTCTTTCCAGGTAAAAGAAAAAAATGACTGATGCTTTCCTTTCCAGCTAAACCTCTTAGAGAGGGTGATGGAGAAAAAAAAAATCCCACAACAATCACTCCTACATAAAAACAACAGGAGAGATTTATGCTGCGAGGCAATAGCATCGATTAGTGACAAGCCGCCCCAATGAGGCGTAAATGCCGCCTCACTGGTACATGGCTCACTCAGCGTGTCCTTTTGGACAGCTGAAATGTCACCCTCTCTCTGGGTGCTGAGCGCTGCACATTGAACTTGTCACTATCAAATAATCGCTCCCCCGTCCGTCTGTCTGCCCGGGCTGAATGTGGAAATGACAAATCTGCTGTGGAAGGAAAACAGCAGACACTTTGTCTGCACGTCCAACCGTGAAGTGTCGCTCAAAATTCCTTGTCCCAATTACAAAAAAACAAGTGGCCCCTTTTTTTTGGCATGCAAATATAAACACTCAAAACGCGGAGAATCTGCATAAATGACAACATATTGTTTGATGAGTGCACAGTTGTTGAGTGTTTACTTCATCTGCATCAGCGGCGCAGACATCTGCCGGCAGAGAGAGAGAGAGGACAGGGAAGAAAGAGCCATGTGAACATCAGCGAGGGAAGATACTCTTCTGCTATGCTCTGTTAGGCAGGTGTCTTAAAGTGGGCCTCAATGCACTCCCACAAGAAGCGATTTCACGGACTTGTTGCCAGCTGTGTAGATTCAGCATTACCGAGGTGTTTTACCTCTGAAAACGCTAAATAGTCAACAAGAATACCGCTGACATATGCGTAACTCACCCTCGACGTGCAAAAGAAAGTTTAAGCGTTTAAAGGAAGAGACTAATTTCATGGACGCAACAGTGAACATGCCGTTCGTACTGCGGCTGGTCTGCTCATCCCCGTCTGTGATCAATCAAAGCGGCTGTAAACTGACAGGAGAAAATTAAGCCGTAGAGCCCTTGTTTATTAAAAGTCTGCAGCCAATTCCGTCATTGATTCTTCGTCAAGTGAGATACAGCCCTATATCATGTCATTGATCCAATACTTAAATAACTGAGGAGCAGCAGTTCAAGCACACACAGCATATTGGCTTGGTCTCAATCCGCTGGTGGTAGACTTGAGAGCGGAGCAGCAGTCAAACTGTTCTGACTAAGAACTGTATGTACATGACACGGAGAATGAGTGTGCTCTCCTCATCCAAGGATTTGGCATTTGCACATGGAAAGGCAGGGAGCTCTCAGAACTGAGCCAACTAAACCAACTATACCTGACAGCATAAAAATAATGACTTTTTTTAAATCCTAAGTGGTCCTGACTAATATCAAGCATGGTGTTAGTCCAGGCAGGGCACAATTTGAGGCCTGAACTCAGAACTCAGCTGATCACCTTTGGGGAACTTTCTGTTTGTGTCCTTTTTGGTACCCCCTGGAAACAAAGCAGACTTTGCTTATCTGGTCCTTTAGGTGCTGAAAAAGTGTCTTGACAAAAAGAGATTGCAGGTTTTTTGATGATCATATGTGCAAGTAATTTATGCAGAAATTGTAAAATTTTAACAGGGCTAATTGTTTGTTTAATGCAGTTTTTTATGCCTCAAACCTCAAACCAGTGTTGTTTTTGTTGACGATGATGTTGATGAAATATTTTCGTTAACGTCATCGTCAACAAAAACAACACTGCAGAATACGTGTTTAGCGTTTGACTAACGAAATGCTCATGAATTTTGCAACTCTGTTTGTCGTCCACCAGTAACGTTTTCGTCTAGTTTCGTCTCCTCAACGTAAACGCACATTCATCTCGTCACATTTTAGTCATCTAAGACTTATGTTAAGCTCGTCAACGTCACGTCTTCGTTATGGAAAAAAAGGGGCGTTAATGAAATATTTTCGTCAACAAAAACAACACTGCTATAAAAGTAGTCAATATCGTCATTAAAGGTCTAGTTTGCTTTTGAAGATCATAAAAAAGCATCAGTAGGTTTCCAAAAACATAAAAACTCTTTGCAGGAGCTTTAAACTTCTCTAGCCTGTTTTGTCTTACTGGTTCCTTCCAACTTCACTGTATACATGGATATGTATTGATATGTACATCATGCAGAGTAAACGCCATAGTGCTTTTGGAAGCTGTCTGCCATTGCGGCATTGATTTCACTTTGTGAGAGTCCACCGCAGGTCAACCGACATTTCTAGCATGCCAGAAATTTAACTGACCATGATAATTGTGTGTACACTGAAACTCAGCCAAACTTCCAAATCAGCCATGCAACTCGCACAATTAAACATTTATTGTTTCCCAGAAAGTAGTACGGATCTAAGGAGTGACAAATTTTCTACTGTTATTTTTATGTGTTCTACTGCTGTTTCTGTATATTGCTTTTAAAAGTTCTTCGGAGACTCTACAATGAGAGCCGGCCTTGATTTCGTTCAGATCAGACAAAAAAAAAGGCTCGGGACATTGTTGCTGATGAATTGGCCATATCTAAACAGCCATTTCTCTGATTGGTTATGTTGGTATTAAAGTGGCGACAGACCTCTTTTAAAAACCAGCAGCCTCGGCCCGTGTGAACTTTACATGCTGCTATTGATAAGATTGTGTGGAAAACACAAATAGCCCAGAAAAAAAAACCCGGTCCCCGGCCCCCCTGCTGTCATACAGCACAGAATGTGGACTTTTAATTGTTTGCATCTTCAAAGCTCGAGCTAAGCTAAGCTTGTGTTTGTCTTTGGTAAATGAGGCGAGGGCAGCTAATAGACTGTGATCAACACTGGCCTGGTACAACACACTGGGGCTTCAGCTTTATAAATAGAAAGGATTGCCAAGTAAACACATGCCCGGTTCTCAGATTTACTCCTGTTCAAACACAGCTTCACACCTCCACTGGCCACTGGAGGGACAACAGGAGGGAAGAGATCTTAAACTTGTGAGTTTATGTAACCTTCGCAGATACGAGGGTCCCCTGACACGGCAGTTTGTGGGGGTTTCATCACAAGGATTCAGATACATCACAGCTGAATGGAAAAAGCAATGCTAAAGAGCCTTAAGCTGTTGTGGCAACTCGGTACTGGATCTAAAATAACATTTCTGACTGTTCTGAAAGTCAGAACTTTGTTCTAAAATTACAGAGTTGATACAGGGACGTAATCTGTGCTGTTTTTAAAATGATTGCACCACACAGTATGTAATAAATCTAAGGTTAATTTTTATGACTTTTGGCGTCTGAAGACAAACTTTTGTTCCTCAGTGTAATATTAAAACAACATTTATCTAGTTCTTTAAGGGAAGTGTGTTCCTTAAAAATACAGCCATCATTAAAGGATGACTGCGGCTCTTGCAGGGAGAGCGACACTCAAATTTGTACTGTACAAAATACATTTTCAGTTTCTATTGGCTTCTAATGTAATCCAGAAATGTTACGAAGGATTGCCTCAGAAAAAATGGATGACTTACTTCCTCAGGATACGTCACTGTTTGAAACCATCTGACAATGATTTTTTTTTAAAACCCTAAACAAATAAGAGAGCGACATGGCCTGGGCACGTTTGAAACACCGTGTGGCCCACATTAAGCATCTCAAAGAAGTAAAACAAAGAAAAAGCTAAATAAGTTATGTGTTTTTTCTTTAAAGCTATAATGATAAATCTTTGTGCTAAGTATTTCAAGACATGTGCTCTTGTTTTTCTTTTTTAAGTGTGTTTGAGTCACAGAATTAAGGAGGTTTCGGGAAAATAATGAGCTCTGCAGTCAGAAGGTATTAACGGGAAGAGCAGGGGTGGGAGTGTGTCGGGACACGAGTCCAGAGGGAACAGGAATGAGAGGGAGTGAAGATGATAGAGGATGAAGAGGAGGGTGTCCTGTTGTGAACCTTGAATAACCCTGAAGCCCTGAGTGTGCAGCAAATCTGATGAGAGCGTGTGGGCTTTGGCTGAGTGGTCAGATTCCTCAGTGACGCGTGGAGACAAATACTAAAGTGATTATGAGTTCTCTGAATTATGTCGTTTAGAGGCTTTTTAAACATTCGGAGTGCAATATAAAGCTGTTATCACTGCTATGCTAATTTGATGAATTACTGCCTACAGTTGTCGTATTTTTGCACTGCAGCTTGTGCACTAAAAATACGCTGAAATGTTAAACTTGGAAGAAGAGGTTGGCTCATAAATGGAGGAATTTCATAACAATAATAACTCCTCAAATTGTGAGCTCACAGCATCTCAAAAGTTTTTAACAGACTGCTGTAAATATAACTGAAACTATAAAAAACTGCAGATTTTTAGATGTATTTATAATTACCAATGGTTTATCTAGCTGTGATGCACGCAGCTGTGATGAGGGGTACAGCAATCAAAGATATGATCATGGTTAAGGGTTATTAAATCAAAGCTAAACACAGAAATGAATCATAAACATTCAAACTAAAACGATCCCTCTCATTTATCACTGCAGAAGTGTGTCTGCAGAAGATTGATTGTGTTTTCTAGTGAATTAGAGTTTCTTAGCTGTTACTTGAAGTGTATTGGTTTTGCCTCTACATGCTCATATCTAATACTAGCTTAAAGGGATATTCCGGCGTAAAATTAATTTATGTAAATTTAATCTATGGGTGGGACCCTATATGTACTGTTGATGAAATTAGATGCTGTTCTGAGCATTATTTGTGGCTATAGAGTGGCGTTTTAGTTGAGGTTTGTGTGTGGCTCCATAGACTGCTGTGTATTGCTATCGTGCGGTCATTACTAAAGTTGGTATAACTAGAAAAGCAAGCAGTCAACAACAACTCTCAACATTCATCTCTCAAGAGGGTGTCTAACTCTGTGTTATGGTGCGTTTGACCCTAAATTAATTTTACGTCAGAATATCCCTTTAATGCCAGCTTTTGCTCCTTCTATTTGCCACACAGGGCAGTTGAGTCCTGTCAGTCTATCACAGGTAGACTTTGCCGCACCTACAAGCTACTAAGAGTCACCAGTCTACCTAAAATATGACTTTGGACTCGGAATAGAAACTGAGGCGCCAGGGGAGACAATAGCTACGTTTACATGGAGCCAAATATTCCGAATAGAATCGGAATAGAAGCCCAATCGGAATGAAAATGCTCCATATAAACACCTCATTCGGAATAAACAGGCCCATTCCAAATGGAATTTCATTCCGATTCACAGGGGTAGAATATTCCTTTTCCCATTCCGATTAAAAGCAAAATCCTGTCATGTAAACGGTGAATCGGAAAGTTGTCAGGCTGGGTTCTGTCTGCGCATGCTCTGTCCTGATGTAAACAAGCAGTGACGTATGAATCACATGGTGGGACATCATGTGACAACATCACGTGACAACATCACGTGATGTTTGAAGGTATCACACACAGACATAATAAAAGATAGACCCCGCATCGGCCGCTACCACGAATGGGCGCTGTCGAGAAATGCGGCCGCCATCTTGGTTCGGTCATCCGCCTCACTCTGCACCGCTGTTTAACCGGCGGAATGAAGTCTGAGCGCATTAATGAATCATAGTTCGCTCAATACTACGTAATTTTCTTCTCTGCAAACGCCATTCAAAGAGGCATGATAGAGGCCATATTTTTTTGGCGTTTTCAAATACTCAGAATGAATAAAATGATATTTTAGAACATGGCAGCAGTGGCTGTATTATAGTATAACAATTAATCAAGGATATATCTAGGTTTAGAGCTAGGTTCCTGCTATGTCTCAATAATTATTTATAACTGGCGGTTTTAATAGGCCAATTCAATATATATTGATTTGATTATATTTTATTTAGTTTAATTTTATTTATCCATTTGTAGACACACACAAATAATGTCATATAGAAGCACTATTTTAATAACTGGAAAATACACACAAAGAAATAGCCTACATATCAATAAAATTTAAACACAAGAACAGCATGACAGGCCAGCATCTAAACTACATATCAATTTACTTGTTGGCTACACAGCACAGAGGAATCACTTGCTGCGAATTTCTCCCTCTAACAGCAATCTCCCACTTCTTCCTCAAGTTTTTGTCCTTAGGAAATCTTCAAAATGAAACAGGAGATCACCACAAAGAAATCTTTAATAAAACAGATAATAAAACAGAGCTCACTTTCTTCCTTCTTCTTTCTATTTTATTTCTTAACGTTTCTTAGAACATCTCTCAAACAAAATTTTTTCAATCTAATGCAAATCTGTTGATAATAGAGCAAAGTTGCTATTATTGTGAATAAGCTAGCTGTTCGCAAATGCTGTTTCCTTTTTGGAGTTGACCGATAGTCTTCCTCTTTGGCCTACAAATGACTCTACAGTCAAGTGTAATGTTGAAAAAACGTTTAATCATAACTGTGAGAAGTTATTTCTTGAGCCCTGTTCTCTGCTGTCCGCCTGTTGGCACAGGAATACGCCGCACAGTGCTCCGGCATCGCTGAATGAATGAATGAATGAATATGATTGACCGGAGCGTATGGGAAGCTTGACCTGACCAAGATGGCGGCCGCATTTCTCGCTGCGCAGCACCCCCAGCGGGGTCTATCCTTTTATTATGTCTATGGTATCACATGTCTGTAAATAGCTGTTCCGATTGAATGCCGTGGCACATGTAAACACCAGATCAGAATAGATCGCTTCCATGTAAACAGTTTGCCTGGGAGCTTCAATCGGAATGATTATAATCTGAATGAGAAAAAAGTCTGCATGTAAACGTGGCTAATGTGAACTTCACAGAGGAAGGACACAGTCCAGCAGGGGATCTGGTCCAGGAACCTTTAAGCCGTGAGGTGACAACGCTAACCATTGCGCAACCATGCAGCCCAGGTTGCTCTGAATGTCCTATTCTGGTGCTTTACTTTGGTTATTCTCAGCCTGATACAACAGCTGGGACCATTTTCTCCCTCTTCTCCTTCCTTCGGCTTTCCTGTGAAGCTCAACTAAACACATCCCTAACCTCAGCCCAAACATTTCACTGGACACAGAGATTAAATCAATACTGAACCTCTCCTCTAACTGCAGGCTTTGACAGAAAACTAGTACTGTTACCGTTAGGTGCCAGCTTGAATAAGCTACAAGGATCCTTGCCACACTGCAGCTGCTACCTGCTGTAATTGTGTGTAAGTCACCGAGTGTGCAAACAAGCAACACTAACCTTGCGGTCCTCTTTGAAGAGCTCTGCTGCAGAAGTGAAGTGTGGAACAGCGTTTTTACAGTGTGGACACCCTGGAAGAGGAGAAAGACATAGATGGGGTGTTATTACAGCACATTATGAACATCCAGCTTCAGGTACTAAACAGCACCTTATACGGACATTTACGTCCTGTAAACATGATGCTACCAACATCCTGGCATTTACACACACAAACAAAAGGACTTCTATACATCATTGACTCTGTCTGAAACATGCTCGTAAAGCATCTGGCCCTTCATGATCCTGTGGTTATTTCGAGGTTTACGCCACATTAGGGATGGTTCACTTGCATGTTCTGAGTGGCTGTAAATCTCTTTATTGCTGTCATAAACACAACCACTTTCTGCTCCAGTAGCACTCCACATACGGTGAATCAATACTATCACATGAGGAACCACAGCTACAAGTCAGAAAACACGCTCAGTCTCAGTTAGAGGAGGAAAGATGATCAACTAATGAAAGAGCAGAACAGGTTAAATAAAAAACACAGATTTTTAGAGGGAATATTGAGATTTGAGCTCTATCTTTCTAAAACAGGAATGATGACTGCACTTGCAATCACTGTTACATCTTTTTCCGTTTGACTTCCCCTTGTTGCAGGTTGTTTCTGTTTCATTTCTGTTGCAAACCTCCAGTTCTGCTGTTCATTTCAATCAAACCGCTGTTGCTGCTGTCATAAATGGGAAAAGGACAAAAAGGCAGAACCATTTCTTTTGGCACAATAGATTTCCTCAGGAGGAAAAAGGGTGACCTGTGTGTCGAGTCAGGATTCAATCACAGGCCTTTGACAAGTGCTCTCAAATGAACTATATCTTTAAAACTCCTACGAGGACCATCGGCAAGATGGTTAATCATTTCTGTAGGGCTGCTTTTAAAGCTTGTAAACGCTGCCTTTAGATACAAATCTGACAGAATAAGTCACAGCCTGCTGCCGAGAAAGTCTTGGGTGTCACTGGTCTCGGTTAAATCTACAGGGAGTAATACACAAACATGTACGGGTCACAATCAGCAGAGATACAAGAGGTACAGCTTTGTTTACAGGGAGCACAAAAAATAAATTTACACCCAAAGTTCCCTACAGGCGCTTGAAGTCGGTATTTGGCTTATGTTTCTGTCAAATAGCCACTTTTTATCCCTCACAAATCAAACTAATTTAATGGTGGCCAAGGATTTATATTCAGCAATATGCTGCAGTGTACATTATTCACTATCCAGAGTCCTCTGCCACCACTGTTTTTTTATTTAATTACATTTTTAAATTAACCTTCTTTAATATTATGGATTAGAAAAACCAGAGAAGCTGCATGAAGGTGTGTCTAAACACAACCTGTGGGTTGTATGATATTACCTTATCAACATATCGTCACCCTATCAAAATACTGGCCTACGTCATTTTTTGACGAAAATGAGTTTTTGGCCGAAATCATCTCCTGATAATGCGCCATCTCAGGTAAAATCACCAAAATCCTTAGTTGAAAGGATCATGCCATGATGCCATTTGTTTCGCTTACTTTTATAGTTTGCTAAAATATAAATTAGTTGAAGGGATCATGCCATGATTTAGGTGATTTTACTAAAGATGGCCAGCATTATCAACAGATGATTTAGGCCAAAAACTCATTTTCATCAAAAAATGACCATTATTTTGATAGGGTGATGATATACAATGTTGGCTGTTGCAGGGCAAGACTGAACTGAAATAATAAACTCTACAGCCATTACTGTGAACACTAGTATGAGGAAGATAAGGGGCAGTTAAAGGGGGGAAAGTGTCTTTTTTTTTTTAAAAAAACCTCTTTTTTTCTATAAATTTTGCAAAAAAAAAGTCTCAGAGAATTCAGGATTCGAGAAAAATATCGAGAAAAAGTGAGAATCCTGAGGAAAAAAGTCAAACATCCTGAATTTTTTCAGAAATTTGAACACAAAGTCAAAATTCTATGAAAATTCAGGAGTCTAATTCCTGAAAGAAGTCAGACTTCTGATTTGAACTCAAAATTCTGAACATGTCCTGCTGCTCATACACCAATTATCGATGCCTATACTGTCCCCTTCACCTGCTAATATGACATCCACCACATTTGTACTTTCAGGTTTATGTTTTGATCTATAAGCTTCATGTTCAATATATACAAATCTTGAAAAACTTGACATATTTTAACGACTCAAGTTTTCCATTGTTGATCTGCAACAAATTAAACCTTCATATCAATTCCTTCGAGTCATTAACAGCGGTAACATAACTCTTCCAGAGTAAATAGATTTCTGAAGTGCATCTCTTGATGGTGTCCACAGTTAAATCTAGGGAGTTTTTGTTGTTGCGTGCATACCCACAGATATACAGCAATACCTCTACTTTTAACTAAATTATACATCAACGCTGCAGCTGTCCAACTGCCTCAGTTTCAAAACTGCCTCTCAGACGACTTTCAGCAGAGCCCAGACATCCATTTCCTGCTGAGGGATCTTTTTTATTCTTCACATTAAATGGCCTTTAAACCTTTACAGGCTCTGTCACTATTCTGAGATCAGCAGATCAAAAGACAGCTGTGTGCTTTATGAAATATGCTGCCCTCACATGAAGAGTGCAGAGCGAGCAGACAGGTCAGTGTTTCTGCTCAGAAATTACCGAAGAATGGAAGAAGAAAAGCTAAATGAATAGATGACAGGTGGTGTTGAAGCAGTAAAAGAATATGTCTTCACGTCTGGCATATCTTTTGTTCGCTTAAAAGCAGTTCAAAGGAATGGCTAATGACACCTGACACTGTCACACCTCTCCAAATATTTCCACTCGCCTTTCTTATAATCACAGACAGAGAGGAGAGTGGGAGAAAAAAAACAGACGGAGGTTGATTGATATTTTAGCAAACTCTAAAAGTAAGCAAAGCAAAATACATCAAGCTTAAAATTAAATACAACAAGATGTGATGTTTTAAACTAAACTAGATTCATACAGATGGGCCCAAATGAGCATTCAGTAAATTAGACAAAGATTCAATTTAACTCTGTATGTGTACAAAGTTAAACTATCAGCCCGAGGTAACAAAGAGCAAACAAGAGAGCAGATATGATGCTAAATGTTGAGAGCCCAAGCCTTTGTTTCAAATCTGAATTGTTCTGTCTGAAGTATTTCCAGATTCACATCTTAGCAAGCAGCTGTGTCTCTTCAAACGCTCGACAAGACGAAAGCTCCCTCACTGATCAGACAGCGCTGATCAGAGGGCAGATGGGCTGGGCGGGATTGTGTGCAGCAGGTTGTTGCCGCCTGATGTTGCATATGGAGCATCTCTTTGTAGAAGGAAGCACCAAAGGGTCTGACAGAGGCAGCAGTCTGACCGCTGTCTGCGCACAGTCTGGCTTTCAAAACCCCATCAGATAAAAAAAAGAAACACAAAAATAAAGAAGATACACAGGTTCATGTACAGAACACCTTACTTAGTGTAAAGTTTCATCTAAAATAAAATAAGCTGATGCAAAAGACAGATATAAATATTTAAAGGTAGTTTGTCTGACTCCTGTTTGCAGGATGTCTCTAGCCACACATGTGACCTAAAGTGGGAGACTAACCCCCAATTTCCACATCTACGAAAAGGCCGTATCTGACAATCACAGCTAATCGTAACCATTCGAGTTAATGTGTCAATTTCCACCGGCGTCTTTCTGTTCTGCTGCAGATCACCTGACTTCGCAGCTGATCGCAGGAGTTCTATTTTTTCCCGGACACCGGAGCATGTCGGATAAATTTCAAAATAAAACAAGTGATGAACAAGTGAAAGGTTTTAAGACAACATTTCATCCCAATGACACCATGGATGAGGGGATGCTGATTTTATAAGTCTAGAAGTAGATTTCCTCCTCTGGAAGGAAACAATCTTCTGCTTATATGGTTAGCCTATGTGGCTGCCTTTATAGAGACGACTTGTTATTGCACGTTCTCGTGATTCCTGCTGTCCATAATCCGCCATGAAATTCGCCTCACAAACGGAGCCGGTAGGAATTGGCAGAAGGTAAAAATCTAACCTAGCTCCAAGCTGTTCAGTATGCGGTGGAAATTCAGGGTAAGTTTAGGGGTTGAGATGCTCAACCTGAGGAAAAAAAATCAATCATTTTGACGAATGTTTTCAGTTGTTTATTTGCTTGAAAACATTTTTTTTTTTGCTTTTTTGTGGCCTCAGACCATGGCCTTCATGGCAACAGAGGGGAATAATCATCTTTATCTCTACGATGGTGCAAAACCAACAAAACTGACTAAACTAATCAATAACGACTGCAGTAAAATGATCAGACTTGTTGCTGATGGTCCTGTCTGCTTTTAAAGGTCATAAAAAGCATCAATATCAGTTTTAGTCTGTATCTTAACCAGCTAAAACGCTTCACAGTCAATTCCTTTATTCTGCTTCCCTCTACGTTGAGTTTTTACTGCCTGCTGCTGCAGACTTTGAAAGTCTGGACTATGCACAAAAAATTCTTAAAGAGGATAAATAGAAAGTTCCTGCATCTGTTTATGACAATGCCCTGTGCGTCATCACAAGATACTATTATTAAGTACCTGAAGTGAAGTCTCTCTGTTCAATACCTAAAAGCTATAAATCAGCAGCGCTCTGTTCGAAAAGCCATTACCAGGTAAATGCTAAATGATTTAAACCATGAACCTGAGAGGGCTGTTTTCAAATTTCTGGGAGTTGCAGGGACATGAACAAAGCTTCATTTTGAAGGGTCACATTACATAAACTGAACCAAAGTAAAGATGATTGTTGGTTTGAATAATTTAAGAGGTAATCTCAAGGTTGTTTTCTTCACAGGGGTTAACTAAAAGGCAGCAAAATAGCTCTCAATGTTTTCCACGATGCCTGGAATTTAAGACGAACAGTGATTTATTCCTTTTTTCCAGTTTGGATACATCTATTCTGTGTCATGTGAATCAGTCCTCTGTCTCCCCACGGCTTGGGCGGGGTTTAAAACTGAGCACGAGGAGCTTGACAGGCAGCTCAGACTTACGTATGCACACTGGTGTAAATCCAAGACATGATCACAACAAGTCCAGCAGAGCAGAGCTGTGATTGCAACTGATTACAACAACTTTACAATCATGTAACACTTGAACCAAACAGGGATATGGAACAGATCTGAAGCGCCCTCAAGTGTCTGGTGTTAATGACACATAAGCTTTAAGGAAATATTCCAGATCTCCATTTGGGAGGGCAAAAACTCATGCACGTTAAGTTTGGTGATTATAAACCACTGAAAGTTCTTACAGGGAGCGTAGAACATGACCAGAGCATGTTTTTTCTTCTTCATCGCCTCGCGGAAATCCTCTGATCCAAGATGGCTGACATGGGACGGTTTGTCTTCCCAGGACTGCTCTGGAGGAGGAGGTGCCTGAGGACTGCAAACCAAAAAGAAAATGGTGCAAATTACTTGAAGGTCAAGTAAAATGAAACAGAATACACAAAATGTTGTTTTATTTCCTATTTGCTGAGTGTGTATCGCATATTTTCATTTGAATGCTGCTTTTCTGTTAAACTGTTTTAATGTTTGATTTATTAACTGTTAATAAATGAGGAACAGTTGCAACTTTAGAATAACGTCCCAATAACATATCTCTATTACTAACTGGTACTTAACAAGTTATTAGTAAGTAATTTACAAATGACTTGTTCATGATCTCTTATCAATTTATCAGGTAGGTTTATAAATCGTTGACATACAGTTTCAGTTAAAGTAACTCATTAACTAACAGTTTATTAACATATTAAATATCTATAAGGCATCATTATAAAATATCTTTAAATATCTATAAGGCATCATTATAAAAAACTGTTAATAAACACTTACCAAGTCATTAATAACTCATTTATTAACAATTTACTAGTGATCTATTAAGTAGTTATAAAGGATAGTTATTATAAAGTGTTACCAATCCTTTTTATGATTGATCTTTAATAATATTCTAACTATTATGAGGTGCTGGATGTCAGATTTTCTAACGCTCTAAGCCAAAATCATCAAAAAAAAAAAAAGAGTTGAACGGAAACATATTGGCCCTTTTTGTTGAAAACCAATGAACATAGAAAATATGAAAGTCCTTTATTTTTAAACATAAATTATGAAAAAAATGACTTTTTTTTAAACATAAATCATTGACTTTTTTAACACATTGTGATTTGAGGAGGTGCACCTGTATTTGCAAAAGTCTTTCCAATAATGAAACAAATGCTAAGTACTGGTAATATCTTCAGACACTCATGGGATAGAACTCTAGGTCGTCTTTAATAAAATGATATCTGTTTACTGAGCCTGAAACTGCTGCAGATGGGATGATGTCACTTTAAAGTCCATCTGCAGCATTGATCCTTTCCAATACTCTGAGAAAACAAGCAGAAACCTCCTGAGTTGAAAAATGAAATGATTGAGAAGTGAAAAAAAAAAACTGCAGTTCCCTAAGTGTCCACCGGAGGCAAAACCGATGAAACCTTCTTGGGCTGCTGTAGTAGGACAAAGCCCATTTTTAATTATTGGAGAAAGAAACGGGAGCAAATCCATATCTCTCTGTCATGCAGAGTTCTAGGTGGATTTAAAGGAAACTTTATGACAGAATTGTCTCATAGTTTGGTTTTTGTTTGACTAGAAAAGTTACCAGAAGAGATGAAGAAGACAGAAGCAATAGTGTTAAAAACCACAAAGAACTGGCTGAAAGATGACAAATTAATTGACTCAGAATGGAAGGGTTGTGTAAATGAGACATATGGAGAAAAAGTAGCCTTATTTTTTTAAAGAAAGATGAAAGTTTACAACTAATTTCAACACATATTTGTAGTTGTAAAAGTGAGTTACTACCTTTTATGAGCATTTTAGTGCAAAGACTTTGACCAAATCTAAACTAGCTGCCAAATTTAACACAGAAAAATAAAACAGTAAATGTAGGTTGGTGCACAGCAAGAAAGAAGAGCAGCTTAATTTTAGGAGTAAGACACTAAAATAAAGTGAACAACAAGTTTGCGTTTATTGAATTGAAGGAGAAGCGAAGAAGCGATGGCTCTTCCTCATGAGTATGTGACTCACTTGTGCAGGAACTCGATGATCTTGTCTTTGGTGCGGAGGCTTGGCAGCGTGTACTTCTCCTCACCGTTCACGAAATACTTGACAGTTGGGAAGCCGGAGAGCTTGAAACGATCGGCTACAGCTTTATGCACCGTGGCGTCTACTGCTGCCAACACACCCGGACTCTGTGAGGAAATAACAACATACCCCCAGGCACGTGAAACTTATAGAAAATAATGATTATAAAGCGACGTGCACGGGGCTAATTTGTTATACGACAACAAAAAAATCTGGGTTTAACTTTTGCAAAACAGCACAGATTGAATGTGTGAGGACATCGCCTTAATGACATGAAAAAAGAAGCAAGAAAGAGAAAATTAAATGATGTGCTGAGACCTCGGGGCTCAGGGTGAGAGAGGCTTTAGTCCCTCCATATTAGATAATGGTCCAGCTTCTCCGATTGACCTCTGCTGTCGGGCAAAGAGCCACAGAAAAGGCCAAAGCACCGGGGCCGGTGGGATGCACATGGATGAGATAATTACTACAGTCACCAGGCTGAAGTTTTATAGGCCCTGCCCCTGGCTGGGGAGTGCTGGATTAACACGGGACATAACGGTCTGAGAGAAGAGGCGAGGAACATGAACACACCCGACTAATCAGAAACACATCGGGAGCTGGCCGTATCAGCCCGAAGCCCACAGGCCGAGGAAAGGGATTATAATGACCCAGTAATGAGGCACCGCTACAGCCGTGAAGTTCTGCATGTCCGTCAGTCAACACTGAGGCCTTCAAGTGAACACAAGCAAAGGTTATGAGACTTACGTTTGCGCCCTTGTTGAGTAGTTCAGCGGCTTCATCATACTCTGGCTTCATCTTCTTGCAGTGTCCACACCCTGGAGGGACCACAAATGCACATTAAAAAGGCTGAGTGATGACGCAAGTCTGATACTTGAGTCAAATAAGCTGATAGCTAATCTCATGGTCATTATTTCAGTTTTAATCAAAAAGTTAAAACTTAATAGTTTGATTAAAAACCCTCAAAACTAGTGATTAAAATGTTCAACAAAAAAGGAACCTTTGAAGTTAACTTTGTGAGCATCATACAGAAGACGACTGAGAACTTAACATACACAGAAACACACACTGTAAAGCCTCCATATATTGACTTTTTCATACAAATAACCCCATTAAAATCAGCCTGTGTTCTAAACCACTCACTAAAGTGAGAGTAATTTGAACCGATCAAAAAACAACTTCTCCATCATGCAGTTTTTAAGATCTTGAAAAAATAAAAAAAACATAAACCCCCCTGTGAGTGCAGAAAAGCAGTCTTTGCACATCACTCTGCCCTTTGAGCTGTCCTGTTGAATTAAAGCATCAACAACTGATTCTATATAAAGTCTGGTTTTCTTCAGAGGGTGAAACTGCGCACGAGATGACAAGAGTCTCTCATGTTCACCCTGACAGTTCAGTCACATCTGATCACTTCTTGCACGTTTCATCCGTACAGGCGTGTTGGTATTGAGGTAAGTATGTCAAAGACGAGATAAAGAGCTGACTGTAAGTGAGAGGCTGTGCTGTAAAATCAAAGAAATGGATAAAAGGCAAGATTGGTAAATAGAGGGAGCAGAGTGGACTGTATGCTCTATCATTTATCACTCCACATTAAACCCTTTGGGTAAAAATGAATGTAGTTGTCATTAAATTTACTTTAAATTAAAATAATTGCCATCTGTTATATTGCAAGCAGCAAGTCTATTCCATACTTGGTCTATTTTCTCTAAGTCTTAAATTAACTTAAAGCTCCTGTGAGGAGTTTTTAGCTGATTTTGAAACAGACTTAAAATAACTGTGATGCCTTTCAATGACCCACGAAAGCAAACAAGACCATCAGAAACAAGACTGACAATGTTATACTGCCATTTTTAATACTTGTAAAGAAGGCGAGACGGGCTTTTTTAAATTTTATCCAGTACTTTCACAGCAGGTTGATTTTTTTGTGTTAGAAGAAACTACATCTGCATGTATAAGACAAGTCCAGCAAAGAGATTAGTGGTATCACTTAGTCCACAGGGTCCGCAAAATCAAGACAAACAGAAGATTCCTGCCAAAAGCTTAGACTGTGTACAGTATTACTTACATTCAGCTGTAAAACCCAGATATAATATCTTATTTCCGCATTTTACAGTAACCAGTACACCCTGACCTCCCTGTAATAGAAACAGAAACAGCTGCTGGAGCAGCGAGAACAATTGAGATGTTCAGTTTCTTCTTTGTAAAGTTGTTTTTAACAATGTTTGCCTTTTTAAAAAATCTTTATGTAACCAAATGTTCAACTGAGATTTGAAATCTCTTTTACAAAAGTAACCTTGAAAAGGTAGTACTCATACAGAATGATAAAAGTGACACAAAAAGAAAAAACTTTGGAGAATAAAAGTCAGCAAGTCTAAAAAGAAAATATCAAATACAAAGTGAGCTTTACAGAAAAACAACCAGGAGTCAAAGCAGTGACTGCTGTGGTGAGAATGATACTCTCTGACTGTATATGCCTCTGCACGCCTCCACCATGAGGTCACATCTGCTTGCAGTTTTGAGATAAGGTGTAATATTTTATATATCAAGTATTTTTCCCACTTTTTTTGCTTGTTAACACCTTGATAAGGATGCTATACCTGGACTTGTCAGATAAATGTATGGAAAGTTCATTTGGTAAAGCAGCTTCCGCAGAGCAAGACTGAGTGCTCACAGAATATACGTTACTATAATATTCAGAGAATATTACAATATGAATAAAAGACATATTTAGTGTAATAAGATCATTTCACTCAAAATTAAACATGTATTAATTGGTAAGATTGTTTTGCGGTGCACTGCATTCATCTCTCCAAACGTAAAAACTGCTCTGCACTTCAAAAGAAAGTTATAATCTGATCCCGCTGAGTCACTAAATGATAAACTAATTTATCTCCCCACTCTAAATATGAATGTGGCAACAGGAGCAAAATTTCAAAGAGATCCAGTTTCATCAGTGTACTTCACCTTCAGCTAAACACTCGCATGTCTCTGTTCTGTAATTAAGCAGCAGGACAGCTCTGGTGGTGTTTTTCCCTCTGTTTAAGTCTGTTTTATCTGAAGGTATTCCGTATACACGCGCATGTGCTTGCAGCTTTTTTTTTTATTTTTTTATTCTGAGCCAATCTGTCCGAGCTGCAGGCATGAGGAAAAGAGTCTGTCTGGTGTGGAGGTGTGTTTAATATTGCATGAGCCGGATGGGAAGTGGCAAACACTTTTTGGATTTAAAGCAACCTTCAAAACATAACACAATATTTGTTTCGCGCAATGTACAAGATGTTCCTTCTTAGGATGTAATGAATATGCCGTTTGATCAAGGATGAGCCGTATCTGTATGTGCTCACAGCGCTATTGTGCACAGATGCATGAAACAAACCTGGCACATCTCCAAACCTGGTAAATTGCCCTTGTCAAAACAGTTCAGGAACTCCTTTCTTCAATATACAATGCAGCGCCGGTGCAGGCTATAAATCAAGTCAGATATGCCTCGTGGAAAGACAAAAAAAAAAAAGAGAGAAAAAGCTGCTTCTCTTTCAACTGAGTCACTGTGAAGTGTGATCATCAGATTGTGTCGAGGCTTATGAGAAAAATCGAGGACTTTTTCCGACTCTTCAAACTGATGAGTAAGAGACCAAGCAAAGGTTTGTCCTGAGCTCTGCATCAGCCCTGCTTCGTATTCGGAACAAGTGGTGCATGAGGGGCATGCGCTTAGAGTGTTTGTGTGTGTGTGTGTGTGTGTGTGTGTGTTTTCAGGGGGCTCACAGAAATACACTGAATTATTGCTGACTCAGACTGAGCGTGGGGGAGAAGCGCTGAGAGTAAGAGGACAAACAAACTACCCACACGACACTGTGGCTGTAATATGACCTGATACATGTTAAAAAGAGAGGAAGGCCTGTGTGCTCCATCTGCTGTACAGGAAATGTTGGATGTTAAAGTGTTGTAAGGTCATTTTCTGCTGAGCCTGTGGCTACTCACTAAGTGGTCGGTCAGGAGAGTTGTTCAAGTCGAACCTACAAACTTCCTCTTGCAGATAAACCCCCCGACATTCAAGAATAAAAACATCGTCATTTTCAGCCTTATCTGCTGGAACACAGCATTCTGCCCAATAAATATTTTGCCGCACTCTCTTCCAACAGCACTTTGTTCCGGTGTGGGACACAATCAAGCTCAATTTGGGAAACAGAGCGCCCAGTCAGAGGTTTGGCCACCATGAGGGACAAAACGCAAACAACCCCCGCTGAGTGCTGTTCAGAGGACGGTGAGAATGGCCGTGCTGAGAGGTGGACAGAAATGCAAGCTGATGGTGGTGGCTGGGAGACCATTAATCTCACTCTGACAGCGGGGCCATTAAGAAACTGCATTGAAGCAGCAAGGCCAGGCATCAGAGAGTGTGTGTGCATGTGTGTGTGTGAGAGAGAAAGCTTAGGATACAGAAAGAGAGACACAGAGAGAGATTTGTGGTGTAATTGTGTGCGATAAATGTTGTGTCATGGTGTGAAATCTGTGTTTGATATGTGTCAGGTTAGTGTGTGTGGCTGTGATGTAGCTTTGTTTTAGCCGACTGCCCTTGATTTGTGGGTGAGGGTGACTGGCTGCTGTCAGCAGGGTGAGTCAAGAGCGGGGCAAACGTCTGTGAAGGACGGAGAGGGTGAGTCTGCTCCCCCCACCACCATCCAGGCCCACGTCCATTCAAACATTTCCTGAACACTCAGGACAAGGCCGGTGAATAATTGACAAAACTGATGACAGTGAAATGATCTCTGTTGGCATGAATGTTTCCCCCCGATGTGTAATTTAAGAAGCATTTCAAAGTAAGAATAGAAAAGCCGGACAAAACATTCAGGAGAAATATCAAACCTGGCAAAGCCCCTGTGTGACCATTAAAAAAAGGGTCAAGTTTGAGCCGCACTTCACTACCAGTGACTTCTTTCTTTAGTTAGAAATGGACATGTGTTAAGTATTTTATGCTTTTTGTTTTGACCCTGAGGATGAAAATCTGGTTTCAGGAGTATAAAGTGTCAGTCAACAGAATAAAAACAGACGTATCTGCTTTTCCTATTCTGAGTGTGTCAAAAAATAACAAACACATTATCATTTTATACAACTGAACAATTATAAAACTATTGTGTATCTATAATTGATTCACTTTTGATAACTAATTGATGATTTGCAATAACAAAAGGTGCCAAATGTAAACCTGTATTTATCCAATATAAATGTATTTGTACCCATGAGTGACTTTACCAAAAATTAAAATGATCATAGGTGAGTTTTTTAAAGTAAAACTATCATATGCATACCTTAAGTAATGCAAAACTTAAGTTTAATTGCTGTTGCAATGAAAAGGAAAGTTGTTTATGTTGTCTTAGATGTCACCAAAGCCAGTGTTTAATGCTACTAGTTCATGTTTAGTCAACAAAATGACAAAAATCTCCATCATTTAGCATTTTAAGTATTTTTATTGTTGTTGGCCTGAAATGATTGTCATGTGTTGTGTCACAGTTGTAGATCAGCCATGAGCTAAGGTCACTGGAAAATGCCATCTACTACCAGGATGTAAACAATTACAGAGGAGAGGTACTGTCCAAGTTTGGCAGCATTTTGTTTGGGATATGCACCTTTGGTCAGGTACACAATTTAACATTGTTGCCCAAGCTATTCAATGCCAGAGTAACTACTTGTGTGCCTTGTTAAACTGGTAGATAATCACTGGATCTAAGCGGTATCTAACTAGCACAGACATGTAGATGTTAACCTACAAGGAGGACTGAGGACCTGGTGGTGTGAGCTCTGCTGTTTTACTTGGATATTAATGAAATAGCCAATTCTTGCTTCGAACAACTAAATCTATGAATATGAAAACTTTCTTCTTCTACAGACTCGCTTTTATGTGATGCCGTCTCTTATCTTTTATCTTTATCTCTTTTATCTCTTTTACCTCTATCTTATTTCGACATACTGTCCTTTTAGCCCTTGTTTTACTTATAATCTTTTCTTATTTAACCTTTTAGGCCTTTTATTGATTTTATTGTTTTTTCCTGCTCATTTTGGTTATTCCATTTTATCATTAATATTACCATCATTATTATTCTATCATGGTTTTATTATATTTACTATCCTGTTTCCTGTATTTTGCCCCCCCTTTTTATTACATTTCTTTTTCTTACCTATTTCATCTTTTATTTTGGTGCTCATGGTCTCATTTTATGTTGTAGGGTTCTTGTATTGTCTGGGTTTCTTATGACAAATAAAATTGGCCTTCAATTCAGAAGCTGTGTTTTTAACTGAGCTTTTGTTTTTTATTTGTTTTTATTTCCATGTGCTGATGCTTTGCAACTGTTTGTCAAAGCACTTTGTAAACTTCTGTTTTTAAAAGTGCTATAAAAATAAAATTATTATCATGATTATTATCCTAACTGTGATGAGATGGACACGTAATAAAAGCAGTCACACACACAGTAACTGTCACCGATACTACTTCCTGACCCAAGCTTGAGGCCTCTTGTTTTCACTCCTACAGACTGAACTGATTAACAAAATTATGTCACTTGGCTTTACCTATTGAGAAAACTTACGCAAAGTCCCATGCCTCTGCAGTTTTCCTGCCAACTCGAAGTTTTCAGTTTAAATATTAGAACAAAATATTTGAGTTTGAGGCGGTGAATAATGAGCGAGAGGATATAACAGGTCCCACTGCAGTGTGCGAGAGTTGAGGATGTGTTTTAATCACTCCAACAGCTGGAGTGTGTGTTTGCCCTCGGGGTGAAGTGCAGTGCTCCCAGCAACCTGCAGGTCTAAAAGCTCTGCAGTGAATTATCTGCTGAAAATTGTGAAAACAATGACTCATCATTATGGTAAACGCTAGAGGAAAGGGACCCTGTTTTATTTATTTATTAATGTATTTTTACTGCGTGTTGATTGAGATGAGCGCAGATGGGAAGGAGCAGGAGGGCAGGTAGAGAGAGGAGGGAGATACAGTTTATCTGAAGTGGGAGCTCAAAGTGAAAAGCAAACTCCAGCCCCGAGAAGGCTGAAACACGATTCAGATTGTGTCGTGTTGCTGTTGCACTTCTACCAGGGATGAATCCGTTTGCATGATTGTAGAGCCATGAGTCGCATTTATCAAAAATCTACTTTGGACAGTTCCCTCACACGCAGGAGGGCTAAACAATCTGGAGCTGGAGGATCTCTGCCACTGACAGATTCTGGCGTGTTTACAAAGTTCTGTGTAACAACAGCAGTGTGGTGCGTGCATGAAAATGACAAGCGGGCTTATTTGAACCATATGGCAACAATGAAGTATTCAGCTGTGAGGATGAGCTTGTGAGTTACACACAGCTGAAATAAGTGCAGCCAGCCTTGTTTGTTGGATTTGTTGTTTGGTTTCTGAGGTGAAACAGTGATGTTATTTGTGTGACTAAACAACTGTTCAACCCGAGAGAATCAACTCGAAAATGTTTGACACAGCAGGAAGGAATGTGCAGCTCCTCTGACGCGCTGCTGCACATCATTTACAAATGAAACTTCTTTTTCTTATCTGGAAGTTTTAAGAGGAGGATGCTGGCAATATTTAGCATTTCTTCATTGTGAGTAAATCTTGTACAGTCCCAAACTTTGGCATGGTCTGAAACATATTATTCTTTTGTGCCATAAAAAGCCAGTGCTAATTAAAATTTAAAACACACTATGCTACAACAGTGTTGGACTGGACGACTTTATATCTTTTATTTTGGTGATAATCAGTTCGATTCTGCTTCAGTGTCAATGACTGTCGATTGTTTACTAAGATGTTACACCCTCTCTTTTGGGTGTGAAACCCTGACGAAAGCCTTGGACCAACACTCAGCTGCTGTTGATTCTTTTTTCTCATTAAAGTCACACTGTTTACTGGATTCTGAGAGCTGACACATGCTTACAACACTATCAATGGGCTGGTACTGATTGTCTTTGCAAAATTTTTTGAGATGACCATGTCAGCTCATTGTTTGTACTGACTGTAAAAAAGCCCCTGACAAAATAGGCCCATTGTTGCTTTGTAATTTTCTATAATTTTGGAAATATTTTCAAAGTTTAAAACTTATTTATTTGAGCACAGTCAGTATAAGGGACCCACGAAAATCTTAAGAGACTGGCTGAAGAAGGATTGTATTTGTCTGTTTTTTTTTTCAATAAAAGGTGAAAATACAACTGCATCATCTTTTGGGCCCTGACCAATAAACCTGAGGATGTCTTGACCAGACTTTTATGGCCTCAATCTGGACCCTATGCTGGATTTTTGTTGATATCCAATGCGCTGAAATTTTGACATAAACACACCTTTTTAAAAACTGTAAACAGGAAGTTTGTTTATGGCTCCTCAGACCGTTGTGTATTGCTATGGTGCAGTTGTTACTAGAGTTGGTATAACTAGAGAAGCAAGCCGCCAGCAACATTCATCTCTCGAGGGGGTGTCTAACACAGTGTTACGGCGTGTTAGACTCTAAATTAATTTTACGCCGGAATATCCCTTTAATAACTGCTCAAGAGAGTGACCTGGTGAGATGAAGGCTCAAACTGCTGATCTGTGATCAGTAAAAACAAAAAGAGCCCTGATTGGCTTCGATCCGATAACTGAGCTCATGATCAGGACTTCAGGAGTTTGAATACCTTTTCTCTCCAAGGACAAGAAGTCAAACTGTTCAATCTCAAAATGTGAGGAAACCATGTTTTTCTTTGTCTCTCATTAAACCTTTGTAACTCGAGTCTCTCCAAGAGCTTTCCAGACTGTAATGGCTTCTACTTTTTCATTTTTACAAATTATGACATTGCACGGATCAAATAATTGATTGTGAAAATAATCAAAGGTTGCAGCTCTTCCAAGTGTCAGATTACTATCTTACTCACAGGGGGCATAGAACATGATCAGAGCTGCAGGATGTTCCTCCAGGAAGCTGTCGAAGGACTCGTCTGTCAGGTGGAAGACTGCGGAGTCCGTCTCTGACCACGGTACCTCGGGGGTCCTCGGCTGGGGGGGCAGAGGGCTGAAACAGGAGGAGCAGGCCACAAGTACAGAAGTGAGGGACACTTTATGAAGTGGACACTTTCCAGCTGGCAAATAATCTGCAGAGAGCAAAAAATCTAATACAGCTGTAGCTCATACTCCACCCAACAAGTCTTGCACACATACACACAAACACACGCGCGCACACACACATCTGGAGTGAAGCAGCCCCGCCTTGATGACAGAGCACAGCAATGCGATGCCAAGTAAAATGGACGCAGATATAAACAAGTGCACATTTCTGGCACTAACACACACATACACACATAGACACACACATTAAAAGTCATTTGAACATTTTCTCTTTCTGCAATCTTCCCTCATCATCGCACACTCCGGCCGGAGCCAATGTGCAGAAGACTCATGAGACGGTCTTTCTTCAACAATAACAAAACAATTGTTCAAATAGGGTGCAGAAAAACGCTAGCTCTCCTCTGATCTTATCCAGTCCCTGACTTTTTTTTTATCTAGAAAGTCATCGGTCATACATCTGTTTGATATATAAGAGGCTGAGGAGCAGAGTTTATCAGAGACTAAAGGTAAACTAAGACCTTATCAGATGATGCTGGTTGTTTTTTGCAACGTAACATAGCGCTGCTTCCAGACAGCCATACTAGTATTGTTACACTGCTGCAGAAAGCAGATATGATCATGGAGGGCGCTGGCTCTGACCTCTGCTTATGAGTCCATTTATTGCTTTGGAATTAAACCTAAGGGTAAGTAAGTCAGGATTTGTTTTGATTTGCAGTTTTTAAAGACACTGCTTAAACATTTGCAGGTTTATGAATCCCTTTAACTGAAAATAGTGCAAAGACAACATTTTAAAAGTTAAGTCTGAATGTCAAATATGTTTGTTTTGTTTTTGATGCCAGCAGCACATTTCCAAAAGCTGGGACAGTGGCATGTTTATCATCATGTTGCATCACCTAAAGGATTACTGCTGCTTAACATTTATCAGTCCTCTTTGGTGTGGCTTTTGTGTCACAGTAATCCAAATGTGTTCAATGTGTGATAAGTCAGGACTGCAGGCGGGCACCTGGGCTCTTCTCCTACTGAGCCATACTGTTGTAATACCTGCAGAATGTGGTTTGGCACCGTCTTGCTGAAATATACAAGACCTTCCCTGCAAGACACATTGTCTGGGTGGTAGCACATGATCTTCAAAGACCTCTACATCTTCTTCAGCATTAATGGTTCATCCCATGATGTATGAGCTACCCATGTCATGGACTCTTATGCATTCTGTTGGCATTACAAAACTTTGCGTTTGCTAGTCCTTGCCTCAGCTATTTGGAAACCTGAATTTAAAGCGAGTACATTTTTCATTGAACAATACATTTTTCTGTTTAAACATTTGACAAGTTGTCTTTGCATTATTTTGGTTATCTAACATGATTTAAAAGATTTGAAAACTATCAAAAAGTCTGTTTTTATTCCTATCTTACACATTCTTGAACCTGTTTTGGTCATAAGGTTTTATTTCAAACGTGTATTTTGAGAGTAACTGTCTGAGTTGGATCTCTTTTGCTTCCTTTGGCCTGGTAAAGTCCAGCCAGATCTTTGTCTCTAAGGTTGCAATTCTAGTGTAGATCACAAAGGGCGAGGATTTAGCCCCAAAAATGTGTGAAATAACTAATATTGAGTGGAAAATTAAAACAAAACAAGGACACAGCTGTTTCAGGACGTAAGAGAAGCGTCAACAAGATTTAAAGTCGGGCTGATAATCGGGTGGGATGAGATAAAGAAAACATGAGTGCCAGAAAAAGAGAACAACAGCTCACAATATGAACACAGGGAATCAGACTATTTTAGAAAAACCTTAAGACAGCAGTTACTGCAAAACCCCCTTTTCAGCTTTTCCTCGTTTGCACCATCTCCCGAAGAAAAAAAAAAAAACGCTGTGACACAACAAACTGCAGATGTGATGATGCTTGCAGGAGGCCGGTCTTCCACATTTTTACCATATGGAACAGATTTACGTGAAAATGACTCATCTAAAATTAGAGGCCTGAGGGGAAACCATGTCGTTTATTTTTGTTTGTGCCAAAAGGATAAAAGTGTGTTAGTACAAGTTTGTTTAACCAGTATTCATCACCTTTTTTAACTGAAATATGAGGTGCAATTAGCGCTCAATTTAAAACATGGCAACCGCTTTGTCAAACCTTGATTGCCAGCTTGGCAAACACTCCTAAATCATACAGCTGGGCCCTGAATGAGCAGAGCGGTGAAAGCATAAGGCTGGGGAGGGAGTTTGTTATGCCTCTGGGCTTAAGAGAGCGTAGCTGGAATACATCCTCTGCCTGTCTCGCTCCGTTTCCTGTGATAGCTGTGAAAGCTCTGCTCTGTGCCCTCTGGCTGCTGCCCCGTGGACAGTCATGCTTCTCCAGCCAGGCCCCCGACACGAGTGGAGAGGGGAGATGGAGGAGAAAAGGAGGCAGCGAAGCCAAGCTGCGGTCGGAGACAGGAGGTTATGGACAACGAATGTGAGCCAAGGTGAGAAAGCGAAATGAGACAAGAGCAGAGCAGGTGTAGATTGATGACAGAGTGGCAAGGTGAGTCGATGTGCTGAGAGGAAAGAAAAGGTGTGATGGCGACCACAGTGGAGGAGAAAGGTGATGGCAGACACGTTCAAGGTGAGCAGTAGAAGATGTTTACTCACTGCTCCAGACTGACAGTAGGAGTCTAGTTCTGGTTGCCATTCTGTATTACTGTAAGCTTTAACAAAAGGGTGCACATCAATAAGTCATCTCCATACTTACTTTTTCATCCAGTCTGCGATATCCTTGGCTGTGCCGCCGTAGTTTTCATAGTTGTAAAGAAACTTCCCCTTCCTGGAAGAAAACAAAGCAAGCTTAGTAAACTGCTATTTTGGTTTGAGGAACTACTAAGCCTCCACCACTATATTTGTCATCTAATTAAAGAAAAAGACTAATATTGAGGAGCTTTACTTCCTGCCAAAGTGTCTGAAGAATCTGATTCTATTTGAAGGAATAAAAATATCTCAGGATAATACACACACCACCTGAGAAACGACAGACTCTGAAACCACTTGCTTGAGGTACAACATACCTCTCTAAAGATTTAAACTGCTGGCACATACCTCTACTGCAGGGTTAGATTTGGAGCGCACTAAAAAGGTTACCTGCTACACGACTGATATATAAAAACTAACACTTTAAACATAGTGAACAAAAGGATAAACATGCACGGAGTCTATGAGGTTGCCACAGTTGCCCCTCTGGTGTAATTTTCACTCTAAAAGTGAGTCACAGCTGCGATAAACTGCAAATGTTGTTAATCAAAGATGACCTCAGCTGCTGTCCCCGACTCATTTGCTTTCAAAGCTGATAATGGAAATTAAAGCTCCCGTGGGAAACTTCTGCTTTTTTATGTTGATTTTGATGCCCCCGTGCTCTTATTTCTCTGTTGACATTGTCTTTTACATGTGGAAGTGAAGGTTTCTAAAAACACATATCAGTTCAGTGAAATACTCCTTTAACTTCTTAAACACAACACTGTTCACTTTAAATTTAGGACAGATTTAAAAAAAAAATCTTTTTCTTTAAATACAAATTTAAGATTTAAATCCTGGCATACCTGATGAACACATAGACAACTACCACCACCCCAAACATGACTGTTAGGATGAGTTTCTTTAGCCAGTCATGTCAGCCTTTAGAGTGGTGGAGCTGTGTCACTCAAATACCTCAGATACTTCAGTGTTAGATTGCTGGAGCCAGGGGCCTCCGACGACCATCCTCAACATCTACCTTGTACCCATGTTTTACATCACACAGGTCCCCAAAATACGCTCTGTCATGATATTTCCTTCTACGGACCCGCCATATGTTCACCTAAAGCTCCTTAAAATATGTTGTTCTTCGTTCTTACCGTACATGGATTTTTCTTCAGGTCAACTAAATGTCAGCAGTATGTCTCAGACCAATTTCTGTTACGCTTCTGTTACACTTTGTAAAGCTTTGTTACACTTGTGACATGATGAAGCTGTAACCCAGATCTGTAACCAGTAAAACTTGTCAAAATGATCATTTGTGTGGACCTTCCATTTTTATAAGGTGTGAACATGGGCTAGGCATCCTTACAATGACCCAATTGGTTACTCAGTACTACCATTAGGACTGTCACTTTTTATCAGAAACTCGTGTCTTTGTTCAGACTTCAGGAAAGGTTCAGAGTGAGATTTTAATAAACCTTTCGAAATTCCAAATTAACACATTATCAGTGAATCTGGCTGTTTGAGGTAACTTGCCATCCAGCATTGGATCCAGCACTCTTGACCTCAGTTAATCAATACAGTGTTGATATTCTTGCAGAATGGAGGATACGTGCTGCAATCAAAGCCAACACCAAAACATCTGAAAAGGGCCTCGTGGAAGTATTTTGGGTTCTACACCAAAGAAAGCAAGATAAAATTATCTTTTCCAACATCAGCATGTCATGTTTGAACTTTGGTTCAAACTCAAGTTCTGAAAAAATAACAGCCTTAATTACCATATATTTATTTGTAGTCATCAGTCCTGGTACTCTGTGACAGCCCAAGTCCAATAACTTCATAATAACAGTTAGTGCTCAAAAGCTTTGATATACTGTATAATAGTATGCACACAACTCAATCAGCAGAGTACAGCTCTTCTTTCCTCTTAGCAGAACTAACACTGAAAAAATTATCGAGGTCATGTGATGGAAACACAGACAGGATACCAAACACAATCACAGCAAACATATCATAACCCAGATTCTGGGACAAAGAGCTGGATCAGACACAGACTGGCTCAGAGCCAGAAGGAAATGCTTTATGAGAGCTGACAAAAGACAGTGAGGAAAAGTTCAACAACGATTGATACTCTTTCCTCTGTCTTTTATTTTGGTAGTGAGCTTAAAAATACATTCAAGAAAATAAAAATGACCCTAAGTAATGCATTTGAAATGAGCTTGAGGCTTCTCCACGACTCCAGCAGACTGAAAAGATTTAAAACTTGAGCTGCAGATATTCTTGAGGAATTAGTTTATCTTTCCTGCTATTGGCTGTGACAGCATGAAGCGGATGCATTGGCTCAGCTGGGTATTGAGGATCAGTGTCAATGGTTACATCCTGTGGGCAGTGTGATTCTGCGAACACAGAGGGTGGTGACGACTGCAGTTAACAGCTCCTGAGATACAGACTATTAAAGGTGATACACGACTGCACACACTGGGAACTTGTGTTTTAAGTGAACTGAGGACTGTGGCAGTGGGAATTCAATGATTGAGATTTATGACTTACTCAGTTTTTGCTGGCCTTATCTCTGCAGCTGTAATATACAATAAAGCCTGGTAAAAATCAAATAACTAAGTTAACATTCTTGGGTGTTTTTTATTTCTTCAAAAGGGAAAAAACAAGCACAAAAAAGCTGATAGTGTCTTTCTTTCCTGTGTTTGTTTGAGTGATAGCAAGTCAAGGTGTGCTGCTGCTGCTGTGCTGGTTAGTGGGATTTCTTAATCTGCAGGACTGAAAAGGTAAGAGACGTCGAGTGTTGAGTCTTATGGCCGGTGCAGAGGCAAGATAATTCCAGTTGCATTGATGCTGATTTCCCCTGCAGTGATTAGCTGCTGTTTTATCAGTGAGGGGCTCATTACTGGAGCCAATGGGCTCGGATGGTCGTTAGCTAACCCCTGCGCTGACACTAATGTGCACCCAGCTAACGGACTGGCTCTAGCTCAGCTACGCACGAGTGCATGCAAGTGTGTGTGTGTGCCTTAAAACACAAGAAACAAGGGCACATGCACACAGAAGGAGAGCAAACGCACACACACACTCACACACAGATACACACAGACACTAACCACAGAGGCACTTAATCAGTCCCGGTCTAATTAAAAGGCCAGACTGGAGAAAGCGAGTGTTTAATGCGGGAATAGGAACGATAAAGCCGGTACAGGAGGAATAAGAGGACAAAGCTGGAGCACCAACGTACAGTGAACAACACTGTGAATATGAGAGTGGTGCAGCGATGCTCTGGCTTGAGGGGGGGTCTGCACTAACAAATATGATCAGTCACACTCACAGCCCCTGCTGTGTATATGGCTGCATGCTATGTGTGAGTCTGTGTGCATATTAGGACACCAGGGCTGTACTGTAAACTGAAAATATCGGCTCATCACCAGCAGAAATTTCTTCCAAACACAAAAAAAAAGAAGAAAAAAAAAAGCTCAGGCCAAGTGCTAAATCAATGTCACACGTGGCCTTAAGGTGTTTTTGAAGATGAAAAAAACTTTGGTACAGTTTATTAAAAGCCTTTACTTAGTCTGGCTCATTCATTATTAATAACACTGGCTTGTTCTGAGTCTTCAGGCAGGCAACAGCACTGTGTGGAAAAGTGCGGCTCCTACAATCTTTTCAACGAGGTATCTGCATTGGCACAGTGTGGCTCCTGAGGCAGAAAAACCACAGGAAGGTTTTACTTAGCTGAACTCCTGTGCTGCTTTAAGAGGCAAACATTTCTGACATTCAGGAATTTATAATGCTAAACCCTGTTTCCTGTCTATAGAAACTGCAGTCTTGTACGACAATAAAGGGTGAGCGATATGGCAAAAATATATTGAAATCATTTTTTAGAGGCAGAATCATGATCTTAATTTTATCACCGTTCTTCTTTTGAGAATATTTTACAAGTTACTGACCAGGACAAACTCATAAATTCAGTTTTCTTTTTTGATGACTGATAATGATGCAGATAATGACTGATGGCTAATAATTAATGCAAATATCACATTTGAAAAACTGAACTTCAGTGACTATTTCATTAAACAAATTTAGAGAAGGATTTGGCTCAATTCAGTATTGAAACAAGGGACTGATGGATTTCTATCCAGCTATCTGAAATTACCAAGAAACAAAAAGCAACAAGGTAAATATGACCAGTCGTTTCACCCTACTTTGTTTCTGAGGTAGCGCACACAGTGTAACACATGACTATCTGCTACTTCCTGTTTGAGTTTCACTTTCCGGTAAGATTTAAAGCAGCACCATTAACATGGAAGTTGAACAATATTATCAAAAAGTAACTGGTTTTCAACTCAAACTGAAAAAAAGATGGAGAAATCATCAACTTATCAAACCTGAACTAAAGCTTCTGTTGTGTTGAATGATGTTCATTTTGTCTTCAGTTTGTCTTCAGAAAATGATTTCTAAAGCTTCTGTTGGTATAAGTACTCATGCAGGCTTAATCTGCTGCTGCAGTCCAGTCTCCTCTCTCGAAATCTGTCTTCTTATTCTGCATGATTTATTCATTTAAAAATAAGCACTTCAAACCCAATCTTAACTGAATCTGGAATTAGTTAGAGTTAGTGAGCATTTCAGTGCGATTATTTCTCTTTCTACAGGAAGTGAGGCTTTATTTGCATTTACCATCTTTGCATTGCACTGTATGTGGGGGATTCTTTTCAATGATAAACACGAACAAGTTTTCATATGCATTTCATTGGATTTTTTTCTCTTTGTCAAAGGTTTGAGACTGTCTTTGGGTTTACCATCTTTGCAGAGCACTGTGTGAGTGTGTGTGTGTTTGTGTGTGTAATCTGGTGCAGAGAGACATGCTCTGCTGCACGTCTACTGTAAGATAAGAACTTTGTCGATCTCCAAAGGGAAATTCAACAGGATCAGTATATATTACACAGCTTATCACTCACAGAAATGTCTCTAAAGTGAAGTGTTGTCATACTCTGCATGCACAGGAGTGAATTTACACTGAACTCAATGTGGCTGCTGTGCTGTTTGTTTAGCATATTAACAGATCACTCGGTCTGTGCATTATAAACAACATCAATATGCCTCCCTGTATTAGCATAAGTCTCCAACAGATGACAGAATGAGCTGAGACTACTTCTGGATTTGCAGATCATGGACACGGTCTAATCCTTCACAATCTAATACCATCACACTCATAGTCCTTGTGTCGAATAAAACTATTCTCATACAGTCCTTCTCAAACATTTCCGGTTCATTCTCCATCACAACAGTGAAATCAGAAGAAACCCCAGCTCAACAATGGAGCCCCTTCTAATGTGAAAACAGTGTTGCTCTCAGTGAAAACACCAATCTCCACAGACTGCTTACAAGGAATTCAAATCAGATAGCTGAAATTCCCAATTCTGTTAAACCAGAGCCTTAGGATATCCAACAAATCTTTGCATTAGACAAAAAGAAGTAAATCCGCACTGGTGGACATGTGCTGTGCTGGAAGATTTTTGTTCAAAATTGCTTCAGCAAAGCTCCAGTTATTAAATTTGTTGGCAATAATGTTGTCTATCAACCTAGAGGGACTACATTCATTTAAACTCTTCTCCAGCTCTGTTAGCTGAGAGTGACACCCAGTTGCACCCAATATCCTCAATTCCCTCCAGAGAGTTTACTTTTTTTTCAACAAGAGAACACCGGATGATTGTGAAACTTTCTTCTTGACACCGTATAGAATAAAGTTCTCCACCTTGAGGGATACGATTGCAAGCTGTTAGTCTGCCACCATCATGTCTGTTGGTGTTTGAGAGCTCTGGGCTGCACTCTCTGTTTGAAGTGGTCCCACTCTGATGTCCTGAGCCTTGGAAGTGAGGGCTGAGCCTAAAGTGAGACGGATGAGAGGAGTCAACTCACTCGAAGTAGCAGAAGGTCGGATAGCCTTTGACGTTGTACTCCTGCCTGAGGTTGTCAAACTCTGCTGGGTGCACGTTCATCCCCGCCAGGATCTTTAAAGACAATAAAACAAAATAGAAGCAAAGTGAAGTTTAGGTTGTCGTGGAGATAAAGGGAAAGGGAAAGGACAAGAAACATCAGAGCTGGTCTGTCGTCATCACTGGGCTCAAAAAGAAAAAGATGGATTACTCTAAGAATTAAAAAAGACTGCAATGTGGAAAACAGCGTAGAAAAGTTAAAGAGATGAAGACTTCAAATACCCACTTCGAAACAGGTTAACACCTGGCTAGAGACATGATTAAGTCTTATACCCACAAGAAAAAGTTAACAATAAATCAAAAGGAGCAGCTCTTTTCATTTGACACAGAAAGACACAGTTTGGTCGATGGAAATAGATTTCATAATTTTGCAAACTTGTGAGACAAAAAAAAAAACTGCCTCATGGTAGGTCCCTGAGCGACCTTGGTGCAGTTACCCAAAAAAACACGATTTATTCACAGTTCATAGATAATTTAAAAGCCTTTCTTCTAAATTTTACATGGTCAGACTTGGCTCCAATATTGTTACATAACTGTCGAATTTGGACCTGAAATGCTGCAGCGCTTTAAGTTAGCCCCCAGCATAAAGGGTAATTGATCTTAGTTAGTCAGCCTCACACTGTTTAAGTAGGTTTGGATTCTAATTTGCATAACCACACGTTCACTATTTAACATCATGCTTTTATACTCAACAAAAGACACAATTAAGTCCTTACAAAATATTAATTTAAAGATGATTTTATTGATTTAAGAATGATTTATTCTGCCAGTTAAGGAAACAGTACCTCTGCTTTCACACTAATTAAGACGGGAAAGACCGGGTCTTGCTTTCTTCTTCTCTACAGAAAATAGCTGGTTTGGTCCAGTTGCCCCTCAGGCTGCTCTCACATCTGTGTCTGGTACCTGTCGTTATTACCTGACTCTTGAGAACAGCCTGAGGCAGAAACTAATGTTTTTGCCAATAGTGTCAACAGGCTGAGAAAAAAATGGAGAGTCTCTCTGTGGATAAATTTCATATGGAGTGTGGGATCAGGTACGAAGGATATATTTAAAATCATATTTGCTTTTGAAGGCCATAGAGAAGCATCAGGCATAGTTTACTGAAAAACTCCTTGCACAGTGCCTTTAAGTTGAAAAAGTTTAGTATTATATTATAGGCTACAGTGTAGACTACAATAACTCAAAACCAAGCAGGTATTTTTGTGTTTTTGACGTCTACACGACACATTCATAAGAAAATAAAACAATATAAGGTTATATTCTTGGACATTATTGCCAATATTAGACAGGACAGCTCAGGGGGACAGGAAGTGTTTGGAGACCATAACTTAGTGGTAGTAAGCTCTATGTTTTATCACATCTATTGAATATAATAGATGATTTATGTACTTATTTACTCTATTTATGTTCCATTTTTTGTTAATATAATGTAAATATGTTGGGGACTGACTGTTTATTGAGTAGCAGAGAAGGGTAGGTTAAAAAAAGGATAATGCTTTTCAGACATGTTGGGTTCACATTATTATTAGTAGTATTTTTCATTTCTTTTTTTTTTTGCTTTGATTATTGTTTTTTGGAGTATTGTCGTTGGTTTTGTTTGTTTGTTTTCAGTTCACTTTCTTGTGTTGCACGCACATGTTCGAAAAAAATATATACAACGAAATGCTCTTCAGCGAAGTCTCTCCTGTTAAAATCATAACTGATACTTTAAAAGAATAATGTAGTTTCTTTATAATAGGAACGACTGCTCATTAGCATTAGTGTGAGTTTCTTCAGCCTGATGAGATGTAAAATATCAGAGATCACCTTTACACCTTCCTGCGTCCGTAACACAGACGCCAGAACTGTGTTCAGGAACTTGGCTGACTCCCAGTTCAAACCCTTCGCTTCCCGGCAGCTCTATTATTCTCTTGCAATAACACATTCCCAAACATGGATCCCAGCCCCTCTCACATCAGCAGATCCTCCATGATCTGTTCAGGGAGCTGTAAGCATCACTGTTGATTTCAAGTCGAGAAGCTTAAGTGTGTGCTACTCACAGGCTCTGTAATCAAACAACCAGTTAATTATGTTTTTCATTTGTTTGGCCATGTCTGTGCGCTACTCTTCTTCGATGACTCCTCAGGCGGCTGCTTCTCTTTGCTCTCGTTGCAAAGATCTCTCAAACTCTTCTTCTTCTTCTCCTGGCTCTCGAACAGAAGACGTTTATGAACACAAAGCATTTTTTTTTCCCAAGTTGATCACAAAGGCCTCTGGTTGTTGTTTCGCATGCATCTCTCCAGTGAAGTTAAAAACATTCTAACAGCTGGGAACAACAGAGCACTTCTCTACCCCCTCTAAGTTTGAAGGCTGTTGTAACAGTGCCTGTCTGCAGACTGTCAACATGGGTCTTTAGGGGACCCGCGAGACCAGGAGGAAGAGAAAACATGATGAGAAGAAGAGGGGGAGAAAAGTTAAGGGGTAAACATAACGACTTAGCAGGCTTCACTGACATTTAATCTATGTGGAGGGTTGTAAACTTCAGCCGGGAGGGCATTAGTTCTTAATTGTGGCTGCAGGAAGCAGATAAAACAAGTCTAAAAAAACAGGTTCAAGTTTTCACCATCACTAAATATAAACTGATAATATAACATTCAGCTTCAAAGTTGCTGAGAAAGACTTCACAGAAAGATTGCGAGGCTACTATAATTGCTCTGGTGGGTCAATGCAAACAAAAACACAAATGAAGTATGAATAAGTTGAGCAGGGAGCGAATTGGGGCGTTTGATTCGCCTTCAAAGCCATCTGGGTTATTATTCTGCTGGATCAAAGCCTGTGGTGCAAAAGTTGCAGAGGTGTTGTGCTTAAAAAGAAGTTTTCTAAGAAAATACATCTAAGTAAAGCTTTAATTTGGAGCCGCCTGACAGACCGTCCTTCTGCGGATTACCGAGCAACCATCCCAGCATTCACTGCTGACACATCTCATCTAATCTGCAAACATCAGAGAGGGATGGCTGAAGATCAGAGCCCGTTAATGCAATAAGACGGAGGGCCATGTGTAGGGAGGGGGAGAAACGAGCAGACTTACATATTTCCCCTTGGTCTCTGTTGCTGCTTGCTGAAAGATGGGCTGCATTCGCTTACAAACTCCGCACCCTACGAGCGAAACACAAAAGAAAACAAATCAAGTTACTTCAGGGATCTGGACCGGGGCATTTGCTATGACAGCATCGATATGACAGTCAAAAGATTTCACATCTTCTGCCAGGGGAACTGCTTTTTTTTTTTTTTAGTCAAGAACAGCTTGCAGTGAGACAGCTGATGTGAAAGATACGATGAGCTGAGAGTCACTGACCATGATGATAACTGAACACAACAGGAGGAATTTATGACTGAGCAACAACAGAAGAAGATTCTGGTGTTTGGGTCTTAAAATGGTGTGGCAGTGACAGATTGGTTATCAAAGCCCCACTGATATTTTCTAATTTACAAACATATTAAGTAAAAAAAAAAAAGGTATATTGAGTGTAAAATGTTGAGAAACATTTGATGGTTTTCATAACATATAGGCCTTTGTTTAATTGGAATTGTGCAAAGACAATTTGTTGAATATTGGAAGTAAAGATTTTCATGAGTTTATAAAAATAGAAGCTCACAAAAAAAATTGAAATGCTTTTAAAAAGTTGAGACAGGAACAACGAAACACTGAAGAAGTTGTGTAACGCTAAAAGAAACCCCTTAGGGAACATCTTCCAGAACAATGTTCCTGAGCGTAAAGTTTTCATACATCGATTGAAGTACATGAGAGCAAATCTGTTGAACTCTGTCTACAAAAGGCTGATCGCTGATACTGCATGTGTGTGATCTTTGCACCCTCAGGCGCCACTGCATCGAAAACAGTCATGGCTCTGTAGTGGAATCACCGCATGAGCTAAAAATAACTTCCAAAAACACAATCTGTGAACATGACTTTTGGAAATCATGGATGGAGAGGGACCACCTGGTTTGACACTGCCACACAGTTCAAACGCCAGCTTTTGTGGTTGTACAGGGATGCTAAAGAGCCAATGGCATGGCTAGTTTACTCACCAGGTAAAGCACAAGCAACATATATAGGATTTGAAGCGACATATGTTGACATCAAGAAGATTCTTTTCAAGAGGAGACATATTTTCACAAGACAATGCCAAACTTCCTCTGTAACAGCATGGCTCCATAATAGAAAAGTCTGGGTGTTTAACTAGCCGGCCAATATTCCTGACTTGGCACTAAATGAAAACATCTGGTTCATTGTGAAACAAAAAACAGGAAAAGGAGACTCTGGACAATTAAGCCACTGAAACCCAATATCAGGTAAGAATTGGATGAAATTTCACTATTCAAACTCCCAAAACTTGTCCCCTCAGCTCCCAAACACGAACATCGTGTTGTTTAAAGAGATGATGCAAACATGCCTCTGATCCTTCTCTTTTAAAGCATGTTGCAGGAATCAAATTCAAAATGAGAATATATTTTCATAAAACAGTTACATCTTCTCTGTCAACATCTGAAATCTGTCTTTGCACAGTTTTTAATAGAGTAAGGGTTTAAAATGATTTACAAACCTCCAAATTCAGTTATTTGGTTTATACTTATTCCCACATTGATTCTCTGAGTCTGGAACTGAGTAGCTTGGCATGATTTGCAGCTCAAAAACTCTCTATTTATTATACACTTATGTCCCCCCTCAGTACATCTCTGACCTCCTGCTGTTAAATAAGACCTTGAGGGTTTTAAGGTCAGTTGAGTAGCTGCTTCGTGACTCCTCACAGACAATACTGAAAGCCTTTTCAGCAGTAGCCCCCAAGTTATTGAATGCACTGCACCCGAAAGTCTAAATACCCCCCGCCCTGGCTTTCACATCCCATCTGTAAAGAGTTTGTCACTCCTTGGGTTTCAAACCTAGCTTCGGAATCTCTTGTTCATTCGCTTTGTGCTTGTTAAATGTGTTCTGGTGTATTTTACAGGGCTCTCATGTACTTTATATGACATGTACTCTACTGTGTTTACTGTGATTCATCAGTAGAGAGGATCGAATGGCATTGGATGACTGATTTAGTCTGTGTTCATTGAAGTTATGCACTTCATTCCCTCCGTCTTTAAATGAGACATCTTGTATGGTAATATGTTCATATTTTATTCACTTTGTTCTGGCACACTATCTTCCAATCAAGGAGGTGCTTCAAGTATGCTCGTAAGGAGAGCACCACTTGTTCTCTTTACAGTGAGCTACCTGGCATCTGTGTTAATGAAAGGACTTACAGGGAGCGTAGAACATCATGAGGATCGGCCTCTCCTCTTTCTTCAGCAGCTTCCTGAAGTCCTAAAAAAGACAGAGGGAGCGGGGAAACAAACAGACGATAAAGACAATTTAACACACAAGATATGTAAATGACTTGGGGCGTATTAGTCCAAGAAAAACGCCACATATTTGGACTGAAATGCAAAAGCCTGATTAAAAATAATAACCTTATTCCCTTAGCAGCTTCCTCTGGGGTAGATTTCTCAACATAGCTTTAGAATAATGAGGCAAATCATCATGTTTGTTTTTGCTTGCTCTGAATGTTCAGCAATCTTTTGTTATTAGTGTGCGATGACGGAAGAAAAAAAAGTCAGACCGCGTGTAGATCAGCCTCCAAACCTGTTTTTTTTTTTTTTAATCCTCATCCTCATCATCGTCTTCATGAGATCAGCTACTTCCTGAAAATTCATGTTCAGCATTTTCTTTTGTTGACACCTTCAACAAGCCTCGGGGCATGAATGGATGGGCAGGTGAAAATAGAGCTGCCGCTCGATAAATCAAAGAGCTTTCAAACCCTGTTCATGATGTCTATGAGGGGAGAAGGTCTTCAAACCTCTGGTGAATGGGTTGAAGAGGATTTTGTTCATGTGCCATGTGAAGCGGCTTGTGTTAGTAGACGTCATTACCCATTAAACCCTGATATTTTTGTTGTATTTGTGAGTTTTGTGTTGCAAAAATGGACATTCTGATGAGTCTGCTTCCCTTTGCTACCTCGTAAAAAGAGTAAATGTGCAATAATATCAGTATTCATGTCTGCAGCACACAGAGCAGCCAAAGCTCCTTTGTAAGTCCTCTTAAACTAGAAAGGTTTGTTTGGATCACTTCTTACTTTTTCTGTCTCTATGTGGACGACATCTTTCGCCTCAGGGTTCTCTTCCCACAGTGGGGGTCCAGACGGGTCTTTCAAGAAGGCAACCATGGACTGAAAGGAAGAAAGAGGTGACAAAAGATTTAGAAAATAACATCTTAAAATAAAGGTTGTCACTGACTCAAAATGATCCCATAAATACTGTCATGGCAGAGGATTTTTCATACTCCAGTGTTGAAGGCGCCGCGGCTAAATTTAGTACATAAAACATGGCAGGCTGTGCCAGGTGGAGGCTCATACGCAGTAACATGTTCATGCATCAAAGAGGTGTCAGAGCTGTTTCAATACGTAGAGGCGTTGGGTAATGGGCTTGGTAAAGCTCCATGTGAATATAATGGACCATATGTCTGCAGAGGCAACAGCAAGAATCGTTTCATTCAGTGGGACTTTGACAATGACGGTGTGGACTCGGGCAGAATATTAAATGATAATTATGTCGTTGTCAGGTTTACTTGGTTATGGTTCAAACCCAGACTTTAGCTGTTTTATTGTTATGGAGGCTTTTCCATCTGTCAGCCGAAGAAATACGGGCAAAATACGACTGAACAAAACAGTCACATCATAATAGTAAAAACTAGATACACAGCTCCAAGCTGTTGGTATCATCGGCTCCTCGTAAAAATCAGGCGAAGCAAACAAAAGCAGCAACTTTTCAATTTTCTTGAGAATCCTGGATTGGAGAAGTGTGTTGTTTTTCCATTTTGACTCGTGCTGAGATTTTCATGAATTTAAGTTGCAAATTTGGGGGATTTCGTGTGTAGTCAAGGGGAAAGTTGATGACCACTAGTTTATCCGACTTAATTGAATGTTGAAACCAGCAAATCGAGTACAAACTCAATTAAGTTGGGAAGCTTCAAAGAATATTTTAGAAGGTTATTTTGATGGTTTTTCAAATCATTTAAACCCTATACTCAATTTTATGTTGTAACTGAGAAGAGTTATCTAAATATATGCTTATATTAAATTTAATGCCAGTAACATGTTCAAATGTTGCTGCTATCAAATTTAAATTGTGCATCTTGTTTCATATAAGTCTTTGCAGCTTGAAAATCAGATTTGTTGTTTTTACACAAATTTAATTAAATATGGGGCTTAAATAATTTACAAACCATCTAAATCTGATCTTTTATGGAATTAGGGTTTTAATACTATGGTGTGTTCAGAAGTGTGTATTCGATGGGGATAAAGAAAACAGCTCTGCAGGACTTGAGCTGAAAATGAGTATGAAGAATGTTAGATCTTGTCGTTTCTGCTCTCACCTTAAATGTAGCCGGTCTGTTGTACTCTGTGTGAAACGTCCCATCTCTGCAGGACACACAAAGCACAGTGCTCACAACACCGGAAGTAAACTGTAAACAACATGCTTCTTAAGCTACAAACACAGTATTACTTTCCAGAAGGCACTGAAGCATGGGATAATCTCTGACAGCCAGCTGAGTTTGTCTGGTTACTCACTTGTAATGCAACAGCTCCACTCCCTTGGGTTTGGAGCTCGGGTCCACCTTCACTTTCTTGCAGAGCTTACGACCCTCTGAATCTCTGAAAGCAGAGACACAAAAACAGAATTTGGAGTAACCTTTAACAACCTCAGACAAAAATCACTTTGCAATCGCAGAATAAATCTTGACTTCTCTTTATAGCAAGCTGACTTCATTGGGAAAAGTTTTAAAAGTCAGGCAGAACCAGAACTTGAAAGTTGTCCATTACTTTGACTCCAACTTTGACCTCATGCAGACAGAGTTTAACCAGACGCAGACTTTGACAGAACCACTTAGCTATAGGCAGAAGTCACAACATCAACTCTGGACCTTTATCCTGAGATTCTGTGTCTGGATGAGTGCTGCTCTGAACTCACTCTGTGACCATGAATGACCATCTCTCAGATAACGGTCACCTGTTTAAGCATTTATTGGCTATTTTATAAGTTCCTTACATTTCTAGTGTTATTTTAAGTGTTTGCAATATGTACTTCATTGTGTCAAAGAAAGTGCATTTTGACAATACTTTCCTGAACAGTGTCGAAAAAGCAGGAAGAAGCTGCATGAGAATGCGATTGCAGTGATGTTTTATCAGACTAAACTGACCAACTGTACAGTGTTATATAAGCAACGCCCCCCTGTTCTGTTTGTTTATTAAATATATGCTCACACACAGACATCCAAAATGGAAATCACATCCTGATTAAAACTTTTAGCATACAGATTAGTTGTATAGAGGCTTGTTCGTGGAGCTGCAGTTGAAAAGGAAACACAATTTGCATCAAACCACCTACATGTACTTCACACATGGTACAGTACAGTAAGACATTATGGGCGACATGAAGTACTCTCCCTCAGCTGTAATGAAGTGCAAGAATGAAGAGTGCATTCATAAAGAGAGGGAGAGCGATGGAGAGAGCCTGAAGCCGACAAATTTAAAGAGGTAGAATCTAATTAAGGCTCTTAGACCCGCAGTGAGCCGTGTATATGTTCAAGGGAGTTTCGCATTATAAGGAAGAGGAGCGAATCTGTCTGTGCATGTGTTGACAGACAGTACTTCAGGTAATGACTGTGTGCTTAATGCCATATTCTGCTGACTCATGAAGGCAGATGGCACCAGTCGGGGGGAACACGGGAGCAGATGTGACCTCGTAGCCCACGTAGCTGGAGATGACGTGCAGTCATCCGATTCACGACCAGACGGCTGAATCTTTCTCCTTGAAAAGCTGCCATAAGTGACTCAAAAGTAAGAAAGCTCAAAACCAGTAAAGAAAAGGACTTTTATCTCGAATTCATGTGTTTGATAATTTGACAAAGTTAAACCAATCCTAGAGAGGCCCCACTGGCCTTGCAATCAGTGCACATCCCATGTAGGCAGGTTATGTCCCACACGGGTGGCCCCGGGTTGGATTCCAGCCTGAGGCCTCTTTCCTGCCTGTCACTCTCCACTCTCTTTCCCTGTTTCCTGCTCTCGCCACTGTCCTCTCCAATAAAATCAAAAAAGACCAAAAACAGACTTTAGAAAATAATCCTACACATAGTCAGTCATGCAAATTTTAAAGTGACATAAAGTAAGGTAAACAAGCGCAGAGGCAACAGGGGGCATCTGCTGATCTGACTGAATATTAGCTCAAGACTTTACTTTTGCTATAACTGCTTTCCTTAATCCTGCAGTTGTTTTTCTTTCTACAGGTTTTCAAATATAAAGTTTGGCTGCTTTTGTTTAAGTATCACAGAAAAATAAGACCTTTAAGTTTGGGAGTTTTATAAGTTTAGACCTCGAGCTGTTGCAGTAGAGCTGGGCGATAAACCAAAAATTTACCGATATCGAAATTTATGACAATAACCAATGTCATTTTGCCCATGCCAATATATTCAGTGTCAAAAAAATTAAAAGTTGGTTTTGGATGTGTGTAGGTAGGCTATCGTCCATTTATCGTTATCGAGGTGAACCGCTCAAAAATGATATTGATTAAAGGCCATATTGCCCAGCCCTATGTTGCAGTATATCTGAATGGATTATCATAACCGTCTTTTTGATGAAAATTATATATAAAGATGCAAAAAAGTGAGCATACTGTTCAGCTTATTGGTTCATAAGGGGCAGTACTGATTCTACAAGCTAGCTGCCACCTGCACAAAACATAAGGGAGGACAAAGACCAGCTTGCTAGCTAGCCTTTGCAGCAGAGTTTGACTACTACTGCAACATAAAACAAGCCAGACAGGATGACAGATAAAAGTATGGAAAATGTTTCCATGGAAAGTGGTATCATGAAAGAGAGAAAGAGATTTCATTTAATCAGATGTTACAGGGTGACACGTGTAAATCATAAATTAAAATTTCATTATAAATGGATAATGACATGTAAGTAAGTCCAGTACATTTATCGGTGACATGCCGCTTGACCTATATATTTCCCTCCCTTGATTTGGCTGATGTGTTATGGAAGTTTTCTGTAAGTATTGCAAAAATATCATTATTGTGAGGGTGACAAAGTGAAGTAAAGATCTAATATCTACTACTGACGGCCCAATTTTGAAACACACTTTTAGCCGGACATCAGAGCCGAGGTCAGCACCCTGGTGTTGACTGCTTGACCAGTTGCGAGGAACATAAGGGAGGCCACTTGTTGTCGACGAGTTGATCAGTTGGTTAAAACCCTTTGTGTACCCTAAACAAGTGAACATAAAACCGTTCTGGCAACTGAAAAAGAGCAACATAAAAACCCCTGGATGTGCCTGAGATGCTCTTACCCACCAGACTATATGAGACAAGCTAAGGTCTCATCCATACACTTGAAAAGAACGTTCACTCTAAAGACTATTTTCTGGTATTTCTTTTCCCCTAACTTCCCATTTTACTTTATACACTGCATGCATCAACTTACAGACGACTGCCAACTTGAATGTAATGTTCTTGGCCAAAGAAAACTAACTGTGATGTTATTCACTTTAATGTTTCTGCCACAAACTTTTCATATCAGATGGATATAAAAATGCAGAAATTAAAGTGTTGGAAACTAAAGAAAAGATGAACAGCCCTGGAACGAAACACCAGCAGGCACCGGCTTTGTGGCACTTTAGAAAAAAATTTTAAAAGGTGAAAAATGTGGGCAGAGAACAGTGGAACAATGGCCTTGTGCTTTCAGCTTCTTACTCATCTGGTCATACATACACACTAAAACTGACTCAGAGAGAAAAAATCCTGCGTGTCTTTGTTTCTGAACTGCAGTTTCAGTGAATCAAACTTGGAAATGGCACAACTTTTCAATCACACAACAAATACAGGCCAAGGGAATGCAAAATGACTCACTGGCTAATGTTCACTTCATAGAAAGAACAGAGGCTATGAATGACATCTCTCTAAAGACTCGGGCTCAGCATTACTATTGAAAATTCATCTGGTGGCTAACGTCAGTGGACACATCAGCACAAAGGCCTTCACAGCTGCTGCGAGCGAGAGGACTTCCGGTAAGGGGGCTGAGCATTGAGGAGTTATAACTGAAAAACACGTGATGATGAGATAAGCAGCAACAGAACAAGATGCCAAGAAAAACTGTTGACCAATCCTGTGTTGTAAGGGTAAAGGAACAATGTCGGTAAAGTCATAGAAAGAAAAAAAATGAAGCAAAAATAGAAGAAAGGTGTGCTCTTTTGGATATTATCTTTCACTTTACATTTTCAAAGCTTTAAGTGGTTAGTGATAATTATTCCTAAATAATGTGGGCTTTTTCTAGGGAAGCTCTGGTGACTGATTTCCAAGTGGTTCAAAAGGACATTTCATTCATAGCCTAAATTTGATTAACACAGCTGAGCATAAGATCACAGAGTCTGTAGGTAAACAAAGTAACATTTGTTAACCGAGTATGGCTAAGGCTTGCAGAGCTAGCACCAACCGCCTTTGGTCCTTCTTGCAGATTAACATCCATATATCTGCACTAGTTACACATTTCTCCAGGTCAAGTGGTTTTTTTGTGTACTTTGACCACACATAGCCTACATAAAAATTCATCTCCATTTCCAAAAGTATTGTTAGCTTTGCTGTTTGGATCCGAATAGAACAGCATTCAGCCAGCAGCAATACATAAGCACCCAAGCTAAAGCCCTGGCCATTTCCGACTTTCCGATATTAAAATAATAACTTGCTTTACGAACTTGTAATTTTTCTGCTGTCAAGTAAGGACAGGACAAGACTTTCTGTATGTGAAACAAATCTCCTGGACACTTTGTCACAAAACTGATCAGCATTTCATTGAAAAGCATCAGGAATGAGTGATCCAACCTCCATGTAAACAAGCATCTTGGAGCTTATTTCTCCCCCCCATGAGGACAGACCTGAAAGTACGTGTCCTTTTTAGAGTCAGACTGCTAAAGTCAGTCAGAACGAGACTTATGTGACTTACTATTTACAGTGAACCTGAGACTTGGCTGTTGTTTCAGGAGTTATAAAGCAAATGCAGAAGACTGTGATCTAGTTCTGTTACTCAGTTGGAAAGAGGTTTAACATCTGTTGATTTATCTTTTCTCATTTCAATCCCCAACTTTACTTCTTTGGATGAAAAGACTTAAAAAAAATATACATAAATGAGTAAAGGAGCCAAAACTTTTCATCAGGTCAAAATCAAGTGAGTCCATTTTGGAAAGGATTATTACGGGTTCATCAGGAAAAGAGGACGACACCCTGCATGCCTTTTAATTATTACTATCAAAACACAAATCCTAACCCCTGTGGCCTTGCTTGTTCTCTGCTGGTTCACCCAGACCCACGTTCCCTACCATGTCTTGAGTGTTTTCTGCATGTTTAGAGTGAATGGGAGCAGAGCGGCACAGTCCCACACTTCCTTCCGGTATGAGCTCATCCCACCCCTTCGGAGGATCCCAGTTGGCCAACACTCAGGTCCCTGTCATCTGTTCAAAGTGTGTCATTCTGGCTTTGGTGACCCTCTTCCTTGGCAAGCCTGGTTGTTCTCACGCTGTGATATGCGCTTAGCTCTCTCTCTCCCTCTGTCCACCGTGAGCTCGCAACTGGAGCTTTGATTTGGAAGAGGCCCATTTGAGATGGTGGAGAAAAAATGCCAAGCAGCACAATGCTTTGCCACAGAACCTGGCACTGGACCTGTGTGTCCTGCAGTGATGAACCCAGCTCACTCGAGATCCCCTAGAAGGAATCTGGCCCAATATAAATCTCTGCTCCGTATGAGTACACTCTCTTACATGCTTGAGTTGTTGGAGGAGGAAGACAGAGATGATACTATAGTGTGCCAGACAAAAAAAGGTAAAGTAGTCAAAAAGTAAGCAGTTACAGAGGATTTGTCATGGAGTGTCTTTGAAGGGGAACGTGTACACAAACAGTTTGAACAATTCCTCCAGACTTTTTGAGTGCAGCTTTTCTTCCTGTCTCTTTGCTCGGTCATCAATCCAGGATAAGCTCGAGAAAGATTGTGAAGGCTGCCATGAGCGCTCGGTGCCAAAGGAGAGAGACTGTCTTCCAGTTTCCTGTTTTATGATACATTCTTTCCTCCCTGGTGAAGGAGACGGTTTGTGCAGTTGATGGCTTGACAGGTAAAGAAGAATGTAAGTGGAACTGAACATGAGGAAGGGCAGAAAGAACAACGAGCTAAAGTCATGTCACAGGGGAGGAAAGCGAGTTGTGCTTAGAGGCCTTGACTTACCAGGGTCTCGGGAGGATCTAGCGTTTGATAAATGTAAACATTTCCACAGTGTGGGCTGGAGAAGGATGTGCACTAGAGTCACGGATCAAAGATGTTCTGCTTTTCGAAAGAAATGAAACTGTTACTCGAAAATAAATAAATGTTGAAGTTTAATCTGTATTATCATGATGCAGACGATCATTTTTTCATCTTATGTAATATCTACAAAGGTTATTTTTGATTATTAATTGTTGTGTCAGTTAAGTATTAATTTAAGAATAGGGTATTGATTGAATCGAGATGTTCAAAAGTGAATAATTTTCCTTATCATTCAAACAGACATTTCAAGTCCAACTAACCTTTGAACCCTAAGGTATGTAATTACATTTTTTTGGTAAAGGCTAAGGTTAGCAGAGCTAGCATAACCAGCCTTCAGTTTTTCAAGTAGGTTACCGTCTTTATATCTGTGCTGGTCATGCACCAGAATCAGCCTCAAAACAACTTTACATCAAAATACTACCAAACCCCGCCATGCCATGAGATGCTATCTGTCCTCCATCCTTGTTTACATCCTGGTAGTAAAGCATTAGATATGATTCCGATACGATACTAATATTGTAGCCTTCAATATTGACCTTTACCGATATTGGCACAAAATTGTGTATGACAAGTTTTGCACTCAGCTGCAATGTCTTTTTCGGACTTAAACAAAAAATACTGCCACACCACCAACATCACTCTTGCTCCTTGCTACTTTGTTTGTACCTTAGTAAACACTGTTGTTGTGATTATGTGCGCTCTGCATGCTGAATCAAGGCGCTGCTAGATAGAGGTGCCAGAGTGGAGTCTGGAATGGACTGCTTGTATCCGAATGCTGATATCAGAGATTTTAGATGCTGGCCGATATAATCCGATGTTAATTTTTCTGCTGATATCGGACCAATTTCCAATACCAATATCATACTGGGACACCGCGATTTTAACTTGTTCAACAGACGAGTCATTCTGATGACAACTAGTGTAAATAACAAAGCTTAATTGCAGATAACATACAATTACACAGCAATTTAAGGTGCTCCATGCAAGAAAATGACAAAGGTCAAAAAACCTCAAATCAGAACCATTAAAAGGTGACATTTAAAAGGCAAAATAAGCTGTTAGAAATCAAAGCAAAGTGAAAATAAAAACAGAAAAACCAGAAGGTTCAATTAACAAAACACACACACCCCAGACCTTACATTTATTACCGTTAATTATTTCCCAGCATCGCTTAGGGCAAGAAAGTTATCTTTATTAGTGTTTAAGTGCCAGCAAAACAGGATCTTTGGTGTAGTTCACTCATGTTTTTGTTACCGTTTAAGGGTTTAATATTTTAAAACTCCAATAGAATACTCAAAATGTAAATAAAATTGTTCTGTTGTAAAAAATAAAGAAAAAGCCCATGGTATTTAGGAATAATTGTTTTCACTAACCACTTAAAGCTTTGAAAATGTGAAGTGAAAAATAGTATTTGTTGTTCTGTTGAGTTCACGGATACATTTTCAACTTGTTCAGTTAATTGAATTTGTTTAAGAGGCTGTTATTTGAGGCTATATCTGGTGATTATTAAGCACACTGGATCTGGGAATGAGTGACCAGAACTTCAACCCTCTTGTTAAGTATTGAAAGCTTCTGGGGGGAGTTTTAAGTGATTGTGAAACATACTGAGCTCCATACTGATGCCTTCTTTATGACCTACAAAAGGAAACGAGGCTATCAACGATGAGAGGGACAATTTCTGTATCATCATTTTCAATGCCGGAAACAGCTGCGAGGGGTGAGTGTCGGGCCAGACAACTGACAGCATGCTGAGGAAACAGTCTTTGTGTTTATGGGACACATTTGACTGTCCAAAGAAAACAGGATGAGACTTTTAGTTAAAAAGTAAATATCTTGGCGTGTGCCGGACAAGATTAGGAAAGCTTTTCCTGCAGGGGGCACCAAAGTCAACACAAACTGATGCAAAAGTGTGGCGGTATCAGCCCAAATTAAGTGAATTGTTTACACAAATGACACTCATTTAAGACTCATTTTATGTGCGAATGAGCTCCATTGAATGACTTGCACTAACTAGTCCAATTAGCATGAAGATATAAGTCAAGAACAGACCGGTGGAGGTTCCTTCACCCAGACGATGCAGGACCATCTGATCATTATGGTGTTCGACTACCCTTAGCTACACGACTTCTCTTTTCAACTGAAACATGAAGAAAAAGGAGCTTTCTTGGAGAAAAGTGAGTGCGGAGGGTGGAATATGTGTTAAGGTGTTAAAAAAAAACAACAAATGCCCGCAATGTAGTCAACCTTAACCATGTTTAATGAGGACAAACTGGAAGGCGTGAAGGGAACCCATCCTCTGTTGTGTAAATTTATGTCTTTAGGCACTGGTGGGACGCGATATAATGTTATTCACGGCAATGAAGAGAGTAAACACAACACATCTAAGCATTCAAATAGCAAGTATATTTATTTGTGAAACCTACTCAGAGGGAGCCAAGTGTAAAAAAATGAACGATACAAGGATTTAACAGATAAAAGACATAAAACATTATCCTTTAAATGAACTTTTGTGTTAAAAATAAAGACCTCACAGCATCAAAGCAGCTGTCTTATTTTCAGGTATCTACTGAACACAATGAAACTAATGAAGGAGGTGTTAATACGTTGCACTCAAAGATTCAGTAGCTCAAATAAGTGGATGGCTTTCTGTCAAACACTGCTTGTACCACAGATGGAGTGGTATAATTCCACTTAAACGCAGATAGAAAAGAGATATATTGTGTAGATGGATGGCAGCAGAGACATTCTTGGAGGACTAAATTGCTTTGCCTTTATAACTGCCGTCAGAGAAATACATCGAACAAAAGAAGCCGTATGTTGAATGAGACAGAGAGCCAATAGTGTGATTACGGGGAGAGGAATGTTTTTTTGTGTTTTTTTAAAAAGGTAATCCTCTTACTTACCCGCAGTTGACCCATGCAATAGTCCCTTGTCCCTTCACTGTCTGCGCCACATCTGATAGCAGTTTCAGGTGAGAGTCCCCTGATGTAGCTGCAGACACAGAGAATAAACCTCAGTCAGAGCTGTTAGCTAAAGCGTTCAATAGCTCTGGAGAGCTCTGGAAACACAGAGGACACTGTCATGTCAAACACAGCCAGGTGGAATTGAGTTACTGCGCGGCTCGGTGTCATACTAAAGAACAAAGTGCTGAAGAAAGAGATCACTGAGTTTGGGATGCAGGGGTGATGGAGGGGCCCTTTAGGATGAGTTCAAGGAGGGGGGTTTGGGTTACATCAGCTTTCAACATCTTACAATAGTGTGACTAAGCAGGGGATGGGAGGATTATAAGGTGACACAAAGACTCTGCAGAATTAGACCAACTTTTCAGCGAGCTGGGGGAAGGCACAGCAGGTATGTAGAGCAGGCTCTCGTCTCTACCTGCTGCATGCTGCTTCCTACCACAGCGATGAGCTCCGTGCATGAGCTTATTCAAGGACAACACGGTGAGTTCACGACCACTGGAGATTTTACACAATCTTCCATATTAAAGAGGGGGGAAAAAAACAAAAAAAAAACGGCTGAGCTGTGCAGTTTGCTTTCTGTGTTTGGAAAGAGGAGAAACTCAAGAAACTGTAGTATCGCTGATTCTTATCAGACATGGCAAGAAAAGAAGATTCCTGTGAGTAAAGTAAACTCAGAGTAATATTCCAACTTGTGCAACACGGTTCATCATTTTTATACTCCCCCTGAAACTGAATGTGTTTTATTTACTGCATTAAATGTAGAATTCCTCTCAAGACTTCAGGCCAAGGCTATATTTAGATTTAGGGGCACTGCTATGACTCCCCAGGGTGCCTGCTTGCACCGGCTTAGCAACAAAAACATCTGGCAATTCAGTGTCGGTTTACTACCACGTAGGAGCAGAAATAAGGAGATTCTGTTTGGAGGATTTTCTAATGAGCTTAAGTCTGATGGATGCTAACCAGAGCGAATCTCAACAGGGACTCAGATGACTGCGGAGGGTCAGAGGCTGGTGATGGGGTGAGCGGGAGGAGTTTGTGTACGAGGAGAGGGCGAATGTGCCGCAGCCAGGAGAGGTCGGATAACTGAGAGAAATGAAAGGAGCAGGACAGAAAACCCGCAAGAGGAGAGGAGCGTTAAATTACGCATGTCTGCGTGACGTTGCAGCGAGTGAACAATCATCGATCAGAGGCGAGGCTCAACACAAAGACGCCTTACACAGTTTCTTTATGCATGCTGATATTGGCCATGAATTATGAAACAAATAAACCTCTAGCTGTGGGGCTCGGAGTCCTCTGCTGCATATTGAGGGGTAGGAGGGGCTTTAGAGTGGAAAATTAGTAATATCAAGCGGCGTCTTCTCCAAGCCTGCTGAGTAAATTCCTCTTCTTCTTAGAAATATGCAAATTAAAATGGAATTAAAACCTACTGGGCTGCAGGAGCTTCCCAATGGCTGGACGAACACAGTGGTGTTTAACTTTGTTTGACTTGGCAAGTGCTTCCTTGTTCTATTTAATGACTAATCCCTTACCTTATAAGATACGTACATCCAAGTTCATTACAGAGATGGATTACCTTGAAAGTAGGCTGTAGGCGGAAGCTGAGAATCCAAATGTATCTCAGGATACAACGGTAGAAGTTATATATATCTGCTGTAGCATTCTGTTATTATTTAAAGTTACTGAAAGAAGTTGATTCATTCAAAGTAGGGATGCACCAATTCGATATTTGGATGGGATATCAGCTCCAATACTGACCAATTAACCAGATTGGACATCTGATGAATGATGCCGATCCAGCGTTCCGATCCAGTTTTTTTTTTCTTCTTTTAATTAATATCATACACAGCAACACAGCGATTCTGTTTGCTCTATATTATATGTCTGTCGATCCTTTTGCACTGAATGTTAACATGGAAGTTGCTTCTTTTTTCTGTGTGCTAATGTGCAATTTCTTATTTGTTAACAAATAATATTAAGTAAATTTATATCTGTGTTAATTTGTTACCTTTTTTTTAACAAGGCTAATGTAAAGCCTGATGCCTTCACTCACAGGGCAAGGTATACTGTTCATTCATTCAACAGTAGTATTGGATCGGTATCGGATATCAGCTGATACGCTCAGCTCAGGTACGGCAATCGGATTGAATCAGGAAAAAAATGGGATCGGTGCATCTCTTATTCAAAGTTTCTTAATGAGTGAATTTTAAATCAACAAGGCAAACATTGTGCCTCAAGAAGAGAATATCTATCATTATCTATCAGTGGACTGAGCACAAGTCAAGTCAGCTCAAACATGGCAGACTAAAACAGCTGCAGGTTTCTACAGGTTAGAAGACATGTCCCTAAATAAAGCAAAGACAAGTGACTTTCCCGGGTTGGAGTTTGAAATAATGATCGAAATCACAGCAGAGATTTAATTCTGTGAAGTATCTCAACAAAGGGTGTCCAAGGTCAGGAGAAACACTGCTAAGTAACGGATTACTGTGATGGGGTTACATTAGAAACTCATTAATTTAATGCAGTACTGTTACTAATCAAACAGTTAACAAATTTTTTGTGTTACTTTAAGTTCCTAAATATCTGCATAAAGAGGAGATAAGAAAACAAATCAAACACCCCTGTCTGACCTCACTCACAGGATGTGTCTGTGACTTTGGTTCAAGGTTATGAAGAGAAACGAGGCAGCTCAACTAGGCTCAATGAGGCTTTTCATTTAAGCTTGGAGTCGTGCATGCTACTGTGAATTTGTTGGGTAGAAGGACGAGAATGTGAGGGAAAAGAGTAAACTGTACCCTGGTCAGAAACAACGTACACTCTACATAAACATAAATACTTGAGTAATTGTCTGACATCAACCTGGGTGAAAGCTGAATCCCAGTCTTTCACTGGAGCCTCCTCTATTTCATCATCAGAGACCTGGATCCACCTGCTGCTGAGGAAAATAACATGATGTTGATGGGATAAGGTGTGTGCTAACTATCCTTTAAATCCAGATCTCAAAATACATACAGTCCTGAAGTAATGTGTTTGAATAGAGTGGAAATCTGAATTTAAATGACTTCCAGCAGGTCTTTATTCAGTATTCTGTTTCCACTCTCTGGTCAAAAAAAAAGTGTGGATGTCAGTCCTTTCTCACCTGTCTTGGTGTAGAGTACCAGAACATTAGTTCTTGTTCTGAGCAGCTTCTTGAAGTCTTTGTGGTCGCTGACCTTCTCGATGAGAGGAGACACCTTCACTGCCTCCAGCACCTGCAGCAGCCACACCTGTTAAAACATGCAAATGAACAAAACTTTAATGGTGTCATGACATCGCTGAAGCAAAATGTGTGAAAACTATCGAACAAAGAGAGAGACAGAGGATTGAAAGTCAGTGTCAAATATCTAGACAGGTTTGAAAAAGTCACTTTCTTATTTCTAAAAAGGAGAGTCCTGCATCTGAACCAACTAAAGCATCACTTATTTATGCAATAAATACTTAATAATCTTGCATAACAGCGGTGCATTTCAACAAGGCCTCTTCAGACTTTGACCTGACTATTTACAGATGGAACTTTGATTCCAGGACAAACGCAGGATGAGCTGAAACCAGTACAACCACAATTCTGACAAAGATAAAAGATCATTTGCCTTATATCCTGACAAAGACACGTCTACTGTAAATGGCATTTTTGGCTGACCATGCAACAAGTTTATTTGCAAGTTGGATTAGGTTAACTGAGTTTGAAGCAGAGAAGTAAAGGTAAAGTTTGATAACACTGCAGCAGTTCTTAGATCTCTGATTCAGGAGATAACTGCAGCAGCACAGACTGAGATGTGACTTTTTCTCTCCTGTGACTCATAACTGCCATAAACTGAATCAACAGTTTTAACTCAATATATATATATATCTGTGAGGTGGAAAGCTGTATGGAAATTTAACGCTGAATATAAATTATTATTGATTCCATTTCAATCGCTGTGGCGCAAACAAGACGAGGTGCCGCTTCCAGTCTCCGACTGTTCTAGAGGTGATCTGAAGTCAGCAACAGGTGGGCACATCTGCACCATTAGTCTGAATGGCTCCTTCGACTTTCCAAACACCGACAGTCGAGCTAATGGTGTGAAACAGCTAATATAGCAAACCAAGCACATATTGAGAAGCTCGCACTTTAATCACAGACAACTACAAAAAAGACTGATTATACTCGAGCCGTATAAAGTTAATTCCATGCATTCTAATAGACTCTACGCCATCACCATTCATTAAAAAGCCTTTCCTTTCTGCCTACTGAGAACTAAATTAGACACAAACATTGTCTGCTCGCTCAGCGTTTCCCGCCTGATGAGTGATATCACCTGAAATGAAAACAAGCACATGTCAGGCTCGTTTTCTAATTTTAATTCCCAACTGAATGCTCTTCTGAGGTCAGTCTGAAGGAAAATTTAAGACTTTGTTTGTACATCGCTAAATTCAACCAAAGATAAGCTTTAAAAAAGGGGGCGTGAGACACTCAGCACAGATTTACACTTCTACTGTTTACCTCAGCAAATCATCCGGCACTGACTTGGTGTGTTTTTATTTTGTCACTTGCTGTCAGAGAGGGAGGTTGATGTAACACCAAGATAAACACACAAAATGTATCAGTGTTCAGTTTTTGAACTGGTATGAACCACGTAGCAAAGTGTGGACTAATTAGAGGCTGGCTTGGTGACACTTATCTGCGAAAGGTGGACATTTGGTAATTACAGGAGCGAGTCTGGGGGCGAGATTAGCGAGAGATGTGACAGGATGGCAGGCTATCTAACTTATCCATGAAAGATAAGGAATGTAATGCTTGACGGTGGCCTAGAAGGATTAAAATGATAAAAACTGTATCAATATTTCACTTCTATTAGGTCAATGAGACTTTAACCGATCATGTCTTTCTGGTACGAATAATGAGGAGCTGCACAAGACGCTAAATTTACAGTGAAGAGATGTGCATATTATAGACGGAGGGTGGTTTGAAGTAAACAGATGCAGAACAGGAATGATCAGAGAAGTGAAAATGGGTGGGCAGGTTACTGGTTTTGAGGTGTATTATCGGAGTTTGAAATCACAGGACTGGTAACCCAGGTAACCAGGTATGTAAGTGCCTGTCAGATGACCAAGACAGAGCCAGAGAAGTGCACTTTAGGGACAGTTCTTTAAGCAATTTGAGAACTTTCTCAGTAGCAGTTTAAAGCTAGTGTTTACGTTTCTGAAGAAAATTTATTTTCAATTATTGATTTTATTATTGTGACATACGCTAATGTTTTATTAAACCATAATCCCAGATATTTCAGAATAACACATTTTACGGCTGTAAACACAAAAACTTGATACCTGATGTTTTTTAGTTGGAATTTCCATACTTTTCCATACCCTACTTTTTGAATAATTTTTGAAATACCTACTTTTCTATTTTAGGAAACAGTGTTTTAGAACTGTGGTAACAGTCTGGAAACACATATTTTTCTATACTTTGTTTTTCATTGTCCATACTTTTTAAGACCTGGAAATCCATACTTGTGTAGGAACCCTCTGTTTTTGCTTGAGGTTACCATACTATCAGAATCTCATGTCTTGACCTGAAACACAAATCCTGAAATCAACTAAATGATGTTTTTTTCATTAAGATTAAAATTTTAAAAGATGGCGCAAACATACATTGACAGCATAATAACAATGTTGGCCAATTCTGGACTTGTTATGTGTGTGAGCAGGTTAAGTTTAACTAGTGCATTTCTCCACTGGCTTTGACAGTCTGCTCTCAGTTCTGAGTAACTTCTATTTCATTGAATTTACCAAGTATCCCTCTGACGATCTGTAGTTACAGAAAAAAAAAAAAATGTCAGAACGCATAAATGTACAACTCTTAAATTACAATTTCAGTACATTGGTGTATTGATTGCTGCATGTTCAGTACGTTCAACAGAACACTCACTTCTCAAGTAAATCAATAAATACTGTACACTTCCTCCGAAAGAGCTTCAGAGCTACGAGGAGAGGTTCAGAATTTATAATATCTGCTTTAAATCCAACCAGCATCAAAGATGACATCTTTTTTTTGCAAAGATTTGAGTTGCATCATTATAAAGCCTCTGTTCAACTTCCAGGCACTAACTGTCTAACAAAGTCTGCATCCACATATGCACAAAACTTCTGAAAACTTGGTGGTGGTAAAAAAAAAGTTGGGTTTGTGAACTTTGATGATATCTCCCATGCATTCCCACTATCCTGCCATTATGTGTTCTACCACTAACAAGCCTGATCACCTTTTGAAGGATAATGAAAAATGCCATTGTGTTATTTAGACTTTTTTTTCACTATTTTCATTCTCCTTTTCTTTATGATACATAAAAGACACTAACAGGATCTTGTGCGAGATAGAAAATGCTGGTGACACACTTTCACGTGCTGCATCTTCTGAGCAGGCCGAGAGAAAACATTGTTGCTCGATAGCCCCATTAGATTTTTATGGGTGAGCTGCTATTTGTTGAAGTACCTAAACAAACTAGGGGCGTTTTAATCTGCACATAGAATAGATTTATGTGGTGAATGCAGTTTTAAATCTGAAGGGAGATAATGTCACAGTCTCTTAAAATATTTCAAACCTTCAAATGTGGATCGCATATAGCCTCTAACAGATTAGGAGCTGGCGGATGGTCATGCGTGGATTACAAAACAATCACAGGGATTGCAAACACACACATTTTAAATGTAATGCCAGCACAGAATGTTCCGGCTGACACCTACACCTACAGTCAAGGCAGCTGAGAATTAAACTGATGCTGCTGCTGTCGAGCCAAACACGACTGATACCTCAGATATGACATAATTCTCCTACCAACTGAAGAATGACTTATCTTTAAATGACAGACTTACAATAATAGAAATAACAAGACCAAACCAACAGTTTCCCCACAAAGCATTTTAAATGACAGCTCCATTCAGAGGCGGTGATGATTTAAGCTTAAGCTTTGTAACAATAATGCACAGACACAGTCAGCTGAAATAAAAATGAAAACAGCAGGGACTCTTTACAAAGTGCATTTAGAGGATATGAACAGAGGAAGTCACAAAAATATATTGATTGTAAAAATAGTTGAGATGACAATCCAATTTATTTTCATGGTTTCTGATTTATCTGTTCAGTGTTGGCGCTCCGTTTCTTTGTTTCCTCTCTTCCCCACAATAAAAAGCCATTTTTCAACTTGAGCAGCGAATGATAAAAGAGCGCAAGTGATGATAAATTACTGTGCACGACTGTGTTTATCTGCAATCTTAATCAAAAGACTTGTCTAGTTATCTCCCACTTGTGGAGTTATTATGCAATACATCATGTTGATTTTTTTCCCCCATTTCTTTGAGCCCATGTTATACAAATGAGTTGTTGTGTAATAAATCCCATGCAAATCCTCCATTTCCAAAGAAAAAAAGTATATAAAACAGAGAAACACTAAAGTAACTGGCCCCTTTATGCGATTTTTCTGTCACTGATAAATGTGCTTTCATAACCACAGATTTAGAGCTATTTATAGGTTGCAGCTCAGGACCCCATTCTATATTGTGTTCCACTTAATGCTGTTATAATTCATTATGCCTACACAATCCAGCCGAATGAACTAGGAGGTGGACAATGGGTTCAGCATTAGAAAAACAAGCATACTCCTGCATTCAGTCATTCACTTAGTGATCGTAATGAGGTTAGGTTTCTATGGATTCTATAGAGTCTGCTGTGGATCCTCCAGAAAGGAGAAAAAATAGGCACAGAATACTGTTAATAGTTTTATAAAACCTAACTCACAAATATGTATAATCATAGTTTCTGGGTGAAATGCATGTATGCAGCTTGATGTTTAACAATGAAGGAATGATGATCTTTTCTTTTTTCGGTTGAATTTTTAACGACTGACCCTCATTACCAACACTAAGGGGAGCAAAATCCACGAACATGTGCACGGTCTAACAAAAGATCCATGATTTTCTCATGGTGCTCCAACGTGTAGGCTGGGCATGCGGTATAAAGAGGAAATTTCAAATAATATTTTTAGCATTCATTATTTTCCTCAGCTGCAAAAAAGTGAAATTATAATGACATGAATCTGTTTAAAACCAAAAGTAATGCCCAAATCAACCACTTGAGTTTTGTGCTCTACAAATAAACTGCAAGTAATATTTTTTCTTACCCTTTCTTTTTAATTTTTTACCTCACTGTCAACAAGAACAGAAACTTAAATGTGATCTAAACTGGTTGACAATACAAATTGACATTTGTAATCTAGTTAATCCAGATGTTTTTACCATTTACAATCAAATTACGGTCAGAGATTAGTTAAAAGAAAAAAAAAAGAAAAGAAAGAAAGAAAGAAACAAACAAACAAACAACAACAACAAGTAATTAAACACACTGATGACCAATGGCACCACAATCTTTCGATGTTGCAGTAAAAGACCATCTCCTCAACCTTATCCTAACAGTGTAAACTAAAGACATTCCAGGGAGATTTATTTCCTTGTTGCTCGAATGTAAAGCCAATATCTAACTAAATGGCTAAATATAAAGAATATGCTCTAAAAACTGTCTAAATGCATTATGAACTCCATTGGCTGACAAGGGCCAACAGTCTGACGCGGCCCAAATGATGCAGCACATGCAGAAACAACTCAACTTCAAGCACATGCAAAAGTCCAAAACAAACACAATGGTAAAAACAAACTACATAGATAAATCGTACTACAAAATAACAAAAAAAGCAGTGTCAGCATTTTTCCGTTCAAACTTAAACATTTACTGTATAAACTGGAAAATACTTGAAGATCTAGCTTTTCTGTGAATCCCTGAACTTATGATTAGTTGTAGAACCACTATTCCAACTGATCCATATCTTTAGCATGTTTATTTTTTTTAGCAGTGGGACTTGGTGAGGGGCTTCTTGCAGGTAACTTTAGACCTTCTTTAATCCCGCTGGAGCTGTTTTTGACTGAGTCTTTGCCATTTTGACAATTTTTTGATCCATTTGAAGGGTAGTTTTCTTTTTTTTTTTCCACGTCTTTCTCGTCTAGGTTGCCACTTGCAGTCTATCATTTTCCATTCTTCTTTACACGTTTTCCCCTCTCCAATCAACTTTTTATTAAACCATATATCATATATCGTCTGGTGATATATCATGTCGTCTCATTTACCAAGTACTGATTTTTCAAATTATTTGAAAATATGAAGTCAAATCATGATAATGGAAAAATGAAATCAACTGTTTGCCCAGTGAGGTTGGCAGAGGTGACATAACAGAGTAGGAGAAAATTAGTACAACAACAAATATATGTAAGGTTTGCAAGGTGTGCTACATGAAAATAAAATGCTGTGTAAATAAGACAAACATAAAGGAAAGACAAATGCTAAATTAGCTAAATGGTTGAGAAAATATATAAATCACAACATATGGTATCGCAATACTCACTGTATCGCAAAATGTTAAAACAGGAGTCAGAAGAGCAACATCAAAGAAGAGATGTAGCTTATAATGGACTATGGTTGGAGGTAAGAAAAAAAATAGCTGCTGGCTACCTCTGAGGGCTAAACATTATAACTACCGCTTTAACGTCAAGTGTCCTCGACCACACACAACCTCTTCAGAAATCTATTTCCCAATAAAGTCTTCCTGAAATTGTTCAATCAAGACCATGCATGTGAGGGATTCTCTGACTGCATGACTCATCTCTTGGAGAAAATCCATCAATGTCCTATCCTGTACTTCAACCTTCCTTATCTGCCACAAAGGTTATGTTCAGTCATGTTGCTGTAAATAAATGTGGCGCGAACAACACAGCGGGTGCCCAGCCCCTGCTTGTAACACACACCCTCCATCTGCTGTGACAAATCTGCTTAATGAATGGCATCCAGCTCCAGGAGCATTACTGAATCAGCACAAATCAAAGCGGTAGTTGTCAGGCACTTGCCTTGAGTTGAAGTCTGACTAATGAGCCAGTCAGGTGTGTGTTGGTGTGGGAAGACCAAACAATCGTAAAAAGGATACTTGGCATTACGCAACATTTAATAACAAACACACAAGGCTTATTTACAGATTTCTTTGCTGTCCAATCAGCAGAGGAGCAATTAGCGGCTCAGCTAAGATTGATGGAGGAAGAGGATATGCCCTTTCTGGAACAAGATCTGCAGTTTTACACTTTTAAAATCCTCGTTTTAAATCATTTGGACCATGTCACGTCTGCCTTTGTTAAAACAGCTGTGGGAAACAAACATGCCCCCCTGCTAGAAATTCATCTAAAAGCCAGAAGCAACTGGAGCAACTTTTTTTGATGAATTGGTACCTGTGTGCAGTTTCATGTTTAAGTGCTGACCTGATTTAACTCAATTGCCGCGTTTCTGCTGACTCAGCGGCTTGGAGGTAAAAGCAGTGTGAAATATATCATGCTTCTTGATGTGAATAAATGTCAGGCCTTTTTGGGGGTTATGGATGAATATTCTGTGAGGCGACGGCGATTTGATTTATGTTGAAATAAAGGTTGACTTTAAAGCGAGGAGACCTGTTAAATATTGGAGTTTTCTTACTACTGTGTCTTCTCAAAAACACATCAGCTGTAAAGTTAATCCATAAAACACATCAGAATATGACAGGGGATAAACAGTCAGCGAGGGACAAGGACAGCGGTCGAGTTAAATCGCCACATCGAGCGATGACCTCGACTGAACTGTGCATGTAAATGTACTAATGGTTGATACACCCAGTTAGTCGAGAATATTCACCTATTTTATTTTATTTTTTTCAGACTTGCTGTCCACCATCAACAATTTAGAGCATCTTTCATCACTCTCTGCGCCCCTCCGCTCTGAGATCCTGCAGTGCCTGACACAGGTTATCAAAGAGAAAGAGACAGGCCCCTTCAGCTAATGCAATCAAACGACATCAGAGAGTATTGATGACTTGGAAGTGAGTCAGCTGCCTTTATACATTAAGTTTATGGAGAAATGTGTCACTCCACTTGTTCTTAACTCTATGCTTCCCATAGACTGTATTAACTACGAACAACTTGGTTCCTCCTTCCACCAGTATACAGATTTGAAGCCGAAAACTCTCAGTAATTTTGCGTTTTCTCTCCACTTCCTCAAACCAGCATTGCGCAGTAGTGTTGTACGCATTCGACGGGACAGTTGCCGAGAGTCGCTGTGATGACGCTCGGCTCAAACAGCGTATCCCCCGGGTAGGCTACACAATCTTCGCATTGCCATAGGCTGTATCAGGTGTCAATCATAGAAAACATGAACCCCCTAATAACTTTTGAAAACGGAGCTGTACAGAAAAAAGAGGACTTGAGCACAAACAAGTCTTACAATAACAACATGTGAACCTTGTCCGCAGCCCCATAAGCTTTGCTGGTGGAGGCGGGATTTATGACCTATGCTGCAGCCTGTCACCAGAGGGTGCTGTTCTCGGAGTGGCTTCACCCAGTGAGGAGGCAGACAGCGTCCATTCTATATACAGTCTATGGTTTCGACCCTTTCTTGACTTTATCCTAACCCTGACCCTAACCCTAACCCCTATCAGGCGTTGGAGGGCTGAACACAGTTCGGAAAAGTAGGAGGCAGATTAGATTTGAAAGCAGGAAGTAGACTCAAAGTTCCAAAATTAAGAAAAGTTTCATCGTTTGAAAGTTTTTAATGGTATTATATGGTATTACGATACGGCTACATAATACAACACTGCATTTATCTAGTTGAAAATTCCTGTATTTAAATAATTTCCTACACATATTGCAGAGAGGAAAAACATTACAATATATTTTTTCCTCCTATTTTGTAAAGCCCCACTGCGAGCTGACAAATATTGTCAAAAGGTCAGACAGATTAGGCTGAGAGAAACGGTAAGAGGTGGCCCTGCTGAGTATATACAGACAGGAAAGCTGCCAGTGTGTTGGTGTGTGTGTGTGGGAGGCGGCAGAATCGAAAGAAAATGAGGTGAACAAATGAATTCATTGTTGAACATTAACTAGCTCAGAGAATAAAAGCACAATTTATACAGAAACTAACCAATTAATACAAATATTAATAGACTGATGACATGACAGGATGTTATTTGATGGTGGTATGTTTGCCACAGGTACACATTTTCTCTTGCAGGTTATTCTAATAGGAACATAGCTGTTACAGCGTATACAGCACACAGCCTGACAATCCTGCTGAGGACCAAATGCCATCAGAATCTGTTATATTATGAGGACAAATCAATACAGACCGTTCACCCCATGGCTGCTCGCCCCTGCCTATTCCTCACATCTGTAAACAAAATGTCACCAAAAAAAAAAAAAAAGGGTAGGCTGGCAAATATTGATTATTTTGGCCCCAAAAAGCACATATATAATTGACAGAGAGACATCATTTTTAGTTAGGCAGCCATGGGGAGTGGAATCAAAGAGTTCATTTAAGTGTGTGTGTGTGTGTGTGTGTGTGTGTGTGTGTGTGTGTGTGTGTGTGTGTGTGTGTGTGTGTGTGTGTGTGTGTGTGTGTGTGTGTGTGTGTGTGTGTGTGTGTGTGTGAAGGGAGTTTGGATTAAATTGTTTTGACAGGCAGGACTCCACCGCCCAGACAGCTGCCCTCTAACAAAGTGCTGCAGTGGGTTTATCCCCTCCCTCGTGGAATCACCTTCATATAACCCAAACACACCAGAGGTCGGTAATAAGAACAAAAATTGTCACAGAAATTATGGGATACCACGATCAAGGCTTTAGCAGTTTATCACATGACAATATCTATACCTGCAGGCTGCACCTTTTGTTTTTGTGAATGACCTTTTTAACATCTGGTCTATGATATCTTGGAAAATAGTAAAATGTGCCGATCAAAATATCGGGGCTCAAAAGCTTAAGGTGACATCGTCTGATATAAAACCGTAAAGGTGTTTACTTAACAGTCAGTCCTCACTTCAAGATTTGTGGACCTTGTGCTTTCAACTTAAAAGACCTTTAATGTTTGTTAAAAATGTTGATTTGCTCAACCTCCTCTATTTTCTTTGGCTTGTCAAAGTGGCCTGAAGTCACTGCCAGCTTAACGACCAAGTCAGTGTGACAAAATCCAGCTTGTTGTCTCCATGTGAGGGATAATGCCCCACAAGGTTTCCATTATCAGGAATTAATGGACCATCTGCCTTGATCGAGTCAAATCTAGGAAAGGACGGTCCCCTCTCTGTCTGATAGCAGCAGTCAGCAGAGGGTTTGGCTCCAAACAATCACAGCCATCCCATAATGTCAAATTGCTTGGAGACATTTTCAATGGCGCTGTAAACAGAACAAATTCCAGAAAGACTTCGCTTGAGCCATCACGTCGGCATTGGCGCTGGTGTCACAATCATCTTTACGAAACAATTACACATTTTAGTGGTAAACTTATACGTTTTTTTTTTCCCCAACAGCTGATATTGACGCCTATCTTTATCTTTTTCCTAAACCCAAATATTAGCCGAGTATTTTTTGCATACTAATAACTATGGATGACTGGGCAGAAATCCAAGTCTGTTAGGGCAACATTATCAAGGCAATACTAAACCAAATATTGTTCTGTTTACAATCATTTGAGTTTTGTTGACCACTATTTTTAGACCATATTAATGCTGCAGTGTGGCATTTATCTATCTATAAATAAATCTGAAAGTCAATATTATCACTTCCATTCCTTAGCTTTAACTGCTAAATTTTCTTTATATTTTTAAGATTTAACTGCTTCAAAATACAAAAAAATGGATTACATTGGGTTAAAAGATGCAAATAATGATTTAACAATAAAATAGTTTGACAAGCTGAGTACAAACAAAAAAAGCCACAAAACTTATTTGACTTTGTGGTTGTACGGTCTGACAAACTGTGCTGTCTTCCTGTAATAGGACTTCCAGGGTACGTTCAGTTGTTTTAACTTTTACTCATGCATATTGATTTGACAGTGAAGATGGATGCCAGCTTTAAACTTTAACTTCAGGGTGTTTCCATCCATAAAAAGCAGACAAGGACACATCCTCCTATTTGATTTCCTTTCAGCAGAACAATTACACAAATATTAGGCATGTCTTTGACTTCAAGGGATGGAAAAACAAATACACACCTACAGGAAGTTGTAACCCCCTGCTATTGCAACAAAAACATATCTGTATATCAGATCTGATACCTGCACATCATGATTTAATTTCAGATCTTGTTACTGTGGCACAGAGCAAACACATACAATAATGTTAAAACATACATGTTTATAGAAGCAATCTACAATAAGTACAAACACACCCAAGTTCCATCTATGTTTGCAAAGGCATGCTGCACAACGGGAAGCACAGCAGGATCTACCGAAGCAGAAATGTGATACGTATAGTATAGCTGGCTCTTCACTATAGATGAAATAATTAGATGGTTAAAGGCTTAGAAAGACTGCACTGCTGTAATAGCCTCCATGCAACAATATAATACATCTATTGTATTCTTTTGATTGTTCCACCTAATCATATTCTTCTATCTATTTCTTAACAGTGTGAATATCAGCTGCATGGTTTCTTAACAACAATAATATGGGACTTAATGCCAAATAACGCCCAAACTTTCAACAGATACTAAGATAAATGTGGACTGACAGGTGACTTGAACAATGTGAAATTCATATACCTTTTAAATCAATGCAGAGGTTTAAAAAAAATTCAGCAAATCTTTAGTTCATGAACATCAAAGTCCTCTGCTTTGGAAAGCTGATGATCTGAGATAATGTCAGAGGATGTGGTTCATGCTTCTCTTGAATGGCACTACACTCTATAGGGGCTTACGTCTTTTTTTATAAATAGGGTGGAAAAATATTCCAAAAACGCATAAGAACCAAGAGAACACATACTCATACATTTAAAAACAGTACATCTGCACTGTATGGACTACATTCTCAAAATTCTCCTTCAATTTAATTACTACCTGTCTACGAAACTTCAAACAAACCTGAACATTATAACACTGAGAGTGGATTTATTTTGGGACTGTTGTATTGTCGAGAGCTCAAGTGTCATTCAGCGCAGATACATACTTGAAAATACACTTGAAGAATGCTGACAGATACACTCTTTGGTAGAAAGCCCAAACATTGTTGCATAAATGGACCTGAGGGTTAATTTAAGATAATCCTTGTACTCATATATCAAGCAAAGATTTGACAAATGCATCCTTTGTGAAGAGGGAGTTTGAATTATTTTAGACAGCTGCTATTTTTAGACATTATTGAGACTTAGAAAATATACTGTGAATGCATACTGTCATAGGGCAGTGAGTGTGATCTCCACTTATTCATCTTGCTATCTCAATATAAGAACACTAATTTCCATTCAAGCGATTATCTGATTACAGTGCTTGCTTTCTTGAGAAAACAGTGCAATTTTCTGTATGCCCACATTAATGGCAATCTGGGCATATTTCTGTTCCGTTTGTGCTTTTGCAAAGTTCAGGTCTGAGGGCAACAGCCAGAAACTAACTCATTCTTACAGGAAAACAACATTTATAATAAAAAAGTATAGATGTGTGCTTTTGGCTAATCCAAAACTCTTAAGCTCCAAAACTTTCATTCAGAGCAGATTTGTTTTAATGCTGCCTAACCAGTTTACTTCTGACAGTCACATGACATGAAAGACTACTGTACTACTTTTTGAAAACACTTTTGTTTCCCACACAGACGTGCTGCACAGTTTCAGATCGCTGGTTCCTGCACCCACCCCTGAAACTAACATTTTGTAAGTCTGACGCTTTTGAACTTTCAATTCCTCTCACCAACTCTGTTTGAATGAAGACTGAAGAGTTGAGCTATGCTGCGTTTACAAGACCTGTCACGTGAATTACACTAAAACAGCAGGACCTTACTACTATATATGGTGAAGTCTAGAGATAAAGGTGACGCTGAATAAAATGTAAGGTTGTAGTTTGAGTCTGTTTATCTTTCTCAATGTGTGAGAGTTGAGGTTAAAGCTCGATCACAGGGGAGGGACCCCGTGTTACACATGCGACCATTGACCTGAATCCTGTTCAGTTCATGCAGCCATAAAAGATAAGCAGTGATTTTACCTGCGCCACAGTAACCGCAGTACACCCACATTATCAGCAGCGTGTTAAATCAGAGCCCCAAGTTCAGTCAAGGGCTGTCAACTTTACCTCCTGCACGGCGGACAGGCTACGAGACGCGGTGAGGAGCGATTTGAATTTCTTCTTTCTCCTTTACCTTACATTTAAAGGACACAAATATCCTCCGGGAATGAAACAGAAACCAGAAACAGTTTACACAGCACACAAAACAGGTTCGTTTGACTCACCAGCAGCACCAGCATGAACATTTTCGCCTCTCTCATCCGACACCCGTAGCGGTTTCGAGAGGCCATGATGCCGTTGCCACGTCTGGATACGCAGGCGCAATGGCTTTTCCACGGATTCTCTGGCACTACGCAAAGCAGCATGGGAAATGTAGTTCGAGGGAATAAATCTTGTTCTCTCAATCGAATATGCGAAAATAAACATGGCATTGCTCCAACAAAGATGTAGTTGCATATAAGAAAAAGAAAAAAAAAGAATAAAGAAAGATGAAAATTAAATAACATTTAAATAATAATAATAATAATAATAATAATAATAATAAAACAAAAAACAACAACCATAATAATAATCAGAATTATAATAATCATAATAAAACTAAAAATAATAATAATAATAATAATAATAATAATAATAATAATAATAATAATAATAATAATAATAATAATAATTCCATACTCAAGTTTAAGCTGGGACTTGTCTTGTAAAATGCATTTGTCTACTTTGCAAACAAATTTACTTTTAATTTATTTGCTTACATATAAAGGCTTTAAAAGTGTTAATTCATCAAATAATTCAGAGAACTTTGAGTTTCACTTTCATGTGCAGAAGTCCGAAGCAAACCTGCATCCCAACATCTTAATTTTAAGTCAGTTTACCATGACATCCAGCACTTTTTGCACAGGAACAGTGTTATCTGGTTGCTTTTTTTAAATGTGACTTCAGTGTTTACTTTGGTCCATTTAACCTGGAAAAGTAAAGTTTGAAAACTACTCAGATTTAGTAACATTTGTAGTTGAAAATGTTGAGGTGCTGCAGAGCATCCACAACATCCATCTTCGGCAGCAACACTATCTAGAGTGTAAAACTTGCCAGAAATCCACGAAAAGAAAAAATATATATATTCAATAAACTTCAACATTGAAATAACATTAACAAAAACATGAAAGAACAAACATGTCTTATTAAGTTTATCTGCTACCCTTCCAATAAAGCAGTTTATACAGAGCCCAACTCCGCCTTTACCCCCTCTGTTTTCAATAGCTGGAGATATTGATTGGAAAGTGTCTGTGTGGGTGATTTGGTGGTTGCCAAGTAACCATAAATAAAGTACTGTGCTCATCCTTGATTCCATACAAAAAGGCAACATGGTGCTTAACGTGTTTGCAGGTTACTATCCACATATTGTTAGCTCTACAAAGGATATTAACCCTTTTGAAAGGCAGAAAATTCATATTACTGCAAGCTGTAAGGCATGCCATCCATCTAATCTCCCTTTCACATCTGGATCATTTGATGAAATTTTGTTTTCTCCCACTGCAAACAGGTCTCTATACATTGTAGTCAAATGGTCTAGCTGAATTTGCACCTAAAATGCTGTAAAAACTTTTGTTTACAATGTCAACACAGACTTCATCATATTTAACCAGGAAAGTGGTGAAAAAAGAAAGAGAGTGAAGAAATCTTAGAATAAAAATCAGCATCCCCAATAAGTAGGATGTCGGACTTGAGTCATGCTGCCAAAGGACCTCTATGTGACCACAAATGTGGTGGTTATTTTTTCTAAAAATTCAGACGTGATTGATCACAAAGGACGAGAACCGCACACATCCTTCATTGTTACTATTAATCCTCATAGATTTCCTGTTAACACTAACTCTGTATGAGTAGAGCTCTGGTTTTAGACACCCCCATGATCTCAACATTTATATCTCACTACAGTATCTTGAGATAATGACACTGGTTTTCCAATTATAATAAGATAGTGATATCATTAGTCTGGTCAAACTCTGAATTAGTTTTATATTTATCTTCGAGAGCAAAGCTGGCTTTACTACTGAAGAGACTAATTTGATCATTATCTCATTTTCTCATGACAGTACGATTCCAGTAGCATCATGTCTGCTAAAGACTTCTGTATTCATATATTAGGAATTATGTACAAAAGAATTTGTGATTATGTGACCAAAATGTCTTTCTTTTGATTGTACACAAGAGGTCCACATGTGATTATTCTTTTAAGAGAATAATTTTATGCTAAATACATTTCTGAAACCAATTATACTACCAAGATTCACTGTAAATATCTATGATCATCATAGTGCATGTCATTAAATGCATCACAAAATACACCATTGATGGTTTCAAATACAGATCACTGTCTCAATAAGCACTTGAATGACTCAATAAATGAATTTCCTTTTTTAAGAGATAAAATAACTGAGAGATGTTGCACCTGCCTTCTCCCACCAGCCTCCAATCAGCCTGCCATGTCATTCAGACAGAAATGAATGTAAATACTAGTGTTGACCTGGATTTGTTCTTATCAGCACGATGCAGCTGCTTTGCAAGACAATAAATTACACATGAAGGTAGTAAGTAAAATAGATTGTGATTGAATGATTCTTGACTGGCTCTTTATCAACTCAAATTCCCTTTCTGTGGTGAATTAGGTTGATGGCTGAATAATGTGCTCCACAGATTTAATGAAGTGTGCTCGGGCAGGTTTATATAACTTCCATGTGATTTTCATTAGAATGTAACCTGGAAAGTGAGTTTCCTTACATCATACATTCATGTTTTCTATGTGTAGCTTGACTTATACTGACGACTCTCTTTAGACTGAGGTCCATGCAGACTCTATAAAACATGGCTGTCATCTCTGTAACATCACCAGTTGGATTCTCTGAGTTTTGAAGCTCTTGCATGTCAAGTGCTTTCCTGGAAATGTTGGCTCAAGCTAATGGTGCATTCCATTTGATCTCAGAAGCCAAGCTAAGTTAAGTGCCTCTAAAGTTAAAACTCCCACCTGGAAACTCTGAGCAACTTCAGTAACTCCAAACTCAAAATCCACGATTAAAGAAAAATAGCCGTTCTTTTAAAAGTGCACTCCAATGAATAAGTCTTGTTTTGTGCAATAACTACCCCAATACTGTTGTGCAAGTTCCATCTATAAACATATGGTTATAATGCCCTGGCAAGCTAAGATGTGGTGTATTGTTATCTCCTTGTATTGGCCAACAGTGCTAATGACAACTGGAGCTAATGGCTAGACAACGTTTGGACTGGGAAGTGGTCTTCATGAATCTCAAGGGAGCTTTAAATTCAGCTTTTCATTGTGCCAAAACGAGACAAAAAGAAGAATAACAATATCTGGATCAGATTAGTTTTCACTGACTTTGTCATCATGGAAGAGAAAAAAAATAAAGACATGGTTTGTTTTGGCCTTTCAGTAGATTCATTTACAGGTCTGAAAGTAAAAGTCTGGTTGGGTTGGTTTAAATGTTTTATTTTCTTTCTCTTTGCGATTATTTCTAACTATTTTCGCTGCTAAGTTTTTAATTCGGTTCATTTTACAACACAAAGTGCAAATCAAAGATGACAAAAATCTCTCTTTTTTTGAATGGGATTTGGCATGTACCATTTTCCTCAGCACACACCTGTCTCCTAATTAAAACGGAACAGAAATAAAGGGATGAGTCTGGTCCGGATTAAACCGTTTCAGTGCTTTCTTTGTTTGAGTTTGGATCCAAACAGCAAAGTGAAGAAAACGGTGAATTTCCCTGTGGACTTAGATTACCAGGTTACCCGCGCACCCAGACACCCAGCAGGTAGGCTACCATGGAGTCCCAGACAACAACGCGCGGGACAAACCTTTCCCAGAAGCCTCTCTGCCTCAGTGAGCTCCACGCTGAGATTCCCTCTCAAACACCGCCTGCTCCCTCTCTGCTCGGACGCGCTGTGTCGGCACTCCTCTCTCTGCTCCCCGACGGGTTTCCATGCACTTCCTTCCCACTGCGCTTGCAAATCGGCCCCATCTTTGCTTACAGAGTCCCCCCCTTCGTCTACTCCTCTCCTCTCCCCTCCTCAGCCCCCTCCCCTCCCTCCTCAACCCGGTGGTATCGTCCGACGCTCAAGGAGAGAGAGAGCGCAGTTGTTGGCTGCAGGTCGCTGGGAGAGGGACGCGCACAGCGGCTCAGGACACAACACTGGAACCCGTTTGTTTTCTGACTCTGCTGCTCAGAGTTCATGTCTGATTCTCTCCTTCTCTCTTCTTGGCTTTATCATCAACTTGCGGAATACAAACAGCTTTAAAGGTAAGAGTAAAAACACTTTTTTCTTTCTTTTTTGGGAAAAGGACCTGAAATTAGCAAACAAAAGCACTTTTTTGAGGTGTTGTGCACCCGTTTTCCAGCGTGGATTCTGCTTTAGATTTGTTGATGGAGGTGAAATGGCGTAAATCGACTTTGATTGAGGTGATAGGGAAAATCTACACAATAGCCTGCTTTAGCCATAGATAGATTTAAGAAATCCACCTCCATCACTAATGGATTGGCTTCCCGTGCGCTATTCAGCCATGCTGTTGGGTCCGGTTTTCTCCGGACCGTTCTTCTTCTACACCCGTTTTTGTGCAGTATGTCTCTTTTATTCTAATGTTACACTTTGCTGCGCTTTTGCCCACTTTGTCTGCTCCAAACGAGGCGATTTCCCGTAGATAGCATGTGTTATTCAGGGCAGTTTGCAGCTCCTTTATGCCACGCCAGTTTTACTTTCCACTCACGTTTCATCCCAGGATCAGAGAAGCATTTGTGGGCTGCAGAAGCTGCTTGTGCCTGCCACATTAGCGCTGTCTCAAACTTACTTTGTTCTGCACGCTTCTCTGTGGTGCCGATCCAGGCGAGATGTGAACTTAAAAATAATCCTCTGGAGAAACTTCTTTTTATTAATGACATCAATCAGGAAAGTGGGTTGTCAAAGTGATCTTCGTCAAACTGTATTTCCCCCAGAAACTGTCTCCACTCAAACACCGCAACCTAGATTTCATCACAACAAGCTGATGAAAATTTAAATATAATACTTGGCTCGTGCTTCTAACACTCACTTTATCATGCCCGTGATGACCTCATTGCCCATCAATTCCAATTAACAAATGGGCTTTTACGCGCGGAATGTGCAGCCTTTACGCACAGCCAGTGCAAGTGTTAAACACACTTTCATTCCTTTCAAATCCCAGCAAACCTTCCCCTGACCAATTCTGAACAAAACACAGAATCTCAGCTCGGAAAGTCGCTATTTAACTCGAGAGGATTGCTCAGTTTCTCCGCGATACTTGCAGACATCCCAGTTCTGCTTTATTTCGAATTCT